TTGCGTTTAGGTTTCGTCCTTGCCTCGAACATAAGAATAATCAACATTACGTAGGAAGACCTTTAGTAAATTAATTCGCTGGGGATTTATCTGAGTATATCAAGTGAGATGGCGGGTATTCTTCCTAGGTGGTTCGAAAATGTCACCCTAGCTTAATGGACTGAACTTAGAGTTATAGTACGTAAAAGTACCTTCGATCAAAGACATTTCCGTTAGTATCCCTCTCGTGACGATATCGGGCGACTTCTACTAGTAACCGGGTTGAGCATATTAGACGCCGGATAGCTGTTGTAGGTGAAATGAGGTCATTGTAGGGATGATATATCGCGCCTCCCTTGACAGGAGCGTCTTGAATACCCTCACCTCATCGAGGGCTTCATTGGGCGCCGTGTCTTCCCTAATGGAAGCTGATCCACCTTCTCAAGCCCTAGAGTGTGAATGCCCAAATGAAGGGCCCCGCTTCTCGAAGCCGCATCTTATGTTCAACATTCGATGGCATCCTGATCTTGTCTTTCTAGAGCTATATAAGGAGTCTATTCAATTATATTAACCTTTAAACAAGAGCTGCGCTCCTCACTGTCAAGTAACCGCACACTCTCACGGCCTCGAAGCGATGGAGTCTTCGGAATCCTACCCGTCTACTATAGAACGGCCGCAATACAAACCCTTGGATCTACGCAACCCTTCATTTCAGAACCTCATTGAGCAGCTGCCCGCCTCGTTCCTAGCCAAGCAATCTATAAACCACCCTAAATACCCCAGCAAATTCAGCATGCCGTTTATCCTCTACTGGGAACACAATCTCCTTCTTGTTCAAGTCACGGCTGATGACTGGGTCGCACACTTGAAGTCTATTTGCAGCTCCGTCTGGAATGAAAAGCCTGAGGATGGTCAGTATAAGCTTTGTCTGGACGAAATAGTGACGGTGATATATCACTGTATAGGTCGACCAACTTTGGTTGACAAGACGGTGCTCTTTAATGTGTGGATTAATATGAAGTTCACACTATTACTATAGGTATTGGATTATCGAGCTCGGAACATGATGAAGTCCTATATAACGACATATCCCACGGCGTGCATTGGAGAGTCCGTGGTGATGTGGGATATATCTTCCTCCGCCCAGGTTCACGGCCATCTATGCAAGTGGTCTCCCCAGGAAGTGGACCAGTGGTACGGCGAAATCTCCAGCGTCGGGCAAATGCAGGTGGTCAAGTTCACCACCGACTAGTTGATTAATAAACTAGAATGCCTCTTATTCGATGGAGAAATAGGCAAGTTACACCAAGCCCTTGTTTAAACTACCGCAGCTTCTAAGGAAGGAGGACAGCATGCGAAGACCAAAAAAAGGACAACTAGTTAACTTTCTTTAGATGAATGAGTGCTCCAACAGTTATCGCTCAGCTCGGGTGCCTAGAAACCTCGGTCGAGGAGAGTTGGGAATTATTTCCTTGATATTTATTTCCCTTTCCCTTTTTCCTCTGCTTGCCAGCCAAACATTCTACGCATCGATAATGACCACAATCTTTACACTCTCCTCTGTCTTCGTCCCCTTTAACCACACATTCCTTTTAGTAGTGACAACAAAATAGAGCTTTTCTCTGACGAATCGCCTTTAACACATAATGTCTCTATAATCTTTGAATTCGCGACCTTCCCAACTCTGCGTCGATTTAAGCTCGTGCGTCATGGTAGTCCTCCTCTTCCTTTTGCTGTCTTAGGTCTTCTTTACTCTTTCTTTTTAGACTCTTTTCCGGGGGAGGTTGGAGCGACATGGTTGTTTTTTTTTTGTTTGAAGAGGTGGCCACGGCCGGGTTCGAGATCGATTTGAGTTGAACAAAAGCTGCAAGGGAGAATTGTTGCGTGCGCGCAATACTGTATAATAAGCTGCCGTTCTTGCTGTGAGGGTATTCTATTGAATGCTCGCCGTAGTGTTCTTTTAATTTATCCTCCTTTCGAGGTACTAGACCAAACCCCCGTTAACTTAGTAAGGGTTTTATATTCCAGACAGCTTGCACTTGTCCCTGTCCGGTTTGATGTAACCCTACTGGTCGTAGAATCTGGTTTGTGCTTTGTTTCATAAGATATAGGTATATTCTAGTGTTGCCGTCAAGTTTTGGAATCTTGCGATGATAGCTTGAAGGAGAACTTGAACTAAGAGATATATCCCGCCCAAGTAACCGATCAAAGGTCTAATAAAGAACATAACAACTCCGAAACCGACAGCTGCGATCCACCAAAGCGCTGCCTTGAGAGATATATTTATTGGGTCAGGTTTGTCCTCGATTCCCGAAAGAAGTGCGCTGGGTTTATATCTATGTCTCTAGCCGAAGCCAGGTCACTCTCCACGACTCGGCCTCTAGCTGCGGAAACTCCTCTAGAGATAATCCAGGTCCGCTTCTCGAGGGAAGAAATTCTACCTTTCATGATTAATTATCTGCTTCGTTTTCAGCATTAGCGAAGGCAGAATATCTTTCTATGCTGTCTTTACGTCGGCCCGTTTATCGTCCTGTTTAGAGGTCGCCTGGCCCTCTTTGATCAACAAATCTATCCTAATCACAGCCGATTTTGCTTCCCCGAGATTAAAGTTGTAACAGTAGAGTCCTACTGCTAACTATCGAAGAAGAATTGGACACTAACCGCCGTTCTTGGTCCTGATATTTACGGGCCGCATAATGTCGGTCCAAATTGCTTAAGATTTGTCTCTCGTTGAATTCAAATATTAAACATAAATAGTTTGTATTGACGAGGGATTATAGTAAATGGTCTGTGATGGGAGACCGGCTAGTAATTATTTATTCAAAAGGATGTGGATCGCGTGAGGGGATCGGAAGGATATTGAGGTTTCGGCGTCAAGTTATCGTCAAGTTCTTGATGGACGTCAGTTAATCTAGTACCAAACAAACTTGAATAGCTCACTTTGGGTCAAACGAGAGACACCCAACCAGCAGCAAGGAGGCGCCTTTTTGGTGACGGGGTTTGGCTTATTGTCTTGGAAGGTTCCGGCGACCTCTTGCGCTTCTTAGATAGCCGCTCTCTTTGAATGCCTGCGTTCTCCACAACCAGTAAGGGCTCTCTGGCCAAGGAGTATTGGAGTTATGGCCAAGCCATTCGGAAACTCTTCATCGAGTAAAATCTTTCATAGTGATCAGGTGTCACGGCAGCTTCGCCTTTTTTCAAACCTGAAAAGACCCGCGTGGCATATGTCTGCGCACCAGGGAAAATTTTTGGGAGCCTTGGCAAACAGTCACTGCGGACTACGGACAGGAGCACGACAAATAAAATCATGTGATTTGCATGTGAAATATCGGTTCAGCCAACATGCCCCCGGAAGTTGGGCCCACCCGAAGGCGAAACCAAAAACAAGGAACACGGGGGCCAAACTAAGTGATCCCCTATGGTGGATGCTTGGGCCGCTCATTGTACGCTTCAGGACCTGCCAAGCGGTCCTCAGACACTGGGGCACTTGCCATAAACGCCAGGATTGGGTTGGACGCGTCACCACGCGAGGCAGCAGGCTACTTGAGCACAGCCGGGCAATTGTAGCCGAGGACCTAAAAGGGCACCCGAGCCCGAACTGGCTTCTGCAGATCCGCATCAGGGCAGTGCTCCCTGTGGCTCGCGCAGTGCTCGGGCGTGCTCCCTCACAACTCCCCCGGCGTTCCCCGTACTCTGCCGTAGCTCCCTCGATGCTCTTCCGTGCTCGGCCGGGCGTCCCCGATACTCCGTCACGTGCTAGATTAAAGCGGCCTCGCTCCCTTTCCTGAACGAAAATGGTAAGGGATCAAGGACAGTTCGGGGTATATATAATACATATATATATATAGCAAAAGAGCATAAACCACCACGTATTCCTCACACGTTCGCAACCTTAAATCCAGTGAGCGCCAAGGCGGAATCCTGCAACCCCAAAGGTGAGCCTTGCGGATGTGCGTACATAATAATTACGACAAGGCTGAGGTATTGGTTAGAGCCAGAATCTATATCCTGCAACTCTTCTCAAGACGCAGGATTTGAATGTGTGCTACCACACCCCCCCTTACATTCGGTTCGGCTCGCTTGGCTGTCTTTGAGGCCATCCATTCTACCCTGTCTTGCTCGTTGGGTAATGGGTGCGAATGGTATCTAAGGTCTGCACAGGACTTAGCATGCATGACATGGTGATATAGCATTGAGTGGCAGTCACGAGTTGAGCAGCGGTGGCACAGAGCCGCCGGACAAGCGCGTGAATCACGCCCTCCCCTCCCCGGGTCTCAGTGTGACTTGACGGCCTGGCGGACGAACAACCTCGTGATGCTCGCTTTCGTTGTCTGCATGCCACAAGCGTGTCAGCTTATCAGTGTGACCCGACATTATTATTCGGGCGCCAGATACATAGTTTCTGGTATCTGATATGCAATATCCGAGGTGCGAGTCTGGCACGTAAGCACGACCTGCACCCAGCCTTGCTGTATCTCCGTAACTAACTCGAACGCTGGATATCAGGGCCACCGGGACCCGGCGCGGCGCCGGTATTGATCGCGATTTTCATCGTCGTGGCGATGGCTGCCGTTGTTGCTATGATGAGTTACCACGCCAAGAAGGAAGGAAGCGACCAAGATGACGGTGGAGAAGACCCGCTCATACGGCAGCATTCTGCTGGGCAGGGGGGAGTTATGTCGGACGAGTCGGAGCACGAAGATGATGACGATGACGACGATTGAGTAAATGAACTAGGCGACGATCTCAGTCCAGCATTTCTTGTTACAAAGAAGCTCCTGCACCGTATTAGACGGATTGTGAGGAATCGGAGAAATGTACAGCAGATTACAGAGAACTTACCTCATATCATGCCAGGCCCAATGGTGTAAACTTCAATTCGCTATCAACACAATCACTAAAGGCATTTCATGAGCGTTCCAGTCATACATCACAGAGAATAGTTTATCCAGGAAAACTCCCAAGTCTCCATCCCAATGCAATCAATAATTTTCGCATCAAGCTTGCACCAGGCAGCGTCCTCATTTGTCAGAATCAAACTTATTGTCAATTTCCTCGTCCGGCTTCGTATGAACGAAGGCTCTTTTGACAAAGACATGCCAAAGACGGTTTCGCGCCTTCGTTGCCCTGTCCTCTTTCTTCTTGCCCTTCTTGAGCAATGCTATATCCTGCTCTCGATTCTGGTTGTCTTCTTCGACCTGTTCTTGCTGTTTCGGAAAATGCCCTCTGGAGATCTTTTCGGCAACATCTAACCAATTTCGGAGGGTCAAGTCCACCATTTGGTAATTGCTGTCATTATTCGTGGTGTATTCGCTGATGTAATTGAAGTGCTTATGGGGATTCTTCGTGGTATCGCTTTGGACTGCCTCATTTATTGCCGTCAAATTTGCGTAGTACTGTCTCCAAGACATAAGAGATAGGGTTTGAGGAGAATATCCCGGTCCGGGGGGTGAAGTCTTCGATGGGGCCTTCGGAACAGGAAATTGAGGGCCCTTCTTCTTTTTTCCTTTCTTCTTCTTCTTCTTCTTTCTTGTTTGATCCTGAAGCATATCACCATCGTCTCCAAATCCTTTAAAGCTGTTCTCATGGTCGCTAGAGTCAGTGACTAATGGGTCATAGGATTCGGGAGCGGGGATTCCAATAGCTTTGGACGCAGGACTATGATCCTCTAGCCCTGAAATGTTGTAGTGAACGATCCGCAATGTAGGGTAGAAGTTTGGTACGACGCTGGGTGAAACCAGGCTCATGCTGTATCGCTCACCCCAACAACCTCCAATGGCTTTTAGAAACTTCTCGACATCATTCTTCTTCTTCTTCTTCTTGTGCTTCTTTTCGGCTTCGTAGTCTGCACCTCCCTCCTCCAAGTAGGACGATCCTGCAGGCGGCTTGGGTAAATTTTCCCAATTGCTTCGTAGATCCGTCAAGTATTGCGATTTCCCAGTTGCGGAAAACGTTTCGTTGTTAGACATAAGCTCTAGGCCACCTCCTAGTCTTTGGAATTCGTCATCAATACCCTTAATCTTGAATTTGTACTTTAGTTCATGCACATCCTGGAACATGAAATGATCTATGTTCATGTGGCCAAAGACGGACGCAACAATTACATCCCTGTACTGGCGTAGCCACAGGGTGAATTTTTGATGACACGTTTCGTCCCAGTTCTGTTTGTTTGCAGTCCGGGCCGGCGGTACATGGCCAATGAGCATGGCCTTCATTCCACGGGAGCGCAAAAACTGAAGCTGGATTCGCAACCATTCGAAATGTTCGTACCCTGGTTCAGATTTGAGGTCGCAGCCATCGACGGCGGAATTTGAATCAAAGAAATATAAGGTGTTGAGACTGAAGACCGCCAATTTGTTGGGTATTACTTCAGTGAAATACCATCCGCCTCTTGCAAATGAATGGCGTTGCTCCTGAGGGATGAACTTATTCCATATGTCTTCATACTCGCGAGTCCATGAATTCGGTCCAGGTTGAAAGATGTTGTGAGGAAGAATATCATTGTTGCCAAATGTAGGTACAATAGGCACAACGAAATCATTCGTAGGGTCGGGATCGTGTAGGTTGTCTGGTTTGCCAAAGGCTTCAACAAATTTGTGAACGACGAACTTATTCAGTTTAAGAACTTGCTTGTTGGTCCGAGGAAAGCGGTCATCGTTGTCATGTCGAGCAGAATCTCCTGTCCATATGACAAAGTCTATAGAATCTCTCAGATTCTCTTCGATCCATTTGAATGTGGCATTCACAAGAGAGAAGGGGGCGTCACAGCTCGTGACTGGAGCTCCGTAGTGGCCTGACGAGCCTTTTCCAGAATGGCATTGTTCTTCGGGGGAGGAGTGGACTTTGTAGAAGGGGTCTGGGTGTATGTCTGTAACAATGAGAAACGGGACCCTGGTGGGAGGGATAGCACAGTACCTGTGATATGTAGAAATCTACCCTGTAACTTCCTAGCTGGCGGTTGAGTTTTGAGGATGCTGGGGGAAAGAGGATGTTGTGCATCTGCTCCTTGAGAAGGAGGTTCACGGGGAACAGCGGCCGTGACGGCTGCTAGCAGCAGCAGCAGCAGCCCGCCAGCAGCGCCGATCATAGCTGACAACAACGAGTGAACAGCATTTGTAAAAGAGCAAGGACGCAGACTCTGTACAGAAGGACAGGCACAAAGACTGTTGAATGTGATCAAAAGCTTTTGCTGGGTCGGTGGACAGTCAGGAGTCCACGACACGCAGGCGCGGACTCAGGTGCAGGTGCAGGCTAGGAAGGTGCAACTCAACGTCATTTGCGTCTCGGCCCGGCAGGTTTTTCCGCGAGCAAGCGACGAGTCTAAGACCCTTGCAGCCTAGGAGGTCTTGGCCCCACGATAGTCAGGCACAAGCCAACGCACACTCTCTGCTGCACGTGACTTTACCGCTTGGGCTTGTGGGAGGAAATGAAGAGGATGTCGAGGGTGACTTTCTTAAAAGTTCATCAGAGGAATCCTCTCTGCCTCTTAAGACATCTCTCCCACCTAGTCTTAGTCCATGCCGATCTGTCAATTGCTGGGCTGATCGTCGTGGCGTCGTGTGACAACCTTCTTCGCAGTGCTGGGTGAGTACCTTAAAACCGCCTTGCTTAGGTTATTGTATCCGAGGCCAATGACGCCTTGTGGCTTGTCCACGTGTGCCCTTCAGATGACTTTTTGACACACACCCTCACCCCCAGCTGATATATTGGTGTGGACCGGGATGAATTGTGGGATATCAAGTTCCAGTGTGCCTCATATTAGGACTCGTATATCTAATTTGGTCCTTCTTGGTTGGTGCATGCACATGCCACCATGAGCACGAGCATACCAACATGCATGAAAGAATGATAAGCGACGCCCCTCACTGCCCGCTACGATTACCAAAGAACTCATAGCTCCGTCGTGGTAGCGACCCGGGCGGATAGCTGTAATTATTTGATCCAGCGTAATCATCTGGGGGTGTGAGCATTTGTTGTGGCAGCCCGTCCCCTTGGGGGTTTAGGTCGTTGGGAGGGCTAGGTAGTTGAGCCAAGGTTGGGTTCTCGCACGGGTACTGACTGGGAGCTGGATAGTATTCAACTTTGACCCCGTGAGATAGAACCCCAGATCCGGTGGTTGCGTTTGTCACGGCTGCGGTGGCAGTATACTGAACAGGAGAAAGCTCTGTTTGCCGGGCTTTGAGTCGGGAAAACAGTACTGCAGATTCTTTCTCAAATATTTCTCGCATTTCAGGCATTCCCCACCGGACTCTCGCAAAATCAAGAATCTCAATGATCTGGCGAAGGCAATTCGTAGCCCGTTGGGCATTGTCTAGAGGCATACTTGACATAGTTTGTTCTAAAATGGCATGAGTCGTCTTCAACAAGCGATCGAAATCTGACCAAAGCACCTCCAAGAACTTCTGGCCTATATATCGTGCCCGGCAAATATCAGCATAGGTCAGATACGCGTGCCAACTGACGTCTTGCGTGATTGGTTGCAACTGATCTGCAAATTGGGCAGAATACTCAAAGACCAGCTCCCGGTTCAGATCGGTCATGCTCCTGGAGGGGACTCTTTGATTGGGAGAGACCACCAGGATCTGGCAATAGAGTCTTTCAAGGTTGAACAAGACAATATGTCGTTGGGACAAGTTGGCTGGTATAGTGGCGTACCAGGCGTGGATGTCGTTGGAGACTGAGCTGGCATATGTGGCGGCGGTGGCCAGTGGCCATTGCGTCCGCGATGACCACCTCGTTGTTTGGAAGAAAGAGGATTGAACTCGACGAATGTCGAAGAGATAGAGCGATGGTTTGGTCGAGCGGAGAAATAGCTGAGAGTGGGATGAGTCCGATGCCGAGTCTGGAAAGTGGACTTCCGATGACGAATCGTCCGAGAAAGAAAAGGCGCGGTCAAGAGCCATACTGATCAGGCGATCAAAGGCATAGACGCAATGGAAGATCCGCCTGCGGAGGTCCAGCTCACTTTTACTGATCTTTGTTTCGGGCGGAGGCTCGCAATGGAGACCGAGGTCGACGACTAAGCGAGAGGCCATCCCAATCAAATACCAACTGTCGAAGTGCGCTGGATCAACCAATGAATATTGAACCAACAGTAGAAGAGCTTGAAGGCCAGCAATGGAACCTGGATGAAGCACATAGCTTGCCAGACCCCGAGCTGCTGCCACATGTTGAAGAGCCGTTTTATCATCTTCATCTCCCTTGCGCTGTGACCTCGAAGCATAAGCAATGGCCAGGATTAGTCGGACATTCCAGACATCCAAGGGTTCGGCCGAAGCCAAGAAAGAGGGCTCATGATAGATGCGGGATAGACTGCTCATGAGGTCTGTCTCTGAGAAAAAGGGGAATAAGACGTAGATATTCTCCAGGTAGTGGTTGATCATTGGTGTTATCGCGTATCTTGGCGGCAGTCCTCTTGACTCGATTGAAGGCAAGTCTTGTTTACAAGCGGTGGCAAGAAGAAGTTTGGCAAAGGACATGGTAGAGGTAAATCCATGAAAATCGCGAGAGGTGGCATTGACGGTCAGAAACCCAAAATCACTGACCAGCTCGTCGACATCAGATGCTTCCTTCCGACGAACACCGCTGATTTTTCTTGGTTGAACGGACCGTTGTGAAGGAACGGAGCCTTGTCGCGGTTGGCGAGCGGTGGCATCGGTGCGAGCTCCTTCGATTCTCCTTTGCAGTCTTTGAGCAGCGGCCTCGAGTGCTGCGACATAACTTCGTTCTTTGCCTCGGGCAAATTCATCGTTGGCGCTTGAGCAACTGCTTCCCTTACCCGATCGTTCGCAAGCAGAGCAGGCGGGTAGTTTGCCGTCACATTTGATTTTGGCTGAACGACACCTTGCACATGCTGCAACAGGTCTAGAAACGCGCAATGAAGGCGCCAGAAGAGCGTCAATTGATTCCGTCTTTGCCATGCCGGCGATGAACAAGACCGTTGGGTCAGGAACTTTTGATCGATCTCCTTGTTTTGTTTGGACAGATGTCAACCCCACTTCCCACTGAGAGAATTGATGTGTGGATGGCCCCCGTTGAAAACCGTTGACAACCCAGCATCTGGGGAAACAGAATTAGTTGGACAATTGGGACGGAAATTCCAAATGGCCGTATTTCCAGTTATTAGACTTGTTTTTGCTAGAGCAGATATCCTATCCGAAGAAGGGATGAAAATATCGGTTAACAGATTGATTGTGATGGGCGACTGTGAGCACGCGAGAATATTGGCGCGATCCCCAGACCAACTCAAATGGTTGTGGTACGTGAGATAATGCGCTGAAGGTTCTGGTCTCGTTGGCACCTTGTGTGAGGTGGACTATTTGTCCAGTTCCTCAGAACCCAGTGCTTGTGCCTTTTGCGGATTATGTTGGTTGGTGTATACACGTTACGAAGAATAATGATGAGCGGGAGGAAATGAGAAGTTATGCTTCACGTTTCGCAAAGTCAATCAATGCCATCTTATCCCGACATCCCCAGGCTGCTGTTATCCGTACAAGGTCTCGGCATGTAATTACACCAACCGATGGACTCGTATCTATCTAGTTGGCCACCTGTGCAGAGTGCACCGTCCTCCGTACTAACCATTCCTTAACTAACTCCCCACCTAACTTGGCTAGGCGATTTGGGTTTATCCCCCCCGAGTGTTAGGCGAGGGGGAGGTTGTCGGTTCAAATTAACCCCCCAATCGCGCTGATAGTGGTGGCTGCTGTCTCCAGCTCGCCAGGCTCTTTTAGTTAAAGAAATAACGGGCTGAACAGGGACAGCAAGCCCTCTGAACCCCTCTCAGCCCCTCTCAGCCCCCTAAGAGATACCTCTGCCCTACCTCGTCAGGTCCCCCTGTTCCTAAAACCCACCCCCTCGACGGTCGGTCCCGGTCGCTCGTACCCCTGCACCGTCTGTACTCGCCTTCTCAAATCGGAAGCCAAGGGTAGGAAGAATGGGCTTTACTCGCCTAATCCATCTTCTAAGTCTGGATAGCCTGGACCTAGCTCACGTTTCAGGGCCATTTGGGTGACGAGGGGAGACGGTGACCTTCCCTCCAGCAGTACTTGGGTAGTCGAATCAGTTCACTCTGTTGATCGAGTGGCCTGCTCTCTTCAGCCCTTCCATCAGCCCTTCCATCAGCCCTTGAGGTTTTGAGCTGGGCAAGGGGGATCAGGAGCTGTGCAATGGAATCCTGTGGCCTCAACCTTGGCCAATATGCTTCTAGATCTACGATTGAAACTATGAGGTCCACCTACTGCTCTGTGGGATGTAAGCTGGTTGACTGTCCCCGTCCCTCATCCCCCTTGGTCTCCGCGGCTTCCTGGTAGCTGCCGCCCCAGGCTTGATGACCCAACTTCCCGACTCACTTATCTTCTCCTGCTTCATGCACCCGTCCGTGCCCAGGCTGCTGTATGCACCACTCCGTCCAACCTTGTCGGGCCAGTGTCAATTGCACGTTTGACTGGCTGCTGACTGCTGCCCTAAACGCTGATCCTCTAGCCAACCGTCGTCGGCATTGCTGCAACACAATTCAAGGGCTTCGTACTCCAGCCCACCAAATGTAAATACCAACTGCACCGAGGTCACCCTCTCATGAATAAGGCCCCGTCGGACCCGTCGCAGATAATGAGATATGACCTGACACTTCATCTGCTTCGATCCCACATCAATTCCATCGGCCGCCTTGATGGCAGACGATGAAAATGCCACCATGGCAGATACGCCGGAAAATGAGCGATCTCATCACAAAGTCCACCATACAGTAACCGCTTGTGTTCGTTGCAGACAGGTATGTTCAACGACTTGAATGATGTTCCCTGCCAGCGAAATGTACCCCTACTGACTTGGTGCAGAGGAAAACACGATGCGATCCAGCATTGCCTCGTTGTGAACCCTGTGAACGCAGCAATGCTCATTGCGAGTATTTTGACTCCACCAAGAACAGGACCATTCCTCGAACCTACATAACCTCACTGCAGGATACAGTGCGCCGATTGAACGAAGAGGTAAAGGCTCTAGAAAGGGAGGAAGACTATGAGCCAAACCATGAAGCCATGGCCCGCGGGGCGGGTCTGGTCAAGTTCAGTGAGAATGATGAGTCGAGGTTCTTAGGCCCTTCGAGTGGTATAGCCATCACTCGCTTTGTCATGGAGTTCGCAAAACAAAATTCCGCTCGAAGGACAATCAAAGATGTGGTGCCTCACCACGCGGCACAGGAGATCAAACAAAAGTTCGATGCAGAAAGTAGCAAGCCTACCTCAAAGGTGTATCCGCTCATCAGTTCGGTCGCCGCGCCTGATCTGCCAAACCGTGATTTGATGGATCGCCTTATCGAGATATATATGGTCAAGGCACAATATATGCTCCCACTTCTTCACGAACCGTCCTTTCGACAGGATCTACAAGCCGTTTATGACGGCTCTAAAGATCCAACCTTGAACTTTCAAGTTCGCCTTGTCGTGGCGATTAGCATGCAGAAACTCGACACGCAGTACGCAGGCTTGGCCGACAGCTACTATCTGGCTGCTTTACCATTTCTGGCCGGATCCATTCAGAAAATGGACTTATCGACTCTTCAATGCTTTGCATTGATCGCGCAGTACTCCCTACTTACCCCTACTCGGACTGCCGCTTATTGGGTAGTCGGACTTGCTGCTAAATTGTGCCAGGAACTTGGACTGTGTGAAGAGGAGACTATTCTCAGACCGCCTTGTGGATCTAGGCCTAACTTTCTTGAGATCGACATGCGGCGACGATTATTCTGGATCATTACGTCCATGGAGTATGGACTATCCCACAGCCTTGGTAGACCTAGTGCCTTTGGCGTTACTGTCGATAACATCAATGTCGGATTCTTCGAACTTTGCGATGATCGATATATTAGTCCAGACGGACTCCTTCCCGGTCATCATCCAATAATGAAGAAATGCATCGCTATACACTTCCTCAAGATGAGGCTTCTACAAGCAGAAATTAGAAGAACGCTCTACCTTAAAAAGCGTGATACTCCTACGCACGAGTCGGACCCGTGGTTTCACAGTATGCTGCAGAAGATCGACGACTGGGTACGAGAGTGTCCAAAGAACGACGAGGGAAGTGGTTTGAGTGAGACCTGGTTTATCGGTCGCAAAAACACCATGATAGTGTTCATGTATCGCCCCTCGCCCCAGATCCCCACCCCGACGCTGGAGGCGGCCCAAAAATGCTATGATGCCGCAATCTTCAATATACAGATGCAAAAGCGCCAAGTTGAAGCTAGACTGATCGACATCACGTGGATCTTCACACAAGCAATCTTCATGGCGCTCAATACGGTTCTCTGGTGCTGTTCGTATCCCGCTATCAGACAACAACATCCATTAGAAGAGGTACAGCTACATATACAAGATGCTTTGAAAGCAATCGACCTGTGTGCGGATCGCTGGCCGGGAGTCAGATCTGCACAGCAACTATATGATAATCTAGTGCGAGGCTGTCTCAAGGCTTATGAGATTGATAAGACAGTTGAGTCTCCGGCATCGGATTATGTCTCAACCACGACTCAAGATGTCAGTTCTTCCGCCTCACAATTCGCCAACAGCCCTGCGAGCACAGCTAACACTTCCGTATATGGACCACAGTCGCCCCAATCAATCCATAGTGTCCATGGCCCCAACCATGTCTTTAAAAACGCGGCCACCGGCTACATCGATCATGCGAAGCAGATGTATCAACCTGATCTCGTAGCGGCCATCTCACAGCCTCAAGCGATGAGTGGGCAGTATATGCCCGCACCAGTCCCTCAAATCAATGTCCACTCCCGATCTCTACACTATAGTCTACCAACGTTCGACCCACACAACCCGGGAGGCTATGTTCCCACCACCACTCAAGGTGGAGCAACCTGGACAGCGGCACCTATGATGCCGGGCATTCTTCCCGGCATCACGGGCTCCCCGAACATGAATTACGATGATCTTCCATACCTCGCATCATTTGGCCATGAATACTCCCGCTACATGCAACAGAGCTACCCATCTCAATACCAAATGCAGACTTTGAGTGAACAACAACAGATGGAGCTGATGGCCTCGCTGGAACAGAGCCAGCTTCCCGATGTGTCTGCACTTGTCAGTGATGCGACCACATTCTATACTGCGCAACTGCCATCATAGTGTCGAGCCGAATCTTAAGAGTGCTCAACTTACCAGTCGTCTAACGCCCCGTTTCTGTGGCACCGCTCTCGCGCAAAAGGAGACACTGGCCACTAAAGACTTAAAAGCCAGGTCTTGCCATGCCTGATGGACTGGATGTAGCGAAGTGTAATTCTGTTGGAGCTTGATTGGCTTTACTGTCTTTCTGGGCTATGGCTCCACGGTGTTACAGCGTCTATGGGCAGGATAGCCGAGCAAGCATTTCCTTTGAAGCACTAGAATCTCGGCCAGATGGAACATACTACATTGGTAGCATGCCATTGCTCAAGAATCCACCAATTTCGCCTTTCCGAATGGGTTCTAATGGCAGGCCCCAAGAGACTCAACTACGAGATGTCGATGGCAAGAATCTCAAGACGCAATGAATACGAGGCAGTTGCTACCACTGTCCCTATGTGACCCAATAATGATACCCTCCTGAGTACAGAGCGTAGCTAATTTCTGGCTCGCGGATTCGACTACCAATGGCATCCCAATGTCGTCTGTTCACTCTTCACTGCTCGCAGCTCGCAGTTGGAACATGAAGCTTTGGAAGCCTTTCCTCCATACCCGTTTGCATTCTAGCCACTTGAATCCGAATTGCAATACAGGGTAGTAGGAGTCGTAGATAGACTCAGAACAAGGAATACGGATAAACAGCAGTTCCCCTTCCTGACCGCTCAGGACAGCGGAATACAGGGGTTGCGGCAAGGCTTAGCGAGTGGATGAGCGCGAAGAACCAACGACCATGTTTTGACTTTTCTTCTCTTGACTGATGGCTCTGCTTCTTTGGGGCTTGACAATGTAGGCAAGTACAGGATGGTTTCGATCAGTATAGCAAGCACATGCGTTGGCTTGAGATGAATGGTGGTAGTCCGTGGTGAGATTTATGGGGACCATTATCTTGAACAGAGCAGTCTTGATTACGACAGCTGGCGAATACCATTCATAGTTCACATCATTCTCTCCCCAAAGCCTCACATACATAGTATGCTCGCCAACAAGCAGGAAACGATGGCTTCCCTCTCTGCGCTCCTCCAAGCGACAGACACCAGGGACAACGCTACGATCGTGGCATCCCAGGCTCGTAGAGGTGCTGTATGCCCATAGTCCTGGCAGAGGTAAGCTTCGGCTGCACTAGCTGTCTGCGAAGCAGTCCCGTCATCAGCCCAAGCCCCCTTGCCTCCGTTGTTGGTCGTCAGGTGTTGCGCCCGTGCATGGACAAGTCCCGGGCACACCGCTCGTTCGGCGTCTTGGGTTCTGTGGCTTTTCCGACTCAGCCACCGTACCACGGGACCGAGGCGCCGACGGGACTCGCTGAGCGCCTCCCACGAGTAAGGCAGGGGCCTCTCTTTCTTTCCCTCCCCGGTGCTCCCTTCAGCCACATGAGATAGTCACATGCGTCAGGTCACGGCTCACACGCCTCGACTGGGACAGGTGGATGCCTTGTTCTCCCGCTCCTGCGACTGGCATTGACATCCTAGCCTGAGACGACACCTGGACCGAAGGTTGATGGTCGCTGGAAGCCTATATACTATGTACTACTCCACACTCTATCAAATCAAACTGTCTGTGCGTCTTCAGTGAATTATTCCAGGCAATAGCCGACGGAAAGACTCTTCCTCCATGGTCAACAAACGGGTGTAATAATCGACCACAAAAATAATAGAAGGATAAGTAAGCATCTTCCACCGACCCGCCCACCCAGCACCCTGTACCATGTAGTATCATGACGCTACAGTCCAACAGAACATCTCCACCGAACAGGCGACGCCCAGCTTGGGTGCCGGTAGGGCTCGGGCTTGGGTTCACAGGGGTGCCCCAGGCGAGGAAGGGACTTTCGTAGCAGCACTCGCAGGTACTATTTACAGCCCTACAAAGAAGCAGTTTAGCGGGTCCCACGGGCAGGGATCCTACAACCCACGATCGCCCAAATCCGAGCGCTCAGCCTCCCTGAAGAAAGGTGATTCGACAAATGCCACGTGTGAAAAGGCGATCCCGACAAGGGACTTCCCCTCTGGAGGGTCCGTGATTGGAGTTTTTAGCTCTGGTTGATATCTCCCTTGCGGTAGCAGCCAGCATTCAAGCAGCCAGCCCTGTGGTTCTTCTGGTAGCGGAACAGCCAGTGAGGAACATCCGGTGAACATATCTCGTTAGCGAACAAACGAACCGCTAGTTCGCAATCCCTGCCCTGTCCGGCCCTGCCCTTGCACTCCATACCAGGACGCTTCTCTCGCAGCCGTGAGATCATCTCCAGAGAAAGAACACGAAAGTGGAACCGAATATACTTTCATATCTTTGACGAGGTGCATGTGTGCCATCTGTGCCATGCCATGCTGTGCCAGGGCCCTGGTTGTTCATGGTGGCTGCAGCCCATGGGATGACGAGAAACTCGTACACTAACTAAATAATCGACCAGAAAGGAAACGAACGGGGTCAGTCGTGTATGCATGTCAGTGTGAACTGCGTGAAGGTAACGGATGACTCTCATTCCGGAATGCCACCAAAATACTGCCCCGGCAATAGCAGTCCGTCATATCTACACACCTAGTACCTAGACTACTTGTCTTTTTTCCCCCCTCCAGTTGGTTCAATTACACTACCGCTCTGTTTTTATCTATTCGTTCTGCGAAGGGGAGAGAGAAAGAGAACTTTGTCTGCCGGCCAGCTCGTGTGGTTTTTTCTTACTTCTCCTTGTCCCCTTCGTGCTTCATTCATGGTCACTCGTTCGACTCCCTTTTCACAAGCAAGCAGAGCTTCATTCAATTTCCATAATCGAGTCGATCCGAGTCGGTATAACAGCCCGCGGGGCGGGAATACAATTATCGCGATAGGCTACTTGCACCCCTCATTGAGTCTACTCGAACCTGACTCAATGCAGACGCTATGGATTTCCGAGGCTCAGAAGCTATGAGGAACGGAGCTGTGCATGCGCAATATCATGCGCCGCTTCTTCCCCCAGAAATGATAGATGGAGAGTCTCAAATGAGTACAAATGGTCCGTGGACATTTCATGTGGACAATACACATGCTCTGCCACCAACCAATCTAGGAACCCAGCCACCAGTCTTTCACGGTTCGGTCAGCAACAGCACTCACCAGAGTCGGGCACTCAACGATATCCTCACTCCACTACTACAACATCATGATACCCCCAACTTTCGCGAAGTCATCTCTACATATCTGAGGCTGCCTGCCAACCTCTGGCAACTAGTGAGCAAGATCCGAGAATCGAATTTTGCTCATGAAGTCCTTCGCGACAATCTACCGCGGGATATGTGGAATTTGATGGTCAAGGTGCGGGATGATATTCACTTCGAACATCTGCAGCCACTTGTGGTCGCTACATTCGCGGAGCATGCATCGTTCATGGGAGCTGCTGCAACAACATCTCAGAACCATTCACGGTCTGGGTCTGGCGCATCCTGGTATGAGGGAGGAAACCCACAGATGGGAAACGGTGCCAGCAGACCAGCACTCCATCCCTCACATGCGACAAGCCCCAGCCTGAGCGGATTCCAGTTCTCAAGCCCGGCACAGCCAGAACACTCAATGCAGACCCGGTCTGCGACTCCCATTTCATTGGTGTACCCCAGCAGTCGGAATACCTCTCGAAGTCCCTGGCGTAATAAAAAAGGAAAGGCTCCTGCAGGTCAGCTATATGTCTGTCCATTGCCAAATTGCACCAAGAAAGGCTTCAAAAACGTCGGCAACTATATCAACCATATGTTGCGACTGCACGCGGGATACCCGCGACACGATCCGGAGACGTCCTTGCAACCTGAGTCGTCACCGTCACTTGATGCTGGCGAAGAATTCGTTTCGCCGGCAGCAACGACCGCCAGCAGCTCACCTCTTCTTGCGCGACATCTATCACAAGATTGGGGCAGCTTCGGTGACGTGCATTCGAGTTTTGGGCATGACGATCCGAACCCATCCACTAGTAACATGAACGGCAGAACGAGCGATGCGAATCTCGAACAATTCGACCTGCCGTCTTCAATCGTCTCTGGCTCAGGAGAAGCCAGCAGGGATCAGGACGACTTTGGTGAGATGCACGATCAGGCGAATTCCGTCCAGGAAGATTCGGAGCTCTTAGCAGATGAGGACCCGGAGTACTCGTCTGCAGATGCCGGAGGCTTGTCTTTCGGCATGTTCCAGGCCACCATTTTGAGCGCTAGACGCTCAAACCGCACAAGAGGGTCTTATTAGTGTGTATGAGACGGACTACGGAAGGCTTGAATTGGGGTGGGCAGAAATGGAGGTACGGGCAAAAGCGTCAGAAATCCAAGATCGATCGAGGTCATGCTGGAGGGGACTTCCCCATTGCGTGATACAGTGGCTCGCTGTGCTGCAGGCGGCATGCGAGCAGTCTAGTCGCAGATTGTCAGGGTATATCGGTATCAAAGCGAGGGCCGCGCGAAAGGCATCTGTATTTTAGCGGTCAAGGACTAGTAAGTAATGATTCGGATAGCGACAAATTGCGCACTATGAGAAAGAGCGGAGGACAGGCAAAATGCAAAAGGACGGCGGCTTTGCTCCCTGAGGCTGGACCTCTGGGAGGGAGGATTGACTCGTTGGTTGGACTATTTCTTGTTAATATGTCATATGCCTCGTGCGGTCTGCGCGTTGGTAATTATCATTCCATTCCTCCCCACGGAGATACATTCCGTCGCCAATTTCATCCAGACTCTTTCCGAGAAGCAGAATGCCTATGATGGATTTGTGTTCCAGGGCGTGCTTCCTCGGGCGGCTTCCTTCTGCGTATCCGGACTCACCTCCACAATGGCTTTGTGGCAAGGTTGTAGAACCTATGATCGTAATTAGGGAGGCAGGAGGCAGCTGACGAAGAAGCCCCCCGTCATTCTCAATCGCAGGCACGTCCAGCATGCCCATCTCACTTTCGCATGCTGGAACAATTCCCCAATTTCCAGACCGCAAGTTTATTCTAGGGGGGCAACTGGGTTTTCCAGCCGTTCTAGGCTTGAACGATCAAGTGACCTAGAAAGTGGACGAGCAATCCGGTTCCAGTTTGATCGACGAGGTTGCGGTCAGCGGCGGCAGGGGATGCCAAATTCGTCAAAGCACAGGACCGAACTTAGTCATCTTTGTGGTCGTGTATCGGGTGTATGATGGCCTACACTGAAACCAAAAACAATCTGTTTCATGTCCAGTACACGCGCAATCTCGGCCAGGTCCAGTTGGCGAATTCGTCGAGGCAGACTGATAGAGTTGCTAATGCGATGTGATGGTTATTGATGACTGACTCAACGAGGTGGCGAAAACTCCGGCCACGGCCACGGTCACGGTTGCCTCCAGGCTCTGGGGCCTCGCGCTGGAGGTGGAAAGCCGAAGTGGGGCGGAGCAAAATACCTCGCATCCCAGTAACTCCATAGTCCATACAAGATACAGATAAGGTTCCCGTGGGGTTCATTTCGCAGTGTCACGGGCAGATATCTGCAAATGAAGAGGGGAAGAGCAAAGTCTGAAACAGACCTGTTGGACTAGCGTGGGTAGCATAGCGAGGCCGAGAGAAACAGCTGACGTCCGCATTCGCCAATATCATCTGTCTGTCCGAATTTCCAGCTACGTCGGAACCCCGTATCTCGCCCGATCAATGCGAGCGAGGAAAGTGGCGGTAGAAAATCATCACAAGCAGCGACCTGTGCTAAGTCTTTCTCCCGGTTCAAACACTTCTGCCCAGGAGCGAGATTGCGCAAAACACATGGCACTTCTCGATTGGATTGTGAAGCCCACCGGGTTGGTGGGAGGTTGACCGTTCAGCCACTAACCCAACGAATGGAAGAAAGGGACATGGCTAATATGCACACATGCTGGACTGCTGCACGAGTTTGTGCAACCTTGCGCAGGAACAAGCAAGTGAAATGGCTCTAGCTAGTTACTTAGATCGCAGGCATTGTTCTTTCGTCAGGCGTGCCCCTCGATACACGGTCCGCTGTGTTAGGTAAGAGGGACGCTTGTGCGACGGGTTGACTGCAGCCCTTGCTCGGAGCCATTTGAAGAGGGTTGTGCGTCTTGAAGACTCGGCCATCCACACGGTTGGTAGAGGCTGATGATAACCTCCGCCTTCAACTTTGTGCGCAGAATGAAGCAGGTGCATCGATTTTCTTGAATGATGATGCTCCCGCCCCGGCCACACTACGTTGAGTGGAGTTGTGGTTGAGCGAAACGCAGGCATGGGCCGCGGGCGCTGGTCCTGGTGGGTTTGTTGTGGCGTTGAATCCACCATGACGATTGAACTTGAGGCTTGTTTTCTCTCGGAGTCCTGTCCAACTCCATTTCAAGAGACTGCAAAGGATCCATTGACCGGTTGGAATCGCCGTGGCAAGTTCAAAGAGCCTCACCCAGGGGTAAGCGCGTGATGTCTTGAGGGGTGGGAAATGTTTTAGACGACGATCCCAGTAAAGTGCTTGCATGCTCGGTGAGATGCCCCGCCCCGGCAATTTCAAAGCGCACAAGATGATTGTTGGAGCCTGAATTTCGCGGAGAGGGTGATGACTTCCTGCCTGACACATGACTACGTGCCGGGGTCACTCTGCCCTGATGGACTAGAGGGTTCACGCCCCCCCGGGCAGACAAACGCTGTATTGCCTGTTTTGATATAGGGCTCGTTGAAAGTGAAGCTTCGCTTCTCTGTACTCGTAAATGCGAGCGGCGGCAGACTAAAATGATGATGTGTGGGTGGGGACAATGTCGGCGAAGGCTTCTGGCGTTGATCAAACATTCAGGGTCAGACATTCAGACTTGTTCCCGCCTGAATGTCTGATCCACGCCGACAAGCCCAGACTTGGTTCGAGCAGATACTTACCTTATCGCCTGCAAAACTCAGTATGTACTGAGTTGAGCACGTTAAACTGGCGTGGAATGTGCCCTGGTAGGTATCGGGACAGCTTGCTTCGTCGACCACCGTGGGCTTAGTAGAGACTGATAGAGCGCCTTTGGGAAGTATGCACCTCTCTCTCCCATAGGAAAACCATGCCCGCGCCCATGGTTGTTTTTAACACGTAAAAAGCCAGTGCCTAATCTTAGAACTCTACGAGTATCTGGTTGCGTAACCATTGGAGGACGAGCTGACGAAAGCAGGACACGGAACGGCGCTGGTTTGGCTCGGTCAGGTGCCAAGTAAGTCGTACCGTGTCGTGATCCGACACTCCCAGCATTGGAAACGCAAAAGAGTCAGTAGTGAGAACAGAGACCCGGCCTGTCCAATCCATAGCAGAAGCCTCGAGGATGGTTTCGAAAAAAGAACGGCGTCATTTTAGATGATGATTCCAACGGGTGACTGCGGTATCGCCTTCATCGATGGTCGAGTGCTAAATAAATATCATCAAGACCAGCGATCCCTATTGCAAGGGCGACGCAGTGCTTCGTACACCTCGCACCCTGCGGGAGATATGGTAAGGAGGATAGTAGGTGGGCTGTTTACGAGTACTCTACTGACAGTGGACCGCAGGCCCGAAGGATGACCCTTGGAGTATCGGAAGAGGTTACATGCCTGAGGCTCCATGAGAGGTACAGACTTGTACAGGAGTGGCTCACTCATCGACCGCGAGGACCAATGATGAGGTTGAACATTGACATGGTGTTATAGTTGGACGAAACAATCAGAGGCGATACCCATGCCAGACAAGGGCATGGAGGGGGCGCCGTTCGTCAACCACCCTGCTTCCCGGCGACCAGGGATTGACGTTCGAGTCGAAATAACCTGATTTGCCCCGACGAGGACCGGCCGCTATGGGTGCCATTGGGGAGCTCTTGGGGCTCTTGATGCTTAGGGTGCCTTTCACAGCCCCCAGAGGTGAACTTAGTACGTCTGCAACTAACGAAGTATCAAGAGTTCGAAAGAAGCCCGCTGCGGGCTCTCAGCCATCCTTCTTTCGTAGTCGGGTAGCCAAGCAACAATCCGATGGCAAAGAAGGACGCTGTGCGCCTTGTCCCTCTTCTGACTTGCGTGATGCGCCTATCTGTATTATATACGAGTAGACCCCCCGTCTGTTCCTTGTATGCCAGACCTCTCTACCAGAACGCTGCGTGCGATCATCATACCCACACGTTGTGCCTGGCACTCCCGGTCGGCATTATCATTTACTTTCTGAGAACAAGACCGAATCCTCGATACAGATTTTCTATTAATTCGACCTTTCCCATGCAGCCTAAGCACATCGAGTCACCGAACTGTTGTCTGTTAATAGCGCCCAAAACCCAGCATCTCTTTCCGTGCACGACCTTGCAAGGCGGATGAGAATGAACTGAGCAACTTCAACCTTCGAACTCCAGCCAGGTCTTTTCTATTCTCGGTGGCCCGTCACTCCCACTGCCTTTCCTTAAAACCCAACTAAACGTGGAGGTGATTACGAGCTTTGGGGTCTAGTCTGATCCACCTACCAGACATTGACATATTTCTATTTCGGTCCCACTATCTGCGATTTGTCGGCACCAAACATTACAATATATGGTCTAATACTCGTACATAGCGGGTTCCAAACGGACTAATTGAGATCTCTTTCTATATCTCACCAGGTGGTCTCCCATCAGCCTTGTTGCGCACTGAGGTCTCCATACAAAGGGCGGGACCTGCATGTTTAAGATCCCATCTTCATTCGCAGCAACTGATTGGTATTGACCGCGCTCGTATCCTAGAAGGGGCTGGTCTCCAGAGGCCATCTTTTCCCAGTCAATGGAGCACTTTAACTTTGGCATCCCAGAGGGGAATATACCGCCCCTCAGTTTTCCACAAAAGCCCACGAGGCCTGCACCACCCGTACCGGATAACCAGCTCCTCCTCAAGCGACTAACGGAAAATCCAAACTTTGACTACTACCAGCATATCATTCACGACTACCTCTATGCTGATGAAAATATCTGGTCTGTTCTACTATTTCTGCGCACTGATCCTACTGGTATTTTTCATATACATCATCGATCTGCAACACAGACACCCCCACAAGACATCTTCGAGATCATTTCTCAAATTCGACAGAGTGCTAATTGGGGACTTGAGAAGATTGAGATCTTGAATCGGGTGAACAGTGGGAGACGAAAGCCACCCCAAAATTTACCCTTCCATCAGCCTTACCGTTCTGGTCATCGGCCCCATTTCACTCCCACACCATCGGCATCGAGGGTGAGTCAGTTGAGGAACGCTTCAAATGTGTCTTCTTTCGACTATCCTCGCTCAGATGATCTCAGTCAGTACACGGATTCGCTCCAGAAAGACACAAGCTCCATCATATCCGTCGATGGCCGCAAGACCGCCCCCGATGGATATCGTTTCTACTGTCCATCCCGAAACTGTAAGCTAAGTTATGCTCGCCAAGGGGATTATGAAAATCACATGGACCAAAAGCATGCAGAATATGAACCTCACGACCCTCACGAATCACTCAAGCCGATACCCCAGAATCCGAAAGGGGGAAACAATCACTCAAACGAGAATCCAGGATCGACTCCAGCAAATAATAGTAATTCTAATGCCCAAGCCCCGCCTTTCCCCTCCACAACTCGACAATCACACTTCCACACATCCACTCCAGGACCTCCCGAAGCACACCAGCCTCACCACGCTGTGACCCCTGACATACTCCAAGGAGTAGGCGGCCAAATGCGGTTGACTCCCCAAGGCCCAGAGGATCCCACTCGCTCGACGCTTCACCACGACCCGAACCCTTTTCTATGGACTTATGTCGATGTCCTAGAAGGACAGCCACTACTTGGCAGCCAAAATATCCCTCCTACCTACATGACTCAGGGTCATCACCATTACGAACAGGACATGACCATGAGTTGAACGATTAATGAATGTTTATGCCCACCAACTCGCCAAGGAGAAACCATTTATATTTGTGTTCTCAAGGCTACAACAATTGTGCCACTTGACTGCTGGGCTTTCTTGTTTCCTGCCTTGTCATTGGCCGTCCAACGTTGGCTTTCAGGAGCAGGTCAAGATTATATATCCCATGTTACATGCAGCTGGAGGATTCTCCGATCTAAGCTCACTGTTGCACCCGAACCCATCAAACACAGTGTCCTATGCATCTTTGTCGATGGTGGAGATTCTTACTGGAGATATTTCCCCTCAAACGGTGCTCGGCATCCACCACCATCGCATCCATACAATACCGGTAATAATAGTTCTTGGGAAGTACCAGCTTGCGCGGGCACCCCTATGTTTGCCCATATTTTCGGTGCCGAGGACATACTTGTTGTCGGCGAGCTTTTTCCGGTACAGGTTCCATGCACACCATTCTATGACTTTGGATTTTTAAGGGATTGGACTGAACCGCTTCGACACATCTATGCTGTTCAATCTGAGTATCTGCGGCGTTACGGGTCAAGTCAAGGTTGCCAGGGAATCTACCAAGAACCTTCGGGTGCAGGGCGGAACGCCCAATGGGCTTTGCATTTATTTGATACGAAGAGGAAGAGGGGTTTAGAAATTATCCACGAGGATACCCTCTGATGCGAGATACCCATGTACAATAACACTAGAATTAGGAACAGAGCAGAACAGAACAACGCATACGGAGCCCACTTGGTGCCCCTGGTTGATAGTCGGAAGAGTTCAATCCATGAGTCTCTACAGTACAGGGCCGTTGGCCTGTCCATGAGACCAACCGCGCTCGCCTCGGCTGGGAGCATACCTCGGTGTCTTCGGCTCGCGGTGCGGGGCGTCAGATTTTCGACTCGACCGATAGTAATCATGGACTGATCCCTTTCTTACACCTGGCTAGAGATGAGGAACACAACTTTTCATGTTGATTTATCCGTCACTTTCACCATCTGGCATCAGTTTACTAAGCTCTCCTGTCGAGGAAGCAAAAGTTGTTGCAGCATTGCCCGTAATAGAACACTAAGCGTCACGACTAGTCAGGCAGCTCGATCAATTCACCAAAATGGCCCCTAAATCCCAGACCAACGCCTACGTACTAGGCGTTGGCATGACCAAGTTCATCAAGCCGCGTCGACTCCGCCCGTACACTGAACTAGGATTTGAAGCTGGAGCCAAAGCGCTCCTGGACGCCGGCATCACATATGACGATGTTGAGACTGGCATTGCTTGCTATTGCTACGGTGACACCACCTCCGGCCAACGTATTTTCTATCAATTCGGCATGACCAACATCCCCATCTACAACACCAATAATGCCTGTGCCACGGGTTCAACCGGCTTACAACTGGCGAGGACACTGGTGAAAGGCGGAGTGGTTGACTGCGCTATGGTCATCGGCTTTGACACCATGAATCCTGGGAGCATTAAATCTGTTTGGAACGACAGACCGAGCCCAATGGGTCTCGGTACTAAGATTATGGAAGAGACTTATGGCAAACACGATTCTCCCAGAAATGCCCAGTTTTTCGCCAACGCTGGGCGGGAATATATGCAGAAGTGAGTACTAAGCCCAACGTCCCTTCAAGGCGCACTCCCCCTTGGGTCTGCAGAAACGAGTTGTTGGCTCTATATTTCTTTTAGCCCGAACCAGGTCATGATCATCTCACTGGGCTTTTGCTAACGGTCTCGTCTCCAACTAGATACGGTGCTGAACCCCGTGACTTTGCGGAAATCGGCCGCGTCTCCCATGAGCACTCGTCCCGCAATCCATATGCGCAATTCAATCAAGTATACACTCTCGAGGAGATCGAGAAATCGCCCATGATTCACTTCCCGATCACGAAACTCCAATGTAGTCCAACCTCGGACGGATCTGGGTCTGCAATTATCGTCTCACAGAAATTCCTCGATGAGAGACCTCACCTGAAGTCGAAAGCAATCCTCATCGCTGGACAGAGCCTAATGACGGACTCACCTAAACTCTATTCTCGCAGTGCGATGGACCTAGTCGGATATGAAATGGCTAAGTCAGCTGGAAAGGCCGCGCTGGCTGAGGCTGGCGTCAACGCTAAAGACATTAAAGTTTGCGAAATGCACGATTGCTTTAGTGCGAACGAGCTCATCACCCTTGAAGCACTCGGTTTCTGTGACGAGGGCAAGGCCCACCATATGGTAAGAAATGGCGATATTACCTATGGTGGGCAAGTCGTGATCAACCCATCAGGCGGACTGATCTCCAAGGGCCACCCACTGGGCGCCACCGGGTTGGCCCAGTGCTGTGAATTGACATGGCAACTTCGAGGATGGGCCAACAATGGCCGTCTTGTCAAGAACGTCGACGCTGCGTTGCAGCACAATCTCGGTCTAGGAGGCGCAGTCGTTGTTACCGTCTACAAGCGTGCAGATGGCAAGAAGAATACAGACGTTAGTGTCAGTGATTCTGAAATCGCCAAGTCGAGCGGCTTGGGATACAATCCTGCCATTGAAGCAAGGCAGATCACCAGTGAGGTCGCTGAGAAGGTTAGAAGCAAGAACTTCAAATCCGAATATGCGCTGGGGGATACACCCGAGAGATTGCAAGCCAGATTGTAAGCTTGCCTGAGAATAGTGGAATTGAATGTCAGTATGTACCTGATTGCCATGATTGATAAGAACAAAGAGCCACATTTTCAACATTGGGACGAAGTATGTCAAAGGACGGGAGATTTTCCGAAGGTGAATTCGTCGCTCCATGTTGTGATATGCTGTGATGAAAAGTCCTAGTTGAGCGAAGAAGGCGCCATAACGGAGTGAGAATACTTCTACCTCATGATCGGCGTTTTCGTCACGTGAATCTATCACGTGATTCTATTTACCCCGCATTCTACAATTCCAATGATGTCCCGTGACCATTCTGGCATTACCCCGCCCGAGGCTTGGAGTTGGTATCTGCTTAAAGTTTATTGATTTGCTTTAGTCCATCGGATATGCATGCTTTCTCGCGATGACGATCGTCGCCTCTCGGGGCCCAATTCCATAGAACCCTCTATTTGGTGGAGCTATGAATTGATGTCATCGCGAAGCTTGCGCCAGAGTAAACCAGGCACAGGAAAAGTCTTTTTTTTCCTGCTTAGCACATGGGAGCTTGCTACTTGACGATGGTCACTTAAAAGGCATGTGCCAGAACGCTGGGTAGGTCATTTCTTCCATTCCATGCGATCATCCTTGGTATATCGGATCACACCGCCACCCCTCACCATGATGCTGGCTCTAACTATCGCAATTTGTGCGATATGGTTCCAATTTGGTATTGCGCAGACCTCTGGTTCCTGCGCGGCCGTCACACAACACCTCACAGACGCGCCGTACCAGAATTACTTCTACTCAGACTGCAATAGTGACACACAAGTTGTGGTCACCAGTCCTCTGCCTAATTCGAATCTGTCCATCATCGGCCCTCGAGTGGTAGTTGCTTGGCCTGCAGGAAACAGTGGTATATGTACTTTTTTCCAGCCTCAAACTGGTCGCAATGGCTCCCTAGCTATCGAGCTCGTCAACTCGACGGTTGGAATGCCGCTGGCTCCAGTCTTCAGAAATGCCTCCGGTTCTCAGTACCCATTCGTGGGTGTGCAGGGAGTGCTTTCGTTCAACAACTCCGCGACATTGACCATTCCAATCCTAGGCAGTATCAGGACGATTCGTGACTTTACTGAAGGGCCCAGCCTCTTGAGACCGGTTATCCAGGATGCAGTCAATGTCACCCGATTCAATGGGACAGGCGCCTCATTCTCAAGGCTATGGCTTGACAATGTGACCACCACCACTTTCACAATTGTTCCTTATGGCAACACTCAAACGAATATTACTCTTAATTCTCGAAATAAGACCGTTAGCTTCGGAGCCGGCTTCTACACATTTTCTGCGAGCTTTAATTATCCTCAGCTCACTCAATTGCCACCAGATCAAGTTCTGAACGAGGAATCTCAAGGACTTATCCAGCAGCAGGCGGACCAAACCACTTCTCTATCATTCCTATCTTACACCGAGAAGCTCCTTGCCGGAGCCTGGAGATTTTTGACATATTTTGGTCGAGACAGTATGATCAGTGCACTCCTTCTGGAACCAGTTCTATCACAGGGCAATGGCTCTGCTACTGAAGCTGTGATTGGAGCTGTCCTTGAACGCATCAACCGCACTGATGGCTCTGTTTGCCACGAAGAGACTATTGGCGACTACGCGACATTCTTGAATTTTGAGGAGAACATCACCAGTACCGATCCGGGGTTCACATATCCCATGATAGACACGGACTTCTACCTGCCCGTATTGATGCAACAATATTTCAATAGTAGCCCAGGTCGTGTCCAGCCTCTCTTCGCCCGAAGAGCAGGGACAGTCGACCCCGAGAACCGAAACCTGACTTACGGCAATCTGACACTCATCAATGCCGAAAAGATAATCAACATCACCGCTCCATTTGCTCGAAATCAAACCAGAGATAATCTCCTTCATCTCAAACGAGGTGAAATTGTTGGACAGTGGCGAGATTCCACATATGGCCTGGGAGGCGGCCGCATTCCATTCGATGTCAACGCGGCGCTTGTACCTGCGGCTCTTCGTGCGATCGCGAAGTTGGCACAGTCAGGTGTATATCCCAACAACACTCGAGTGAACACAACGGCATGGGGTTCATTGGCAGATGCTAACGCTCAAATTTGGGAGGAGAAAACCCTCCAGTTTTTCGAGAGGAACATGACGGCTGATGATGCAAGAGAAAACCTGCAGGGCTTCGTAGACACCTCAACTTTCTACAATGGCCCAACCAACGACTCTTCCCTTCCAGAGGACGGCAATATCACCACTTACGCCATTGCGCTGCAAGGGTATAACAACCTCTCATCCGTCGATGTTCTCCACAGCGATACTGCATTCCGTCTTTTCTTCCTGAATGCATCGTCTTCATCTCCCGAAGCCGAGGCACAGGAGACACGCTTCATAAACGCTACAGCCGACAGCCTTGTCCGACCTTTCCCGGCCGGTCTACTGACGCCTCAGAGCATGGTTGTGGCAAACCCAGCATTGTCCGGGTCAGATATCCTCACAGCAAACTTCACAAACGCAGCTTATCACGGCACGGTGGTGTGGTCATTCCAACTGGCGATGATGGCCAAGGGACTGGAACGACAGCTTGCGCGGTGCAACTCGACGAAATATGTCCAAGCCAACACGACGCAAACACCGCGATGGTGTGACGACGAGACCGTCGAACCCAATGTCCGACGCGCTTACAACGCTCTGTGGGATAGTATTGAGGCCAATGCGGCACAGCTCCAGAGCGAAGTCTGGAGTTGGACTTTCAACAACGATACGGGTAGCTACACCACGACCCCTCTGGGCGCGTTGCCACCTCCGCCCGGGGTCAGCTCGGGGACAGAAAGTAATGTTCGCCAGTTGTGGAGCTTAACTTTCTTATCTGTCACACGGGATTCTAGCCTTGCGAATACTGAGGCGTGATGGCCGGATTGGGATGCCAGGCCGCAGAACCAGAACTGGATGGTTGGAAGCAGGAAATCATAATGAAGGTGGATGAAGTTTGCAGCGCATGATCTCCGCAAGTCTAAACAATGATATCCACTAGTATCTGCATTCAACCCGCAGCAGTTGTACTATTATAGTTTATATGCCATGGATGTATTATTGGAGAGTGAAGCAATTCTCGAGCCTCGTCCGGGGCACATCGGGTTTGTTTCCCCTCTCGCATCAACTAGCTCGTTAAGATTGATCTACATTCCGTCCGGCGGGTTGTGACTTCATCCAATCCACAGCCATCTCTGAGTCATAATTCTTCTCTTGACACTGACGATCACGATTTCGAGGTACATACTAGCACTGGCAAAAGTCAAGTTCATCCAGTTCTGGGAGGGGCGCCAGGGCTGGCAGGATAAACAATCCCTACCAAAGTCATCATTTATTTCTCATTAGGATGGCCTTGTTTAACTCCTTCAAAAGGACCACCCTGAGCACTGGGCACTCATACTGCTACCTCTACAACCAGCGCACCCCAGGTAGCGGCAATCCAACACTCCTATTCCTCCATGGTTTTCCCAGCAGCGCGTATGACTTCCGGCACCAGGTGGCGCACTTCTCCCCTCGAGGGTACGGCGTGCTCGTGCCGGACCTCCTAGGCTATGGCGGCACATCACAGCCGCTCGACGTGCAGAAGTACAGCATGACTCGGATGGCGCAGGAGATAATAGAGATCCTAGACCATGAGGGCATCTCGCGAGTCGTGGGGATCTCCCATGACTGGGGCTCCGCTCTTCTCTCGACGCTGCTGCGCCGGCATCATCAGCGTTTTGACGCCTTTGTTTTCATGGCTACTTACTACGGTGCCGCGCACCCGTATTCCGGGGATAGTGTCTACGACTACGGGAAGTTGAAGGAGATGTCGCTGGGGAAGTTTGGATTTAATGCATTTGGTCACACCGTGTTCCTAGGTGACGCGGACAGGGCGGGGAGATTGCTGGACGAAAATGTTGAGAGTTTCTATGATCTCGTTTGGGCTAGGGACCAGGAACTGTGGAAGAAGTATTTCAGAAGAGAGGGCGGGATTGAGGAGTGGGTGACCAACGGGATGAGATGTGATGTCGCAGACTGGGTCGGTGGTGGAGAAGGGGAGGACAAGGAGGAGCGCAGGAAGATCATCAGCTTGTGGAAGATGGGAAACGGATTCACACCAAAATGTATGTGGTATAAGCAATTGTTGAACGGAGTTTCGGTGGCAGATGAGGCTGGTATGTATCGCGCTGAATCCCCCTTCCAAGTGGCAGTGCCGTTGATATTTTAACGTTTTTTAACAGACAGCTCGCCTATCCCGTCGAAACTCTCACAGCCAATCCTTTTGATGATTGAGCAGAAGGACGTCAAAGGCCGAGGGGATGGAGCTGAAGAGGCTGCTAGAGCAGTCTCGCAGCATGTGTACGTCGAAAAGTGCGATACCTACCATTTTATGATGCTTGAGGATCCTGAGAGGACGAATGCAATTCTTGACAGATTCCTTTCCAAACAAATGGGAAGGATGGTGGAAGGGGTAAATTGAGCCATCATGAACGATGACAAGGCTTGCAAGGGTGGATGTTTCTGTACTGCATTGCCATGGTGGAATGTGCTCAAGTATGTTGCTAGGCTGTCTCGAACGTATCAAATTTATAGTCGTTCTGTCTGACAGATTTAACCTGTTTTGGCTGCGTCATGAGGTGCGTAATGATCCGCCGTAGCACACCTCCGCCTCGACCCGCCACAGGATTCTGCCAATTAAGATTGTGGGGATTAGCTGTTCAACCTCAAGAATCGTGTTGCGAGGTGTCAAAACACGAGAGGTTCACAGTGAGGCCAGCATGAAGCTCAGTTCTTTTCGATGGCCCAATACAAACCCATCCGCAGCGCCCCTCCTACCGCTTCTGAGGACAGGCTTCACGATCTTGCAGGTGCGGCCAGCCTGCATGGGAAGCGGCCAAAGCGAGTGGCATGCGTCAGATGCAGGCAATCCAAGGTAAGACCGATGTTTTGCTTTCGAGGTGCAGACTCAGATATCTGGAGCACAGCCTCTTTGTTCCATCAACCCGTGTTGATCTCGGGATGGAAGCTGACTCTTCTCTAGCTGAAATGTGAAGGTCTGGACAAGAGCTCAACCTGTGAGCGATGCGCCAAGCACTCCTTGGTGTGCGAGGTCGACACAGACTTCAAGCGTATTAATAAAAGGGCGTAAGCGGTCTCACACCCTGACCTCACGAGCTGTCTCCTTATTTCCGGCTGCCGTCATGTTCGATCTGTCAGGTACTTACCAATCACAGGAAGCTGGAGGATCTATCTGAGCAAGTCAAAGAACTTCAATCCTTGATTTCTCGCTCTCATTCAGATCTCAATGGAGAGAAGTTGTCCACCACGTCTCCCTTAAACGAGTCTCATCAGACAGAACAAGCGCTTGCCGACTCTCCAACTGCGACCACCGAATTACTCCCGTTTCCCAACGAGGCCAGAAGGAGGACGAATTCGAGGACTCAATCTGGGGCGGCCGCTGATTTTACTCCTTCATTCCGGGGCTCCTCGATTGAATCTCCAGCGGTATCAAGTCAGAGAGCTCAGTCATTCCACATGTACAAGTCCGCAAACTCCCGCCAATTAGGAGACCTCCTTCTTGACCAACACCAAACCTCAAATTTGTTCCAAGTGTACAAGCCCCCATGCTTACCTTCATGTCAAGCCACAGGCTTACAACAACAGGTTCTTCGGCGATTTTCATCCATTTTTTCCAATCTTGAATCCGAATCTGACGCCTGATGAATACTACGAACGATCCCAGCTCCTATTCTGGACAATCATTGCGATTGCTTCAAGGAGCTACTCTGAAGAGGCTGGCATATACGCTAGCCTCAGAACGCCACTGGATAAATTGATGTGGGAGAAGATCTCAAGTACTCCCCATTCTCACCTGACGATTCAGGCGATTTTGTTGCTTTGCGTCTGGCCATACTCTTCACCCTCAATGGTCACCAACCCATCGTTCATGCTCATTTCTATTGCCAAGACGGCGTGCATGCATCTAGGCCTCCACAGGCCTGAGATCCTCCAGGACTTCAACCGTGTCAAATTCCGAGTTCTACCCGAACACGTGGAGGAAGCTGCTAAAGTCTGGGCTGGCTGTTGCATCGCGGCTGAAAGGTAGGAGCTCTCTTATGCATGGAATTCACTGCTGACAATCCTCTTAGCATCACCTCCACAGAAGGCCAAAGCCCATTGTTCGTGTCAACAGACCCGACTTTGAGCCTAGCTTGCGATGAAGAAAATATTTACCACCTCCCTCAACATCTGAGACATGTTCTTGTGATTCAACGCTTCCTCAACCGTGTAAACTGCTGCATGACGGCGGATACCACTACTCGTGGAGGGCGGTCGTCGGCGTATGAAGCCGGAATGCTTCTTGCATCCCTTGAGGATGACCTTCATCAGCTTGAAAAGCAGCTGGGTAGTGATACTACAGGTTCGTTTGACTCTAGACCGTCACATCTGTGGGCAAATGTTAACAGCATCCTTTAGAGGTATGTAACATATGGATCTCCAGCGCTGCTCTGCAACTCCAGTCATACTACTTCCTTGAGCCGCTTGATTCGCCCACTCGAAAACATGGCCTTCTGAGGGCCTATCATACGGCAACCAAACTGATATCGCAAATGAAACACGCGACTGAGAATGAAAAATTCAGCACTTCTGCTCCTCACTACTTTGGACAGATGGTGAAACTGTCGGCTCTGGTCGTAATGAAAGTGTTGTTCTCGAGCTATTCTCGAATCTTGGACATTGATGCTGGAAAGAGAACTTTCAATACCGCCATATCCATGCAGCGGTCGATGTCTGTGGAAATCAACGATTTCCCCTCTCGGGATTGCGTAGTCCTGACTCACCTCTGGGCGATTAATCAATCATCTGCGAGCAATCGCAATGAAGAGCCTACATTAAGGCTCAACACACGCCATAGTGCCAGCGTGCTGCACGATTCGCTTTGGGTTTGGCGGAACTATTATGAAGAAAGGGCAATCAACACTGAACATCTAGGACGACCACCACGGGTTCTTCCCTCACTAATTCAACACTCTCCAGTCGCGACCATGGATACCCCAAATATCAATGCTCTCTTCGAACAGTATCCTACAGCTCAAAATCGCGGGGTCGAACAGCAATTAGGGACGATTCAGGGCATGCAGCAGCTGACTCCCACAATGTCCTCTCAAGGCATGTTATCGAACAACATAGTTGGAACAAACAATGGTCTCATGGCTCAGACCAACTCGATGATGAATACTACTTCCCCTGACCCATTCGACTTGATGGGTAACTACATGATACCTGAAGCAGAGTCAAGCGGCATGTTCTATCCAAGTTGGATGTGGGATGCTGGCTTTTCTCTTCAGTCTTGATCGATCGCTAAATGAGTCCACCCCCCGGTTACGTCCCTCAGAGTTGTAGAGAGCCGTTTTACAAGCGATAAGCGGACATATCGGTCCGTTCTTCTCGACTTCGGTATATGGATTGAACTGCAAGGCGCGCCTCTCATTCTTGCATCGGCATCATGAGAGGTTTACCACGTTCATTCTGACATACCAACCAGAAATCATTGGTGCACAGGTCTCAGCCGAATGGCGGATTGGTATTCTTTCGGTCCGCTATCGGCGCCGATCAAATAGGCCAATAGTCGCCCGTTCCGACTCAGTATGCGGGGAAGTTCGCTACTCTGAGCCATCTGCTCCACAGTAGAGAACGCCCCTTGCCTTGCAATCCATCTGATAGGCTTGGCCACAGCAAACAGCGTCCCATAATCGTTGGGGTATCGCCTGTAGGCGTCTCTAGGTATCTGAGATGAGCTTTGGAAAGCGAAAGTCGCTCATTTCAATTACTTACAAGAACGAGTGAACGCCCTGAGGAACATCTCCATCCTCACCTTCACCTCGACATCTGTGGAATACCCAATATCACTTGTCAGTCATTCAGAATGGGCTCAGGCGCTCCTGTTGCCGTCGATAACTCTCATCCTAGTGATCCGACTGGACCAACCGGCCGACTCGCCAATTGGATCAGTGAAACCACCCTTCAAAATGTACCATCACATATTCAAACTCGAGCAAAACATATCATTCTCGATGGGATCGCATGCCTCCTAGTCGGTGCACATCTTCCAGGGTCGGAGGTGGCCGCTCGAGCCATCTTCGATATGGAAGCACCGGGTACATGCACGGTCTTTGGATGGGGAGGACGAAAGCTCAGCCCCCTCCAAGCTGCACTTTTGAATTCTACCTTCATCCAGGGATTCGAAATTGACGATTGGCACTCGGAAGCACCGTTGCACAGCAATAGCCTGCTGCTACCAGCCCTCCTCGCCGCTGCTGAACATGATGCCTCAAGTGAACTCTCAACGAACAAGGTCACTACTGGATCTGATTTGCTATTAGCGACCATTGTAGGCTTCGAGGTCGGCCCGCGTGTAGGGCTTGGACTGCACGGGGCGCATGCCCTCACAATGGGCTGGCACTCTGGTGCAATATTCGGACCATCGGCGGCAGCAGCGTCCACCAGCAAGCTTCTTGGTTTAACTCCCAGCCAGATTGAAGACGCCCTAGGCATCGCCTGTACACAAGCTGGAGGTCTTATGTCAGCTCAATTCGGAAGTGATGTGAAACGCATGCAGCATGGATTCGCTGCACGAAACGGTTTGTTCGGAACGCTTCTTTCAAGAGGAGGGTATACCGGCATCAAGCGTGTCTACGAAGAGAATTATGGCGGGTTTCTAGCTTGCTTCACCAGAGGCAATGGCAAACAACCGGCGTACCTCTCAGAAGAAGTTGCAAAAGAGCTAGGGACGACTTGGAAAATCGAAGGCATTCGATTAAAAGCATATTGCGGAATGGCCGGCACTCACTGCACCGTAGACTGCCTAAGAGAACTACAAGCGAAATACTTATCACAGATGAAAGACTTCAGAAAAATCAAGGAAATCAAGATTGAACTAGGCGAGGCGGCTTTCCATCATGGTGGATGGCTCCCTAAACGACCATTGACAGCGACAGGCGCACAAATGAGCAATGCATATGTCGCGGCAACACAGATTATTGATTACGCCGTTTCGCCGCTTCAGTTCAGACAAGACAACCTTGACAGGGACGAAATCTGGGATTTGGTCGGTAAGGTGAACTGTATGGAGGCGAAAGACAGAGACCTCAAGTTCGGTCAACGGGTTACTGTGACCTTCCAAGGCGGTAACGGCGATCAAGCCTCGGATCCAATCGTATCAGAGCTTCCAGGACCCCGTGGCGTCTTCCCTGAACTTTCCAATGAAGAGATCATTGAGAAGTGGAGGCTGCTCGTGACTCCATTGATCGACGACTCCAGACGGCAAAAGATAGAAGACTTGATACTAAACTTGGAGAGCCGCGAGCATTTGAAAGAATTGATCGAACTGTTATCTTTGCCGACCAAGAATCCATTGGCCTAAAGCTGACTGAGCGAGGGTTACAGCACTTAGAACAATAGTTAGCCACTTCCTTCTTAATAACCATCATCGCTATTGCTTCCTTTGCTTCGAGCACCATCCGTACGTAGCACAGTCGCACCCGACTCAAAAGCCACTGAAGAGGGCTGCCTCAGGTTCATCGCTTATACCTGCCGATTCTCAATGTCCGTTCCAAAGTCATCCTCAATAGTTCTTTCGGTCCAAGGCGATGTGTTCCATTGCATTTTCACAGGCCATTCTAGATACCCAGCTAGTGAAACTTCTGGACTGACGCCCGAATCGCCCACACGCTTCCCAATACATCTCCCCAGGCCACAGACCGTCGAGCTGCTGATTCTCAATGGCTCCAAAGAATGCGGCCCGACATGTCGAGGGCCAATGACACTTCAACTGGCGTACGGCCAGTAAGATGTGGATATCACATGAGAGTTTGGTGGTTGTCTTGAAGTTACCCCGGATCGGACTTGGTGGTCGAAGTCGGCTTTCGCTATAACTTTTGCGGGGCTAGAGGGCAAGAACTCGGAGCCTTGTGGCCGGGCGACTACGCTTGGCGGATTCATCGAGCTTCGGGAAGCTTGGGGACGCTTGGGGAACTTATCTAGATAAATACATCATAGAAGGACCTCGTGTATGTGAAGGAAGAGTCACGAACATCGCTGGACTTTGAGTGAATATTGTACTCCAAGTTGTGGCCTACTTCGCTTCATCCTGCCGAAAGCCTTCGAGAAACAGAGACAACCGGTCCAGAGATGGAAAAACAACCTGCAGAGCTCGCCCATCTGGAGGATCCAGTGGAGAGAACAACGTCTATTGAGATTCAGAAGCCAAGGATCTCTGAGGAGACATACCTCGCCGACGATGCCGTCACTGAGAAAAGGAAGAAATCCCCAACGGAGAAGAAACTCGTGTTGAAGAGTGACCTTGTCATCGTCCCTCTGGCCGCTTTGATTTATTTCACTGCTTATCTGGTATGTCTGTTTTTGAGCACCGTGGTTATTGTTGGCACCGTGCCAGAGGCATAATATCAAAGATTCAATTCTCCTGGCTGATTGTTGGAGGTATAGGATCGAAACAGCATTGGACTCGCGAATGTCATGGGCATGTCCAAGGACCTCGGGCTGACTAGCAATCAGTACTACAATTGCTTGATGATGTTTTGTAAGTTTCAGCCAACCCAAGCCACACGGCGTCCTCGTCGAATGTACTTTTCGTCCCAAACGGCTAACCTCTTCCACCTCAAGACGTCGGATATATCACCTTCATGCTTCCAGCAAACGTGGGACTTCGATTGTTCCCTAAGCTTCCCCCAAATTATATCCTAGGTGGCTCGGCTCTTCTCTTTGGAGGCTTTTTGACGGCCATGTCTGCCGCCCAGGGCTATGAGACAGCGTTGTCGATGCGAGTTTTGATAGGGTCGTCGCAAGCCTTCATCCAAGGTCTCGGACTCTACGCCTCCATGTGGTACAAAAGAGATGAGGTAGCAACCAGGGGTGGTGAGTCTAGACATACCAAACGCAACAACTCTCCACAATAAGGAAATGCTAATGTTTTCGATCCTTCTTCAAAGCCATATATTATGGTGCAGCAACGATTTCAGGCGCTTTCAGTGGCTTGATAGCCTATGCGATACAAAATACATTGACCCTTGAGCGGACGGGGAGAGAGCCATGGCGATGGCTCTTCATCATTGAAGGGTCAATGGCATTATTCATTGGCGCACTGGTGGTGGTATTCCTCCCGCGATTTCCGGACCAGCTTCGTGGTCGCAAGCATTGGTTGTTCCGTCCTGAGGAGGTAGAGCTTGCCGTCCAGCGGATGAGAAGTAAGTATCCGCTAATCCACCTGATCATATGCTTCGATAGCAGGTCACACTACCCACAAGCAAGCATGAGCCCTAACGTTATTTCTGTTTCGACGACGAACAGCATACAACACAGTCGGCGCCAAATTCCGCGCCCGACAAATCTTGACCGTCCTCAAAGACCCGAAATGCTGGCTTTTTGCCTTGATCAACGCAGGTATTGCGAACGGAATCGGCTCGGTCGGCTTGTTCTTGCCAACGTTCGTGCATGAATTTGGCTTCTCACGAGGTATGTAAATTGACAAGGTCAACCAAATCCATGTTACACATCTTCGCTATCATAACATAGTATTCATTGCTAATGGTTGTATGATTCTACAGAACGAACACTCCTATTCTCAGTGATTCCATACGCATGCGCGACAGTAGTGCTGGTCATGGTTGGCAAAGCGTCGGACTGGGCCAATCGCAAGGGGATCTTCCTCGTCGGCACGCTCTCAACCGTAGCTATCGGGTATATCCTGCTACTGACGGTGTCATCCACTGCGGTCAAGATATTCGCCGCCTGCCTGATCACATCAGGTCTATATCCCAGCGTGATCCTCCTGGTGAGCTGGCTCGGCGTTAACACTGGCGGCTTCACCAAACGCGGCACCACATGGGCCGTTGCTGAGATCTTCGGCCAATGCTTCTCCATCATGGGCACCCACATCTATGACGGCGCTCCCAGGTTCATCAAGGGCCATTCCATTCTCTTGGGATTCATCCTCCTTGCAATCTTCAATTCGTGTGTGCTTATCTGGTGGATGAATAGGGAGAACAAAAGGAGGGATGCGATCGAGCAGGAATACAGAGATCGTGGCGAGACGCATCCTCATGCTACCTTGTCACTGGAGGATGTCCAGGACTTTCATATCTCTTTTAGATATATCCTGTAGATGGAGGGCGATGAGCCTACAAGGTGGAAGTGCATTTGGACTTTGTCTGAATGAATGGCGGAGAGCTGATGACCAGCTTTGGCGAGCATGAGTCAACGTTTGTTCCTGATTACATCCGTGTAAACTCATGGATGGAGCCAAATCGGCATGTAATGCTATTTAGTGCCGAGTGGCGCTTCATGAGGAATCAACATTCAATAAATTGCAAATCATCTTCTATCATCTATGCATTTACCGCCTTCTTCAAAACCTGAACAAACTGCCAAACATCATAAAAAGTATTATACAAGGGCACCGGCGCCACACGGATGACATCTGGCTTTCTCTGATCCGCGACGATACCTGCAGCCTGAAGAGCGTCGCTGACTTTCTCCAAGCGACCCGGCTGAAGAAGCACACTCAGCTGTGCGCCACGTCTGGCAGGGTCTAGGGGCGTGATGATCCGGAATGGACGCTCTGCGTCGTCTGACGGTGGTGTGCTGTCGTCCTTCAAGAGCAGATATTGGAGATATGCCGTCAGCTTGAGCGACTTCTCGCGGAGCTGTTCGATTGAAGTCTCGTTGAAGACCGAGAGTGAGGCGCACAGCGAGGCGAGGTCGATGGCTGATGGGTTGGAGATCTGGAAGCCGCCAGCGCCGGGGATGGGTCTGAAATCTGTGGTGGCGGGGAGAAAAAAAGAAGTTAGAAACAGGGAGAGGGACCGGACTGTTTGCCATGGGAAGGACCAGGACCACGGGTGCTTACTGTTATCCATCTGGAACCTCGACGCCTTGTCCCCACCATACCAACCCGTCAAGCGATGCCTGAAGACCGGCTTCGCATCTGGCCCATCCGGATACTCGACCTTGCCGTGCCTCTCGTGCACGAACAGGCCCGCGATCGCGCCCGGCCCGGCGTTCATGTACTTGTACGTGCACCAGGCGGCGAAATCGACATTCCAGTCGTGCAGCTTCAGGGGCACGTTGCCCGCCGCGTGAGCCAGGTCCCAGCCGATGGTCAGGCCCTTCGAGTGCGCGTGCTCGGTGATCCGGCCGATGTCTAGGAACTGCCCGCTGTAGTACTGCACGCCGGGCAGCAGGACCAGGGCGATTTCGTGGGCGTGGGCGTCGATCGTCGCCAGGATTTTCTCCGTTGAGATCGTATGGTCCGAGTCCGGAGAGACCAGGATCATCGCTTCGCTGGGCGAGTAGCCGTGCCACGAGATTTGTGATTCGATTGCGTACTATGTTTTGAGGCGGCCAGCGGCCCCGAAAGTTAGCCTTGAAATTTCCATCCGCCATTGGCCCTTCTTTTGTTTCTTCCAAAAATTCAGTCATTCAATCGACCAATCAATCGAACTTACATGATCACTGGGGAAAGCCTTCCACTCCAACAGAATCTTGTTCCTCTTGGGCGTCGGCCGATAGAAACTCGCCATCAACAGATGCAGATTTACACTCAGCGTGTTCGCAATGGCGACTTCCTCCTTCAGCGCACCGACAATGCGACTGGACTGCTCCGCCGCGGCCTCAGCCAGCGACTGCCAGGGCGCCGGCAGCGGCGAGTTGTCCATCTCCCGGAAGTGGCCATACACGTTGATACTCGACCAAGTCTCCAGCTGTGCTTGGAGGTAGCGTGATGTAGCGCGCGGTTGGAGGCCCAGTGAGTTTCCGCAGAAGTAGATGCCTTCTTCTCGTTGCTGTTGCTCTGCTGCTGCTGTTGCTGCTGCATTGCCGTGGTCATCAGTCTGCTGAGACAACGACGTTGCCTTGAGAGCCACTTTCGATGGGATATGAAATTTGGAGCGGAACGATCTCAACGGGTCCGATGCGTCGAGACTTCTGGCGTATTCGGCGCTGTCGCTGTTCTCTGGAAAGACATGTTTTGGCACAACGCCCCGCGGCGACGACGGTGATGTCTGTGCCTCGGAGGCTGCTAGTATTCCCGGCGCCATATTGTTGCCACACCGATGCTTGCGTGTCTTGGAGGTTCTACTCGTGATAATATCCAACAGATGTCAGAATAGCACCAGGGCTAGGGGTACAGTTATCCTGCTTGGAACGAGATTGTGATATGCTTGAAAGCGGCTGGTCTCCGAACCGATCAACTTGGACGACGGTGTATTTCTAGAGCCCCAAGGAACTTCTTTAGGTGGCTTCCAGAATAAAGACTACGTAATGGACGACACATCGGAAACACTTAGATGCGGGTGCGGATACGGATACGGGCAAGGCTTTGTGATGACCACGTTCCTCCCCTCCGATCCGCATCCGCATCCGCATCCGTCCCCGGCCGGCACCCCTTTTTCTTGCCTCTTGGCCTGGGCTTGCGTCAGTGTGGGCAGTGGCCTCGGGGCAACGCGCAAGGTTTCTGATCATTATCCGGCGGCCTGGAAGGATCTCCACCTGACCTGGCAATGACATAGCTTACAACGACTTGCGGTCGCCTGTTCATGACCCTGGTAGTACATTATTATGCAGAAGAGGGAGTTGGAAAGCCTTGTCCACACTTAGCTGGGTGCTCACAGTTATTGCCTTGTTCTGAATGCTCCTCATTCAAGGCAAGATAGACCTCTAGAGGAGTGCAGCTTTCAATGTGATTCCGTGCCTATAACAAATGCTAAATGTCTGTACATGAGGGAAAGGACGTTTCTATGGACATAATCCGCTCAAAGATCATGAAATTGCCACTGCTGCCTCTCCAGTTTCATCTCGCGTTCGTTTCAAAAAGGGTATCAGCATCGTTCCACCGGTACCAGCTAATTGTTGTTTCTCGTTGGTACTCGTCTCCTGGCCTCTGGTCGATGCGGTGGCCAGGTTCAGAGTTCGATTCTGGACAATGTAACTGGCTCCGGGGGCGCGAGACGGTGCAATTATGTAGCCCGCGACGATTTGGATGTGAATGTTGCGAAATGCGACGAGAGCTTCAACGGCTTTATTGTATGCGTTGCGGATTGTTGGACTGGTGCTTGCATTCGATGCATATTCTCGAATGTTGCTTTTCTTTGTCATGTAAGCCAAGAACTCACGATGTCCTCGTGGCATGTAGTTTCTCATTTCCTACTCCTGTCAGTAAGTGTGGTCTCGAAGCCCTGAAAGCCTGGCGACCGACCTGTATGAAACTGCCAGTCCTGGCGGCCTTGGAGCTTGAGCCACCAGTAGCATGATGGTCGACGCCAAGGACGATGTCGAAGAGTTGAATCAGAGAGCTCTGCGCATTACTTCCACCGCTGTATTCCCGCCATTGACCCTTCCCATTTCCTTCGTCGTAAAAGACACCTCGTGGGAGACCGGCCGATGCCATACCCTTGCTACCTGCCAGAAGTGGGCGGATGACATGGTAGAAAATCTGAGGATCACAGTGCTCTCGCATCCTGTTCAAGAGGACACCAAGCTCTGTGATGCCCTGCGTGATGGTTTGCAGGCACGACTCCAAGAGTCTGTCGTTGCAGTCACGAACGGCTTGCGTTGCTTGGAGCATGGCCAATATTAGCGGACCGCCTTTGGCCTCAACAGAGACCGAGATCAGATAGAACCATTCCTCATCCCTTGTGCCAGTCGCCGTTTGCAATGATCTGAGATTTTCAGGGTCGGTGATTTCACAATTCGGGGCCTTCCTCTCCCAGTTCCACAGATTCAGCGCGGAATACGTGGCGGTGGGTGGGAGACCAAGTCGGGAAGATACTTGCAACAGTGGGCAGGTGATCTGAGGTGGGAGTCGCTGAACGGTCATATCAGTGCTTTTGCTCATGCTTCACGGTTTGGTCATACATACCTCCGAAGGCTGTTGCCCTCCCCAGAAATAAGCATGGGCCCAAAATGCGAGAAGCGAATATGCTCTCTGCCATTCAGCTTCTGAACGCAGATATATTGTTTCTAGTATTGGTAAGGCATCGATTTTAGCTCTGATTTCATTGTTGACAATCAATTCAGATAGATTCTTCGCGAGTGATTCCCAAGGGGCATAATGTTGATGTGACAGCCGCCGTAGTGGTATCTCGTCTGGAAGGAAGCCATTCCTGGCTGAAATCCCGAACCTGCAAAGGATATCTTGTGGTCTCTCCTTCATGTTGAGTTGTATTGAAAGAAAAGTACGGTAAGTGTTCAGCGAAAATCCAAATGTCAAGAACGTACCGCCAACGCGGGACGTCCTCAACGCTCTGAGCCTATGTTATCATTTCTAAGCCATGACGTTTCCAAGCTTTCGACTGGTGTCAGCATATCCGGAGGACCTTGCATGGGCCAAATGTGATGCTCCCAAAGATGCTTGATGCCGTACTCGGATGCGGATGCGGATGCGGATGCGGGAAGCACAAGGAGCATTTTTTGGCCGTAGCCGCCCTTGCGATCACAAACTTTGACCCAGAGCTTATCAGCATCAACACGGATGCAACATCGTTTCGGCTACATGCGGCAACCAGCCGAAAATTGCATAAGTCTTTGAGTTGATTGATGACTTCATTGCATGCTATCGGATCAAACGGTAGGCCCAGAGAACCACCAGTCGTCCATATTGCCAACAAAGTCTTGGCCTGCAGCAAAGTAGCTTTGTGCGAGTATTGATAAACCCTCCTCTTGGGAAGACTGCAAGTCCGGAACTTGTAGTTGCGAAGTGGACGAGGGAAAACTCGGGCGACGCGACATCTCGCCCCCTGATCTTGTGTTGTTAATTGACGGCGTGACGCCCTCGTGACTGATACGAGTTGGCTCAGGAAGCAAGCGACTTCTGAGAACCTCTGCAGAATGCGAATTTTGCCGATGGCCAATGAGCGAGGAACCGAAATAAGAATCGGCTGTTGTGGAAAGTTCGCTCGAGGACGAGGACTCAATGATTTCCCAAAAGAGACTCAAATCGATGAAGATGTTCGGATTAGGTGAATTGGTCACCGCTGAATTGTCGAATGACGTAGACACCACCTTTTCAAATTGCTCAATCTTGTTTGCCTGGGAAATACTTAGTCCACAGGGCGATCCACCCACAAAAGTCTTGTGCATAAAAAGCATTCCAACTCACTAGCTGATTGCCATAGGGCCAGTATTGACCCATCTCTCGAATGAAGGAAAAACACTTCTTGAAGCAGTCCTGCTTCTCTGCCCGCACTGTATGGTCGTCAGTGAAGCTTTGTTGGAGATAGATGGTGGCTGCAATTGCCGCGCAGTGGATCAAGAATGGGTCCGAAAGCATGAAATCTTTTTCTCTGCATTGATCTAGTAAGTGCACAATCCATTCGGTATGTGTCGACGTGAGATCAGCGGTATGTTGCAGGAATATCTCGGGTACCATAGTGACTCTGAAATGTCGAAGACGTAATGAGAGAAGTAGTGGATGGTTAAGGAGGCACAGTATTGAGTGATACAACAGCTGTACTAGTAGCCAAGGCGCCCAAAAAGCACGGTTCCGTCGCAGTGGTTGGGGTTCTTGCTCAGCGAAGCGAGACGGCCGGAATCGATATTTGTAGGGCATACCAGTCTCGATTTCCATCAGTTGAGCCGTGATTAGCGCGTATTCCGATTGTGCAGACCAAGCTGGCAGGGCGGTGGATTTTCCTCGACGATGTGCATATCGAGCCGCTCTTTGCCATAACCCACTAAGCTGGATAACATACGCCAAAATGCCTAGGTCTCTGGGTTCATTGGAGACGCCATTGCCCTGAGGTTGTTCAAGTGCTGCATCAGTGATCTCTGAGCTAGTCCCGAGTGGTTGATCTGGACTCTGCGGAATTTTGGGAGTCCTCTCATCTGTGACAAAAGTGAATGACTCAGCCGGATAGCTGTAGAGATTCTGTAGTAGGACAACACTCCAATAGCACCGGCGACGCTCTTCGACGGCATGATCCAACACGTATCTTGAGTATTCAGAGGACAGGCCGGAAGACTGCGAGAGATCCATCGCAAGGGATTTATACATACTTGCGCGCACAGTATTACCATCTATGCCCGGTTTAACCTCTGCTCAGTAATCAATGGATGAAGACTTACGATTGAATTCCCTGAGGCTCAGAATGCATAATGACTGGATGGTAGAGAGCTCTACAGGTCCCTGGGAGACTTTTTGCATGACCAGCTTCCTTGCATCATCGGCAATCTCCTCACTAGTTGGCGAATTAAGAGAATCCGAAGCAACTCCCGCCAATGGTGAAAATCTGGCTGCTATTGCAACGATTGATAGTAGCAATTCATCATCCCTCGAAGGAAGGGTTTCTGTCAAATACTGCGGAGAGAATAACGGGAGAGGTTGACAATTCGAATAGGTCAGATACAATTCGGCCGCGGAAGCTATCTTATCCCATGACGGCATTCTGCACCAAAACCTTAGACCATGGGTAGCGAGTTAGTAGTGCACCTTACCTCTGTGAAGATGATGTTGCACGAGCAGGAGCATTTGGCGTCTGCTGGGGCACCGAGGCTCTTGGCGACGAACGGATGGAAACATTGCCCATAGTTTGAGATTGATAGCTTTTTGCTCCGTTAGTACGCTGGCTGGGCGCCATTCCGGTTGTTGGCTCGGTCTTACTTGAAGGCATTCCGCATCTCTGCGAGCTGAGTTTCCAGAGAACTCAATCTATCCGCCTATGTATACCATCAGATGGTGGCTATCAGCTGAAGTGGCTTGATGGGATGGAGCATTTGCTGGAAGGCTTACCGTGCTCGACTCACCGTTTGGAGAGTGACTCATCATGGGGGAAGATGGGTTGGTATGCATCCCATGAAGAGGGCTCATTGTCCTCCGCGCAGGGTCAGGTGCATAGGTGCATTGTTGATTCAGTCTCACACAGTGGGAGCACACCGGCTTCTCACCAGGACATCGCGACTTCTTTCGACTAGACCTGGCATTAGCAGCTACTACTAGCCGTTCAAGAGTCCTGGGTGGAGGCTTACCGGCAAGGCTCACAAGCCTGCCGTATCCGCTTTGAAGGGCGTTCTGGTGTGGTCATGACATTTTTGTATGGCCTGAAAGGTCAAACTGTAGTTGGCCCTGAACGGGGCACTGGAAGAAAGGACGTGAGAGAGAGTCAACATGTCTAAGCTAGGATACGCACGCAGCAGACGAGAGGCGGTACGGTGAATCAAAGGACCGTCAAAATCAATTCCCATTCAGTTCAAATGGCTACCTATGTAGAAGACACTTTGAGCTATAGCGAACAGATGACTGGTGACAGATAAATGTGCAACAAGGTCAATGGCAGCACCTCAAAGGTCGTCAAATGTCTGTTGCAGAAAATGGCCCCTTGAACCACCTTTCAGAAATCAAACAGCTACAAGAACCGGTCTGGGAAAGACAAGTAAATCCAAATTCCCAACAGCGAAAAGAATAGTGATCCACTCGCTATGAGAATAACCAATTTTGCTTTCTCCAAGGATGTGAGACATGCTGGATCCAAGGCCATCGTGATTTCATAATATCGTACGTTCCTTCGAAGAGTGATAGGTCAACTAGACCATTTGCTTCGATGCCCTAGCCCTCCAGTTCGCAAATAGACGAAACCACTTGAAATCAGCTCTTTGGTGGTAAGTCCAGACCGCAATTGTCATGATGGTAAGTGGGACTGCGATGACCCAATATATCCAAAATTGGTCTGACATGTTCCATCTCGTTCCCCCTTGCTCGTCAATATCTAATTCGAAAAAGCTCATGCTGAATACCGTCTTAAAGATTGAATTAGCATGGAACATAATCCTTAGCTTTGCCATCGGCTTACCGATACAAAAGTCGCGGGTAGAAATGCTAGAGTTACCACTGAAATTGTTTTCATGGATGCACTATCGCTCTGCGCGGCGCGACTGATATTCATGGTTTCTGTGCTGATCTCCACGGTAGCCTTGCTGTCACGCTGGACAACTACATTGTAGCCCTGGGTATCGTCAGTGTCCAATCCCAATCAGCATATTTGAATAGCATACCAAGTTGATTTCATTCGAAAGTCGTAATTTAAGCGAGTCAGCCCGACGGCCGAAATTTCGCAACATTCTAAGCCAGAAACGCATTTCACTATGAGGGCAACCTGGTTTGCCCCCATCTGCTGTGCCAGGGCAGTCGCATAGCATGGTGGTGACCGTTCCAGGACCGTTGAGAAGCTCATGAACGGAATCGACAGAGACTTCAAGTACCTCGCAGATGTGGATCACGTGCCGTGCCATTTCATGGAGTTGTTCGAAGTTGGAATGCAGCAGATCTTTGGGTCTCTCCTAATAGGACAAATGTTAGGTCTGCAAAAAGAGTTCACTACCCGGGTGCTACCCATGAGTGATCATTAGGACATATACCTTTTCAATTTTCCTTATGTGATGGCGGGCATGCCAGACGGATGAGTCGTACATCTCCACCACCACCCCGACGACGGTGCTTTGGAGGAAAGCGAGAGGCTCTCGTGGTGGGTCGCTGCGAGTGGTGTTTAGGAGCTCAATGAGCTTCGCCGCGAAATGGGGAGGGGTATCAAAGCAAAATAGCAAGGCACCTTCTGGTGCATCGGTGGTATTTATTATCGAGCAGATGTAGAAGCTCATTTCGTACCATTCGTAGCCAGGGAAGAATGTGGAAGACGGCAGGTCTTCCAGCTGCTTGATGAGAAAGTGAAACCATGATGCTGCTCAGGTCCAACATCAATACCAAGAACATCCACGCTAGGTCTGTTGTGGTACTTACTGTGCACTTTTCCGGTACTTCTTTGATGGGTTGCATTTCCAGCATAGCCATTGGACAAGTGATGCATGTCATCCCATAATTGATTTGGGTATGCGAAATCGGAGCTCAGAAGCTCTCTAAGCAATTTGGACTCCTGAAAAAGGTTCCATCTCGAGAACCTGTACATGTTAGACATGCGTCTATGCGATGGGTGGAAACCTCATCATACACTATCTGCACCCCAGATCCAGGGTTCTGTCGAATTTTAGTCAGCAATCCGACCCATCATGGTCCGTACAGTCAAACTTACTCGAAGAAACCCCTCTGGTTCACACTCCTGTTTTTCGAATGTTCCATTAACTTATGGCACTGTCAGCCTTGACCACAACGGTGAAGATGAGGTGCTGAGCAAACCTTGTGCGTAAACGTCGATTTTGTCCAGGCGCTGCATTTGCTAGGCTTGGTAATTATCACTCCGGGCCGCTCCAGCACACTACTTGAATGGATGTTTGTGGGTGGAAGGAAGAAAGATGGGCAGGAGATCGCATCTTCTTGCGAAGACAAATTGGGACGGAGGGAGGCTGAGAGGAGATTCATGTCTCTTAAGGCTGAATCTCCTTAGCGGCTGCGACCAGGCTTGTTGCTAAGATTGCGGCTGTGTGTTTCGCGAGGAGAAGCCTGGCAGCAAAATGAGAGGTCAAGATTGGTGTAGTCGAGAAGTGGCTGCATTAGCCTCAAGCCTTGACAAACCCCTGCGCCTCATTGAGAAGCCAACGTCATGTGTCGCTGGCGAACATTCTTGATAGGTTTGAACTTCGTAGACACCTCGTGGTCAACATAGAGTCATCTTCATGGCTTGTCGGGTCTCGAGTCATGTAGTAATCTCTATACAGGAGCCCTGGTGGCGTTGTGGCCGTGAATCCTGGTTCAGAGGGTATCATGCAACCATTGCCTTTGGTATGTTGTTTGAGTTTCTCCATCATGATGGAAACATCAGATGGCAGAATGGGAAAGCGGGTAGAAGATAATGACAGCAGCGTGCCCGGGAATACGATGAAGGCGTCTTCGGTGGTGATGGCCTGCTAGGTTGACACCATGACGCCGTGATTCCGCATGTGTTCGGAAATACCCTGATCAGCCTTGCGTCTGCCTCTCCCTCGCACCGTCTCTCTAATAAAGAGTGCATTCCTTCCCGAATTGCAGTCTCCTTACACCAAGGCAGCTCACGTGTCCTGTCTTCCGCGCATAGGGCGCTTATCCTATACTATAGTATTGTACGGTTCAATCTCTTGCAGCTGTGAATATCTTGTGGAAAGATTCTCACTGATTACTGCAGACAGCACTTTGCATGTCACACACGGAGCTAAACTCGACATCTTGCTGAGACATTTGTCCACCGAGGCTCATTGCACTGGACAAAGTACCATGTATTTATGCATCAACACAAAGTGGCTGTGCTACCAGTGAAAAAGCGACGCACTACTCTGGAACGTTGGGAAAAATTCAAATGGAGAACGAGAAAACATGTTTCATTTGTACTGCCTATCCACACGCAAGCCCTCAAGAGCGCTGATCGCTTGTTTTCAATTTGCCAGTAGATGTTCCCAACCCAAAATACACGACTCGCAGGACAGATGCACAATGGCGTGATTCCATCGCGGAGCCGGGCCGGCCGTTCCATTTCCTCGTATTGCATCAACGATGGTATGCTCTAGACACGGGAGAGACTGGAGGGAAGCAACTTCTGAAGGACATTACCCATCGCATATTAAGATAGTCTAGAAACAGCCCATGACAAACGCCGGAACCAATGCTTTAGAAAAGAAGGGCAGCAATCAAACCAGCAAGACCGGTCATGGACAAAACAGGTGTCATCATGGCGGCAGCACCATTGGGCTCGGCGGTGCTGGAAGGAGAAGAGCCTCCACCAGTGGATGATGGGTTGGTCTCTGGATTGGCCTTGCCAGTAATGCAGGTGTTGACGCCGCGGATGACACCATTGGCATGAGCCTTGTTGAACAGTTCGCAGATGGTTTCGTTGGTAGAGGTGGTCTGGACATTGGATCCTCCACGGACTTCGGTGAGCGAGCCCATGACAACGCTACAAATCAGTTAGAAATGGTTCGGGAATCCAGCAGAAGTTCAACTTACGAGTCGAAAGTACCAGCAAAGTCAAGAGCGCCGACAATAGTCTTGAGCTTGGGGAAGCCAGCAATAGCTTTCAAGTCGGTGTTGTTGGCAATCAGAAATCCACCGCCAATGGTTGTGAGGCTGGGGAAAGAGAGGTTGGCCAAGTTGGGGCTGTCAACAAAGGCCAAGGTACCACCGGTCTGGGTCAGGTTGGGAGCAGCGAAGGACTCGAACGAGTTGGAATAGAAGCCAATGGAGCCGGCAACGGTAGCAAGGGACGGCATAGCCACTCTGCTCACATTTCGGAAGGTCAAGTTGGCCGCATCGATCAAGTTGGGGAACAGGATCTCCAAATCGCGTCCATTGGCGGAGAAAGAGATGGCTGTTGTAACGTTCTTCAATTGGTTGACATTGACGGAGGTGAGGTATGGGTTGTTGTTGATATCCATGCTGCCAACACCCGTTAGGTCAATGCCCTCGATGTTGTTCAATTGAGTGTTGGAGATGACAATGGAGTTGGCGCGGTCCACTGACTGGGCGAAGTTAAGGCTCTGCAATGCTGGCAGTCCAACCCAGTTGATCTGGTTGATTCCAGTCAGAGAATCGAAGCTTAGAGTAGATAGGATGGTCAGGCCAGTAAGGCTGAATTGGCCTCCGATCACGTTTAGCTGGTCAGAGGTGATGGCAGTCAACTGTGTGGCATTGTTGCAAGTCAAATCACCTGAGATCTGTTGAACCCCGTTGATTTGAATTGTTCCAGTTGCAGTGGAGTCGATAATGACATCTCCGTCGTAGACTTCGCAGTCTGCGATCTGTTCGGCGTCTGTGGAGCTAGCAATGGTGATGGAGGGACCATCGCAGACATCGTTGGTTTGTGCTAAATACAGCAGTCAGCATGTTGTTCAAACCTCACTTGGTGCCTTCTCTTCTCTTCCTCTGATTGTAGCTCCAGCTCCTGCTCGACCACGGGTACCAGGGGATGCAGATGCATGAGGAACTCACCGAGAACGGCGCCCGTCAACACGAGGGTAGGAAGAATGAATTTCGTGAATGCCATGGCGAGTCTATGAAAAAGTTGGCGAGCTTGAAAGAAGGTCAGCTTTTATAACAAGCGAGGAAATGTAAGGGTGATCGGCAGAGAGTGACAGTGGCCACAGGGTGAACAAGTTGGCATGAAAATGTGATCGACTCGCAGGGAGGAAGGAGCACGATGGCACTCACCTGAAATGTAATATTAAAAGACGATAGAAGGGGAAGCCGAGGAGAAATCGGCGTGAAGCAGGAGTCGTAAGAAACTTTTGGGTGATGGGATGTGAGAAATTAATTGTTGGGCTGTAGTGAACACGCAACAAGGAACAGTGTGGGATAAAAAGCTTCAGCGAAGGAGAAGCGGATTGTTGTTTCTTTGAATGGTAAAAGGGGGAGCAGCAATAGGCAGGCACGAACTCCTTGTGAAGAAGAAACAGGGAATCAACGCGTGGCTGGCTCGTGAAGAGAAGATGAATGCAGCAGCAACGATGGGTGAGTTAAGAAGGGGAGGATGGAGCTGGGAGATGGCAGGAGACAGATGGATATGGATGGCGTCTCGATTGAGCTTTTGGGGAGCGTTGCAGCGTGTGAGGCGTGAGTCGTGACTTGAGAAGCATGGGGGGTTGCGAGGGCGGAAGTGCAGTTGGTGGCTTGAGGCTACAGCTGTTGGTGTGGATAAATTGGCAGGCCCGATTGGCAGCTGGGCGGGCTTCAATGCAGGTGCAAGCAACTGCTCAATGGGCCAAATATGGGTCGACGGGGGTGCGAAATGGACGAACCAAGTTGCTCTTGGGGGCTAACCATGGCTCTAAGAGGCTCCTAAGATTCTCTGCCAGGGGGCGCCTGCGCCAACCTTCAGGGATGCCGCGGTCAAGAAAGGAGGAGGCTGTACCGTATTGTCACGGTCATGCGTCTGCAGCCACCCTCTCGTGCCTCCAACCTGCTTGTCATCTTGTCATCTCCACCCTCGCCCTCCCTCACAGAGCGACTCACCACACATTTTGTCCACATCACTGCACCAGTCCCAACCTCAAGCTTTCTCTCAGCCACTGGTCCGGCCCACTGTTCCTGCTCGAGAACCACAGTAGCCTCACGCATGTCCTAGTGAAGCCCACCACTCCCAGTGTCCCAGGTCTGCACAAACTCCTTGATCTGAGACATCGACGCCTGGATACACCAGTAGGTTGCCACCTGCACACTTTTGCACATCATCTAGAACACTATGGAGTACACAGCTGATATGGACCATGAAGCTTTCGTCGACCGTCATCTCGCCTCTCTACGCTCCTACGGAGTACAAACCTCTTCACCCCTACAGGCTACCTCGAATGAGCTTTACTACGACTACGAGTAATACTGAGGTGCTCATACAAAGATCTCCGTCTGCCCATCCTGTCTGTGCCTATCACTACCGCAGATCTGTCGGGACTAGTCTCCGGCCCACGACCGTTGAAGAAACACGTCAAATCAAACTCATCCTAGTACTCGTAAGAACCACCAAGCAATATCCATTCGGGCTACACTGAGCAAACGTGTCACTCTCCACCATTGGATGCTCATGAATCGTCCAAGCCGAGAGACATATGATGACACCTCGCTTTGGAACATTCAAACTGGAACTTGAGAATGCACGGTGGATGCACGTGGCTCCGAGGCCTCGATTGTCACAAAATTGACGATTTGACTGTTTGGGAGGCTCTGGAAAACTGCTTCCGTCGGCTTTGAACTTCTTGGTTTATCCCAGTTCCGGAACATCATTGTGTTGCAGATCTTGTCGATGGAGGGGTTTCATATTGCATACATCCTCCAAGAGTCGGTACTCCGTAACGGGGACAGCTGAGAAGCTTGTCTCTGGTTCCTTCGCATAATATCAGCTCTTTATCTACTCCGTACTCCGTACTATAAGCAGGACATCGACGGGATGTAGATATCGACATTTGTTAGTGGGAAAGCAAAGTACGCGGCCTCGACCTGTGGCAATCTTTTTGGAATCTTCGAACCTTGGAAGCGATTTCTCCGTAACTCAATGGGCCCTACCACCCGCCACAAGTGTCCCACCATCACATTAGCGCATTTCAGGTGACAGTACGATACAAGGGATACGTAGAGATACCTTGCAGCACATCCCCTCCAGCGCCAGCGGGACACCCACTTCCAGATAACACTAATCCGTCTACGGCACAACCACTCTCGAGATGATGGCCTTCAAATTTCCAGCATAGGTCCGCCGCATACAAACATAGATTGTGAGGATGACTTCAGCATTATTGATCGGAGATTCGTCAACCATCACTCTACTACCGTCCTCCGTGTGCCCTCTACATCGCCCGACCTGAAGTTCCTGTGTAAGTCATATGAAAGGTGCGGTGTGAGCACAGATGCCAGGGCCACCAACAATTTTTTCTCTCACAAACTTTGTCTCGTGCCGCGTAACCTCTTGCTTTCCATTGTTCAACAATCCGTATCTTCGGCTCGAGCCAAGGCAGTACCAACGGAAAGATGCGCACCCGAACATCAACTGTACCCCGTACCCGCCTGAGGTATCAGATTCACACGTTGATGGGAATACTCGATATTGTACGACGTGATAGATTAATGTCTGCATGCTAGCGACGACCCGAGTTCCATCCCGTAGATTCAATCCGCGTGTCGTTCAAACCATATAGAATGTCAACAAGTCACATTCGGGGGAAGGGCGTTGGGTGGCCGACGAGACGCACAGCAAGGAGCGTAATTGATGTCAGCACGTGATTTGGCTTATGTCAGCAACTCCTTGGCAGACTAGGCAGCCAACCCCTTTTGGGACATTGAATGCAGGGACTGTTGCAATGACTTCAGAGTTGAAATCAATCCGACTGCGACCTCACTCGATGGCTTCAGAGCTCCGACTCTTCTATTAAGCTGGCAGTCCATTCGCATGAGCTTAACTAGCATCCCTTCGTGAATTTCAGCTTTTTTTTGGCGCGTGGTAGAGCTGCGACAGGGAGAGCTCGGGTAGCACGATTCCAAGCATATCTTATATGCTTGCCAGATCACTTTTCAGAATGTCTCTCCGCAGATCTAGCAGAATATCTTCGGCTACTGCATCTCCTCTCCCAGAAGTATCGAATGCTGCTGCCGATATTCAGAGGAAACGGGCTGCATCATCGCTAGTTGGTGAAGTAAAGGCCAAGAAGCCCAACCCGAACCCAACCTCAAAGTCCAAGGCGAAGTCGGTGGATATCCAAAACAACACGGAGAATGCAGACCCCGATTTCAAAGTCCCAGAAATCCCGGTGACGCCGTTGAAAAGTCGTAGAAAAGCATTAGCTTTTGTTAACGAAAAGCCACCACCGCTGACTCCGACACCAAGTCTGGTGAATGTCATTCGAGCCGCATATAGCTCCGGTGATATTGACGATACTAGCCCGCCGCCAGACAGACCCGTCGAGCCGCACGTTACGAATGCCACACTGGTGACACCCGGTGGTACACAGTCGGTAGCGTACACCAATACATTGCCCGACTCTTCGCCTTCCAAAACTGGACTCCCAAGACCTACAGCCACCACAAATACGCTCCTGGACAAAGCATGTGCTCATCTGATCAGCGTCGATTCACGCATGAAACCAATTATTGAGAAGCATTACTGTCACATTTTCTCGCCCGTTGGCCTTGCCGAGCATATCGACCCTTTCCGATCATTGTCTAGTGGTATCATGGGCCAGCAGGTTTCCGGGGCGGCTGCAAAGTCAATCAAAAACAAGTTCATCGCCTTGTTTAATGAAGGCATCGAATCTGAGAACGCAAAGTTTCCGACTCCAGCACAGGTCGCAGCTACTGATATACCACGCTTACGGCTGGCCGGGCTGTCACAGCGGAAGGCCGAGTATATACAAGGCCTTGCGCAAAAGCTCACGACGGGAGAACTCACCGCAGACATGCTGATGAAAAGCACAGACGACGAGGTAATGGAAAAGCTCATTGCGGTAAGAGGGTTGGGGAAATGGAGCGTGGAGATGTTTGCATGTTTTGGTTTAAAAAGAATGGACATCCTTTCGACGGGTGACCTCGGAGTTCAGCGAGGCATGGCGGCTTTCTATGGCAAAGACGTCAAGAAGCTCAAAGCCAAGGGAGGAACTAAGTGGAAATACATGTCGGAACAAGATATGCTGGATAAATCCGCCCCGTTTGCGCCGTATCGAAGTCTGTTCATGTGGTACATGTGGCGAGTAGAGGATGTTGACATCGAGGTCCTGAGCACAATGTAACAAGTGTATTCATAGGAGCGTTCTTCAATATATGTACAACCCCACCCTATTGTGACCAACGCAACGATCCATTTCTCCGACTATTCCGGCTCTCCCAAGTCTTACCGTTTCGTCAGCGAAGTTAGTTCGGCAGCTCTACTTTCGCGGTGAGACAGTCATAGATTCCAGATCGGCACGTTCCTTGTTCTCGGCCTCGATCGCTTCGATGATGGGGCTCAAATATGCAATATCCTGTCCCAAGTTAGAATATGCTCTTCCCAATCCCGAAGCAAAATGCTCGCCTACCTCTTCAGGCTTTGTCTGTTCCGCTGGAGGTAATAATTGATGGGCAAGTGAGCACTGCAAGAACGGTGAGTCTACGAACGTGCCCAGTATGGACTCAAATAGAGTACCTGGAAAGCTCTTCTCAATCGGAAAACGCGGTCGTACGCTTCTTTCGGGGGGAGTCTCTTGAGGGCCAGCTGAACGGTGTCGTTCTCTTCCGGGATCAAGTCATCGTGTCTCAAGCCTAGAGCATGCATCAGCTTGCGTGCCAGCGGATGCTAAGACGTTTTTATGAGGCCGTACCTAGTCGTCTGTAACCGGCAGCATTGGCGTACCAATTGGCGAAAGGTTTCATCCAGCTTAGAAGCCATGGGCGCTTCAAGATATAGGGAGCCAACGAAGGACCGGACATGTTGACTCGCGACGGTTGGTGAAGGGCTAGGTCGTTGTTGGGAGAAGGAAGAACAATCTCTTAGCCTCTCTCAAGTTGTAGCACCTCCCTTGAAGCTTCGAAATGTCATGATAATCCTGCACTTCTGACTGGTTCTTGGCGATATGTAGCAAGCTGGGCAAGTTTGCCGATGCTATGGAGGCGCATATAGAAGGTGAAGTACTACGGATGAGTATATCCTCTGGAATAGCCAGACAGCTTCCCCTTCACTCCCACACTTTCATCATACCCCCATCCATAATCCCATCAACTCCCAACCCAAGTATACCCGCTCCAAAACTTGGACTCCTCACTCACACGACCCAACAGCTTATCTCCATTCCACCTTAGGAAGGGCTATCTTTCTCTGTGTCCCATTCTCATAGCCCCAATTTTGCTGTTTGCATTGAAGCTTTCTTGATGGCTTTTGTCAATCGCTGACAGGCCAGCTGCGTCGGCTGCGGCCAGACCCCGCAGTTTCTCGACGATACCGCCCGACGGTGCAGCGGAGAGAACATCCTGCCTACAACCAAGTTCCATACAAGCTACTGGTACTCGATAAGTCCCCTTTCTACCGCCTCAAACCAGCAAATCCAATTATCTTCGCCATGCTCTCGTCATATGGCATAATACAATCGTCGTGAACCATCATTCCTTGTGAAGAATGTCCTACGAGCGAGATCCTGAACAAACTCCGGCTATTCTATCTCCCCAATATGCTTCCACGATCGACAAATCAATCCCAACTACCTCTACAACAATGTCTCCCACTCATGCGAGAGACTCCGTCGTCGCTCGAATACAGGTACACTCGGCACAGATTCCGAAGGCGTGGATCTCTCCCATCTGCGGAGCTGGCGCTGGTTTCGCTTCGGGCATCGTTACTTGCCCTTTAGATGTGATAAAGACCAAACTACAAGCCCAGGGTGGCTTTGCAGCCAGGTCACCCAAAAATCCATACACAAAATCTTCCCATCTTTACAAGGGCGTTATCGGAACTGGTCGAGTGATCTGGCAGGAGGAGGGCATCCGGGGGATGTATAGAGGCCTAGGTCCCATGCTGTTAGGCTATCTACCCACATGGGCGGTCTACTTGACAGTTTATGAAAACACGAGAGAATTCTGGTACGACACTTGTGGCAGTTGGTGGGTTGCTCGATGTTACGCATCCTTGACCGCTGGCGCGTGCTCTACCGTTTTGACCAACCCAATATGGGTCATCAAAACCCGTTTGATGTCGCAAAGCAGCAGGTCCGCTAGTGATGGGATGCGTGCCCCTTGGCATTATACTTCCACCTTGGATGCAGCGCGGAAAATGTACCATGCCGAGGGCCTGCAGTCGTTTTATTCGGGTCTGACTCCAGCACTTCTTGGACTGACACACGTTGCCGTTCAATTCCCACTGTATGAGTACTTCAAAATGAAGTTTACTGGCTATGGTATGGGTGAGCATCCACCGCAAGACAGTGGCGCAAATTGGGTGGGCATTTCGGCCGCTACTTTCTTCAGCAAGATCTGTGCTAGTACTGCGACATATCCCCACGAAGTACTACGAACGCGATTACAGACCCAACAGAAAAGGGGTCTATCTTCAAGTGATGGTCTCCAAGTTAAAGCACGGTACACTGGTATCTTGCACATGTCCCGGGTCATCTTACACGAGGAAGGATGGCGGGCTTTCTATGCGGGCATTGGTACCAATCTCATCCGTGCCGTTCCGGCTGCAATGACTACTATGCTCACGTACGAGTGGTTACAAAAGACCATTCGCCACTCTCAAGAAGTCGGAGAGGAATTGGCAAAATCCTCCGACAAATATCCTGGATGAGGACTCCGACCAGAATTGGTTGGGAAGAATACATCTCTTGGCTCGAAATATAGTCAGTGCATTCTTGGTACTAAAGAAAAGCCTCTGGACTCGCTTTGTTCAATTGGACTCCGGCACTTTCTCTTGCAAGGCCTTAGAAGAATAATGAGAACTCATAGGGCGAGTTCGGGAATGGAGATCTTGATACCACACCAGATTCGAATATGAATGAATCACCTAATACGAATGGAGAAGAAGAGGAAGAAGAAAGAGACGATGCACTCTGGGTGCACGGAGCATAGAGCTACATGAATATTGAACCAGGAGTATTGGTACCGCAGTATCTGGCAGGGAAGATTCCAATATTGGAGTTCGTTCTTACTACGGTACGAAGTAAGTCCCGAGTCTGGACACACGATGTCATGGCATTGACACGAGGAGGCATGAGCGTCTTGCTATATATTGTATCTGCATTTGTCCCATGGGGCTTGATTCAGAAGCAGAAGCTTGCTGGCACTGCCCAAGCCTGCTAGAAATGGGGCAGGAGGGCAGGGAAGGGGTTGGGATGTGAATAAATGAATTGAACCAACGCAATACAAAGAACCTGGAAAGTTCACAAACTATTGTCTATCCATGTTGATGAGGTGACTCCTATGCGCATCGCTGTTTTCCAATGACTCCCCAACGCACACACCCAAATCACCTCAAGATCACGTCTATTTCTCCCGGACACCATGAAAGACAGCAGTGTACTCGTAGGCGCATCCATCACCATCACCTGAGCTGGGAATTCTCGACAGATACCCACCCACCCGACTTGCTCCGCAATTCCCCCTCCCTTCGACACGCCTTGGGCGATTTTCGAGTGGGCGCCCAGCACGGCATGAAGTACATCGCATATATGTAGGCACTAGGCGGCCACTCTGAAGCTTGTTCCTGGGCGGTGAGGGAAGACAGGGAGGGGGTGGGGCGGATCCGGAGTATCGTTCTCCCCGAGACACCTACTCGTACCTAGCCTGGGTCTTGTGTGTCTTGTCGTCTTTAGGGCTCACCTCATTAAGGACGCGTACGCAAGGCTACTGCCCGATAAGTTGCTCCGTAGCTACCTGGGTGATGGGTAGTAGTGGTGCGAGGCAAAGTGTTCTCCTTGAGCTGATCATGCGAGCGAGTGATTCGAATTCTCGAAGATTTATATTTTGGTATTTTGGACCAGAGTCTTGGGCTCCCGCCGGTGGTTATGTACAGTGCTTTGTTATCTACGAGATCGTGGCTCACGAGTCGAGAGATCCAGGGACCGAGGCTTTTGTGAATTCTAGGGCGTAGAATGCTAGTCCGCTGTCTCTGTTTGTGTCTGTAGTATTTTATTCACCGCCTGGTACTTCCTGTCAGGTGCTGCCAAGCGGGGGAAATAGCTTGACTTGTCTTGAATAGTGGGCATGCATTGACTATCCTAGTACTAAGCACTCTCCCGGAGCATGAAGGATGGTTTCGGATATAGCGAAAACAAATCTATACAGTGGCTTATGGCTATTTGGTATCATTTCATGTATACCGTGCTCTCCCAGGTCCTGGCTTGAAAGTTTGTATGTGTGAGACGCATCGATACGATACCCCACCAATGTAGGGGCAATACTGTGGCAGCCTTGCCATGTGACCCCATTTCAGCCTTGCGTCGCGTCCACGGCCCATTAATTCTTGCTCTAATTGCTCAGGATTTCATGGAATGCCGCAAGAGTCGGCCCACCGGGACGATCTATAATCGCAAAGATAATCCGATCGAAATAGCCCCTCCACTCCTCTTCGGCGAGGATATCTTTGAAAGTCCGTGCAATCACTTTTGGCGGATTGCGGAACGCGCCGCAACCGAGAGCGCCCAGAACAAGGTGTGTCCGGTTCTGTCTCCCGAGAACGCGCAGCATCTGGCGGATCTTTGTTTCTAGCAGAATTTGATCACTCGGGTTGACTGCTGCTCATCAGACAACTGTAAATGTACAACCGTCTTCCGGAAGGAGAGAATCACCAAATGATAACATGTCACTCGAGCCATCAGGCTTGAAGATGGCTGGGACACTGATAACACCTAGGACGAATCGATCCTCCAGTCTAGGGTACTCAGCCATCTGCTCACTTGCCGGGTCAAGTTCTTGCCTGTAAACGACCACGTCTGGGCTCCACAGACATGCAGCGCCCGTTATTGGGTAATGATCTGGATTCAATGTCGAATATAATGTGCTGCGAGAACATAGCTGGCATAAATAAGTAAGAGTCAACCGTAACATTCTGAGTCGAGGGCCTTCTTGTCGCTCCACAGAATCTGGCTGTCAAATCTTACCACTTCCTCTTGTCCCAGAGAACCACTAAGCCAAGCCCCGGCCGCAGAGTCGGCGCAAGCCATATTCAAGCATGCAACATGGCCCTGATTTTCGCGCTTGGGACCAAGCAAGAGTAATCCTGCCGTGAACGTATCCATTTCGCGTACTTCGATTATCGGCATGTCGCCTTTACGAACAGGTAGTGGCGAGCTGTTTTCATATCGAGTTGACCTGAATGAAGCACCTGGTGTCTCGACAACAACAACTCGATTTGTCTCTTTCGTCTCTGCTGCTATTTGCGCCAGTCTCAGGCGCTCGGGGAAATAAGCCATGCCGCCAATGTAATTTCAAGAATGAATGAGGTGCACACTGTCATTCCGGATAAGGTCTGAGAATAATATACAATGTCCAGTCGCAGATCCTGCTGCTGATCAAAAGAGTGCCTGGTGACTGAGGATGGGACGTAATGATGCTTTATCTGCTCTCTTGTATTGTCGTGTCCCCAGAGCGGCGGTTGTTTCCAACGCTTTGGGACAGGTAAGCAGCCGAGGAACTCGCAGCGATGACTTCGCTTGGAATGGAAGGCGTACCCTCTGGACTCTAGGGAGACCAAACGCGAATAGTACGAGGTGCTTCGGATGGATCGCTGTCTGTCTTCCTCCTTGTATTAGCCTGGCGCTCTGCCAAAATTCTAACCAGGCATCAGCGTCAGCCATCTGCGGCTGAGCCGAAACAGAAGTTCGGACTGAATGACAGGGGCAACTAGCCGCTCAGGAGCCAGATGATGCCCACTTAAGAGCTTGCTTATGTGCTACCTAGCGGAACCAGGATGCTCGCCAACTTCCGGCTTCAGGGGTCGCTAAGACCCTACAACTGGGCGATTAGGCTTTCCGCTTGCGGGGAAGAGGACCCAGTTGCAAACGTCGAGCATTGGGTGTAGCCGCTGCAATTAGCAGAGATGGAGGTTATCCCGAACACGACTCCGATCTCATCCCTACTTCCTACCTTCATCCAGAAAGCGACATGCTTGCTGCAAGCTCGAATCGGATTTTGATAACTCACCTCCCGCTCATCATAGAGTGCTGCTTTGGGATTAGATCATCTCTCTGGAGGCTGTTGCCGCTTTTGTGGAATGGCTACTCCAGACAATGCTGTGGCAGGGCCACAGCAGGAGACGCAGCCCGGAATCCATATTTTATATCCTCCCAAAGACAAGCCAGTGGAAACAACGCTTGAGTGAGTTTATTTGCATGTAACTCGTCGAGACGAAACTTACAGATGCAGTATCGTCGCCGTACATGGTTTGATGGGAAGATCGTTTAGTACCTGGACCGATCCCAAAACTGGACACCTGTGGCTCCGAGATTTCTTGCCGAAAGATATTCCAGCAGCTCGGATCTCCTCCTTCGGATACGATGCTGAGGTTTTCGGGAGAAGTGTGTTGAAACTAGGAGACGTTGCAAATAACCTTCTCGCGGCCATCCGCTCGATCCGAGATGAAAAAGTATTCTCACTGCATGACGAATGGTAGTAGAACTTTGGCTGATGCACGATAGGAGCCTGGGCGGCCGCTCGTCTTCGTTGGCCACAGTATGGGAGGTTTAGTGATCAAAAAGGTGCGCTTACCTCTTTCACGTCAGTGCTATAGCAGACACGGGATGAATGAATGGAGTTCGAGATATCACTGGCCGCTGAGCGCTAAAATATGCTATCCTAATGTTTCTAGGCGTTACTCAATGCCCGGCTATCGCATCGCGATCTTTTCGAGTCAACATTGGGGATAATATTCATGGCGGTTCCACATAGAGGCTCTGGCAGCGCTCGCTATGGTTCAATTGTCGCAAACATGATGAAGCTGGTATTGCCTATCCAGAGACAGTATCTCAAAGCCCTCGAGGCCGACAACGACAGCTTGACCGACTTGTCTTTTCAGTTCGGTCACTTGGCAACAGAACAGAACTTGCAGATTGTGTCTGTCTTCGAGGGACAGAAAACTAAGATGCCCCATTTTTGGAGAGGCAGCGTTCTGGTGAGAGTGTTTGAAATTCTACATTTCATCCTTCAATGCTAAAGATCACAGATCGTCCCCAAGCACTCGGCACAGCTGGGTATTGGTAGAAACGAACAGCAATTCAGTATCAGCGGGGGCGATCATCGCAACATGTGCAAGTTTTCAACCTCGGACGATCCACAGTATCGACAGCTCTCACACGCTATCAAGAGGATTTCGATTGATCCTTTGAGCTCGAAACCTGAACTAGATGAGGTCAATGCCATGCAGAACCTGTGTAAGTCCATCACCGCCGGTGACCCTCACCTACTTAGAAACGTTGGTTTTAACGTTCTTCTTAACAATGCCTAGCATTGTCGCCTCAAGTCTTATGTATGAAAATGCTCAACACATTTGATGCAATATCGGCCAAGGAGCGTGTACCTGTCCCAGTCAAGAATACACTAGACTGGTTGCTAGACGGAAAGAAATTTAAACGGTGGGTAAGGGACGAGAAAGCCCAACTCTTGTGGATACAAGGTCCACCTGGGTCCGGGAAAACAGTCATATCGGCACATATTGCCTCTGGCTACCTCCAGAACCTATGCCCCCAATCTGCGATTTGCTATTTTTTTTGCAGTCGACTGTCTGAAGATCAAAATGATGGTGTAGGTATGCTTCGCGGAATCTTATACCAACTATACGCTCAGCGTCCATACCTGGTTGAACATGCCATAGAGCGTCAGAAAACTGCCAACGATTTCGCACAGAACTCAAGATTACTCCTAGACACATTCCTACAGTCAGTTAAAGATCCTAGAAGCGGACAGGTCTTCTTGCTCGTTGATGCGCTAGATGAGTGCGAAACTGTTGACGCAGTTGTTTTTCTGGGACGACTAATTACCGAACTCAAGTCCACGAGACTTAAAGTTCTCATCACATGTCGTATAGATGACCGGTATGATGGGCTCTTAGAAACATCGGAAAAACGAGGGAAAGCGGAGGGAACATTCTCAATCCACAAGTTGGATTTGGCAGCTGTGAAGTACCGTAAGAACATCGAGGGGGCTCTTGAGGTGTTTATCAGAGCTAAAGTCAATGATATTGCCGAAATCTTCGGATTAGACGTCGATAAAGCGAACGAGCTGCGTCGGAAAGCAACGCAGAAGGCAGACAAGACATTTCTGTGGGTGTCCTTAGTGCTTGAATTACTTCGAGACAGTGCCAGCATGTCGCCGACGAGCATCGAACGCATCCTAAACAGCCTGCCAAGCACTTTGCAACAGACCTATCACCACATATTAGAGCAAGTCAGAGATGAAGACAGACCCATGGCTCTTAAGATGCTCAAGGTCGTTGCAGCTGCACGGAGACCGCTATCTCTACCGGAGATAAAAGTTGCCTTTGCAGTCAATCCAGAGTGTCGATCAGAAGCGGAGCTCAAGAACAATTATGAGCCTCACATTGAGAGAACAATACGCCATCTCTGCAAGCAGATTGTGACTATCGCAGACGACAAGGTACATTTCGTCCATTCAACCGTTATGGACTTCCTTGCGAGCCTAGCAGTGAGCGACCGACCGTGGTACAGCTTCACCATGACCGATGCCAATCTTGAGATGTCTACAATCTGCAATTCCTACCTCACGCTGTCAGATTTTGACAACCAGCCTCTCGTTATTGAAGACTTCATTCATGGACAGACACAACAATCTCTTGTGGAGAAGTACACAGCTTCCTTCCCATTCTTGAATTACGCTGCGTTATACTGGGCCGAGCATTATGAATGCTGCGAAGCCCAAACAACCTCAAGACTGGTCAATCAAGCAATGAGTATATCCAACGTGGCTTCCGGGCTGTTCAAGACATGGTTCGCCGTATACTGCGCCTCCCAGCCTCGTACATTTGGGTATCCAAAAGGGCTATCCACGTGCCATATAGCAGCCCTCAATGGCCATACTACTGTCATTGCCCGACTTCTAAACAAGGCGTTTGATGTCAGACTCAATGACGATCAAGGCTGGGCCCCCCTCCACTGGGCATGTTATGGCGGTCACGCAAGTGTTGTACAGCAGCTGATTCAAGCTGGATCTCCGATTGTTTTTGAGAGCACTCCAAAAAGGCCTGGGATGCTGGACCTAGCTGCGAGCCGAGGGCATTCTGATGTCATGAAAACATTGCTTGCACCTATCAAAGATGCCAACCTCTCCAGTGTGCCTCCTTCGCCCGAGGCGATTGTCCTTGCACTTGAAAGCGCCGTGAGAGGCGGACACACGGAGACTATGGATCTCCTATTGGACCTCTACCTTTCGGATACAGATGAAAAGGCTCCTATGCAGCAAAAATGGGAGAGGGACCACCTAAAGTGTAAGAGAGCTGCGCGCAGGTTGGCCAGAATTGACAACACTAAATCTTTCCTGGAGAGGCTGTACTTTGGACTTGACATAACGCAGGACCGTTCCATACTCACTGTAGCGGTTGAGACCGGGAATGTCTCTCTCGTCAAGACCCTGGTAGAAGCCGGCGCAATAATCAATGAAAACCCCGGCAGCGGTCCTACGCACGCCCTTACAACACTACAATCAGCGGCGGAGCAAGGAAACCTCGAGATCGTCCGATACCTGATCGAAGTAGGGGCTAATGTCCGTGGACCGCCAGCCTTCCACCGCGGCAGAACAGCCTTGCAAGCAGCAGCGGGAAGTGGAAATCTCGCCGTCGTCAACGAGTTGCTCCAGCATGGAGCCTCCCCACGAGAAGACCCAGCACCCTGGATGGGCGTTACCGCAATGCAAGCAGCAGCAGCAGGCGGGCACCTGGAAATCGCACAGCAACTGAAAGAGGCTGGCGCCGACATCAACGAACCGGCGCCCTGGCGTGGCTGTACGGCCCTACAGTGGGCGTCGTCGAAGGGGCATCTCGAGTTCGTGAAATGGCTACTGCAGTTCGAGGGCCTCGATCTCGACGCCACCGATCAGGAGCCGCACTACTGCCAGACGGCCTGGCAGCTCGCCAAGGAGTACCCCGCCATCAGAGAGCTCCTGGAGGCGGCTGGTGCCACTCCGGAGGAGAAACGCCCGGGGTTCGATTATCAGTACAACGAGGATGGGAATCTGAAGCCTGAGTTTGCTGATAAAGAGCCGCCGCTGGGCACAAAAGGGATCACTGTGGATGGGTGAGTGAGTGAGTGAGTGAATCAGTGAATGACAATGAATGACCAACTTGAAGGGGAACGAGGTTATGAGATTATGTATTGACTCATGATTTGAATGAGGAATTAGATCTGGTCTGGCGGCGCAGAGTTTCTTGTTGGATATGCCTTCTCACTATCTCACAGACTACCTACTCCAATGAAGGAGGAGAGCTAACAGGACATGTGCACTTGGATCTGCATTAATTCGCCTAGAGACGAAAGAAGAATCGGAGTCCAAAGTATTCGACAGAGGTGTCTATGGCACTCCGCATGTATTCATTACAGCATTCGTATTCCTGGCTAAACCCTGTTCCCTATTCCGTCCTACGCGGTAGTATATATATTGTTCACAGTGCAGGGAGGGGGGAATTCACAAAAATACACAAGACACATCATTTCCATCCATTCACTCGCTTGTCTCTCCGTGCCTGTTGGTAGAATGAGGAGTAACCGGGGGCACAGGAGTAGCAGCGGCAGTGAACAATCCAACGCCAGGTAGGACAATATGAAACTTCAGCAACGCCGACTTCTGCATATCTAAACAAAGTTTCCAATTTTTCTCATTTCTTTTGACTCATGAATCATCCTATCCACTGCACATCTCACAGGCTTCTTTGTTCTCGATAGAGCCTGGTAGGAGAAAGTGGCAAGTTAGCTTAGAAGGTTCTACATCTTCAACATGACAACAGATGCAAAGAGAAGGGGGATTTAGGACATGCACTCACACATTAGAACCTTCTGGGCGTAGATATCACCCTCTCGTTCCTCGGAGTCGCTCTGCTGGTCCTCGTCCTGGATCTTCTTGGTTGTTCTACTTTCAAGGCTCTCGTCCACGTCAGGCGTGCCGACTGGATCGGTGGGAAGGACCTTGGGGCTAGGCTCTTCGGAGCTCATGCCGTCGGAGAGACGGGTCTTTGCGAGCTTGGAGATCAGCTGCTTGTCTTCGGTTGATGGTGGCGGTGTCGATGTCGGAGTTGGGATACCGTTGAGCTGTGTGGCAGAGCCGCCGTTGTTGAAGCTCGATGTCTTGTTGGCGTACATGGGACGCGGAGACGAGCTGTAGCTCTGGCCGAAACCGACGGATGTGCGTTTCTTCGGGGCAGATCGCTCACGAGCAATGTTTGTGTCGGCAACTTTTAGTTGTTCCTGGTCGACAGTGAATTGGATAGGTGCGGTGGCGGCCATGGTTCGTAGGTAGTACATGCCGGTCTTGAGACCCATCTTCCATCCTGCAAAATGCATGGATGTGATCTTGCCCATTGTGGGCTCCTTGAGATGGATGTTCAAGGATTGCGACTGATCAATGAATGCACCACGGTCTGCAGCCATTTGGAGAATTGTACGTTGACTGATTTCCCAGACGGTCTTGTAAAGAGCCTTGATGTCTGCTGGAATGTTGGGAACATTCTGGATGGAACCACCATCGGCGATGATACGATTCTTCATGTTGTCAGACCACAGGCCAAGATCAACCAGGTCTTTGAGTAACCATGGGTTAACAACTTGGAATTCTCCAGCCAATACACGTCGAGAGTAGATGTTGGATGTGTAAGGCTCAAAGCATTCGTTGTTGCCCAAGATCTGTGATGTAGATGCAGTGGGCATAGGTGCAACGAGTAAAGAGTTGCGAACTCCATGTTTGGCAATGTCGGCCTTCAAGCTATCCCAGTCCCAGAGGTCTGAAGGGGTAACGTTCCACATGTCATATTGAAGAATACCTTGGGAGACAGGACTTCCCTCATATGTCTCATATGGTCCTTCTTCTTGGGCTAGTTGGCAAGATGCAGTCAACGCACCATGGTAGATAGTCTCGAAAATTTGAATGTTGAGTTGACGAGCTTCTGGAGAATCGAAAGGAAGTCTGAGAGCCAGGAAAGCATCAGCAAGGCCCTGGACACCAAGACCAACAGGTCGGTGTCGGAAATTGCTCTTCTTAGCTTCTGGAACGGGGTAATAGTTGATATCGATGACCTTGTTCAAGTTGCGAGTGACAACTTGGACAACCTCATGAAGGCGTCCAAAGTCATACTCACCACGGGCCTGGTCGACGAAAGTTGGGAGAGCAAGTGAAGCAAGATTGCAGACGGCTACCTCATCTGGAGCAGTGTATTCGACAATTTCAGTGCAGAGGTTAGAGCTGCGGATGGTACCCAGGTTCTTTTGGTTGCTCTTCTCGTTGCAGGCATCCTTGTAGAGCATATATGGTGTGCCGGTCTCGGTCTGAGCTTCGAGGATTGCGTACCAGAGCTTTTGAGCCTTCACGGTTTGACGACCCTTGCCTTCCTGTTCGTAACGCTCGTAGAGAGCCTCAAATTTCTTGCCATAAACGTCAGCCAGGCCAGGACACTCATGAGGGCACATCAGTGTCCAGTCTTGGTTCTTCTCGACACGTTTCATGAAGAGATCGGGGGTCCAGAGAGCATAGAAGAGATCACGAGCACGGACTTCCTCCTTGCCATGATTTTTTCTCAAGTTCAGCCACTCAAAGACATCAGCGTGCCATGGCTCGATATAACAAGCAAAGGCACCAGGACGCTTATTGCCACCTTGGTCAACGTAACGTGCTGTGTTGTTGAAGACACGAAGCATGGGAATGAGGCCATTTGAGGTTCCATTGGTACCAGCAATGTAAGAGCCGGTAGCGCGAATGCAATGAGCATTAAAACCAATACCGCCCGCAGTTTTGGAGATCATGGCACATGTCTTGAGAGTGTCGTAGATTCCGTCAATGCTGTCTGACTTCATGTCAATCAAGAAGCAAGACGAGAGCTGTGGCTGAGGAGTGCCAGCATTGAATAGAGTTGGGGAAGCGTGAGTAAAGCATTTCTGGGACATAAGGTTGTAAGTCTCAATGGCCTTCTCGACATCATCACCGTGGATGCCAACCGCAACACGCATGAGCAAGTGTTGTGGTCGTTCAGCGATTTGCTTGCCAATTTTGAGCAGATATGACCTCTCCAACGTCTTGAAACCAAAATATTGGTAGTTGAAATCTCGGTCGTAGACGATTGCTGAGTTCAGCTCCTCGGCATGTCTCATAACACATTCATAAGTCTCTTGGGAGATCATAGGAGAGGATTTCTGTGTCTTGGGGTTGATATAGTAGTAAAGATCTGAAATGACCGAGGAAAATTGTTTCTTGGTCTGCTTGTGTAGGTTCGAAACAGCAATACGTGCTGCAAGAATGGCATAGTCAGGATGTGTGACTGTCATGTATGCTGCTGTCTCTGCGGCCTGGGAAACGGTCAATGTTGGTCGTTTGCAGCGGCTAGGGAAGCTACTTACCAGATTGTCGAGTTCGATGGTGGTCACGCCTTGGTAGACACCTGAAATGACCTTCTGGGTGATGGCTGCGGCGTCAACATGCTCGGGATCGAGACCATAACACAGCCTTGAGACACGTGCGGTGATCTTGTCGAATTGAACGCGTTCCTTGCGTCCATCTGTGAAATTTTGTAAGCGTCGAGTTTCGAGGTTGAGGAACGACATGGTTTGGTATTGGTTTCCCAAGGGCCTTCTACATCCGTATGTAACATACCTCTCTTGAATACAAACATCTTCTCGGTAGGTTGATTGTTTTAGTAATTCACGAGTGTCGATGAGGATGGATGTGGCAAGGAGGACAACGGGCTGCGTTTAAAGCAGACGTAGGGGAGACGACTGCACGCCTCGAATTATTAACTCAAGAGATAATCACTGTAGAAACCCCAGGCAACAATAGCAAACAAGAGGGATAGTGCAGTAGAAGGAAGCAGACATGAGGAGTGAGGGTCAAAACAATCAAGATATATGGGGGGCACTAGAAAGACGCGCCCGTGGTAGTTTGGTGGCACGCGTTCGCGTTGGATTGATTTCCATTTTTCTTTAATGGGTCGGCAACGGAAAAACTATACCCCGTATACCCAGGCCAAGGCTCGTGCGCTCCCTTATTTGCCACTCACTTTCCCCCTCAATTACTCGATTTAGCCCTTGATGTCAACTGCTATTTGAAGAACCCCCATCGACAATACTTCTTCGAATGTGGGAGAGAGAATCTGGATCTATGTAGCTCCTTTCAAAGCGATTCTTCTTCGATATCATCTGCCATACCTCTTTGGACTCGGAGGGAACCAAAGATTCAGCACGCGACCCTGGCCCAAGGACGTAAATCAATAGCCCACTTAGTACTCCGTACACGGAGCCTGTTGCCCACCGGGTGCCACCTTTGTTTACGAGGCTGACAAATGGATATTTGATAGCAAAGAACGACGAGAAACCGAGGTAGGCGTTCCAGTTAATTAACATCAATCTTCCTTTCTCCATCCTATAACCTACATGTTTCGCCGTCTCCAGGGAACACCTGTGCTCGATTTATATAACGAAACGAACTCAAAACCAAATAGCCGACCCTGAGTCTCCTAACCCGACATTCAAATGCTAAGCATACACAAGCGCAACCACTCTGGTGTTCATAAAAGGCATCAATGCAAACATCACCCATGATTCTCTATCCTGCCCTTTCCTTCCCCTTCCCCTTCCACCCTGACTCTGTATCATTATGGTCGTAGTCCTCATCGCCCTCCCGGACACTGCTCATCCTTTTCAGTTGCTCTCTCTCCTTGTCATCGTCTTGATCTGCTTCGCTCCGGTTACTGCTCAGCAAACTCAGCGCGTCCGCGTTAACCACTCTAAGCTTCTCTTTGGGCACCGTGAACATCACTTGGACCACCCGTTGCTGTACCGCCGTCTCAACATCCCAATCCGCATCGTCGTCCTCTAAGGCCCCGTTATTATCGTTGATGACCAAGCCTGGAACAGGTCGTCTTCGAACAGATGAAGCTGGGCCGGTGTTCGTCGTGCTATTCCAATCCTCTGGCCCCTGTTTCTCACGCCAGAATGATGCACCTGCACTCAGGGTTCTTCGGGGGGCCGTTTCTGCCATTTCCGGCTGACCAGAGTGCTTCGTAGGACTGGATTGCCCACTCCTGCCCTCGAGTGTGGCCACACGATCATTCACATCGACACTGCCAGTTCCTGTGAAGACCCGCTTCACACTTCCAAGCAGATTCAGTGCTCTACGACCTGAGCCGGTAAGGCTCCCAGCTCGAGCATACTTGTCCTTGCTGGGACTCCATTCGACTCCTTGATATTCTCCAGTCTCTTGCTGCAGCCGAGTTGGATTTCTGTTAATGAGTGCCTGGTTCTCACTCGGTCTTACTGGCTTGAAAGCATTTCTTGCCGACGAAAACGTCTCACCGCAAGTCCTCAAGTTGGGTTCCATGTTAAGTGAGACGCTGCGGCTCGAAGGGGCCCTCGCAATATCGACTGGACTCTCTTGTTCGCTTGTATTCGGTCGTGAACCTCCCAGTCTATTCATAGCTGCTGCAGCTCCCGAAAAGAGAGCGTACCCTGCACTGACGCTTCGTTGCGACAATGTCCTTGATACTGTACCCGGAACAGATCTCGAATAGTCAGATGCACTTGAAATGCTCTTCTCCGAAAGATTACTCCCGGTGCGATCGGATTTTTCTGGAGATCCTCGACCTGAATTGTCTCCTTGTGTTTGGGACCTGAATTGTGACAAGTTTGAATAGGTCCTGCTGTGCGCCTGGCTAGTGCTTCTGGAAATCGTCATGCTTTCCGCGGCGGATTGCCAGTCCTCTACCCAACCTTCTACCTCCTTCTGACGTTCATGGGCAGCGTGACTAGGTCGGGAACTGTTTGCAGCGCCCGGAGGATCCTTGAATGGATCACTCGCCACTGAGGTCCGGTCAGCTGGGAGATGTGGTGATTTCCTGCGCTTGAGTGACCCAGGCTGACTGCTTTCATCCTCTTCGTCAATACGGAAAACGGGACCAGGTATTCCCGCTGCAGGATGTTGATGGTATGCTCCAAAAGCTGAAGGATTTCTTGTGTTCAGATTCTTTCTGAGCCCTCGCGTAGGGCTAGGAACTTCCACGAGTGCGCCAGTTCTTTCTGCATAGTGAGGAGCGTAGCCTCCAGGATCGTCGGCTATGAAGTCCTTATGGAAAGAAGTTGTCGACTCGATCTGTCTCTCCTGAAGACCACCCCAGCTGGCAGATCGCATGTCAGGATATCTCGAACCATAGTCCCCAGTTGGGGCGGGTGTGTACAACCGCTCAGCACCTAGTGCCAACTCTCGAAGTTCCTTCTCCCGCAGTGCCCTCCTTGCACGGAGCTTCCGCGAATAGAGGAGCCAGACAATAGCTACGCCGATGGCTACAGCCAAACCAACGCCCAGCCCTGCTCCAAGCCCTGCCTTCTCAGATGGCTTCAACCCCGTCGAGCCAGCTTGAACTTGGCTGGAGCCGGATGACGAACCTGATGGAAAAGGGTTTGTGTAGGTCTCGGCCCATGTCAATGAGGTTGTGTTGAAGAAATAGGTGTTATCTTGCAGTTGTCGTCTCTGGTTAGAAGTCGAAGAGTCGATCAAGTAGCCTCCTGCCACCATCATCACATCGCCCGGAAGCATTCCCGCGCCATGGCCATAGATGCCCTGGCCAGAAGAAAATGGACTTCCACTTGTGGTTGGAATAGTCCAAGCCCACTCACCCTGACCACCGAAGCCTTGGCCAAGCTCCAAAACCACCACTTGAGGCAGTGCAGGGTTAGAAACATTGCCCACCCAACCACCAAGGACAACTATCTTCGAGCCGTCGGATGTCAAAACGGCCGTATGTCCTGATCGAGGTTCGACCACTGGCAAATCTCTCGATTTGAGCCTCCTAGTGCCGGAAGATGGTTGTGATACTGCAACAAAGGCCCAAGATTGCTGAGGCAGGGAAAAAATGGCCAGTTGCGACATGTTGAGGAAGGCAGTCTGGGTATGTCCACCGAGAAGAACAAAGTTCTGTTGTTGAGACACATTTGACCCTGTGGTGTTGGAGAATGTCGGTGCCAATGGTGTGATAGTGAGTCCTGCTTCAGGTATCGGTGGCGCCCTGGATCCAGTCAGGGAGACTTGGTATTGGGAGCTGCCATCCAGCGGCGAGAGGGCGGCCAGTGTCAGCATAGTATTCGAATAAGTAGCATCTACCGTCCAGTCGGCAGCATCTGCTGCCGTGTCATTGGGGCACATGCCACCAAACACAAATAAGGAGGCATCTTCGATTGATGTTGTTTGAGAAAATGTGAAACCCGCAGAAAGATATTTTGCACTCAAAGAAGCATCTGCAGCATTCAAAGGCTGAGTTGTCCACGTCCCATTATTGTCGGTCTCGTTTCTCGTAAATTTCCACAATTTCAGGTCTTCTTTTGCGTCATGACAATTGCCTGCCAGTACACTTATGCCCTGAGGGTCGTGAATTGCAACGAATGCCTTGGAGACACCACCGGACAGAAATGGTAGGTTGTCCTGTAGTTGTTTCGCCGAGGTGGTTGAACTTATGGTCTTGGAGGTATCTAGGATTGACAGCGAACATTGCGAAGACGATGGCTGCGGGGATATCAGGTAGGCACCGGAGCCATCTTGCAAAGGCAGGACTTGAGTCGGATTGTAGGGTAATTGTGCAAAGGCGGGTGTCACAAGGGCCAGAAGGCCACCGGATAGAAGATGTAGGTAGTTTATCATGGCTTGTGGCTAGTTTTGGGTCATTGCTGTGTCGCAAACTCGACTGGCAAACAATCCATCTGCGGCCTCCCGTTGTGAGGTTTTGTGGACGACGGGTAACATGAAATATCGAGTCTGAAGATTGTTTGCTCGCCTCTGGGGTACCCTATATTTTGAAGGAGCGCATTCGGGAGCTGGCCAGCAGAGAGAGGGATTCGTAGACTCTGTACTCGAGGAAGGGTAGTGTTGTTCAAGGGTAAACAGCGGGGTATGATGCCAGCCACAAAAGCCCAAGTCTCGGTTCAAGGGTCTCTAAAGAGGAGAAGGTTGAACCGCCTGAGCTGATGTTGTTATGGCACCCAATTGCAGCCCACGGGAGATGACTTGTGGTTGGAACTAATCATGGAGGGTTCATGCGGGACATGTGAATCAACTCGGCGCGTTTGTTTGGGACGGAGCTGTCACCGCGGCAACCGCTAAGATAAGCGAGCACCCAGGCCGGGATTAAAGATGACAAGCGTCGATTTCGCCATCATGCTGGCGGTTTTCTCATGCCGAACACATGTGCGACAAGTGGCCACCCAAGTGACCCGCTAAGCAGAGGCTTACGAGTGTACGCCGTATTGCGGTGTTAGCGGGCGCCTCGCGGAGAAGGAAATGTAATTGCATCTGAGAACCGTTCGTGTTACTCGTTGCTTCCACTATTGTTTGTCTCCCAAAGCGCGCTAGTCGGGTGTTTTAGCCGCGACGCCATCGTCCACGATAAAACCAATGAATATTTCGGTGGAGGCTTGGATGCTTCCAGGCCCTGGGATAGGCTGTAACTCTCGTATCGTGAACTCGAGATGACTCTCTGGTGGAAATCATGGGTCTTACGGAATCATTGTACGACGCACTACTGAGCTGTGAGGAAGCCCTGCGTACAACTGCACAGTTAGCACGCACTAGTCTATCTTGGTTTAGTGCTACAAGAAAGGAAACTCGGCCGAGCAACAAGGCTGAACGTGAACGAGGCTGGCCGCCTCCTTGCTAGCTTATTAGTTTCCTCAGGCTGGGGGCTCGTAAAATGTCCATCGCGAGTACAAAATGGGCCTTGAAAATTGTATATTAATAATGCTTACATTTGCCTATGCAGCTTCCATCTTTGGTTCTACTGTACATTCGCTGGTCCAGATTCGCAATAAGATAGGCGACGGAGATCACCGTGGCGATCATACTCGGCGGGTCAGATAGGACTGAGAGTCAAAAGCGTCCAACTTCGCTCTTCATCGATCCATTTTCATTCTGCACGGTTAGATTTCACAGTCGTTACTTCCCACACTTCCCACAATCCACGCTCTCAAAGTCTCCCATAAGATGCCCAGCGTTACGATTCCCGCCAGGACGGGCGCCTATGTCAGCCTCACAACAGGGGAAAGGCTTAAGTTGATCAACCAGCATGGCAACCAAGTCATTGATTTCTGGGCCTTCGTCTTCCCAGCTGATGATACCAGTGGCAATATTCCTACAAGTTTCATTCGCTCGACAGAGGCAAACGCCCAGGAGACCGAAGCAAATCTACCTTTCCCATACACTAAAGGCGTGCAGTACATGTCTGCTTCCCGCACACGCTCAGTTTTATCCAAACTTATTCCTTCAGCCCATATGCAGGATGCTTTGTACACCAATAAATCTCTTCCACTATTCACTCTGGTAGAGGACACAACATCCGGTGTCCACGATACGTTGTTCGGTTGTTGCGACCGGTTTCGATATCATAGCCTTGGTATTCCTGACTACGAGCACCCAAGCTGTGCGGAGAACATGCATCTTGCACTTCGGGACGCAGCAGCCGCAGGAGTATTCCGTCCGGGAACTATATCCTCGGAGTGGACCCCCGATCCCTTGAACGTCTTCATGAATGTCCCTATAACTACCGCGTTGGATCGCGAATCTGGCGGGGGCCGGATTGAATGTGTGAATCCGGAAAGTAGGCCCGGAGAGTATCTCGTCCTCAGGGCGGAAATGAATTGCGTGGCTGTGATGAGTGCATGCCCAAACGACAAAATACCGGGGGTCAACGCCGGGAGCTGCACCGAAGTCGAATACGAGGTCCTCTCTCCAGGAGGCACTTGAAACAAAAGTCAGGTAATGATCGAGCTATGCAACCTTTGATTTACCAGAGGAAGCAGCTCTCCCTTCCCATTGTTTGCAGCAAAGGTGGTTCCACTCTCGCCCTTTGTCTTCCAAAAAGATGAGACTTCAACACATTTCTCCAGCGCTCGAACATGTTCCTGGACTTGTTGGGGAAGCGGCCGCCTCCAAGTCAAAATGCGAGCAGACTTGCATCAATTACCGATTTATACAGTATCGTGAAGACTCTGCCCCGATTCGCTTGCGATGATTCACGAGGCCTATGGTACATTCAGGTGTGATGTCTTCACAGATTACCAAGCAACAAGGCCTCAGATTTCTGATATCTACAATAAGCTCCCGCGGTTCCTTTATGTGCTCCGCTCATCAGCTTGACATTCTTACCACGTTGTATTTGGTGACTAGGATGATGAGCCACCTACGGCCTCAGAGTCATCGGTACTATTTCCCACAGCGCACAGATGCCGGTCTGCTTCTTTTGCCTCCTGAACCGCCGCCACTACTGCTTGTGTCAAGTCAATGTGGAAAAAGGGTCGATTTACCCCATGCACCGGCTGGAAAGAGAGACATTGGCCGCCCGAGCCGCCCGAGGCACCTGTATGCCCTTCCATCCTTTGCGATTTCCTTCTAGAATTCGAATCTTGCTTAATGCCGAGATCTTTGTCTTCCACTCGACTCTCATCATCCAAATTGAGGATTCTCCTCCTCCTCGTCTCCTCAGCCATTGCGTCTTCGGACGAAGCTCCGGCCAGAGAGCTCGCCACACAGTAAACGGGCGCTAGTTTTCCCACATTGCCGTGACTAGCTTTGGTTGAGAGCCCGAAGCCTGCTGCTACAAGCGCCCGGCGAGCCCAGCGATTTGTCAGGGTTGCAAAATGCCAATCTACTGTTGATGGGCGAGCATGGCGTTCGAGACTGTTCCGTAGATCGACAAGACCTTCAACACTTGTCACGTCGATATTGTTTATCGATGAGCAATCGAATACAACTGCACGAAGAACAGGGAGGTCCTTCTGGATGGACTCCAAGCTCTTACTCCCGGAGGCATCACTCCACAGCCGATCGGATGCCTTGACTTGTGACTCAGTCTTTCCGACTCGGGAATGAGACCTGATATAACGAGCAAGATTCCCCAATTGTTGAGCTTGATTGAGGAAGTTGAAGCCTTCCGCAAAACGGTAGACAAATACTCCCGGATATGGAGACTTGACGAAGACTGCCGGATTGGAAGCATCATTCCGATCGAGTGAGATAAAGGTTTCTCGATGGCCTTTTCCTAAAGACTTTGGATGAGTCGGCATTCCCGGCTGAGAATCTGATGTATCTGTTGCATCTGCAGCCACTGGCTGCCAGATTGTGACTTCCCCTAAGAGCGATCCTCGTGTACGTGCTACTCTTACCAGCAGCAAACCAATTGACAAGCCAATGGTGATGTATATCGAAGTCTCTAGATGACTGAAAACAGCAGCAACAACTCCTACCACCCAGATCAGAAGCTCCAATGGGGACAGACGCCAATATTTCCTCAAGGTCTGTAATGAAGCAAGTAGGTTCATAACAGCGTGAATAATCAGTCCAGCGAGAGCAGCATGTGGTATGTAGTAAAACACGGCGGTCAAGGCATACAGTGCCAGCAGCAAGAGCAATGCACTGAATAATCCCGCAAGCGGAGTGCGGACAGCTGCCTTGGAGAGAACAGCGGACGCACCAAAAGAGCCTGTGCATGCATAGCCGCCTACGAAGGGGCCAAGCAGATTCGCAGAACTCTGCGCCATGATCTCTTGGGATGGGATCACCATGTAGTTGAACTGCTTTCCAAACGACTTCGCGATTGCGATGTGCTCAATAATGAGGATGATGATGATAACTGGGGCATGCGGAAGCACCGATGTGATCAGTTCTCCATCTAGTCTGGGGACACCGACATATTGGAAGCCTAGACTAATCGTTAAACTCAAGAAATCGATTGGCAAAGAGCCAAGATGATGAACTCACCACTGTCAATATGACCAACAAGTCGGAATTTCCGTTCATCCTTGGGTAGCGTGCGATGCACAAGCCACGCTATTAGAGTGTAGAGGAGCATTGCAAACGTGAGTCTCAAGGAAGATACCATGGCCCAGAACCTTTTGCGGGCAGGCTGACGCACTTCCAGTTTTGCGCAAACATCCCTGATAACGGTCAGCAGGATTAAGCTGGAGATGCCGACAGCGGCGTCAAGCTGCGTTCTCGGGAGACCTTTGAGCGTCTCTATGATGACTCGATAAGGGGGCTCCCTGGTGTTTATGCCGGTAATCCCCATCATAACTGGAAATTGAGTCGACATGACGGTGATGCTCGCAGAGGTTACAAATGCTGAAATCGGGATATAGGGGATGATATCGATGATCCACCCAAGGCGCAGGAAGCCAACTGGCAACATGATCGCTCCTATAACGAACGACAGTGTCCTCGCTACGTCTGGATTCGAGTACGTGTCCGGATGTGCGTCCTGTACTTTGGAAATCACCGAACCGACGAGCAAAGAGCCCACGGCTGTAGTCTAGAAACACCGTTAGTCTTCGAGTGCAGTCAAGGCATGACCAAATGCCAGGATTGGACACCCACCCCTATTACAATGTCCTTGGAAGTTCCGAAAAGCCAGTAGATCGCCGCTCCGGTAAAGGAGGTATAGAGTCCAAACTCAGGCGTCAGATCAGCCAGCAGTGCATACGCCATTGCTTGCGGAACGACCACAAGACCAACAGTCATGCCTGCAATCGCGTCTCCAAGCAGCCATCGCCAATTGTAGCGAGGTATCCAGTCGATGCATGGGAACAAGCTTCGGAAGTAATTGAGAACGCCATTCTTGCTGGGGAGTAGAGAATGGATCCATTCTGAAACCGTGATATCGTGCTCGATGTAGGAGTCCTGGTCAGTATTCGAGGAAGTGTCAGCCGAAGTACTCTTCTCATCAGATGCTGTGTCGTTCGTCATTGGCTGGTTGGCTGTACCGGTGACTAGGGCAGTGGTGGGCTGAATGACGGGCTCCTTGCCAGGTACAGCACTAATAGTGCGCGTGCAGGTAACGAGCATCCTCGAGACTGTAGCAGAAGTACCTTTAAGGAAACCCATGTTGGTGCAATATCGTTTCTACAGTATTAATGATCAGTGTTTCTTCGACAAGCCGAAAGAATAACCCCTTCAGCACCGAAAGGCTAGGTCAAACATAGTTCCCGGGCATCAAGAGGTTTAACTAATACCGTAGCAATAGCAGTACCCACTCCTCCCGGAACGGCGGGCAGGTCAGATCGGCGACCATTTTCTTAACCCCTAAGCAAGCGACTTCCACTATTTCTTGGTCTCTGGAGACATCCGGGCAACAAGTATAGCACGTTTCTGCATTTATAAGACGTGCATGAGGTACAGTAGGATATATATTGCGAGTACAAAATTCTAGTATGGGAAGAAACCTCTCGCAACCTCGTCACCATCCTTCTCGTTGCTCGTTCCTTAGAGCATATGGGTTGGTGTCTCGTTCAGTGCCATCTAGATCAGGGGTGAGACGAGCGGATTCGACATGTTAATTTTCAAGGAGTCAAGGCACTTCCTGGGACTCGACCGACAGGGGTGATATCTCAACATCTTAGGGGTCCAGGTGCTTTTAATCACTCCGAAACCAATTCGATGACCAATGAGTCACGGCTTCAGCACTGAAAGCTCGGAACTGATGCTGTATGGGCGCTTTCAGTGGCTGGGGCTGAGAATTGAGATGAATATGAACCAGAGCGAGCAAGGCGACAAGGGTATGTTTTATGCATAGCTCCAACATTGCGATATGTCTCGTCTCGGAAAAGCAGGACTTGCCGATCTACATGAATGAGGCCAACAGATCACAGGCTCATTGATTTGGACCTGCAAACAGGAAGCCGTCTGCCGAGAAGTCCAAGTCCTCACTAATCAGGTCTTGCAGCCACGGCTCGTCGGAAATCGTCGGGTCTGAAGCCATTTGCGAGGACATGGCCTCCTGGCAATTTTCTTCAGTGGCGGGAGGTTGAATCCGGTAGCCGAGAACCTCGCGCGAGAACTGGGCCAGCTGTGAACGAACGACTAGCGCGATAGGCCACGTCTCACCAAGGACATTCAACGCACTGAGTTCGAGCTGCACGTATTCTTTCAGTATTTGCGCCTGCGGCGACTTGTTGAGCAGGCACTCCGCCAATTGGACGGCGGCGGCAAATGCAATAGCACAGGAGAAGCAGGGAGAAAGCGTCCTCAAGGTCGTCCTCGATGTGATTAAGTCAGACAATGCCTTTGCAGATCGGAGTGCTGCGCGATGGTGGACTTTACTTTCCTCCGCGACTACCTTGCCACGGTCGTTGCCACAGACGGTCTTGAAACCACGGATTCCGGCCAAACTGGATCGAGGGAGGTGCAGACAGATGCTTGCGAGGTGCACAATCATGAGCGCACAGGACATGACTTCGTCTGTCTCGCCGTCGTCCTTCATTCCTTCTCGCTTTTCCTCTGGCAAGGAGAGCAGGAAGCTGGAGATCGAGGCGTTCACCGCGTCCGCTTGAGGCTGCGGCGACATTGCCAATTCTAGCACATTGCTTAATATCCGCATGGCTTCGATCCGGTAGGCGAAGGAGGACCACTTGAAGTTAGTTTCCTCGGTAAAACGCTGTTGCATATCTTGCACCGTCTTGACGTGGAACCCTTGCCCAGTTTCGTATTCTTCGCAATGCGTGGGGAGCTTCATCTGGGGCGGTTGGCTCAACCTCAGGTTGAGTCCTGCGATCAGCGAGATTAGGCCTGTTATCGTGTACAGCTCCCACCATGTACGCCTCCAGCTTTCTTGAAAAACTGAATCTTGGCCGATGGCAAAATCGCTCGAGTTCAGTCCAAGCCTTAGAGCAAGATCAATGGCTGTGGTGAGCGCTCGGGTGCCTTTATCGCGTTCGAACCGGGCGTAGGATACCAGAGTGACGAGTATCAGAGATTGAACCTTAAAGCCATCGTCTGGGATCGTTGGGTCGAAGATGAAGTTGCTCTTCATCTCGTAGACCTCCGAGGAGCCGTTAGCCAAATGGTGACTGGCGATAAAACACATGGCGTTCTTGAGATGGTCTGGAAATATCGACCGGTTCTGCAGGAAGAGTCTCCGAGGCAGGAGGAATGGATGAGCAGGATGAATGTAGCGATAGTAAACGTCGATGGGATATTCGGTGTCTGAATCGTCGTAGCCCAGCATCGGAACCGAATGAGTTTCATCACTCGAAGATGTAGGACCCTGTGATACAGGAAACAGCGTGTCGCCAGTCAACAGCAGGTTTCTGTGGACGGTCGTAGGCATCGAGCCTTGACAACCTCCACTTGAGCCCGTAGTAGGCAGCAGGTTCGACTTTTTCCTGTCTCCCCTGTAGCCTCTGCGCGACTGGACAAAGATGCACGATGTTCCAGACTCCACACATCGCCCACAGACTGGCATTTGTCCATCACACTTGAGATGCTTGTTTCGACATGGTAAACAGGCCGTCAGGCTGGGACTCGACCTTACTCTCTGGGTCGAGCTCATCGTGTCCAAGTGTCAGGAACCGAAAGTCCTAGGTGATCTACGTAGATAGTTGAAGGGCCCAAGAAAAGTTCCGGCAGCTCCCAGGATGGCCATGCGCAGCTGAGAGATTGTTGGGGCTTTCGCAAAGAGCTTTACAGAATTGATTTGGTGCTATGATGTCAGGAGAACTTGGAGGATATTCATCAGGTGAGGAGGTCTGAAGCCTTCGGGCCCTTGCAGTCGTGGGAAAGGCTTCATTGGCGGCGGCAGCCCTCACTGCTAATTCGCCCCCAAGGAGCCGTTGAAGCCAGATAGTCTCGTGAAGGGATCTGGGAGGATGCTCCAGTAGCCACTGCTATTAGCGTTCACTCTAATCAGAATCCGGCATTAACCGGCGGGTTCCAGGTTGATTTGATCTCTTCGCCTCCCATCTGCAGGATGACATAAGCCCCGTTGATAAGGTGTGGCGATATTTCATCCAGGGACATGCGTCAAAGTTCGACGTACAAACTACGAGTACGTAGAATTACAAGTATCCCTGAACCACCGATGAGCAAGTTTGCGACGCGAGCAGATGATTGAAGATTACTGGGCTTGACTTTAGCAAGGTGGGCCCTCCGCCGAGCCTCGCCGCGCAAAGGGTCCCCCTGAGGTGCCCGGGTCCCCGAGGTCGCCGAAGTTTAGCTATCGTGCCCTGACTGGTATTCCAGAAGCATCAACAATAATCTCTGCTGATACTTGAAGCAGCTAGAAGTGTTGTCGATTGACAGGCCTGTACAGGAAACAATCGTACAGAACCTCATCTGATGTCGTAAGACAGGGTGACGACGAAAACTCTGCAACACATCTGCCGCGAACTAGTTAGCCTCTTTGATCGATACCCATGCAGCAAATTCCAGGGATTGGTGTCGCCCCTTTGGCTACTTAATGTTTTAAATCGAGTGGACAAGGTACTTTCTCGCCTACGAGATTTACTTGCTAAAGTCCTGCTTTGACTGCTTTTAATTGGGAATCATTGCGAGAGGAGATGGATGACAGCCGTGCCACGAACCAATATGCTGCACAAGACTGATGCCATCGTGATTGAACGAAATAAGTGGCTCCATTTCCGATTGTTTTACAAGGCCTCTCTGAGCGAGAGACCAGTCCGATTTACATCGCTCGCGCCCTGCGTTTCTAATTACAGTCACCATTCCTCAACCAGCATCTTGAGAGGTAGATGCACGAAGCGTTGCCCCGATTCCGTCGGTTCAGGTAGTCGTCCTCCTCTAATATTGATCTGGAGTGACTGGTGAAGTAATCTTGGCTCTCCCATGGTTGCATCTCGCTGCCGCCGTAAAGAGACATACTGGTCCTCTGTTGCGCCGTCCATCAAGTGTTTGTTGTGCTCTCTGTGGCTTCCAACCGTCACGTAAGGCACCGGGTCGGTGCGTGTAGACGACGGGTAGTCATGGCCGTTCCAGATTTTGACATGGTCGGGCAAGCTTAAAAGTCGTCGTCCTGACTTGAACAGGTCTTGTGCACTTCCACCGGGGAAGTCACAGCGCGCTGTGCCGATGTCAACGTTCAGCAGGGAGTCGCCACAGAACACATGATCTAAATGCGCGTGTCAGCCGAGAGCATGCGCATGCGCACGCTCATGCTCATGGACGAGCAAGTTTTGCACTCACCTCCAATCTTATATCCTAAATGATCTGGTGTATGACCGGGGAGGTGCAAAGCCGTAGCTTCAAGATTGCCAACGTGGAAGACCTCGTCATCGTCAAAAAGCTTATCGAAAGCACCTTCCATCTCCTCCACTGGGACCCCGTATTTCTGGCCAAACAATTTCTGCACCTGTCCAATGCGCTTTCCGATGCCAATGAAAGGCCGATCGCCTTGCTCCTGCTCAAGACGGCTTTGCAGGTACGATGCTGCTGTCAGGTGGTCTGCGTGAGCGTGGGTTTCGAGAATCATATCAACGATGTAGCCCTTCTCACGGACCAGAGAAAGGAGTGCATCAGCGGTCGTAAAGGTGATGGTCTGCGTCGCTGGATCGTAGTCCAACGCAGGATCGATAATCACGGCCTTGTTGGTGGAAGGGTCGACGACAATATATTGCCATGTGCCTGTCTTGCTCTCATAGACATCGTGAATGATCGGCTGCTGGGCTACTGCCGTAGCCTCAGCGATGTCCGCAGCATAGCCGTTGGCCCCAGGTTTGAGAGCTGCCTCTGGTGTAGAGCGTCTAGCTGTCTGGCTATATTTTCGGGACGCATTCCCCAACACAGTCGCTTGGGTTGGCGGCGATGGCCTAGGATGGGTGCTTTGGAGAGGCGAGACCTGAGTCGACAATGACCGTGTAGCGGCCATGATGGTCGTCTTTGGTTGGAAAAGCCGGAGATTGCCGCTCAAGCGAGCCGCTGTTGATCCAGATACGCCACCAGTCCAAACTGGCTTCACGACTAGTCCAAGGCTGCTACTGTTCTTGATACCACTTCGCAAAGCCGACATGTCGATGATGGTGAATCAGTTGTTGCGGTCTTTGGTCGATAGATGACATGAGGGGTTACCGCAACTTGTAGGTTTACAGTCTCAAAAATACGACGCTGTCCTCACAGTCTGCTGACACTTCGTAATGGAATTCGCCGATCTGCCTCGCCGACCAGTGGACTACGTGGAGCTGTCTCATCCCAGCAGCTCTGATGGGGCTCGCCGACTTTGAGCCCGGAATCTGAGGCCGGGGTCCGTGCGAAAATGACTTTTCTCTTCGTGCTGAAGTCTTCGACTGCTTCATGCCATAAGATTCACTATTGCTTTGGAAGTTTCTGCTATTGCTTGCAGAGGACATTAGCGTGTGGAAGATGTTCTGCAACAGTGTGGCCAGCGCAGGCCGGGCTGCTCGATGTTCAATCGTCCAAATGCCAAAAACAACCTCGACAGTCCGGAATCTTGCAAATGTTGTCACAGCACCGCTGGTCAATCATGCCGGTCATGATCACAAGGTGGTGGTTGTCGGGGCAGGAAGTGCGGGCCTCACAATTAGCCACCAACTTGTCCGAACGGGGAAGTTCTCAAAGAATGACATCGCGGTAATCGATCCGGCGGAATGGCATCATTATCAGCCTGGGTGGACTCTTGTTGGTGGTGGTCTGAAGAAGAAGGAAGACCTGCGCGAGGGATTAAAGGGCTTGATCGACCCTAAGCTGAAATTCTACAACAGCAAGGTGGAGGCCTTCTCGCCGGAACAGAATTCCATCACTCTAAACAATGGCGATAAGCTTAACTACCAACATCTCGTCGTTGTGCCTGGCATCAAAGTGGATTTCTCCAGCATCAAGGGCTTACCCGAGGCTCTTGACGATCCGAAGTCTCTAGTCTCCTCGATATACAGCTATGAATACTGCGACAAAGTGTTTCCCAGCATCCGGAAACTCACAAGTGGCTCTGCGCTGTTCACTCAGCCTGCTGGAGTCGTCAAATGTGCCGGTGCTCCTCAAAAGGCGATGTGGCTTGCGTTGGACTATTGGAAGCGAGCAGGACTATACAACCCAAGCGACCCTGTCCACTCGAAGATCGACATGACTTTCGCAACTGGTCTTGGAGTTATGTTTGGAGTACCCAAGTATGCAGCCAAACTCGAGGAGCTGAGGGTCAAGAGAGGCGTGGAAGGCCTGTTCGAGTATGACCTCGTGAGCGTCGACGGCAATGTGGCCACTTTCTCCGTCCGTGGCGATAAAAATCAACTCGTCAAGAAGCGATTTGACTTTTTGCATGCCGTCCCCAAAATGGGCCCGCACGCTTTTGTCAGGAACAGCCCTCTAGCTAACGCCGCCGGCTTCGTGGATGTCGACGACGCCACCACCCGGCACAAGAAATACCACAACGTCTGGTCAGTCGGAGACGCTTCTAGTCTCCCCACATCCAAGACAATTGCAGCTATTACATCTCAGGCACCTGTGCTGGTCGAGAACCTCATGCTATGTTTGCAAGACAAGGCGCCATCGGCAGACTACGACGGCTATACATCCTGCCCGCTTGTGACCGAGTATGGCAAGGTTCTCCTAGCCGAATTCAAATACGGAGGCGAGCCAAAGGAGACGTTCAAAGGCTGGTTTGGAATCGACCAGGCCACCCCTCGCCGTGCATTCTATCATTTGAAGAAGGACTTCTTTCCTTGGGTTTATTCGAAATCCATGATCAAGGGCACCTGGGGCGGACCACGGGGCTGGATCAGATGAGCTTTTCTGCTTGTCGGAATACCTGATTTGGGTCGTCGCAATAGAATCAAGAAAACTGGTGATTGTGCTAGCTTTGCATCGCCCTCCACAAAAGGAGGCGTGGCCCATGTAAGAATAGAACTAGAGTCCATGAGACAAGAATGAACAAAGTCTTCGAGACGGAATTCAGCTATCTCGATGTTGCCTCCTGTGCGGATGGAAGTCCTGAGAGTACCTATCGTCCTTCCTGTCCTGCCAAACCGCAGCCTCATCCACAAGGCTCCCTCTTCTAAAACAATTAGCAATATACATAACACAGTCTCGAACTTTAGATTGAAAACCTCACTGGAAACAATAGTTAGTGCAAGTAGTTTTCTTTTTCGGCCTCGCTATTGTGAGCACAAAGAATTACGGTTTAACTCTGCCTTATGGTAGCAGGACTCGCTTTTATCCCCTTCCCTGAAATGGGAAAGAATGAAGAAGAATGTAGATAACAAGTGTTATAGGAGTCTAAATTCCAATTCACAATTCTACAAGCATGCTAGGGTTCAATAAGTAAATATTCTCGTATCGGAATCTCGGGATTCGGCAGGCTTATAATGCAATTTTCTCTTGCTCTCCCCTTTTCCCTAACCCTATGTCCAAGGTATCTCCACTGCCACGTTGACGCCATTATCAAACTCGCACGGCTCCATATTTCTTAGCCTTTCAGTAGCAATCCCACATTAATGGAGTTCAGAAAAAGCTAGTTGGAGCCGTTCACTGCCCCATTGAGTTGTCTGGCGATTTTCTCCGGGGCGGCAGAAGTTCCCGTTTCCTTCGTCGGAAGGGTGGTCTTCAAAGGGGGTAGGAAACTCCTGGCCGTTTCCCTCGCTTGCTGAGCCATCAGCGCGTCAATGACAACCAATGCTGACATAGCTTCAACGATAGGAACGGCTCGAGGGACGACACATGGGTCGTGTCTCCCTTTGGCTTCTAGGGTACCCTCTTCCGCATCATAGGTTGCGGTCTGCTGTGCTTGACCGATCGTCGCTGGCGGCTTGAACGCGACCCGGAAGTAAATGTCTTGACCGTTAGAAATGCCACCCTGAATACCGCCCGAGTTGTTTGTCTTGGTAATTAGCTTCGATCGAGAGGTCTTTCCATTGGTATCGGCGGCTGGAGCCGCGATGAACGGATCATTGTGGATTGAGCCTGGGACTTCGCATCCTCCGAAACCCGAACCAATCTCAAAGCCTTTTGTTGCTGGTATACTCAACATGGCGTGAGCGAGAGATGCTTCGAGCTTGTCGAAGCAAGGCTCCCCGAGGCCAATGGGACAATTTCGAATAACGCAGGTGACTGTTCCTCCGATGCTGTCACTCGCATCGCGGAATTTCTCAATCATCTTGGTCATCCGCTCCGTCGCTCCTGCATCTGGACATCTGACTGGTACGAAAGAATCAACCTGTTTCCTCGTGATCTTGGAGACAAGAGACAGGAACTCTGGATTCGTCGAAGGTGTGGGATGATCGACTGCGGGTGGGAAAAGATGTTCTGACCCAACTGAAGTGACGAAGGCAACAATCTCAACTCCGTGAGCTAGAGAGAGATATTTCTCTGCAATGGCGCCAGCGGCCACTCTCCCTAGATGCGCAGACAATTAAGTTTGCAATCATCGAGCCCAAGAAAAGATAAACGACATACCGATAGTCTCTCGGGCACTACTCCTGCCACCACCACTGCTCGCCTTGACTCCATACTTCTCCAAATAAGTAAAATCCGCGTGACTAGGTCTGGGGTAGAGGTCCATGGTCTTGCCACCGTAGTCTTTCGGCCTCTGATCCTCGTTTCGTACGACGAGGCCAATGGGTGTTCCGAGCGTCACGCCAAACTCAGTCCCAGACTGGATTTCCACCTTGTCCTTCTCGTTTCGAGGAGTCGTTAGTGCAGATTGACCTGGTCGCCTTCGAGTCATCTGAGGTTGGATGTCTTCCTCCGTCAATTGCATGCCAGGAGGACATCCATCAACTATGCAGCCGACCGAGCGGCAATGAGACTCGCCATAGGTGGTCACTCGGAAGTAATCGCCGAAAGTCGACATTTTGAGTAACTCAGATGCAAGAAAAGAACAACTATGAGTTTTGAATACTTTCCCAGCAAAACCAGCTGGAGGTGGGTGGTGTGACTCAGAATCACAGTAGATTGTTGAATCTTGAGCTCGATCTGCCACTAAGAGGGAATAATTCGATAATTCAAGGCAGGGTCCTTTATGTCGTCCTGTCTACCGCTGAATTTCGAACAACAGCGGATTTGGGATATAATGCAAGTTCAACTGAGATGAGATCTAGGACTGGATTTTTTGTGAAACTTCAGCAAGGTGGAAATCTAGACCGAAACTTTGGGACCGAAACTCTACAGATCACGTGATCCCGCCTATTTTACACTTGTCCAGGTCTACATTCGCCAGGCGGGTACCTGGTCCTGCGACAAGCTTTCGAGATGTCAGACTCACATACGCCCAAGGAATGAGTACGGTTAGAGATCAGCTATAGAGTGCCCGTAGAAAGCCAAAAGCCTCTCGGACAGCTTCAATGCCGATTTTGTCAGCCATCTTTCACTGAGACAGCGAAAACTAAAGAGTCGATGATATGCATCAGTCGTATCCGTCGCGTCAATTCATTCCTGGTGGCATATGCCCATCGTTGGCATGCTTATTTCTCTCCGAGTTTTCCATGGTCTAATCAGTCACTTCAGAACAACTCTAGTAGTCATCTCCCCGACTGACAACCTCCTTTACGTTTGGCCGAAGCAAGATAGTATGTTCGAATTGTGCGGTGTAGCTTCCCTTTGTGTCGACTAAAGGCGGGTAGGATTCCACTATACCCGAGCTGACCAGGTTATTCAATCCCAGCAAATACTTCTCTTGACCAAGTCGGTCAAGATATCGCCGACAGAATGGAATCGTGCCGAAATTCTTCTTGATGACATTCAAAAGAGCTCGAGCCGATTGCACTCTGAGTGCTACATTGGGAGCATCCGACCGCATGGCATAGTGTGAGACCTCAAGATCTTCGTTGACATAGCCACGACCGGTACTGCCGAAGGTTTCGATGGCAAATATCTCCCCTTCTTCCATCTTGGTTTGATCTCCACCCTTGACGATCGGAACAGACTTACCACCATGAATACTGTGTTGAATGATGTCATGGCCATTCAAGTTGCGAATGGCCTTGACGGGGTATGTTTTCCCATCAATTTCGACTTCGTAGGATTCCATTGTCTCCTGTATGGCAGCACCAATATCGCAGACACGGACATCAATTCCTGCTTCGCGAATGCCGGTATTTGTTGCATCCTTGACAGCTGCGAGAAGATTGTCATATTTCGGATCCCAGGCCAGTGTGAACGCAGAGTCAACGATACGTCCATTGACGTGGACGCCATAATCAACCTTAAGCACATCTTTCTCCCCGAGAATCCACTTGTTTCCGGCGTTAGGGGTGTAATGCGCTGCAATATGATTAATGCTGAGACCAGTAGGAAATCCAACACCTCCTTTAATATTGTCCCCTTCCTCTAAGCCCCAATGGCCAGTCAGAGCGCGGGTGCTGTCTTCAATCCCCTCTGCAATTTCCGTCAAACTCATTCCAGGCTTGATATGGGCGTGGCACCATTTTCTAACTTGGCGATGTGCCTCGGCACCCTGACGATATTCCTGTAGGAAATCATTGTTAATGCGATCGAGGTGTCTTTTTTCCTCATTTGTTGTTCTGTATGAATTCTCGTTCTTGTATTCAACCTCTTCACCAACGGGATAGATATTGTTTGGGAAAAGCTGGCTGACGGGGACCCGAGGTGGGTCAGATTGGACCTTTGCACCACCGCCAGCACCAGCACCTGCAGCCTTCTTCTTCTTTGGCTTCTTCTTTTTCTTCTTCTTTGCGGCTCCGCTTGCCGTATTCCCATCGGCCCCAGCAGGCCCAGCCACTGCGGGCGCATCGTCGTCCTTGTCGTCGTCCGAGTCATCCTGATCTGAGAGGTGGCCATTGACACCGTTGGTGCCATTTCCTTGGGGATTAGGCTTGGTGGCATTGCCGTTCAGAGCGAGCTTGGAAAGCTCGTCTGCCGTCTTTGCCGCCATTGTGCAGATATCGATCGAGGATTGAGCAGGCTAGAGTAGTGAGGAAAAGCGGAATATTAAAGGAAAAGGCCGCAGAAAGTATTGAAACTGACCGCTTCCGTTCTTGGACCAAAGTACTCGCTGCTTGAAGGGAAGTCAGCAACCACACCTTACAGCAGCGTGATCTCCCATGTTCGAGTCAACCCGCCGCTGAGTCATTAAATGCGATACTACATTTCAGAGGATGGTGCATAATCTGACGCAAAATCATGGGGGAATTTCCTGTTGCCCCAGGTCTCCGGGAGTGCGCCTCACTGGGTCGCTCCTTGATGCAAGTAACGGTGTGGCTCATGTAGGATACTCCAAACGAATGATGACACTCCAACCTGAACAATTAGTCTCTGAAACTGGCCCCAGATTGTATATAAGGGGTTTATTCCCCATCGGAAGTACCAGGATTGTACTTTATGCGAACCTAGCTGTGCCGATTCTTTTCTCAAAGCGGTTGGCGAACAATCCGCACGGCCACATTCACGAAGCTGATTTATGTTAGACTGGTGGCCAGTCTTAAATTAAAGTCTATCATCCTTGTGCTCTACTATATTGGGATTTCAGAAGAATGGCTCGTATTCTTGTTACACTCTCAGTCGAACTGGAGCGTTTCTGCATTTAGGACCAGAATTGCAACCTCGACACCTTAATTTTAACGAACCTGTCGTTGTTCAGCAACCCAAACCCATGGCAAGCCCGATCGCCGTGGCCAGAACTCAGGACTCCACAACATACCAGGTGATTAACACCATATCCGTATACAATCGCTAGTCAAGGTTCTCTTCAAAGCTCTTCACCATTCAGGCCCACACGAGCTTCGACGCGGCCTGCATCTGTCTCATGGGGGTCTTATGCTTAAGAATGGTTTCCATACCTTCTTTACCCCCGATTGGCTTCACTTCCTCGCCCAATCAAAGAGGCACGCTTGTCATCGTCCGGACATGCCTCACCATAGTCTTTATCTGGATTTGGTCCCCTAGCGCACCCGAACATCCCCAAACCTAGACCACCATGTTCGCACAGCTTCCTGAATCGCTTCATACAGTTAGTGCTGGCAGCGTTGGCTCGGGGGCTGGCTCTTGCTGTTGCAATGAGGGAGTGGCTACGCCAGAGAAGTGATATCAGTGCTGAGAGATTTCGAAAGCGAGAGGAAGAATGGTGCACAGAGCAGTTCATGCACCGGGAATAGGAGTATTCTGACCGGATTTTACATCGTTATGGGAGGATTGTAGGTTCGTCATGGGCAAGCAAAGACCGAGTTCAATTTCGGGTTTGCTTTCAACAGTGATGACGGTCAACCAGAAACAATCATTGAAGGGTACCTCGACGTCTCCGATATGAACGATCACTTATGTTTCAACAAGATAAGCCTATCCACCTTGATCAGCGAGTCTGGGATTCGGGATAAAAAGAAAGCGTGCAACCTCATCGAATGCATGTAGGCATTCCAAGTTCTTTGGGTCACGATCCGGTATATTGATCGAGCAGCGCAGCAATTGACCATCACACCATTCAGCTAAGTGTTTTGGCATACATGCCGTTTGTGTCACTCACCTTAGCATTCTGGCGGAAGAAGCCCTATCACATCAAGACACCAAACCTTGTTGATTTCCTGCTTTATCCTTCACGCGAGGGGATGCTGACCACTGGGTACATGCATAAAAAGAAGATCGAGGTTGGTGTTGAGGATATTGGCGACAGTTTGTGTATCTCGCTTCATTCTCGCGAGCCTGTGACTTGTGTGTCAGGTCTTCGCTGGGATGAGATCGCTGCCAGACGACTGCTATAGGACAGTATAATGGCTGGGTTGGTGCCACGCAATGTATGATAGGAAAGTGACCAGGCCTAAGTTCAAAAGTCATCATAGCATTGAGGGCTATGACGAGTTCTGCTGTGCTCTCGTCGATGATACAGATGCAGTCGCCCACCCCTTCCTTAGTATGAAGCTGTCCGTTCTCCAAAAATGAGATGCGCTCATGTGCAGCCTGGGATGGGGATTTGCTAAATTGCGACTTGCAAATGGTGATAGAGTAGGACACTTCTATCGGAGCCGGAAAAACTTGGCTGCGCTGACAATTAACGAGTTGATGGCCCCTTCCAAAAGGTGCAAGACGTCACTTGCCCGCCAAATTGATTCGGAACTTCCTCTCGAGTTCTTAGCTTTACTCCTCTATCTTCCTTGTGCATCCTACATATTCCTACCTCCACCCGCCACCCATCAATCCTCCGTCGCTGTCCGACATCATCAAGCATGAGGCATGCTTCTTCGCCCGTGCTCCCTCCCAAATCTCCACCTGGCAGTCCCGCCGTCTGCTCCTAAAAGAACATCCTTCTCTCTCATCAGAGTCGCACGCGACCAAATCCAACTTCGCCACGCTCGCCGATTTTCCTCGAGACCAGCCTTGTGCAATGCAGCATCCCCACCCACACACTATGACGTCCTCAAGCTGCTTCCAACAGCAACTGCGGCAGAGCTGAAACGGCAGTTCTACGTTCTTTCCAAAGAAACGCATCCGGATCACAACCGCGACGATCCAAAGGCCGCCGATCGCTTCGCCCAGATCAGCGAGTCGTACTCGGTATTGGCGAATCCGGAGAAGCGGAAACGCTACGATCGCGATGTAATGCGCGCCCACCATGCTTCCCACCACCGCCGACACCATGGCTCGCACTCGTCTCATAGCACCTACGCAGGCTCACGCCCTGCAACCGGCCTCAGCAAGCGCCGCAGCGCATTCAAAGGCCCGCCCCCCAGCTTCTACGCCCACGGGAATCCCTCCGCCCACACCGCGCAGCAGACACAATCGTCCTCATCGGCCACCGGCCCAAACCACCACAAGGCAGGGACATTCAACGCAGGTGCATACACAGACCCCGGCCACTACGATTCAGCATTCAACTCATCGGCAGTCTACAAAACACAAACACATGAAGACTATCGACGAACGAATCGGCGGGCGGCTGAAGCTGCCGCGATGCAGGCAATGGCAGAGGACGAAGGGAATTTCTGGACTCGATTTATCGTCGTGGGCGGCATCTTAGTCCTTAGCGTCACCTTTGCCTCCTTCATCGCTGCTACGTCAATGCCTTCAGGAAGGGGCGGACTTGTGAAAGCTGATGGTAGCCGCCGCGATGGATTGAAGAGATAATAAATCTCAACTAGGACCTGGGAAATAGCAAAGCAGGCAGGGCTACCCCTCCGGATCGGCGTGCATTCAACTGAGTGTGCAGATATTGAAAACTGCACGGCTTGTGTGGGCCAAATTGCCCACCGGCTACAATTGCAGGCAGCGACCATGACCAGGTGAGCATTAACTACACTCTACGCGTTGCTCTTAGATGCATAAATATTTTGAATGGAGCCCTCCTTTCAAGAGGGCGGGGGTCAAATACAGGATCAAAGTAGAAAGTGACAGCGTAAAATAAATGGTTGCAAGAAAATACATTGCACCGCAATCAAAGTAAAGAAAAGTGACATGGACACGTAGGGCGATCGATCTCTCTTCATTCCTCTATGGCAAATGGACATCGGTACGGTGTTAAGAAAAGGGGACTTTGTACAATCTTTGATTTCCACTCACTCTTCATCGTCGCTCCGCTCTCTCTGCTACTCTACTCTGTCCTTCCAAAAGAAAATTTCAACTGAGAGTGATGCGGAATATAGAGCACAGGAGCGGTTGGAGAGAGATGAAGCTCAAGAAGCAGAAGCAGGTACGATTCTTCGCTCTCGCAGTCTCTATCCCTCGAAAGTGAAAGAGGCGCCGACCTTGTGTGCAGCCTGGTTCAGGTTCTGGGTGTCGAGGGAAGCGCCGAGGCCAAGGGTCACGCCGGTGCCGAGCTTGACGTTGTATGCGAGGGCGGCAATGCCGCGGTCGTTGATCTTGGCCTATCCGGTGTGAAGGAAGAAGAGGGATTAAGTTAGTATATTGACCAGATATGATAGGGGGAGGATGGTGGGGAAAGATGGGTTGGGATGCGCCCTGTGGGAAAGGGGGAGGGAGAGAAGACGAAGACAACAATACCTTTGCGAACGAGCTGGGGTCGAGCTTGTACTTGCTGGCAACCTCGAGACCGACGTTGCTTCCGGCGGTGGAGTCCCAGGTGGCCTTTGCGCCGGCCTCGACCTCGGCGTTGACTTTGTGGTAATAGCTGGCAGAGAAGATGCTGAGGTTATTTGTGGCGGTGAGGGCAGCTGCATAGGAGCCCTGGCTGTAGCCGGCGGCAAGGGCGTATTTGGTAATGGCGGCTTTTCCGACATCGTAGCCTCCCTCAGCGCCGATGAGGAACCCCTCGTGGCCGAGCGTCACGTCGAAGGTCGCGGTGGGGCCCTTGAAGAGGTCGGTGAACAGGCGGGTGTGGATGTTGGGTTGCTTGTAGAGCAGGTTGAGCTTGCCGCCATAGGTCTTCTTCGCGGGCAGGTAGTTGGTCAGAACCTCAGCTTTCAGACCCTTGGTCAGGTTGTCCTCCAGCTCCAACTTGGTGTCGAGGCTGTTGGATGTTGTCCATGTTTGCGTGAGGGTCAAGCCTGCGGAAGTTTGGCATCAGTATCGCTTCGGGGCATGAGAGGGGGGAAAACCGTTTGTGGACCAGTGGAACATACCAGTTGCCTTGTCGCTGTATTTGCCCTCGATCTTTCCCCTACCGTTAACATGTGATATTCTGAGATTCTCTTTACTGATTGTGGTGCTCACCGAGCCGGAAATAGGACCATCATGGGCAGATTTCCCTTTGACATTGAAACTGCGACAGAGGAAGAGTGGTCAGAAAGGCCGGGCTCCAGGAGAAATAGCGAGATCGCAGCGGGGCCAGAAGAACTTACACGACGCCATTTGGTGCCTTGGACTTGACCTCGAGGTTGGCAGCGGTGGTATGGTAGAAATCCTTGTTGAGGAGCTGGGGGGTTGCGTTAGAACAAGCACCGTGCAATGGCCCCTCGGAGACAGTGACAGGTTTCTCACATCGTTCGCTGGCTTAGCGATGTCGCTGAAGGGCACTGGAATTCCAGACATGACGACCAGAGTGGCTGAGAAATGTGAAGTTGAGAGGGAAGAGCGAAAGGTACAAATAGGGTAATCAAGCCAGAGGAATGGAGAGATGGAAGCAAAAAGGTGTCCGTCTCGTCTCGGTGCCTCGAGTTGAGCTCTTGAGAAAATTGGTCGGAGGAAGCAGTTTGGCCCAGTGACCAATCATGTGACCCGGTTCAAGGAGGTGGCATCGGGAAACCTCCTTGATAGGAACGACCGCAATTCGAACAACATCAGATTAGACCAGATCAGCATGTATTATTTCGCCTTTCAGCCCATCCTATTTATGTGTATATGCTAGCTTCTCTTCCTGTCTGAGTTTTCCATAGAATGGAATCAGCTATATAGCTCAAGCTCGATTGTAACCACCCTGTCAAGCTGCTATAGTATCTAGGAGTTTTACAGTCCTCCCAGCAGAAAAGCATTTGACTGTTTTCGCTAATCTCGACATGTGGCAGCAGATTGCCCTCCTGAAAGGAAACATAAAAAGAACCATGAAACGCCTCCCCGATGAATGCATTATGACCCTGCCTCTGTCTCTGTATCATATCGCGCCACATGCGTTCCAATCGCTCGACCGCTGGGATCAGTTTGTCGAGACCAGGTGGGTGTCCACCTCATGACCGTGCTGGCACAGTAAGGCGGGAAATGTTGGTCAAACATCGTTCTGTACCAGTATGCCTCCTTGTTAGTAGGCACGTCGTCGCCCCATTCTTTCTTGGGGTTGGCCAGCATCTCATCCGTCACATGAAGCTCTGCATTATCTTTTAAAGCATCAATCCAGCCATATCCAACGCCATCGCTAAACTGCTCTTTTTGCCGCCAAAGAATGTTGTCTGGCAGGTAGGGTTTGACATCCGGCTCGTCTGTGGTGTCAAAAGCTTTGCGCAGGATATACTTTTCCAGTCTGTCTTTCGTAATCATCTTCTCTTGTGGATCCACGTTCATGGACACTTCAAGGAATTGCTTGTCTAGGAAGGGAACTCGAGCCTCGACACCCCATGCGGATGTGGACTTGTTGGCGCGGAGACAATCTGCCAAATGCAGGTTCTTGACTCTCTTGACTGTCTCGGCATGAAATTCTTCTTTATTTGGTGCTGCATGGAAGTACAGGTATCCGCCAAAGATTTCATCACTTCCTTCTCCACTCAAAACCATCTTAACACCCATGGCCTTAATCTTTCGGCTGAGGAGGTACATCGGTGTCGAAGCGCGAATGGTGGTGACATCGTACGACTCGAGGTGATAGATGACGTCCGAAAGAGCATCTAAACCCTCTTGGATGGTGAAGGTGAAATCATAGTGCTTGGTTCCGAGAAATTTGGCGACCTCAATCGCAGCTTTGGTATCAGGGGCATCGGGCAAACCGATGGAAAAGGAGTGCAACTGGGGAAGGAAGGTAACTGTTGACAGCTCGTCATCGTCGTCGATACCGACCAGTTTGGTGCCGGTCTTGGGGGCGCCACCGTTGACATAACCGTTGGTGATCCCGTTGGTCATTTTACTGGCCTGTTGCTTCTCAGCAATGGCTCGTTGACGAAGAGACTCTCGCTGTGCAATTGAAGCGGTCAAACTTGAATCGAGACCTCCCGACAAAAGAACGCCATATGGGACTTCCGCCATGAGTCGTTTCAGCACCGATTTCTCTAGGGTATGTCGGATCAATTTGTAGTCGATGGGAGTAGTCGGAACCCGCTTTGGATCCCACCATGACGGCTCGAAATAGCGGGTGGTTTTGTCCGTCTTGGAGTCATAGACGTGGCCGGGTGGGAACGAATCGATTTTGTCGCAAACGGGGGCCAGCGCCTTGAGCTCGGAAGCAAAGTAGACAGCACCGGGTGTTTGAGAGGAGCGACCGATATAGAAAGAGGTAATGCCAATAGGATCGCGGGCAGCAATTGTTCGATCTTGTTCCTTGTCATAGAGAACAAAGGAGAACATGCCATCTAGCTGCTTCGGGGCGTCGATGTCGTGTTCCAGATAGAGTGGGATGATGACTTCACAATCACTGTGAGTTCTGAAGTTGTAGGGGGTTTTGAAATGCTTCCGCAAGATTCGGTGGTTGTAGATCTCGCCATTGACGGCCAGAGCTACTGTACCTTCATCGTTGACCAGAGGTTGGGCACCGCTGTCCACGCCGACGATACTGAGCCGTTCGTGGCAGAGGATGGTGTTGTTCCCAGACCAGTTGCCAGACCAGTCAGGTCCACGATGGCGCAAACATTTGACGCACTGCAGGGCTTGTTGTTTAAAGGTGGCTATCGAAGGATGGCTGCGAATAGACGAGTGAACTCAGTTAGTTATCTCTTGGTCCAGGAGAAGCAAGCAATGCTATGCACAGTGAACATACCCATGGCAGGCGAAGATACCACACATGACTGACTGCCCACGAGCTTTCCTGGGAGAATGTGAGGGTGTGATAGTATGCAGGTGAGAGGGAGTGGCGGCGTGGGATTTTCAAAGAATAAAAAGGTGCACCATCGACCTACAAAATTTGAGGCCGCGGGATGACTCAAGCGTGACCCCCCTCCATGGGCTCAACATCTTGTCATAATATTTCATTCCCGCAGCCCTTCAGCCTTTCACCGGCTCCACTTTCGCCTGGCTGGCGGCGACGATAAAGATAAGGAATGACTGACCGGACTGAATGAATGAATTAACTGTGGAGCTGTCAAGGCCGAGGACCGGGGGACTGATGTTTTGCCCCTTACCTATTGCCAGTAGTTGACTGTTGAAATCTGGTACAGTCATTGAATTTGACTTGTCGGGTAGTGGCTTGTTTGTGGGCTGCGCCAAATTTACTAGCCGCCAAATTTCAGGACTAGGGCTTTTGTTTCCGTACCGCGGTTACCAAAGTTACCCCTGGTAGGAAGCCTCAGTCCCTGCTGAACTGACCGTACCAATACGACCACTCGGTATCCGAACCGTGGAGTCTTGGAACCTAAAACCCTTGGTGCTAGACGAATTAACCCGGCCTGATGGTCCCTGTGGGATGACATCCGATCCCAAGTCCCACGGTCCCCAAGTCTCTACATCGGGCCCTGGCGAAGAGCCAACAGGAGGCTCCGGGGGCACTTCACCCCCGTAACAAAGGACTTCACCCGCCTAAAGAGCCCCTAGTGTCTGCGTAATATTACTGCTCTGGGCCGAAAATCACGAGTTGCCCCTGGCCTGAGCTCGTCCTGGTCCCTGCTCTAGACACTACGAGTATTCCGAATTACTGAGCAGTGCACTCCGACCTGATCCAATGGGCCCTCGGTCTTCCTTTTCTTCCCTCTCACTACCCCTCAGCGTTAAGAACCCGGCCATATGCGTACCCATGGAGCTCATCGCCTCGATCTTTGGGCACGCGACTATTCTCGTTATTCTTCGCCAGAGGTGAAGCTGACCATCACCAAGCTGACTACTACTGCTCGTGTCTGCATGCGCCTTCGTCATTGTCGCTGGGGTTGGGCACCAAAATTCCCCATCTCCGGCTGTCTGTGTTGCACAGTTAGAAATAGAGAAACGTGTCCAGGACCACAAGGTACGAAGTGACCGGGATGATGATACCAGGGATCCGAATTCCCCGCATTCTGTCGTCCAGAAGACTCAAAATCATGCACTCAGCCATTTGCTACCCCCACGCTATTCGCATCTCGGACGCTATTTCAGCTCCCCGCCCCTCCCACGGCCTTCTGATTTCCCGGTTGCACATGCCCGGTCTCTGATCAGCAGACCTAGCCCTGAATATCCCTTTCCCATGCTTCTACAAAAAGCAAATCCTACCCAAGGAACGGGCTCTCTCCGCAGACACCAGACACGTGGATAGCACACCGTAAATCCCAGGTCTGCAGTAGTCGTGCGCCTTGCTTTGAAGGAAAAGAAACCTCTCCAATGCCATGCAAGTGCTGCCCAGCACAACTCCGCGCTCAAAGAAACCATCATGCAAGTTAAGTCGCCGGCCGCATCCATCAATGTCGTAAATCATTCCCTAGCATCACTCGCATTGCCAGCGGTTTCGTTTCACGTCCTTAGGGTGCGGGGTTTTCTTTGACGATAGACTTGATCTTCCGATCGTAGGCGGCCCGATCCTTTTTGAACAGATTGTATGCATCGGCTTGAGCTGGTGATTCGGGGTTGGGATCGTTTAGCAGATCCTGGATGCCCAGGAGAATCTGCTTGATTGTGATTGCCGGTTTCCATCCTTCCTCCTCATTCAATATCGACAGACAGACAGTGCCCGATGGATACACATTTGGGTGGAAGAGCGGTGGCACAAATCGACCTGCAGTATCGTCAGCATACATCTTCAAATTCTAATTTGATGCGCCCATAAATCCCTCACATTTGGGTGGCTTTGTAGGGTATTCGTCCGGAAATGTGAGCGTCAATTTGAAATGCCCCCCTTCCCAGATCGTCTTTTCCCGACCAGGGATTCCAACCTCCCAGGACTTCAGATCGACAACGCCATTAGCGCCACGGTTGGGTTTGGCGAAGAAGCCAAAAGGATGGTCACGTCGCCACTGCTTTCTATCCAGAGGCCTTAGCTGTGTTGACGCAGTGTAGCCGGGGTCTGCCTTACCGTTCCTCCTGGAGGCGATTGAGACACAAAGACATGATCTCTGATGAGCAGGATATTTCTAGAATGAGAACGCGATCGGTGAAGCGAAGTAACGATGCAGAAGGCTCGCGATGAGAACAATCAGTGATCAGATCAGACTACAGGCAGAAAATGAACTAGAAATGAGGCTAAGGCTGCGGCGCCAGGCCAGAAGGACGAAAGGCGGCTGCAGAGGCTTGGCATGGTCACGTGCTGCATGTCTCATGATCAACAGCAAGCTGCCTTCAGCCAGTCTACACTCGTCTTCTAGAAGAGGGAAAGGGCGAAAAGCAAGGGTATCATTGATCTAGGTAACCTAAGACCATCTATTGATCATGGCGAGGTCATTTTTGACTCCGCCATCAGCACAAGCGTCTCCATCTGTTCTATCCATTTCTTCGCAAACACCGCTTCCGAAAATCGTTGTGTACTGGCTCGTCCCCTCACTCTCATTGCATGTCGTTGTTGCGCATCAAGTGAGGCGACCTTCCGAAAAGCATCGGCGTATTCTTGATCAGATTCTGCAAGATATCCAATGACTTCTCCCTCGTATGGTATGACAATGTCCAATTTGGGGCCACCACTGTTGTGCACTACTGGGATCAAACCCGCAGCAAGACCCTCCACATTGCCGATCCCGAAATGCTCCGAGTACATGCCATTTGTGATGATGCTCGATTTCTGCAGATGTTGCAGGATCAGTGAAAATGGAGCATCGCAAATGAATGTTGTTGCGTCATTGATCTTTAGTTCTCGGGCTTCAAGTCGTAGCTTGTAAATGTGCTTCTCGTCGGGCGTGTTCGTTCGGACGGATCCGATCAAGACCAGTTTAGACTTGTTATTTGAGCTGTGATAGTATTTGGCAAATGCTCGCAGGATGAGGGAATGGTTCTTCTCCGGGCGGAATTGAGCAATGTAAAGTATACTGTCCCCGCGTGCTCCTTCACTTCCAGGCGTGACCTTGACCTTCGACTGGAGTTCTTCTACAGGGCAAGGTGGGTAGACAACAGCTGCAAAGGAGGAAGAGTCTTGCTTGGGTCTCCATAACTGGCGGATGTGGCCCTGAGTCCAGGTCGAATTGCACATGACAACATCGATTTGTCTTCCTGTCCAACCGTACAACCACGCGAATATGCGCCAGTAGTTTTTCTTGCCTTTGCCTTTCAGCCCTGTCCCAGCGCCAGAATGCATTCCTTTTGCCCCAGTCTTGTCGTCCAGGCTCTCGAGCATGTCAGTTGAGATGGTTGGATAATGAACGTAGGCCGCGGTTGGGACACCAGGGAAGAGATACTTGCAAAATGCAACTGCAAATGAATAGCCCATGGTGTCGATGAGAACGTCTGGCACAAGTAGTTGAAAGGCCTCATAAGCAAGAACCATGGATCCAAGGGATTGGCCAAGGAGTGTGAAGGAGGGATATGTGCTGGCCAGGACATATCGACGTCTCGATAGGTATATGAAGACCAGCGAGTGCTCCTGCAATGTGATATCAAATCTGTTCTTGACAGTTGACACTACCACGGATCGTTCGATGTCATGATCACCGGTGTAGACAGCACAAATAGCAGAAGGCCATCTTCTTTGCGTGGCCGCAATAGCAGCCCATAAGACCCTTTCCCCCCCACCACCCGCATTGCTATTCATGTTGTCAGCTGCATAACATTGGTCATGGGCTTCTGCCATAATACGTACCAGAATGGATGAAAGAAGCCGACAATGCCACTCCAAGTGTTGCGAAATGGTTGGCCATTCTCAGCCGTGCCTGTTCTTTCGATCTTTTCCCAGCCGTCATCAGCTTCCACTGACAGATGCTGCCCTTCAGAGATCGCACTTCTGTCTTTAACAATTTTAGCAATAATTGCAGCCCGTCTGTCTCTGCCTTGAGATTTGAGGAACCGGCCCGCCAGGCGCACTGAGAGCTTGAGCGCGCATAATCCGAAAAATGGTAGGAGTGGGATTATGGCGAGCAATGCCACAAAACTAGGCGCAGCCATCGCTGAGTGGGATCAAGGTGACGCCAGCCAGACAATCGACATTTTTAGCAGTTTACCGGTCGAAGAACTAATGATTTGGGTATGGAGGTACGCTGAGGTTTGTACACCTTTCGTCCTCCAAACACGGCCTTCAGTCGCGGACAATAGCCGGTGTTGGTCCAGAACTAATGACGTATAATTCCGCCCTGTCGGTGCGATGGTGCCCCTTCCTTCCTCGCAGCGCATCGGCGAATCGGAGTTTAGTTTCTCCCAAGATTCTTCCAAGCATCACATCAAGGGTATCACGCAAACGACATACACCTATACCAGACACTCATGCACGATCTTTTGTATCCTGAATAGTACTGCCCGGATGCATGGATGCACCGTCGCCTTCAGATGTGTGCCATCAATGTCAAGCTCTCACTTTTCCCGCTTTTGCGTGCGATTTACAGCCAATAGATCATATTTGCATAACCTGAAGCCGAACCCTCACATCCGTAACTTTCACCCTTCGAGATCAAACTACCTCTTGCCCGAACTCCTGCAGCTTTCTCATGCTGCCTTCCAAGGAGTCCACGACTTGACGGGTCTGTCTTGGGTCTATTCCATCCCTCTGACCGCAGCCCTCTTCAGAGCTTCATGGATACCAGTCCAGTGCATCATCGCTCGAAATCGGCGACGACGTCTTCTCGTCAGTCAACCTCTACTTGCCTGGCGCCAGATTTACCGAAAGTCAGTTCCACGTCCACCAGGTCCCCCAACAGATGAAGATGCAGCAAAAGCAAATGAATGGGTCAAACAGAAACTGGGGATGCGTCAATTATCATTGCGGAGAGACCTTCCCTACATGAATCTCAAGTGGGAATTCATCCTTCCCTTGACGTTCTTGCCCATATGGTTCCTGAACGCGGAAACCATCAGGAGGATGAGCGGTGACACGAGGACCGCCTTGGCCTGGATAGGAGGACGAGGCCACGTCGACGACTCGCCCGAGTCGGTTTTGGTCCCCCTTGAGCCTGGGTTTGAACTCGAGAGTATGGCATGGACCTCTGATCTGGTCTCCTCTGATCCATTCCTCATTCTTCCTGGAATTTTTCTGTTTCTGTCTGTCTGGAATGCCAGAATCGCCGTGGGTAAAGCGCCAGATACAAATGTCCAAAACGACCTCCGGAGAACGGTTGCTGGACGGTTATCACTCGAGCTGCCCCAGGCTATCCAGACCATCGCGTTTGTGTTTCCCTTAATATTGATGTGGCAAGGAATCCCATCGGCGGTGATATTGTATTTGATTGGATCTGCGGCCACAATGATAGTACAAAGGCCTCTCATAAATCGCTTGATGGGTGAGACTAAGGTCATCAAGCCCCTGAATGCCAGATTACCGGAGGAAATATCTATCCTGGGCACCTCCAAACCGAAAAGACGGCCCTTGCCAAACGGGATGAAAAAGCTTTTGTAGCAGATGATGACCTGCCATAAGACTCAACCCATCCGTTCGTTTCGTTTGCATGGTGGGTTAGTGATGGGTTGAGCACCCTTCAAAAGGACAGACCAACGAATATGTCCAAACACACTCTGTTGTCCTTCTAGCAGAGTTCTCAACCATCTAATATCGGCTACTCTACTACCACCAATGTCAACTGTCAGCGAAGACACGCCACCTGGTCGCTTGACTCTTTAGACCTCCCACGGCCGCCGCACATCGTGGCACGACTTGGATGATAGCTTCCCAACACACCCAGATTTTCAGGAGATCCACTAACTGCTTGCTTGCTCACCAGCATCAATCCTTCTGGATCTAGACGGGACGGCCGAACCATCAATTTTTGCCCTAATCTTTTGGGGAAATTCTCATTCTCTAGACCTATGTATCTTTATTATGTAGAATATTGCAAGTTCTGGTTCACATGAAAGGCTGTAAGTTCCATCACAACCGATCGAGGCCTAATACCTCCAATTAATGCCAAAACCGAAGGACGCGACTGGGATGCAGTTGCAGTTGCTCCTCACAATAGCCAATATTATTGGAGGCGCTGGGATGGATCACTTCATACGAGTCCTAGGAGCTTTTGGGTTTACTTCATTACTATTCCAAATTCGAGCCCATTCATAAAAGCTCACAATTGGAACGGGAAACCCTCGTGCTCATGGTGATCGATTTATCGTCCTTTGTCTGTGCGCATGTTTTTCCAGAGGCGCAGAGAGACGGAGAAAGAAAAAGATGCAAATACATACTAACACGAAGTACAGTCAGTCCCTTGAGACTTGTTAGTCCATCCATCTCCTCTCGTTCTCAATCTCCGAATGAAAATAGAAAGATGGAGCCACAGCCACAGCCACAGATGCATTTTGCATTGTCCCTAGCATCGATAGTCCCGGGTTATGTCCTAGCATGCTTTACTGATCCGCCATGCGAATTGCCTTCTGTCAATTCGAGCCAAGCGGTAGGGTTGGATAGGAAGCTGCCGCTTTCTCACTCTTCTCCAGCTGCGCAGCAGGGCCTATGGTTCTTGAAGTCCAACTCTCGATATTCAATTCCTCACAGCTTCGCCTTGACCTCAACCTGCGTTGGAGCAGATGCATCTAAATTGACCACCACGGCGCCGGTAGACTCGCCTTCTCCAAAGAAAATCACCTCGACCGTCAGATCATCTCTGTACCGCCTCGAATACGGGCTTGGCAGCGTGAGCAGGGCGCACACCATGTCTCGATCCCGACCTCCAAGAGCATTGCGGATGAGATGAGTTGCCGCATTCTTGTCCTCGACGACGAATCGACTGTCTTTCTCTGTCACCGCCCATTGTTGTTGACGGATCGGTTTTTCACCTCCCTTTTCGCTCCGGTCACTGTCGATCCTACCGGTCTTGTCCATATTCCCGCCCTTTTCAACGGGAAGGGTAGATGGTGCAGATGATTTGAACCACGAGCTTAGCCAAGCCGTGCTAGAATTGTCTGACTTGGACGCCTTGTTCTGCTGCTCAATCCACTGGCCAACAAGACCTACCACTTCTTCGTTGGTGAGCATTTCCCACAAACCATCTGTAGCCATGACCACAAAGTCGCCTTTGGTGGGTTCGATCTTCGTACTTGTTACTACTGGTTCAGCTGTCACGTACGGAGGTGTCTTCAATAAATTATGTGGCGTGCGCCCAAACCAATTCCTCTTGACGCGGTCTTGAGTCTCTCGGGTCCATTTATAGAACGCGTCGCCGAACGCCCTGGTGGGCTCTAGGTTTCCTAGAACACGACCGGCACGGATGACATATTCTTCACCAGGATGCTCAGCGCGCATACGAGCCTCTTCATTGGGGTTGGAACCAGTTTGGTCCTCAGATAGGGGAGTCGCAAACCATTTTCCAGTCTGTTGATTGCGACGGCCAAGCACCGCTCGACTATCACCCGTGCAAGCTACTCGGAGAGTCTTGCTTTGAGAATCATAGAATGACAGGAGAGCGCAGGATCCAGAAAGAGCTGGAGCTAGAATCTCAGCAGCTAGGCGCTTACTGGGATTCTTATTAAGCTTGTTGACACTGTCGAGACAGATCTCGTTGTCCAATTTGACAAACGCAGATTTTAGAGCGGCGTCTATGGCGGCAGGGGGAGGAAAAGGTGACTTGACATTTGAAAGAGCAGCCTTGTACGTGGTATTGAGTTCTCTTGCAGCGAAGGAGATGAGGACTTGACGAAGTTTGGCGGAAGTAGTCCAGCCTGAATGGCCATCGAACACACCCCAGAACATCCAATCTGAAGACGTCTGATTGTCTGTTGCGGCGATGCTATTGGGGACCTCGACAATTTTCTCAGCGTGATCATCTTCAATGGGGTCATTGCTTGGTAGTTGGACAACATCATATCTGACAACTCCACGACCTCGACCGACCAAAAAGGATTGTTCATTCTTTCTTAATCTTTCTGTGGCCTGCTCCGGGGTCATCATTTCCAGCACCTTCCTTCCAAAGTCGTCTGTATCTTTCTCCAGCGGCCCTTCACCTACAATAGACCCAGTGAAGAATTGGTCGTTATCGACTACCAATGCTTTGCGGTTGAGTTCGTGACTTGGAGTTGCTGAAGCAGCGGCAGCAGGTTGCGCAATAGACTGGGCGCTATCTGTAGTCAGTGTTCTTGTGGGCGAAGCTGATGTTGGTGAATTCGGTTGGTTGAGAAGATGTTTTGTCCCATTACCATTGTACGCGTACCACGCACCAATTGCCCCTAGAGATCCAACAAATGCAATGGGTAACTTTGGAAGGCGCATGGAAGCTTGTAGAGGCTGTCTGGAGGAGCTATATCTTCGAACAAGAGCGGAAGATTGTGCGAAGGCTACGCCATGGCTAGGAGCGGAAAAGGACGACTTATTGAGGAGCTTTCGAAAGACAGAACGACGAGCCGTGCGAAAGGCCAGAACAGCGACTCGACGCATGGAGGGCGGCGAAACTCAAGGAAATGAGGGCGTGAAAGATTGCATCTAGGAATGCAGTCAAGGAGGAAAGGATTGGCGACGAGGAAGAAGGGCTGTCAGGTTGCTGCCGAGTCTCGGTAACAGTTACACCAGAGAGACGTGAGGACTCAAATAAGGCTGCGATATGAGCGATCGCCGCAGTCTCGCGGAGCCAATCGGAGTATATCTTTCTGCCAGGCGGGGGGTCCGCAATTCTGCATATGAGACCATAGACGTCACTTCCCTTTCACCAAATTATATTATTCGGGTCCGCAGGCAGGCTGTCTCTCTCCCACAATCACCTCTCACTCTCTTCCCCGAATTTGAAGTTTGATCGCTTCTTTCAAGACTCAGGCTTTCGCATCAACATGTCCTCTCGTGCCCTCCGCAAACTCCAGCGTGAGCAAGAACTCCAGCGCCAGGTGGACAAGGCCGAACGGGCCTATGAAGCCCAGGAGGAGTCAGAGGACGAGGATGAATTAAACGCCGCCGCCGAACCACAGCCTCGATCTACAAAACCTCAAAATGCCTTTGATTTGCTAGAGATGGGTGGAGATGAGGAAGACTCTGAAGTAAATGACCACGAGCTCCCGTCAAACCCCCCAGATCCGACTTCCACTTCCACTCCCGTCCCCAATCCCTCATCTTCATCCAAGCCCAAAAAGAAGAGAAAGGCCAGGGCGAAAAAGAAGGGGAAAGCAGCCGACGAGGCGAAGAATGAGGAGTCTGGAGATGAGGTTGATCGTGCTCTTAAGGAGTTGAATGCAAAAGGGCAAGCCTCACAGGCTGATGTTGCCGCCGAACATGTCCCTGGCTGGAACTGGGAGGTCGAAGCCACCAAACTCCTGCATGTTGAGGAGCGGAACCTCAATCCCATCAATGAAATGAAGAGTTTATTCGGTAGTATAGCCCTTGAGGGTGAAGGATCCCGCTCTTCACCACGAAATCTTCGACGCCGAGAACAGAATCAGCAGGGTGGCGTCGACTTGGCAACTGCATTGACTGGAAGATATTCGGTGGCTAGCAAGGGTAAGGAACTTGGTTCTCTCGCTTCAAGACGAAACATCTTCATCCAAGGTAAGGAGGAGTGGCCATTGTCCACTAGTGGTGGCTTGAGTATGGAACTCGTCCCGAACCCCCAGTCTTTCACAAAACAATACACTATTGTTCACAGCAACCTCTACCGAGAAACTCAAATACATTTCTGCATGGCGGTTGAGTCGATGGATCCTCAAAGAATGATCGGTCTCCTCTCCATGTATCCATACCATATTGCTACCCTATTACAGGTTTCGGAGATTGCAAAACACCAAGGGGACCACTCTGTTTCTGGCGATCTCCTGGAGCGAGCACTTTACTCTATTGGCAAATCCGTTCATAGCTCCTTCCCGTCATCTTTAAGGAGCGGCATCGCTCGGATTGCCTTCAACAAGCCTGCTAATAGAGAACTCTACCTCGCAATATGGAGATATATCACCAACTTAGGAATGAGAGGGACCTGGCGTACAGCTTTCGAGTGGTCCAAGATCTTGCTGCAGTTAGATACACTCGTCGATCCTTATGGCGTCACGTTAATGATTGACCAACTGGCACTCAGAGGTCGGCAACACGCACAACTCCTGGCTCTCTGTGCGGATGATGCGTATGGCCCAGCATGGGCTCATCTACCAAACATTCAGACTTCCCTGGCTTTGGCTTATCTGCGAGCTGGCAAACCACGAGAATCGCGCAAGCAACTTGCACTCGCAACGCACAGATATCCTTACATTATGTCGGCCCTCGCCTCAGCATTGGATGTCTCGCCCTTGCCAAAATCACTCTGGGCTAAACTTCCATCGAGTGATGCCGAGAAACTCTATACTCAACTCTACGTCACCCGTGCAAAAGATCTTTGGAATACGCCGGAAACTATCAGCTTATTAGTTGAAGTGGCAGAAACTCTCAATCATTATCCCCAAGAGTCTGCACCTTCGGCTAAGCTCGAAATCTCCCTTGAAGAAGCACGACATATCATGCTCCTCGAAATCCCATACTTGATCGCTCTGCTTCCTCGACGCTTCACCACAATGCCTACATCCTCCAGTGACGTTCTCCCTCCCCCAGACTCCGAGTCAGATTTCGTTAGACGGGCTCCCGGCGCCGCTGGGGGTGATGGGACTATGCAAGCCATATTCAGTGCGGCAGGAGCAACTGCAGGTGCAACCGGCTCTCTTCTCCAGCGGATCATGAACTGGTTCCAGCAACCAGCTGGGCCAAACGATACAGAGGGCGAGTCCGATGGCCAGGCCGCTTTACGAAGCCTGCAAGAGCAGCTTGGTGGAAATGTACCCCACCAAATGATCGAACAGTTATTGCAGATCCACCTCAACGAGACAGAAGAAGAGGACATCAATCCAGCTGGGCTCGGTATGGTCGGCGGCTGGGACTATTATGAGGAAGCAGCCGACGATGATGACGAGCAAGACGACAGTATGCCTGAGTTAGAAGACATTCCGGTGGGATCAGCCAGTCTTTCTCCGTCCACTTTCACCACTGCTGATACAGAGGTGTCGCGCAACCCTCACGCTGCGATGGTTGAAGATGACGACGACGACGACGATTACGACAGTACTCCTGGTCGAAACCAACAACTCGCCTCCTCCACTACAACTGGCAACGCCATCCTTCGACGTGTCGACAGCGATGACTCCATCACCACTCCAGCCCCGCCATCATCATCACCACCACCACCATCCTCCACCGCTCGCCGTCCCATCCTTTCTCCGTCAGCACCAGCACCGAGGACCTTCCAGCCCGCTACATCTACTTCTACACCGGCAGAAACATCCGACACCGACCTCTCGGACCCACAACGCCTGCAGCGCTGGCTCCTGACGACAGGGCTGACAGAAGTCCAATCGAAGAAGACCTCTCTCGCCACGTATGTTACACGCCTCAAGACCCTGCGCAAGCCCCAGCAGAACTGGGTTGTAAGCATGGTCCGCCACCGCGCGGGACCGGAGCTGGAATCACAACTCATCGGGACGTTACAGGAATAGCTGAGGAGGGTGAATGAATGGCTGGCTGGGCCCCTGGTCGGCAGAGCTGCTGCCGATGACGGTGGGATGAGCCGGGCAAGGGAACAGATATGCCTGGACCTCTGTAATTAGCGTCGGCAGGATTCCATTTCCTAGGTACAGAAATAGTTTTCTCCCCAATTACAGGGAGTCGGATCCAGGTTGCCTAACAGGCGACATCACAACGGCATGACGACGGCATGGCGACCAGACGATGTACTGAACTCCTCGGCGAGCATGAAGCTTGATTTCTACAGAAGCCTTTGGAGACGATGCTACACATATGCAGTTAGAGATAGACAGACACCCAAGGGTACCGAGGATGGTAGTTAGGTAGTCAAGATACCCAATTCAAAACGAAGTGAAGCCAAGCAGAGTAAACTAACCCACGAAGGAGCAAGATGATTTCCATGAGAAGCTCACACATGGGACACATCAAAAACCATTTTCCCTCCCATTTTCCCGGTCTGGTTCTTTTGTTTCATCAACTAGCTACCTATCTTCTGACGCTGAGATTTTGCATGATACCTGAGTCTCCGAGTTGCTGCAATAGTGTTACATCACAATCGCGGGTGGTCTTGGTGCCGTCGGCATTTTTCAAGCTCATTCGGATCGTTTTCCTAATCTCACAATCTCCCAATTGCCCCGCAATCCAGACCAATTCACAATTCTTCATCGGACTCAAGTCCCGGGCCGCGCGGCAAATATCCGCTATTGACGAACTTCAGTCCGCTGCGAGATGGGGCGGGTTGGCCTCCTGATGGAAGCTGGCCCAGATCTTTGACAAGCTGTTTGAAACCAGGTCCTGCTGATCTACGTGTCAAAGGCTTCGAAGCTCTCTTCAAGGTTGGCTCAGTTAGCAGGTCGGTAGACGTCGTGATGACATGTGTTGCACCGGGTCGGATGACCCTACTGTCGCCAAATATTGAACCACCATTGGTGGAAATTGGTTTCAGAACTGCAGAAACAAGGTCTGGAGACTTCACAGATGGTTTAGGAGCCGCAAGAAGTTGTGTGATGCTGATACCAAGGCCGAGTTGCGTTGTTGGTGATGGCGATGCTGCGTAAATGGATGTAGCAAGCGGGACATTCTCTGATGGAACTTGTCGGCTATGCTTCAACTCCAAGACGGGGGCGACAATATGTTCCCCGGCAGTTGGCATAGAAAATGAGACTCGAGGAGTGGCTGCGACAGTAGCTAAGGACTGTTTTAACTTTAGTTCGGCTAGTTCCTTCTTAATAGCCTCAAATTCTGCTTGAAGTACTTTGAATTGAGATTTGGGTACCCATTCTTGTCCTCTCATGACGGCGATGCCAGAGACATCGTCCAAGATGGGCGAGTCCATGATGTTTGGTGGGACTGGAGATCGGGTGGCTTTGGATGAAGCACGAATTCCGATACAGCTACCAGTCGCGGAACCTGAATCGCTAAATCCCGAGAGAGTATCTGGACTTGGGGCACCATCTGTATGGGTAGCCACTTCACCAGGAGCTAGTGTATTGCTCAGTGGAAACGAAAATTCTTCGACTGGGACTTTCCGGATTTCGTTGTGATCCGCACATGCTGAGAGAGGATGCGTGGCGGTCTCTTGAGGTTTCGACGCACGTGCAGAAGTAGGTGCCTTGGCAGCAGCATGGGCTGTGGGGGAATGTTTGACGGCTGGAGAGAAAGGGTTGGCCTCGGCAGGAGTGGAAACCGTGATTTCAGCGGCGGTGGAGAATGTGACTTCCGCGGGAGAGGAAAACTTGTTCTCAATGAGAGATGGTTTGTCTTGAGCTGGGGTGGGGTTCGCGGTGTTTGGGGCATTGAGGGAGTTGAAAAAAGACATGAAATCCTTGGGGTCGGCGAGCTTGCTCTTGGATGAGTCAATGGCAGGGGCTGCGGCATTAGACTTGGATACCCTATGTGCTTGTGAAGGCTCTGGTTGTGGAGTGAAAGGAGCTGTGCCAATGAGAGCAGGTGGTGGCCAGGGTCGGTCTTGAGTGGCTCTGCTACGAACCTTTCTCTGCTTCTCGGTCGACTTTTGTACTGGGTTAGCAACACAAGTGCTTGCAGGTATCGATTGTACTCTAGCTCTGGTGACCTTATAGCAGTTATCGATTGCAGATCTAGCATGAGAGGAGTCTCGCTCAGATGGATCCATCAAAGAATGAGAAGAGGCTTGTAGATCGGCCTGTAGCCTTGCTCTATGGGCGTTACCATTCCCCGATCCAACAGGCTCTTTGGCTCCGACGGTAGTAGATATAGCATCCTCTGTCAGGGAATACACTATCTTTTCGTTAGGATAGGTGGTGTCGGATGGATGAGACATTTATCTACTTCTCCATTTCCTGAGTTCTTCTTTCGCGGCAGCAGCCTTCTTGCTTTCTGCAGTGCCCGCAATATCACTTCTCCGAGTGATGGTGAGGCGCGAGCGCTCGTGCCTATGGTAATCTGATGTCGTAATAAATTCAGCGGTGGCATTTCCGAGATCTTGCTGCAGAGATGTCAGTCGGCGAGAATGAAGGGAAGACAGAGGATGGCTTGCCTCCATGGTAAGCTGGGCATTGTATGTTCTCTGCGTGTTAGGAGACATGGGCGGTTGGTTGTAATCCTCATCGCCGTCAGAGTCGTCATTTGCGACCTGGCGCCGTGATTTACGGGCCATGGTGGCAGGGATGGCTTAGAGAAGCAGATGATGATGAGCTGTGGAAGCCCCAATATGCAGGTACGATAGAAATATGTGAAAGGGAGGGGGTGGGAGAAATGAGGTGATGTTCGTTGTCGCTGTTGGGAGGCAGGAACAGTGCTGCGTGAGGTGAATGAAAGGGCAAGCACCATTGAAGTCTTGGCGAGATACTCCAGTGGTATAAATGATTTACATGGTGCTCTCCTCGATATCAAGTGGTTGCTGAGGTTTGAGATTGTCGTCCTTACCATCGAGCCAGTTATGCGCCAAACACCTGCTCCGGTGCAAAGCTTGATCAACCAGGATGATGCTGGAACCGAAGGATAGATCGGGAAAGAAGCCTAGAGGGAGATGAAAACGAGTCAAATAACAGTTACCGAGATGGAGGCATGACATTAAACTGCTGGAAACCACTGGCGCACGAAAGCATGGCAATAGGCCGTTGTTTTGCTAAGCGACCAACGCCTATCAAGTCTGAATGTTCACGGCGCAGACTTCGTACCTGGGGGACAGATTCTGCCCTAAGATAGAAGATAGGAAGCATAGCTGGCTTGAACATTTGCACCAGGCTCCGTGATCCCATGATGCAGCTTCCCAGCCTGCCATCGCAACCCTAAACGGGCGAAGTTGGAAGCCTTTCTGAGCCGAACTGGAGAGTTGAACTCGGTGTAAACTTAATGACTACAAGCAACAATGACAACCAATTGTGGTTGCATACATTTCTGAAACCCACCTGGGTATAGCTGTTGGGCAAAATGGGCATTGCAAGAAGTTTGAGGTTGAAAGAGTGTTGATGACGGGTGGAGCAAAAGCGGCGGGAGGGCGCGTTGGGCGGGCGGGCGGCCTCAACAACGTATGTAATTAAGCCTACAAGTGATTCGCTTCCGGATTAGTGCAGCACTAGCTAGACTAGCGTGCCAAGCAGGGGATTTGAGATACTGGGTCACGTGCGCACACGGGCTGCCAGATTCAGCTAGTGAACAAAGATGCGCAGCTCGCAGGATACATAGCATGCAGTCATATAGAGGAAATTGGGTCGGCGGATTAGTCTGGGCAAATGTTTGGAGTACTGCTGTGGTACGAGGTACAGTACGGAGTAGCTAGGTGTGTAGGAGAGATAGTAATCGGTATACGAGACACGAGACACGAGACAGGGTGTTACGGCTCCCGAAAGCGCCACCGCATTATTGTTATCATCGATGATTACTCCGTATTACTCGTAGGCATTATTGCCCGTGTCTGCTTCTTCCCACCGCCGGGGCGTTTCTTTACTACAGTAGTGCACCTATGTGTCCTGATGATCAGACAACCACTGTATTACCCGTACAGTATCGTGCTTCCCCTGTGCTAACAAATACTGATACTCTGCGGGGTGTCTTGCCAACCATACGAGCACGATTGCACGGCGGTACTTTCAGCAGCTCGCTTCCCCGCACACTTGTGAGACGCAGACGGTACGAAGCCCAAGACTCACCGCCTAAGGTGATTCCAATCGCCAGGCGTAGGGGTGAGCTTAGGGGACTTGGGCTTTGAGGGGGGGGACGCTTAACTGCAATTAGGCCTCCTCGGCCCAAAACTGGCATTTGGGCGGGGACGTTGAGAGGCAGGGGGCCACCGGGGAAACATTTTGTTGGATGCGGTGGGTTGTGAGGACGGAGAGTGGGGAGTAGCGTCTCCCTGACCCGCCCTTGCCCTGCAGCCGTGCTTGACTGCGGACTCCGAATCCAGCTTCGTCCCCCAATGCAATCAACCCAATGCGATCAGTTGATTAAGAATCGCTCGTCAACCGTCCATCTCCTCAGCGGCCTCACTTGCATCTGCGCCTGCACCCAAGCTCACCATTTCCAAGCTTCAAACCACCAAACAAAACTAAAACACCACAAGTCTCCGACCTCCCTCCTCATCTCATCTGCCTCTTCCCATCTTGTAGCTCGTTCCACTCATCCGTGACCGCCATTCCGTCCGTCAGTGCTTCCGACTTCTTCCATCCCCTACTCTTGACGATCATCGACTCTTGGTATAACTTGTCGTCCTGTCTCCTCCATGAACCCACCTGCTACTCCATCTATTCCCGGAGACTACGTTGATCACCAGATCATCTTCACTCTTCATTGAAGCTGCCATTCCCTGTCTACAGTACACAAGCTCAACCTTGGCCCATATCAATACTATATACACGTACGCAACATGGCTGCTCCACGTGCGTCCTCTTTCAAGGCTCTCCGCAATCTACAGCGGTCGACAACCACGGGAGCTACTCCCGCCAGACGCAGTCTCCATATCACTGGCGGCCAAGCGTCCCCTCGGCTCGCAAACCCTACGCACAAGACCACCTACTTGCCCTGGAACCTGCAAGATCTCCGTCATGAGTGCCAGAAACGTGCCCTGTCTGCGTCTGGCACCAAGCATGAGTTGATTGACCGCCTGGCTGGCCATGATAATCTGCAAGCAAGGGCCTTCTCCATTGCAATGAAGCGTATCGCTATCGAACAGACCCGCAAGCCTGTATCTGGGTATGTATCCGCCCACCCCCCGGGACGCCGTCATTATGTTCTGTATGTGACTGACTTGGAACCCAGACCATCCGAGACATCCCCCCAGAGACATTTCAATACTTCGCGTGAATTGAAGGCAGTGCATGATACGTCTACCATTGATTTTGCCTACCTCCCCAAGCTCTTTGAGACCAATGACAACGAGCCTGCCGCCATCCGTGTCCCCATCCTGCCAGATATCGAATCCGACCATGCCGAAGCAATTCTAGAGAAATACCCCGAACTCGACTCTGCGGCTGGCGGGTATCAAGACACACCAGGCCATGATACCGTCTTGAAGGCACAGATATCAACCGTGAATGGGGACGACGACAGCCCTGCCAGTGCATTCAGTGATGTACATGATGGCCATCATGCCACTGAGATGTCGGTTGAGATGCTCACCACCTTGACCGAGACCGTGGGAAAGAGTGCAAGGCAGTTCGCTGACCTGGTCAAGGATAAGGATGAGACGACGGTGCGTCAGATCTGGACGGGATTTCTTGATGATCTGTTTGGTGGGCCTCAGAAAGGAGCGAGAGCTTAGACACTTGCGATCATGGCGAGGACGAGGTCGGTAGTAGCGACAGCGAGGCTGGGGGACTGGACCCTTTTACCCAGTTCCGATAGGGATACGTATCTTAATTCAATATTTATTGCACTGCGCATTGCGCATTGTGCACTTTTCGAACTATGTCACTCATGTCGGTTGGAGCTCGAGTCCACTTTTCCAACTCCACTCCACAGTCCACACAGCAGTCGATAGGCCCCAGAGAGCCAGCCGTGTCTTTCTTCCCCTGAGCAACGACCGTGACCTGGACACTTCCGAGTTACTGCTCCTAAGCACGGAGTGCTACCTCCTGCCATCACCCCGTCCTTTTGACGTGTTTGAAAGACACTTGACTGAGGCTGGTGACTGACATCTACCCTTCTCTGATGGCTCTGTTGAGTCAAATGGCGACATACCGACTACCGTGTCAGATCCAATGGCTGGGGCATCGCCAAAGAAAAGCGCCATCTACCGCCACCGTCTCTTGGTACATTCTTTAGCCACCAATCAGGAATTTGATCGTCAGGTACGCGAAGTCTCTCCCCTGGAATGATGAACCATGGCTCCACTGCCCACATCCACCTCCCACCTGCTCGGACCAGCAAGATTCAGTTTCTTCATGAGATCCTGTTTGGCCATACTTCATTTACTTATGCATCTTTCCTTCCATTTCTCATACTTGTACTGTCTACTCTCCCAGCATTCCATATTTGAGGGATCTCTTAATTGAAGATTCTCTCTCCTTCTAACCTTGAATTGGATCCATTCACTGCTTGCCCTCTGACTTCATGTTCGGTGACGACTCATTTGGCTGGTCCCAATCCTGAGAATCCCCACCACAGAACCAGAATATCGTAATACAACCCAACCTGGACAGGCTCCTTGATATCAATTACAGACAGCTGCTGAAGAGTTTGAAAACCAAAACCAAAACCCCCCAAAAAAAGAATGCATCGGCGTTGGCTTTCACTGCCGCTGCTATCCAGTTGTGCTTCGGCGTTCTACCCTTACTCTCATCCACGTGGTGATGGTTCAGATTCCAATCACAAGAGGTTTATTCCGATCGATGCCGACCACCAGCCTCCTCAATATTCTCCCATCTTGACTCTAGATCTGAACAAAATCCCGGTCAGTGATCTTGAAATTGCCTTCTCTTCCTGATATGACTCTGACATTGTGGCAGACGAAGCGGAACAATGCTTTCTCCGTCACGAATTCATCCAAACCCAATGCGCCCAATGCTATGAGCATCAGTCAAGACGGTGCAGACTTCACCTACTTTTCAGTCATGAAATTCGGCTCTCCAGGTCGGGACATGTACATGTTGCTCGACAGCGGGTCCGCCAATACCTGGCTCATGGGCTCCAGCTGCCAGTCTCAAGCTTGTCAGATCCATAACACTTTTGGTCATGCCAACTCAGACACCCTAAATCTCACTCAAACCACTTTCTCCTTAGCATATGGCACAGGGCAGGTCCAGGGCACCATGGCATCCGACACGGTCAGCTTTGCAAACTATTCGTTGGAGTTGGGCTTCGGAATGGCCACTACCGCCTCGGATGATTTCCTGAACTATCCTATGGATGGCATTCTAGGCCTTGGTCGAGCCGCATCAGAAGAGCTCGGTGTGCAGAGCCTCATGGACGCGTTGGACGATCAGGAAGGCTTGAAGGAGAAAATCTTCGGCATCCATCTCCAGCGAAGCTCGGATGGCACAAAGGACGGGCAAATCACATTCGGCGGGGTCGATGCGTCCAAATTTAAAGGCAAGCTTGAGTACACGAACGCCATTAATAACAGCACCTGGGAAATCCCCCTCGACGATGGCGGTGTCGACGACAAAGGGGTAGGGTTCAAGGGCAAATCCGCCATAGTCGACACCGGCACGTCCTACTGGCTCGCTCCACCAGGCGACGCCGACGCCCTGCACGCCTTGATCCCCGGAAGCTACCACAACGGCGAAACCTACCTTGTGCCATGTTCCACCACGGCCAACGTTTTCGTCACCTTCTCCGGCGTCAACTACACGATATCGCCCAAGGACTATGTGCGCGGCGGAGCGACCGGCAGTGCCGACGGCATGTGCTACAGCAACATCATCGGCCACCAGGCATATGGCCCCAACCAGTGGATCTTGGGGGATGTCTTCCTCAAGAACGTCTACACAGTCTTTGACTTCGACAACGCCCGCGTCGGCTTTGCCTCACACTCGGTCAGTTCCGACTCAAGTACGACCAGCTCGTTGAGCAGTTCTTCTCCTCCTACGACCTCGCCCTCCTCGTCGAGTTCTTCCTCCGCTTCCAGCGCGCAGCCATCCGGCTCGACTACCGCAACCTCCGCCGAGGGCCCTTCAAAGACTGTTTCAAGCTCGAGCGCTGGCCCAACCAGTTCGCCCGCAGGTGGTGTCGACAGCAGCCCCTTCGGCCAAGCCGGCGCCACTTCCGGGGCGCCAGAGCGCCCAGTCAATCTCGGATGCATCATAATCCTCGCCTTTATCATCGGCTTAATATTGTAATACCCGGTTGCTGCCTTTGCGCTCATGGCGGTCACGCAGAGCAGCAAAGTAAGACCGACCCCCAAGGTGCCAGCGCGGGACCAAGGTGAGATGGTGGAAACCCAATTCCCAGAATGACGTCGCGCTAACAGAGCGCCAGGCACATTAATGTTCAAAAATGTAAAACCAACCCTCAGCATACCATACCATAGCTTGTTGTCCAGTGTTTATGAAAATACCTATAGTTCTTACTCGTACTCAACCGGCACGCGTCGGATGTGTTGAGGTCTGCGAAACTCTGACTCCCAGCTCAGATAGCACACATGTGCCACCCCGTTCCTGTCTTGCAGGATTGAGGTCTCGTATTTATGTAGTTCTCGGATACTGTATCAATAGGATTAGCGTCCAGAAGTTCACGTTTATAAGTGAGGCCTAGGATTCTTTTCTAGGGTTTGGCGGTAGCATCTACATAGAGCCCAATACTCTACAATGCGGTGCGCTACCTACCAGCAACTTAGGCAAAAATCCAGTGGGTTGTTAAGCCCTGTGACAAGTATATACAACCTATGAAAAATAGTATACAGCTCCTGATGAGCGACATGTATCAAGACGTGTGTGGACCCAAAATTGTTCGTTTACGTGGGTGAAGTGAGTGAGATAATCAACGTCCCCTGCGGCAAGTACTCTGCTACTCATCAAACTATCGATCTCCCTAAGCTGAGCGATTGCGGTTACATCAGATAAGCGATTGCACCGGCCGCGGCGACAAAGAGGAGGTCCGCTTTCTTGGCCTCGGTGGCAGCGCCTGTGAACGTGGCGACGACGGCGGGTTTCGTCGTCGTTCTGGAGCCGCCTGGGGGAGTGGTTGACGACGGGGCGACGGGTTGGCCGTTGTGGGAGTCGGGGATGCTGGTTGGGTTGACGTTGGCGATTGTGGTGGCAACTAGAGTGGCAGAAGCGGTCGCGGTTGCGGTCGCCGTCGCCGTGGTGGAGGCTGAGGTCCACGGCATGCGAATGGTGCAAGGACAATCTGTGATGGTCAATGTGGTGGCCTCGGTCACGGTAAACGTCTTGGTGCCGTGCGTGAACTGTGTGGGGAACGGGCAGAACGTTGTGTACCGCGTCACCACGGTGGTAGTATATGACGTCGAATCGCTGGTTGAAGACCTTGCAGCAGACGTGGTCGCGGCCTTGGTGCTTTGCGATGTGGTCGATGTCCGCCCACCGTCGTCGCCGCCGCCACCGCCGCCGTTGCAGCTAGGCGCATTCGCGGTCCTCGGCAAGTCGTTGATGGGGTTGAAGCTGTCCAAGTAGGTCGTGCCGCCAGAGGTAAAGCTCACGTCGTACTTGGTTCCGTTGACTTGGTTGGTGAAGGCATCCGCGCTGGCAGAGTAGAAGGTGTAGTATTTTGACTCGCAGCTCTTGACCAGCGTGACTGAGCTCTTGGAAATCGTGGGGAGGTTGTTGTAGCTCATGGGGTTGATCGTACCGATCGTGAGTTTCAGGTCGTTCGGTGACTGACCGTTTCGGACCTGGTTAGAGGAATCATGTTAGACAGGAACTCGGGGCGAGGTGAAGACATATGATCTGCTTACGGCGGCAATGATGTTGAGCTTTTGGACACCTGTTCCACTGGGGGCACTCAAGCTTGAATTGATAACCTGAGGGAAGATCTTATCAGACACTGGGAAGCCTTTGCCGTTGTTGTCGAAGGTCTTGACCGTGCCGGAGGTGAGGGTCACGAGCACGTTGAACCCTGATATAGCTGTTTTCGCGGAGATTTCGGACTCAAAGCCATAGAACTGGAGATATGTCAGTAGCGATCATAGCAGCCGTGAAGCACACATACTGTGAATGAGTCATCGAATCCCGAAGCATCGCCCAGGGGTGTTGCCACGATCGTCCCAGATTTACTTCCATCTCTGTCCTTGTATTCTATCTCAACCTTGGATATTGTGGCCTTGGGCATGTCGTTGATCCTAACACGAACCTGGCCACTGAAGGACAGCTTGTCCCCTGCTGACAGAACGTTTAATTGAAGGGCCGATGGCTTGACTGGATAGACTTCAATAGGATCTGTGAGCTTAACTCCAGCAGGGACTGTGTCTATCATCTTCTGCAACACCTTCGCACATGTTGACCTGTAGGCAACCGGGTCCTGCAAGGTAGATATGGTTGCATTGTTGTCGGAATTGAACAGGTGTAGATCCGAACGTGCAGACGGGTCGGGGCCGACGACGAGGGGGTTCTTGGTGCTGCCGGAAAGGTATTCGGTGACGATCTTGTTGTCGTAGGTGGCATTGGTCGAGTCGAAATCTGCGACACCGAGGCGTGTAGAATTGGTTGGGACGATGGCTGGAAACTCGGTTGAATGAACTCCTCCAAGGCTGTGTCCGCAGGCTACTATCGAGATAGACTCTGGCTGTGTGAGACCCATTCGAATAAAGTGCGCCTGAAGAGCTGGCCCGGGGTCACGGACATCTGGTACACCTAGCGCGCCCGCTTGAGTGGCATCAATGCGTCCAGATCTTGTGCTGACCACGGGTCCACCGCAGCCCCGAACGGCTGTGTAGACACCAAGCGCAATGAGGTCAGAGATGGATGCCTGCGCGTTGAAGAAACGAGAATAGTAGGTGATAGTGTTATTGAATGCCGGTCCACCGTTGGATGATGCATACTGTCCCTGAAGTTCAAATCCGATAGATCCATCCACGCCTCCGGCGCCAGACGCCACATTGGCCGGAGCCATATCATGGAATGCAGTACGGAGAAACCCACCCGCAATAGATCTCCCAGGGGCGCGGGCGAATGTACATGGTGTGACCGCGAATGCAAACCCTCGAGAGTTGTAACCATCGTTGAGGTATTTGATATCCTCGAGCTCATCGACCGAGGAGGGCCAGGTTGCAAAACAGACTGTGTGAGTGATGAGGCTGCACACCGAGAGAATAAAGAACATGAGCTTATTCATAATGCACAACATGCGCGGAAGATATTGTTCAAATTAATAAGTGAAATAGTGAGCGTGAGAGGCGTTGCTGTTGGTAAGTAACGATCGACAATAGTTTGAATGCGGTAGCAAGGGACATACACAAAAGAAACAATCAAAGTAGTAGAACAATCACTGGATAAACTGGCATTGACATGCTGACAGTGCCTGAGCAGTGGTAGATATATGAGAATTCAGGAGTAGGGAGTCAAACTCGACCAAGAGGAAGCTCCAGCAATCTCTTGGTCTGAAACTGCGCTCCCAGATGGATTAGCACCATTATCTCGAGCATGTTTGCTCCGGGGGCATAAGCTCAAGCGTCAAATCTCCAGGCGCGGTATCACAAGATGAATTGATCGTGGATGAAGCTGGAAAGCCTTGCCCCCTGATGCACGATGTATCGAGGTAGCACCAAGTAAAATTAGAAATCGGATGTCTAGGCCAGAGAGTGGATGTGGCGTCAGCCGTAATGTGCTTGTATTGATTCGTCAAAGCTGTTAGCGGGGGATCATGTGCGAAGCCTTTGGGTCAGGCTGAGCACATTACAATCACCCGTTGCATTGTTGGTGGTTAGAAGTGAAGGCAAGGCTTTTCCGATGTTGTGATTTCTCCAATCGTGGTTCAAACAATACGCGGTCCAGTCAGATGATGGAGCTAATCCCCGAATTGGCCCCCCGTCAAAACGTCACTCCACTCTAAACTTGCTCGTCTGAGGTCCCTGATTTCTTCAGCCACAGGTGAGCGAATATCAGACATGTCGCCGCTTGGTACGGGCTAGGTACTCAGTATTGCATGGGAAGTGGAGCCCGGAGTATGAGACGCTTTTGCTTTTTGATTCATCGATCCGGAGATCTTTTCATTCGATCTGCTCGTACGGTCGCCTCGGCAGTGCCGCAGTCGCCGTCTTCGTTTAACCACATGAAGTCTCATTTGACTCAGCACTCCGTATTCAAGACTATTGGCACTTCAATTTTGTGGCCTAAATGGCCAAGCCTGGGTTCTATGGTACATGCTGGTACGTCAAAGCATTGCAAGGGTCTGGTGCAGTCAGGGGCTCAGCCTTGCCAAGATCAATGGGGCTGCCCATACATCATCATATTGGCGAGCCTTACGCTCGGTCCTTTTCAAAATCCGATAGCTAGAGGGGATTGTTCTCCGCACTGAATAGGACTTTCATGGTGCAATAAACCAATCTAGTAACGCAGTGCTGCAACATGTCTCCTGTTGCCCGATGGTACGGGTTGGACCATGGTTGAGGTTGACCAGTTCTTGCCACCACCCATGATCATCTTCTCAACAGCGAGAACTAGCTTCTGACCACGAGAAGAGCTAATTCTCGTGACTTGTGCGTTGCCACATCCTCATCGCCCTCTCGGGATCAACGGTATTAAATTGGCGACACAGAGATTTGCATGACGTGGAGCGGGAAAAGGGAATATCGATCTTTTAAATCCTGTTCAGGTTAGTTTTCCCCGGAACAGAAAGCCCAGAGACGTGTCCGGTTTCAGAAATAGTAATGGTGGAATAGGGACAAGTGGCCTTGTTGTGTTAGCCGAAAAAGAGCACAAGAGCAAGTTTCATGAGGAATCCATGTCGTAGAGGACCCACTAGTGTCCTCTTACAGACAGATTTTAGTACCATTGTGCCTTCTTGGTCAACTTCAGAGATCTCCATTGGTTTAGTCTCTACTGGCGTCGGTTTCACGCCTAGAACTGCGCATAGTGGCCGTATATCATGGTTGGCGACCTTTTCCATCCTAAGCTTGGTGGCCAGTTGAGGACCTTAAATACTGCCACCCTCCGAGGCCAAACGCCATACAAGTTTACCGCTTCAAGCTGATTACTACTTCTCGGATTCCTTTCTTACACACATCGATCCTCGAAATCTACCTTGTTCACGGTTATTGCTATTTCAGCCCAATCCTAGCCTCGAGGTAGAGTCGCAGCCATGACTGTCAAATATGAGTTGCCCAAGCTGCCTTACGCTCTTGATGTGAGACCTCAACCTTCTCAGTTCAAATATTACTGACTGAAGCTAATTCAATTATCCACATAGGCTCTGGAACCGTCCATATCAGGACAGATCATGGATCTGCACTACAACCGCCACCATCAGGCGTACATCACGAATCTGAATAATGCGCTGGCAGGTCAAGCTGAGGCCTTTTCAGGGTCAAACTTGCTCAAGCAATTAGAGCTGCAATCAGCCATTCGCTTCAATGCAGGTGGCCATGTCAACCACACACTGTTCTGGGAAGGTCTTTCGCCTAAGTCCACCGGCCACTCAAACATTGTAGATTGTGCGCCTCAATTAGCCCAGGCCATCGACCAGCGCTGGAAGACTTTCGACAACTTCAAAGCCGCATTCGAAGTAACCGCTCTTGCCATACAGGGATCTGGATGGGTGTGGCTTGTGAAGGACAAGGACTCGAACGCGATTGAGATCACGACATCGAAGGACCAGGAAATCCCGCCTCCCTCTGGGAAGCTGGTTCTGATTGGCATCGATATGTGGGAGCACGCCTACTACTTGCAGTATTACAATAACAAGAAACAATACCTTACCAACATTTGGGATGTCATTAACTGGAAGATGGCCGAGAAGCGATATCAAGGTGATGCAAGGACAATCTACGGAGATTTGGCAGGGTTGGCCTCGCACTTGTGACGTGCATGAATGACAGTGTCTGTAGAGGTCCATGGCATCTGAGCACATGCTAGTAGCAAGCTAAAGATAGAGCGTGCTGTGGGTGGATCAATTGGCGGGGTCGATACCTGCTCATATATCTGCTCAACCAGGATTCGGGTCTGGAACCGAAGCATGGGGTAACTAGACCACAATTGTGTGCTCCGTGAGAGGTTGAAATGAGTACATGACACGCAACCTGGGCGCCACAGCGCCACAGCGCCACAGAATAAGACATGGAATACTATCTCAGGTGGAATCATGTCTACTACAAAGTACATTTGTATGTTCCACTGTTTCACTAATTCTTTATCATATGTCTATGTTGCCCACCGAGTTTTATGCCGCTGTAATAGCATCCCACGCTATGCAAACCCTAGTCATACACATTCGTAACAGTGCGGCCAGCAGCACCATATGGTCGTGACCCTGAAAGTTGCCTGCAAGGAAAATGGATATTGCACCAGTAGACTTCATCTCCCCCAAACTCCAGGGATAAGGCCGGAATGACAACTACCTTGCCATCGGTCTACCGTATTCGCGAAGCGACACGCCGGTTTTGCTCTATTGAGGCCTCAGGGACGAGGTCTCCAGGGGCCATCAGCCTCATCAACTAGGCTAGAGCGCTCCGTCCACTTGAGTGCAGCTGTCGTCTTGCTGTATGTGAAGTGCCACGTAGGCGTGACATAGCCCGCAGTGTTGGTAGCTCAAGATATTGTAAAGGGGGTGGCGACCTTGACTGCGAATCAACATCAAGTTCTAGCTAGCCTCAGTATTGATGCCCCAAGATTTCAGCAAATAGGAAGCAGCTCGTGTTTCAATTGCGGTAACGTTCCTGGCAACATGAACTTCTTTGTTGCTGTTCCAGGAATTCTTGATTCCTCTAACCTCGTCGAATGGAATTTCTGTCGTTGATAGCCATTCTATTTGACAAGGGTTTCCGAATTGCTCAAGTTTGGACTGTAACTTCTGACTAGATGCTGCTGCAGGACTTTGGCTTTCATGGTCCCACAACGCTTTGACTGACGGTGACTTGAAAGGAGATTTGTGGGATGTTGATGACATATCTCTCGGCCTATGAGCGAAGATATCTCTTGATTCGAATGTAGTTTCCCACGGAGAACTTGGGAAGGTTTTGGTGGGCGAGTCTGTGATAAAGCTTGAGTCATCATCTTCGGAGGCCTGATCCGAGCCTTGTACGGCCTCCCAGACTATTCTGCGCCTTTCAGGTTCATAACATATGGTTCCGGGGGCATAACGATCCGATGCTAGTGTTGGAATTCTCATCCCAGCTTCCAGTGAGCTCGGATCGGATATCATTGAGGATTGTAATGATCCTTCACTCCCTGTGGATGTGGATCTATGGATGTCGTTCTGGTGGGTGAGTTTCTTGGTTTCCGGGAGGGTTTCCGATTTCATGAGTGCAACGCCTGCAAAGGTGCCAGACCCATTGACGGAGAAGACAAAATAAACTCTCCGAGCACTCTGCAAGAACGAGAAGTGGAGGGGTCAGCACCCATGGAAAAGTTTGATGAAGACAGGTTGAGCGTACCTTGAAGGCTATATTAAGCCGGGTGCAGTGTCGCTTAGGAATGTACCATTGGCCAGTCTCGATGCTCCGCGAAAGAGCGTCCAGGGAAAAGCTTTTGAGAATAAAGTACTTGTCTTTGCCCCATTCGGCTTGCAAGACCTCTGGAAAATGGAGAAGCTCCTGTGCCTGTTGCTCAACGCTGTTACTTTGCTGCGAAGAAACTGTGAATGATGCACGTCCAGGATAGCTCATCCCATAATGGACTTTGGTTGATCTTGACATAGAACCTTGTCGAATTCTGCAGTCAAGACGTCGACCTTCGAACATGTTCGTCGCCGCATGAGTGATGGCAGCAGCGCGGCTACCTTCCGAGGTAAAATTGACGAATGCATATTTGGCGTCCGGATTGTATGCAACGCTGAGTACATTGTACGGAGCAGCCTCTGAGAAATAGTCCCTCAGACTCATAACCGTTGCCTCTGCAGCGATGTTCCCCACCCATAATGCGTGCTCTCCCCAATGCTTCGGCATTTCCTTACCGGGTGACGTGCGTGTTGGGGACTGAAGAGGCGCTGTTTGGGGAGGAGGTTAGCACGAATAGTGATCCGGGTATGCATGAAGTGCAATACCTTTGAATCCGTATTGATTCGCCATGACTTCATCATAAAAAGCAAGCCCGAACTTGTTGGACGTTGATCTGTCGTTCAAGCAATCAAAGTACTTTTTGGAAACCATTTTGATTCAAAGGGAAAGACTTCAGAAGGGATGGTAGGTTGTTCTCTGCGTCGTCATGTATGGCTTCTGTAGCCAATGTAATCTGACTTGACGAGTACGCGTGGTCGCGGTATGCTAGTGGCATAGGACATCGCGGTGTTGAATAGGCCGGGGATCATGCTAGTCTTTATCTGTGAAGTTTGCGAAACACGGCTCTATCCTGAAGGGAAAGCTGGAGAAGAGACACCGAAGCCGCTGAGTCAAGGAGATGGGAAATACTGGGTCGTTTCCCAGTATGCTCGCGGTTCAACTTGCGCATTTAACTTGCTCGATGAGGGACCATCCTGGGCCCGCCATTGGCCCATGTGGTAGGGAACAGGGGCTGAGCATGGCGACAGGGTTTGGCAAAGAGCTTGGCGAGCATTTTACTACCTGCGCTGGGCCTGTGCTTTCGCTGCTCCCTTTGCCCTAAGATAAGTCCAAAGGGCATCTGGTAGCACTACCGTCCCCTTCCGAGACCAAATGTGCTCAACCAGCCCCGGGCACAGGCCGCGGTTAAGTCAGCAGCTGCGCCTTGATGGGCTTGATGGGCTTGATGGCCTCGTTGGACAGGACCAAGCCAGGATATTTCGGTACTCAAACTCAATAATATTAGAACATCTAGTGCTACCTACCAACTCACTGCACACAAAAAGCCGAGGGATGATGTTGCTGCTCAATTTCTCGCTGCTCACAACTCATCGGAATCGGAACATCTTCGCTCCTTGCGTATCCGACTGCCAAGCCCTGCCTTACTTAAAAGAGTAGCCGACTACGCACTTGAACAAGGGAGACTTCGCCTTGTGAAATCTTACACCAGGCCGTCCCAGTTAATACACGCCGTATGCCGCCCAGTGGCAGCGGAAACAGCATTCATGTCGTGCTTGTCCACGTCAACCAGCAGGTCGATGCCCAGGAGCTATGCACGACAAGCTTGTTTCAAGTTCACTACAGGCACTGCATTCCAATGGAATGGTCTCGCCGGGATCTCCCATGGGGAGCGAAATGATTGCCACCCGGACCATATGTCGAATTGCCGCGTCGACATCGGCGCCAGTGACCTGAAGATTCTTGGACGCTCTGGTGCGCATCTTGACACCAGATATGCAGCACACGCTTACCAAGGTGATGACGACGACAATCAAAGCCAGTGCGTAGCCTGAACTTTGCCTACCTCGGGGCACACTGCGTTAAGTTTCCAGAAGATCATCAAACGTATTTCGTGTGACTTGTTTATGCATATGCCGGTATTCTTCCAGCCTGGATATCAGCTCACCGTCTTGGGGCATTCTTCTATCGCTATTTCGGAGTACTCCACACAATACCAGCAAGAAATGGGGTCCATGGGAAATGATCGAATGATGTGTCTGAAATCGCGCTTCCAGCCATTCTTTGGGTGCGCACCACTCAAACAGAAACCAGATGTCCCTTGTGGTTATTATCCAGCGTGACTAATATCATTCCATGGTTTATGGCCGGCCCGAGAATCGCAAAGATCCTGGGTTGAACCAAGTGATCTCTGGCTCTCCTCTTGACAGCGCGAATCGTCTCGCTCAATCTCTGGCCAATATTTCTGGTGGCAATGTCTAAAGTCCCTTCTACGCGCGTTCTCCTCCAAATATTGCTATCAAGTCAAACTCTTGGGTGCAGCATGCATTCAGACCTGAAGCTCAAGCATAATGTGGACGTTAGGTGTTGTGATTACTAATGCATCGAGCCCTTTCAGACACAGGCCTGAGTTGATCGTGGTAAAGAGCACATTCCGAATTCGGACCAAGCTAACTATCTACTGGATATTATCGGGTGCCGACTTGACGTTCGACGAAGATCTTGCATTGCGACAGTACCACAACGCACAGCTACCAGCAAAGAGCTTCCTAACAGCCACATGCTTATTGAATCTCGTCGGTGGCACTCAGCCAACTGTGAATACTGACTCAAAAGGGATCAGTACAAAACACTCAACACACTACACTTGCTGGCTACTTGTGGCTCCTCCGTGTTAAATTGCTTTGGAATTAGACCTGATGAAGACCAAAACTCCAATCGCTGTCGTATGGACTACCACTGATGTTCCTAGCGAACAGGAGTACGGGTTCGCTCAGTCTGCCCAATCCCCCACTTAGCAATTTGGCTTAAGGGTCGTGCCGCTCAAACATCCGCCTCTCAGAGTTCATCCAGATTGGGTACTACTGGTAGTTAGCAGCTGCGAGGGTCGAGTGATCCTGAATTGGTGCAAGGAAGTGCTGGCGATAAAAGGAGCCGGCACCGCACCAGCCTGCTCCGTAGGTTGCGGAGGGCACCAGCAATTCTCTCGATTACAGCAAAAGAATCTGCTCTCCTCCAAGACAGTTATCCTACGGAATGCTACTGTCCGCTAAGCACTTGGGAAAACTTGCGCAATCCCATAAGAAATCTGCTCACTCTCCTTTAATCCCCTCTGACTGTTGCCTTCACCACTGCTCCTTCATCTGCATGCTTGTCACGGCTTAGCTGTACTGTGCCCATGAACCACGTGGACCTTATCAGATTCACGGTCGACGATATAAACCAACCTTCTCCAGAAGCTTTGACTTGGAATTCCTTTCGTCACGTCTTGGTACTCGAATCCTGACCAGCAATTCAATATGGATATGTCATCTATGCCAATGACGGCCTCAATGTCGAGCACCGCCACCATGTCACTGGCGTCTGGCAGTGCATCTCCAACATCGACTGCGATGGTACGTCAAGCACGGGGAGGAAAGTCTTCATCGACACAAGTCTCGTGACTATTCCCCGATTTGCAAATCATCTCCTATCTTGAAGTAGCGGAATCTTCTGAACCGCTTTTCAGTGCTTGCTTCTCACCTTCAGTGCTCAGACACTGGCGCAAGATTATAGGGCTTAATTTAAAGATGGTAGGCTGGGATGAACATGGGAGGCGCATGTAGGATATCCATGACGTGGAACTGGTATACCCTCAGGGCCTGTAAGTCCTTCAGAAGGCCTCGTGAGTGACCTGCTGACAAAATACAAGGCTTTATTTCCAAAACATGGCAAGTGACCTCTTCTGGCATATTGACAGGGTTGTGCGTTGGTGTCATATGCCTTGTCATATCTCTCGAGTTCCTCCGCCGAGTACAACGTGAATATGATGCTTTTACCCAACGACAAGATCGAGAGCGGTATGCTTCAGTACCGTTCGCATCTCGATTTAGTGCACCATCATCGGAGCATGAATTTGAGAATGGCAAAAATGTGTCGATTGGCTTTCACTCGGTTCGTACAACACTTCTTCAACAACCACAACTCAATCGTGTCGCCTTGCTACAACGTCAAATCCTCCGGGCCCTGCTCCACACGCTTCACTTCGGTGTAGCGTATTTCGTGCTGTTAATAGCAATGTATTACAACGGTACGTAACATTTATGCGCCAGGCTCCGTCTGATCATTTGATTTCTGTCCAGGCTATATCATCATTTGCATTCTCATCGGTGCATTTCTCGGTTCGTTCATCTCTAGCTGGGATCAGCTTCTCAACGAGAACTGGTAAGCTCAAATACGATATCGATTTACAGAAAGAGCTCTGACAAGACACCCACTCAGCCGCAAAACAGACACTGCTGATGCTACCGGTTGCTGTGGCTAACGCTATTCCTTAAGATGGCTATACAAGCACAAAATCCCATTCTTTTCTCGACTTCACGACTTACTTCGGAGGCTACAACTATAAAAGGCGTTCACAGCCTCGACAACTTCTCACATGCTATGGGAGGGTAGTCTAACCTTGCTTTGCAAGTGCTTCATAACTTGGGAAACCTGTGACGGTGATTGAGGAAGAACATCGCTAGAAACAGCCACCCACAGCCCAGATACTGGTCGATTAGTCATATTCCTAATGGGATACCACCATCCTACTTCCACTTAAAAGGGACACTGAACGCAAGAATTTCTAGCAACTCCAGGTATCGGACTAACTTCTATTGTTGAATAGTTCAGTAGAGATGGCTATTCCTTCAAGTTGCCTATCCATAGTGCTACTCTCGACCAGCCGAGCTAGCCAACCTTTACAAAGCCAGAATTTATGCGGACATCTTGCCTCCACGTCCACCGCTAGACCTCTAATCTGCTTTAAGCATCACTAGGACCATCATTCTGAGCCCGCTTTCTGGGACATATACGACTCACAGAACTGCGGCTCTGGCCCAGACTATGCGATTCAGAGGACGTACCGAAACGCGATGTGCTCGTCCTGCAACGCCTCCAAAGTCATCCTTTGTGCGATGTGGGGATGAATCTCACCACGGCGAGCATAATCTTCCAAGACAGCTTCTTTCTTCGCATTTTGCTTCCACATCCAGAAATATGTCGCCGCCACGTTTATCGCTGCAAAGGCAAAGAAACCGAGCACCGTGCCATGGCCTCTATAATAGCGCGGTGGACTAGTATAGATCCGGGTGCCCATGATAGAGAAGGCGATTCCAAAAATTTCAGAAAACGCCCATGTTGCTCCTCGCTTTGTGAAGTTGGGAGTGTTGATGGAAAGCCAGACAGGTAGGAGGATGCCAATAGGGTAGCATCCTGCGGTGACTAGGCAGGTCGCTACGACTCTGGCACTCATTGATGAGACAGTCATAAGTAATATATATCCGAGGCATCCGATGCAGCAGGATGCGAAAAGGAAAGGGCCTTTGGTGTTCCAGCGATCGGATAGGTATCCCACTGCGATCACCGTGACAAATGCCAGCGCGTATGGAATCACGGTGAAAAGTTGTGTCCGGACTATTTGAACCTGTCAGAACATGCTTGCACTATCAACGGGGGAAGACTTCCTTACCAGGGCTGAAACCAAAATCATGGATGAATGTTGGCAGGAAACTCCCTACCACAGAAACACCTAGCACAGCTGCGCCTTGGATGAAGCTGAAGAAATATGTTTTGACGTCCGTGACCACCGCAAGAAGCTGCTTCGTTCTGAACTTATCGCCTTCGGCGTTGTACGCTGCTTCCCGGTTAGAAATCGCAACAAGTTAGGTTGAAAGTGGAACTTGCCGTTATATCGCTTGTAGGCTAGCTCAATCTCCTCCGAAGTAAAGAGCCAGTGTTTCTTCTCGCGGCGATGCAAGTCATCTGGGAACCTTGGCAGAGCTAGGATGATAATGAGACCGACGCCAGCTGCCAGCACACCTTCGATGAGGAACAACCATGACCACGGTGTGCGTCCTCCTGGAGAAGAAAGATCTGACTGAACTCCGTAGGCGATCAAGCCTCCAAAAGCTCCAGAGAGTGTCGCGCACGCATAGTATATCGCTGGGATAGAGACATCAGACCTCATACGGCGACAACAAGAACCATGAATATCACCACTTACAAGATCTTGTCGCCAGCTCGTCGCGCCTGTACCACAGACTGCAATAGATAGGCGCCATCTGGATAAATCCTTGACCGATACCGAGACATATGCGCAATGCGAGAATCGTAGCATAATTTCTCGCCTCGGCCATGCTGCAGCAACAAATGCCGAAAAACACCACAGCCACGCCGAGCGAGCGATTGGGTTTGAATTTCCGCGCGGTGAGGTTTGCTGGTAGCATGGAGATGGCATATCCGATGACTAGTGCCGGTGTGAGCAAGAATCCGTTTGTTTGGAGTTGCATGAGGTCTTACAGAACATTGTCAGGCAGTTGTAGAACTGGTCGGCGTTCATGTTCAGGTCTTTCTGCAAGCCCATGATTCTGGCGTTGCCGATACTGTTGCGGTCCTTTGAGAGTGTTAGAGTATATCACACATTCGGAGGCTGTGGAATTGGAATGAGGCGCTCACCAGGTATGATGCTAGGTATGCGACCGAGATGAGCGGCACAATGACCAGGTCTGCTTTGAGAAGGAGTCTTCGTTCGAGGACTGAGCGTTTCGTTCTTTGGTCGGAAGCAGCGATGACCTCGTCTGGGGACGGTTCATGCTGACCAATGTCTTTGACCTCGACCTGTTCGACGTCTAGCTTTTCCATGGCTGGCTGAACAATGGTTTAATAGTTGATTGATTCAATCGAAAAGGTTGAGCAAAAAGTTCGAGCCAGGGACCTCGAGTTCATTTGTCGGTGTCGTCTTGATATAAGCGAAAAATTGGACTGTTAATCGGAAAGCATTTACCAGCCCTGCACTGCGTTGAAGGATCGGAGGTGTCTCCGGACCACGTTGATCGACCCTACGATACTTGGCCCCACTAAACAATATCACCGGTCAGGACCTGGGGTATAGAGAGAACGTGGCTTTCGCTTAGCAAAAGTTGCTGTGGGATCGCCAATGAATACGAACCATGAGTGAGGATGGCGCGCCTTTCCGAGTTGTATCCGATCAAGCATCCTTGCGGCATCCCCCCCGCAAGGCAGGCTAGTCAGGTCGTCGTAACTCGGAAGCGGAACGGACCAGATCATTATTGGTCGAGTCACAAAGTTCACAACTGCGATGTGGACGGCAAAGTCGAAGAACCTTACGTGTGATTGGGCTAACGGTTTCTCTCAACATATCTACCTGCAATCGGATTTGAAAAAGATTGCGGGCTAGGACTTCAAGCATCTATCACATAGAGACTGTTGGCCTGTACCTCCCGAACCCATAGCGACCAGGCCCTTGTCCAAGCAGACTGGCCCATGTCGGTTGTAGCTGCAACCTCGGTCTCGCTCAGGAAGTGGATGCCGCCGCTTTCAGCCCGTGCACTTTCCGGCAACCCAGCATTCAGTGCGAGACTCGTTGTTTGAATGGCGGCATTGTCTTGGGTGTAAATTGCTCTGAAAACGCACTCCTCCGGGCTCGCGGCAACGGTTGTGAAGCCATGTCCACGCATGAGAACCACAGCCTGTTGAGCTTCTTGGTTACCGGTAGTATCTGAGCTGCTGAAGTGCGACGCAAGAGCTTCTCCAAGGCGCGTATTTCGAATCAACAAGTCTTGGAGATCATCGGATTGATAATGCTTAGCGATATCAAATATAGGGGTTGAATGCCCTGGCATTGACGTCAAACCTAAGTCATGACAAACCGAAAAAGACTCTGGAGTATTCATACCTAAAAAGCCGGCCATGTGGAAACATGGTCTGAGTTGTACAGCTTTCTCGAAGTTAGCTAATCACTTAGACGTCTTGAGCTGCCATGGAGCTTTACCGGAAACCGTAAATGGCACCACCGCATGCGAGTGGCTATGGATAACGCTGTTGATCTTAGGATACTTCTTGTATATCTCACTATGAATGCACCGCTCCAGATAGCCTCGTGGTGCTGAGGGATCCACAGGGGAGGCATCAGAAACGTTGTACTCCACCAGATCTCGGTCTGAGGCGACAGTGGCTGGTGGCATATTCCGCGACATGATAAATACATCTGGTTTGAGCGGGTGTCTTGCAGAAAGATGGCCGTATGCATCCACGACTCTACTGAGAATCAGCGTGGGGAGTCCAGAGAATTTGGATTCATTTCCCCGTACCCATGATAATGCAGAACATGGCTTCCCAGAATTAGAGTGCGATAGGTGTTACGAACAAGTAGCTGCTCCACAGCACCAGGGCCTTCAAGTGCAGGCATCTTTGGTTGACAAGAATAATTGTGGCGATGCTCAGTCGGTCCGGAGAAAGGCTGTGTATCAAAAGAGCAATGAACCTAGTGAACTTGCCAGATATCTTCTGCACACCAATCCGATGCGTCACGCGGTTTGCTAATCAGGACACAAGCGCTCTAGAAAAGTATGGCGTTCGAGGGCTCGCTTCCAAGTGAGGACCTCCAGTTATTCAGGTGGCCAGCTCACGGACTTAATGCTCTAAAAGGCTCCGAACAAGTCCGCCAGCCTTGTGAGCTCGTGGCATAATCGGGTGGCCTGTCGGAAGCGGTTCCGATAAATCCCCACGGAGTCCCTTAGTGCTCCGGGGTATCGTGGGACCTTTCAATTTGCCTTCTAGCGTTCTGAACAGCTTCTGGGACCTCATCAACGAGGATTCGGGACTGAGGGTAATATGGTGGTGAGGTGGAATCTGCTAGAGACCAGAAGATGGACGTCTTTATGGGTAGCTATTTCCTGGCATGTCACGAGATATCATGGACTCTTCCACCTTGGGCTTTAATTGCGCCATAGGGTCTGAGAACGCATTGCAAGATATAGGGATGTCGTGGACATCAGCTATTGGTAAACCACCCTATACACGGCGAAGGATTGTGCACAGGAGGCTGGAGAAATGAAAAGATGGCTGGACAGTGGGGGATAGGACCACCTACCGAAGAAGAAGCAAGCCACGACAAATGCCGCCCAAAGTTTGCCTCGGTGCTCAAGCTCTTCAGTGGAGAGTAAGTACACCTGTGCTGGGGGTGAGAGGGGTGGACTCCTCCCGAACAGAGGCGCCTAGAAGGGATGATGTGGGGAGATCCAGGGATGGGGGTGGCGGCCTAGGCGTGCCTAGGTATGTTTCTTAGTTAAAGTCGGACGTTCCTTACCTGCTTCCCGCCTCTCGCACAAATGTCACTCCACGTGGAACTAACCTCACACTATTTGGTTACCTGAATAACAACCGCCACATCGCACGTCTGGAGACCGTACTAACCAATTTGATCTATTCCGTGAAAGATGGCCAGTCCTCAGACAAGAACTTGATCAGCGATTGAACTGTCTCTCTGCGCGGGAGATGGATAGATTGAGATCCAAGCGTCAGAAGGTGGCTGTCGCTTGTGATCCTTGTCGCACTCGGAAGGTATGTCACCATCATGGGCTACCTGCTAGCGATTCTCATAATCATGACACCAGATTAAATGCGACGGTCGGCCACCAGGTAAGAGGCCCTCATTGAGCCTACGATGATGGCGCAAAGCTCTGTGTGCTGAATCTGATGCAGTATGTGACCCGTGTCAGAGGCGGTCACGTGGCGGGGCTTGCACTTGGGATACCAGTCCCGCAAAGTCGACTTCACAGGTACCTCCAGATCGTATTCAGTGGCTCGAAGATCGAATACGGCAATTGGAGCAAGGATCCAGTCTCGCCCATAAGACAGATCATCCCAACACCAATTCGGCCGAGGGCGAAGCCGCTCGAAACGCAACATCAAGCTTAATACCAAGTGAAAGAGCGATAGCCGTATTTTCACGCGGTATAAGTAGCGAACAGCCGTCCATTGTAGCGCCTAGTGACCAAGGGGCATTAGGAATATCTACAATGGACTCACAGGCACAACCTGAGTCAGTCCCTTCGGTCACGCCGAGACCCAGCACCCAGAGACACGAGATTGCAAGCACAGCGGATGGTGTGTCTCCGTCTGACACCCGTTCTGTTGCAATCATTGGAGCGACTACGACCGAAGGTCAAAGAGACGGCTTCTTCGGAAGTGCCAGCGCCGGAACTTTTGTACGTTCATGTCCCATCCCGCATGATTTTTCGATCCTGCCTTCCAAGCTTGGAGAATCTCGACTCTTAAGGGCATATCAATCAGCGTGATATCATTCCGCACGACCTCTAATCAATAATCAAGACTGTGATTCTGATGATCGGACTTGCAGATGCAAAATGTCAAGAAATTGGTTGAGCAGAAACTCTCCGGGGGGTCAAGCTCGACCACAGCCGTGCCCAGTGCCGCTCAGCCAAATTTACCTATGATGGTTCCAACCAGTGAACTCCAAAAGAAGCACATCGATTACATCCTGCCTTCACGGAAAAGAGCCGATGTACTCATGGCATTGTACTGGAAGTTCGTACATGAACTCTACCCGTTTCTGGACAAGCAGCAGGTACAAAAGGATTACAACAAAATTTGGAGTGGAGACGACTCCGTGTCCGAAGAACGATCATTTCTGTGTTTGCTCAATATCATCTTCGCATTAACTAGCCAGATGGATGCGTCATTGGAAGCGGAGCAGAAGCTGCGCTCTGCAACAGTATTCTACACGAGGGCGCGCGAACTATTGGACGTGGCAGAAATGGCTTCCGTGCGGTCGGTCCAATGCTTCCTACTACTAGCACAATACTTCCAAAGCACCAATGAACCTCATCCTTGCTGGGTCTTTGTTGGCCTTGCCATAAGGACAGCTCAGAGTCTCGGACTTCATATCCCGCAAACGACCGAGGTCATAGCCGATATGCGAACCAGAGAGATGTTACGTCGAGTCTGGTATGGGTGTGTTATGATGGATAATGTCGCCTCTATGGTATATGGTCGACCGTCCATGTTAGGCCCCAGGTCATTCATTCTAGTACCATTTCCGTCCCCCTTGGAAGAAGATATTGTCCCTCTTGGCAATTTCTCGCCTGATCCAGGACAAGAGCATCAAGGATCTGTTATCGATTGTTTCTGCTTCTCTGTGAAGCTATACGAAATACTACACGATGTCTTGTTCAACTTCCACTCAACAATTTCAGAGATCCAAAAGAACTTACCCTTGGAGCGGATGTACGACCGATACCTAGGAAGCACATCACCAAATGATGGGAACCTCTCCGTCCTTGAACTTGAGCGAAGGCTTGCGAGATGGGAAAGCAGTCTGCCTCCTCACCTCAGATTCGAGTCTTGCTCGCAGTACAGCGTTGAGAATAGCATCTTCTACCGTCAGACAGTAATTCTCCATCAAAGGTGAGCAAAATACCCCCCGGCGAGGGGAGGGGATTCGGTGTTGATCGGGTGTAGCACTAACAGGACCTAGGCAGCTCCATGTCCGTTTATTGCTTCTAAGACCCGTACTTTCAACCTTTATTACTACAGACTCTATTGACAAGCCGCAATCCACCCCTTTCAGAAGCCTCCTGACTTACCGAATCTTGCTTCAGTGCGCCGTTGTATGCGTCAAAGTCGCTCAAGATGCCATCGACACCATCCATGCAGGCGAAGCCGCTTCGGCTGATTCGACTGAAACACTTAGCGTGTGGTGGTACAATGTGCTGTTCTTGTACACCGCCGCAACGGTCCTAATCGCAGCTCGCCTGAGTCCCTCCATTTTGGCTGAGATAACCGAGGACTCCATTCTCGAACGATGGAACAAAGCGGTGGATATCCTGGAAGGCTATGGCACCAAATTTGGTCAATCGATTCATCGTCTGACAACCACTTTACGTCTCCTGTTCGATGCTTTACCCCAGCAATATTTTCGACTGAGGCAAAACACCCGGCAAAATGAGACGGAGACAGCCCATTCAGCAGTCCAAACTAATCACTCACAAAGCTCTGCTCCAATGTCGTTCTGGCGGCCGATGGAGTCCACCAGCCTCTCTTCGTCAATCTTCTACGACCCTGCCAGAGACTATGTGCAGGACACGGATGATCTGATCAATGACAATGACCCGTTCATCTCGGGTAGTTGGACTGATTTTGACGCTGCTTTTGACCCTATGGACTTTTCATGGTTGATGACCGTGCCTATGAACGATTGAAAGGGGGCGATCAATTAGGCTCTGCACACCCGATCTGATTGGATGGTTCTCTTATGGCTTAAGCAGCCTTTCGTCACAGTATTGGTCAAAACGACTGGTAATATCTGATGTCTGCAAGAGTCTTCTAGGACATATATACCTGGCCGATTCCAGCAGAAGCAATAACAATGACGAGATTTCGAGGGGTTTGGCAGATATACAGAGCGTTAAAAGCGGGTTCTCAAAGTCCCTATCCGCCTCGAGTGCACCATGGGTGATAGAGTAAGGATCTCATTCTATTACGCTAGTCCAATCATCATAACCCGATCATAGCATCGTACAGTAGAAAAGTCCTCCGTGTCCATTCCAGCCGAAGATTTAGATCTGCTGAACCATAGACCCATCAACCGAGGTGCGACGGTCTTGCTTGCCTCGCTTGAATCCCACCAACTGGATCATCTCAGTCCAGAAGCCCACAGGGGGAGTGAAGAATGACTCTTCGTAGGCATCCACGACATATCTCTCCCACACCAGATCGGCCTCGTGAGGGCGGACGATCCTAGTTCGGTGGATGATTTTCCAGCCGACGAACAGAACAGGCGCCACGATCACCATGGCATAGTAGGAGAAGAATGTATCGACGCTCCAGGGCGTGAAGGCGGAGTAACCGTAGAAAAAGACAACGATGGACATTCCAGCGAGGCCGATGTAGGCGCAGTACGGCTGGAACCAGCCGGTGTAGGGGAATGATTTGCGGTCGATCCCCTGGGCCATGCACGCGCGGTAGAAGAAGATGTAGGTGACGCACATGACGATGTAGTCGATGATGCCGCCGGCGGTGATCAGATTGACCAACCAGGTCAGGACCTTGTTCGAGCTGTTGCTAAGCTGCAGGAAGGATAGGAATGGGAAGAACATGACGATAATGAAGCACCAGATTGGCACGCCGTTCTTGGTGCACTTGCGCAGGAACCGTGGTGCACGTCCCTCGATTGCCAGTCCGTACAAGCTGCGGGTTGCGCAGTAGGTGTAGGTGTTGCCCGCGGAGAAGATGCTCGTGACCATCAATGCGTTGGTGATATGAGGGAGCACCTCGACGCCTAGGTTAGTCATCGCAATCACATAGGGTGACGCAGCGGCGGTGCCACCCCCGCTTCCAGAGCCGAAAATGACGTCGACCAAGGTTGGGTCGTTATAGGCAACGACAATACCGACACAAAGAGATCCGAGAATGAAGAAGATGCCGAATCTCCAGTAGATGGTCTTGAACGCAGCCTTGATGTATATCCGAGGCCGCTTCGCCTCGGCGGAGACCATCGAGATGTACTCGGGGCCGACCACGGTGAAAGACGCTGACCACAGTGCTGCGAGAAAGCCCTCGAATCGGCCAAGGTTGCCCTTCGTGTGGAACTCAGCCATTGGGCCGGGATCCCTCCAGTAGCGGAATCCGTAGGCATCATGTTTAGGGTTGCCACCGCACATGGTGATAAATGTGAAGGAGAACAACATGAAGATCAAGATGACCTTTCCTCCGGAGAGCCAAAACTCAGCTTCTCCGTATGCCTTGACGGCGAGGACGTTGAGAAGACTAGATACAAAGAGTTAGCCGACTCGTCGCTTGGTGGCACACGGATCTTGTAGGTGACGAGAAAGTAGTAGTAAAAGTCGCTTTGGGGGGGATCAATTCTCACGCGTAGAGCACAATACAGCCGGCGCACACAGCAGCAGTCGGAATGTCATCTCTCCAGAAGGACAAGACCAGATTGAGAGCGGTGATTTCGAACGGGATCAAGAGAGCCTCGTAGAAGAAGAAGTTCCAGCCGGCCATGAAGCCGAAGGCGTCGTCTACCCACTTGCCAGCCATACGGATAAAGCCTCCAGAGACGGGATGTAGGACGGTCATTTCGGCGATGCAGTTGTTGACGAGGCCGAGCAGACCACTGTAGAAGGTGTAGGCGAGGAACAAGCTCAGCGGGCCGCCTTTTGCGAGGCCGCCGCCAATACTCACGAAGAGCGCCGTGCCGATCGAGCCTCCGATGGCAATGAGTTGGATCTGACGGTTGCCAAGCCGACGTTGCAACTGGTCCGCATTGTCAGAGACCATGCCTTGTTGGATTTGGTGATCATGGCTGTGGATGTCGACCGGGGCGACGCCCTCGTCGATGTACTTGGATTCCTTATTGTCGCTCATGGTTGGTCGCTCGGGGATTTTGTTGCTTGGGGGAGAGGTCTTGGGAGTTGGCAGCAAGAGCTGGGCGTGAGGGAGACAAGCCTATCTTGAGGGCTTATGGCACCCATATATACGTAAGAGCGACAGAGCATTTTTGCGAACTCTAGAAGCCCAGCCTCCTAGCCTTGAACACTTGTCCAACAGTCGTCCAACAGAAATCCACTCTCGGATCTGATGCTACTCAACGAGAGACCGGAGGCGACCTCGGCCCCATGGTTGACCAACATTGAACAAGGTGGTTCGGTTTGCCTTGGAACGCCTCTGCCGCCCACATGGCTAGGATTCGGCCTTTGCACAAAAGCGACTACAAGATCCTAGATGAGCGAATAGGCGAGGTGAGAAGGAAAGCCTCTTCCCCGCAACGAGCCCACCTAGTACCTGTCAGCTGAGTGCGAATGGGCCGAGATGTGACGGGTGTAACAGACCCAGATGTCGATACTGTGCGACCATTGCTCTGAAGGCGAAATGAGTGGACCGCTTGCAGGCCTAGCGGATGGATGCGACGCAGTGAAAAAGATGGAGCTGCGCTGCGGGAATAGCAAGTAGTTTAAAGGAAGGCTCCATTGTAATTGCGGGGCCGGCGGGTTTGATAGGATATGATTCTTAATAACAGCCGGGACAGAATTTTCAAGAGAGGCTAACACGATCTCATATGTCCAACCCTGGGCAAGCTTAGCCTCGACGATCGTCTCCGCTATGGAATTAGGGAATTTCTTGGTCTTGGAACTGTTTCGCAGCTGCAAAGCCTGGAAGGAGAGTGCGCTCGGTGTCCACGGAGATAGATAAACACTCGCCGGCCTATTCGATACTGGCCATTTTAGTTGCATCTTTGCGAAAGTCCAGGTGTCTTGTCCTGATTGCGCATGGGGGCCAAGTCAATCCTAAAGATCGTGGAGCGACGGACAAACAGCGCGGCAAGTCGTGCTGAGATTGGCAACCCGATATTCTAGAAGACCCAGCTTGACATCACTTGAGATCTCTTGGAGATCAGCAAGCAGTGGCAAGCTCTACATGCCGAAAGACTTGAACAGGCCACCTCCAGGGTGCTCTCATCCACTTGCCCGGTTATGGCGGCAATAGCCAGGGGGGCCCCCTTGGCACCGGCCGGTTACGTAAAGAATAGAAAGAAGAAATCATCAGGCTTACTCGTACGGGCCTCTTTGTCCAGCCATGATTTGTCCCAAGTCACCTGTTATTAGCACCCTCCAATGTTGCTGTGTGTGTCAACTCCTGTATACTCGCTATACGAGGGATGCTGTCCCTGGGGATAGGGGCCTACACGGAAGCCTGAGGGCTAGATTCCGCCGCCTCCTCCAGCCCGCCCTCTCCGTCCCGAAATCCAAGAGCATCGTGTGCAATTATTGACTGGGAGCCAGTTGTAGAAGCCACGAAGACCCTGATAGGCGCCGAGAGCTGCTCCTGGCCGCAAACGAGGTGGGTTACTGTACTCTCGGCTGCCCACACAAGCCCTTCTCAATTCCAACTGACCAAAAGTGGTCTACTTAGTAGTGGGACGCCTTCACTGCTTTTAGGCGCATCCCCCCCCCCAGCTATTATTTACTCGGTGGGATCCACATCAAGGGTGGGTGGCTGGTGACGTCAATCCGAGGGACTCTCCCGGTCGCGTGGTTTACTACTCGCTTGGGATGTCTATCTGGAGGCAGAAAGTCCAGATCATACATACCAAGGCATCTTGGGGGTCAGCAGAACCGCTTGGCCTGATAAGTCACAGAAGCAATTCCGTGCTTCTAGAAGCTCTCGGCTTGCATGGAACCACCCTAGGTAATCGACACTGATATGACCTCGAAAACAGGCGGGAAATAATAATCTTGGCCGCGATAAGCCAGTGGCCTTCCTCAACATTAGACATCCCGGGGCGGTGGATCAAAACCATTATCAGCATGTGCTTCACTGGTTCAAAGTTTAAACCTTGGTCAAACCGTGACGGAGCATTGTTAGCTCCGGGCACGAAGCCCTGAAACAGCGATACATTATGGAAATGAAAAAGCAATATCAGTCACAACACGGAATGACTTCGCACCACTTTCACACAACGTCGTCCTGGCTCAATCATGGTGTGATCTTCTATCTACGTATCATTCGCGTGGAACCAAGGTACTAATTAGTTAAGGGGGTATCGCCATTCTGTAGGATCGATGTTCTCAAGGGTTACTCATTAGAGCATCATGATCCGGGCCTCAGGTTCGCACGAATAGTACCAATGTCATCCTTGCTGAAATCCAGATGGGTATGAACATACTCAGCGGCCCATGATGAGCTACTCTCGTCGCCGGCATACACGGCTTTCGCGTCCTGCAGAAACTTGAGCATGTACTCTGCCCTGACGTTAGTGAAGCCTCTCATGCCAGGCGTTTCCGGCGTCCATTCGGGCTTCCACTTCTTGATGAAAGACGTGAGGAATGCCTTCTGTGGTTCAATGCCCACCCTGGTGAGTGCGTAGTCGAATGCAATCTGGTTGTCCGGCACGCCAGCAAGGGACAGAATCAGCGCTGCCAGCGTCCCCGTGCGGTCTTTGCCTGCCGTGCAATTGAACAGGATCGCTTGGCCAGGGCGATCGAGAAGGTGTTGGAAGACTTTCTGGAAAGCGGATTTGTAGATCTGAAGGATTTCGAGGTAATCCTTGCTAAAGCCCCGTGCGCCGCCTTCCCAGGAGTCGGGGCCTTCGGATTCGAGGTCGGCAAAGTGTTTGATATCCGTGTCAGCTGGAGGAGTGTCGAAGGGACACCATTGTACTTCGATGGCACTGTTCTCGCTCGTCAAGTCTGGAAAGGGAAAGACTTGTCGTTCCCGAGCCGAGCGGAGGTCGAAGACGGTTCGAATACGAAGGTTGTTGATGAGAACGTCTTTGCCTTCTGGTGTGAGACCCGACAGTGTGCCGGACCGGTAGATCAAGGTGGGCCTGACATGGGGCATATGTGCAAGATCCCTGATATTGAAGCCCCCAGGGGCAGACACAAACGGTTTCTCAGAGAGCACACGGGCCAGGTCCGACGTTGAGATGGCCTCTTCTATGCCGCAATCGATAAGGCTGGTGTGGAAAGGTGCTTTGCTGTCGGTGGCATGTTGGTCCATGATGGCACCGTCCTCGAACAAATAGCAAAAACAGTGAGGTAAGGTTTCCCGTTCAAATTAGTCCCTTGATCAAGATGACTGCAAGGCAACAAGGTCCTTCACGACATTGTCTACAGTCGGACGCCAAACTCAGAAAACGCCATGGAGAATATATAGTGCGAACCATCATTGCGAAAGGATGAAGGCTACGCCTCAGCACACGACCTGCTACCCTATTCGTAGTGCCGAGGCATAACGGTAAGGCTGAAGTTTAGTTTACAACAGCACAGGGTGCACCGGTACGAATACGTTCCCCTTTCGGCCAGAACCAGGCTCCAGCAAATGTGTGAAAAGAGTAGCTCCAGTACTGGGGTTCTTTCATGAGATGTGGAAAAGACAACAGCGCCTTACGGCATTGCGACTATACACTGTGTCTCCATTAATTGTCTTGAGTTAGGGGCGTTGAGTAATCCGATGCGGGAAAAAGACGGCACCCGCACGGTACATATTGCGCAGCTGAAGTTGGCCACCTTTCTTTTGCTTTGGAAGCCTATTGCATGGTCGCTATGTAAGCAAGTTAGGATAGATTGACGCTACTTTCATGGCAACGGCCCTAGTTTCGTTTCTTGTCGGGTTCTATCTCATTAGTATTTCCTGAAATTAATTAATATATATTACGGACACATGGCAATTATTTCCCCCCCACATTAGTAGATCTACTTCTCCGGAGCTAGGCTAGCGTTTACGTTAATGTAGTAAATAATTGAACGTATTGTAGTTCGATCCAAGACTACATAAATATGGTGTGGATGATATTTGTAAAGACGCTGATCCTACGAATGTATCGACGGATACTATGTACTTGTGTTACGAGCGGTCGCCCATGGTCGCAGCTACTAATATATAAGTGACTACAACCCGAAGCTAGCTCCTCATAGACTCGATGCCGAGCCCGCTAAGAACCACATACTAATCGCACGCTCGCCGCTTAGTAAGGAGCTTTCTCCTTCTTTATACCTTAAGTTTACGTTGCGATATATAAGTATTAAGGAATCAAGTAACCTACACCACACTACTACTAGATTGTTGTACTCTACTATGTACCTATTATAGGCTAGTCACGAGAGGTAGATAGCTGCAAGACAACCTCAGATAGTACTCCATACATATCCCAAAGGGCAGAGGCCTGGGCAATAAATCATGTCAAGTCAAGCCTGTATTCTGAGGAGTTGTATATCCGAGGTTGCTAGCGAATTCTCTTTGTAGCCCCAAGAAGCCGGTTTTCGCGTGCAATAGCATCCATTAATCCTCAACAATGCTATGTATCATTATCAAAGGCTATAACGTACCGAAAAGAAGGGGAAGGCAATTCAGTTACATAGCAGTGAACAGTTCCACCGTCTTCGTTACGCATCACACTAGCTGCTATAATCTAGGGAACCACATGATTACTGCAATATCCCTGCAAGAAAGGCGCTGAGGATAATGGGACTCATACTTGTTAGCTGTGCAATCACGGCACTGTACCACGCCTGCCTCCATACGACATGCCAACTGATAATGTCCCCTTCACGGTCCCAAGCTCTCAGAGGAAACGGGCCCCAGCCATTTTGGACATCGTTCCCGATGTCCTCTGTCCGATATGCTAAAAAGGCTGAAAGTGCTGCAAAAGTAGATTCATGCTTCTCGAAGCAGTACTCCCATAGCTGCGCAAAGTATTCATCAATGGAGGTAGGACATGGACTCAGAATACAGCTTCTTTTCGGTGGCTGGGAGTTTGGTACGAGGGCATTCTGATCGACCCTCTCATTGAAAAGTCGATAGACGTAGCGAACAGCCTCCTGGTAGCCCTGGAGCCCCGGTTTTGCGCCAATTTGCCGGTGTTTGCTGTCCAGATCCAGGCCGGTACCGCGTCGCGATCGAAGAGTACCGGCAAACTTCTTCAAATTATCTGGTAAATGACCCATTCGCATGAATACAAGATACTCGGCGTGCCACAGAGCATCGATGATGCTTTTGTTTATCAGATGATACTCTGCCATTCTCTTGCAAACGATCTTTTGCATCTTAGGATGTCGTTCTGGCTCATATAACCACCCAGCGATGTGTACAACATCCTCAATATCCAAGTCTGTTGACGAGTTGAAGGCGGCCAATACCTTGTCCATGTTGATTAAATACCGTGTCCCAGTATCTCTACCAGCCTGCTCCACCTCGGCCTGATCCATAGCCTCATCCAATAAGCGATTCTCATATTCAATTTTTGGGCCCCATACTGCGTCGAAACCAGTTGTGTCACAGGGTAGAATAAAGCATGTACCTTCTCGATGGCGTGTATGTAGCATGATACGCAAAGTATCGGCGGTATAGATGTGCGGTGCGGTGGCGTATTTATTGGCTCCAGCTGCACCCACAATAAACAAAGCCACGCCAACCAAATTAAGAAGACTGACAGTATATAACTTCTGTCTGATTGCGGCATAGCTCACGACGACGACAATCGAGCTGATTATGCAGTTGAGAGACCAGCGGAAGCCTCTGCTAATGGAGCCAGACCAGTTTCGGGGGCCTTGTGAGCATTCTAGCTTCCAAATACGCAAGTGCTTCCAGATTGATATGTAAAGTACCATTCTTCGCTCAGCAGAGAAACGGGGAGTTCTGGCTTCAAGGTCTATCTGATCTCCAGTCTCTTCAGAGGTTGTAGTGGATGGTGTACTACGTTTTGGTTGCATGCTAGCTGTAACCGCTGGTGCTGTTGTTGTATCGACATTCCCCGCTCTGGTCTTTGCTTTCCAGCATAGATAGCATATTTCATTCATGAATCCTATGATCCAAAAGAAGAACAAGACCTGCATGATCCAAGGGACGTACGACAGCCTTGCAGCGCACTGCTCGAAGCCCTTACGGCATGGTTGTTCGCCGACGACTATCGCGCTTATTAATACCAAGAGTGTCCAGATGGATGTAATCGACCCGATCGCGACTGAGACGCGGGTGTCAGTTGAAAATCCTTTGCGACGCAGGGTAAAACCACTGTTCATGACTGCTCTATGGGCGGTGATCAAGAGGGTCATCGCCGCAAGAGCCGAAGCTTGGTGTAAACCATGTTCAAGAGAAATCTGTGAAAATGACTGTGCTCGACTCTCAAGGCGACTCATAATGAGTAGGGTTGATAAATTTTAAACTTGAAGTTTTATTACTACGCAAAAATGGTAATTCTAGACTGATTTTCTCGAGTATAGAGATTCGTTGGCGAGGTCAATTCTTCATTATTTCAACCAAGCTGAAGCTAATCTCACAAGCGCGTGACCCAACTGAGTGTGAACCTAACTCTTAGCAGTTTTACTTACTCGTGTTCACGGTGCTGGGGCGTGGTTCTATCACACGCCTAGATCGGTTCGAGCACATCGCAGCAATAAATCCCAGCATCAAGGCTAGTAGCTAAAACGGACAGCTACAGATACGGGCATTGATGAGGTCACAGAAAACGGCCGGAGAAAACAGGGGGAAGCGGTACGAGAAAGCCACAGAAAGCCATGTGCCATCGGCGATACAGAAAACAAAGTATGCTCTCCTGATCAACTCCGTAATTGGCTTGGAATGATTCTCGATACACTTATTAACCAACCCATTAGCAGCTAGCCTTCGAATATTGGCCAGTGTCCTGAGCAGGACTAGTAAATCTACAAGTCATAGGCACCCAACCGGTGTAAGGATCCAATCGTATTATACGAATTCAAGAATTCGGTAGTTTGAACAGCAATGGCAAATCACATTTCATTGCCATTCGAGGCCTGAGCCATGTCTAGTATTCCATTCACCAACTTAACTACTTGTTCAGTCATTGATGTCATGCAGCCGACTACCACGATTCCTCCTCTCACACCTTGATAAATACATTTCCTTTCTTGTCCACCTTGACCCCATCTCCACCTGGCAAAATCTTGAGTGTCTGTCCAAAATATGCGTCCACCACGTTGAGATTGACACCAATCCATGCGTCCTCTGTGCTTGGCATGATGCGATAAGAGACAGTGTTTCTACTCATCGGCACCAAGCTGAGAACAGACGATTTCGGTCCAGAGAAGGCGAACTTTTCACTTGTGTCCATGGAGATATTGAATGTGAGGAAGTGCATGCTTGGGTTTTCAAGCATGAAATCTAGGCGGTAGATGTGCAAATCTTCTTGAGGGAGAGGCGAGACTGTCAGCATCACACGAGGTTCGGCCATTGGAGCAGTGAGTTTGGGAACTTCAAGCACCGTTGTGTTCACCTCGTTGGAGTCTTCCCTTCTCCATCCGATCTGAAGAGCCAAGTCAATGCCTACAATGTTCCGGTCTCCAAGGACCAACTTCTGAATGGACAAATCAAAGTCGAATTTTTCAGTCTGGTCTGGGTCAATCTTCGAGGATATGATATTGTCAGTAGATGTCTCAGTTGCATTTCCTTCGGGGTGAACTATGCCAGTACTTGTGAAACAAACCGCACCTCCCACGATCTTGCTGGCAGTAAGCAGAATTGCCTCGATGACAAGAGGCTCCGCCGCGAATGAGTAGAGATTGGCAGTCACTGTATATTGGTGCTTCAACCCTAAAGCAGTCGTTGATGGGTCTATATCCGTTGGAGGCGCTTCAAAGAAGCTTGGCCATGGTTCCCGGCTTAGCCGTGGTAGAAATTCATAATTCGCTTCGAAAGGTCGAATCACTCCAATGTCGACAGTCAAGCTTTTGACAGATATCGTCTCGGGTTCGTTTGCAAGTCGATACTTAGCCACAATTTCGAGTTCATGGTCAACAGCGACGATAGTCTCATTAACGAGGAGCGATACTTTTTCGCTATGGCCTGGCTTGATTGTCCCCAGATCTTGAGATTTTAGCATGATTACACCGTTTACTGACTCATGCAATGACTTGTCATCAACTTCTGAGTACGTCCACTTTGCTTTTGCCGCCCCAGCGATAGGACTTATCATCCGTGCCTCGACCATTACTGAAGCGTCCTCGCTTTCTTCATTCAATAACTCAAACTCCACATGAATCGTCTCATTGACATAGTATGCTTTGCGGAGGCCGGGGGCATGAATTTGAAGTTTCGGTGGCTTTGGCTGTACGTCAATGCAATTGTACGCGTTTGATTCTTGTCCGAGGGAGCGAAGAATAGGGGCTCCTCCTTTCATTTCCCACCAATTTGTGGTGGAGTGTTCAAAGCTGGACGTGGTCGCGGCAAGTCTCATATTTGTCCGGTTGAGTATGAGAGTGATAGATGCAACGGATAACTCCCCTGCCTCCCGTGGAGTGACTTCAAATTGAAAGATTCGAGTCTGACCAGAATGAATGGTCAAATCAGCATATGCTATTTCCGACGCCACCAACCCAGTTGACGACCTTTTGCTTGCAGGGCTCGAAAGCTTGGAAGAGTCTTGCAGTACAATTGCAAAAAGCTCAACCTGGGAAGATACACTAGGCGGGGGCGCACTTGGTTGGGAAACCAGATAGATAGGCTTGAGGGCTCCTTCAAAGACCACTTTGATTTCGCCTAGAGGAATAGGTGGCATCTCAGCTCCCATTCGAGCTTCTAATGATAGCTGACAAGTAAGCGGCGTACCGACAGAGACGTTGTGGCTAGAAAAAGCAAATCTCGGAACCAAAGGTGAGAGGGCTTCGTCCATGTTAATCGAAACCGAAGCGACTTGCCCATCTGATGAAGGTATACTATCAGGGCCACCCAAGTTGTAGTTAAGCCCACCCTTTTGTTCGAACACATTGCTTGAGAGTTCCCACAGGAGCTGAATTGATAATTCCGAGTCTTGCAAATGAACTGCACAATCGTGCATGGCCCAACCAATATGTTGTAATAGCGTCCACCAGCCACCGGCCCTCCACGATACGCTTGACCAAAGTGGTTGCAGAATAGTGACCGCATCTTTCCAAGACTGCGTACCGAGGCTTTCAAGTGCCATCTCGAGCTTGAGAATCTCAGTCTTACGCAATTGACCTCTTTTCGCAAAATGTTCAATCGCGCTAGTAAGAGTTGCTGTGATGGCCCCTTGATAGTCGTAGCCTTGTGATCCATCCAACGGATACTCACGATATGGCTCAAGCGCTAGATATGTGTTGTATGATTGAGATTTGCTTGCAGCGACTCCTGCAGGTGAACGTCCCGGTGGTTGTCTTTCCTCCTCAGGTAATTGCTGCACCCATGTCCGCCGAGCAACCGTGGCCTTTCTCGCAATCTCCAGCCAATAGCCTTCATGGTGCAGTAGCTCCCATGGAATTGCGCGCTCCGTTGAAACAAGGGACTTTTCAAGGACAGCAAATACTGGAAGTAGATCCGAGCTGTCTGAAATTCTGGCAGATAGTAAGGGGTATTGTGATCTGGAGATCAAGTCGGCCATAGCAGTAGCCCACATGCTCAACCAGGCTTCCCACGCGTAGTTTTCTGTTCCCTTGGTCCTCCTATTGACAAGGTCTTTCATACGCTCACGATGCGTTATCCATGATTTGACGGCGGTTGAACCTTGATCGGTCCATAACAGACACCTGAGCGTACGCAGCGCGATGATATCAGCAAGGAGTCTGGCCTCATTAAAACGAGGGCTCCAGACTGGAATGGCGTGCATGATTTCGGCACCAAATATGCCTTCATAGGCCGTTTCGTAGTTTCGGCAGGCTGCATCCATCTCCTGCCTGAACTCTGCGAAAACTCCCAGTTTGAATTCGTACCTGACGTTCCATCCCGGTAAAGAGAGAACATGTGCACTCCCTGGCTGTACAGTGGGTTGGGGCACCACGTTTCTACTACGCTTGCGACGAGCGTGCTTTGAAAGGTCGCGGTAATAATCTACACATGAAGCATGAATTGAGGATAAGACAGTGTTGACAAACTCCTTGACCTCAACCGGCGACGCATTGAAAGGAATAAAGTAGATGCTTTTGCTGTCAAGACCGGAGGAGCGCCGGATGTTGCTAAATCGATCGTCAAGCTCGGATGGATTGATATGGCCATCACCAATCAGAACAACCACAAGCCTTGTTCGATAGTTGGTAGATGTAATGACGCTGCGAGCAGAGCTGATTTCCGACTTCACCTTGTTGTCCTCTAGAGAACTGGAATTGGGATCAGATGCCAAAGAAAAGAAGCTGATGAATGCACACGGCAGTCGAGATTGGTGTTTCAAGATCCAAAGGGGCGAGAAGATGCCATCGGGATACAAGGGGGAGCTGGGCGTCAAAGGTGACAGTGGAGAGTGGAGAATAAGCTGTGGTGGTGGATTTCCAGATCCAACAGAAGCAGAAAGCAGAGGCGAGTGAGGTGGTGGGGGCGCTTTACGTGGTGGGAGAGCATATGCCTGTATCTTGAATGAATATTTGCCGCACCTCTAAGAGGAATCGGCATCTGACCTACCCTTCCTACGCTTGTGATTTTGAAGAATCTTCCATTTCTTGAAGTCAGAGACTGACTATGCCAGGGAAGGTTGGAAGCATCTTGGTCCCGGAAGGACTCCTGCAACAGTTGTGCAATATTTCCCTGAACCCGTGGAGCATCTATTTTAATTCTGAATCCTCCTTCTTGTAGCAAATTGTGCGCCTTGCGCGAAGGATCGATATCATTGTCGTTTTCTGCGCCTAGGCCAGAGAGGAGGAGGAGAGGCAGGTTGTGGAGGTAGTAGTCCTCCGGAAAGCGGTCCATGATGATCAGACATGATGCGGAAGCGGACCGATCAAGGAGGTGCTTGCTCACTTCTTGAATAACTCGTGGCCATTATAGATATCATCGTGAAGGTCATAAGTTAGTCTGCATGGCCAACATCTCACATGGAGTTTGAGCATCTGAAGTCCTTTGTTGCGAGCGCCTTCGGTTTACCTTCCTAAGATGATCCTGCTGATGTTTTTGGCCCCACTATCGCAATCAGCACGTGACTTAACATTCAGCTGGTCACGTGATATGGACAAAGCTTTTGGCGGCCCTGGGTTCCTCCCCACCTACAAGGCCAGCTGCGGCGTCTGTCTACATGCGATCGGGTAAGTATTGCACATAGTCTATGTACTATTCCTGGTAGATGGACTGCATCTGCTCAAGGTAATATTGCTGACGTGGTAACGTTGATTTCTAGCGCTGTTTCCAAGATCCGGTGATCACACAATCCCCAACTGGCGGGGAACCTGGTGATTTCTCCGAGCCAAGCTCGTCAGCATTTGGCGACTTTGCTCCACCACTTCTTCAACAACTTGAGAACGCCGACCACTAAGACTAATGGAATTGCCTGAGCGCTGGCAATAAGGGCACTGATATACATATTTCAAAGTGCTGATTCTTTGTCGTCGTCAACAATGGTCTGACAGACGCTGAGGGGCTGTCCTTGTTGTGGTCATGGGCAATCTACAATCTCGAGACTGACTATTATGGAACCTCCTTGGCACACCATAATCGGCTCTCGTCTGGTAGCCTTACTTCTATGATTGAGGCTTGCTGCCACACCTTACGTCAATGGAGCCCCCACAAGTATCGTCAAAGCAACCATTCAGAGCATGTAATGCCTGCAAACGACGCAAAGTGAAATGCGGTGGCGGGCCAATTTGCAGCCGCTGCTCTCAGGCAAACTTGCATTGCATCTACGGCTCGGTTCATCCTGCAGCTCTCTCGCGGCGTTCGATCATTCGTGGGAAAGTCATCGAGAGCTATAGAGAGTCACTCGCACGGGAGGCAACCAGCAATAGTGGAGGACAGACCTCTCCTCTTGTGGCGCAAGACCTACACACAGATGATACGAGCGGAGATGGCACATCTCGCTTCACATCCGAGTTTTTCTTGGAGCTTGTGGAGGACTTCTGCAACTATACTTTACCAACTGTACCCATCATTGGCGAAGCCGAGTTCAGATCCGCCATCGAGGCTATGGCTCATTCCACCCAGGATCGGTCTCTTGTATACTGTCTCGCGGCGCAGACACTCCATCTCAGGCGCACCATGGGAAGAAGCGGAATTGTAAATCCAGATGACGCGACCACCCTGTACGAAACGGCACTTCGGCTCCGGCAGCCAGTGTTTTTCCGGCATCAAATCTCAGTCAAGAGCGTGATGGTTCCGCTGCTTACCTCGATGGGGATGTTTTCAACAGGTCGAGACGTGGATATGGGGTTCTACTATAACAGGGAGGCTATAAACGGCGTCCAGATACTCCATGTGGACGACCCTGAGCATCAAAATTCACTTGAGCCAGCTGAGAGAGCACAAAGAGAGCGTCTTCACTGGCTGCTATTTATCCACGAGCGGTTTCACGCACTAAGCTCCTACCGTCCAGCTGTCATGACATTATTGCCGAACATTCCTGAAGGTGATTCTTCAATTCCACCAGGGGTCATGGAATACTTTACCCTGCTCATTCACGTGTTCCGTGTCATCGATGACGACTTTATCAGAAATTGGAGCGACAAAACCAGGCCTGAACTGACTCTCGCCTGGATCGAGAAGAAGCAAGCCGAGCTTGGTCATGATACAAACACATGGAGCGCAGGGTTTGAAACGCTCAGTGACATGCAGCAAGTAGACTTGATCGTTACGAGATATTGGCTCCGCACTCTTCTGTGGGAAATGGCGTTACACAAATCCATCCTTAGTTCTAACGTGCAAAATCCCAACCACGACTTCCTCTCCTTAGCTTTCCCTATCAGGCTATCACATCAACTTCAACATTGCTTGAGTAACAAGCCACGCGAAGCTGTTGAGATTCATGGGACTGGCATTCTGGACAAGATTTTTGAGATCACCTGCACTGTTGCGGATCTCCTCCAATACGTTGTCCCGAATACCTGCACACCTGAAGTGCAGTCGGCACATGTGGACTGCTTTTTATTCTTGTATTCTTTCTTGCTCAAAATGTCCAAATTCTATCATGTCGAACGAACACTTCTGGCGGCCAAACTTCAAGCTGTGCAGACGGCGCTTCCTTTCGCGATAGAGGGCAAAGAGCGCACTGATAGTTGGTCATCATCGTCTACTCCAGGTGGATTGTCGGACCGCTTTTGAATCAAGGAATATTGGAATGGTCAGTGTTCTCCAAATTGTTATTGGATCACAAGTGTTCAGTAACTCCAGATTCGTTCTCAAGCCCAAGTCCGAAAGACCATACCTACAATTGAGATTCAACTACAATTCTGCCAGTCAATTGCCAGCTAAAGATTTGAAAATAATCGACTTTAGCTGTTGATGCCCAGTTCCGTCCCCAAGTGTGCTGCTGGACCGTGGGAATACACTGCAAGGCCGGTTCGGGTAGAATAGCTCTTCCAGCGACTATCATTCAGGGGACCTCGCACCGAGTTCTTGCCTGCATATTTGGTACTATTCTGGAACATTGAAAGAGAGATGCGAGTTTTTCCGCGAGTTCATTCGCGAGTCCGCTAGTGATCGCATTTCCCATCCATGTCTCTTCCTTCTTCCCTGAAGGTGAGCGAAGGCACATGCATGTACCTGCATGGAACATTGATGGAATATCTCAAGAAGCATGCAATCATCGAATTGCAGGAGCTGTGGGGAACAAGGCGTCCTTCTGGGAACTTAGAAGGTTTGCTTGCGTTCCATTGCCCAGCATGTGCCGCGCATGGACGAGATGTCGGACCGAGTTCTCAGCCAGTGATTTTGGGCCAAATCCGTCTAGTGCCCCCAAGCCTCGTACGCTACGATTCGCTAAAACAAAGCAATAGTCCTTCCATAGGACCAACGAATAGCTAGTATACGACCTCGGACCGAGTTCTGTTCCAGCATTGAAGACCATGTCACCTTCCCCGCGTACGACAGTGGTTAGAGTATACATCACACAATCCTAAGTATTGTGGATACCTACTAACTAGCACTAATGACACTCTCCAGTGTGGGGAGAGAAGTAATTTCTCCGTTCTCTACAACATCTCGCGGTCCAAAGCTGCCTCTTACGACCGTTTCGCTCGGGTTCCTTGTTTCCATTCACGATGGAAGAGCGCCAAACCAATTGCAATCACAGAAAAGAAACTCCGAAGCGTTGAAGAGCTTCTAGAAATCACTTGGAAGGCGATGTGCATCGCTTCGGTGCGCTTCACGAGGAGCGATCAACGCTATAGGCTACTAACTATTTCCAAAGGCTGCTACTAATTACGACGGGTATAAAGACAACACAGAGTCGCATTGCTTGGACCTGGTTCTCCCCATTCATCTTCTTCATTCACCATCAGCTCAATACCGCTTGAACATTTATTTTACCCGTGGCAGCTTAGTTCACTGAGCTTAGAGCAAAGCATGGGCTCACCATACGATGAAGAAACTGGCAAACGGTCCAGTATTGCCGACTATACTGCTGCCACCCACAAGGGCGGGCACGATTCAAGTCGAAGAAGATCCTTGTTGATTGATGCTGCTCCTCAGTCAGACCCAGGCATCATCAACCAGAGCGACGGAACCCTTCGCAAACTCTCGGCCGCCGTTCCAAACCTTGCCAATCTTACAGAAGATGCCAAAAACGGTGCCGACCAGGAGAAGAAGATGGGATTTCGTGAATCATTGCGGCTGTATCCTCTTGGTGCCTTCTTCTCCTTTGGTTTGTCACTGGCAGTCGTTATGGAAGGATACGATACAGCGCTTCTGGGCAGCTTCTGGCAGCAACCCGCATTTGCGCAGAAGTATGGCGAGCTCGTCATGAAGGACGGCGTTGAGACACACGTCGTGTCTGCATCGTGGCAGCAAGCGTTCACAGCCAGCAGCGTAGCCTCGATGATTGGTCTCATGATGAATGGCTGGCTGTCTGACCATTTTGGATACCGGAAAGTCATGATGGGAACCCTTGTGTCCATCACGTTGTTCTTATTTGTCACCTTCTTCGCTGTCAATATCAGGATGTTGTTGGCCGGGTATATCTTGTCCGGTATTCCATGGTAATTGGGATTCCTGAATGACTGAATGTGGGTAGCAGTGTTGACTGACGGCTCTTAGGGGCATCTTCCAAACCATCACCACCACTTACGCAGCAGAAGTAACGCCTGTCTCCCTTCGCCCATATCTCACCACCTACGTCAACCTGTGCTGGGTCATTGGTCAACTCCTCGCCGCCGGTCTCCTCAAGGGTCTTCTCACCATGGAAGGACAATGGGCGTATAGAATCCCATTCGGTCTGCAATGGATTTGGCCTGTTCCGATCTTCATCATCTGCTATTTTGCACCTGAATCCCCATGGTGGCTCGTACGGCACAACAAGATCGATGAGGCTCGAGCCGCACTTCTGAAACTCACGTCGAAGAAGAACACGTCTTTCAATGTCGAAGAGACTCTGGCCATGATGATTCATACCAACGAACTCGAAATACAACAGTCCTCCCAGTCCTCCAGCACGACGTATCAAGACTGTTTCAAGGGCATAGATCTTCGCCGGACTGAAGTTACTGTTATGGTCTGGTTGATTCAACAGACTTCGGGCTCCGCTATGATCGGCTGGGGAACTTACTTCATGACACAAGTCGGACTATCGACCAGCGATGCGTACTCTCTCGGTGTCGGGCAGTACGGTATGGCGTTCACCGGCACCGTGGCGTCTTGGTTCTTAATGCCACACTGCGGTCGTCGCACCCTCTATCTCTGGGGCCAGGGACTTATGTTTATCGGCCTCCTTACAATTGGCTTACTGGGCATCCCTAAGCTGTCGTCGAGTACTGGTTGGGCCATCGGCGCGTTGATGCTGATTGAAACGTTCATCTACGACATCACAGTCGGACCTGTCTGCGTGAGTCCCTCTCTGTCCATGCCCATCTCCCCTGGGCCTGTTAATGTACAAGTCCGCTAATCCATGGACGTAGTACTCGCTCGTAGCCGAAATCCCCTCAACACGCCTACGCATCAAGACAGTCGTCATATCACGCACTGTATATAACCTGGCAGGCATCGTGATCGGGCTGCTCCAGCCACGCTTTATGAATCCAACAGCTTGGAATTGGGGCGCCAAGACATCTCTCTTCTGGGCCGGATTTAATCTCATGGGCTTGGTCTGGACGTTTTTCCGACTACCAGAGCCAAAGGGGTACGTTATACACCTAGAATCCTACCTTACTCTTGCTCACTACTGAATGCTAACGATGCGTCTTCTATAGCCTCACATACGCTGATTTGGACGTCCTCTTTGAGAACAAGATCAGCGCAAGGAAGTTCCAGAAGGTCAAGGTTGACCCGTATCGATCGGAGCACTTGGTGACCGTTTCTGAGGACAGTGAGAAGGTCATCTCAATAGAGAATGAGAATGTTAAACGGGGCTGAGTTGACTTGCCTGGTACCTTCAGTGCTCCAGAGTTCACGGTTCTGTGCAAGGCACAGAGAGGTAACCGTGGTCCAGGTTACGGAATGAGGAAAGAGCTGCCGATGCTGAAATCTTACCGTTGAAGTGATGAGAAATGTGTACATGAAGGTTAGGTATTTACGCTGGGCCCTGTGTATATAGCTCATCCTTGCCTAAATCAATTCAGTTATAAATTGCAAGGACGAACTCTTTCCGTGTGATACTGAACTCATAATTTCAGCAGTCGACCCAGAATTAGTCGTCTCAAACTTCATCCACTATGCGCGCAGCTCTAATGATTGGCAATGAAAACTGCGATATCCTGTCTAGTCTGTCTACTTTGATCTCAAAGAGTGAAGGATAAATATATATATGCACACAGGAGCGAGATTCACGTCTCCCAATTGTCGAAGACTAAAAACCAACACCCGCTAGCACGGTCATCATTGTCAGTGCAAGCTTATAGTCCATACTGAGATCTTAGGCCAAAATAGTCTGGGAACTCGAGTTTCTGCTGGACTTCAGACGGAAAGAAAAGGTCAATGATGGCAGCAATCTTCAACGCCCGCACCAGCCAGGAGAAGGTTTGCAGGACCCGGATCCCCAGTCTTGTTTCTGGAAGCCCAAGCCTGAGCAGGAACGAGGGGGTATCGCGGATTATCGGCCGGATGATATGCTCAAACTCCTGTGCGGCGTCGTGGAAGTTCAGCGTTTCTCCTGGATTCTGACATGCCTCCCACCGCTTTGAGATCTCGCCGGCCAGCACATATGCCTGAATCAATGCGGAACTCGTGGCCCAACCATTCACACCAGATGCGTTTGCCGCATCGGTGACATTTCCCCTATCCTTGGTCTCTTCGTATAGAATATTGGCCAAGTCGCCTCTCATGATCTCATACTCACTCGTCATGGTCTGCCTTCCTTCTCCGCTGGCGTTAGCCGGGACGTACGCCTGGCTCCTGCCTTTCGAATCGATCATTCTTGTGCCGGGCTCGGCGCACAGACATGCACGAACGGCCTTGTCGATGCCCATCATCTTCATCACGACAATGCCCTGTCCCCGAAGATCAACCTGTTGACCAGTGCTGCGGAGATCCTGGCTGTTCTCAACCACGGTAACAGTGCAGCCCGGAATCTTGGAGAGCCCGTAGGCCGCTGCTGGCCCGCCAACTCCAGCTCCTACTGTGAGGACTTTGTAGGGATTTCATCGCGCACGGTTGGATTTTCAGAATCAATATTCAAAGTTTGGAGTAGAAAACGAAGGCCGATATAACAAAGGAAGAAGCGCAATCAAGTAAGAATAGGCGCAGGGTGTGGCAGGCCCCCAAAGCGATTGCGATGCAAGCATCTAGGTGATGCGCTGCGTAGTAGAGACGTATTCAGCAACGCTTACCTAGATATGGCACCTCGTAGATATTTTATAGACCGCAGGCAGATAATTGTCACTGCCTCTCAAGGATAATCTCGTGACCTGCAAGACCACAAAGTAAGCTCAATGCTACGACTTTAAGTTCAGACCACGGCGTGTCCTAAGCCTCCTCTTCCGCACGGCGCGGCTATTTTGAGCCTCAAATGGCTGGAATCTTGACATCTCGGACTTTTGATCGCACGCGTCCGGATAGCCCGCGAGCGATATTAAAATTAGCTGATTCAATGACAGAAGGGGAGCTTGATACCAGGCTCGCATATGGGAGAATGATTTGCGAGACTACGGGTAAAAGCTCCTGCGAGGTATTTCTTTCCCTGGCACTGGACTTCTAAGTCATGCATCCCCCACACGATGTAGTATGGCCTGGGAAGAGCTATCACACGCAGGTCGCCTTGATGGTCGTATAAATTCATCAGGTTCCGTCCATACGAATGTCTGATCAACCAAGTCTAGGATCTTGCACTTCGGTCCTCCTTCACGAAATATGAAATGATTCAGACCATCAACGTGCGAGTGGCACCAATCACTCCTTTGGCTTGACTCGAGCGGCCCACTCATCACAAATAGACCTCAACCTACTCTCGGTCCCCGGTTCCTTTTCCAATAGTCAGTACTTCGCCATTAGAAGAGCGCGAGATAGCGCTCACCGTTGCACTATGTCCAGCATCTGGACTCCATTGGAGCTTTGACTGTGGCAACGCCTTATGCACAAGCCATGCTGCCTTCGGGGGGCATACGACATCGTAGCGCCCTTGCACGATGTACGCTATCATTCGTCAGACAAGACGTGTCCATATGGCAAGAAAGGAGGCAAGGACTTACTTGGGATGTGGGCGATCCTCTCCATATTTTCCTTTCTCAAGAGCCTCTTCTCGTCTCTTAGGAAGCAGCCGTTTACAAAATAATGCGCTTCAATCCTGGCATGCTGCAAACCCCAGTCCTCATCCTCCAGCTTCTCGAGCGCGTCGTCCGCTAGAAGCAAGGTCGAAATCGACATCTCCCAGCGGTTCCAATTTTTGGAGGCAGTCAAAGCAGTCTCTCGATCTTCCGACACGAGCAACTCATGATAAGCCTTTGTTGGGTCGTCGCGTTTCTCCTCGGGCAAGAATTGGATAAAGTCCTCCCAGCGATCCGGAAATAAAACGGCGGAGCCGTGGCCTCTCAAAGTCCAGTCAAATTCCCATTCTTCACCGAGGAATACGCCTCGGAGCACTAAGCTGCCAACAGCCTCTGGGTGGGCTTGAGCGTATGCTAAGGAAAGCGTGCTTCCCCATGAGCCACCAAAGACCATGCTCCATTTCGGGATCTGCAGCTTTTCACGCACGGTCTCGATGTCGGCAATCAGGAGCTGAGTGGTATTCTCACGAATCTCGGCTACAGGTCTTGACTTACCACCGCCGCGTTGGTCCATGAGGACAATGTGATAATGGGCCGGGTCGAAGAACTCGGCGCTCTTCGCTGAGGTGCCACCTCCAGGGCCGCCGTGGAGGAAGATTACTGTTCGGTTCAAAGAAGGTGTGAGCCATTGGGGTTTTCCGAGTTCCCGAGCTCCCACCTCAAAACGGCAGGCAACGGCCGGTAGATAGTGAGTTATATGAGAATACCGCTCACCTGGTAAACCATTCTTGTTGCCATGCTGCGCATAGTATACTCGATGCAAATCGCTGACTTGGAGATACCCTTCGTCCCACGGCTCTTGATTTTCGTAGCCTGGCATGATGATGATCTGAGAAGCACGATATCTGAGGACAGCGTCAAAGAGTTTCGTCGATCTGCTATCAACACGCAACAGTGACTTGTGATTCTTGCACGTTGCAGGGGAATGAAGGAGCGAAATGGCTGCGATGCGAGGGGCAATGGGGTCCTGTACAGTGTTCAGAAGGCTTGGAACAAAGTGTTCAGGGCTTGCAGAGGTTACGCTAGTGAAAATAACCTGCTCTCCAGTCGCCAAGGGCGATGTTATGTAGGGCTACACAGCGGCTGCCCAATTCTCGAGTCCCCCGCAGGTACATCCGTGATAGAATGCGATGTACCCCGCCTGGCAAGGCTGTCAGCCTTGCTGGCTTCAGGGGGCCGCTCTCATCGCCTACAGCAAGAGACAATAACGAGAGCGCATATTGTAGGCAGTGCCTACTCAATACGGATGTCTTCCATCTCTCGCAGCCTGAGCAAGCCGAGCAAGCCAAACAAGTACGGTTATCCAGGGTTGATAATGCTAATCTCGCTACTCAAGCTATACGACAGGTCCTGAGAGTCATGTATCCCATTGAGTTGTCCGTAACAAAACAAGTTGCCTGCCCGGATCGATCTTGGGAAATAGCGTCGTGCCATCCTGTCCTCCTCAAACTATTTTCTCTTTGAGGAGGTGAACGTTTCCGATCTTATCCTGCCTCAACGACTTGACCTCATAGTTGCGAGGGTTGAAAGACAGTTTTGCCAACCACAGCCAAACTTTTAAAGCTCACTTAGTCTCGGTGCTGACCTGCTGAGCCGCTGAGCCGCTGACCCTAGTGGTGGGTGCGTAGGGCCTACTCGTGCACCCAGCTCATAACCGGGGCTTGGATGACTAAGATATGGGTCATCGAAACGGGAGATTGCCTTTGAAATCCCTTTCTTTGGGTCTCCCGCGACTCGCCAACTCTGCAGGCCCAAACCCTTCACCACGATACTTGGCTTGGCCGTCGGGCTGCTGGATGCTCAACAAGCCTCAACTCGGTGTTTATCCATCTAATTGGTGTGTGTTTGAATGAGACAACCTACTACCTGGCCAAACAGCCCATTTTCTTGTGTCGGATCCCGATGGACAGACCGAGTATTGTGGTCGGCTCCCCCTACGACAAAACGGCCCGGTCTTCTCTGTCGGGATTACCAATCATGCCTCGGGCATCTGAAGCGAGGAATCTCAATAATGGGAATGAGAAAGCTGCGCTCTGCTTCGCCATGACATAGCTACGTTACGTATAGGAATTATCTGTTTCGGCATCTACCCGGTAGAGTATGGCTTCGAGCTCTGGGCCCGCGTTGGTGACTGGTCCCCAATGCTGGGTCCGCTATACAAGGATTAGCATCCGCCAGGCTCTTGGTTGCTGTTTGCTGTTTGTCAAGCCGACCGACTGTACTGTGCATATCTTGTGGGGCACCACTTTTCCGTCGCTTATTCAATTCCCTGGGTCCAGAGCATTGATGCTACCTCGTAATTCGTACCCCGTAACTCCAAGTGACGGATCGGGGTTTCAAGATTGCGACTCTATCGCCAGTCGTCTTGTAGAGTATCAGGCAACATTCAGTTGGCTGGTGGTATTATCGCTTCGCAAGGCCTTTCTGTGAGCTTGGCCGAAGATCCTCATGCAGCGTCCATGCGAGTCCCCATGTCCAACGGAACGCTGGCTGTCAAGCCCGCTTCAAGCTGTACCAGGCCAAGGTACCTCGTACTCTGTACTTGAGCATGTCGAATGATTACCCGTGCTCAGATGCGATGTTGGAAGTTCTTAGACGCTTTCGCTGTGGCGGATTCGAACGTGCCAAGGTGCGCGATCCGATGCCGCCAGCACCTCTCAAGGCTCCCCAGATGCAGCAGTTTGGATAATCGATGACTGAAAACTCAATATGCAATCCTTGGACACCGAATGTCGCGTTCCATACGGACCATGGGATTTCACCCAGTCAAGGGCTCCTCGCACCCTAATATCTGATTGCCCACGGCCCGCTTTTTACGTTTCCCATATCGTGTGGCACGCGAGGACTCCAAGGCCAAGCGATTTCGGGCGGTTAGTAACTACTTATTCAGCTTTGGTTGAAATTAAACCACAGGCCCTGAGGCACCACACGATGGCAACACTGACTAACGGTCCGATATTTTGTGATCCAGGTCTATTTGGGAAGGAGCGATCTTCGGGCCCTGAGAGCTCGAGGGCAAGTCGAATGCAGTAGCCGCTTGTCGCTTGCGCTCTCAGCACAAAAGCTTTATTTGACCCCGACCTCCCCTACACTATGTTGCAGCCTTTGCGCTGCTCCCAGATCTGCCTGCTTTCCAGACCCTAGCAGCGTGCAGAGGCCTATTTGCCGTCTCTACATAACATTGATCAACCCCTTCTGGGCTTCTCGGATGGTTTCAGCCAAGGGACCCTGCGGTCTCACCGGCAAATGCCTCCTAAAGAGGATGGCACCCCACCCAAGTCCTTCACATTCATTACTGGAAACCCGAGAAGCAAGAAGAACATCACCCAGATCCGTCGGCATGCCGGACAGAACTCTGGTCATAAGGCTACGTCACAGTGGCCTACCTCCACTGCGGTAACCTCTGCTAGTGATGATTCCCCGCCGACCTCATACACCTGGAGCCCAAGGCAGTACGTGCCGTCGAGTTTGCCTTCGGCCGGGGAAGCCCACCGATTGTCTACGTCGCCTCCTCCAACGAATGAACAGCGTCATAGCTGGCCGCCGCAAGGACCCGTTTCCAGCCGCCCAACGTCTAGAGATGAGGTACATGGGTCGGCTGTTGGGCTTCAAAGGACCGATCTCTCAAGTCCAGTGCCTTCTTACCAGCGACATGTGGAACCTTGCTCGCCTAACAGCACAAATATACCACCAACGGGGAACAGGCCTAATGCTTTGGACGTTCCATCCAGATCAAGCCATGACCGTGAAGGCTACTATCTGTCTCGGCATATGATGTACAAGAGTTCGAAAATACCAAGCTCATCAATAATAGAACCATCGTCGCCACCCTTCACGAATGTTTCTACCAGCGCACACCGACGGAATCTCACAATTCAAGAGTTGGTTAATACATCAGAACCGCAGGGATCACGGTTTAGCGGAGAGCAAGATTTAGAGACAAAGCCTCCAAGTGTCCAATCTCCTCAATACGACGGATCGTCGTTACCAAGTCCTAGTGGTATGCAGAGACCGTACGATTTCCGATTATCTTATCCCGTTCAGAAAGTAACCCGAGTTAGGACACATTTAGTTCAACGGAAACACGGCAATCACGCAATGGGAAAGGCAAAGCATCTGAAACGAAGGCCGCTTTTTATCCACTCAGACCCAAGCTCTGGCTCCAACAAGGACAGCCCAGCACCATCTCGCTCACCGAGAAACCGACATACATGGCGCATAGAGAAATCGTCATCTGCTAATACAACTTCTCCAATCGCCCCTACCCTGGCATTATCTAAAGATGACTTCTCAATAGCACAGACACTGTCACTAGCAGCCTCGTTCTTCACCAGTCAGATGTCGACTTCATTCCTAGAAATTCCGAGTCCCGTAGACCAGGTCAGACACCGGACCAACATTTTCCTCGCCGAGGGTAGTCCCATTCACTCAGTGGAGACTTTCTCTGGTGCCATTACTACTGCTGCCGGTCTACTGGCCGTTGATCGCATCGACAGCGCGTCGTCTTTGCTGAATCAAGCATTACCCAACCTGCACGACCTCCTTACCTCGCAGCATCCACAGCTTTATCCCGTCCTCGCCGAGCTCTCACTTGATTGCCATGAGGACAACTCTCTTGCTCGACTTCGTGGGCAAATCAAGCAATTTGCTGCCAGCTTATCACATTCGGTGCTCGGGGGCTTGCATCCCATAACGCGGCTCCTTCGACTTGAACTGTCTTCACCTGAACAGACTGCGAGACTAAGAGAACTCGTCCAGCGCAAGATTCATGACCTTCATGTGGACTCGTTCAGCCTGACAGACCCTCTAACGATAACCCAGAGGTATTATCTGGCTCGTGTCTTGGCACAACTTGGGCATTTAGACGATGCAGTCGGAGTCCTGGACGATGTGAGCAAAGCCTGGGAGCAAATCTATGGGCCAGGGAGCCTCATGTGTATACTGGGTATGATAGAAAGGGCGAAGGTGAGAATGAGGAGGGAGAGCGTGAATTTCACAGAAGTGGAACACATTTTACAGGATGCGCTGGCGAGGACGATGGATCTCCTGGGTGAGCACCATGAAGAGATGCCCCGGCTTCCTGCTTCGACAACGACACCTCATACTCAAGCTGCATTTGGATCTACATACCCTCAGAATCTTCCGGCGAGCATCGTGCACGCCCGAATGGCATGTCTCCGCACGCTCGGCCGGCTCTATGCAATGCAAGACTTGCCCCATCGTGCGCTGCAGTATTACAGCCAGAGCGCCATGATTGGAATCGACGAGCTTGGCCTAATTGTTCCGGCTGTCCAACTTATCCTTGCCGATCTCGATGTCGTGGGTAAACTGGCTGTGCTGGATCATTCACAGCCTTGAGAGTGAAAACGATAACACTCGCCCGAGAAAAAGGTAATGGACACCGCGCGGGCAAATCAGTAATGGAACAGAGAATGCTTTTTAGCGGTTGTTTAGAGTGTGGATGACGATAATGTAATAAGTGAAGAGACACCTGTCAAGTCGAGTGAAAGGCACGATATATAAGAGACAAGACACACTGCACAGGTAGCCGCCCTCAAATTGACCAAGTTTATTGGAGCTAGTATACAGATGGGCGTTGATATCAACTCGGCCCTTTCTAGTTTCATTCTTTTCATGCCATCGACCAGAACAGAAAGCCCAATTCATCAAGGAAATCTGGTCTAGTTTTCCTCGCTTGCCACCAATGCTACACGTGAAAGGATTGATCTTCTGCAAAAAGGTCCCCAAAAAAAAAGAATGTCAAGTCATCTTAACTTCTGCTTTTCCTTCTGTTTCTTTTCCGTCTTCTGGACCCAGGCCTCAGCTGCGACGCCGCCAAACACAAGGGCGACGCCGGCCCACTGGCCCGGCGACAGGGACTTTCCGAACCAGAGGACGGAGAGCAGCATGGTGAGCATCTTGCGGGTGACGGTGACGGTGACCAGTAACAGGGACGAGAAGCGCTCGAGGGTGGCGTAGATGAACAGCTGGCCGACGGCGCCGCACGCGGCGAAGCCCAGCATGTCGCGCGTGACGGCCGGGTGGCGGGCGAGGAAGCCCAGCGCGGAGGATAGCTCGTTCGTTTCGGCGGCGGGAAGGAAAGAGGGGAACAGCGCCGGCGGGATGATGGGTGTGAGCAGCAGGTAGCCCGTCATGAGGAGCGTGCCGAGCAGGTTCAGGATGACCATCATCTGCGGGCCGGTGGATTTCCCGTAGCGGGCGGGCGAGGAGAAGATGTGGTCTTGGATCGTGTTGGTCAGGCCGTCGAAGAGGAGGTTGATCGCGAGGAGGGTGAGGCCGTAGATGCTGCTTGTGGCGTTGGTTCGGGAAGAGGCCTTGCCGGCTTTGGGCGGGTGGTACAGCGTGAACAGCGCGACGCCGCCGGTCACGGCCAGCACGATCAGATACTTGGAGAGCGGGTAGCGCTTGCGGAACAGCGTGACGTGCAGCGCCATCACGGGCAGCAGTTTGCAGGACTTGGCCAGCACGAAGGTCAGGTAGTCGACGTGTGCGAGCGAGGCGTAGCCGAAGGGCGACGCCAGTGTGGTCGTGAGCGTGACCAGAAGGAGCGGCGGGAGCGCTGCGCTCGAGGGCAGGATGTGATAGGAGCCGTTGGTTTTGTAGAGGAGGTACAGGCTCCCGCTCGTGAACGCGAAGAACGCCTGGATCGTGTTCAGCACGATCGGGTACCGGAAGTATTCCAGTTGTGCCTGCGCGGATGTGTCGAGCGGGTAGGGTGTCGTCGTGATGCGCTCTTGGAGCAGGCCCCAGGTCAGGAAGGACCCGTAGATGCCGCCGACGCAGATTACGAGGGTCAGGATGCCGGATGATTGGGTGGCAGGGTTGTGCGGCTGTGGCTGTGGTTGTGGTTGTGGTTGTGGTTGTGACGATGTTGCTCGTGTGGACTGCGCTGCCGTGGGCTTCGTGCGCGGTGAGGCAATGTAGCCGTTGGTATAAACTGCGCGTTTCTCAGCATTGTCGGAGAGAGTCTGCATGACTTCGCCCGAGTTGATTCTTTGCATGGGTGAGGACTGTTTCAGACGCGCCATGAGTAGATAGAAAAGAATGGAATGCACTGTCTATACATGAAAAGAGTGGCTGGATTGAAAAAGTGGATGGTGGACGCTGAGATGAGATCTGGCAAGTACGGAGTACTCTATGTGCAATAAAGTTTCAAAGTATAAATAAAATACCAAAATTCCCCGAGTTCCAGGGTCCAGCGCGGCGGACATGACTCAGGAGGGTTTGAGGGACAGACATGACGTGACAAGGCTGTCATGTATTTCGGCGCCAAGAAGCCTGTCATTTGCGCTAAAATCACAGCGTTTTGTTGTTTCTTTTCTTCGTAATTTATATTAAGATGCTACCTCCTCGTATGCATGCTATATCTGAGGCGTCATTACTCGTTGGCTACTAAGGGCTCCATAATTATGTATAATGACCCATGCCCTTTATCTCTCAAATGGTCTCTACCTCGCTCATACCGAAAAATGGGTTGGAGGGGTCATAGGGCCACTTGCGGAGAATAATGTCGCCGCCGATGTATTGGCTGAAGTTTCCCAACGTATTGGCCTGGTCGCAGGTAGATTAGCTGTCTGGCGTAGCGAGATTGGGGTGGGGGGAGATCTCTTTTTTCTCTGTGGTTTGGCATTGTGTGCGTTGGGGAAGGGAGCAAAGTCGAGGGAATGTCGCCTCTTAACGCTGGGCATGGGCCACAGCCAGGAGGGAACGTACCATGTCATATGTGCAAACAGCATCTTGACTCCCAAACTTCTTGATGTTCAACACAGTATCGAGGTCATAGTCGACCTCGACCTGTTGAACGGTCTGGCGAACGGGGTTCTGTAGGAAGTAGTTCTGCGGGGAAATGACCATGGTGGATTGGGCATTCTGGTTGCTCCATTAGCCAGCAGTCTGGAAAGGGTAAAAGGAATAGTCATACCGTAAAGACCGTGTTGGGAAGATCTTGGGTGTCAGGGACATGGTGCATGCCCAGGTTAAAGTAGCTAAAGGACCCCAGGGATTCGAGTCAGCTTTGTTCAGTTTAACAAAAAGTAATAATAAAAGGGACAAAGGTGGGCAATGTAACAACCCCCCCTCCCCCTGCTTGATTTGTACATAGTAGAAGGGAAAGAAAAGAACTCACATCACGAGATCCTCCTGCACAAGAGACTCGCCGTCAAAGAATTTGCCAAAGTCGACCACTGGGCGGGCTGGGTCCAAGGAGCTGAAGGCATACACACTTCGCGGTTCCGTGTCCTTCTGCTGTACAGCGTACAAGTGGTGCGAAGCCCAATTCACGCTGTTTTTCAGATTGGTGGAATTCACGACCGTCAGATGAGCTGTGCTTGCAGTTCCGGGAGAAATGCGATATCCCGGATACTCGCCATACTTGTTGGGCGTGTCCTTATTAACCACCGCGTAGGAGCTAGCAGTATTAGGAGACCACATGATCTTAGAGTCGTCCTCGCTCTCGATGAATGTCTTGTTCAACTTCATCGTATTCCGCGCCTGACCGTCCGACCAGGGGTAGCTGTGAAAAGTCAGAACACCTAGCTATGTCGCTCTCGAAGGGTTGATGGTAGTGGGTACACTTACACTTCCGAGGTGGGAATGACCTCGAGCTTCATCAGACTGTTTTGCGTCCCGTGAATGTCCATGTCGAGCTTGTAGTTCAGTACATGGTCGTGCATCGAGCCCGAGACGGTGTCGTGAATGTGGAAGCCATGCTCGCTGTTCTTGGCCCAGAAGGCGGCTGCAATGTAACCCGAGGCACGCACTGTGACGTGGATCGATCCGTCGTGGAAAAAAGCGTACTCAAACATATAGTCGTAGTTACCGAGGGTGCTCACACTGCGGACGACGAGGTGAATATTCTTGGTCGTATAGACGTAGTTGTTTGCAGAATGGCGTGCCACCGGGTACCCTGCGTCCATTTCGAATATGCAGATACTGTTCTGGTGGGAGCGTCTCTCTTCACGCCAGTAGAATGACGTGTTCAAGTACGTTGCGTACGCAGGGCAGTCGTATCCATTGACCAACTCGAACGCATTAGGACCGAATCCGTAATAAGAGTCAAGGAATGAGAGGGCTGATTGGCCTGGGCCATTGCCTGCATAGTGTGCCATCGCCTCCTGCATGCCCAGTTCGTAGATGATGCGTTCTCCTTTGAACTTGATATCAAAGAGCCGCATTCCGGTGTCGCGGGTAAAGCCAAGGAAGAACGAGTAACCCACTTAGAAAATGTCAGTCAAACAAACTGTAGCTGACCTTCAAAAGGCTACCGGTGAATACGTACTCCATTCAATATAGGTCTCCTCGTGGTCCACCCCGAAACGTGGACCGGCTGGTTGGACGCTCACTGGCGGCGGAATGTCATCGTAAGGGAGAGCCTCACCGCTTGGAGACGTCGCGCCCCAATCTCCATCAGCGCCAGGCTTGAAAAACTCGAAGGTACCGTTGTAGAAAGCGGATCGGAAGTCGTCCGTGGTGCTGTAGAAGTCTCCGTTGTAGTACCATCCCAGCACCGACCATTTGGAGGGGTCTCGACCAGTCAGATCAGTGCAAACAGCCAATCCGCTCCGCAAGAGCGAACCGGTGCCGTATATGCCTGTAGGTGACATCGTATATTCATTCCATGTGGTGACGGCGCCGGTCTCGTCATCGATCCAGAGCGGATCGCTCGGCCCGAGAGCCAAGAAATCGGTCGGTGAGTTTGTAAATGTCTAGGTCAAATTGTCAGTCATTGGGCTCACACGACCTCAGCTAGGGAGAAAGGAAGTCATGCTGACCCCGTTGAACATCTCCATTAAAATATCCTCTATCGATGCTGAGATGTTAACCAGGAATTGTCCATAAGCCGCCGCATCAGCGTTGTAGATCCGTTGCATCCCGACGCCCTTATTGTAGGGATAGTTCAGCGGTTGCAGAGTTGTCTCGTTGGATACTGGCAGGGGGCCAACCATGTACTCTTTCAAATACGGCTCTATAGTGGCCTGGAACTGGATCGTCGCCCCTGCGTACCGCGCGGGCTTGGCCCCCTTACCGTTGAGGTAAGGGAGTGCATCAGACTTGTTGGGTTGTAGCAGCTCTACAAGCACGATGACATTGTCCCAGCTAAAGATGTTGTCAGCACACTGGATAAAGACGTAAGACGAGATAGGGGACCACGCACCTGGTCGCATTGGCATTGGCTGTGAGGTTAAGTTCCGGTTGCGCATGAAGGAACTTTGTCACGGCAGCCGCCTCATCGGCCGTCAGTGCGGCAAAGATGTTCTCGACTGGTGCCTTGGTTGTTGACAGGGCACTAGAGTTGCACGACCCATTTGCACCTTGGCTGCCAGTTTCAAGCAAAACGTTCTTTAGGGCGACAGGCTTCAATCCTGGCATGAAGTTTTTCATATTGGTCGGCGAAGCAGAAGTGATTACTGCTAGACCACCGACGGCCAGCATGCCTGCTGAGAGAATCCTCATCTTTCTCTTGCTCCGCCTTTTTTCTAGGCTTCTGTGCAAATTTCGGCAGGACTGTGGAGGGTTCACAATGGCCGTGACAGAACACAACGGTTGCCCATGAAGGGGGGTGACTGTCCCTTCTTATGCACCTTGATTCTTCCCTCCTCGAAGACCAGGAACCTGAGCTGCGAACGAACGGTCCCATTGAACGTGGTGATTACCCACCAGGGCGAGAGGCATGCGCTCTAGTCTCCTAGATAACTGAGCTCGTTCAAACCATAATGTCATAGAAACTGTCAGTGCTTCCGATCTACTCGTAGCTGTGGTCGCTCCGAAGCATGCGCCGTATGCTTCCATGGCTCATCGACGATGGTGTATGAGTAGAGTTCTCGAGGTTCAAGGTCGTGGAACTCGCGTGGCAAGGGCATATCAGACTTTGCGACTAGTTGCTTGGATGGAAAAGCCTTGTGCTTGGCGCATGGCCTCTGGAATCGAGGTTCCTGATAAGCGCGCTCTCGGAACCCAAGAAGTAGAAGCTTCCGATATAGTCGGTATATGCAGCAGAGATAAGGAACGCCCTTAATGGTCATTGGTCCTCCGGCGACGTCAATAACTCTTCAGCAAGACATGTCACTATCCTCGGCCTACCACCGCCTTTGATATGTACTAGTCAATGTCCAAAAATGGGTCCAGATATCTGTCTGCCGCTTCGACAGAATCTTGATCCCTCGTGTCTTTCAACGTGTTCGCTATGCAGCACATACAAACAACCCTCCGCATCATAGCAACCCTGCTCCTTGGCCAGCATGCTGCAGAATAATGATCGCTATCTCCAGCGCTCCATCACCCGGCGCAGAACTGGATGTCTAGTGTGTCGGCTCCGCCGGAAAAAATGTGATGAGGAAAAACCTGTCTGTCGGGGTTGTGCACGGAATGTCCTGGTGTGTCGATGGCCACCTCTGCAAAACGGAGAATTTTGCAATGACGCCAGATCCTGGCGACAGACTCGTCCGACACCGACCGAACAACTGCACTCAGACCTACAGAGTAGCCATCTTGACCGAGAGAGCTCGACGCTGAGTTTCCACACAAGCAATTCAACAAAATGGTCACCTGCGTATCCGCTGGGCCAGCTCCTCGCCGGCCTGTCCTCAAAGCCCATGCTCCTCCGGACCGAAGTGGGTTCGCACTTCTTCCAGCATTTCCTTGAGCTTGTTGCCTTGCAGCTGTCCAGTCGCAACGACCCTGAAAATCCATGGATCTCTCTGTTCATCCCGCTCGCTATGGGGGATGAACTGGTTATGTCGACTCTGTTGGCCTTGGGTGGAGCGAATCTGTGCACTTATTCCGGGCATGCCCTCAAGCAGACATACTCTTTTTATGCGGTGGCCTTGAGGAGTGTCAAGCATAGGGTGACGGAACTCGTGCAAGGCAACTATTCGCATTTGTTGAATACCTTGGTAACAACGATTGCGCTGTCCCAATTCGAGGTAGCTACTTCTGCTCGCTCCTAGTCACACTCGCATATCGATTGTTAGTTATCAGGCACTGATACGGACAATAGGCTATGATTGGAGACACTCGAGGCGTACTTCTATGCCATCTACAGGCGTGCCGTGAGCTTCTCCTGCTAATTCAAAGGAAGAGTATTAGCATCGACCCGGCCGTGCTTGCATTTACTCTGGAATTATATTTATACGCCTCTGCCGTAGGGACCTCGTTCGTCTACGACGACCGTCCGGCTAAGCTCACCTTCGATTCAGAGTACGACTCATTACAATCACTGTGTTGTGATTCGAGGGGGTACGGGTTCATGTTAGGATACGCTGGCAGGCTCTTTCAGCTGCTCCCCCGCTTAGGGCAGACAGTTGGTCGTTGGATCAGCCAAGACTGTGACCTCGAATCCTCGAGCGCAGATAAGCTGTTTCTCTTCTTTCAAGCCGAACTTCAGGGCTGGGCGCCATCCTACCACCAAGATACCAAGATGCCGACCCTTTCTGACACTGTCGCTGACAACTCAGAGCCACAGTCTACGTTGAGGCGATGGCATCATGAAGCACAGGTGGTTGCTAGAATATACCATCAAGCCATGTTAGCGTTCCTTTACATGGGTCGACACGGTAGGCGACCGCCCGACGAAGCGCTCTTTGCTCTGATCGACCCTCTGATCGCCGAGTTCTTGCGCCTGAGAGCATCTCTTCCCCCAGAGTCGCCTATCTGGTCGATCATGTTATGGCCAACAGTCATGATCGGCTCGTGCATCCGCCGTCCAGATTACCAAATGTTGATCACGGAAAAGGACTGTTGTATGTTAACAGTGCTTAACGCTTTCGATGTCTTGCAGCAGATATGGGATGACGAGCGAGAGATTGTTTTTGGCGCCGTCGGACTCTCTATAGTCTGTACGAGTCAAAAGATAACGTTATGTCCTATTTAAAGGGTTCTTCTAGCAGCTCATCCCACGGATGGTTGCTTGCATTACTTACACTTTGACGGAAGTATTAGGGGCAAAACCACGTTCGCGGCCTATGTCAAGCTGGGCCCAGAGCTGAGGGAGGGGTAAGCTAGCCAAGCAGTCTCCACTAGGGCGAGGACCTGGTCGCTATTGAGGATGACTTGATCAGAGGGGCTTATTAGTTATGACGAATAAAAGGCGGATGTCAGTGTGGAGAGTACGAAAGATAGGTATGTTATAGTTATCTTGAAGATGGTTGAGGGGGCTAAAAGTTATATACATTCAAGTGTAGTAGAACGCTATCCCAATGACAATATTGAAGTAAGCTTTAAACTTGCTAGGCTCCGTCCACTCTTCGAGGATGACGTCTCCTTCACTACCGTCGCCCTTACGCCTTCTATCCGCTTTCCTAAAGATATAGACATCCCTTGGGGCCAATAGACGGTGCGATGATTCTTGTGGCCTGTGCTCAATGAGGGTTGACTTCTATCTAGTCGTCTTCATCATCACTGCCGAAGATAGCCTTGAAGACCGACATTCCAGGTCTATCTTGCTCCAAGGCTTCGTTTCGATCTGGATCCATCACGGTTAACGGCTCAGTAGTTTTAGGTCCGTCGGCCGCTGGTTTCAATGGTTCTGGCTCAACGTCACCACTGCTCTGCGGAGTATGAGAAGCTTCCTTAGATAGATCTTGTTGAAAACCTGCTGATGCAAATGATTTGAACTGCATTGAGCTAGCCAATGAGGTCGAGGGAAATGGAGCATCCCCATCACCTGTCGAGGGCGCCGGGGCAGCATGATCGGGTGGTGGGAGGCTGAATCTCTTGCAGACCAGCCTGGTGGGATAGAAATTGGAGAACAGTCGAGTCATGGGTCCGAACATGCCCATTTTAGCTGCTGTCTCTGCTGGATCCTCTGCTTTGACCCGCGGCCTGTTGAGAGGAGAATCAGACGCCTCCCCATTTTGACTCTGTGGGACAGTTGTTGATGACGTGAAGCGACTGGCCATGAGCCCAGAAATTGGTTTGAAGACATGCGCCGCACGCGCAAACTCTTGCATCTCTATCACCCAATCTTCTTGTCTCATTCCCTCCGCCTTGGGTGGAATTTCCTTTCCATCTTGTCCCTGAAGCAACCCGGCTTGAATTTCAAGATATGCTCGATAACGTTGACGTTTGTCTTCATCTTCTGAATATGGCATCCAACCGCCTGCCCCGCGGTTGAGAGCTTGGAGTGCTACATCTCGTTCCAGTTTCGGTACAAGGTTGGTCACAGTGTCTGCTGCCGATGCATGATGTTCATTCCCAGTTGGAGCTAGTTCACCCTTTGCGGAAGGAAGGTTGTCCCGACCAGATGCTGAAGCAAGGCGATCTCTTGCTGCAGGAGTCATAAAATCGAATATTGATTTTCCGGGCAGTTGAAGTTCGCCCAGTAGTGCAGCTCGACTCTTTGAAGTCATAGTTGACGCCTTGGCAGCATCGGCTGTTGAAGTGAAAGCCGTGTTGGATTCGGATGTATCAGGCGAAACAGAGGATTGCCAGGCTGAGGGCACTTGTTGAGGCCGGTACTTTTCATCATTGATGCTCATTGTACCAAATCCGTCCAACTCATCAGCTAGAGTGAATCCATCCGGCGGCAATCGACCATCATGGCATCTCCTCAAGACGTTTTTCAGGGAATTGAGCTTCTTTGAAACGAACGTGGGTTTGCTTTTCAGCATTGGATTGGCCGTACCGATCCTAGACTTTGTTTTGCCTTTGGCCTTCTTATCACCACCAATAACTCGATTGTAGGAGATTTTCGGGCCTATTGAGTAGGGATCGTCATCGTCAGGATCATCATCGTTGAGAACACCTACACCAAACCCTGTCTTGCCCCTTTGCGTCGCAGACTTCTTCTCTCTGAAAAGGTTGGGTCCATTGTTCTCTTCGTCTGATGACTCTGCTCGCCTTGAAATGCTCATCTCGGGCTTAGAAGAACGTTCGACCACGTTCGTTTTCTCTGGTAGCTCGTCCTTGTAGCCGAGTCCCTTACGGCCTGTCCTACGAGAGTAGGAGACTAGGCTTACGTCTGCAGGTGCAAAGAGATGCAGATCCCCAGGTTGGTCCCCATCATCCCCCAGATCTGCAGCTCGACGAACTCGAGGACCAATCCCTTGACCTTCCTTCCAACCCATGCGCATCAGAAGCTTGACTCCTCTTGTTTGTTCTGAGGGTCGAAAAAGATCGATGGCGGCGGATTTACGCATTGAGTCGTCCTGAGTACCAAAACCGGCAAAGTCATTCGAGGTTTGTAAGGTGCGTGATTCTTCGGCTTCCTGCAGGTCTTCTGCGTCCATGAAATCCTCCGGTCTCTGCTGGGGCGCATTTTTGACATCTTTGGCGCGATTCTGCCGGGAGGATACAAAGGTAGAAGGGGACCAACCTTCCTTAGAGCCTACCGTATTGAAATATCTGCATCCAGCATTTTAGCCATTGTGTTCTTCTAGGTAAATATCCAGGGGCTCACCCGGCGCTGAAACCTCCAGTAAAGGCGCCGTGCAAGCGTTTTCTCCCCCTCTCGTCGGTGACCTCTTGCTTCCAAATCGGAACGAAAGATCCGTCGTCACGAGTGTGTTCGTCTAGTGGGGGCAACGGCGTGCCATAGAGGACGAAGGGAGATTCTTGCTTCTGGAGGTCGTCTTCGAATGACCTGCGAGAGCGTTTATAGGCCATTGGCTACGACGGGACTAAAATCGGACGCCAATGGAGCTGATTGCAAGCCGCCAAACATGTCTCACACTTAGGAGCCCAAGTCATGACTGCGATCGAAGTTCGAGCAGTGAGTAGGCAGTTCACTCCGCTCTGAGTTCAAATGACAGTCACGTGGGCAGAAGGACCATGTCTTTTTAAACTACCACCCGCGTACGAGTAATCTCATCCATATTTCTACATGTCTACTTCAGGCCCGTCGTATTTCGGATTGCGAATGAACATATTGAATCTTCAGGACATAAACTGAAAACTTCTCCTTATCACTATGCGTATCTGTCCCACCTCAATGAAAATGCCTACGCAAACTTAGCTAATGCTCTGCTTGAGTAAGTGCTGGACCTTTGGAAACGATTTGTGATAGGAAGTCGCTGAGGTGGCCTCTACTCTGACTGGAATGACCATCCAACAAGCCCAGTGCTAAATTTCCCACTGGTTTCAATCTCTTTGGCCTGGACCTTGAGCTCATCCACATCCCAGTTTGTCCACAGAAATCTGCCCTTCAAGAAGCGCGCCTCGGGGCTTGCAAGCTAGACATGAAAGCTCGCAGGTAGAGAAACTGGATGAGAATAAGCCTCGTGGTACAACAAGCTGAAGGTGACGAGTTCGCTTACCATTGTCTTCCAAGCCCGCCGCCTTAATACCTCCTGCTTCCCTATTCATGGCGGTGTCCACTATCCCAGGCTGGACGTGAAAAACACTTAGCCCCGGGTTCGCAAAGGCCAGCGCATCCCAGAGCCTAACTATCGCCATCTTAGCGATGCTATAAGAGGCAAAACCAGGACCAAAGTCCATGTGCGCTACGGCCGAGGAAACATTGATAGGAACTGCATCCGTTGAAGCATAGCGAGGGAAAGCCCGAGCAACGTACAACGAACCTCTGAGATTTTCTTGAGTGGCTTCGAGTAACTTTTCGGGATCCACGTCACTAATACCCTCATGGGGCCCAATAATCGCGGCGTTGCTAACTAGAACATCGATTTTTCCGTCCCCAACAATCTTTGCGAAGGCGTTGTCGACCTCAACCTTCTTTGTAATATCGGTGGGGGACACGAATACCTCAACCTTAGGGAACTCGCTTTGAATGGAGGCTTTAGTGTTCAGAAGTATGTGTTCCCTTCGGCCAAGAAGAGCAATCCGAAGTGCACCTGCCTCAGCGAAGTAGCGAGCTGTCTCTGCACCAATGCCAGTTCCCGCCTCCTGTAACTATCACAGTCTTGCCATGAGCAGAAAGCTCTGGACGGATGGGAGATAAGGACGGGTATGTTGTATCGTGCCACGTCAAGGTTGGAGAAGGAAATGGAGCCATGGCAAGTATTGGATTTCTGAGGAACCAGAAAGTGTGAGTCGATCGACCAAGAAACAATCACCCCTGGGACAAGAACGCCAGCTTTATACATTGTTGAGATGACAAACCTATTCATCGTCGGAGTTGTACAGTTTGTGAGGCTGTGGTGAGTGTCTCTGAGAGGCAATGCTGACCTCCACAACGCTTTTCGCGGTCTAGATGTCATTTCATGAGATAGCAGCAGGGCCCAGATGAAAAAGTGATAATTGAAGCATGCTCTTAGAAGGTGTAAAATCACCCGCCCGAATGGTAATTCTCCGCCGGTTGAAAGGGAGACGGCAACGCTCCGGCAGCCTTGCCTCGACAAAATGTTCCGTGGCACCTGGAAACACCTGCTGACTGTAATGCTGACATATGTGAAGATTCCCTTAAAGCCTCCTCACCTCAAGGCCTCCACGACTCGCTGCGGTCTAATTTGACAAAGCATGATGGAAGTGCAATCTGTTCAGCGGTGCGGGTTGTGCAACAAACCATTCGATCTTGGTGAGTTGCACTTTCGAGGTTCCTGCACGTGGGCAAGTCCGGACTAACACGTGGGATTTCAGAGTCCACACTGAAGAGACATGGATACTACTGTCGGCCACGAAGAGCGGGTGGTACTCGGCGGACTCGATCTTATGTTTCTTGTGCAAAAGGAATGGCGCGCTGCGACAACAAGCGGCCCCAATGCTCGAAGTGCATGAGCAAGGCTGTCGAATGCCACTATCCAGCCAAAACGTCCGGGCAGCCAGGCCGAAGAACCGGATCTAGCGACAGTACATGGATTAAAACGCAGAATTTTGCACTTCCCCTAGCGACAGGGCTTTCCTATGTTCAAATTTCTCAAGACCCACGCAACGATGGTGACTCTCTTCTGGACGGTGCGGTTTCCACCTCAAATCTGGAGTTGGCAGAACTGGACGGTGAATATATCAAGTGGGATGACCCGGATGCTGACCTCACCGACTTATTAAATCCACAAATGGCTGGTGAGGTCACTCAACATCATGCATTATGGCAGTCATCTTGGGGGCGTCATTCGGTGACTTCTATGGATCAAGGAGTCCAATCAAGGCAATCGTTTTCTGCCTCTGACATATTAATACTTATATAACCGACTTACAGCGTACGGACACTTCTCCACCGGCCGAGGCTAAAGACTGCAGCACAAAGAACTACCAAGCTCATCTTCCACACACTGACATCGTACCCAATGATGATGCTACGAACCAACACCCTTCCACCATTCATCCACCCGCATCTGATATCATCGAACACCAAGAAAATCTATCTCGAGCCCTTGAGTAATTGTATGAGTTTGATACATATGATCCGGAGTCGGGTACAGGGAAGCCGAAAATTGTTTTCGAGGAATGTGAGGCTAGAATGTGAACGTTTGCTTCAAGAGGTGCGTCAACATTACACAGCGGTCCCAGGCCTTTGAGTCATGAAAAACTAACGAATAATGTCGGCATCAAGAGTTGAACCACTTGGAACTGCTTGCTGCCCTACAGGCTCTCTCTATTTACATTCTCGTAAGGGTGGATGAGGGAGAGACGGGTCACAATAACTTTGATTCTCTGCTAATCCACGGTCGCCGTATTTCCTGGCTCTGCGATCTTGCTAATTGATCACTAACGAAATATTGTAGGCCATGTGCAAAACACTCTCTGTGCTCGAAATGGCGGGAAATGTACCTCCTACTTCGCGCCGCATCTTTGAGCGTGGAGACAGCTGGAATGATTGGATTTTCAAGAGTCTAAACGAAGGTCTCTGGTCGTCCTCCCCTATTATCGTAAAATGAACGCAAGGATTCTGATAAACCTAAAGATTGTGCCTGGTTTATCGGGTTGTCAATACGCTAGTTTATTTCGAACCAGCAGCGCTGTGCAGACTTCAATCAGACTTGATTCTAGCACCGTTGCCGGCGAAGCGACAACTGTGGGAAGCATCGGATGAACATGCATGGAAAGAGGAGAGCCAAAGGGGGTTCCAGACTGCGCTTGGTTTGGCTGCAAACGGGGAGTTGGTTAGACTGGAGGAGGGTAAAACATCATATGTTGCTGACGTGTTGGTGCTCCATGACTGTCTGGATACCGGCGCCTCGTCACGGCGCACTAAAGGCTCAACGGGGAGCAGCTGCCGACGAGTAGTGTAGGCCGAGAGGGTCTAATTAAAGAGCCACCCACTGCCGCAGTGAAAGTGGCTGGTGGGGGGAGGGCGAGCAAGCATTCCGGATCCCAGTCACAAACAACAATAGGCATAACTATGAGGGGCGCAAAGCCGAGTTCCCTGGTAGCCTACGTAGCCTAACAACAGTCGCTACCCGGGTCCTTATGGGCATCACTGGCACCTCCCAAGTCGCCCAGCCCTCTGAGACTCTGACATGACTCGCCGCCTGCGCCAACTCACCAAACCGTAAACTTTCCTGCCTTGCCCACCTACATACGCCGCCGTATCCGTAATTATGATTGCCATCCCATCCCAATCCATGTCCTGCTGTGCCATCACATCAAGCAACACCTTGAACCGTGGTCCTGTATCTGCATTGCAATCCAACTTGTAACAATGCCCAACCTGCCAACTTCCAAACAGGTTCCTCCTTGATTGCATCCAGATTGCATTGCTTCTTCTGCTTACATCGAGTCTGGCCGCCTAGCATTACTGATTATTCCCTCAATTTCCCTTCCCATCGCCCGCTGGCAGCTGTCGGTCTCACCTCTCACCTCCACCTACCAGTGTCTTCCGATGCTCATCAATCCGCCTGCATTTCCAGCCTCCTGAGGGCCTTGCCTATCAGAGATCTACTTACACACCGGTATTCAAATCATTGACTCGTCCATCAAATCTCCTTTGTTGTCAGCCTGGGTTTATCCGTGCAGCGACGAGGTTGCAAGGTCAGAAGGCTGGCTGACTGAACGCGGATCTTGTCGCGCAAACACCACCACCACATTCCTACTTCCTGCAACCCTAACAATCCGCTCCTGCCTCAATCTCGCCCTTGTTCTGCCGCCCTGATCGGCAATCGCCCATCAGATGGCTACGGCAGCATCACAACAATCACCTTCGATGGTCCGGAGCCACTCATCCTCTCGCAATCCTCCCTCTGCGTACGCCCCCGTTTCCCCTGCACAACCTTCTCGAGCTCGTTCGACAAACCAGCGATCCTCTCACCATCACCGCTCGGGCTCACGTACCTATGAATCCAACCCCCCACAATCTAATCCTACAGCCCTTACCAATGTTGCTCGCCGAGACTTGGAACAGTCCAATATCGCTCGACAACCCTCTACGTCTCGCCGAAGTTCGCGCGATGGCAGAGGTGACCACAATGAAGGTCACTCGTCCTCCCGACCAGGATCAAGACGCGGTAGCCAGGACTTCAGTGCGCCAGCGCCAACACCGCCAGTAACAAACGGAACTTCTCCCCATTCACCGCCAAGTGCAAGATCAGAGAGTGATAGACATACTTCTCAAACATACCCTACAGCCGGCCGTAGGAGAACCTCCATTACTGCGCAGACAGGTACATGGACATTGGGGAAGACTATTGGGCAAGGGAGTATGGGCAAAGTCAAGTTGGCCAGAAACATCGAAACTGGCGAACAGGCTGCAATTAAGATTGTTCCAAGGCAGACAGCTGATGAACATGGAAACATCAAGGACGAACGTGCTGACCGATCCAAAGAGATTCGGACCGCGAGAGAGGCTGCTATGGTCTCGCTGCTATCTCACCCCTACATCTGCGGAATGATCGACGTCCAACGGACCAATTACCACTGGTACATGCTATTTGAGTATGTCAATGGAGGACAAATGTTGGATTATATTATTGCTCATGGCCGATTGAAAGAGAAGCAAGCGAGAAAGTTTGCCCGTCAGATTGCAAGTGCTTTGGACTACTGTCACAGAAACAGTATCGTTCACCGTGATTTGAAAATCGAAAACATCCTCATCAGCAAGACTGGCGACATCAAAATCATTGACTTTGGTCTGAGCAATCTTTACTCCCCTCGGAGCTTGCTCAAAACTTTCTGCGGGAGTTTGTACTTTGCCGCCCCGGAGCTCCTCCAGGCTCGCCAGTATACTGGTCCAGAGGTTGATATTTGGAGTTTTGGAATTGTATTGTATGTGCTTGTTTGCGGAAAGGTTCCCTTTGATGATCAGAGCATGCCTCAATTGCATGCCAAAATAAAACGTGGTGTGGTTGACTATCCCCAATGGCTCACTGCTGGTATGTCCACTCTAACTTCCACCCTCCACCCTCGAAGCACGCTAATTATTATGCCTTTAGAATGCAGGAGCATTATCTCAAGAATGCTAGTTGTCGACCCTCGTGACCGTGCTACCCTTCAAGAGATCATGAACCACCCATGGATGACCAAAGGTTTCAATTCTTCACCAGACAATTGCCTCCCACAGAGGGAAGCGCTGACGCTCCCACTGGATCCCGAAGTTATTGACAAGATGCAAGGCTTTGATTTTGGGTCGGCAGCATACATTACTGAGCAGCTCACTCGTACCATCGAATCCGAGGAGTATCAAACTGCTATTCGAAAGTCGACACGTGAAGATTTCAGTCACAGTTCTGCCAGTGCAGAGAAGAAGCGCGGTGTCTTTGATTTCTACAGGCGGAGAAATTCCATCAGTCGAGAGGGCCTTACCACTCCGTCAGCCGAACAAGTTCGCGGATTTGACCCTCTCAACGCCTACAGCCCATTAATCTCGGTCTACTATCTAGCCCGTGAAAAGCGGGACCGCGAGAGGAGAGAGCAGAACCCAGGCGCACTTTCCTTGCCGGTGACTCCAGGCGAGCAACCTCTGAAATTACCCGGTCTTCCGTCCCCCGAACCAGCGCATACCAACACATTTGCTCCCGAAATTCCTGGCGAGAAGGCCACCGGTGGCCGAGCTAGACCGAGAGCACGGACGAATGGTGAAGATGACGTGGTACACGGCATCAAGAATGTCGAAATCGGCGAGAAACGACCTGGACCTGGTGGGCATTCGCCTCAGATCCCCCCTGAGCCTCAAAAGAGAGAGGGCACTGCACTAGGGCTGCTTAGAAGGTTCAGCACAAGAAGATATCGTGAGCGAGAGTCGGATCGACCAACTCCCCCTGCTCTTAATATCCAACCTCCTCAAGATTCAGCTGCGGCTCCTCGAAAATCCTTTTCTGTCCGTCGCTCTCGTACTAGACGGGATCCAAGCCCCTCGACGCACCACGCAGGGGGAAGCCAGCCTCAACATGAGGGACTTCTCAGTGCCAGTGGAGGATTCAGTAAAGCTGGTAAATTTCTGGGCAGATCCACCAGCGTCAATTCGGCCGACTACCGACCGCGGCGGCTGCTACAACGAGGTGCGACTAGCAACGAATCACCATTGCTTGTACCTGAGCCGCCTGCGACCAGTGGATCGGATCAATCAAGTGTGAATGCAGGCAAACCCGACAGGAGTGTGGAACTACAAGACCGACCTGCACCTAACAACAGTCCTCTGGCTACACCTCGTACGCCCAATACAGCTCGTACCAAATCCTTGGGCCACGCACGACAAGAAAGCATTCAGGCAAGGAGGAAACGATATGAAGAGCGACGGGATCGACACGCCAACGTACCGGAAGAAACTGATGCAGATATGAAAGACGACACGGACGCGTTGGATACTCCCGCTTTGCCTGAGACCCCTGGCACGGAAATATCCAAACCTGCGGGGCTCAAAGGACTGTTTTCAACATCTACAACCAGCAGCAAGCCTCCGCAGTTTATTCGGCAAGACATTATCCGGGTTCTGAACCAACTAGGTGTCCAGTATACCGTGATCCGAGGCGGCTTCTCTTGCCGACATGCACCGAGCATCAATCTCGAAGGAGTGAAAGAACCAGCTGATGAAGAGCGGAGTGGCCGTGTGGTGTCAGGGCACCAGAGGAGGATCTCATTCGGAGGGGCTTTCCGTGGAAAGGACCGAGAGGACATTAGGGATGATCGAGAAAGAGATCGAGAAAGGCTTACGAAACACCACACACGCAGAAGGCAACCCGATCAAAGTTTTGTGACCAACTCTGAAGGCTCTGATGAATATCTCCAGCACGGACGGAGCCCTAATGAACAGGGACACGATGGAGGGGCCACGAGAACACGCGTGCAGGACGACACGGGTGAGCGGCTGGTGCTCAAGTTTGAGATTGCGATCGTGAAGATTCCTCTCCTTTCGTTGCATGGAATTCAATTCAAGAAAGTGCAGGGAGGCATGAATCAATATCGATCGATGACCTCGGCGATATTGAATTCATTGCGGCTATGATTTCGATGACGAGAAAGGATTGGATCGTGTGAGGTGGTCGGCAAAACCCATCTGGTGTTGAACACAGGGAGCAACCCGAGCCAAGTGGGGATGCGACGAAATGAGATGACTATACGGAGCGCAAGGGGCAGCTGAGTGCTCACTGCTGGCGCACTGATGGGTCGATGTGCTTGCGCTTGTGCTTCAAGCGACCTTGCAGAGGATGTGCGGGTGCGGCTGGAGGTGGGACAAGCTGCCAGCAAAGTTGAGCGTGAAAGGTTCCTTGTGAAGAAGCCCGAGTTCATGCGACGAAGGATGAAATTTTCCTTTGTGGACAATCTTTTACTCTGAAAGTACTGTCTCACTCGAGTAGTACCTACCTAGTAGGCACTGCTGTTAGTATCTTTGTAGTATGGTCAATCAAAGTATCTATTCCCTCGTGGTCTGCAGAACTTGAGCGCGGACTAAACGGTTATGATGGCATAACGAATACGCATTGAGTTAAAGGGAAACGAAAATGGCGTGCGGGACCGGGGAGGGGGGGAGGGGAATGCGGGAGCCGGGAGCCGTCCGCCAGCAGCCTAGGGTACCTGCAATGCGACAGGGGTTGGGGAGGGATCATCCCATCAGTATCGCCCGGGCATGTTTTCAAAATTAAATTCCAACTCCTCCGGACGCAGTGTCGTATCAAACATTGGCCACAAATGGGATTATTTTGTGGGATTATTTCTGGACGAGAATTGATGGCGATGCTCGCTAGAGCCTTTGCTACCTATTTCGCTTGACCACGTGCTTTCCTCCGTCTTCGCAAACACGGTTGTGACGGTTGTGCTGTCAGCGGTGCCCTACTCCGGACAGTGAGTGCTCCTGGGCATGGCTGGGCAGCTGTGGTGTTCCTAGAGTGGGCGAGTGGGTGTTGGTGGGTGTTGGTGGGTGCTGGTGGGTCATTCCTGAGGCGACAGAACCACTGGACATGATACAGTCCTGGGCCTGTGTCGAAGGCTCAGATGAGAGGGGAGTGGAAATGGGGATCGTAGATGGGGAATTATTGGGTTGGTTTAATTACATGCGTCCGACATTGGTATTACCCCGGGAGCGATTCATTTTCGACGTGGTGTTGGTAGTGATGCCTCGTTCTCTACCCAGGTACCTCACCTTCTGAGACATGCTCTACTGTACGTAGTACTCCGTATGCACGGCCGGAAAAGAGCAATAATTAATGATAGATGAGGATTAAAATACATGGGCCGTGGAAACGCAGGTACTCCAATTTGTTTGCACTAGGGCCGCATTTTGATTCATGGTCAAGCCAGTGCCGTGCCGTTCCACTACTCGTAAGAACCTCAGACACTAGAACCAAAAACAGGTCCCACTTTGTTCTCTTGAGGTGTGTTGCCAACCTGCGAACCTGCGAACCTGCGAACCTGCGACTTGTTTGGCAGCAGCTGTGAGAGAGTGTGTATGTTCGTGGACAGCATGAGTGATGGGAGTATGTAGGAGGAGCTGACTGCTACAGTGCTAGATTGAGATGGAATATTCCGGGGGACAGTCTTCTTGTCACGAGCACGTGTGGACAAGGTGTGAGGTGCCCGTCGGAGTGGAAGAACAAGAGACACGCCCCCCTTAAGCGTGATGATCACCCGCTGTCTGGGCAGCTGGCAACCTGAACATCCCCGTAGCAGGCCAGTACAGATACACAGTATACTGTACCTGACAGTCTCTGTACTGAACTTATCCCCAGGCCGGCTTCCTGCTCTCTATCTTCCTTCCGCAACCCAAGGCAGACTTCGAACGGCGAAGGGCTGTGCTGCGTCGGATATTGATCGAAAAACCATTCACCCAACGGCCGTCTCCCTCACTAGACGTCTGCTGCTAGATAGCTAAATACTGAGCACGGAAACTCGGAAAAAGGTCTTGATTGACTTTTCCTTCCACCTGCCTGACGAGCGCTGACAATACCTGTCATTTCACCGTTGGTGTGTTTGACCCCAAACCATTACTACTAGCGACCTGAGTACGGGCTGCTTTATCCGTCCAGAGTACGGAGTACTCTCAACTGGTACTGAGAGCACGCCTGTGCCTGCTGCACACCCGCTCAAGGTAACCACTACCACCACCACTGACCTCTCCCACCACTGCCTCTAGGCCGTCTAACCTGCCACTCGAGGGTCAAGGCTCAAGACTCCTCACCAAGTCACTCACCACTCGCCATTGACCGTCCACCTCCACCGTCCACCTCCACCGTCCACCGTCCACCTCTCCCCAAACAAACCTCCTCCTAACCACAGCCACGACGACCACCACTTCATTTCCATTTCATCTTCCACCATCCCATCCCATCCCAACCCATCCACATCCACATCCCTCCTGCCTCTTTGCTTTTTTGTTTGCCTCTGTTTTCATTCAACACTGGCTCTCAAAAGAGGCAAGACTCATTGCTCTGCTCTTGTCGGGTCCTTCCTTCCTTCCGTCCTGTTAATTCCCTGCTGTCAAAGCGCTGCTTTTTGCAAAGCTTAAGGTACGTGGACGCTCTGTCCTGTCCTGTCTCAGGCCTGTCCTGCCCTACACCTGCAGTCAACCTCTCGCACCACTTTTCCCCCCTACAGACGCTCGTGCCCTCGATTCCTCCACAGAACCCTTCATTCCCATCCCTCCACACTCTGCCCTTTTCCACTGCGCCGTGGTACTGAATTAATTCTTGCCTACGCAGTCTGACTGGCCGGCCCCGTCGAATCAGCTCCTTCGAGCCTCCTGTGCGACCTTGCCAGCACCCCATCCTGCAGCTCATGGCCTCTGCGCCCATTGTCACTGCCAACACCACAAACTCCTCCGCCACTTTGCTGAATTCCATTCCCCCACAAAATAATAATGGTCTGGGAAGGACCACGATGAGATCGACCACCAACGCGAAGGCTGGAGATCAAGGGCGCAAGCAGAGTCCTGTTGACGGAGCTTCACGGTACGGAGTCCTGAATTTCCTCCACCATACTTTCATACGTCCTCCACCCTCCTATCGCTGCTCCGTCACCTTCCCACTTTCTCATCGATCTACCCCTGCCTCTTCGTACAGGCGCCCTGACTTCTTTGCCATATCGCGCAAAATGATTCATTCTCACTGACTTCTTCCGGCCACAGGCGCCCAACCGCTCAGAAACCCTGGGGTCCTGGCCCTAATACGGGCTCTCAGCGAGCCTCCATGGCTGTTCAGCAGAACGGAAACACCCTTCAGCCCCGGAACGTAGCGAATGCTAGGCAAAATATGCAAAAGGAGGCAGGCATTTCAGACAAACAAGCCAACGACCGGTTGCTTTTCATACTTGGCGCCGCTATTGTATGTTTCAGCCCTGAACCCACCATTCTCCCTTGTTGAGCACAAGGCTAATCCCACTTTTACAGGGTCTGAATGTCGTGGTGACTGCCAAATCGGGAGACAAGTATGAGGGCTTGTTGTCCGGTTCAGACCGCAATGCTCCCTCCTACAAGGTGACCTTGAAGATGGTCAAAAAAGTGCAGTCGGCGCAAGTTAATGGTACCACGTCTCGGGAAGCGGCCTTCGTTGGCACGAGTCCTGAGCACGTCATGAACTTTGACCTGAGGGATGTTGCCGACTTTCAGATTTCAGACTTTATTGTTACCGAGTCGTCTAAACTTGCTAATGGTTGGTGCTGTTCGTTCTTGGTGGAACTCTGAAAGACTGACATTGCGACTAGGTTCTCCTTCTTTCCAAACCGATGCTGATATTTCAGGAAATCAATCTCGTGGCGAGCGCACTCTTCAGAAGTGGGTGCCGGAAGGCCCCGACAATACTGACCTCGCATTGGACTCAGGAGGAGCAGGTACCTGGGATCAGTTTGCCACAAACAGTCAGCTCTTTGGCGCACAAAGCACATATGACGAAAATCTTTACACCACAGCTATTGACAGAAGTGCTCCCTCATATAAACGAAGAGAGGCCGAGGCTGCGCGCATTGCACGAGAAATCGAAGGGCAAACTTCTGGGAATGCGCACGTTCGAGAAGAACGCGGACACGCCGTCGAGCATGATGGCGAGGACGAGGAGGACAAGTATAGTGGTGTTCGACGGACTGAAGGCCGCTCCTTCCCACCTCTTCCTGTTGGCGGCCCGAACAAATATACACCCCCCGCTAGACGTGCACCAACTGGTCAGGCCACTGTTCCTGGAGTACCTGTTGATCCTGCCATTATCTCAGCACAGATGGCGCCCCCGAAGGCGAAGCAAGGAAGCAAGACCACAAGCGACGTTGAGAAGCCCGCTGTTGCCCCCGCTGAGACGCCCACCCCCACTCAGCACGGTGGTCCTGCTGCCTCACTCTCTAGCTCACCCTCGAAAGAGGCGCTAGCATCCTCCACCGAACTAGAGACGGGTGCCGAACCTACAGCTGCCGACTTGACCAACAAACTAGCCACTCAAGGTCCAACTGAAAACGTCGAGGTCAAAGTCCTGAATCAGTTCCGTCAATTTGCCGATATTGAGAAGCAGCGGGTTATTGAGCGAAGAAAGGCGCAAGCAAATCAGGATCGGACTGCGAAGCTGAATGAACTCCTTCGGTTCTCAAAATCCTTCAAGCTGAAGACACCAATTCCCTCCGATCTCATCGGCATCCTTGCAAAAGATCCTGCGAAACAAGAAGCGATTGTCGAGAAAGCAAAGGAAGACACCGAATCCAGTGCCCCAACCACCACACCGACGCCCGCCCCAGCTGTTACTGCCAATTCTCGCAAGCCCGACGCTCCTCAAACTCAACCCAGTATACCGGATAGGCAGACTTTCAACCGGGGTCGTGGCGGCTATGCTCCCAATGGACGCTCTGATCGTGCCGGAAGCCAGCAGCAATCACAACCACCGCTTTTCCCATCTCGAAGTGGAAGTGGTCCCTACCCACCACGATTCCCTCATCAGCCAGCAGGCAAGGGAATTCCACCCCACCCAATCCCTGCACCGATCCCGATCATCGACGGACGGATCCCGCCCACGGGTCCTATGGCTGATCAAAGTGGATTGAGCAGCCCGCAACGTTCGAATATGCATACTCCAGCATCTGGCATATCTGGAAAATTCAATCTCAACGTTAAAGCTTCGGAATTCCGACCCAATGCTGCGGCCACCACTTTCAATCCTACCAGCTCTCAACCTCCGTCCAGTCCAAGCTCGACTCAGAGAGGGGCCTCGATTTCAAGAACTGCATCTCCATCTGTCTTCTTTGGCCACAGGAAGCCCAAATCTGCCGCTGAGCGACCGTCCATCATCAAAGACTTCAACCCGATCGCTCGCATGCGAAGAGAGTTAGCTGCTTCGAGACCCGATGAGCCAGTCAAGGACTACAGCAATAATGGAGGAATTCCCAATGCATTCCAGACCGGACCGAGATGGACTGTGAAGGATGAAAATGATCAAAAGACGTATGAGGAGGTGTTTAATCTACCTACAGTTCCTGTAGTATCACCATCACAAAGCCGGTCTGCATCTTCGCACCATGTTCCTTACCCTGGTCAGGGTGGCGCGCTCCCCAATGGACCGGCGGTAATCCCACATATTTCGACATCTCAGCATGGGCCACATGCAGCTACACATCAATACCCACATCCATACGACGATGGTAGCCACCGCATGCAATTTGGCAGTGCGACCCCCAACATGTACCCATCTCCAAACGTGGCATCTCGACAGGCATCTGCATACGCGTCGCCAATGAATCATCCCGCACAACTCGCATACCAACAGCAGCAGCAGCCACCATACTTTGGTACACCTGGAGCGCAAGTTCCGGTCGGAATGCGTGCTTATCCTGGTACACCAGGGATGATGCATGCTCAAGTCGGACAGATGACGGCGCCGATGATGATTCAGCAACCGTCTAATGGACCGTATATGGCTGTGCCGTCCCAATTTGGCCATCAGGTGCCCATGTACTCACCCAGCCCAGCGCACGTGTATCCACAACAGAACGGGTATTCTAGCCCTCAGCGAATGGCACCCATCATGATGCATCAAGGTTCACAGCAAGGGCACCAGGCGCCGAGTATGATGTACAGTATGTCGAATCAAGGCGGACCTATTGTGTATCCACAACAACAAATGGGTATGGCTCGTGGAAACTATGGCGGACATCAGTATGGAAATGCACCAGGATATGGCATGCAACATCGAACGATGAGCAGTGGATATCCTCAGATCCCACAAAAGGGATATCCACAACACATGCAGGCCAACCACGGACCGAATATGAATGGAGCACCACAAGGGCCGGCATACACTCAAGTAGAAGGAGCCCAGGATGACGGCAAATGAACGTTCGGCTTGACGGTGTTGAAGAACAAATTCTGAACAGAGGGTCCAGCTGGTGTGCAAGTTGATGGCAGGATCCTGCTCGTGCTGTTGATGACAACTAAATAGCGCGGCACAGTACCATGATTATCAGACTCGGCTGATTGTTCCGGCTTTTGGATCCGAGATATCAACCTGGGTATCAAAGATAGACATCCTGGTAAGTTGAAGCGCACCGGGACACCACTCTTGGTTGCTGATACGAGTGACAGTGACGGGTTTCATCGATCGAGATCAACCAAGAAATGCACAAGGGACCTGGGATGGCTCTCGAATAGCTCGAGCTCAAGGCTTGAAACTGCTTGGTACTCGGATCAGGCACTCAGTTTTCTATGTGGACTGCGGTTGAAATACAAAATAGCTTAGGAGGGGAGGAGACGAGGTTGTTTAGGTTTGGCATGTCATCATCAACACGGGATGGGTGGCAGGCAGGCGTCTTACTCGATGGACACAGATAGCTCGAGCAGATGCAGAGGAAGGCAAGTACCAAGGGATGCAAAAGTATTGAGATTACTGGGTTTCTAGTGCAGCTGGACGAATGTATCGTGGTTAGCTGTGGCCCATGGGCGAGGACAGAGTAGCAGATAAGTGTCAGTCGGTCGGGTGTTTGGTGAGGAAGTCCTGTGGTCCGCCTGCTACGACTAGACAGAGAGGTAGTTTCATTTCCAGTCGACTACAGCTACACACTGCTTTGGCTAGTAGTGCTACGAGTACTTGTATACTCCAAGCAGTCGTGCAATCCTAGGTCGCCAAAATTGTGGCTGGGGGACCTCGTCCTGGTGCTCGACTATTGAGCGTGAGCGCTCCCCATCCGGAGTTGCAGAGGGGATTCTGTTTGGGCAAAGGTACAAGGCGAGCAGGGTTTGGATTCCACGGTTCCTTGTTGAACTGGGCCAGGCCCTGACTAACCAACAAGCCTCTGTCGCAGCACCCACGGAGTTCCTCGTATGTATGTACTCGTACTTAGGATTCGAGTTTGTCCGTCACTTTAGTAAAATGACAGTCAAATGGCAGTAAATGACGGACAGAGGATGTTTGACGAACGTCATGAGAGTAGCTGCTTTTAGGGACTTAGGATTGCGCTAGATACTAGAGGCTAAGCGCTACGTAGGTCATTCTATGCTAAATTTTACTAGCGAAATACTTCATCTAATATAGATGCCTTTGTACATCACATGACTACACTTCAGCAGGACTAATAAGTAACCAAACGCTGTCGTTTTAGAATAAATGACGGGCGTCTTGGCGCCTAAACAAATGACAAACATGTCACGTCCTGTCTGTCACACAAATCCTCCGAGTCGTACTATCTCTGACCGTCCAGAGCACTTTGAAATTTAGGGTTCGTGCGGCGTTCTGTTATTTCGAGAGTCGTGCCTTGCTCCAGATTTCCCCTTCTCTCGAACTGCCACGTAGCAAAAGAAGAGATGATCCCTTGAATCAGGCGAACCAGTCCCTCGCCTCGCACCCTCGCCTCACCATTCCTACACAGTACGAGTCCTCCGTACATATGCAAGACATCTCGATGCTCCTCCAGCCTCCGGGATCCTTCCTTTGCTGTTCTTGGTGCCACAGGCTCTTCTCTAAACCAGGTCCATATCCATTGCCCCATCGCAGTGTTGGTGAATGGGGCATCTCACCGTCTCCTCCGTGCCTCCGAAGCCATTTTAACCTCGTCTTACCCGTACCAGGCCTCCGAACGCCCACTGTTGAATTCTAACTCTCTTCAGCTAGACCGGCGTTCTCGATGGTTTAGAACTCAATGGCGGATGATGAACCCTGGTCAATTAAGAGATACACGCTATCACCAACCCGGTAAGATCTTTGACCAGGGGCACGCGCTTGATGCGTTGGCACGTTGTTGCTCCAGTTCATCTCAGATCAATGGCTCTCAGCCTCTCGCCTACTCAGCCTACCCAACTCCAAGCTTGCTCACCTCTCCTCCATCGTCGAATCATCCTCCCAGATTCCCTCTCTGCTTCTCGTTCTGCCTTCCTGTGCAGTTGCTGACCTGTTCCGGCTTCTGCTGAGCCTGCATCATCGTCATGCATGCTGTCGACATCTGCAGCCATCCGTTGCCCTTGTCTCTTTCCTGACTAGGTCTATCCGACCTCACTCCTACATTCGCTGTGTAAACAATTCTGGCTCCAGCAAGTTCATCATCTCGCTCTTTCTGATTCGATCTACCACTACATACGAACACTGGAACTTCTCAAGCACCGACAGTTTGGTCTTGTCATTCATCATCCCCCACCCAGCGGCCGCTCCTTTGTTTATCCTCGGTCATCTTCTGTCCTTAGCAAGAATACTATCCACCCATAGACGGCGTCTTTCTCCAGCCTCCAAACCGTCAATCCCCACGGTGATCAAAATCCCAAACTTACTGTTCCAACTATCACCCAACGACGATCAGACACATCACACCCTGAAACCCCCGTCTCACCTGACGATACCATCATGCGTCAGACGAGAACAAGCGGTACCCTACAGCCTCATTTTCAGACGTCCTGCGACCGCGACTCCGACCTATCCTACCTGTCCCAAATTCATTGGCTATAAATTCCCTGTGCTGGACGAATAGGCGTTTGTGCGCCAATTTGCTTTCTCAGACGCTCCAACCCCAAGGTACGGTCAAAAATGGGTGGCTGAAGCAATCCACCTCTCCACCAGACTCCCAGACAAGGTTATGTTATAGGGGAAGCAATTATCAACGAGCTGACAGCTGTACTAGATACCCAACGTCTGAGAACGCCGCAGCCACACTCACTTCGCCATTGCCTGGTCCAATCCTTCCTTTCACCGCCTGAAGTCCCCCTTCTTTTTGCCTCTGTACAATTTGTAACAACAGCGCATTTTCTCTACTTAATATTAATTACCCTGGCGCACGCTCGCCCAACTCTGACGACTTCTTCCTTTGATTTGTACCAACACTCCAGTACCCAACCCTATACACTCGCTCAATACGGAGGACACACGGTTCTTGAGAGAGCGCTACGCTCTTTTTCACACTCGTTTTTCAACCAGGTCGTCCCTCGATCGACTGCACTCGTTCTTTTGCGATATACATACATTCGGTCGGCTATCTGCAAGATTACTTGGAAACATTCTTCGTTCAAAACCCGACGACGGTCGGAAGATACTTGTTCCCCCTCGAACACGAACTCTGAGACGGAATTGGTCACAAGCGCTTAACCTGGGGGCGTGGCGCTAGAGGTAAATTGCACCCTTCACGTTACACCAACCCTTCTGCATATTCAGAATCATTTTTTGCTTTGCAAGCCCAAAACTTTTGTCTTTGACATCACTCGAGGGCTGTCACAGTGGAGAAAGGAGCGGAGGTAGTTTTCCCTCCAATCTTCGCTCTGTCGCATCACAATATCTGGAAATTCCTGTCCTACTGTTGAGAAGGAAAAGCCGTCCGGTTGTGCTGCAGTGATTCTTGGCGGCGTTTCATATGCCAGTTGATCCCGAGCTGTCCTGCTAGTCATGATGGATACATCAGCCACTACCACTACCGCTACCATTCTTGAGCCCGAACTACTCCCACCGTCCGATCGTGCCTCTCTCAATACACGGAAACGATGGAAACAAACATTCATAGAACTGACGTATCTGTCTCGACAGTGGCAGCCGGCGGACGGTCCTCCTCCCATTTATTCCTTTTGGATGGCCTCCTCGGAAGTCGATCAAAAGTTTCTCGGCTATTTCGCAAAAGTTACTACCACTGAGAATAATTATCTTTCAAGGTAAGAAGGGTTGCTATCCTTGTCGATTATGCGCCATCACCTTGGCTAACGTGGGGTCTCTTTTCGCTGCCCGAAGTTTTCTGTTTCGGGTTTTAGGTCTATCAGTAATACTTGCAGAAAAGCTTCTACGCGCACGGAAAGCAAAACGACTGGATCCGGTGCGCGATCCTAGAGCGAGACATCTCATTCATCATATACTATGGCTAGCACGTGAGGGCCTTGTCATGGTGGAGCAGTATATACTCCCCATGGTAGGCAACTACGTGGAGCTTCGCGTCCTATCTTATAAACTTAAAGCATCCTTTTATCACATTTTCGTCCTTTTTCACAACGACCCTCCCGTCAATGACCGAATCAACCGTTCGAGATCCGACTCCTTTTCATTATTTCCCGATCCATTATCACCCAGACTCTCGAAAACGTCCTCAAGAGATCCTGCGGTACGTTCTCCAACTGGTGGTCGTCGTCAACGATCGCCTGCGATTAGTCTCGGAGGGCCAGTTGGTGGCAGCACAACCGCACGAACGCCCCCTGGTCTTCCCCTTCCCGCGACTCATCCATACACCAACGGAAACGCCAACAATGGAAGTGGCGTCGCAACGTTTCTCCTCCCTCTCCAAGACTACACACCGTACGCAACACAAGCATTCCGCGAGGCCAACGAACTTGCCGAGCGACTACTCCCTGGATCGCACCCGGTCCGCCTCTCCGTCAAAGTCGAGTATGTCGCTTACGTGTACGACTGTCTCCACGAGTCAGAAGCCAGCCGCCGCCTGGCCCGTCTGGCAGTCCGGCACGTCTACGAGGCACAGGAAGGAATGGACGACGATTCCTTCGAGGACGCCGCAGAAATGGTGGGTATCCTTGGCAGGATGATGAAGCGAGGTCTCGGCTCCGGTGGTAGCTCCGGCAGCCAGCAGGCCCAGGCTCAGAGTCGTGAGAGAGTCGGTGGTGGCGGCGAGCCGCCTGCGCCGCCTGTGTCATCGACTACGACGGCAAGAGCCAGGGCTGGCACTGCGGCAGCTGCGCCGGCGAGATATGCATCGTCGCAGCAGCCGTCAACTTGGGTCTAGTGCCTTGGTTCCAGTCTGGTGCTACAAGCCTGCAGTGCCCGGGTTTATATATGCACATAATTAAGACCCTTCCGGCTACAATACGAGAGTCCTGTTTTGTTCTCTGTCGGCCATTTCGCCTTCTGTTTCCATTCTGACGTGTGCTTCGTGGGGTTCGGAATTGAAGATCTCCCTGGCACGCGCTCCAGTCTCCTCCTGCCATTCATCAAAGGTCCCTTGATCCGATCCATGTGTGCATGTGAATGTGCACGTCTCGAATGATGCCATCGTCCGGGGCGCTGTGAGTGGCGCGCCGGGGGTATGTCCGGGGTCCTTCCAGGCCACCCTGCTTCGCTAAGGTTTTCTCTAGTTTGTCTGAGGGTGAGTTGCTGTGTGAATCTATATAATAGGTACCTGGGGGTAGCTACCTAGGCAAGTAGAAAGACTCCAGTGCTAACTATGTAGAAAGTCTGATACGGAGTCCCCAGGTCGTCAGAGTGAGGCTGCATCTTACCGAGATCGGTATGGCTTCTTGGGGAGATGCGCTTCTACATCGCCAGCGTGTGAGTCTACGACAGGTGCTCATCACTTTCAGGTACGAAGCTGTTTTGATCCTGCGATGCTTGGAACCACCGCGGTTCGTTTCCAGACTCCGCCTAAATGTCCAATATCTTCATTCCTCTGTTCAACCATTTGCTCGGCAATCGGGATCTAACTCGTTAGTCGTTACTTTAGGTTGGTGTTAACTCTTGTAAATCTCGTACCCTCTTAGGCTTCACTTCGCAGGCCGTCCGTCAGGTCTTGGGTTTCCACCCGGATATCAACCAGAGCGGATCTTCCCATGTTCCTCCCTCATTGGCGTTGTGTTTTTTTTCTTTCACTTTTGATTTTCCTTGTCCTGTCCCCGGCGGTGACGTTTTTCCACTCGCCCCCCACTATCTATTCCCCCTCCCCCGTCACATGTCAACCCTAATTCATTGATAATTTGCCTCCCAAAGATTTCCTGGCTTGTTCCTCAACGGAAAGTCTAGATTTCTGCCACTGTGGCTTTCTTGCTGCGCCTTTTCCGGGGGTGGTTGACTTTTCCACAAGTCGTCATCAGATGCTAGAGTTCTAATCTGCATAAATACTTCCCATAGCTCACCAACCTCTAAGGAGGTGGATTTTCTTGACAACGGGTGGCTCTATGACGGCCGCTTTGGCTTTGAAACATTCGCTTCCCCCACATTATCACTAAATTGCTCAAGAGAAGGAAATCAAAGATGCCAGTCATCGATATCACCAAGGATTTGTCGGCGCTCTTCTCGAAACAGGTCAAAGCTACGCCTGAAGCTGCTGCACTTGAAGACGAGCACGTCACATACACATACGCAGAACTAGACGCCAAAGTGGAAGCTCTCTCACGTCGTCTTCAGCAGCGTGGAGTTCGTCGAGACAGTCTCGTTGGAGTTCTGTTGCCTCGCAGTGCCGATTACGTCATTGCCTGTCTCGCAGCTCTTCGTGCCGGAGGTGCATTCCTCGTCCTCGAACTCGCCTACCCTCCCGATTTGTTGGCCGATGTCATTGAAGATGCTGATCCCGCCGTCGTCGTGACATATAGAGCCGAAGTCGGCAAGATCAAAGAGGGCGTTCCGCTCATCGCCCTCGACGACGAAAAGTCAACCGACGATGCCAATGGCCATGCCGAACCGCCACCTCCGCTGCCCTCGGAGACTGACCTGGAACGACTCGCCTTCGTCGCTTATTCTTCTGGTACCACCGGAAAACCCAAGGGTATTGCAAACCCACACCGTGCATCTGTCCTCTCATACAACTTGAGATTCGGCCTGCAGGATCAAAACCCTGGAGACCGTGTCGCATGTAATGTCTTCTTCGTTTGGGAGATCCTTCGACCGCTGCTGCGAGGTGCCACCGTCGTCTCCGTTCCAGACGAAGCGAGCTACGATCCGGTCGCCCTCGTCGATCTCCTCGCCGCCAAAAAGATCTCCGAAACCCTGATGACGCCTACGCTCCTCGCAACAGTCATTGCTCGACATCCTAACATCGGAAAGCGGCTTCCGGACTTGCGGACTCTGTGGCTTAATGGCGAGGTTGTCACTGCCGACCTTGCTCGTCGGGCTTTGAAAGCCCTGCCCAATGCACGCCTGCTCAATTGCTACAGCGCATGCGAGACTCATGAAATTGCCTGTGGAGATATCGGTCAGATTCTGGACAATGACGCCACTTACTGCCCAGTCGGTCCATCTTTGGTTCCTAAATATACCTACATCCTGGATGAAGGTGGCCAGAAAGTCGATGCCGGCGTCAGTGGAGAACTCTTTATTGGGGGTCCACTACTCGCTCGTGGCTACCTTAATCGACCTGAAACTACTGCGAGGGCCTTTCTACCCAATCCGTTTGATTCGACTCCTGGTTCAAGAATGTACCGCACTGGAGATCTCGCCAGATTGCTTCCTTCTGGCTGTCTTGAAATCACGGGGCGTGTGGGCGCGATGATCAAACTTCGTGGCTATTCTGTTGTTCCTGGAAAGGTCGAGAATGCAATCATCAAGAACCTCGCCGTCAGTCATTGTGCGGTAGTTGCTTACGGGGAAGGCCTCGATCGACAGTTGGTAGGATATATCGTTCAGGACAAGGAGCCAGGAGATCGACCCATTGTCGAAATCAATGACTCTGGCCACAGCCCATCGACACGCCGCGTACTCTCCCCTTTCTTGGCCCATTACATGATTCCGTCACTCTGGGTTGAGTTGCCGGAGCTTCCTACCCATGAGGTCTCGGGTAAAGCTGATACTAAGAACCTACCTGCCCCTCCCACTGGAACTCCTAATGTCAATGGGCACAAGGTCGAGAAGGATCCCATCGATATCGAGGCCATTGCTGAGATTTGGGCTGCTACCCTCAAGATAGCCAAGTCGAATATCACGCCTGAACATAACTTTTTCGACTTGGGCGGGCATTCCCTGTCCTTGGCAGATCTTGCATCACGGTTATCCCGAAATTTCGGCTTTCGGATTCCGCTCGCTCGTCTCGTTGAGCCGCCAACTCTGAATGGCCATCTGGAGACTGTGAGAGCTGTTAGAGATGGCCATACTGCAGCCGTGCAGGCAGATCTGCCCAACATCCTGTCTGCTGACTCAATACTCGATAAGGATATTCAACCACCGCCAGGCACCAAAATCACCTCCCTCAACAAGGCAGAGACAGTATTCTTGACGGGTGTGACGGGTTTCTTGGGTGCATTCCTCCTCAGCGACTTGTTGGAGAGTACCTCTGCACATATCGTATGTCTCGTACGTTTCAACGACCCCTCACAAGAAGATCAACCAGGTGGCATTGCAAGAATCCGGCGAAATCTTTTGGACTTGGGCCTGTGGCGTGACTCGATGATGGAGCGAGTCGAGATTCTTCCTGGAAACTTGTCCCGAAAGCGACTCGGAATGTCACCAGATGCATTTGAGGAGCTTGGGAAGCGCGTCGATGTCATTGTCCACGCAGGAGCTACTGTCAATCTCGTTTACCCTTACGCAGCCCTACGTGGCGCGAACGTTGGCGGCACAAGGGAAGTCCTTCGACTGGCAGCTTTGGGTGGCGCTACTGTACAATACGTATCTACCAATGGCGTGCTACCGCCTTCACAGGAGGGTTGGACAGAAGACAAAATGCTTGGAGTCGAGGATGTACCTGAAAAGCTTCTTGATGGATATGGTCAAAGTAAATGGGTGGCAGAACAGCTCGCAGTGGAGGCCAGTCGTCGTGGAATCCCAGTTAGAATTCTCCGAGCTGGAACGATCAGCGGTCACAGCTCCACTGGCGCGGCAAACGCGTGGGATCTCTTGACAGCATTGATTGTGGAATCGCTCCATCTTGGCTATTTCCCCGATGTGGAAGGTTGGCGTGCTGAGATGACGCCGGTCGACTTCGTCAGTAAAGCCATCATTCATCTTGCAAATCAAGATCATGCTGAGCAGACTGTCTTCCACTTGGGTGATCCCAATCCAGTGGCTACCAGACAGGTCTTCGCTGACCTCAATGATCTCGGCTATCCAACAAAGCCTCTAGGCTTCGAGGAATGGGTCACCCTTTGGAACGAGAAACGAAGCTCCGTCAAGGGTGGAGATGGTGCTTTCACGGTCGACATTCTCCGAAGCGGCATGCCGAGCCTCGAATTCCTACGAGACATCGTCGTGTTGAATAACGGTCAAACCCGACCATTCCGCGCAGCCGTGCAACGGCCCAAAGTCGACAAAATCCTGCTGGAAACCTACACTCGCCACTGGTTTGCTAGAGGCTGGCTACCACGGCCTCCAATGGGACAGATGTCCCATGGAGGTGCCGCACACGCACCGCAATTCGGCCCATTGAGTGGGAAGGTGGCTGTGGTGACCGGCGCATCATCCGGGATCGGCGCCGCTGTGGCCGCTGCGTTGGCGAAAGAAGGATGTCACGTCGCACTCGCTGCTCGGAGACTCGAAGCCCTCGAATCCGTCAAGCGCCGACTCGTGACCCGCGAAGGCAAGGTCATCCTCCGCTCGACAGACGTCACAGACCGGAAACAAGTCGAATCACTGTTCCAGGCGGTGCATGACGAGCTCGGCCCTATCGACATCCTCGTTTCCTGCGCGGGCGTCATGTACTTCACCATGATGGCAAACGTGCAGATCGACGAGTGGGAGCGCACTGTCGACGTCAACTGCAAAGGCCTCCTCCACTGCCTGTCATTCACCGTCCCGAGCATGCTCAAGCGCGGCGCCGGCCACATCGTTGCCATCTCCTCCGACGCCGGCAGGAAGGTCTTTCCTGGCCTGGGCGTCTACTCCGCGAGCAAGTTCTTTGTCGAAGCTACCCTGCAGAGCCTGAGACTTGAAACTGCGTGCACGGGGCTTCGTGTGACCAGTATCCAGCCAGGAAATACAGCGACAGAGTTGCTCGGTATGTCCACGGATCAAGAGGCGATTAAGAAGTACGGGGAGCCGACCGGCGCTCAAGTCTTGGATGCCGATGATGTGGCGAATAGCATTGTCTATGCGCTGAGGCAGCCGAGCCATGTCGCCGTTAATGAGGTGCTTATTGAGCCGAGGGATGAGCCGATTTAAGCTGGGTAATGAATGATGGGGGAGGGAGGGTTGAGACCGCCGTGTAGAAGGGCCACATCCTTGAAAATCTTCTTTTCCTCGAGAGCTTTAAGAAAGCCTCGTCAACACAGAAACGGCGAATCCGAGGCTCAATCACTCGTGAGTTCCTCGAGCCAGTGCCTACATGCACCAAGGTTCAAGGATAATCAGCTCGAAGGTTGGACGGCAATGGCGGCCGAACCCCGGATGGCCGAACTAAATAGATTTCGTAGACAAGGTCACAATACCGACCGCTTGGGTTTCATATGGCTACTACGCAACCTTTGAGCCTATTGGGGGCATAGAGAACCGGGTTACTATGGTGGGATTTTGACTATGGGTCTTCTGGTTGCCCTGTGCAGATGGCTTTTGGGTTTCGGCGTGGTAATGGAATTCTCGATGGTCGGTCACAAACCTAGATATCTAGTCAATATTAAATCTACAAGTTTGGACAGAATCGCGCATCACTGCCAAAAGGTGCCATGTTCTCAAGGCTTTCGGATACGGGACAGCGGACCGTCAAAAAGATATCACGTTTTTCCGAGATAAATGCTGTGTCTGACAGGTAGGAATGCCCCGTCACGGCGGGGGATTTCGAACACGATAAGCATGATTCGGCCCGGTGGCTTGCGTCTGACAAATGGTATATAAATTCCTATTTTTTTTTGATGCGACGACTGCCGATATGGAACACTGAACGCGTCTTTTTTGTGGCCTCTCATGTCAGCAAGCCCCGATATTCCCTTGCCGTCCTTCTTCGCTCTCCCTCTGTCTTAAATTCGTGCGAGCTTGAGGCAGCCGGAGAAGTCCACAAGCAAGCGCGACCCTTTTACAGGCCTCTGCGTATCCACGTCCATCCAATCCGCCGCCGCTTGCTCACGGCCCCAAGGCAGGCCCAAACTTCAAATCTAAACTTCACAGGGCATATCGCCCAGGATGAACTCGACATCATGCCTCCCCAGCAGAGAATCCTTTGCGTCGCCGAGAAGCCTGCCATCGCCAAAGCCGTCGCTCAGCATCTTTCTGGCGGGAGGTTCGCCACGGTATGCTTGTTTGACCCTCATGCCCGATCCCCAAGCCCCATAGGCGCTGTCCTTGTTTGTCCCCTACCTCTCTCGCCTGTCACTCATGCCTTGACGCCAGGTTGATTGTTGGATTATGTTTTTTCTTTACATTTTCTCGTGCAAAGGCATTTGGCTGGAGAGATGGCACGGCTGTAGTAGCGTTTTTGATGTCACGCTCTACGTCCACTATCGTCTCTGTTGCATTTGGATGTTCTTCGAGATCCGTTTGCTTTTGACTTGAAATTTATATCCCTTGCTCTTGCTTCTCGATCTTCGTTCCAATTTCATTCTAACTGTTCCCTCTTTCTTCCGCGAAAACAGCACAACATCCAAGGCAACCCGTACGTGAAGAATTACGAGTTCACCTACGAGTTCCGACAATGGGGCGGCAACTGCATGGTGACCATGACGAGCGTGCTGGGCCACCTGACGAGCCTGGACTTCGACTCGCAGTACCGCGCCTGGCGCTCGTGTCCGCCCAGCCAGCTCTTCGACGCCGTCACCCACATCTCCGTCGACAGGGACAAGCAGTCCATTGCTAGGAACATCCAGCAGCAGGCGTCGAGGGCCAGCGTTTTGTTCATCTGGACGGATTGTGATCGCGAGGGTGAGCATATCGGTGGCGAGGTCCGTGATCAGGCCAAGAAGGGGAATCCGAGGATTGCAGTCAAGAGGGCTAGGTTCAGCAATACCGAGAGAGCGTAAGTTTGTTTCCCCTTGGTTCTATGCCTCTGGGCTTCTTTCCCCAATCTCCTCTCCCCCTTGTTTTGACTTGATATTGAATGGTGCGGGACCGGGTTGGATCTGCCTTGCACCTCCCCTACAACCAGGGAGCAAAGGCAAAAACAAAGATATTGACTAGCAGTGATGCATAGTCACGTTATACAAGCAGCACAAGCGCCCATAGACATGGATGAGCGGCAGGTGAACGCAGTCGCCGCACGGATAGAACTCGATTTGCGGATCGGGGCAGCATTCACACGGCTACAGACCCTCGAACTCCAACGGCTGAGTGAGAACCTGAAAGACCAGACGATCAGCTACGGCTCATGCCAATTTCCCACTCTCGGCTTCGTCGTCGACCGATACAACCGCGTACGGAACTTCAAGCCCGAGACATTTTGGCTTCTCAAACTAATGCATACGAGAGACCGAATCAAAGTCAACTTCAGCTGGAAGCGCGGGCACCTCTTTGACCGCGCGATTGTGACGGTCATCTTCGAGGCATGTCTAGATGCGAAACTCGCGCAGGTGACGAAAGTGCAGAAAAAGCCCACTTCGAAGTGGCGCCCGTTGCCGCTCACGACTGTTGAGTTGCAGATCCAGGGCAGTCGGTTCCTGCACATGACCAGCGCGCAGGTTATGTCAGTCGCTGAGAAGCTGTATACCAAGGGCTTCATCAGCTATCCGCGCACCGAGACGGATCAGTTCCCGCGAGAATTCGACTTTCAGACGCTGATTCAGCGCCAGGTCCAGGATGAGCGCTGGGGTCAGTATGCGCAGGGCCTCTTGGGGGAGGGCGGCGCGTTCCGGACGCCGCGTGCAGGGCGCCATAATGATCAGGCTCATCCGCCTATTCATCCGGTCAACTATGTTGCGCCGACGGCGTTAGACCAGAATGAGAAGAAAGTCTATGAGTTCGTTACGCGGCGGTATCTGGCGTGCTGCTCTGAGGATGCAAAGGGCGAGGCTACGGATATTGAACTATTATGGGGGACGGAGACATTCCACACACATGGCCTACTGGTGCTGGAACGTAACTACCTCGACGTCTACCCCTACGATAAGTGGGAAAGTAGCCAGCAACTACCTGCATTCACGGTGGGAGAAACTTTCGAACCGACAGAAGCAAACATGGTAGATGGCAGGACTACTGCACCAGGATACCTCACCGAACCCGAGCTGCTCGCCTTGATGGATGCAAATGGGATCGGCACCGATGCCACCATGGCTGAGCATATTTCCAAGATCAAAGAACGTCTCTACGTCGACACCCGAGCTCGTGGAGGTGGAGGCGGCGGTGGGCGAACCGTCCAAGAGTTTATCCCGACCACGCTTGGAGTAGCTTTGATCGAAGGTTATGACAATGTGGGTCTCGATGTCAGTGTTAGCAAGCCCTTCCTCCGCAAGGAGATGGAACTGAAGATGAAGGCGATCTGCGAGGGACGGCAGACGCGCACGGACGTGGTACAGCAAAGCTTGGATCAGTATCGTGAAGTCTTTGTGAAAACCCAGCGTGACATTGACGTGCTCAAACGTTCGGTGACGAAATATGTTGTCAACGGTGGTCGTGAGTGAAACTTGAATGCAGTCACGAGGGGGAAATGGGGAGTGCCGCTTTGGCGGAAGAAGCCGTTGGCAAAAGCAAAAGTGGGACATGGTTGCAGTTCCGATGATGGCATTCCCGCACATTCACATTCCTGGCGATCAATCGATTGCGCACAGGCAATACCGGCTGCTGGCCGCCTGTGGCGTTCAATTGGGGTCTCTCCTGTGCGACGTCCCTTGTTATGACAGAGTCCTCTCTGCAGGTTGTTCGTAGCCCTACACTGTGAGTGTCGAGGCGTCGTCAGCACATACTGCTCACGACCCCAGATCTGAACGGGGCGTCGTCCTTGGAACGAATCGGATGGGTCGAGGTGCCTGCGCCACAATGTCCAACTTTCCAGTTTTACCCATGACGCAGACATGACGCGATCGGAAATCGGATGCTTGTGGCTGATGGCGTCAGATCCGCCAATCATCAACGGTTTCAGCCACAAGTGCTTGAATCTGCCATACTACTCGCAGGAGACCCGTGTTCGATTCTGGCTCGCCATATGCTCCGAGTGAGAGTTTCCACGTCTCCGCATCTGACAAGGGATCGTGCACGGTATGACGCTGTAGAGTCCGCTTTTGGGTTCCTGTTTGGGCTTGTTTGGTGCATCTGGTGTATTTGTCTCGCCCTTTTGGTGTTACAAGGCTGGCATTGCTACTCCACCGGTGACGCAACTGCATTGGTGGGATTCAAGAAATGAAACCAGGTTTGGAGGGCAAAACCTGGAAGTGAGTCTCGTTTGGGATGCGTGATCAGCTCCGGAGAGGGCTATATAACGAACTGTCTTTTCCAACGGGGTGGGAATCTTCCGTCTTTGTATCCAATACTCATATTCACACCAAAGAAGACCACATACAAAACCTCACACTCAACACAGAAATCAGATCACCATGTCGAATCTTATCAACAAAGCAAAGGATACTTTGTCCAGCAACAAGGACCACAGCGCCAGCACCACCCATGGCGGAACAGGATCTACTGGTGCTTATGACAACCCTCGCTCTACCAACGCTGGACCTCACGGGTAAGCATTGCATTGATTCGATGAGGGAAAAATGGTCTAATCAATTTGCCTTCGGATAGTTCCAATATGGCCAACAAGGTAGATCCTAGAATTGACTCCGACCGAGACAACCGCAATGATCCCACAAGCCGCGTAGGAGGCTATGGCACTCAAAACACCGGTGCTGGCGGAATCGGTGGCACCGGCACCCACACCGGCACCCATGCTCCTGGTGTTGGCGGGACTGGCGCTGGTTTTGGAACAGGAACTTCAACCAACGCAGGCTATGGCACCGGTTCCGGAATGACTTCTGGCACCCACGGCACTCACGGTGCTTCGCACGGCACCACTGGTGCTGGCTACAATGACCCACACTCCGCCAACGCCGGGCCGCACAGGTAACATACCCTCAACTACCACTCTAGGATCAAGTCCATGGACTAACATCATTTTCCAAAGCTCAAACCTTGCAAACAAGCTAGACCCCCGCGTCGATAGCGACCGTGACAACAGAAATGACCCATCCAGCCGTGTTGGAGGATACGGAACTCAAGACACATATGGATCTGGAACCACAGGTCATGGTGCAACTGGTGCTTACCATGCAACCACCGGCACAACAACTGGTGCAGGAATTGGTGGCACTTCAGGTGCGCAGTATGACGACCCTCGTTCCGCAAACGCTGGTCCACACAGGTGAGCAGTTCTTGACATTGTTCCTGTAGTACATCCTCACTAACAATGTTGAAAGTTCAAACCTTATGAACAAAGCGGATCCCAGAATTGATTCGGATCGTGATAACAGGAACAACCCTGTGAGCAGCACTGGCGGTTATGGTCAAACACAGACACAAGGTGCTGGAATGACTGGTGGTACTGGCGGTGCTGGCTATGGCACAACTGGAACCACCGGTACCCACGGTGTCGGACATGGAGCTACTGGAGCCGCTGGTGGCTATGGTGCTGGTAGTGGAACAGCAAATGACGGTAGTACCACTGTTCAGGGCATACCTTCGGATCAAAAAGCGACCCACAACAGCCAACTCCTCAACAAGCTGGATCCTCGTGTGAAGAACGACAAGGAAGGAAACCCTCTCCACTAAACGATGGATGATGACTGATGACGATTGCTGAGATGTTTTGAATGAGGTGGAACTTGCGTGATTGTATGGAGACTCGAAAAAGTTGAAGATGATACCACAGCATTTGTATCGGTACTGCAAGTGCAACTTGTAACATTATTAGTATACTATCAAGGAATCAGCACCTTGAATTAACCTGTCGCACAACATCATCAATTCTTCATTGCCATATACTTTCCGTGTGATGTGAGAATGTGTCTACATAACGATCATTCGGTATCATCGAAAGGTACAACGTCTAGATCCATGGACTGCCATGACGAACATGCGCAGCACCAGTGATGCGTGATCGTGGCAAAGATGTTTGAAAAGTCTTCATCATCACGTTCAACTGCGGGTCGGGATGGAAATAAAAACCTCGACATGAAGCCATAATTTTTAAGATGGTGAGGTGAGGGCCCCTGGGGTAACGCCGACGTGAGGTGAGCATACAGTGCACAAATCTCACACTTGGATGGGTCGCGCAGGGCAAGAGTGATGAGTAACGCAGACAGGGAAGCCACCATGGGCACCAGATGCCGCTTGGGGCGACTAGTGTCGTTCCTTAGTAAGGCAGGTGCCAGTGGGAAAGGCACTCAGCGAAGAAGGTACAGTCCTCACTCGTACGAGTACGGAGTACTTCAGGCGGGCATTAATGATCACCACGGCACAGCAGTACAGGCCTGCGCACACTCCGTACTCTGTACTCCGTAGGGATCCTGCACCTCGGGTCTGCCACCCATCTGCATGCATGCTACGTAATCACGTAATCCATCAGCTCAGCAGAAAAGACTGACCTGGTTACTGGATACGGTAAAGTTCCAAACCCGCCTGCCGGAGTCTTTAACCAGTTGACCCCCGAGCCGCCTAGCCAAGTTCCACTTTTCCCGCCCAAAGCCCCCAGGGGCCCTGGGGGGACAGGGGGACGGGGAGGGCTAAGCCCCCCTAGAGTTACCACCTCGGGAGCCTCAGAGTCTCGCCGTTATGGGGGTGGCCCAATCGAGCCTCGACTTACGAGGTTACGACGCGGTCCAGGCGCCATCAGTCTTTGACTTTACCACTAACAGGATGCCCGCCTTGGATCTACTTCCCACCCACAAGTTGCATCTGCATTGACGAGGACGAATCTTCCTGCGACCAAACAACCCCCGTCTCAGATCGCCTCTATCCTATATACCCTAGGCTTCTGCTCGGTTTTCTTACCACCTTTGATGTCACCAGATTTCATGACCATAATCCTACTTTGTCAATAAAGTTTTGGTCGTCCTCAAGATCCTAGCCAACCCAACCTCGCAGTGTCCACGGCGCACTCGTAAGTCCAACATGGCGGCCCGGTCTGATCAGGCGGAACCATTCCCAAAGCTCGAGACCCGACGAAGCTCTTTTGCCTCTCACTCCTCGATTCCCTCTTCTCCTGCGCGCCCACGGACGCGGACAGGGTCGTTGATACAATCGTTTATCGAGAGCAATCCGCCTCTTGGGTTTACACAAGCGGCTGGGGAGGTCACCTCTAAGATCCCCACGTTACCCGAGATCAGAAATGGTGCATTTTCCGACGCAGGATGGACGCACGAAGGCCAGATGGAGCAGAGGGGAACAAATCCACATGAAATCCATCGGCGCCGTATAGCGAGAACGAGTTCCGCCAGTACCCGGACGCGAAGGAGTTCTGTCTCTACACCGGGTGGTCAGGTGCCCGTTATCACTGAAGAGAGACACGAGTATTTCCCGAGTCAAAGTCCAATGACAAAACCAGAGCCTGTCATCGAGGAGGCTCTTGCTGCCGGATTAGAGGGGAGAATCGACGAAATCAGCCAGGGCAGAGCCCGGTCCACTTCCTCCAAGCCAATTGAAAACGCCGCCATCAATGAGAAAGATGCATCGACAGCTTCATCAAACGCTGACGGCAATGGGCCACAGGCGGTCAAGGTTCAGGGCGGACCGGATGCGAGTGGCACATATCCAAACGGATATCGATTCCCCAAAAAACACACCTGGATCCAGTCCACCACGATCGGTCTGAAAGCATTCTGGAAATTCTTCCTCACGCCGCTCGGTTTTATTTTGACCATCTACGGCTTGAATGTTGTTGCGTGGGGTGCTATGATTTTTTTCGTTCTCCTCAAGGCCGCACCGGCAATGTGTCACCCGAACTGCGAGGACGACAGCAGTGCCCGCCAGATCTGGATAGAAATCGACTCGCAAATTCTCAATGGCCTCTTCTGCGTCACCGCATACGGTTTGTTGCCCTGGCGTGCCAGAGACTTCTACTATCTGATGCAATGGCGGATTTTCGGCAAATACGACCACCACCGTCGGCTCGCCGGAGTCAATCGAAGTTGGTATCGACTACCAGGAAGTGAGAAACTCGACGAGAGTGTTGGTCCACCACCGGTCTACACCAAGAAACATCCGCCCTCGCCCGAATCACCACCACCCTATACCGAAGAACAAATCGCCGAGCTTGAAGCAAATCCCGCCATTCCACTCCCCGTCACATCCATGCCAGCGGCCCCGCTTACGGGCGTGCGTGCCGCTCCCACGAAATCCTGGACCCTGGATTTCGTCGTGTGGATGTATATGGCCAACACCGGGTTCCAGGTGTGTCTGTGCGTGTTCATGTGGCATTTCAACCGATTCAACCGGCCCGCGTGGGGAACGGCACTGTTCATTGTATGCGGTTGCCTCGTCGCTATCTTCGCCGGCGTTGTCGTCGGCATAGAAAGTAGCAAGGTCAAGAAAATCGAGGGCATCCCCATCATGGAGTACGACGTGGTTGAAAGCGTCGAGGACTTCCAGGAGCGAAAGGCCAAGGACGAGAAAAAACAGCTGAAACATTCGAGACGCGAGGCCAAGAAGTTGAAGGGCCAGCATTGGTTTACGAGACACTAGGACTACGTTTAATCCCGGGGGAAAGTTCCCGTTGGTAAAACTTGACTGGCAACACTAGCCCTGGAAGACTGGGCCAGAGCAGTGAGTATACGGTCCAGCGGTTTCTACACAAAACCCATCTGTGATGAAGAACGTTGTTCCTACGTACAAGAGACCGACTAGATCAACCGGTCGACGCGGCGCGCGCGGACGCGCCCACACCTTCTTTCATCCATCGATTGGATACTGGAAAGCGATTGTGCATTATTAGCCCCATCGATGTTCTTTGAATGCAGCGACTCGTAGCCAGCCAGCCATTCTTACTCTCTATCTATACTCCGTCCGTATCTATATGTCGACATCCTCCATTATCATGATGGATGTCTCTAATGAAAACACGAAATCTAGGAGAAGCAATGAGGTGTCCCTTCCTAACCAAAACTAAGTATTGGTACGTGGTACGTGGTATGCAGTACGTGGGTCATGGTTCATGGGTGGTTCCAGGACGTTGGCCAACTGGTCTTGTCTAGTCTTGTCTCGTGTTGCCATGTTTTGCCATGTCTCTTGTCTCTCCTTCTCCTTCTCCTTCTCCTTTTCTCGTCCCAAGTCGAACTTAGCCCTACACCATGGCCTGGCTCGGCTCGCTTCTCTTGAAATTTGCCGTTTGCCCTTCCTGGAATATTCCTCGGGCCGTTCGTAAGCCGCCGCCGCTCAGCTCAGCTCCCTGGCTGGAGCTGCTCTTTTTTGTGGGGCGTACTGTGCTTAGATTCGTATGCTACTAGGTTAGGCTACCTATGTACTGCGTACCTCCTCCGGATTCGGATTCGGGGGGAGTAGGCTGAGTTGAAGGTAGATGTCTCTTGTCCCCAACATCTTTCTGGAGCGCTTCCTCCTAACGCGTGTCGTGATTGACGGGGAGTTGCCGGACCTGGACGGGATAGACGGGGGTTTAACTTGCCCTCCTCGCCCTTCTGCTCGTGTCTCTGCGTTGATTGTCCGGCCTGGAAGACCGAGCGCACGGTATCGCATGCACACTGTTTGGTGCAAGCTACTTGTAGACGTCTTGCTCCCGTGGCCAGCCCGGTGTCCCGATGATCGGCAATCCCATCCACCCTGCAGAAATAGTCTTTTACGGCTGGGCCTGAGCGACTGTTCGCACAATGAGGTGTAGATGGGCGAAATGTATCTGGGCCGGCACCTGCCACTTAGGCAGTCACCCAGAACCCCGACGCAAAGCGAATGGCCTTTTCCCGCCCTTCGCGTTCTCCTTCGCCATCCGCTCCTGCGTAGGCGCGGTTCCCCTGAAGAGTCGGCGAGTGGTCGCTCCCACGCGCGGTCAAGTGAAGGACCAGCCCCAGTCCCAGAACCTCTTTCCTCCTGCTGTCCTCATGCGTCCGCTCATCTCAGCCATTCTGCCGCGGCTTGACTTCCCCTTCCTGCATGATATAGTAGACGACGGTGGAATCGCCGCCGCCGCCCTCTCGCGCCCGCATCCCCAGCAACACTCGTTTCTGGTCTTGATGCTCGTACGGTACTCTGGCGTGGCTTCCTGGTGTAGAGGTCGGCCGCTTCGCATTGCCGTTCACTCTCGTACCTCCATCACCGTTTGGAGTAGCAACAGCAACAGCAACAGCAGCAGCAGCATCAGCGCCGGAGCCAACAACGATCCTCTCGCGGCCAGCCATCGCATCAAACACCGCGCAGAAGCGACTCAGCGTCCACTTCTCGGCGGTACTCAGCGGCAGCACGAACTCGCGCTGCACGGGCAGTGAGGCTTCTGGGATTGAGTGCTTGACCAGGTGTAATTGTAGATCGGGGTGGATGTAGCTGTGGCGTGGGGGAAGGCCGGAGATGAGCCGGACGACGTTGATTGGGGGTTCATTGTTGGCTGGAGGGGCGGATGATGGTGTTGCTAGAGTTGCTGTTGAGGAGGTCGCCGAGCGGGACGGGGATGAGGATCGGCCTTGTTGCTGCTGATAGTTGGGAGAGAAGTAATTGTCGACCTCGAGATTGACCATCCTGGACGTTGTGTTCCCGTCGCCATCACCGTTGATGGACGCAGGACTCGGTCCGCTATTCAGCTGAACGACATGCAGCCGCAGATCGGACCAGTCATGCTGATACCGTAGATTGTGCAGGATCTCGATCGTGAGAGCCTCTCCCGCAGATTTCGCGCCCGAGCTCTCGATCAGTTTCGACACTGCTGATGGCTCGGGCGGCTGTGGTGAGTCTGATGCCTCTGGCATCATGGATGAAAACAAAAGCCGGAGGAACGAGTATGCACCAAGTGCACTGTTCAAAGGCCAATCAACTTGGAAGGCGACAAGGAAGGGTGTGAGAATGAGATCGGATTTATTTCAGTCCTCAGGCTGAGAGAAGAGATGTGACAGCCAGGCATGCGAGTACTTTTTCCCCCGTCTTTTCTTTCCCTGCCTCTGGGAAAATCTCCCTAGGTCTTTCTTCCAGAGCTGCTGGGAGGTTGAGTCTTGGAGGGCTTTGACACGCCCACAGAGCGGTTGGATTTAGTATGCCCTCTCACAGAATGAAAAGAGTACAACGTAAATACTTCTTTGGTGACTCGGAGGCGGGAGAGTTTACATATAAAAGCTTGGCGCCAATTGTTGGTCGGACGAGTTCGTAGTTCAATTGTGGCTGAAGACGGTGGTGCTGTGGCTGTGCGATCGTCGCCCGGTATGAGGGAGGCGCGGTTCGCTCCATAGATCTGCAGATAAGATTAGATGCCACTTTCGTACTGAGTCTGTATGTATACATAGGATGTTACATCAATACCCTGCCAACAAAGCATAATGGAGAAGTAACAAAGATCAACTAAAATGTGTGAAAGGATTATATATTATTAAAGGTAGGAGACTATTCAGCATCCTTTGCCCATCAAAATACGCCAGACATAAGCCCAATCATCGCTAGACGCGGATGCGGACGCTGCTGACGACTCACCTCCATGACCGCCGGCTGGATGAGTCTGGGGGAATCTGAGGATTGGGGAACTGTCGTGTGCCCTTTAGGGAGGATCCCTTGCTGGTCGCTGATAGACCTTTACGCCCGTCACATCCCTTTTGTACACATTCAGGCTGGCCCTGTACACCCGCTCTTTGCACACACGCAACATAGCTCCTATCTGCGACGGGGTATCATGATGCCGCCAACAAGATCCAAATCCCATAAGTCCAATCGCAAAATCTATTCCTTAGACAGGAGTGAAGCGGTCTCAATTGTATGTGCCGACAATCAGCGCATTCACCACATGGCCTTCTTTCCAGCCCTGATCCATGAGTGTGAGCTTGTCGTCCAGGATTTTACCAAGGTAGGCGATTTTTATTTTGGCCTTTGGTGGTACCTGGAAAAGTAAGGTCAGTATCCCAACCAATTTCGGCACCAAAGACGCCATACCTCAGTTTCATCTCGAATTCTTTGCCCCAGTGCGCCAACCCTCTGCGTCCTCCCCAGGAGCACTATGACATCAGGACCACCACGATCACTAAGTCGACATTTGACCTTCATGGCATCCTTCTCCACCGCAGCTTTGCCTTTAGCTTCTTTGACTTTTTCTCCGCTAGAGTCATCATGACCAAAGCTGGCATTTCCACCCTCTGCGGCTTCAAGTTTGGCGTCAATGGCATCGATCTCATTGGTTCCCGTTACCGTCTGGCTATCGATGTCGTTGGAGTCTTCCACAATATTGGTCGGGTCTGAGATGACGGCCACGGGCATTTTGTACAGATTTCCAGCTTCGTCATACGCACCGACCTCGATTTGCCCCGTGGGGAGCGTCACACCCAGCGCATCAAGTATGCCTTGTGCATCTGCCATGTCGCCTTCTTGTAGACATTCAATGACCCGTTTCAATGCAGCCCAAACCTCCTTACGCCCGGTAACTCTGGTTTCAAAGAACTCGTACCTCTCCCTCTCAAGTTGTGCTCGTGTCCATGTTCTGTCGGAGCTGACCCAGGGCTTGGGTGATTGCAGAGGAAGATTGTAATGCTCGGTTAAGGAGGCAGGGTCTTGTCGCGACCTGCGATGGTTATTGACCGACTGTCTCGGCGTAGAAAGAGCCGACCTAGAAGTCTCGCTCCGATGTATTGAGGGTCCCGAGGGAGGTGCTAGAGCGCGAGGGTCATTGTCGTGAGGGCCGCCATTGATAGCAGTCTGGGAGGTTATGTCCTGCGGCGACTGCCGTACTTGAGGAGGGGCACTGGCTCGTCCAGTTGGAGGACTCGCAGCATCCGAAGGTCTAGATGAACAGCAGCCCTAGACAGAAAACGACGGGGTTAGTCTAAGAGGGCGGAATTTTATTCACTGCCAGTGATTTGGCCAAGACGGAAAGGCGAAAACAGAGGTTGAAGACGTTCTACCTACCATTGCTTCATAGCATAATTGGACTCCCACTAGCGCCTACGAGGTGTATATAGATTCGAAGATAAATTGCTCTCGGGTCATACAAGCATGTCGCAAGCCATGAAGCGCCCACCAAGTGACGGAGTGGGAGCTGGAAGATGGATGGAAACAAGAAACGAAGGTGGGTTCCACTGCCAGGAGGGCTAGACGATCTTGGTGACTTGGTGAGTGGAATGACTAACTTGGATAAGACCCAAGATGGCAGGATGAAAGAGCAAGGGCAGGACAAGATCAAGGGTGGTGGCGGTGGTAGAGGTGGTCGAGGCGGTCCAGTGAAGGAAGGATGAGGTAAAGTGGTATATGCTCGTAGTGTGTAGGATTCACAAGAGATGCTGGTAAGATGGATGGTGGTGCAGTGCAGTACTGAGTGGTGACGAATACTTGGACGAGAGCAGATGATGAAAGCACGACCTGGCGGAGGTGGAGGAGGAGGCGAAGCGATGAGACCAGGGAGCATCGATAGCTGGAGGAAGAGTAACTAATGATATGCACCTACTGACATGACATGACACATGTGATGCCATGTACCTCGTAAAGTGATTGCCACGCACAGATACACAGACACTACCCGCATTCGCTCCAAGTCTCTAGGTGGGTCGGTTAGGCAGGTTTAGGCATGGGTCTGGTCCATAGGGAGCCGCGGAGGCCCCCGCTCGAAGGATGTCTACAAGCCTAAGACGCCCAAGAAGCCTAAGTTCTTTAACTAAAGGACGAGTATCGACTAGCCCAGCTGCTTCAGCGATCGTCTTTGCATGCACACCCACGCCGTGCTTCTCCATGCACCTCTGAAACACATCTTGATTCTGGAGAGCCCAGGGCATGTGCACCCTGCATCCCGCATCGTGCATCGTGCATAGACCAAAGACGAGTGGGAGCGAGGGCGATACCCACTTTGATGCCGTTCTGGTCCAGCTACACTTTCATCCATCACCTGATTTCTTTCTCTTTTCGGCCATCGTTGGTTTTCTTCGATCCTCACGGTCTTCACCGTTATGTGGGTATCTTCTTGCGCACGTGCTGGAAAAACCGAGCATTCAGCGAGTGAGTCAGTAGTACCTCGCAGTTGATTGCCAACGTAGTCTGGGTCAAGTTGGGAAGAGATTCGCTGCATCACTGTTCCTCCCATCATCTACTCGTATGTAGCTACCGTTCCCTCCATTACGAAATGTTGGCATCAAGCGACCCTGAGCATGGTTCTTCCATGCCCCATTGCGCTTCCCAAGTCATATACATGAATAGCCACATACACAAAATATATAATCTTTGTCCATGAAAAGTAAAAGTCATCATCGAAGCTCAATTGAAGGACACACCCCTTGGTTCCAAACGCCTTGCTTGCCCTCGTGCTTCAATTCCAGTTGTTGATATCTGTTTCTTGAAAGTCAGTCCCAGGGTTTCCGAATCAAGGGAATAACATTACTCACTTCTCGCTCTTAGAATGAAAGTAGATTCCACTCACGCGACCCTCGATTTGATTAAAACAGATATAATAGAAGCCCTCAAAGCTGGCTCCTTGGATACTTTTCAGCTTATAGTCCGGAACTAGAAAATGCTCCTTCCATCTCATGAAGATATGTTCTTGTTGCCACCAATCCTCATGATTCATCGGATATACAAAATTAATGTTTCGCTTGGCGTGTAGGCTGAGTGGTCGCCATGCCGCAAATCTCGCCCAATGCGTCAGGTCAGTCTTGTCACTGGCGCCCCAACTGGCGTCTCTTGTTCGGAAGCTATACTTCTGATCTGGCCCTCCGATAATCTCACCAGTGAAAAACGTTGTCAATGTGGGATGATCGGGCGTAAGACCACAGATCTGTAGATATCCGGACATGCTGGCCTGCTCAAGATCTACTGTGAGAATTGTGACCTCCACGTTGTAGATTTGCCTGTCAGATTGTTGGGTACCCTTGAATACTGAATATGGCTGGAATGTAGCGGACGGATATTGAGGCCGCAATCGTCGACCCGAAAAATCCCATGGATGAGCATTCCCCGACCAGTCCAATTCTCGGTCGATCGGTGGCACTCCTGTCGGACCACTAGACTTGGAGAAGCTGGTCTTCTTGTCGTCGACGGACGTTTCAGATGCAGGTGATACTGGCCCAGATATGTCTTTTGTATCTGTCTGTGGATTCGTTGCCGACATTTCCATGTCTGGGGATGAATGCTGCACCGCCGATCTTTCATCGGGATTAGACGTCGGAGCGTCATCGTCATTGCCTTGCACAGATTGGGTATCTCCGTTCAGCTTGTGGCTCGAAGTCGCACTTGAGACGTCTCCGCCGTTAATTGCATCTAGCTCCATCTTTTCCTCGGGGACCTCGGGATGCAGCTTTTCTTCCAAGTCGGGTGCGGACGTATACATGCTTTCTTCTTGTATCTCCGACATGGCCGCAGCTGTATTGTCATTCACAGGGCGACGGAAAACCTCATTCGCCCTAGGATGCTCCTGGTGATGAAAGGAGACATAGTGGTCAGGAGGTGGTGTCAGTGGAAGAGGACATGCAACGTTTGACTCGTCTATCTCTGATTGAACCTGAGGGCGGTCGGGTGCAATTGATGCATGAGTTGGCATTGAAGCGCAAGCCTCCGCTGTGTTATCATATGGAGAGGACGATCGACAAACCCTGATGGAATTATTGACGTGGAGGTTATGGGGTCGATGAGGTGAGAGGGATCGTCACTCGATCGCAGACTGCGCCGAACCAGATCCAATTGCTTGCCTATGCGGTTCAAAGGTGAGGCAAAGCAACCAGTGCAAAGCTGGTTAGATGAAGAGATCCAAGACAGATCAAGTTTGAGGCTGGCTGCAAGAGCAGTAGTAGCAATAGGGAATTAGCGGATAGGTTTGAGGAGGGGCGTGGCTACCAGGTCTGGAGGAATACTACTAAGTCTGTGGATGGAGATGGAGATTGAGGAAACTTGTGCAAGACCCCAAGTGAATTGGGGATCCCGAAGCCGGAGAGGCGGTTGCATTGGCTTTTTGGTTCTACGAGTACTGTAATCTCTAGGTCGTGCTTTCCTGGTTAAAGTGCCGCTTCCACTTCCACTCCTTCCCAGGGCCACAAATGTTGCGGGGTACAGCCCGTGATCTGAGACCTGACTCGCACGCGGTACGCGGCATCTCCATCGCTCCTTCGCATTCACCATTCCATCACATCTACATTTCCGTTCCGCCTACCCCCGTGCCTTCCTTCATGCATCTGTGTGCATCCGGCCTACCATATCGCACGTGATTAGTAACGACTCACAAAGTACCCGTCCTTTTCGTTGGACTGAGTTGACGTGACCTATTCTAACCCTCATTCATTCGTATCTTGTGGCTGCAAGGTGTTTTCTGATGCACCTAGAGTATCACTAACGACTGTCCATATCGATGTTTGCATGATGGTGTGTACTGACGTTGAGCATAGCCATGATGTTTCTCCAAGCCATACTCATTGCGAGTTGAGTACTTTGGAAGTGGACTGCATCGGGTCGGGTCGTAGAGGCGCATTAAGTCGACAAGTCCTCAGATTGGCTTGATCTAAACCAATATTGTCAGCAGCTTCCCCCACATCTGGCTGAATAGACGCACCTTGAAATGTAGGGAAATCAACGAGAAAACCAGTGCCTTGAGATCCTGTACCAAGTAGTAGAACACTCTGAGTCCCTCTGGGTCTGCCGAATCGGTGACGTCTCCCAGGGACCCGATCTTTGCAGTCTAGAACAGAGTGAGCTGCCGCTTCATCTTAAGCTGCCAATCGAATCTCCTACCTCAAATTGAATGTGATCACTTCCAAGCCTGATCTCCAGCTCTTGTCTGCCATCTTTATTCTTCTGTGGCCACCGCGAATCGTCTTCTTTCATGATCTCGCTGTCTTTGACGATACGCTTGATTTCGGATACGAGGAGAGAGCTGACGCACACTGTCCGTTGGGTCAGCAAGGAAGCTGTCAAATGGCAGATTGTGAGAAGACGCACTTTCTTTGCGGATCAGAGAATCATTGCGGTAGTTCGAGTTGTTGGCATATCTTGCCGTAGCGCTTCGTCCATCGCCAATCACCCGGAAGTCAAACTCTGATATCACGTTAGATAAGTGTCACTGAGAGGACCTGAAGCCTTGTATACCTAAGAATTCATGTCCAAATCTGCCCGAATGGCCGGAACTGCTTGTTATTAGCTTCTCACACCCCGAAATGGTTCTGGTCCGAGTTCCATACTAGTATCGCACATAGAAAGGCTCATTTGTGGTCGCCATATCGGCGAACCTTTTCAGCTATGTGTCGTCGAAAGATTACCTGGTGGATGGCAGGGCGCCAGATCAACAAGCGGCTGGACATCCAACACGGCTGTGGTTCGCGATAATTGTTGCCAAGCCATGTCGGAGGTTTAGTCCCGCGCCGGAACGCTATTGGTGAGCCAGACCTAGTCTTGCCGAGCTACTTGCATTGCCTCAGTACGTAGCGTTTCATAGGTATGAATCCAAATGTGGTCTTTAGGGTTGTGAGGGAGGACCATCCATAGGGCGCTAATGCAGTGAGGCCTCCGTTTGGGCGGTACCCTCAAATCCAATGCATCTGCATCCACATATACAAGAATCTAGCTGAACGGGAGAGAGGCTCCGCTGCACGACCTGACGAGCTGATGGCTCCTGCAGTTTGGAGGGCTCTACTTTTGTTCTGGGAATGCTTTCATGTCAAATGGGTTCAGCAGGAGCATCAAACATGGCGCACTCCTGGGTGGGTCACTATCGGGAGTCTTTTCCAATAAATCTTAACCTGTCGTCTGGGACCCGGATCAAAGGTAACTTCGTCGCTGGCAACTTCTCAATAAGTTTTTAACGTAAATCGAGATGCTAGAGCTTGAAGCTTGCTTGACGTTACTCTCATCATTATTCTTCTTCATCCCATGCCTTCTCATAGCTGGTGGGACTTAGATTGAATCCACTTTTCTAGCCACCTTGTAGTAGGTAGCTAGAGTAGTAACTTAGTATGCGGTTGGCGACTACTCAAGAAGTTATCAACGAGGCTGAATGGCAAGAGGTGGAGAAAGAATACTTAGTTAGCTCTTGTACGGCCCAGGTCGGGTACAGATTGGGCCCCTCAGCCAAGACCAATCACATGATCTTGAATTCCACCAATACACGTGAGCCATCCGCAGCACGTGATCATTGGCAAGAAATCTCATCATCCACCCGAGCGCTGCCTACTGGTTTGTACGTCTCCTTGATTACCGCCAAGCAATGACGCAGCCAGATTTCAGCGGCCTCTGCTAGCACCTTTAGTTCTGTGATTTTGAGTCCTGGCTTTATTCCGTAGCTCATCGGCGGATCTTGACTTTTAGTTTTAATTTTTCTTTTCTCTTCTTCTCCCAAAATCCTTTCTGTTGTCATCTCTCGTCATTAGAACTGTGAATTCGTACCAGATCCGCAATGTCGAGCCTTTCGGACCAAGTCTACAATCTCTTCGCGAGCGTTACTGGTAGAGAGAAAATTGGCTTTCTTGACACATCTGCCACCTCGTTATATAGTACGCCTGGCCCACCAAGGCCCATTCTCTTGGAGACCGGCTGATAAGACACAGTTGCTGCCGCTGCCATCGTCTTCAATCCAGTCTTTTGGAAGTAAGTCTGGATATCTTGAGCCATATATTGCACTTTCTTTGCTGACCAGTATAGCATCGTTGCCCGCCTAGGCAAGACATACACCCCAGGTTTGGGTATGCAGGAAAACTAATTTCAAGTAGAGTATAACACACATTTTTTGACCAAAATATTCGGATCACCCTATAATGGTTGCTATGCTTTGGCAGTCACGATCTTTTCCATTGGCATCATTCGAGATCATCTGTACACTGTTGCGCTAGATGAGCAGCCCGTATATCCCCCACTCCATCAACCCGAGCTGGGAATCGGTTTATTCTTGAGTGGTAATGTCCTTGTCCTGTCGAGTATGTGGGCTCTTGGAGTCACTGGTACATACCTCGGCGATTACTTCGGGATTCTTATGGACAAGAAAGTCGAAGGGTTTCCCTTCAACGTCACGGGAGCACCGATGTACTGGGGTAGCACATTGTCATTCCTCGGCACGGCGTTATACAAAGGCCGCACTGCAGGCGTCATCTTAACTCTTGAGGTCTTCGTCATGTACCTCATTGCTTTGCAGTATGAGGAGTAAGTGCATCACGTGTCGTCAGATGGGGACTGATCGCGATTGCTAAACTTTCCACAGCCCTTTCACTGCCGCCATCTACGCGAAGAAGGATGCTCGGCCAGTAACTCGATCCATGACCAAGCAGAAGATTCAGAAAAAGGCGTAGGATACGGAAAGTGCACACAATTAGACGTCACGCTTTTGCTAGACTTGTAGGTCTGGTATTTGACACTTAGTGAGTTGGATACGGTGGATGGGAAGGGGGAGATGGTTGCAGTGGTCTAACCTATAGTATGCGCACAAAGAGCCGGATGTGAGGAAGGTTGCTTGTGATACCCCGAGTCAACGATTGCCTGTAGAGTCAGCAATAAAAGTATTCCGTACACTGTGCCTCTAAGTATGATCTCATCAGACAGGATCCCTGCTTGGAAATTAATTCATTGTTGTCTGACATACGACCATGTTGAATTTAGGGTTTAAATAGTGCATAATCTGTGGTCAGTCCATGTGAAATAAACATCTTGAATCATGTTTATGGCTATTTTTCGGTTCCTCGAGTCAAATCCTGCGCCGATCACATCCTCTGAGAGAGGAGGAGGTTAGAAGTCCAGGTGCGCACCTTGTCACCGTCTTCACCACTCATTTTCCACTGTTCCGGCACTCACAATCATGAATCTACAGCTTGGCCTAATTTCGAACTTCTCAAGACTGCTTTTTACCTGAGTGAACCAATTCTTCTCTCACCTGTCCCCGCGTGGACACCGCCAGCCGCATTCCTCGCTCCCATCCACGCGCACCAATCCTTCTCCCCTCTGTCTCATTATCCACAAGCCAAAATGCCTCCTCAACACGTTGAGATTGCGGAGACGATCGCTGCTCTTAAGAGAGCTATTCGCAGAGAGAAAGAAGGTAGATACATACAACCTGATCAATGGCAGGCCCCATTGTGACTTCTGAGCCTGACATACCTTCCATCTCTAGCTCCTACAGAACAGCCCATGCACGGTGCGACCAATCGAGGAAACAAACTGAGATATGGCGCAAACTATGTACATACCGGTGCTCTTCCATACCCACACGGCGCCGAAGGTTACAAACAGGTACGTTGTTTGATGACACTAGACCTCTCGCCCGAATGATTAACCCCTCTCACAGAAAATCGAACATGCTGGGTACACACGCTACATCCTCGACAGAAATCCCAGACGTTACAACGAGTACGGAGATGAGCTAAATGACAGTGAAAGCGACACCGAGGCAGATGAAGACGCCAATGACGAAAACCCATATAGTGGTATACGCATCGAGGGTCAGCCCATCCTAAAGTCACTTGAAGAGCTTCTCCAGATTAGCTGACCTTCCCTAGAGCTGTTGGCGCCCTTGAAGCATCCTTCCGACCTCGCGAACCATCCTACTTTGTCCCTGCCCTTTCTCGATTCCGCCCTCCCAGACATGCTAAGATCTACGGAAGACAAATTGCGCCAGGAACGAGCCAATCTTTGGCGTGCAAAGAACCAGAACAGACAGTTCATCGGTGACGAATCGTGGATCCCATCTCATGTCACTGAAGGTGTTGACGACTGGGATTTGTTCGAGCCTAAACCCAGGCTGCCCGCTCTCTCACCCCGGAAGAAGAGGAAGACGGCTTCGCGCAACGAGACCTTGCGAAATGGGGTAGGGCATGGTTATGCTACTGCAGATGGCCACACAAGTCGGGTGGGCCAAGACACCATGGGTAACAATCAATTATCACCAAAGGACATTTCCACCAAGGAGATAGCGGATACTGGAGAAACGGGGGACGTGCCTGTAGAGCATCTAGTTGCTATGGATGTCGACATGTCTGCGGCAGATCCACCAACTACCAATGGTGTGCATCAAGATGCCAACTCCACCGAAGACAAAGGAGCTAGCAACAAATCCCTTAAGCAAATACAGAACGGCGATGTCCATGAGACGGCAGATAAGACGGACACCGAGACAAAGGAGCAGGACGACGACCAGCGCAGTGAGGATGGCACACCACCTCAGCACACCCGAAGAATCACAAGAGCACTCGCCGCAGAACAAGAAGGGTCGAATGTAACATCTATTCCCGACTCCCCCCATACTTCCACATCAACGATCAACTCTTCACTCCTCCAGCCGGATCCCTTCTTCCTCCTCCCACCCTCCCTAGCCGCGAACCACCGTACTCCACGACATTTGGACCGCCTAGGTCTCCCAGTTGAGGAATTCCTTGAAACCCGCCGCCTATTGACCATGTACATACAAAAGCAAGAAGAGAGCGTTCGCGGATACGAGGCACTCCTAGGCAAACTCACACGTGCGAAGAGAATGCGAGATAAAGTCTGGGAGTGGTGCAAAGCTGAAGGACACGTAGGCGAATGGTCGGACGGTGAGGACTGGATCGACGCCGAGGCATGGGGCTTGCAACCGGAAGAGCTCAAGAAGGGCAAGGACGAGGAAGAAGTCGAGGGTCAGGAAGACACAGGCAGAAAGGGTAAACGGCGCCGCAGGGACTAGAAGTCTCGTGTAGATGACCCGCCCCTCCTGTTTGTCCAGGGGAGGTACGCACTGCGGCCTAGGGAATCTCCTTAATCTGGTCGCACTTGATGATGGATGAGATGGTTAGATGAAGATGAAGCCCTCTTCGTTGAGAGAAAACAGAGATGATTTCAGAACAGCAAAGGTCATCGATCACGCTTTACTGCCACTCGCTTATGAAGCCATTCGATTTTCGAGCCCATGGCCCCCTCCGCATCCGTTGGTCTTGCGTGTGAAAGAATCCCTAATCCATTTAACGATAGCCCTTCCGTTGAGTCTTGTCGTGTCATGTCGTGTTCGTAGCAATTCTACCCACGCCTTGACCCGCCCTCTAACTCCATGAATCTCGTAAGATTCAACCCAGGCTTGAACCATGTCAAGTCAAGTCATACTCTCTGTGGAGCTCCTCCGCCTTCCGCTTCATCCTGCTCCACTTACGTAGAGTCGGCAGGTGATTCATGTCGCGCCCGTACGGGTACCGGACTTTCCAGCCGACTGGCCGAGGGAAGAAGGGCGGTTCGGAAGGCCGCTCTGTTGGCGTTGGCGACGCCCATCTACATAGCTTGTGTCGTCGAAAAACAGGTCGAGCAGCAGGTCGTGGGTGCAGAAAGGGCGATGACGAATCCGAGTCGCTCTGACCCTCCGTCCGTCGCGGCGCTCGGCGGAACTTGGGAGTCATGCCCTTCCACTATGCAGGACCTCTCACTTGCTGAGCGGTAGCCTCGGGTTCGCCTCCTGTCGGGACGCCGCCGCTTGCACCGGCCATTCGACGGTCTCCGTTGTTGTCGTCGGCATCGTCTTCCCCGTCGCCGTCACTGCTCTCTGCGTCTTCGATGTACAGCTGTGCGTCCTGAGCAATCACACCTGCCGCCTTCAACCGCGCGCGCATGTCTCGCCGGTCGCCATCCTGCCATCGACCCAACGCTGCTGCTGCATGCATGCGGAACCCAAATACCTTCGGCTCGTACCGTCTCCGGGACTTGACAGGCACGAGGGCCGGGTACACCTGGAAGAGGATGTTGTGGAAGCTGGAGCCGAAGTACGCGCCATCGATAGCAGCGTGCCGGGACGACTTGGGATTGTAGATATCCTCGCACTTGGCGCAGAATAGTTTCACGCTTTTCAAACCTGGGTTGTCGCTTGGTCCGAAGGGAAGCAAGGGGTGGCTGTCGCAGAGCACGCGTGGGCAACGGCCAAAGTCGGATTTCTTAAATTTGTCGACCATCTTTGCCAGACCGCGCGTCGTCACGATGTATCGTGCGTGCACGAGGCCGTACAGGTGGCGAGCGGACTTCTCGATCGTCTCGCGCATATCGTCTTCGCAGTCGAGGTCGAAGACGTCCGTGATAAGATCGAGCGCGTGTTGGTAGTAGTGGACTTCGGTGTTTAGTCCTGTTAGGTTGAAGCGATCTGTGATGTATTCTTCGTCGATCTCGCAGAAGTATTCATTGCCACGGGATGATATGAACTATAGATCAAGTGACAATGGTTAGCCTTCTTCCCTTTCCGGTTATTTAGACAAGCTTGAACAGGATGGTATGGGAAGAGTGGTTAGATCAGATGCGAGACATTGGTTAAGGAATCAAATGCTTCAATTTTTCAGAATAACACACGTAGACTCCATGATTGAATAGTGGTCGTCGTATCGACAGGCTCTTTTCCCTCATAGCTTGCGGAGCGATTGCGCTAATCCATTTTCACCTGGGAAGAACTGCCGAGTGATGCTGACACTTCCATGGTACCGACTGAGTGTATTTATTTGCAGACCAAAGGTACAAACCATGCTCAGATGATCTGCATTAGACAAAATTGACTTCTACTATCTCTCCTTGAATTGCCTCTCAGGGACGCCCGTCAGGGTCCTAATCGTGTGGGGGCGAGGGTTGAAACCCTGGCTGTGTTCAAGCACACACCGGTACACACAATGTATGTAGATCGAAAAGTGTATGTAGCATGAAAAGAGGATGGAAATATGAGATCTCCTGCAGACAGAGTAGACTCACCCAGTCTCGCCAGTAACTTGTGTAGTCACTGTCTGTTTCTGATTGAAAGTCCTCCATTGTCCGGGTAGGGTGCAATGTGACCTTCTTGAGCGAACTGGGACAAGGCCGACCAGTACAGTTGTAGCAGACGTTTAACGACTCGTCTTAATGTATCAATGATTAGGTTTATCTGTTAATATGCATAGGCATATGAAATGTTGAAATGTGGTAGTGAGATGAAAAGGACAATCATGCGGATCGTGCCTGATGGGGCACAAAGTAAAAATCCATATCACGTGAGATACGGTGAAGCATAGGTGCACCTACAGTACTCCTTGGCATATCAGTTGCAGCCCGCTCAGTTTAGATACACGCGTATGACTTACGAGGACATTTCAACCACGCTCGAGTCAGGCATGGCCACGAGATGCTGAATATCGGATGCAGAGTAGAGATGCCTCAATGTCTTATGATCAGGTTAGATTATGATCATTATAGCAGGCTCGGCTTCTCATGACTCATTACGGCCCTCCTGTCCCCATAACCCTCTGTTTTGGCTGCCACCCAGCCGCTCCCATGGGAGTTCAAGGTTCTCCAGCGAATGCAATCAGTACAAGTTAGGCTATGCTAGGGCTTGGACCAGCGGACTTGTCTGTACGGAATACTCCGTCCGACGCACTGGTTAGTGGGGGTTGATATTTCAGGGGCTAAAACCACTAGTTAACACAAACATCAGCACCGCATTGGGGGCCTGTCTTCCTGATCCTCAGTTAGACCATAATCATGGCAGGTAATTATGTTACATATGCTGATTGAGGCTAACCTTAGCAATGAAGTCGTAGTGCTAAGGTAAGGATATTCGATAATGGTCCTACCATGCTCGGTAAATATTTCTTGTTGATCCCCTTCATGACAAATAAGAGCTTCATCCGTCACAGAGAGTGCTAAACACCAAAGGGCCTTATATTGTCAGGGGCCGAGGTCTTCAGTCTGTCCAAACGATGTTTGACAGGCTGCCTTGTCAACTCCCTCTTTTCGTCCAGTTCCTTCATCTCTCCTTCCGCACGACATGCCTCGGCGATTATGGGACTGCGACGTTGGGCCACTTCTTAGCTCAATGAGTCCCAGTACTCCGTGCTGCCACGCGAGAGTAATCACACCACTGAAGGCCTAGCTCGTACAATTTTCTTTTCTTGACATGTGCAAATCTCGCTCGTATATTCTGGTCGATTCCGTTTCTGGAACCATGATCAAATGACTAATCTCTCGCAAAAAGCTCAAATACCTCTGGATGGTTCACAAATATTCAGGAGAGCCATGAGCTCTCTAGCAAACGAATCATAAAATGCTATCTACCATCAATCAGCTGACAACCTAAGGCAAACTCCAAAGAAGTACACGTCAATAATTTTTCAAATATTGGAATTCAATTAGACATACTCATGTCGTCGATGAAACCAGAGATACTAGCCTATGTAAGTAAAGGTCCCTGACACCCATGACACCCCGCGGTACGCCACCGTCATTGTCATCGCTGACATGTGATATTGTACCAGCATCTTGAAAAGGCTGAAGCCACACCGGCGTGCTCGGATCAACCCATTTGGGAGCTCTCTACCAACGACGCCAATTGTGGACAGCTTGGACGAGAATACACCAACATGAGCTTCGAAGGTCAATTCGACTCGTACAGCATCGAAAACCCAGTGGAGATTCTGCGCGATGTCTGGGAGGGATTATGGACAAGGCTCACGAGGATGATGTAAAACAGATTTGAAATTAGGTATTCTATTAGATCCAAAATTGCTGGATGGAGTGATAAATGACCCGTGATAATGGTCAAGGACTTCTACGTAGCATTGTTTCTCTGCCCAGGATATATGCGCCACCGCTATGCAAGATAAGATTATATGGTTATCGTGACCTAGTCATCCGATAATCCACGATGGCCGCAAAGCCAAAGTAAGAAGAAAAGCTAAGACCTTCAAAGACCCGTGGATCGGTTCGTCCTTGTTTTGCTTAGATCGACTCCGGCCAACGAAGTCGTGGTGTAGACACGATCGATATCGTAGGGGTTGGAGTTGTAATTCGACGCCTCTGCGATCGACTCTGCTCTCGACCTTGTGCGAGTAAGTTGCGCTCTACCCACGGCGTCTGTCGTATGTGATCTAGTGACCTTCAATGGCTCGAAAGCGGGACCGTCAGAAGCTGTGTCAGAGCCGCTAGTCACTGAGTGCCCTGTCGGGCATCTCTTCAACTCCTTCTCTTCCTGTGGGGCTGGCTGAGCCGCAGACGTGGCCTTTGCGTTGGCACGGAGTTGATTCATCACAGCTTCTGCTTGTGCTGCATAGACACACTTCGCCCGGATTTGAGCCCCGTATTTGTAGAAGATGAAGGGGAAGGGCACACAAGCTAGGGCTAGAAAGGCGGGAACTGAGCTGGCCCAGTGGATGCCCAGAACGTTGTACATGTCATGGGTGAATAGAGGGAATGCTGCACCGAACAGTGATCTCAGTACAGTATTAGCTGCAAGAACTGAAGCGGCAAAGATAGTGTAAGAATCGATGAGATAGTTTGTGATGGCCAAGAATACGATATTCAAGCCGAAGCCAAAGGGCGCACCGGCAAGAACAGGTGATATCCAATGAACCGAAGGGTAGTTTGTCCAGGCGAACCAAAACATTCCGATGGGAATTGCGATTGCTCCATATAATGCGGGCCGCAGGCGGGCTTCGGGCGGTGCGATTCCACCGTTTCTTTCAGCTGCTGCAATGTACCACTTGTTCGCCCAAGCAACGAACAGAATTCCAATGATCATACCACCTGCAACACCGAGAAATGGGAGGCCGCCGATGCCTTCGGACCAACCGCGGGTTTGTTGGAAGACAATGGGATAAGCGCCGAAGAGAAGGTAAAGGGTACCTAAGTTGAGTCAGTGTGACAATGATATTGGGTTGATAGCATGAGGTCTTACCGTAGACAATGGCAATGTAGATGGATAGAAGGAGGACGATTGGTTCCATGAAAAGAAGAATCCAAGGTCTCACCATGGCAGTGGCCAAGACAGAGCTCAGAGCCGGTGTGCCTTTCTCTTTGTCGCCTTGCAGAATGTACTCCTTTCCGGTTTTCTGCTTCAACATCGCCACGCGTTTCCGCAAGATGACTGGGGCGTAGGTCTCTGGCACAAGCAACGTTCCGAGGATCCATAAAACTCCAGAGAATATGGTGAGAAGGCCCATAACCCAACGCCAGCCCTCAGACTCACTAAGAAATCCGGCGATCCATGGGGACGCACAAGGTCCGAATGAGGGTGCTAAGGCAAACAGACTCATAGCCAGGCCTCGCTCAGACGCGGGGAAGATATCGGCGATCACTCCTCCAGCATTGGTCATTGGAGAGGAGCCGAAGGCGCCAGCGAAAAATCGAAGAACCAGCAATGTGGCAGTGTTGTTTGAACCAGCACAGCCAGCATTGAAAGCCGTAAAGGCACCAAAACTAATGATGAAGATAATCTGCCGCCCATAGATTTCACTCAAAGGTGCGAAAACCAGAGGACCAGTGGCAAAGCCCAACACGAATAGCGAGATTCCAGCAGTGATAAGCTCTGTGCTAGCGCCCAGGTCCTGGGTGAGCTCTCGTATGGCACCTATAACAGTTAGATACACTAAGTTTATGAAATTAGGACACGCAACTCACCACTGAAGGCGCTCGATGCAAAAGCAACAGAGAGAGTTTCGACGGCCACAACCGAAGTAATGGCCCATCGGAAGCCTTTGGTCCAATTGAAGGGATTGCCCGCATCTTGGGGGATATATGTCACAATGAAAGGGTCCTCTGTTGTGCCTGACCCTTCATATGGATAATGGAGCACCTCGTCTGTAACACGTGCTTGGTCGATGATCAGTCTGAATAGAGGGAGAGAGCGAGGAGCCGATGCTTGGTCTTCCAGCTGCTTTTCGGCCATTCTGGCAAGGAGTATACTCTGCCGTCTGCTCTGTCGTCAGGTCGTCAGTGCAGATGTGATACCCAAAATGGAGAGGAAGTGGCCATGATGGTTTAATATCCTGTGCACTGATTGATAAAACCTTATCAAGGGGTTATTTCTTGCTTGCATCATCGTCCACCTCGGATATGCGTTTGGGGGTTCCGCGTGGATGATTTCCGTGAAATGTCAAGCCTCAAAGGCAAATCAGGCTCCACCCACTGTAGGGAGCTGCCATTAAACCGAGCAGGGGCGTGTCCACAACGGCGTTCCCGACAAGGCCTCATGGATCTGAACTTCACATTGCACGCTGTACACAGGCACTGCTGCAATCGGAAAGCACGGTTTTAACTCATGGGATACTTCTTTACATTCGGTATTGCTTCCCGACCCTACGAGTACGAGTACAAGTGGATTATGACTTGATCACCAGACCACTCACAGAAGCTTTAAGTTTGACGAAAGGCTTTTGGTCCTGAGACAAAAGGTAACGAGCAAAAACCTAATCTGTGGATAATTATTATGAGTGCATCCCCTCGCCTTATGCAGAAGATGGACCCTTCTGTTACGGGTGCGGGCCCAACAATGTGGCATGGACGTTGCGTTCGAAGCGTGAGACATTTAAGTGAATCTGAAACCGGGTTTTTCATCGGAGTCGGCCGGAAAAAGACTAGCACAGCCTTTCTACCTCGGCATGTCCTCTAGCGTCCACATGGTGAGCGTTTGATTGGACAGCTGTCCGTGCGTAACGATGGATCCGTCTATCAGATGTGGCGGCAAGATCGCAAGGCTACGCCATACATCTTCACAAGCAATAGTGTCGGTGCATAAGAACGCATTGTTCTTAGCCTCCAACTTTCACACAGCAAAGTCGCACCAAAGTAACTTTTAATTTTCACAGCCCTTCTGCCACGAGAGCTTCCCCCCTTGTATGGTGTGCTTGTTTGTCCATGGCGTTAATGCCGCCGAATATACCGACCATTCTTTCAGCTACGGTAATGTGCAGAATCAGCGTCTCCTTAACATGACCAGAATCGTTGAAGGTGAACGAATCTGTTCCTCAATAGCATACGCCTTACTCTGACGGTTAAGGTCCTGTAGATGGAGAACACCAGTCATGTCGATCTGTAAATTCTGTGTAAGATACGTAACTTTTAATGCTCTTGCACTGTCCGTCAATGGAAGAAATCTGCAGATTTCAGTTAGATTCAACGGCCGTCTGGCCCCAGTAACGCGTTGTCTCAATGTTTTGGAGAGGCCTCTCAAAGCAGCTACATAAGGAGCGTCTACGCTATTCAAGCCCTGCTAACTCATGCTCTTCGATGATCAGCCACTGTCTCGGATGTTTTTAACATTGCAATACAGCTCATCAGATCAACATCTGCCTTCAGTCACAAACAAGCGAACCTTTAGCGCGAGATTCAGTATATCTCATGGTCAATCTGAAGAACACTAGACTCAACATGGCAATCCTACCAAACCCCGTTCACGAGTCGCGAATCTTTTTCATGGCAGAGTGCGCTCTAGCACTATCCTATGGTCGGGAAAATTTCTGTTTTCTGTGAAGACCAGTCTAGCTACGCCACTGCTACTGAGAGTCAGTGAAGACTACAGTATACAGAGGCACACCGAAAATCAGACCGACAGTAGCCCAAATGCAAAGTCTTGGTGATTCAATAGGGCTCAGGTCCACAATTGCGATTGAAGCGGTAATCAATTTGACCCTGACAAATCACCACCACCTCTATGTGCCACGAAAGTGTGTCTTTGATTCGACAGCCGCATTGGTTTAGACGAAGCAGCATCAGCTCGTCATTTATCTGAAACACTACACCGGTGGCTAGACAGGTCAGCCAGCTGTAGAACCTTAGCAAAATGCGGTCTGCAATTCCAAATGTTGTCTACGGCGTCGTTGACGTTGTGCAATGAACAGAATATGGCCTAGAAGGGCTCCTTGATGGGCAACTGAGGATGAGGCGTCAGCGACCATTGCGCAGGAGTCAGGCCGAACGAGCCAGGAGGGAAAATCTTGCGTGCAGCTCGAGCATCGCCATAGGTAGTTGAGTTGGCTCCTTGGCTGAGAGGCGAAGTGCCGTCTTCGTCGGAATTATGTATCTTATTACTATATTCATCTCGAGACCCAAGAAGGCAGGCAGTGATTTCCTTCTCTAGGAAGTTACCGAGAAGGCTTGATCTCAGGCTCGGCGGCAACAGTGATGTCGTCATTGCTGGTGATAGCGCCAGAATCTATCTTGGTGTGTCGCTTCTTAACAACAGGAGGGTCTGGCAGCCGCGCTTGGTAGTGGAAGACTCAGGCCGGCGACTATCTATTTGTCTGCATCCTCAACTCAGCTCTTGCTATTAGCCTATAAGGGTAGTAGAATCTACGCCGCGGGCTAAGACTCGCTGACTTTATGAGTAAAACCACCTCATTTGCCTCCTCATCTGTTACTATATAATTTTTAGGGAACCTACGCTAAAGTAGTTTACTAGGACATTTTAGTGTAGAACGACTTAGCGCTAAGTACCCTAATATCTAACGTAGTGCCAAGCCTATAAAAGTGATTGGGGCAGTCATGACGTTCGTCACTTATCCCTTGGTCGTCATTAATTGCCATTTGTCTGTCATTTTACTGAAGTGACGGACAACCTCGAATCCTACTCCTGAATCCTAGAGAGTCTTATCGACTTCTCTGCCCTAGCCTATCATTAGAATCACTCTCAGACACTCCCTTTCGACAACATCCCAACCGTTCGCTATTGTCCATACGCATCTCGAACCAGGTGACCACTACCTACAGAGCATGAGGATCCGGAAATGCCCGAAGCCAGATTGACCGTCTGATACGTTACAAGGCAAGAAGTAATGATCGGACTGTTTGCTCGCCTGAGGCGCATTCTTATGCCGCATCATTCACTATCATCTGCATCATCCTGCAGACCACCTTTCGTCGAAGATCCCTCAACCACTGTCGACCCAGAGGCGGTGGCGCTTCCAGGTCTAGCAAGGCTGCCGCCGGAACTACTTCTGCAGATCATTCGGTATCTACCCGTTGAGTCAGCTGCTGCGGTCGCCTTGATATCGAAATATCACTACCTGGCTTTGAAGCAGTATGTTCTTCTTGGTCTTAGTGACATAGCTGGTAAAAGGCGCTTTCTGCGTCTTTTTGAGGTGGATCTGGCCGAGTATATCGCCTGTCACTGTTGTAGTATACTCTATCGATGGAAGGCGTGTGCACCACGGTATGAGTGTCCTCGACGATATCGCCGTGGGATGTACCGCATACACACACTTGGGCTAAAGTACTGCCCGCAGCACTATCCTCGTGAGCTACCCCTCGAGACTGTCGCTGCATTTTTGAGGGGATACGAGCGAGGCCCTGCCTACGGCCCACAACTTCAAGAACTTCACCATAAATGCGATGCCGCACTGCCGTGGCACCACTGGACCCCAGATGTATCGAGGGATACGGCGGCGCGGGTCGTCCATGGGAAGCTGCTACTTCGAACATCCTATAGTTTGCAAGTGTCGTTGCAGCAATCTTTGGAAAGCCAGCTCGACCAGCTGATATTCACTGGCTGTGGCCGTGCAAAGTATGAGGACGCTCCGGGTCTTTGCAGCTACTTTGGTCCTGATTGAATTGATGATTTCCTATGGACTAGCATCCATTGCGCGAAACCTCGTGCATAGCTTTTCATGTGGTACATCTGTTTGACGGCCATTGCCGGTGTCCAATCTCATGTTACCGAGGTCGCTGTGAAGGCCCCAACAATACCAGTACAGATTGGGGTCGTGGGAGACGCCGACACGTATTTTCTAATACCCTATGCTTTCTTGGAGGTGCCCCTTCGTCAGGAACATTGGTGCAAGACGGAGAAGTCGAGGATACACAGCTTAACGCAGTTCAAGAGGTGCCACCTTCGTCATGGGCTGAGCTGACGGTGCTGTATCGCACGATTCACAACTTTCAACGATGCTTTAGCACATCCCAACGAACCAGACCTCGCAGTGGTAGAGCTCTTGTTGACTTTTGGGTGCAAATAGAATGCTCATGACAGGATGAAGGACACTCCAGGAATATTTGAAAGGCTCTGAATTCCTATCCTTATGTTGGCTGTTCAAGCCAGTATATATAATTGCTGGTACATCGATCTTTGTCCTTGAATTTGTCTTCACGGGAATTGGGAGCCATCATTCTGCTCCGGACGATCCTTCTGAATATCACTCAAGAGGAAGCAATTCAATGATGACATAGTAGACGGCTGAGGTTACCCATGTCAACAGCTCTTTGTATTTTTTCAGTGCCGATGTGACGGTCGGGTGTGGCTGGGAGGCGATTTTTAAACAGGGCAGTGGAGGTTTATCTGAGCATTCACGCGAGGGTGGACCACATAGAAGATGACGTCGAGTATGTTCCACGACAAGTGGAAGCAATTTTGGTGCGTAGCGAACTTCCCTTGTATTCACTAATCCTCTAGTACAACAGTCATCGCGATCTTACGGACGAAGCCCAAAACCATGAACGGCTGGAAGGTGCATACGACGAATGCGGAATTTGGGGCTCGGAAGATGTCAACTTCGAGGATGTACCTCACACGAGCGAAAATGGCAAGCAAATGCAAGACGACATAGCTTCCCGGTTACCTGGGGGGGGGGGGGGGGGGGGAATAACTAGACGACATTCAAAACGGGATCATAAGTGATCCGTCGCACAGATGTCGACGGCCGGAGAATCATGCATGAAATGGTTTGACGAGATGGTGGCTTTCATCGGTGTCTCCTCAGTCCAAGGGAGCTAGCCGGCTGTATGGCGACATACTCGCTCACGAGTAGGCCGTGGTCGGCGGGCCTTCTGGCATCCTGGGGGGATGTGAGTTGAAGGAAAGACTGGGAAGACAAACGTTACGCCCAAACATGTGAGCTTACCCCTCTCGGGCATAAGTCAGTCATCAGACCAAAGGTATGTGATCTGCAAACTCTCGTCTCTCGGACCTGGCGAGGCTTGGTCAACGGTTTGAAGCTTGTGCAAGACAAGACCCCCCGACCACGCTCGACGCCATGGTGGGTAAATTCCAGAATCACTGGACTGCGAGCTTTACAAGTTTCCCTCCTCAACGGCTCGCAAAAAGGAAATGTACGAAAAGACAGGATCATTCTGATCATGGGCAGCACTTTAACCACCCTCATCTCATTCTGTTATGCCTATGCCACGCACACCTGAGGATAGGAATGTTGTGCAATCTCGTGAAAGATATCCTTTGCGGATCTTACCGCCTCACCTCGCCTTCTCAGGTCAAACAGATGAGTTCCACATCTTCGTGACAGCATTCCAGTATCGCTCTGGATCCACAATCGCGTGCCTAAGATGACCGCTGACCTGGAAGTTGACAGTCTCAACACACCAGCCCTTCGAAGCACATTCAGCAGCACGTTCCCTAACTTCATTGGCTCCGATCCAAGCATCGGCTTCAGAATAGAGGTACAGCCGCTTTGATTGTGGGCAGATGAGCTTCTTTCGTAGTGTATCTGCTGTGGCTTCGGGCCTTGCCCCCCATCCACCCACAGATGAGCACGGTCGTGGGGGCTTCATTGGTGGACGCAGCCGCATCTAGTGGAGGCTCATATATTGCTGTCGTACTTGACAGCCTCTGGACGACAATAACTTCTGTAGCCATAATACTATGAGATATTGAAAAGCTTCCGGTGGGTCATCGTGTAGAAGAAGTGTGAAATGTACTGCTTTATATGCATCAAAGCTCAAAATGGCCAGCTCTGACGGTGCGAACATCACCTTGATTGACGGCTCACAATGTTGCCTAGAGCCTAACCTCTTCTCGGTGATTCTTATGTTGCAAGGCTCCAGCACTGGAGATGTCTATGGCTGTAGATAGCGTCATCTTCGTATCTCGTAGCTGTGCCGGTTGGGCACGGACGATTGGTGGGATGATGGTAGGGATTCATCTCGATCTGTCTAAGTGATTAGTCGTCACATTGCGAAGTCCTGGTCAAGCCTCGGCCTGGATTCGATTGGGATGCCAAGATTGCTTTGGTTGACGTGGTCGAGGCCGTCAAAGCGTGCAAAATGCACTTGCGTGACGATGAGATGATACACCGTGGGGCGTTAGGTTTCTCACCACGACGCACGGTTCGATCATGCCATGGCTGATAGAGCCAGAGCTCAGGCGGACTTCAGATTTGTTGTGTTTTCACGCAACGGCCAAGGATGAAAGATTGTTATTGCACGAGAGAAAGTGGGTTCATCTCCACCAGTGGAGAATTGCTCCGCGTCGTCCTCTGGGTTTGGCCGCTCTCCGGTAGTGATGCTCTGTTACCTCTAGAACACGACGGTCTAAACTGACTCAGATTAACAGCTAAATGCTCATCACGACAGCGAGGTTTTATGTGCTCTCAGCCTTGCTAGCGCAGTGCCTTCGTCTATACCGTCGAGCCGCGAATGTCTCCCATCCGAATGTCTACGTGTCTGCAGAGCCAATTGCCAAAGCGTCCTCCGCCGCAGCTGGGGCTCTTTAGATGTTGGGCCGTCCATATACGCTGTTGGCTATCCAAGAAAGGGAGAAGAATATCAACGGAAGCGGCCGGCTTGATTATGGTGGTTGTCATCTGGCTGCGCTCAGTCAGATTGCCCTATTACGTCTTGTAGTCAAGGTCGGGGCAGACTTAATATCGGCATGATCCTAGCAGTATGCTCTTACACACGAGAGGGCTTACGCAATACGCTCGCCATTCCAGAGCCACTGAGCATTCGTTTTCGGTGCCACATCGATAACGAATGGCACAAGTCTGGCCATCAGAAGGTCAACGCATCCCGAGATTCACTGGCACGGCTTAGAAAGTATCGACCTACCAAACGCTGTAATGAATAACGGCCATCGCTCGGCATGCGCCATGTGTCTTTGAAAGAGGACATTGAGTAGATTATCCTCGTCAGCTGAAGCTTTCCCCTGACTTTATTCCAGGAAATACTATTTTCCAGAGCATTGTGCTGTAACTATGTGTGTATCTCACAACCTTAGTCCTTAAAAGCATCATCAATGGCACAGGAATGCCGAGTCAGTTAATAGAGATCTGCCAGCTTGGGCGCCGGGCATCAGGACAAAGTGAGTAAACATTCTCGGCCAGATCGGCAGAACTGCGCGTGGCGTAGCGTAGGGCGCAGAAGCTGCGGAAAAGTGCCGAGTAGATGTGATGCTCCGTCGCCGACGGCTCGACAAGAACCTCTGATCAGAACCACTCATCTGCAACCTTGGCGCCCTGTTCCAAGTGAATACATGGTTGGGCGGCCCTGCTTACATACAACGAATGTGAGGTACTCCGTACTGCTCAAATCCTTTCCGCATGAAACCGAACTGAAGAGAGGGCATACCGACTCCGGCGACTCCGGCGCTAGTCCTTGGGAAAAAGGGAACCACATGATATAGCTGTTCTACTCGTCAACGCTTGCTTAACGCCGAATTTGATAACCCTCGGAGCAGAATCCTAGAAAGTGGAGATGCAACTAGGTTCGCTGTCCTGCGCCTCGGCCCTTGCCTCAAGCTCTCTATATACTCTGTTCCAAAGTCCGGACCGTCTCGAAGCACAGACTTTGCTCCCTGACACGGCTCGGGTTCTCCACGCAATCCCGTCGGCGATAGTAGCATGATGGCACCAACGACTGAGCGACCGCCTCGTCCCGAGCAGCGACGACGCAATCGCAGGCCGAAAGCTTGCCGTCTTTGTCGGACAAGAAAAGTGCGCTGTGACTATCGGCAGCCTTGCGGTACATGCGTGCTGCGTCATCATCCGCTACTTTGCAGCTACGACAGGGCACCGGTCACCATCCAAGAGCGATCGTGCCGTGCCGCTGAGTCTCCACCGGACCGAAGTATGTCTAGGGGCTCTCGCTCTGCGCGTAGTCCTGCCTTGCAGACCCAGCGGCAGAGCGGCGTTGATGGGGCTACAAGTCCGTCTGATACTTCGCCTAAGGACCTGCTCGCCATTCTCAACCACATGGCCGCTGACGCAACGGCGAGCTGCGAGACGGACGCGGTCACTGGCCAAATGACTTTTGTCGGCCGCCGCGCTCACGCTACTCTCTTCCGCACACTTCTGTCGTGCCTCCCCGAGCAAACACTTCCTCCTTCCGCCTCAGTCGAGGCCGTCTTTGGCTTGACCAATCGTACAATCTCGCAGCCTTTTGTGTCGCTCTGGAACACCACCGCCCGCGTCACCGTCGGAGACATTCTTCGCTCCTTGCCCTCAGCTGAGACTTGTCTGCGGTATTACCGCTCCTACCAGCAAATCTGTCATCCGTTTTTCCCTGTAATTCATGACATCGGAGCCTTCGAGCGCAACCTTTGCGTGGTGCTCGAGCGGCTCGATGCAGAAGCCGATGATCCGTCATCATCTGCAACACAGCTGGCCGCTCACTTGCCACGTGCTGAGCTGGTAGGGTATGCCTTACTATTTGCAGTCCTCGCGTCAGGGTGCCAGAGCTGTCTTGTTGCCGAAGGCGATCACCAGCTCGCTCTGTACTCCCGCGTGTTCGTGGCCTGCTCGTTCGAATGTTTAAGCCTCGCCAACCAGTACGTCAATCCCTCTTCCGAGACGATCCAGGCCATCTTGATTCTCGCGAGTGTTAATTGCAACGATGGCAATCCCGGCGTCGCCATGAGCATGCTCGGCATGGCCGCCCAGCAAGCACAGGGTTTGGGCATGCACACAAGGTGCGAGTGCACCTGCAGCTCACCCACCTGCGAGTGTCTCGAAATGGTGCAGCCTCTTTGGAGAGCCATTCTGATACTGGACAGTAAATTGTCAGTGACGTATGATCGAGTTCCGACAACTTCCCTTTGTGACAGCCACAACCGCCTACATTCCCTTGTCTGCGCCTCACGCCTGGAGTTCTGGGATTGCTTGTTCAACTTGCACTGCCTACAAATCCAATGGCAATCGCTTGGAGGTGATGACACTCGGGCATCGATTCAAGGAGATGTTATGGAGTCGTACTTGGAGCATACCGCTCAACTGGGGCAAATTGCCCGCAGCGTCAAATCATCGTTGTGTCGTCCCAATTCTGTGCAGGCGACACTCGAGCAACTTGTCTTCACCGTGCACCTTGATTTCTTTGAAGGTACACTACATCTTCAAGCTGCTGTAGCAATGATGCGTTTGCCCGAGAAGCGACTGCGCCACTTTCATGACATGATTTCGAAGTTTTGTTCGGTGATCAGCGCCTATCTCAAGCTTCGGCGGCTTTCACCCATCGCAAAATTAGCGTGGGAGATCTCTCGCGCTTTCAAGTCGTCCGCAATACTGCTTGCGGCATTTGAGGTCATTCTACGTGTCAATTTGTCCGGGCGCTTACTCCATCAATTGACAGAATTGCTGTCTGCTAGCTCGAGTCTTCGTAAATGGAGAGATGACCCGGTACCATCGTCTTGCCACGCGGGCGTTGAGACTCTGTGTCGCTTACTCCGATTGCAATCCTGTGTGCCTGTCGCAGTGGCTGAAGGAGCGAAATGAGACACACCAACGGCATGCTCCATGTGGTCCGCCGAGCCCGAAAGCAGAAGGGCACCGATGACTTGGACGAGAAATTGGGTTTCTCTTCGATATAAGAGTACAGAAAGCGATTGCCCCAGTCGAAAAACTTCAAAGAACTCTGCTCGTTCTGATATCTGCGACAGCGTCCTTCGTGTCCTCACCACCGCTATTCGCACGGCGTCCAGATTCGTGCTTGCACTTTTCTCAAACCACTGTTCATGCATACTAGCAACGGGCAGCGAAAACTCAGCTTCTGGCTATACAGTATTGAAGGGCATCATAATGGTCATTGACGGCTTCAAAATTTCCCTAACGTGTCTCGGCTTTCATTGGTCAGTCATTGGTTGCACAACGATGTTCTCCCACTCTCTTGTTCGAGACCATTTACATTACCAACCTAAGCCCTGGACCAGCGCTTGATGTTGCAGTAGAATTGATTCGACTCGCGTAGAAAGTTGTACAGAGTGCCAACATGTCAAAGCCACCTCGCCTCATCTGATCCTGGCATACACGACCCGCTTTCGAAATCAAACACAACTTCTCGTTCCCCCCCTTTACTCTCCACGGAAACTATTCGCCTCCAGTCAAGATACTCTGCTTCTTCTTCCGCGAGACCCCATCGGATGATGCCTGTCGTGAATCTTGCTCGGTCCCAAAGTTGACCCGGTCCAGTGCCATTGGATTTCTTAATGGTTTCCAATACCATTGGAGCCATCTCAAAAAATCCGGTATCGTGTCTTGGAAGAAATTCTGAGTGCAAAGCTCGTAGTGACGCCAGTGTTTGTTTGTCGTGGAATCCGACTTCCCGGACAAGCCAATTATTAAATGTGTTCAGCGCAATGTCGACGTTGTAGGAGCCGCCTTCCAACGCCCTCCGAGAAAGAGCTTGCATGATTGCGATTCCACCCGCTAGTCCAGTTCTGCAAGGCGTATGATCAGATCTTTGCCCACAAAAATATCACTCTCCAACTTACTGGGAGTCAGAGTTGGGGAACAGCGGCATGACTGGTTCATCAAGTCCCAGGAACTTCCCCTGTTCCCAAGACGCCCCCGTGACCTAGTGGTCAGTCAGCTTAGAGACTCAAGAGAGGATCAGCCTCGCAACTCACACAGTCGCTAATCGGTTGATATCCAGCTCGACCACTCCATTCACCTTTCCAGCCGTAGCAATTTTCCCTACAGTAGATGATCCCCTTCCCGCGTCGCCGCGCGAGCTCATGAGCCCAGTTCCTGCCGAGTCCCAGTCTTTCGAAGACACCGGGCCTGTAACTGTTGACAACAACGTCAGCTTCTTTAAGGAGGTCATCGAGTTGGCGCTTTCCCGCGGAAGTCTTGAGATTGATATTAGCATCTCGTTTGCCGAGTTGGCCGTCTGCGATGAAAGGTAGAGCGTCCGGTTGGGTATCTGTTGATACACGTAAGACGTCTGCCCCCATTAAGGCTAAAACTCGTGTCACGGTTGGACCGGCAATCACTTTAGTCAGGTCGAGCACTCTGATGCCTGCTAATGGTCGGCCACACTTCTGGCTTTGGGGCCAAGGTGTGGGTGATAGCTGCTCTTGACATTTGTAGATCTTATAGAGAGGCTCTTCAATGTTCAATCTGCCGTGCGACGTTGCCGCGTACTCATCGACAGTCCTGCAAGTCGCACCTGGCTGCAGCCATCTCTCGTTAGCCTCGACCTCGAGGGACATACTGTCTCTTTTGGCTACGACGGCTCTATAGATATCTTTGATCGCCTCGACGTGCTCATTGCCTTGTAGGTCAGGGCGATGCTCTGGTAAGTCTAACATGTGAAGTGTAGGTGTCGCGTTGAGGCTTCCGTGCAGGTGAAAGTATCGATTGTCCATTGTCTTGTAGCTGGAAACTGTCAACAGTGTGTTCGCTTGGCCGTCATCTGTGTGTCTTACATGTTTGATACCAGGTTTCTGTACGTCTCGCGATTGCGCCCTCTGTCAAGATGAATGGCTCTTGGTGCCACTTGGCTCTCGGTAAAGACTTTTCCGTTGATCTGGAACAAGAAGACCGAGCAGAGCATTAATGTCGCAGAGTACACGTCCACTACAATTCTCTTTGGCTCTCCAGCATTGTAGCGTTCCCGGCAGATAGCACTTGCGAATAGGCCGATACAAGCCCACATGGCAGAAGCGGACTCGGACATTTTCATTGGTGTTGGCAGAAATGTACTAACGTTCGGCGTGAAGATGACGGACGATGCATATTCGGTCACTGCCGCTGGCATCTCCAAGTGTGCGTTCTTGGTCAAGAGGATCGTTAGGATTTTTTTCGCGTCTGACGGTATCGAAGAACGCGAATCCTCAGGTGAGATCGTCTTGCGAAGGCCATCGCTCTCGAAGTGAGACTTCCCATCCATTTCCGTCAGAGGTTGTGAAACTGAAATTCGAATTTGGTATTGATAGGTTGTGTTTTAGCAAAGCCGGTACAGCAGGAATGTTGCAATTCTGTCAAACAGCACGTTTAGATGGAGCTTTGCTGGTTTACACGTTTGAACGTTTGGCAAGAACATCCTCAGCCCAACATGATATGAAATCCTTGATTGACGCTTCGTTAAGCCACGCTTTTCTCCGATGACTTCGGAGCTTGCTGCAGGCAGCGATTGTCTGATATGCCGCTTGGCTCAAGCAGTCGGGTGGATAACAAATACCTCGCAAGCCTGTGACCTCGGCACTGTATCCCAAAGACGCCTGAAGATGCCGACTAGGTATAGCCTGGAGAATCCGCTGGAAACGGAACATTACAAACACCGCGCTGCGATGCCGTCTGCAAAGCCCAAGACCTGTGCGTCTGTTGGCCTCGGTAGGGCATCTTCCTGTTTTGATAGGTGTGACATTGCTGGCAGAATTTCGCCGGCCAACACCAGACAGTCCTTCTAGCTATTGTTGCTTGAGCGACCTGCATCGCCGCTGCGGTGGGTGGCCTGAGTACGGCGGTAATTATCACAAAGCATTACCGTGTAAGTAAAGCGTCAAAATAGAAGCGTTTCCCGAATCATAAGGCTAGCCTTCGGCGTCATTGGCTTTAGAACTATCGCGCTACTAATTGTTAGCTTCTCCCAAGCCTAATCTCCGAGCGCTGGTTTGCGCCAAGTCAGTAGGTTCGGTGCTGTCTTGTCTGGAAGAAAGCCAGACTCACGGAGGATAGTGGCGTAGATTGGGAAGATTTGGAAGCGGGAGCATTCTCCTAGGAAAATGTAGGAGTGACCACACCGCGACCACTTCTCGATATTGCTAGAGCGTGCCCTGATCGACCGACAGGAAACCTCAGCCTTTAGATCCGCAACGCATGGTAAATTGTTGAGTTACGAGCTAGACAAGCAAGTGAACCTATCTATGATTGAGCATCTTGCATGCCTTTGCGCTTGCACCGTCCGCTTTCGTTGTAGGTCGCAACGGTCAATTACTGATTCAAGCAAAACGATATTAATCATAAAATCAAAGCCGCGGTTCACAAGGATCGTGTTGTTGGCGAACGGTCCTTTCAACAGATGGTCGGAGTTAGTATTTATATCGACTCTCATATCAGGAGCTTATGAAATGCCATTTTGACCGAGCTCTGGGTCGGTTCTCGTTTGAAAGCAAGACGCCTATCCCTAAAGCCATGACGGAGAAAATACCAACAAGCACTAGATCTGGGCCATTGCGAGCGGTCTTGCTGGTCGGTGCGATCAGTGAATACGGTTTCGGCCAATTTGTGGTCCAAGAATTGATCAAGTCGAGGCACTCTTTCAATCGAATTGGAGTCTACCATGATCTGAATCGTGACAATGCGGCCAAAACGCCCGTTCTTGACCGAATGAAGCAGGCAGGGATAGAGGTTGTTCATGGGAAAGGATTTGAGAGTCCGGATCCTTTTACGGGTTTCGACTGCATCATGAGTTTCCTTGGAAACTATGGTTTGCATCTGCAACCTTCACTGATCGACTCTGCCATTGCAGCAGGCGTTCGTCATATCTACCCTAGCGAGTATGGTGCGGACATTCTTGTCGGACAGAACTGGACACAAAGATATTATGTCGAGAAAGTCAGGACTCGATGTCACCTGGAGGAACGCGGAAAAGATCTGCCCGAACTTGGATGGACTTACGTGCTCTTTGGTCGGTTGACCGAATGGGCAGTGCTATCACACTTTGGGTTCGACAACCGGGCCGCGCGTGCCCAAATCTATGGAACACCAGATGGAAAGCAAAGTTTGATTAATGCAACAGATGCTGCAGCTTACATCGTCAAGACTCTGCTGGATCCATTGACTTTGACGGACGCAAGAAGGAGAACTTACCGGTTTTCAGAGAGTTCACCAACGTATGCGACACTCTTCAGAACTTTGAAAATAGTGACAGGTAGGGAATACCACGTCGAGTATTTAGATGTTGAAGCTGCGCAGCTCGAAGAACAAGCGGCGAAGCAGAGCGGCGACGTTGATGCAGAACTTTCTGCGAGCCACAAATTGATTCAAGGACGACAAGGAACTTTGCTCCCCATGCCTTGGGATAACGAAAGGTTTCCAAGCGTGACGCCCTCAAGTCTCCAGGATAGTCTGACGGCCGCCTTCGCCTCCCCTAAGCTCCGGAAAGCCTATGGCTTGGATTGATAATGGGGAATGGGCAGCGTAGAACTGAATTCAGAGACACGGACATCTAGGACTTTGTCTATAACCGATAAACGGTACGTGTTGGTCAGTTTGGATATGCCGTAAACGCCTGAGAAGCGGGAAAAGACTGTCAAGGGGAAAATGCTGGAGATTAAGATGTATATCAGATAAAGCTCGCCCATAGCTGCTGATTACGTGCTATGTAGAAAGGGCAAGAAAAGAGGGAGACTTTGGTGTCCTTGTCTCCCACGCCCTTCGCAGTGCTTCGCAAGCTAATGCCAGGCAGTGCATTAGCGTCTATTCAAATACCTGCAATGATGGTAGCTGCTGATGATCCCATCAGCAGCGTCTCGCTAACGGCCGCTATGCTCATGGGACACGACTCCAGAAGGTCTCTGCGTTCACACGCAGTGTTGACCCAGAGGGTAAAAGAACCATGGGTATCATCGCAAAACCAGATACGCTCCCGAAGAGTTCCGGTATGGAGCGATCTTTCCGGAACCTAGCACTGAATAAAAGGGTTGTTTTAGCATATGGTGGCACAGTCTCAAAAACAGAGAACATGATGAGCGCCACTTCCCCCTTTACCAACGTTGCGAGTCTGAAGCAAAGTTCTCTACCAGCCAGATTTAATCCTCTGATCATCAGTGATTTATTTTATCTACAATCGAAACGAAAACCATGGGGATCAATGGCAACCGGGTCTATGTAGACTAATTCTGCTTTAAGAGGGAAAAACCCTTTCTGGGAAAACCCTCGCCTTGCCAATTTGAATCAGCGTGCTTTTCTCCTGAGAGTTGCATACTCTCCTCGTCATCATCTCCCACTCCTAGTCGTATTAGAGCTGCTAGGAAGATTATGGAATGTTCGTCTTAACTACAGCTTTCTCACGTCTAGCCTGGAACACATTGCACCGAGCCAATCTCTATGAGTCTATTTCCACGCCTGGCCTGCACTAGGTGCAAGACGAAGAAGTTGAGATGCAGTCGCAACCTACCAATCTGTAACCGGTGTCGTAACAACCACGCAGAGTGCAGATATGGTGTTCGACAACAAAGGAAACGCCAGCCAAGACGAACCAAACTCGAATTGGACGGCATTCTACAGCGTCTGGATTATCTGGAGCGCAGCGCTGGATCTATCTCGAGAACCTGGTGGAGGCAGCAACACGAAGCATCCTCAATGTCCTTGGTGTCAGTACCCAAGCGACAATATCAGATTCACAAATGCTAAGGCCTCTCAAAGAAGTGCTGGCAGCCCTGAAGGATTCTGAAGCGGTGTCGCAGCACGCAACAGTGCCTATTGAAGGCTTCAGTATGCCTGAAGATATCGCGAGACTCTAGCTCCTAGGTGTGATGCTCACCATCAATATCGGTCACCTGCTAACTCCACCTCGACTGCTTCGACTTATTCTCGGATGAGGATTTCATCGGTCTCGCAGATAAGGCCATCTCATTGATGCAAGAGATTTTAAACTAGCCACATAGTACCGTCGACTGCTCCTTACACATCGCCTATTACCAGCCGTTGCTTCAAGGGTGGAGTGTCACATGACGACGCCAAGGCGCTCTGCACCTGCCATCCACTCATTACCACCCCTCACTTAATCCTCACAACTCTCTCTCTTTTAGCTAGACAACATAGAAGATGACACAGTCATAATACTTGTTACTCTTTGAGAGTGGCTCTTTCACCTATCCTTGCTCTGTCCTATTACATGGAGGGCACAGAGCCATATACCCACAACAATACCAAAAACATAAACTTCAACCCAGTCGGAGTAATGCAACCACCTATCAACGCCCATCGTGGACTGCTGCAGCTCAGTAGATTTACGCGTCACTCTCACAACATGGCGCGTCTCTGCGTTATGACCTCTTGGACATCGTCCAAAAGCTTCTCGGGCACGTCAACAACCCTATCGCGGATATAATCTGCGAAGCCCTTGCCCAACGCATCGAGCAGACGACAACTACTGACTCCGCGACCCAGAGGGCCATATATAACAAAATGAACTGCCCAGATGTTTGGGAACTCCATGCGTTCCATGAAAAAGTCGTCACGCCAGTCGTCCGCCATTAGCTCTTGCAACTTATCCTTCGTCATGAAGGTTTGAAGCCAGGGATAGTGGTCCGCTCGCCGGACAAACAAGCCGAAGTTGATGTTTGCTCCTTTGTCACCGGACCGAGCCAGGCAGATCTCTCCTAATCGAGCTTTTCGAGTGGCTCCGAAAGAGGTGAGGTCGACAGGGGTTGCTGTCTCATAGTTCTCTCGCAATACAAGCTTTTGGTAGCTTGGGGGATGTCCTGCATCTACAGTTTCTGCATCTCCACCGTCGTCGCCCAGGAGCACTACCCCTTCCTTCAACTTGTCCTGGGAATACAAGGCAGGGTAGAATGCAAGGTAGGATCGAGGCAGGGCAGTTCTCGTGTCGAGCGACAGGTGAAAGCCTGAGAAGTGGTGCATGGCAATTTCACTCCACGCTTTCAACAAACCGTATATCGCCATTTCTGTATCAGCTTGTACAAAGGTCCGGCAGTAAGTTGTGCTCGCAAACTGCGTCCGCGGATCTGGCGCAGGCGCGCCAAGGACTTGAAAGTCGAGAATCTGGAATTTGTCCTGCAGCCCTTTCTGACCGAGGGCATGACGCATCTGTGCCTCAAATAGCTTCCACTTCTCTGCTGTTGCATAGCCAGTCGCATTCGTCAAGAGTTGTGCTTCATATCCACCGTGGTAAAAAATCGCCAACTTCGTCGTTGGTGGAGGAGCGCTCCCCGTGACGTTGGATAATCTCACTCTGTTCTTGCCGACCTGCTCGATTTTGATATCGGTGGTGTTGGCTGCAACGTCTGAATTGAGGTATATGCCACCTTGGAGTTCATACAAGAACTGGCATTTGACATTGTCCTCGTTTACCAGGCCTCGAGTATTCTCGTGCTTGGTGATCACCGAAGTCCCATCATCAGCAATCTCAGCAATCCCGTAAGAGAGGTCCACGAAGGTTTCCAAAGGGTACTCGTCGAACCCGGAGAAGTTGGACCCAGTCGCGTACGCGGAGCATTCGATTAAGTGTCCTGCGACCAAGGAGCCCGCCAACCTGTCAAAGTCGGCGTCGGACCATCTGTGCCAGTACCAGGCAGCGCCGATTACAGGGCTCGCATCTGCCACCCGCCCACAGATGATGACATCTGCTCCAAGCTCGAGTCCTTTGACAATCCCCCTCGCTCCTAGGTACGCATTGGCACTTACGATTGGCTTGCCCTTGGTGTCGAGCAACGCGGTTGCATTTCTTGCCAAGGATATCTTGTCGTTCTCACCATCCAAGTGCAGAGGCAATTTGCCCGTCTCCTCCAGCTCCGTCTTTACCTCCTGCAGCAAGTCATCTCCATAGACATATGCAAATTTCAAGTCAAGTCGGTACTCCTTTGCGAATTTGTGCGCCTTTTGTGCCAGTCCTCTTGGGTTGAGGGCTCCACCATTAATGATAATCTTGATGTTCTGGTCCTTAATGACCCCCAGCGTCTGCTCCAGCCCGTCCCAGGCTGTTGGCTCCCAACCGTCGTGCTGGCCAAGAGCAAGCTTCTCCGCGTTCTCAGCTAAGTTCATCTATCGTGTTGAGCAGATCAGCGAATGCCCTCAGATCATTCTCACAGCTGACCATTTCCCACGGAAGCAGCACAGGACAGCAAGCACTCAATACTAACCTCAGCAAGGTAGTCCCCAGTGATAAAGTCAACGGGTCCAAGTGTCGCCTGGCGGTGCATCTGGTATCCAGGATCTCCCCGCGCCCCAGAACAATTCGCGATACGGCATGGTCGTGTTGACCGAGTGGAAGCGGTTCCTACATCCCCCATCGTGCACTATTTCCGATTGGTGGAATTCAACAAATGAGGCTAACTAGGATACGTCGGGGTAGATCAAATTCTGCCACTCTGGCGACGACGTGATCTCTCGACTAGGATTGCGAGAAAATTGCTAGTTGCCCTGGCTGAGAAGACTCGGTGGGTTCGTGAAGAGGTTCCTCATCCGTCAATATAGCCAAAATCGAGTGCCAAAACCAGGTTCGAGTTCTTCCACAGCAATAACCGCAAAAGTCCCGAGGCATCAAGCATCCATGACTCCTGCAGATCTCCTCAGGGCGGTCGTTGAGATTACCGAGGGCAGACGCACGCTCTACCCCACACCTTGAGCATGAGGAGAAAGGATCTCCCACCGTTCGGCTCTGCGCCTGTGTCAAAGTAGTAAAAGATTGCTGGCACCATTAACGTGTACTCCCTAGCTTTGCTCTTTCAGGCAGAGCCTTGGATTTTGCTAATTATGGAAGAGGCGCAAGCAAGAAAAGTCCTCTGACAGGCACAATATTCAAGAGGCGTTCTCACTGTCCTACATATTATCCAGAGGTTTCTTTCTTGCCGATAACGAACGCCACGAGCCTCCGCTTTCGATTGCACACAATTGAAGAACCTGAGACAACACCATGAAGCCTTCAACTGCTTTGTCAAGGCTGAAGGCTACGTCAATCCCTCAATTTGAGCCCGACGACCGTCCTTGATATCTTTCATTCTCCACTTGAATCTTGATGCACTGGCTAGCCACCTCGTCGACCATTTCCTCCAAACCCTCTTCTAGCGAGCCCTCGGATAGTTTACGGGAGACTCTCCTCCGACAAAAACTAAAGCATCGTAGATAAAGGCGCCGAACAGAGCGCCACACACTGGTCCTGCAATTGCGACTTTGAGCCAGTACATGTCTTCGAATAGTGAGTGGGATGGACTCGAATAACCTAGGATTTTCATCGCGACGCGTGGCCCAAAATCTCTAGCTGGGTTTAAGGCCAAGCCTGTGTTATGTCCCAACACCTGGCCGAGAAGGGCCACAAGAAGTCCAATGATAAATGCCAACATCCCCGCACCTGGAGGTGAATTTCGATCATCTCCCAATGCAAGGACAGACACAGTGAGAATTGTTGCACCTAATAATTCCGTGCAAAACGCCCGTCCTGTTGTCACCCATGGCGCTCGAGGATATGTGATGAAATTTTGCAGTGTAAGGGTTCTTTCTAGGCTTTTGGAGTCTTCGCTTTGAGGGTCTAGACCTTCTGCCTTAACTAAGGCGTCCAGACCAGGCTGGAACAGTTTGAAGGTTATCATGGTAGCGAGGAATGCACCTGAAATGTGTGCTATGATAAAGGATGACACTTGTCGAAGTGGAAAACCTCGAAAGATGCACAACATAATCGATATTGCAGGGTTGAAATGGCCTCCCGAGGCGCCGGCGGCTATGTATATAGCAATCATTGTTGCCAGACCCCAAGCCCAATCAGCAGAGTAACTCACACTAGCGGTCCCTCTAGACACTGTTATTGACAAGTTTGCACTGAAGCCAAGAATATACTGAATGGTGATCTGGAGGACACGGAGAAAGTTAGTATGCTCCAGAAACATTTATCACGCCATCTTTCACGTACCCCTAACAGCTCCGCGAGAGGCTCTCGAAACCGATACCGCCAGACCGACCACCCTGTGTGGAAATTCTGAATCTCCCGAAGTCCCGGTTTGTACGAAAACAAGGGGACTGCGCCTTGGTATGCGTTTTCAAGATATCCCTCTTCCCTGGCTTGATTGACGTTTGCCATTGCTTCCCTGAGCTGGGGTAGATCGAGCTCTGAGGGCTGGCGCTGTGGTTGGGGCTGCTCCTCATCTTCTTCAAAAATCGTCTCTCCAGCACGATGAGGATGGTTTGGCCCTTCTAATGTTGCACTCGAGCTTTTCGTCGTTCTTGATAAGGGTGAGAAGGCCGCTGACGGCTCGTACTGCCGTCGATAGCTTTCAAACAAACGGATCTCTCTGTCGCGTCGGATGTTATCCAGCTGTGGATGTATTATGTGGGTCCGAAGCGTAGGATCTATTCTTGCTGATGCAACACCCTCAGAGAACGCAGCTTGACTGATACCGTCCCTCCTCTGTTGCATTTCTTGGAGTTCCTCATTTGACGGCACCATCCCGGACCTTAGGATATGCGGAAGAGGTTTCCCTAAGCCCCAGATGGGGCGGGAGTTTGCGGGCTGATCGTAGGCAGGATTCAGTTGTGCATATCCCGGCTCGACGTAAGGTTGGTTGGCAGCCAAAGCGTTCTCCAGCGTCGGACCTGCAAAGGTAAATCTGCGTGAAGCAGTATCGGAGTTCCGACCAGATGCTGATGCGATGGCAACTGATCTCTTTGTCGGATCAAGAGAAACCCCTCTCCAAGATCGTGACGGATCTGGGCTTGGGCTAAGATGTGCACTGCCGAGTCGCGGACGAGTGCTGGAAAGGGAAGGGTTGGCGGCGGAGTTCCCAAATTGCCTGGGTGGTGGGGATGTTGACGGGTTCAGCTGAGCAGACTCTCGAGATAAGAGCCTTGTAGCCTCTTGAGAACCAGGGATTGTAACCGGCGCTGTTGCTGGCTGCTGAAATCTTGGAAATCGTGCGTCAAATCGATCAGGAGAACTGCTATGGATTCTTTGCACCTCATTCTGCGAAGCAAGGTTGCCCAGCTCTTGACCTTGTGAGTTATGTCTGGAAGATTCACTTCTCGAAGTGGGCAGCTGGCTTCTGTGTGCATTTATGTTTGTGGCCTTCTCGGCACCTCCACTTTCGCTCATGTTGATGGTCACTTTTGGGATCACTCGATACTGCTGTCAAGCGATCATCATAGGATAGGAGCAAGCACTGCAAGCTGAGGGCGGAGGGTGTGTCCGCGACCGAGAACCGGCCGCTCGCTGCTGCTGCAGTTGTTCGGCGTTCGTTACGAGTCAGAAGGGTTCGCGTCTGAAGTGAATGGCAATTGTGAAGTTGCGGCTACCTAGGTATCTCGATCGATGGCAGAGGAAGAATTTCAGGTTCTTGTCCGCCACCGTGTCTTTCCTAGTGATACCATGAAGGGTCGATCGGATGTGGTACCGAGTCGTACTTGCTGAACGGTTACGCTATGACGGAAGGAAATCAGGCGCTGGAATAGCTCTATGATCTATTCTCATCCAAGAAAGGCGACTATTCAAAGATGCTGGAATACAAGTGTGAAGAGTTATTCAACATCCTCCTGAGGAGGTCTAGGTGGCAAGTGATAATTATGATCGTCCCGTGAATCGTGATTGCTTATCCCTGGATGCGCTTTCCGTCAGACAGTGGATCAGCGTCGACGCGCCTCAGCACTTTCCGTCGCTATTGTCGGTTCGATCACTCCTTTCATTTGGACGGGATCACGGCATCTATCAAAGCAAGAACATCCCTCAAATTGAATCACCAACGGGGACGAAGCCGACGCAGTTGCGAGTGTGGTGGACGCCCGTGCGAGGGCTTTCCTGATCGAGACAGGCACATTCTCATATGCAAGTCATCACTTCATCTCGAGGATAGCGATATGGACGGATCACGTCTGTAGAGATTGCAAAAAATCCTGCCAAAGTGTTGAGTTTTCTCTGATGCCAATATCATACAGCTTCAGATGATCTCGAAAACTGAGCCGGACTCTTCATTTCCCTGCCGCTACCCAGATCCGCGGCTAACATGGCTTCACAGTGGTTGAACGAGAGAATGCAGGCGAGTGAGATTGACGTTGTAAGTATAAACCAATGTTCTGCTCGAGTACCGAGGTTGAGCGGACGGAACATCTGCCGCGTCACTGGCTTATGGTCATGGCTTATCCATCCCCATCGAAGGAAGATCCTGGGCGACAGTTACCGCGCTCACCCTTTGACGTCGCCTGATGTCAGCACTCCTCAGGTATCCGTCAAGTCCGCCTTAATGGTGATGCAGAGAGGCTTTACCATCGGTGTATAAGAGATAGGTACTCCCTTCCACTCTCGAGGGCGAACAGACTCGTCATCAACTCAGTTTGCAACAGAGAAAGCTGACCAGACTCCAACTATACACTATGGACGGCAAAACCTTGCTCGATAACATCCCCGAAGGTCTTCCCGAAGACGTGCCAATCGTGATGCTGAACCTGCTCCAATGGAATGAGAACGCGAACTATCCTCAGGACAGTTCCCATCCGCCTTGTACAGGACGAGAAGCATACTTGCAACGATACGTGCCAACATTTAGGCCTATTGCCGAGAAATGGGGTGGCTCCACCGTGGTATACATAGGCAAACCTGCAGCAACACTAGTTGGACCCGACGAGAAGAAGTTTGATGTTGTGGCGCTGGTCAAATATCCAAACATAGGTGTCTTTCGCCGGATCGTCGGCAGCGATGAATACAAAACGAATGCCGCACCGCACCGCATTGCCGCCTTGAAGGAATGGCGACTCGTTGTGACGATTGAGAACCAGGTCTGAATAGACGTATCGCACCATTATACCTGAGTGCGAGCGCTGTCTCGTGGATGGGGAGTCGCCCTCCCCATCTCACAGAAGAGAAGTCGTGCGGCCACATAGAGGTGGGGTTTGATGTCTCAGTTGGTGAACATGTTCAGCCAGAGAGTTCTTGGGTTCGATGCAGCTTGAAAATCTCGGACATAGCCAGTTGGTTCTCAAATGGATATATACATTTGTGGACTTCGTCTAGAGAATGACCAAGTAGTGCAGTTCGCGCTAGAAAGCATTGTTCGGAAACTCTTCAACGGCCTATTACGATAGGATCACTGTGACTTGGAACAGCTGACATTGACCAAAAGTACAGATTTCATAGTGAACGTATTGTGAAGCAACAGGCTTGGTTTTTATTGGATTAGCAAAAATTGGGATTTGACGACCAGGGCCGGCATGCATCACAAAGGACAAGATCGTACATAAAAGGGATGCAATTCCAGTACTGTCGGTATCGGGGCCAGCTCTGTTTATCTCTCCGCTGCCCGAGGTTCTGTGATGGGAAGGGAACATGATCATTCCTAAGACGGTCCGAGGGACTCGTCAGACTGTATAGTATCCTAAGTACGTACTAGACTAGCGCCTGGGCGCTCCAGGTCCGCTTCGGATAGCGTGCGAATAGCTCTCGGAGCTAGTTCGGATGCGTCGAAGCGACATAGTAGACCACGGTCTTTACAATCGCTTGGCATCGAAAATCACAGCTCCAGTTAACTAGTTGGTTATGCACATTGGTCAGACGTTCGCCTACGCGCGAAGTGATGATATCAGAGGCTACAGATAGCGCGGACTGATACAAATACCCGAACCCACACTAACCCTCCTTCGTATCCAGCCTGCGACCAAACGCCAGTATACACCTAGTTTGAAACCAAATTGGAAAGTGTTTAAGAGCGAGATGGGATTGATTGGCGGCTCAGGTAAGGGGTGTCGGATCTCCATGTACCTAGGTCTCCAATGGTTCCATCTCAGAAGGGATATATATAAGAGCTCTGGATCAGGTTATTCTGCTCGCTTCATGTCGACTTCCGTACATACATAGTCTCGTGAAAAAAAGAAAAGCCACCTGAAAATTGCCAACTATCTATTTTATGCCACCGTCTGAACCCCAGATCACTCCGCTTGAGCCTCCCGCTTGATCTAAACACCATGGTCAAACTCACTATTGCCCGCTCCGCGAATTCGTCAGTCGTGCAAAGTCAGCCACTTGTTGCTGTCTTTTCTGGAGGGACCAATGGAATAGGCTTAACCACGTTAAAGGCGCTCGCAGCCAGCCATTCGACCACTGGCAAAGGCCTTAGGGTCTACATCATAGGTCGAAACCAGAAGGCGACAGAAAAGATCATTGCCGACTGCCTGTCCTTATGCCCTCAAGGCGATTTTCGATTCGTCCGGACCAGCGACCTTGCTCTGTTGAAAGAGGTTGACAGGGTATGTGAAGAAATCACCAAAGCAGAGCGGGCTTGTGCAGCAAATGGAGATAAGCCAAGGGTCGACATGCTGTTCATGAGTCAGGGCGAACTATCACTCGAGCCGTATACCAGAAATGCCGAGGGTCTGGAATTCCGTGTTTCGCTTCTCTACTATTCGCGGATGAAGATCATCCTCAACTTGCTGCCGCTGCTTCTGGAATCCAATCTCCCGGCTCATGTCGTCTCAGTATTTGCGGCGGGCAAGGAAGGAGAGCTCCCCCTTGATGACCTCTCCATGAGGGACCCGAAGCATCGGGGGCTTGTGTCCACCAGAAGCACCGTCACGTATATGACGACCTTCTTCTTCGAGTGGCTGGCCTCCCAGCATGCAGGGAAGCTCAGCTTGGTTCATGTCTTCCCTGGTCTGATCCTGACTGATAGTGTCAGGAGCATGCCACTCTGGGCCAGAACGCTTTGGTGGATTCTCCGGCCAGCACTCAGTCTCTTTTGTACATCCGTGGAAGAATGTGGGGAAAGAATTCTCTTCCTCGCAAATCCCGCTCGATTCCCAGCTGGATCGACCCAAGGTGAAACTGGTGTTTCAACGCCTGGCAGCAATTCAACGCCGGTGCAAGGATTGGCACCAGCAATGGGCACCGATCTGAAGAGAGGTAGCGGTGCTTATGGGGTGAATCTTGATGGCGAGACTATGTCAGAATCTCAAATCCATAAATCCTACGACCGACATCGGGCGAATGATGTTGGCGGTAAAGTTGTCGCTCACACTGTGAAAGCATTTGAAGAAATCAAGGCTGGGAGGGCATTCAAGGATTAGCGGCATACGCCAATCCCTGATGTCTTGGGTGAATACTTTGAGGCTATCCTCTAGTTTTGCTGCTGATACCGTATGCTTTGTGCCACCCCCCCTCGCTTCCAAAAGCGACCTAATAATAACACTTTGAATATTTCAAATCACAGGTACGAAAATAGGAATCTCCCATGTGAAGTTGGTGTACTAGGACAGTAGAGCGGGTGAATGACCTTAGTCTCAACGAGAGTCAATTGGGCAGCAGCTCATTCCACGCGTGTACATGGTACTTCGTTTCTCATTGAAGTAAGCAGTATGGGACTGAGGGTTGGTAGTTGAGGCCCTTATTTGGCTACAACGGCCCTCTTGGTGAGAATAGCTGAATTCTCGTTTAGCCGGTTCCAGTCATGCGCATCAAAGCATGCCTGTCTGCTCATTTGCACCGCATGGCTTGTGCGGCTTCTCATCTCGTGCTCGAAGTCGTCAATGGTCGAGCCCAAAGGCTTGCATTCTTGATATACCGATTTCAATGCTTGGCAGAGATTGAATGCATCAAGCATTCCATGATTTGCAGCCTCTCCACGATACATGGTCATTGCGTGTGCGGCATCTCCCATCAATGTCACTTTCCCCCCATGGTTGTCCCACGGTAGACACGGCCAATCCGCCAGTTTTATTTCCAGCACTTCGGCATCGTCTGGAATAGCCTCAACGGCGGTCTTCAGCGTTGGCGCAAATCCGTTGGCCCTTCTTTTCATATCTAATAGTCTCTCATGGTTGTCGACTTTCACCTCATCCTCCTGGCTTTTGACTGGCCACGACAGATTAATCTGAACCCGGTAGCGTTCTTCGTCCGTTCCAGCAGTGCCGTTGACTTCGGGAACTTCCAGCATGCTGACCCACATAAAACAAGAGGTTTCAGGGTGGCAACCTTGAAATAGTAAAGGGTCCAAAGATCTTAGTGGCTTGATTTGTTCCGGCGTCATGTTGATCCCTGAACCTACAAATCGGATGGGAAGCTGCCGATTGCGATAATCTTGAGGTGACAAAAACCTCCTTACCGCCGAGTTGCTGCCTTCGGCACCTATAAGGAGAGCCCCAGAGTAAGCGGAACCATCTTCAAAGACAGCTTGGACCCCAGACCCCTCGCTATCGACCTTTACGTCGACCAATCGCTTCGACCATTGGACATGCTCTTCCACGTCTTTCAAGAGCACTGCCCGCAATTTCTCACGGTTCACCCGCCTCCGTGTCGAAGGTGGTATCCGAAATTTCGTAGAACAGTCAGATAGATTGATGAAGAGGAAGTTGCCATTATCACTGCGTCCAACTGCAGGATCAACTTGTACGGCATCCACTTCCTTCAGTACTTCCGGTCCGAGCATTTCTTTCAGGTACGGCAATGCCCAATGGATGGTGATGGCCCATCCTTGCCCTCTAGCAGAGACATTTTCATCCCGCTCAAAGATCTGAAAAGGAATTCCAGCCTAGCACCCCGTCAGCGGACTATTCAGAACGAAATATCAGGCTAGGTAGATCTTACCGCTTTCAGGCCATGCGCCAGAGTGAGGCCAACAACGCCAGCACCAACAATTATAACGTCCTGGTTGCCCATCTGCTGCTGCTGAGAGGTATTCAGCTTCAGGTCACTGGCTTGATCATACACCCGCAAGGAAGGAGTTTGCGGGGGGGTTATGCCTTTGTACTTGATGTGGGATATCTTTCAAAGAGAGCCTGAAGAAGGCGCGAGTGACACAATCAATGTGCGTTACGGATAGTGATATCGATGCCCTGTCCGATAATTGTCATACAACCCCTCCTGGACTTCGATTGCATCACGAGTCGTGACCTTAGTATCCTATCCCTATACGACGGGAACCTACCGAGCTGACTGTGGGATGTGGTCGGAGATCAGCGGGGAAACGCCACCATCAGCGGCGGAATCGTCTAAACGAGAACTAGCCCAGGGAGCCGAGTAGCTGGACGCTAATGCAGCCGTCTCTTGAGCCTCGAGTCGACCGTCGGAGCTCTCCATCGTCATCAACTTTTAGCACCGATCACTGTTCACAACCCGGTCTGCCTGCCGCTGCGACGGTCCGCGTGGTGACAATCCTGAAACAATGCATCTTGTTCTACTCGGGCCTATTAGATCATATGCCTGAGGGAGCATATCTGCTCTCAGATATGAGTGTTCAGACAACTGTTGAGCTGATAAGGACCGCCCACCACTGCGTCCCATCTGACTGTCGATGCCAACAATTCTTCGTCTAGATCTCTAACGTGCTACATCTTTTCAATTCAATACAATGCCGTCTGCAGTTGCGCAGCCAAATGGCCATCATGAGGCGCTGAATCCGATCCATCCTGACATGTTGGACCGCCTCGACCCTGTCTTCGTTGAGCTTTACAACGAGAATGTCGCAAATACCCCAAACAAACCAATCGATCTAGCATTTCTCCGGTCCAAGTACTCGGTCCTCTATTCATATGGAACAGGTCCCGCCCCAGACGTGGCGCGCATATATGATTCTACAATTCCCATAAGTGAGAAAATCGAGCTCGATGTAAGAGTGTACGAGCCATCATCTACGGGGCCATGGCCTGTTCATATCGACTTCCATGGCGGTGGGTGGGGTCTTGGAGATCTCGATACAGAGGCACATATATGCAAGCACATCTGTCACGAAGCACAGGTCGCTGTGATTGATGTCGCATATCGACTTGTCCCTGAAAATCCATTTCCGACCGGGATTGAAGATTCATTCGCCGCAGTTCAATATGTTTTCAAGAATGGGGCACAGAAATTCAACATCATTCCCAGCAGTATATCTCTTGGTGGCGTTTCCGCTGGAGCAAACATAGCTCTGGTGTGCGCCCACTGGGCAAGGGATGCACAGATTCCGCTGAGATTAATTGCGACCGGTACTCCCACAATTGACGATCTCTCCAAATATTCAAGTGCGGGCGAGTCACCATTCAAATCAATGCATGAGAACGAGTTTGCCCCAACACTAAACTGGGCAAGATTAGCTTGGTTCGACAAACTGAAGTGGAATTCCCTGTCCAAGGATCCCGCGGTCGAGAAGCAGCAAAGAGAACGAATTGGCTGGGTCAAAAACCTGCTAGATGCTCCAAACTGCAAAGATCTGGCAAAGACAGTCATATATACCGCTGGCGCAGATCCGCTGAGAGACGAGGGCGAGGCTTACGCAATGAAGCTAGTCGAAAATGGAGTCGAGGTCGTCATGAAAAGGTTTCCGGGGGTGCCACACCCCTTTATGCACATGACGAAATCTCTATGGCAAGCGAAGCAGTTCGTTGAGATGACAAGTAGAGAAATCAGGCATGCTCATCATGTAGAGGCGTTGTAGAGCATACTTCTAATTAGGGGGGTTATCAGAGCAGTCGTTTAAATGATTAATTGTAATTCCAGCGCTTCAATTCAGTTTATGCTTTCCATTTATACTAATGGTGCTCAGGTGCTGACGACGTGACCGATCTGTCGTGTACCTAGCCAGGCTCTCCAGGGCCGTCCAGCCCAGTTGCATATTTGTTACCAGATCCGGCAGTAAAGACATACGGCAATCTCTGCAACTCGTAACAATGTCAAGCGTCGTGTCTGGCCAGCCGCTGACATCTCCGTATGGCCGATCCAAGATTGTTGTAGATGAAGAACGAAATGCTCATGGCCAAAATTGGATTGCTGTCTCGAGGGTGTGTGCTCTGGGGCATGCTACTGGACGTCGACTTGAACAGCAATTCTCAAAGTGCTTCTTCAATCTGCCCTTCATTCGGGCAGAAAGAATGGTCTGTCTAGCCATGTTCAGTCCGGAGGTCGACAAATTGCCTGACTCCCTCGAACTAAATGATAGCGGATGGGACCTTCAATTCGCGACACGGACTGGATCGAATTAAAGTGTCAATCAGAAGAATAGACCATGGGAAACTAGTAGGTTGACTGTCCTGTGGATTAGGCTATACGACGATTCACCTCGCAAACCATCTAGGGGCTCACCGATGTATTTATAGATCCACGAGGCTCAGGATTTGTCACTTATGCAGCCTCACATCAACCACTCTCCCATCATTAGCACCAATGATCACCACACTCGTAAGCACTTCCCCGTTCATCTAGACACGAACCACAGAGTCGGCTTCTTGGTCATACTAGCTTTGCTTGTTTGCTCACTGGAACTGAAGACTCGGAGAATGGGTCTTAAACAGGATAGTCGTCTAGGCAGCTATGCATCGAAACGAGCAGCATTTCCAGTTCCCCGGGCTTCAACAGGCTGGTGTTCAGCCTTGCCTTCTGCAACTGTGCAACCCAAGCAATGTGGGGGGAGGCCACATCGCTGCTTTATCGCCTTGCCCAAGGAGGACTAGCATCTCCTGCACACGGATCTGCGAGGAGTCGAGGACTCACCTCGGCAGGCAAGTCGCTAAGATAAACCTTGTTTACACGATGCCGTCTCCCCCAACCTCTGAGCTGGCCTCCGACGTGCCGTGTACATTGGTGATATCTAGACCCCATCTAATATGTTATCCTTTGAGAACCGTTCCAAACTACTATTGATTGAATATTTCGTGGCCACATAAAACGATGAGTCAGCGTACTGTATGCCTTCGGTGTGCCAGGATCAAGCAAGCATGTGATGGAGGCTCGCCATGCGCTCGTTGCCGACGTCTCGATCTCCAATGCGAGCCTAAAGACAACGCTTCGCTATCTGCAGACGGCGCGCCACCCATACTAAAACGTGCCAAGATAACCAGAACTCATACGGGCTGTTTGACCTGCAAGAAGCGGCGGAGGAAGTGCGATGAAGCACGTCCCAGATGTTCAGATTGTCGTCGACTTTGTCTAGACTGCAAGTATGCAAATCCAGCCGTACAACAAACGGAGGGCTCGCAGTCAGCGGAGGAGCTGACCATCCGGGATTCTCCTTTCGCAATCGATACCCGGATACTGGAGGTCGAAACTTTTGATAAAAGTATGCTTAATTTCGACGACGACATAGTGACGGAGATGCTCGATTCTCATGGATGGGATGTCATAATGGAAAGTTCGCCTCTCACTAATGACCGGATGCCATCTTATACGTCAAGCAATGTTAGTCCGCCAGCTTCACTCCCTGACCTTTCTCTTGTGGCTCTGTCCACAGCGCCGAATCTCTCGGTAGACGAAGACAAGTCGCTTTTGAATCACTATATGAAGGTAGTTGCAAGTGTGCTCTCCCGAAGAGACGACCGAAGAACCAACCCATATCTATCCAAAGTTTTACCCATGGCTTTGCAAGATCAACTCGTTATGGATGCAGTTCTTGCTTTGAGTGCAAGCCACTGGCGTAAGTTGCAACCCTCCATTTCCAGAAGGGGCACCATTCATCAGACAAATGGTAAGTTTCAGTCATCAATCAACACATAATACCCGCTAATAATGAGAAGCACTCCAATCACTTGCGAAAGTACTACCACACATCGAACGTGACTCGGCTGACGCTGCGCTTTCTGCTACTCTTTTGCTATGTATGATTGAACTATTTGACGGCGCCTCATCTCACTGGAAACTCCATCTCGATGGTGCTCGTCGACTGCTGTCGGCTATTGACCGGCGATCCAGCGGGCCACAACTGACCGCTTTCACAACTTTCTATCGCCAGCTCTACCACTATCTAGACTCTGCCACAACCATCTCAACGTGCCATCCGCCTTTGTTAGAGCTCCCAAATGATAGTACTAAGGCAGAGACGCCGTCCTCGACCAGTACTCCCCGCGAGGACATTGACGATGAGGAGTCCCTCTACGGAGTCCCTAAGTCACTTTTTCACTTCGTTGACAAAATCAACAGCCTTGCATATCAACGCAAGTTCAGAAACGATCCAATATTCGAGAATATGTTTCAGGCATCGGCGACAAGACTAGAAGAAGAGTTGTGTCAATGGAGTCAGGATCGTAATCTGCAGGAACCACCAACGTGGTCGTCGGAGGAAGCTTCGGTCAAACATGCAACAATTGCATTTGAACAGGCACTACAGCTGAGACTCCATCAAGTTGTCAATGGGTATTCGATCGATCACAAAAAGGTCGGTCACTGTGTAGGTCGCATTCTTGACGCTATCCAAGAGATACGCTATGGCAGCCCTCTCGAAAGCAGCCTTACCTTCCCGTTAGTTATGGCGGGTAGCAGCTGTAGTACGGAAAGCGAGAGGATGATTATTCGAGATCGCTTCCTCATCATGGAAAGAACCCTTGGGTTTCGATACATCTACACTGCTCATGAACTCGTCCAAAGAGTTTGGAAGCAAAGGGATTCAGGCCTCAATACCGAGGATGTCAATTGGGCAGCTATACGATACTTTCAGATCCCAGGCCTCGCGCTAATCTGAAATTGACGCCTTCAAGTTTCAAACGACCTTAAAAGCCCCGTCAATATCTATCTAGTACAGAATGTGTCCAACAAGATACTCACGATTGCTGCTATGAAGACGAGGTGGACCAAAGCCAAACACTACAATTCGCCAGCTAATTGGGCAATATGAGCATGAATATCATATCCACATATCTCTTCAATCGTCAGTTTCCCAGGGCGATCCTTGGAGCTGCTCCACCCAATTCTCTCGCTAAGATCTGTTCTGGCCCGGGCACTTGCTGATTGAACTCGAGTCGCTCGCTTCTTCCGGGTACTTTCATAGAGCTTGAGTCGCTGCTGGACTGTGAGATGACTGTACTTTGGGCTGAAGACAATACCCAGGGCACCGGCGTCTTCAATTGCCATACAAGCTCCTTGCGACTGGTCGGGAACCATGGGATGTGCCGCATCTCCTAGTAAAGTGCAAACTCCTCTTGTCCAGAATGGATATTCGTCATGATTATACAACCGCCACATCTTGATATCTTCGGCGTTCATGAAAAGTTTGTGGATCTTTGGATCGAGGCCTGGGAATGTTTTCACCAAGTTTTCAGAAGTGGTCGACAGGTTCCACCCATCTTCAGTCACACTGTTGAGCTCTGCAGGGTAAAAGCAGTAACAAGATACGACGTTGTTGTCTGAACAAGCCGAAAGGACAATCTTGTTGATACCGTATCCACCCCAAAATTCAATCGCGTTATTATTCAAGTACTCTTCGAGACCAAGATCTCTCAACTTGTCAGCGCCAATGATACAGCGATAGCAGCAGGAGGTTGAAGAGACAAATTTTGGTATCACACCCAGCTGCTCCCTTGAGAGAGACCTGATACCATCGGCGCAAATAATCGCATCAGCAGTCACACTCTTCCCATTTTCGAATTGGATCGAGCCGGTACCAGGATCAATGCTAGTCGCCTTATGCCACACTTCGAGTTTACATGGCATCCCCTTCCCTGAACTCGAGACAGCGGTGTCCTTGAGCACATTATGCAGATCGATACGATGGAAATTGTTGTAATCTGTCCCAAACTTGGCGCGATAATCTCCCAGGTCATAGGTGTTGGTTACTTCTCCACTTGACCAGTCATGCATAATAAGTGACCGCAGTATCACTGGCTTTGCCGCTTTGATATCCACGTCCCATTCTTCGAGAAGTCTGGAACCATTCGAGGCAACCGAGAGCGAGGCTCCAACCTCTCCTCCAAAGTCATAGCGCTCGTAGATGGTGACACTGTGGCCCGCACGTCGTAATGCAATTGCCGCACTGAGGCCACCAAGGCCAGAGCCAACGATTGCGATATCCAGCTGAGGCATCTGGTCTTGGATTATTCGACCAGGCATACTGCCGGTATTCAGATCAATCAATGACGGCAGTTAACTTGTTCAGATCTTTTGCGAGCATAAGTTAGGCGTCTGACTGCTCGCTTCTATTTAGCACGAACACCGTTCTTTAAATCAATCTTTACGTTAGACAATGTGAAACCGGTTCAGCCGCAATGTGGAAACGTGATATGAGGACATGCCCTCTGCCGAAACGTGCAGAAATAAACGTCGAACACTTTACGACGGCGTAACAAGCCAAAACTTGGACAAAATGGTGCTAGGCACACCGGCCCCCGAGATAATAGGATATCAGCCTCCGCATTATCAAGATGCGACGGACCTGGGGAAGTGGGTATCTGGACTGAACCCACCAGGAAAGCCGATTGCGACGGATGCAGGCAACACGATAAATACAAGAGACTTGATTCGTGGACTCCCCCTCTGCGATCAGCACCCACATCCTGCATTGATTGGGTATCACGGCCATCTCTTCCACCGTGTCTGCGACAACCTTACGGCATTGACCAAAATTACTCGGTCGTCTCTCTCTCCCGTCCTCACTATCTACAAATGTGTAGCGCAATGCTGGGAAGTGGTCGAGACTCATCCGACAGATAATTTCTTCTTGAGGCAGATATATCTAGCCTCTGTGCCACGATCCACGACACTGCTACTTTCTGCTTCGCTTGAACTATCCTACTAGGTGATGCTTTTCCAAATGGGCCTCAATCAAGACTTGAAATCTCCCGCAACCGACATGTCGTCCACAAAGGAACTCGAGGCAACCATGAGCAAGACAATCGGTGAGGTCTTGCCTGTCGATGGTCAAGACTCGACACTCCTCCGAAAGATCGACTGGCGTATTGTCCCGATTATGTTCGCCTGTTACTTTTTACAATTCCTCGACAAGGTGCTCATTAACTACGCCAACGTCATGGGCCTCGCCAAAGATCTGGGAATGAAAGGGAATGATTTCTCCTGGATGGCGACTGCCTTCTTCATTGGTTTCGCCGTCGCCGAATTCCCACAGGGCTACTTGCTTCAAAGGTATCCCCTCGGCAAAGTCCTTGGGTTCAACGTTCTCTGCTGGGGCATTGTGATCTGCTGCAGCGCCGCAGTCAAGAACTTTGCTGGTATGGTCGCCCTGCGGACTCTGCTGGGCTGCTTTGAGGCCTGCATTTCTCCAGCACTTGTTTTGTCAACATCGCAATGGTATACCAAGCGAGAAGCTGGCCCCCGCTATGGGATCTGGTACTGCGGTCTGGGTGCGGGACAGATCATCGGTGGTCTGGTATCCTTTGCAGCTCAACATGGTGCCGTTGGCGCATCTTTTGGGGGCTGGCGCATCATGATGGTCGCCGTTGGTGCCTTCAACATCTCCGTTGCTTGCATTGTCCTGGCTTTCCTCCCTGACACCGTGGATTCCGCAAAATTCCTATCTTCAGAAGAAAAGGCCTCGATCCACCAGAAACTGGCATTCGATCAAGCCGGAAACGGTACCAAAATCTTTCGAAGTGCATCACTACGGGAAGTCTTTCTCGACGCACAGATCTGGCTCCTACTTCTCTTGACCATCTTGATAGTCATCCCCAGCGGCGTCATCACCACATTCTCCGCCACTTTGATCAGGGGCTTTGGATATAAACCCAAGCAATCTGCGCTTCTCAACATGCCTTCCGGAATAGTCAGTATCGCTAGCACCCTGATATGCACTTTTGCCATTCGCCGAGGCTTCCCTCGCTGGCTCAGCATTGTCCTCCTGCTCATCCCGACTGTAATTGGCGCAGGACTGATGTCGTTCATCTCTTCCAACAACCAACCGGGCAAACTTGCGGGAATCTACTTGATCAATACGATTGTCGCCCCGCTGGCGATCATTTACACCTGGGTTGGTGCAAACACAATGGGGTACACGAAGCGAGTTGCCTCGAATGCAATCATCGCGATCGGATTCAGTATCGCTAATATTGTAAGTTTACACCTAGCACGCTACGAAGAAGACGTATATCTTTCTTCCATCTCCTCCATGCTATTGATATTGATAACAAGACACTAACAATCCCCATCACAGATCGGACCACAAACCTTCCAAGCCCGCGATGCTCCAGACTACATCCCAGCGAAGATCACAATCTTTGCCGTTGCAGGCGGCGCGATGGTTGTTTCGGTGCTCTTGAGACTCCTCTACGGCCTCAGGAACCGGACGAACGTGAGGAACAGGAGGGCCCAGTTGGAAGGTCTCTCAGCTAGTGAAGTGCTTGCGTCTCCAGACCAAGATGAGACTGATCGCAAGAATCCGGCGTTCGTCTATGTCTACTAGAGTTTCAGTGGGCGAACCTCACTTGTATGGTTAAAACAATCTGGCACTTTTGTGAAGTTAAATGAGCGAGCAGCTTCTACCAGGAATGAATCGGATGAATCTTGACAATAGAAGTTCTAAAAAAAGCCATCTCTGTCCCTGTGTGAACAGACCCCTACTACGCATTCCGTGATTGACATTCAGCCCAGCTCGGTTCACTTCGAAATGAACTCGAAGAGGGCAATGACGCTGCTTGAAATGCAGAATACATTGCCTATGATTACAGACCTCATACCACGGGGCCTGTTTATTGACCGTAGAGGATGTTACATAGCAACTACTCTTCTCCCAACCACGAATGTGCACGTCGTCCACAAGGCACCACCCTCGACTTACCTGCTCAAGGATCCAGACACTGCACCGAAATACCCCATGCATGCTAAAGGGGTAAGGCTTGGGGGCGAGATAAGATATCCGGTATCCATGCTGATAGGATTGCAGGACGTCTTTTAGCAGCAGCGGTCACTGGCGGCGGTGCGACCAGTTTTGCGACGGCCGCAGGCCCACATGGAGTGGTCCGGCCTCACCACGTTACCCAACTTCCGTCGCATCCAAACGCAGGCACGTCCGTTTTCGCGCTCTCTGCATATCCGGCTCAGCCTCATGCAGCCAGTGCAATTTCGGGTGCCGTGGGGCCTTTCATGGCTGCAGCGAGTAGGAAAGTGCACTCTTGAGGCGGTCCGTGGCTCTCTGCGCCTCGGGAGAGGGGTGGATGCTAGAATGAACCGGATTGTATTCAGGGTTCGCCAGCTACAGTAGCCGAATGTTCGGGTAGTTTGCAGCGGGGAATTATTGTGTCTACTATCCTTTCCTGAATCTGCATTCATTGGAGATCCTGTCTTCAGTTTCATCTAGATGCCTTTAAGTTGAAGCGTTCAGGCAGTCATTCTGGTTCTTTCCCCTTATCTTATCCCTTCTACCGCAGGAACTCGCTACTCTTATCTTGGATATTGAAGTCACTCTTCGCCGAAATCTCGCTTACAGTGTACTAAGTGATCCTGACACACAAAGGAGACTGTCGATTCGATTCAACAGCAGGTGCAAGAGAGCCATGCCTCATGCAGAGCCTTCTCCAATCAAGCCGCCTTCGCGGGTGGTTGTCACAGGCGCGAACGGCTTCATTGCGTCACATGTGATCAGCCAACTGCTGCTTTTGGGCTTCCAGGTGGTGGGCACGGTTCGCTCGCAGAATAAGGCAGACGCAGTCAGAAAGACACATGAACAACTAAGTCCTGAATCCGCCAGGCTTCTGGAAACGGCCGTCGTGGAAAACATCATAAACCCTGAAGCATACTCTGCGCTCTTCAACTCTTGCCAACCTGTGGCGATCCTCCATCTAGCCAGTCCGTTCGGATACTCAGTAGACGATCATGAGCGTGACTTGATGCAGCCAGCAGTAAGAGGTACTGAGGCCGTGCTCAAAGCCGCAGCGAAGACCCCTTCCGTTCGGAGGATCATTCACACTAATAGCTTCGCCTGCATCTACGATGCCAGCCTTGGCCCTCGACCAGGACATGTGTACACTTCCAAGCACTGGTGTCCATTAACGTACGAGGATGGGGTGAAGGCAGCAAATGCTCCAATAGCATATCGCGCAAGCAAGGCTGTAGCGGAGAAGACGGCGTGGGAATTCATGGTGGCGCCACAGTTCTCAGGTGGTTTCGATCTCGTTAGCCTGTGCCCGGCCATGGTCTTTGGCCCCTTTCTCGACACTCCGTTCTCAATGCCACATTCGTCAGAGGGCCTCAATACCAGCAACAAGTTAGTCTGGGACGTCGTTTCTGCGGGTGAGCAGATGGCTGTGCCACCCACGAAGGGACCAGTATGGGTTGATGTCCGCGATGTGGCCGAAGCACACGTCAGAGCACTCACAAATCCATCATTAGGTGGCAGGCGCATGCTGCTGGCACAAGGCGTGTACTGTAGTCAGGAAATCGCGGATGTTGCAAGGGAAGTTGCACGAAAACACAGTCATCGAATTCCGATTGGGTGCCCTGGAAAGCGCGAGGCCGAGACCCATTTTGGTGTTGACTCAGGTGTGGAAGCCTCCGACCTAAGGATCAAATGGAGGAATCTCTCAGAGACGCTCAGTGATCTATTACCCCAGTTGTACCGTATTGAGAGCTCTTAGACCTGAGGTGGATTTTGGAGCTCCATGGTCGGCCAAGGATGACTTTCTGGAGGATCCGATTTGATAGAGACTAAGGTCAATTCAGTGTCAGTGGGTGTTCACAGGCATTTGCTCATTTTTCAGCCAGGTATTCGGCATGGAGAGCCGCGTTCACATCGAAAGGCGTGCTTTAGCTGGGGGAATGAGAAGACCCACACCAAACATGGCGACAGGGATGCCCGGTGAGGCTGTGCTAGTAACACGTAGAGAACTCACTGAGCAAATGCTACCCTGCAGGGCTGGGAAACTGGCAGTAGTACCTTTTACCAGATAGAGCCTCAGAAAAGCATGTGAGAGTGCGTCTAAGATCATGTCATACGCGTGTTGACTTCTGGTTGGAATCGAGATTCAGTTGTGAAGGAGCATGAAATGCTCGTAAAACACTAGCGTAAGGCTCCGCTACCTCTCGATTGTCGATGGGGCCAGATTTGGAAAGGTAATTAGGCTTGGCACCTTCTGGAGGCGGAAGTTGGCATGTTTGCTCTGTTTGTGAGATTTCACCTCCTCCTTCACAGACCAAGCGCATCGCAGAGGGCCTGCTTGCAGCTTCGTGTCACTGTCTGTAGCTGCAGCACCGAATTAATCCTCCATGGCAGACGATGAACGGCCCAATGAAGGGGTTCAAACAGGCTTCCCTCAATCGCCGTCTGCCTTCGATGCCGATGAACGCATCTCTTTTTCCAGGCTAGACAACAAGTTCCTGCTCGAAACCGAAGATGGCAACGAATTCGAATGGGACACGGCGCTGAGACGATGGATTCCAGTGGTAGGCCAATCGCATGCATGAAGCCGCAATTCTTGATACCTGGTGTCCCAGAATAAGGACAGATTCTAACACACTGGATGTTCTTTTGTGCTGTAGCTGGACCAGTCTCTTTTGGACCAACAAGGCGAAATCTATAGGGTTGCAGGTGTAGACGAGAACGCGAGTACGAATCAGAAGAAGAAGAGGAAGCAAGCAAATGGAGATGAGGTCAGTACATGATTCTGTCATGACTTGCAAGTCAACTCACAAGTTCGCAGGCCGGGCATAAACAAAAGAAGCCACGAGTCAATTCGGCAGTGTATGTTACCTCCATTCCTCTCGATGCCGACCAGGAAGAAATCAACCATGTCTTCTCGAAATGTGGTGTTATTGCAGAAGAGATAGACGCAGGCAAGCCGCGCATCAAGATGTACGAAGACGATCAAGGACAATTCAAGGGTGACGCGCTTGTGGTCTATTTCAGGCCTGAGTCCGTCGAACTAGCAATCCAGATGCTGGACGATTCGGATTTTCGTCTGGGCACTGAGGGCCCCTCAGGTAAAATGAGGGTGCAAGCAGCAGATTTCTCTTACAAGAGCCAACAGGAAGCCCCAGCCAAGAGCAACAAGAAGGATCAGAAGAAGGTCATAAAGAAGACACAAAAGATGATGAGGTAGATATTCGAATACGATTGAGAAAGCTCGAAAGCTTACATGAATGCAGCAAATTGACCGACTGGGACGATGATGATCCACAGACGCTTCAGGATACGAGTTCGAAATGGGACAAGGTTGTGATCCTGAAGCACATGTTTACCCTTGAAGAGTTGCAAGTGAGCAATGTTTGTCCTTTACAATGTGATATAATTTGACAAGGAGTAGGAGGATCCTGCGGCCATGCTGGAAATCAAAGAGGACATTCGTGAAGAATGTTCCAAGCTTGGGGAGGTGACCAATGTAGTGCTATTCGACAAAGAAGAAGCCGGGGTCGCTAGTGTACGCTTCTCTACTGCAGAGGCGGCCAATGCATGCGTGAGAGTGAGTAAATATCTTGATTAGTGGGCTCACAGACTGATCTAGGACAGCTCATGCATGGACGATGGTTCGACGAACGACAACTAGAAGCAACCGTTGCGACTGGAACTGAAAAGTACAAGAAGTCCAGTGACAAGACTGTAGGGCTGTATGATGATGAAGAAGGAGAAGGAGAAGGAGAAGGAGGTAGATTGGATAGATTTGGGTCCTGGCTGGAAGAAGATCAATGAAGTCCTCACGGTCATGCGGCGTAAAATTCCTACAAGCCGTGGAGAGCTGAATTCAGCTATTCGCCTACTAAGCGAGTTAGGAGTCTGCCAACATTGCAGCATCTATCCCGTACCAACCGATGTCATACAAGCGTTTTCAATTGCTGCTTCGTATTGCACACACACTCCAAATTGTTAGCGATGACATTTTGTCTACTTTTTCTCTCCAGTGCAGCCTAAGCTAGCTATGAGGTAAGCGTGTGTCTTATTCTTCTGCCTTCGTTAGACTTGGCAATGGCTTCTTGGTTTATATTATTTAGCTACTATAATTTATAAAGTCTTATTACCTATGTCAACTCATACGCTGTTAAGCTAATAAGTTACTGTGATCGGGTGAAGCTTATATTGTTATCTCTCAAGCCTAGCCACCAAATTATCAGGCAATCGGTCCGCAAGCCCTTGAAGATCGCTCAAAAAGATGGGAATTGGCACAGAAAGATGCTATTCTAGGAACAAACTTCAGGGAATTCTGCGAATTGATGTCCCGTGAATGAGAATGCCACTCTCCTATTCCCTATCATCTTGTTTCTACCTAATGTGATTGCCAAAATTCCCGGTATTCCCGTCATTGCTCGTACATCTTGTCTCGTTCGTTACGGTCACTCAACCGTTGTTTTGTAACAGGGTAATTAGTTCTGTCAATTAAAGGCTGAACGTCGACTTTATCACCAGCTATCTCTCTTGCCTCTGCCCATCATCCATGCAAGTGTGAGAATAGCTACTATTAGACCCACAATACCAACGATGATGCCTGCAATCTCCCCAGCAGAGAGTCCTCCTCCATCTGGTGGTGTTGGTGACAAGGTTTGGGTGGCAGTCGAGGTTGGAACGCTAGCTGGGCTGCTTGTGGTTCCTGGCTCCGTTGATGGATCTAGTGGAGAGTATGGGTCGTAAGTTGTCGGGTTGGCAGGTGCCTCCGTTGGAAGTGATCCGCTTTCTTTGGGCGAAACAGAGCCTCGTTAGCCTCACAACCAGTACTGAGATAACATCGGAAGCAAGAACAAGATAATCCCGACATATAGCACCCAACCATACTGGGTGGGTGAAGATGGTGAAGGAAACAGGAACGCTGGAAGACTTCGGCTAGAGGAAGATTGGTCGCTCACAATCAGTGTTCCAGTGGTCAGGGTCACGGTCGCGGTCACCTCAATTGTCACACAAGCGGTGATTGTATCGTACGTACCGGATATCTGTGTTTCCGATGGCGATTGTATCAAGACTTGGCCAGTCCGCTTGCAGTATTGAGTATAGGCATCCACCGCACTGGTCAAGTCGTTGAAATTGCTCGAGCAACTCGAATATACACACTCCGAGATGTATGTTGTGACTACCGGCTGGAGGTCCTCCCTGCAGAAACATGAATCTTCAACGTCTTGTCCGCAGAAAACCGTATCACCGTGGCCGCAGCTGATCACATCCCCGATGATAAAGTAGCAACGTGCATTGCATTCTCGAAAGCAACATGCGGCACATCCTTGGAGATCCTGATAAAGGGAGAATGATTCGATGCTCACAATGCCATTGGCGCAGTCCGCGACATCGATGAAGAAGAGCGAAGAAAAAAAAGGCTAGGGAGATGCGCCAGAAGCTCGAGTGTGTGCCCGTGACCCTCAACATAGCAGAGAGGGAAACAGAGGTAGAGAGAGCGGGAGGGAGAAACCGCGTGGAAAACGGGATGAGTAGAAGCTATGAATGCATTACCTTTGAAATCAGGTAAGGTACATAGATACAAGGGACTTACTGACAATCTACGCGAAGAAGGGGCAGTGAGCCTCGCTCAATTTAAATCAGTTTGCATTTCAGCCTCAAATTCAAACTCGAAAAGGGGACTGCATGCCAGAACGCGATATTGACCCAAAAAGACAAGTGCCAAGGCAGCCACTGTGCTTGTGACTCGATACTTCAGCCTTGACCATTACAGAGCATCAATTAAAGCGAGAGCATCTCTGGGAGATGGCTGATTTAGGTCGCTCTTTGTGGAACGGTGAGATGTCCTTGTTCTCCGCCACAAGTTTGCCCAGCATTGAGTATCGTTGTCGAAGGGTTCTGGGATAGGTTTCGGCGGCCATCTTTTGTTGATCGCTTGGTATATTAAGAGAAACCTTGACTGTGGTGGCACATCTAAGAAATGCAATCTGAATGGTCCCCAATAATTTGGTGGGTGTCTTCAATGTGAAGCGTAATTGAAATCGCCTGTAGGGCTGTACGCCGACGATTTTTCGTTCCTCACCTCCACGCCTGGCCTAGTTGGATCACGTGAGTGATAGTGTGAGGCCAGGGTCACTAGTACCAAATAGGCTATGCAGGGGTCAGCCAATCGATAAGCCTCCCCGCGTTGCTTATCACAACCCCTGCCCACACTTTTTTTCACATCCCGATGATTGCTCACCTGCGGTTTGAGCTCCCGCCTTGTCGATTGACTAACTTGTCACCGCCATTGACTCAGATCTCGACTTGGGCTTGACATTGAAAACTCTTCCTACTCAATACTCAACTTCCTGTCACTCCAGTACCGATCATATCAGCAAAGGTGCAACCGTGAGTCCTCGTCTCCATAATTATACTCGCTCCTCGTCCGCATTGCTTGAGCAAGTGACTGATTCAGAAAACCTGCAGTCACACGACTCATACATATACAACATGGCGGAAAATAAGCGAGTCTGTCTAGCCTACTGTACGTTTTCCTCCTCCCCCAGTCGCAGCCAGCCTCAGCTATATGTGACTTGCGGAGTGGCCAGGTTGTTCGTTGGACTGTCTAGCGCGCTCTAGCATTTTTCTCTCATTAACATTAGCTCCTCCCTTCACCTGAGAAGAAGAAGAAGAAGAAGAAGAAGAAGAAGAAGAAGAAGAAGAAGAAGAAGAAGAAGAAGAAGAATAACAAGGAACTAACTATCTGGGACCATCTAGCCGGCGGCCTGGACACATCTGTCATCCTCGCATGGCTGATCGAGCAAGGCTATGAAGTGATCTGCTTCATGGCCAACATCGGGCAAGAGGAAGATTTCGACGCTGCCAAAGAAAAGGCACTCAAGATTGGAGCCAAGAAGTGCTACGTTGTAAGTCATTCTCCTGCAACGAAAGTGAAACGCAGAAATCACAGCTCTAACCCCACGCTTCCCATTCTTTAGGAGGATGTGATCGACGAGTTCGTGAAAGAGCTCTGCTTCCCCGCGATCCAATCGAACGCCTGCTACGAGAACGTCTACCTGCTCGGCACCTCCCTCGCCCGCCCAGTCATTGCCCGCGCCCAAGTCGCAGTCGCCCAGAAAGAAGGCTGCCAATTCATCTCCCACGGCTGCACAGGCAAGGGCAACGACCAAGTCCGCTTCGAGTTGGCTTTCTATGCCCTCCAGCCTTCCATCCAAGTCGTCGCACCCTGGCGCATCCCCGAGTTCTACAACACCTTCAAGGGCCGCAGCGACCTCCTCGACTACGCCGCACAGAAGGGCATCCCCGTGACATCGACAAAGTCCAAACCGTGGTCCATGGACGAGAACTTGGCACACTGCAGCTACGAAGCCGGCATCCTTGAGGATCCGGACACCTCCCCACCCACCGACATGTGGAAACTGACCGCCGACCCGATCCTCTCCGCGCCCAACGAGCCCGAAGATGTCGTGATTGAGTTTGAGAAAGGCATCCCAATCTCCCTCAGCTCGCCCTCAACCGGCACCAAGACCGACCCAACTGATCTCTTCCTCGCCGCCAACGCACTCGCCCGCAAGCACGGCGTCGGCCGCATCGACATCGTCGAGAACCGCTTTATCGGGATCAAATCCCGCGGCTGCTACGAGACCCCCGGGCTCACGATCCTGCGCAACGCACACATCGACATTGAAGGCCTGACCCTCGACCGCGAGGTCCGCGCGCTGCGCGACCAATTCGTGACCATCTCATACTCGCGGGTTCTCTACAACGGACTGTACTTCTCACCCGAGCGGGAATTCCTGGAGAGTAGCATCATCGCATCTCAGAAGTCTGTCAACGGCCAGGTCCGCCTGCGGCTGTACAAGGGCAACACGATCGTGCTGGGCCGCAGCTCCAAGACCGAGAAGCTGTACGACGAGCAGGAGAGCTCCATGGACGAGATCGGCAGCTTCGAGCCCAATGAGACCGGTGGATTCATCAAGGTCCAGGCCATCAGGCTCAAGAAGTATGGCCAGATGAAGGCCGAGAAGGGCGAGCGATTGTGAGGACGTAAAGCAGTTGTGACGAGTTTCTTGTGGTTGCGGTGTTAAAGACACATGAGCGAGGGAACAAGTACCTAGGTACAATGCTAAAACGAAACACAAAACTAATAGCAAACCTTCGAAAGACCCGTGAACATACTGAGACACTGTGCTTAGTGAATTGATTGATTGGCTGCAATGGGACCCATTCTGCTAGCACAGCATAGCCTGTTTGCGACAATGCCAGCATCGTGAACCTGCCCCGATAGCTAAACTCCCTGACCCTACACGTAACACTGAGCATTTCATCATTCAGTAAGCTCCCTATCATCATTTCCAGCCCATTGAGATAGCTGCTTTCGACCTCAGGTTCAACCTTGATCGCTGTGAGGGAAGAGCGAGATCCACCGTATCCACCGTTCTCTGTTCCCGGGGTGCACTATCATGGATTCAAGTTCAGGCTCAGGTACCAGGCCATAAGCTGCTGCAGATGGCTGCTGGGAAGATGCCAATCTGGTGAGAGAATGGCGCGACGAAGACCTTTCAGACGGGAAATCACGCAAATTAGGTCCTCGTAACAACGGTTCTTCAGGTACCTGGCCTGGAAGTCAGCGGCAAAATATTGCTGGTAGCCCATGCGAAAGATCTGAGCACTTTGATTTTCCAACACAGGATATCCTGGAATTCTTGCATGTGGCAGCGAATCCAAAATGTTCATCAGATTCTGCTGGCCAAAAGCAGGCACGTTCAGCTCGAGAGTATACCGAAAGTGGAGCCTAGCCAATTGGGCATATTGCTCTTTGTTTTCAGTCTTTGTAGGTTGCGTTGTCAACCACCAAGGAACTGACATGCTGGACCAGGCTTTCGGATTTCATCAACTGGAGGAAAGTGTCAATTGATTCTGCATTGGCGGAAAAACAGACTTGTTGGAATAACACTGGTGTCACAGTGTCTGTGAGAGGACCGGCGACCAAACGGACTTTCTTGAGATCGGCTCGATGAAGACAATCATTTTTGAGGATGATCGTCCACACCTCAGGCGGGAACAAAGACAATGCGGGGAGGGTTGGCATAGCAGACACCTCGTCGCAACCGAACAAGGCGACCTGGCCACCGATCTGATTAGGAAGGGACGAGGAGGCCGGAGTGTCTTGGATTGCACCTGTATCTATCTGAGTAGAAATCCACAGTGTGGCCGAGAGGTTGACCAGTTGAAACGATGAGGGCCAAATGACCAGGATCAAAGGATTTGTGAGACTCGGATCATTGGCAGGGAGCGCCATGATGGTGACGACAGTCAACAGTGACGAGTCGTAGAGGGGATTCGCGACAACTCTCGTCGCTGCTTCAACCAACACAAGCGGTAAGTTATCCGGTCGGTAGATGCTCAGAGGCCTTCAAAGCCAACGAGCAGCAGGGGCGGGCTTCCAGGGAGAGGGTGCCGTTGAACAAATCTGGATCTACTCACTGCTAGTGGCGTTGTCAATGGCTTCCGCGTACAATCTGCTGACATTTGTGACGAACGGATGAACCTTTAAGAGTGATTGAAAAGGCTAAGAATCCATGCAGGGTGAAGTGCAACATAAATTGGGCACATGGTCTAAGCCTGCGCAGATATGTACCTAGGATGAAGGAACGCCGTGCCTGGATGGAGCCTGCCAAATGAATACATCGTGGACGTCATAATCGCAGCAAACAAACTGGACCAGTCAAGCCTGCTGCAAGACTTCATCCTCGCTGGAGTTTGTCAAACTTAGATAGGCCGTCCACGCAATCCCAACGGTGCTCACAAAGGGAATCTGAAATTGTAGAGGCATGACACGGAAGTTGAGAATCTGAACGGCAGGCCATAGAATGTAGTTGGCTCTCAGGGTGGGAAGAAAAACATCCTGGAATTTTCGACGGATGTCCCTTTTGCCTCCACCTTCTGCGACGGTCATGAAGGTAAAGAATGCACTGAGACCAATAGGGGCGAAGATCAATTGATCCATCGCGACTCGCTTTAGTGCAGGAACAGTTGCGCTCTTAGCGGTCAGGGGAAACCATTTCGTGAGGCGACCATACCAGACAAATTGGACTGGGGCCATCAAAAACCCATAGGACATGAATCGAGTGAGTCGCTCAAAGTCGAATGGTTGAGGACCGGAGTAACGCGGCGAAAGAACTGGTGACAGACGTGCCGGCTTTTCATTCAAATCTTCAAGTTCGACGCCAGACGAGATGAGGGATCTAGAATCTGCAGAGGTAGGTAATATGGCCTGCCTGGCACGAAATGCAGTTATGGATTGCGCTACAGTGTCTGCGATGCCACCGAGCACCTGGGGGCGTCAGTAGGAGATCAAGAGGCTTGTGGTTGACTGTTTCACATACAGCATTGGTGATCATGGTCGTCAAGACAGGTTTCTGAGCATAATAGGAGTTGAATTTAACTATGAGCCTTGTGGCCATGGCTAATTCGATAAGGAATATGATGAAGTGTAATAATGGCTAGGTGGGTCTGAGTCAGTTTGAGGTTGCCCTTTGAGGTTGTCCATGAAGGGGGGTGACGACATACTATCCGTCCATAAATGTAGCGGCTGTTCAACCAGGCAAGGGACTTCCTCCTGGATAACTCGATCATTTTGAAGGGAAGAATAAGAAGGGATAAGGGTGAGGTCAGGGTTGGATGTGGCGATGGAGTGTGTGACGCCAGAGATCAGAGATCAGATGTTGAGGATTGTGGAGGGCGCAGGCAACACAGACCAGCTGGCGCAGGCGGAGGAACAATCGGTCAAACCAGGGTGGGTCGTTGGTTTCTGGGAGATTGGATTTGATATAGGCAATGTTGATGAAGATTCAATCTAGATTGTTTGGTGTCAGAGAAAATTGAGGCAGTCGTAGGGGAGAGACTGAGTGTTGGAAGTGAGGAAATGAGGTGTACTTCGTGGTGGTTTGGAGTGTGAGCAATGGAGGATGAGGGAAAGGCTGTGGCCATCGCTCTTTCCCTCTGGGTGCCTCTGAATGGCGGATCGGCATCCCATGACCTGCAACTTCCGCCTTCCGCCTCTTCCAGCCACTCAACTCCCGTCAGGCTAAAGATAGCCGCCTATACAATATATCGAGAGCATGGTGAATGTCTAATGAATGCTTTGACTTCCATTGATCTTTTACTCTGGAAGCAATATAGAAGTACACCATGTGCAACACGCGATGCAATAGAGTTAATTGTCTGTAGCCAGCAAACCGACACGAGAACCCCAGGCCCTGCTCATCACATCATGCCACACCTGCATGGACATTTTAATAGCAAAGGTGATGAACAACGCCTGACTAGAAGATTACAAGCTACACAACTTTTTATATTGGTACCAATAATCGACCACTTCATAAGGCACTCTAAGAAGTGGTTTATCCTGTTAGTGGGTGGCATGACGGAGTATATAGCATTTGCCTGTGTTGGGAACCTGGGAGGGAAGGCAGCAGCGTGAGAAATCGGCCCATATAGGCGAGTGGCTCGTAGTGGTTAATTAGTGGTTGGCGGTTACTATGTAGTAACTAAGTACTGACTGGTGCGACTGCTCTTGCCCATTCAACAACGCCTGTTTCCGAGGGAGGAACAGCCCACCATGCCCACCAATGCCCACCAGCACTTTCCCCCACCAACCTCGTGCCTGCCCAATCCATGTGCTTGAACATCCCGATTCAACCCCTCCAAACAAGATTCTGAGCTGCTCTCGATTGCTTTTGTTTCTACGCTACGCAATCAATAGCTGCTGTGCTTTTTCCACTCCTCTCTGTACAAAAGTCAATTCACAACTTCAACATTCCTGCCCTGCCATTGCCTCCCGTGAACCACCAGTGACAATATGTCTCTTTCCAACAAACTATCTATTTCCGACCTTGACCTGAAAGACAAGCGCGTCTTCATCAGAGTAGGAGCACATGCTACCCTCTCCCGGGTCCTTCCACCCAACTAACTCAGTTCACAGGTTGACTTCAATGTCCCTCTCGATGCTGACAAGAAAGTCACAAACACCCAGAGAATAGCCGGCGCCATCCCCACCATCAAGTATGCCGTCGACCACGGTGCAAAAGCCGTCATCCTTGCCTCTCATCTCGGCCGCCCGGATGGACAAAAGAATCCCAAATATTCCTTGAAACCGGTCGTTCCTGAGCTTGAAAAGCTGCTGGGAAAGTCGGTGACATTCACTGATGACTGTGTTGGCCCCGAGGTTGAAGAGACCGTCAACAAGGCATCTGGTGGTCAGGTTATTCTTCTCGAAAACCTGCGTTTCCATGCCGAAGAGGAGGGCAGCAGCAAAGACGCCGAAGGGAAAAAGGTCAAATCGAGCAAGGAAGATGTCGCCAAATTCCGTGCTGGTCTCACTGCCCTGGCCGATATCTACGTCAACGATGCTTTTGGCACTGCCCATCGTGCACACAGCTCCATGGTCGGCGTCGAACTACCACAAAAGGCTGCTGGTTTCTTAGTCAAAAAAGAGCTGGACTACTTTGCCCAGGCCTTGGAGGACCCCAAGAGACCCTTCCTGGCCATTCTCGGAGGCGCAAAGGTCTCAGACAAGATTCAACTGATTGACAATCTACTGGGCAAAGTCAATATGCTCATCATCACCGGCGCCATGGCGTTCACTTTCAAAAAGACTCTCGAGGGCGTCAAGATCGGAAACAGCTTGTTCGATCAGCCAGGCAGCGAGAAGGTCGCCGGCATTGTAGAAAAGGCAAAGAAGAACAACGTCGAGATCATCCTGCCCGTCGACTACATCACCGCCGACAAATTTGGCGCCGACGCCCAGACCGGCTACGCCACTGATGCCGATGGCATTCCCGATGGGTGGCTCGGCCTCGATGTCGGCGAAAAGAGTGTGGACTTGTACAAAGAAGCCATCAACAAAGCCCAGACCATCCTTTGGAACGGGCCCCCAGGTGTTTTCGAAATTGAGAAATTTGCCAATGGCACCAAGAAGACATTGGATGCTGCTGTTGCCGCTGCTACTAGCGGCAAGGTAGTTATCATTGGAGGTGGTGACACCGCGACTGTTGCTGCCAAGTATGGCGTTGAGGACAAGCTAAGCCATGTCTCAACGGGTGGTGGTGCGAGTTTGGAACTGCTCGAGGGCAAAGACCTACCTGGTGTCTCTGCATTGTCAAGTAAGTAGGCTTGACGATTTCTTGATGAGATGGAACTCATGATTTGAACCAAGCGAGCGAGATCGAACCTATGATGAAAATAAAACAAACAAGTCTCTTGGTGTTTGACAGCTTCATTCCCCTCTCTTCGGAAAGGGTAATGCCATTGGACAGTAGACAAAAAACATGCCATGCCGTATCTCTAGCCTCTTCTCGTCCTCGAGTGACCCGTGACCCGGAACGCCTTGTATAATGCTCCAATTGGTCCGACATGCTTCGTGCGTGCTCTATTTGTTGGCCTCGACCTTCTTGAGTTCCTCCCTGTGGATTTGGTTAGGATTGCCTGTAACAGAGTTCTAGGGTGAAACATACTTCAACTGCTTGCTAAAGTCCTCATTTTCATCGTCATCATCCCAGCTCTCTTCCCATAGATGAGTGGTTCCCCCAGGGACCTCCGTGTCTTCTTGCGACCAGTCTTTTCAACACAGTTAGTCTTACTTTTGCATGTTTTGTGATTCCGGCTCATGGCTACACACCTTCGACAGGAAAATCCTCGAACTCATCATCCTCCTCGAGCAACGCAGGCGGCTGCGTGCTTGCTGTCTTGGATGTCTGTGATGGATCTGCCTCGCTTTCCTGGGTCGGCTGCAACTTGCTGGTGGGTGCCTCTGAAGACGACATGGTGAGAATGCGGATGGGCAGGCAGGGAAGTTGGTTGAGTATGCGGGACGAGGCAGGAAATCGAAGGTGACAGATCCGACGGGATGGCCGCGTCAGTCGCAATGCGCAGCAACAAGCTTCGAGAGATGCAAGATAGAGATTGCGCTTTGACACAGAGACTTCGGCTTGGTCGGCAGCGTTGTGGAATGGGCGCGGTGGTTGTGCAAAGCGAGATATGCAGAACGTTGGAGACAAGGCTCGGAGATAGTGGACTGTGATGGAAGGAAGGTACGGAGGACGGAGTGTGCGTGCACGTCAAGACCGCAAGAGTCAAGACATCGATTAGAGAGTACCTAAGCTAGCGGCTCGGATAATATTGGATGCGGTGCCGGGGTTTCTTTGCCTGGTGCCTGGAGATCTTGCGTCAGGGGGAGGGGCAATGGGCATTCTACCCCCCATAGAGCTTGAGCTGGGCAAGAACTCGCTTACTGCAACTCCCCTTTAGTCATGATTCCAGGCGTGCCATCGTTAGAATCCTCTGGCTGCACCGCCTACAAAACTCTTCCTAGGCATGCAGTCAGAGCAGATACTCATCCAATTGACTTCGCGAGTCTTCAACCCCTTCATCTGAATCGAGCGAACCATTGTAAGATGTTCCCTGTCCATCGGCCAACCCTATCTACGTAACCGGGCATTAAACCCGTTCAAACACGCCCGTCTGTGAGCTAAAATACTGGCTTAGTCCACACGATTGTGCTTGCTCGTGTGTGCTCGTCATCATACCATTCAAGTTCAGAACTCGGTACATGGTATCTTTCGACGTCTCTTCTAGCATCTCCCTTCTATATCATCTCTGGGGTATGTGTTTGTGAGAATTGTCGTCACAACATGAAGTGCGAACTGTGAAAGAATCAACTACATCATCCCTCGTTGAAACACGGAATTGCAACCCTTCGCCTTCATTATCTGTCTCTAACCTCCCGTTTGCTCACGCCTGGCTATCAGGATGCATCGCGTTGGCAGATGGCTTGATCGCGGGCGGTCTGCTGCCAATGCTTCCACTCAGAGCCTCGATTCTCTGGCAGAATCGCAAAACTTGGAAACCGCACTCCGTGCTGTCGAGCTGATCATGGATGATGACATTACTGGAGCAGAGAAGGGCCTCGCTGAAGGGAACTCGGCATTTCACAAACTTGCCAAAGGCACTCTTGGCTTCATGAGGGCCACTCTTGGATTTGAGCAGGAGGTCATGAAGGAGGCTTCCGACACCCTCTACGAGGCCGAGTCCAGTGCCTCGGCCAGTTATTACAAAGCCCAACATGATAGCCGCGCTTTCAATTCCTCCATTTACGAGAGAGGATCGGAGTTTGCTCTGTGCCAAGCGGAGGCTCAAATCATGTCTGCCGTCGTTGGTGTGTTGAACGAGAGTCTGACCGAATCTATTAAGGGCTTCTATAAGCTGAGAAAGGCTTACATCACGCTAGATAGCCTGGTTCAGATGGAAGTCAATTTTATGAAGACTCGAGGGGTGAGGAGCTTGGCCAATTCAAGAGCCGAGTCCACCGAAAGTCTTCATTCTCTTGCCTCGCAGAAATCGGCCAGATCTGTTCAAGACAAACCCAAGCCTGTATCAGAAAACCAAGTCCGAGATCCTGTTCAGCCTGCAAACCCTTCAGCACTACGCAATGCTGAAACAGTGGACACAGTCTCAGATGACAGCTCCGGTGATGAGGATGTTTTCCATGAAGCCAAGCCCATAAGGAATGAGAACCCTGTCACCCAAGAGTATACTGGACATCTTGAAAAGTCAATCGAAGCAGAAGACATGACTGATCTAGACCGAAAGATTGAGCGGATGAATATTCAGCACCATTCAGAGACGCTGCAAGCCGAAGGACTTATGAGACCTCCACCTCCCACCAGTCTTGGTATGCTCACCGAAGATGCCGATTCGGAAATCTTCGCAAACTCTCTAGATGTCTTTATTCATTCTGGCACCAACTTGATGTCTGGTCTACTGTCTTTGCTCATCTCAGTAATCCCCCCAGCATTCAACAAGCTGCTGTATATCATCGGATTTCGAGGCGACCGGGAGCGGGGTATTCGTATGCTCTGGCAGGCAAGCAAGTTTTCTAACATCAACGGCGGCATGGCCGGTCTTGTACTCTTTGGCTGGTACAATGGCCTTGTCGGCTTCTGCGACATCATTTCTGACTCGGATCCCTCGGACCCAAACAATGTGGATGGATATCCGGCTCCGCGTTTACAGGCTCTTTTGGTGGACATGCGTCGACGATACCCAAACAGTCGACTTTGGCTGATCGAAGAAGCAAGAATGGCTGCGTCAAAACGACAGGTAGATACTGCGCTGGACCTGCTCTCTGCCCCTGGCAAAAGCCAAATGAAACAAATCGAGGCACTTCATATGTTCGAAAAGAGTTTGAATGCAATGTATGCCCACCGCTATAAGCTTTGCGCAGACTCATTTCTCGCTTGCGTCGACCTGAACAGCTGGTCCCAGGGTCTTTATTTCTACATTGCGGGCGCATCTCACCTGGCGGCATACCGGCACGACAAATCGCTCAGTGAGCAGAAACGGAAAGACCATGCGAGGATTGCCGAAGAGTATTTCAAGACTGCGCCAACGAAAGTTGGAAAGAAGAAGATGATGGGCCGCCAACTACCCTTTGACGGCTTCGTCGTGCGCAAACTCGCCAAATGGGAAGCCCGCGCGATAAGGTTAAACTGCAGTTTTGTGGACGCCATAGGCGTCAACCCTCTTGAAGAAATGATCTTCCTATGGAACGGATACAAAAAGATGGACGCACGACACTTGCAAGAATCGCTAGACAACCTGGCGTGGTCGGAAGACCCCACGAAGAACCCACACTCCTGGGAGCAAGAGGAGCTCGATGAACGCTCCATCCTCGCGCTCCTCCGAGCCGTCATCCTGCGCAACCTGAGCCGACACAAGGAGTCCAAGGATATCCTCGTCCAGAATATCCTCAACCACGCATCCCATGAGTTCAAGGGCCTTAACCACGACGATTGGACCGCCCCGACCGCGCACCATGAGATGGCGGTCAATCTGTGGATGCAGCGATCGTCGTATGCAAAGCTTAACGGCGCGAAACTCCAGGGTGATGATCCATCAAAAGAAACGAATGTTGAGAAGGTCGCTCCGCCACCACAGCTCGATCATGCCGGTGACTTTAAGCTGGTCCAGGAGTGCAAGGTGCACCTGGAAAAGGCCAAGAATTGGGAGAAGTATGAGCTTGATGCTAGGTTAGGTATGAAGATCACGGCTGCCATGAATGCTGTCAAGCAGTGGGAGGAGAAGAAGGCTGCGACCCAATTGGTTTAGATCTCGGAGGTGAGAAGCAAGCTGTCGATTTAGACCTGTCTCCCCATCTGAGGGAATCACTCAACGGCGCAGATCATCTGTGGAGGAATGAGACACATTCTACATGCGCTCCGGTTTCAAGACAGTCGAATAATGAAACCCCACTTTTCACGAAATGGTCGATCAAGGCCACCGTCCTACTAGAATACTCGGTTTGGAAGGTCACGAACGAACGAACGCACAAGGGGAAAGAGTATAGATGGACAGGAATGCATGTGCGGAGTATAAAACATTTCCCTGTTGAATGACATACATTTGATCCAGAAAGAATGATTGCAACTTGGTGCCAAAGTGGTTCACGTATGTAGCCTTGTGCCTGCATCAACTAGCAGATGGTCTGCCAGAGCCTATGCACGAGACGGAACGTCCTTCCTCTAGTGTTCACCCCATCCACTGCTTGCTTATGAGGCCCCTCTGAGCCAGAAACAAGAACGCGATCGGACAATTAGATCGAACTACTGAGTAGTGAGTCTCCAACGTGATCTACAGATGTCACACGTTCCGAGGAAGCCTCAAACTCAAGAAATGCGTCCCCTCCAGTGGCGTCTCATAGTATGGCGCGATCTCCACAAAGCCCAGCGCGCGATACATGTTCCTCGCGGCGACCATTGTCGGGAGCGTGTCCAGCCTTACCTCGCCGTAGCCCAGCCTCTCAGCAACATCGAGAATGCCGGCAGCGAGCGCCTTACCCATGCCCGTGCCCCGCCCGGCGGGCGTCACGTACAGGCGCTTCATCTCGCAGCTCGACGTCGACAGCGCGGCGGGGAGTTGGAGCGCCCGCAGCGCCACACAGCCAATCGCCTCGCCACTTGCAGTGTCCCGCGCGAGAAGCAGCTCGCCGCCCGCTTCGGGAGAGTACTTCCCTGGCATGGATGACATCTCGGCTGAGAAGTTCTGGAAGGACAGGTCGATGCCCAGTGAGCCCGCGTAAGCGTGGAAGAGGGTGATGGCGGAAGCAAGGTCGCCCGCGGTGCGCACGGGGGTTATGCCGAATTTTGGGCTTGGCTGGTGGTGAGGGTCGGCCATAATTTCAGCCTAGTATATATACTGTACCAACTACTCGTAGAGGACCACTTCGAGGAGAGGCGACTTTTCCGAGTTCAACTCGTGGCCCGCGATCTGGTTCAGGGCGGGTCGTCGACTTGTGTCGTGTGGCTCGGATGTTTACGGAGAGCGAGTTTTGCCTGTATCAAAGCGCCTTCTTTTTTTTTCCGCCTTCACGGTCGGTTGAGTTCAATTCAACAGGTCTTCTACATTTTTGGTTTTGTTGGTGGTGGGAAGTACGGGTCCAGGTCAAGAATGAGTCAAGCTCGAGCCGAAAGGCGCGACTGACTCACGTAGTCGAAGACACTCCATTAGGCAGTCGGAGTTTGCTGGTTGACTCCCGACAACCTGGACCAGATCTCTTTTCCCAACCCGGGCTGAGCTGTATCTTACATTGATTCTCCAAGAGGACTCTCCTTGCGGCGATCGAACCGACGACTCGGCGAGGCGCAACAGCGGGTGGCCAGGCTTTTTTTCTTCTGGATTTAGGTCGTGTGATATCCCAGTCGTAAAAATTATATATTCCATTACTCACGTGTCCATCGGCCAGGCTGATCTGATGCGGGTGGTGGGAAGACCGAGGCTGAACATGCTCATAATTGCCAGTGCTTATTGCCGAGTTCTGTGGGTACAGCTTTGTTCTGGCGCAGCCTGTCCCTGGTTTGAAGGTGAATGTGATACGTAAAGGATTTCCATCTCCTTTTTAAGCGAGGGCCTCGCTGGAAGGGCGCATTGCTTTTGCGGGCCCTGGCTTATGCCGCCAAGTGGGCGTGGCTTGATCAACATCGTTAGACTTTCAGTGGGCGCCGGGAGCATGGGGACCCAAACTTCTCGACCTGCATTGAGGTGGACCAAGCGACATCGGATTGGGGCAAATAACCAATCCAAGAGGCAACACTCATGAATTTTACGATGCCCAGTGCCCTCCATACTCGAAATCCGAGGAGCACCCTTGGTTTCCCCCATCCATTGCTCCATCTGCAAAACAAACGAGACATGATTCGGCATCTGATCAAAGATAGGCGTTTGCTTGATGCTCAAGGCCCAGCTCCGGGTATGGGTCCCTCGAGGTCCTAAGCTTTCAATGGCCCTGTGCCTTATCGGGCCAATCATGCATCTGCTTCGGCCGTTTTCTCGATAATTATGTTGTCGCTTCAACTTCAAAGAAGAATGCGCTGGTGGCAGGGTTGCTGGAATCCATGACCTTATGCCTTGTGTTATCGCAGCTATTTCATGACACAACCTAGATGGTGATCGGTGCTAACTTAGCTGCTGCTGGCAACTGGTGCACATGCGACAACCCTTCATCTCCGATGTCGTCACCTGTTTGTATGTAAGTAGCTGATGATTGCTGCTGGAAAACAAATGTGCCAAAAAGATCTATGCTCGAGACCTCGCCAGAAGCAAGCCAGCATCTTTCCACAGCCGAGCCTCAGCTGTTCAAAGCACCCTGCTTTCTTCTTCCCTTCCTTCACCTCTTCTCATTCATAAACTCCCTCTCTTCTGCTGCCTCGACACTCCTTACAACCCTTCCCTCTACCCAAGATAACACCTCCATTTCGACGACCCCATTGTCCTCTCTCCACAGCACATAATTCTCTCACACAGACAACATGTCGAACCTTCCATCAGAGCCTGAGTTCGAGCAGGCATACAAGGAGCTAGTCTCCACCCTACAGAACTCCTCGCTCTTCGAGAAGAACCCCGAATATAAGAAAGCCCTCAAAATCGCCTCCATACCCGAGCGGATCATCCAATTCCGAGTGGTCTGGGAAGACGACAAGGGCGAAGTCCAAGTCAACCGCGGTTACCGAGTCCAGTTCAACTCCGCTCTAGGTCCCTACAAGGGCGGTCTCAGATTTCACCCCACCGTGAACTTGTCAGTCTTGAAGTTCTTGGGCTTCGAGCAGATCTTCAAAAATGCCCTGACCGGCCTGAACATGGGCGGTGGAAAGGGCGGTGCCGATTTCGACCCCAAGGGCAAATCAGACAACGAGATCAGAAAGTTTTGCTGTGCTTTCATGAGCGAGTTGGGCAAGCATATTGGTGCGGATACTGATGTTCCCGGTAGGTTTTTGATGGTGCAGCCTTAAAAATTTGGAAATTGCGAACTAATATTGATAATAGCTGGTGATATCGGCGTTTCTGGCCGCGAGATCGGCTGGTTGTTTGGACAATATAAGAAACAGACAAAGCTGTGGGAAGGCGTTTTGACTGGCAAGGGAGGATCATGGGGAGGCTCTCTCATCCGGCCAGAAGCCACCGGTTATGGTGTCGTTTACGTAAGCATTTCTTGGAATTCCTGGCTACTTGCCCCACCATGTTGCTAATTGCACGACAGTACGTTGAACACATGATCAAATACGCCACTGAAGGCAAGGAATCCTTCGCAGGAAAGAAAGTCGCCATCTCTGGATCCGGCAATGTCGCCCAATACGCTGCATTAAAGGTCATCGAGCTGGGTGGAACCGTCGTTTCGCTAAGTGACAGCAAAGGCTCCATCATCGCAACTACGGACAAAGGCATTGAAGCCGAGCTCATCGAAATCATCGCCAAGCTAAAAGTCGACCGGAAACAACTGTCCGAGGTCGCCAGCACATCCGACTTCAGCAGCAAAGTTAAGTATATCGACGGTGCCCGCCCGTGGCTACACGTTGGCGAAGTCGATGTTGCCCTTCCCTCGGCGACTCAGAACGAAGTGTCAAAAGAGGAGGCTGAAGGCTTGATCAAGGCCGGCGCCAAATTCATCGCTGAGGGCAGCAACATGGGTTGCACGCAAGAGGCAATCGACGTTTTCGAAGCGGACCGGAAATCCAAGAAGGAACAGGCCATCTGGTACGCCCCGGGCAAGGCCGCCAACGCTGGTGGTGTGGCCGTCTCCGGTCTGGAGATGGCTCAAAACTCCGCCCGCATCAAGTGGACCGCGGAGGAGGTCGACCAGAAACTCAAGGACATCATGAAGAACTGCTTTGAAAACGGCCTGCAGACGGCCATGACATATGTCACCCCAGCTGAGGGCGAGTACCCCAGTTTGGTTGCGGGCAGCAACATCGCTGGGTTCAGCAAGGTTGCGGCTGCGATGAAGGACCAGGGCGATTGGTGGTGATTGTGGTCGTGATATGTGACATGATGATATAGTAGATTTAGATTTAACGAAATATACCAACATTTGCATGTGCTTATTTGAGGAATCTCCCTCTGCAGAACTAGCTCCATTTGATGAACGATTGAGATAAAACCGTCTTCCACACTATTGTAGATATAAACAAAGGGTCTTGCGCCCGCCCAGTCCAGTATCTTGCTGTAGTCTTTGCACAGGCGGTGTGTGCCCTATCCTTCTCCCCCAGTGACCAGATTCTCTCCTTCAAGTGTCGTGTCGCCTCCGCAGATAAGCGCTTGACGGACAAACTCAAAACAGTGAGCAACATGCTTCGTGTCCGGAGTGCCGAAGCCTTCTATTCGCGTCAAGGAATACTCCCTCAATATTAATGACTGCATTCAACATATCCTGACACTAGTCTTCATCCAATGTGATTGAGGGTACAATGCTGGAGACAACATACGAGGCAATGGAATTGGTGAAACACCGAGACGATGTACATTGGGCGAGGCCCATCTCCTCTATACGTGAATTGATACGGGGTGTCTAAACCCTCTCTCTGGGATTCGTTGATGCTGAACATTCCTCTTGAGCCTGGACAAGCACCGCTTTAGCATCCTGGTCTTGACCTAGTAGACCGCAAGATGAAAACCCACTGGGTTCGAGCTCAAGCCAGTTGCGCAAAGTGTGGTTCAAGGCTCCTTTGTCCGTGAACATAGCTTCATTGACGTAGCGATCGTCTTGGAGGAAACGGTGAGACTGCATAGGAACTAGAGCCAACAGTTAGATGTGTAAATTCTGCACAAACACAGTGTTACTCGCCATCGAGGACGGCTTGCGGCACTTGACCAGAACTCGAATTTCTCTGGACCCCAAGCAAGCAGTATATTAAGATCAATATCGTGAGAAGCCCACTGATCTCGAGCAGTAGCCTCGGCCACCTTTGTGTATGTGATACACGATCCGATGGGTGTGTTTGATAACATTCAGGATCTGAGGATTGATACGACAGTCCATTAGATATTTCAGAGTCCTCTCCATCTTCCTGAGAAACCAGATTGTAGAGTTCCTTTTACGGATGACCGAGGGGCATCGTGATCTTCCCTCTCCTTCACGCAATTTTCCTCACGAGTTGGGGTTACTGAACAGATGAATCAACCCACAAAGTATTGTGCGAAGTAGTAATATTGTCCAGCAGTCAAGGTGGAAAGGCTGTTCTGCAGAAGTGGTCCGTATGCGAATGCACAGGAGAAATCGACAGTGTCCATGTTTTGTGCGGCCTGAATGTACACAGCCCCTATCCATGCTGATCCCCACCGCTGCGGCATTGGAGGCATCATCTGCTTCTCAAACCTTGTTTCCGTATTGGAGATTGTTTGCGAGCCGGGAGCGAGCGGAAGATCCAATGGTGAACCAGGCTTACGGGATGTGAATGTTTGCTGAAAGTCGGCAAAAGAGCGAGATCCCTTCCACAATGGTGCAATGATGAGGGACCGGTTTCACTCCAGCTACTGGGGCGCTGTTTGAGGGCATTACAGCGCTCAGGTATCCTCACTGATTTGTGGTTCCCTGATTTGCCCGACATCTGTGCCCGAAGGGCTGGGAGAGCCAGATAAGGCGCGAAGGGAAGCAAGATATGGTAAGCTGTAACAGTCAGACAGCCCTTTGACGGTCTGGATCCATCGGTCGTCCCAAGCTTCATTTAGTGCTCGGCGGCAGTGGGGCCTGTGGAGTGTAGTGTTGAGGCTGAAGCGTAGAGGGTGAGTCGTCCAATCCTTACTCCCGCCAACTGAGTCTGTCGACATTGCACAAGCCCTAAGCCCTAAGCCCTAAGCCCTGGTAACCACTTAAGCTTAAATTGACATGGTTCCCCCAAGGGATGTACTAACTAAAGACCCACTACCAACCAGGGAATCATTAGATACCTCCTAGGTGCCTACCTACCGAGTATCTGGTTACAGATTTCTAGCTCCTAGTGCTTTGTACCTAATCTCCATAGTTACTGATTACACCCGCTTTGGTTCGTTCATGATTGTATCAGTGACTCTCATCTGAACCATAGCTGCTTCACCTAAATTACCCAGAATATGGGTAGACCTGCGGGAAACGTAATTATGCTTTAACACGAGAAGCGCATCTCAGATACAACAAGTAAGTCGACATAGTAACTGAACGTCGACTAAATGAACCACATTTCGCAGCTTGCAAAAGTAGTACCTACTCCATAGTTTTTTGTGTTACTGCACTTATGATCAATTCTCTGTGGTCTCTAGCAAGACTTCATCTGTGTTATGATAATGCAGATTCTATCTAGAGTGTAGACTTTCCCACCCATAAACCCGAGATCACCCTAATACATGAACGCTACAGTCGACCGATTGTCAAACCTAGTCAACTGACTTGAAGATTCGTGGTGCAGCCTTGTGGAGAGTCGATACCTAAGGCTCGCTCTACCACATAGGGGTCTCAGGGGATGCCTCACGCTCCATCCTGCGTCTGAGATCTGTGAGTTAGAGTGCGAAAGTGTTATTGAGATATCGATACATACGTGTTGTGACCGCCAGCAGACGTACCTGTACCCCAGTGGTCACCAGGGACTGGCTCAGGAGCAGCTTCACGCGCCATCTTGCGTCTGAACATTTTCGCGTTAAAAATGCCAACCGAACTGAATTATTTTCACCTACGTGCTGTGGCCACCAGCGGACGTGTCTGTGCCCCAATGATCGCCAGGAACCGGTTCAGGAGCGGCTTCACACTTCCTTTTACGTCTGTGACATGTCAGCTAGTGGTTGACAAAACCAAGAGTTGGTATCAAATACGTATCGTGACCTCCAGCAGATTGCGTCTGCGGTAGTTTGAGCAAACATTCGAGAGACGAAGAGGTGTGTTCTACATACGTATCGTGACCTCCAGCGGAGGTGCCCCAGTTGTGTCCATTCACTCGAGCTTCCAAGTGACCCTCTTGGATTGGCACAGCAACTGCAGCCGTCATTGCCACAATGAGTGCATAGGTTGAAAGAGGAAAGAGCTTCATCTTGAAACGGTGCGTGTTCAAAAACTGTTGTGGGGGAATTTGAATGACTGACTTATACCAATGTAGACCTGGACATGTCTGTTCCTTATATATCCATGCTCACTGTTCACCAGCGGGAAGGACTACTTACCACCACTACTTCACTGACCCTTGAAATAGTGGACTGGCAATAAGTATAGATCCTATACCATCCCTGCGGATTGTTTCAACTTTCTGTCTAGTAACCCCTTTAACTCGATGAATATAGCCTTTATAAGTGTCAGTCCCGACTGCCCAGGGGCTGGTTGCTGCGGTAAGTATTGTCAATACCTCGCCACTAACCCCCATAGCTTATTCGATTACCAAATTTCGAGGTGTAATCCGACGAACGAACTAGCTTTTGTCAGCTAAATAGAAGAAGTGGACACCAATCCCTTGACCTCCAGCCCGCCGAAACTGATGCGTCAGAGACGAAAGAGAGAATCGGGTTTACTAGCAGTTCGGAAAATCTAGCTTGAGCGAAAATGAGGATTCTGTCGGCCTGAATAGTGCTCACAGTGAGCAGAACATTCGTCCATGCTTTCAAACATTCGAGCAGAGCACCATGGGCTTGCGACAGCTACAATCCAGTGAATCTCCTTCTGAATGAGAGTGAATGTTCTATTGCAGCTAGTACGATCTCTACGTTGCTCGGCAGAGGAAGTTATGGCGTCGTGCGGAAAATTCACAACTCTGTTACTGGGCAGACTGTGGTCGTCAAAACGCATGGTCTTCAGCATGAAGAAGAATACGAACAGGACTATCTTGCCTCTATTCAATCCGAATATTCTATTGCCACGCGCCTCTGACACCCCAACGTCGTTGAGACGTACGATCTGTATAACAACCATTGGGGAGCATGGCACCAGGTGATGGAATACCTGCCTGTGGAGCTTGCGAAGATAATAGGAAGGAATAGAGCCGAGCCTGAGGTTCAAGTCAACTGCATTCTTACTCAAGTCGTGAAAGCTATTGCATACATGCACTCGCTTGGCATTGCGCACATGGACATCAAGGTCCAAAATATCGGAATTGATTACATGCGACGAGCAAAAATCTTTGACTTTGGAAGCTCGCAAATAATTCTTGAGAAGAAATTTGAGACTTCTTGGATTACAGGTGTGTAAACTCGGATGATGGATGAAAGATTCTTCGAAAGAATCGCACAAAGCTAATTGCTTACACTTTCACCCAGGAATACATGGCACGACTAAATATCTCTCCCCAGAAATAATGCAGGACACTCCGTACGACCCAGCTTCAGCTGATGTGTGGACACTGGCCATTTTATACATCCGGATGAGCACTGGTCGCTAGCCATGGGCGGAGGCTATCTCGACAGACGCCTCCTTTTATGCCTTTTGGGAGCATTCCCGCTCTAATGAGCATGGTACACTTGACTCGATAGGGGGCAGAGGGGGAATCATAAGCAGGGCTCTGCGGAACACAGAGACGAATAGTGGCGGCTTGCCAGATTTATCCAGTCTATTCTCAACAAATGTGCGCGGGATTCTCACCAAGATGCTAAGGCTGGATCCGAAAGCAAGAGTGACTACCAGAGATATCGTAACGGACCCATGGATTCAGTCAATGGAGCTTTGCGACGTAGGGGATCTGATGTCTTTGCAAAGTTCATCCGAAAACTCCTTCGAGGACCCTATGACTAGGCCCACTCTTTACGGATTATTAGATCTACTGTAATTTTCAAATTCCAGACTTTTGTGCAAACCCGCTGGCATCAGCCCTTTGAACTGGGGTTCTTTCTTGTCTCCACTGAGGAAAGCTTTGCGAGGGACCACAGTGTAGTTGATTACAGGGGCTGTGATTCAGCCTATGGTCAGACCCCGGCAAAGTCAAAGCTGAAAATGGGCCTATAGAAGTGGGTTCCGAGTAAGTTATGGAGTATTAGACCTTGGAATCAAGTGCTATCACACCTGCACATGGAAGACGATCAAACCAGTAGCCTTGGTGCCCAAAATCGATGCATTTCACGAGAGCTGCAACAAGTGGCCCTTTGCTAGTGGTAAATCATCCCGCAAATCTAAACCACCGACCTGCTTCATGTCTCGTCAAGGGGCACTGCGTCGCAGTCAGCCTTCCATGACCAGAAAACCCATGTTGGGATTTAACTTTATGCACTCCGTCCTTTTTTTTCCCAACGAGATTGACTCATTCTACTTTTTCACACCTTTCGATGATGGCATCAGAAGGCATGGCAGCGCCCCCCCAAAAAATGGCCTTATGAGCTGCTACCAAATTCGCCCACATCGGCCAACGCAGGAAAGACACGTTGAAATTCATGGCTATTGGCCTTTTTCACACCGTGCTTGACTTCAGCTGCATGTTTGTATATTCTGATTCATACACATGCCAAAACAAAATTGCAGTCCTCCCCATGCGGCAACTCGGTCGCAGCTGCACATTCGATCCACTATCCGACCTGTGGCTCCCTCAAGAATGCACTCGGGCATACAACGAAGAATACGTCAACTTCAAAGACAGTGCTCCTTGGCGTTATTGGGCCGACGAGGAAGGAAACTTTGAGATCTTCAATCGGTCCTCCAACGTGGACGGACAACACTATTGGTCAACGGAAGAAGAACACATTGTCCACTGCGCATTTATGATTCTGAGGTTCGCAGACACGCTAGATACTGGAGTCGGATTTGGCCTCGATGGCAGGAAAACACTTACGGAACATATGTCACACTGCACAAAAGCCTTATTGAGTGCCGCCCTGACCGGTAATGATCTGCATTTCAGAAACACTGAGCCAAAGTCTGGTATTGGCCGCTGTTGAGGCGTGTGGTGGGACATGACCTCCGCAGCAAACGGATATAAAAAAGGCTGGGTAGCAAGTAACAGGAAAGCTCGTTTTGATAAGGCTAGGGCCACGGTGTGAAGAGAGACAACTAAAATAAGCGGAAGGTCGAAATTTCTATGCGACAGTTGATCATACATGGGATGCAACCTATTTTCTATCCTAGGAGTGACTGGAGGTGGCGAAGCCGACTTAATTAAGGCGGAAACTTTCCCTCGGGATAACGCACGGTCTGCTCTTCCTTCTCTGTATCCTGATAGCATGGCATTGAAAAGAATTCTCGAGGGCGTATCGGAAACTGAACAGTCTCTACTTTGCGCGATTTACCTATTCGAGGGGCACGACTGAGATTCTGTTCTCCGATTGTCGGAATAGATTGTGGCTCCATGAGAAAGACTCGCGAAGCTACTGTTGAATCCGAACCCACCGCACCGCATGATATGGATATCACGATCACTTGGATTCCAGAGTCCTCACGAAACGGTTTTCATGCGGGTATGGACCTAAGCTAACAGCATAAGCGCAAGTGGTGGTCAAAGCACCCTGAGCACTTCATTCAATCTCTCGACGAGTCCTGATTGATCGGCACTAGCATCAGCGAAGCTGCAAACTTAGCGGTGTGGTGTATCAATTGATCGAAGCCCTAGGTTCAATGAGACGGTAGATTTGTCACAAAGCCGGGGGGCCAACTTTGTTGACTTGCGCGCTCCATCTTGTTATAGATAATGCGTTGCAAAGCGTCTAGAATTGCAAAGTGAGGATGAGGCGGTCAGCACAAGTGTATTGGAATCTTTCTTCTACTCAAAAGTAGACTATGTGCATGTGGATGATTTAAGGTGCCCATTAGCGCCCATCAACGCGGCAGGAGTTGATAGCCGCTAAGCGCCGGCAGGGAATGTCTTGGCGGTATTTTCGCGACTTTCCCAATTGGGGCGCGTCGCCTGCAACCTCTCGCAGCCACAACTGCCTCACCAAACACAGGACTTCTCCTCCGGGTGGCGACTGCAAATGAACGACTTCAGGCCGTGTAGGGCATAAAATCGTCAGCAAATGGGACTCGAACGGCAATTGACACCATGCTCAGCCTCTACACAGAAACTGCGTTTGAGGTGACCCCTGCGACATCATCTTCCACTGCCGAATTTGAGATCCCAAGAAAGAATGGTTCCTTCGACCAGTCACAAAGCCCTGCAAAACGCCAGGCCCGGCGCAGAACACCCCTTCTGGATGAACAGACATTCGTCGCCCAAAACCTGGCCTCCGAAAGCTCCATCTACTTCAGACAATCGAAATCATATCCTAGAACATTTTCCTGGAGTGTCCTAAACAGTGCAAAGACGTTGCAGATACAATGTTCTGATCTGGCGAGAAGCGAGACCGATACAAAGGAAGCACATTTTGTGCTCCGCTTCTTTTTCCAAGACCCTATCATCCACCGAGGCGTCACCTTTGCCGATCTTGAGAATGGCGATGATCTGCACGCATTTGTTTGTACCGTCAAAAACGAAATATTCAACCTTCAAGTCCCACCCGCCGCGTTTCGGGACCCTTCGGGTTTACAGAGCAAGAGTGTACAATCTTGGTGTAAACCGCTGGAGAGCTCGTCCCTCAAGCTGCATACGGCTCATTATCTTTATGCCGCGACCCCCCTTGAGGTATTCATATCCTTCACAAATGGAAAGCTTCAGAGGTTAAAGAGGAGGTCGGGCGATGACAATTGGGTCGAGGACAACTATGATGACCGCTCTTGGGGTGCTTCAATAAGAGGCATAGTTTCGTGGCGAGGGCCTCAGGCAATTGAAAATGGATCCGGTCACCTCGATCCACGCACTGCTCAGTCGATGGTCGCATCCACTGATGGAATTCATCTTTTCACCGCCTGCCTCAACCACACTCTCCGAGTTTGGCATTTGCCCTCGGGGACCCTGGTAGCATCTAAGGATCTCCTCGACAAGAAACGAGATCCAAATGATCGGACACACCTGAATCCAAAAGAGGATGCTCACTTGCAGGTGTTCAAGTTACCCCTTCAAAGATACCCCGTGCTACTCACATACAGCCCTGAAGACGGTGGCCAATTCAAGTTCTGGGACATCAAAGGAAGCTTAACGGACACTATCACCCTCGAAGACAAATTCCCAGGTGTCAAGTTATCTGCCCCGGATCCAGACCCATCTGGGAATACTGTATGGACCATGATTGGATTCAAGCTTGAGCCTGGCAACGATGTTCAGCCTAGCCGGCTCTGGGTCTTGTGGCGTAATCACAATTACCATCAACTTTACAACTGCCACTTCGAGTACGCTAACATTGCAGCATCCTGGAAATCAAACTGGGTGAAATGCGCCACAACGGCATCGCAGAAGCGACTTGCACCGGAGTTCGTACGATCAGATCATCAGGATCCTGTATCTAAATGGCTTAACTTTCTGCTCTCACCTGGTCACTACTCGGAAGCAGTTTTGCGGACTGCATTGTCGATATACGAGGATGCCACTCACAAAACAACGATAACCTCACAAGCCGATTTATCTCTAAGGCAGCGGCTGTGCACGGTCATAGCAGCTAAGGTACCTCTTCGAAAATACGGCGACTCTGACTTAGATTTTGATCGATTTAGTACGGACACAGATACGCAGTGGCGTAACTTCCACCGAATTGTTGAAAAGGTCAACGACACAAGAATTGCACCTCTATCACTGGCGTATGATTCATTCAGTGAGATGGTGTGGATACCTATGTCTGACAAGATTTGCGCTATCCGAGAGTGCAGCAAACTCGAGCTACTTCAACAAAACGAAATTGAAGATATGGCAGACCTCGAAGATGCATGTGCTAGAATCTGGCCTCACCGCAAGGTTAGCTCGGATGACGGGGATACCTTCACTGATCTTGCAACCCTGATTTCAGCTGCAAGAACTTTTCGAGAATCGTTCCCACCTGAACTATCCAACAATTTCGTTTCAGCGATCGAGGAAGACATTTCGACAACTCCTCAACACGTTGTTCCTACACGAATCGTCGACATCTCTGACAGCCTCGGTCTCAGCGAGGCTATTTCTGATGACGTCTTCAATCAGCTCGAGGCAAACCTTGAATCATTTGGCGGCTGTACTGGTATTAATAATGAGCTTTTCCTTGCTGTAATTGACCTTCTGCCGAGCAAGACGAATACGGTCAAGAGCGCCCTGCGAACCACCTTATTTGGTAGTTTCCTAGTGTCGAATGGTATTGTCGATCAATTTGAGGCTGTTCAGCAACTTCTTCTAGATCTTCTCGCACTGGCGGTATTTGTTGAGGGCGAATTTAACCAGGAAGACGCGAAGATACCATCTTTCGACGCATCAGAGCTGTTTGACCACATCACTCCATTATTCAAGGTCTATCAGAGGAATCTGTGGCTTGCACGACACTCGCGTCGTGTTCCGCTGGAGTTCCTCGGCACAGCAGGTCATCCAAATCCCGCTCGTCGACAATCCGAGATTCATGACCAGCAGACCCGGATGATCAGTATCTTCGAGGACACACTGGGTAAGGCAGTTCGACCACAGCCCACGGTTGAGCGGCCGCAACTGTTCTTGATCACAGAGCAATTAGCGGAGATCCAAAGCTGGGCTTTAGGAGAAGATAGCATTACTGCAGATGATGGTGCTGTGTATCTCCAATGTGATATGCTCAAACAAGAAGAGTTTGAACTTGCTGCCGATTTTCTACTATTCCAACCATCGACTTCGTGGTCAAGTTACGTCAAAGGTCGCTTGGGCATGGGGCTTGGGCAGTATGACATGGCTGCAAACTATTTTCGCAAAGCTTCATATGGTCTATCGCACGGGAAGGCGGTTGGGAATCTTGTTGAGCTTTCAGCTGGTTTGCTCTCGATAGTAGAAGCTGGGTCTTTCTACAACGGGCTTCCTCTCTATCTCAATCATATCACCACCTTATTCGAGTCTGTGAAAGCATACAATGAAGCCAGCCAATTTGGTCACCTCACCTTGGAAGCGCTCCAGGCAGCCCAGAAGGAACCAGTCGCAAATTTTCGCACGGAAGTTCTTTCAAGATTGTTTAACTCAGAGTTGAAACTCACAAGGTTTCGCGAGGCATACAATGCTTTGGTGCAGTTGTCTGATCTAGCATTGCAACGCTCTTACGTCGCGGCATTGATTGACACAGTACTGGGCAGCCAGATATCTGTCAACGGTCCGAAGAGTGCTGTGCGGCTTCTCCAATCCTTGCCATGGTCAATGCATCCCCACCTCTCTCGTCATCTTGATCAACATCTTGTCACGCTTGCAAAGAAGCAGACTACCACCGATATGAAGATCTCAGACTGGTCGTCCAACGGTAGTATCGATTATCTCAACATTATCCACGGAATTCGGGTATCGCATAAGGACTACCGCGGAGCAGTCACCGTTCTCTTCGACCGTCTCCGCTTAGTCCGGCGGTCAGCTCGAGCTCGTCATGACCCACAAGCCACGGCGCTGCGCCAAGTCCTGCTAGCCCTCATCAACGCGATGGCATGTGTAGCACCTGAGGAAGCTTACATCCTCGTTGATGCGGACGATAAGATGGGGTCAAAAGCTGGCAAGGTGGACGACAGCGACACAGCGATGACCGGCGCGGATGGGGACAATGACGAAGCGGCTCCACCCAGGAAGAGGCGGCGTATCATCGTCACGCTTGAAGATCTGCGGAAGGAATACCAGCAGGTCCTAGACAAGTGTAGCCGGATCGAGCGTGGCGATTTTGATTTTGATGTGGATGGTGAGAGCGATGAAGATGGCGACCATGTCACTCCTGCGGACCAGTCTAGACTGAACTTTTCATCGCGTAATGGTGATAGCATGGTTTTCTGAACTACCCAAGTTGTGGGATATTAGAGGGCAAGAAGAATAACAATAATGGGGCTCTTTCAAATGCTTAGCCGACTGAAAGGCGCCGGTGATGGACTTGATACCGCTACTGTGTATAACAAAAGCGTGTTCTAAGGGGCAGGAACCATTCGCGAGGGATAGCGACGAAGTCTGCATTGCGAGACGGCTTATTTTGTTCGACGTCATGAACAGAAAGTAAAATCGAGATTCAGTTGCAATGGATAGCTAGCCATCGAGCAAGGTATCGAGGATGCTGCTTCTTTCTACACTGCGCCCCACTGCTGTACAAGGTAGCAGCTAATGAATCTTGTTCAGCTTCGATCTCTGGCTTTGAGCCTTGATCACTCACATCTAATGTGCCCATGTGTGCGTGCGTCAAGTGTTCCTTACTCATATCACGTGGAAACAATCCACTTAGTAGTATATTACCCCGTGTATATTGCCAAAATTGAAGAAAAATGAAGAATCCGTGCATGCAAGAACATAAATACGCACCTTGTGTAGGGGCAGAAAGAAATGAATCACACCTTGGTACAAAAAATATATTGGAGAGAAATTGCTCTGTTTGTTTTTTTGATTAGAGGCCTAGCAGGACGGAGACTACATACCGAAAAATAGTCCAGGACCAACAGTAAAACATGCGACGCAGTTGGACCTGGTCATGGAGGCGCGTGTGGCCTATATCGAAGTACAGTAGAATGTCAAGCTGAATCTATCCCGAGTTCAAGCCAGCAACGGCTTCAAGGTAAGATTATTGGGGCAAGAAGCCGCAAACAGACTGATCTGGTGGTACTGTGCTGGTGGGGAACAACCGTTAATCCTCCTCAATCTCACCCTCCTCGCTCCCCGAGTGGACACCACTCGGCTCTGGAAGGGCTTCTTTCTTAACAGGTTCAGGGGTTTTGCTCTTACGTTTGTCCCGTGAACTCTCTCGTCTCTCTCTCCGGTAGCGCTTTGCACTTCTCCGACCGCTTTCAACACTGTCAGCATCGCTACCTTCACCGCGACGTTTTCTCCGCTCGCTGCCGGCCACGCTGCGTGACTCTTCGCCATAGTTCAACTCATCACGGCTACCTCGAGGGTCGGCACGAGTGCGATACAAGCGTTCACGTTCCTCCTCTCTTTCTCGACGTTCCCGGTCATAGGAACCCAGATGTCGTGATGGTGGTGACCGATCTCGATCTAGTCGACCATGTCGCTCATCTCTTTCCCGTCGTTCACGATCTCGATAGGAGGCTGGAGGAGGACTCAAACCAAGCGAGCTTGCCTTGCGATATTGCTTTTCACGCGCGGCCATGGCTTTGCGACGATCAGCTTCATATGCATCAACCTCCGGACTCTTCGAGACACGACCATGACGTGTATCGGCACGATGGCCATTGCGAAATTCTCTGTCGTCTGTACGGCGGGTGTGTCGTCTCTCACGATCCTTTTCTGCGTCTTCTTCTTTCTCTTTCAGTCTCTTGATCACTTTGTCAAATGCAGATTTACGTGATTCTTCGGAATCAACAGCAAGATACTCATCCAGTCTTTCTACACGTGGTCTGATTGCCTCCCAGGTATCATCCACACGGATGGGGGGTTCGAGATGCTTGATTCTAGAACGCAAAGAGTCTACCGCACGGCGCTGGTGTCGATCGGCAGCATGTTTCTCATCTTCTGTTCTCCGAAGAACTTTGTCGTGAAGTCGTTGGAAGATGAGCTGAAGGGCGTCACGATCGATATTGGCTGTCCGTCGATCAGTCAGCATGACATCAAAGAACTCATTGAAGGAAGTTCTTGTTGTAATTTCATAACGTTTGTCCTATTGGCGGGCGTGTCAGTATTTTGAAGTATGAAAGAGTGGGCAATCATCCTACCTCAAGCACATCATAAACATCATTTCGTCGCCCTCTCAGAGCACGCTCCTCTTCCTCCACAACATCCCAGAAGAGATCGAGTGGTGTTGACCCAGCTTGACCCAGCATCGCAACATACCTCGGGTCTTTCTCAATTTCGGGCAAGATGGTGATCCATTTAGTGCCAGCCTTGATTTTGCCTTGACTGCGTAATGACTGCAACAATTCGGTGAACTTATCACGATTTTGGCGCTCCCGTCTGGCTTTGTTGGATTTCTGCTGTTGGCGTGCATCATTGAAAGACCTCTCAAGTGCTTTTATGTGGTTTTCAAAAGCTGTCAGAACATCTGACTTACTCAGAAGCTTGAATCTGTCATCACTCTGAATCCTCTCATTAGATTGAATAACATCCTGCGCTTGTGACCACCTGGTATATGGCTCCAATTCGAGGGCTTTCAGGATTGCAACTAGGTCGTCCAAGGCTGACTTGCGTGTGGTGGCTTCCTGTTCAATGTTTTGTTTTTTGAGCCCAATGATATACTCTTCGAACAATTGCTTACGCTCGTCCTCTTTATCGGTAGATCTGAAGACGGTCTCACCCTCTATGATTGGTCTGATGGTTTTCCATCTGCTGTAATGTTTGATCTCCGGATGTGTTCTTAACATGTTACCGAAATCTGTGCGTAACTTAGCCAGTCTTTCTTTGGCTTTCTCTCGTTCTTGTTGGCGAACCTCTACCGCATACTTTTCGAAAGCCGCTTTTCGATCTTTGGGATCCTTCAATGCCCGATACTGCGGATCTTTGATAGTTGCACGCATCGTCTGCTCCCATGACCAGTCGGGCTGCACATTGGACCTGCGGAGTAATTTCATAAAGGCAGCCTCAGCTTCTTCAAAGCTAGAGTAGTCGGGTACTACTTCTTTTGTAAGTGCCGGAAGGGCAATTCCGTTGGTACCCGCAGCATCGTTGCGAGATCTTGGCTCGAATGGAGTGTGTTCCGTCAGGTCTCGAGAGGAATAGGTAGAGAGGGCAGTTGAGCCTCCTGCTACAAAAGCAGGAGCTTGTTGCAGAGGTTTGGGAGGCAGCTGAACTGAATCAATTGCTTCTCGGTATTGCGCCGGCATGTCCCAAACAGTCTGTTTTGTCTCAGAGTTCGAGTAGTATTTCCGACCATCCGGAGTCGAATATTCCTTCCATGGCTGAGCAGCAAGCGCCTTCTCGAGGGGAGTCAAGAGATCAGCGGGCTTAGTCCAAGATGTCTCCTTGGTGATGGAGTTGTAATAATAGACACGGCCATCCGGCGCGCGTGCCTCAAGCCATTGTACTGGTGTTGGAGGAAGTCCGTTCATGGTTCCGGGGGGTTGAAGCAGCTGTATATTAGAATACAGGTCGGGAAGGGGTGATCGAGATGCTGGGCGTCTCCTACAAATTTGGAACCATCGTTATCTGGCGATGTTGAGGAACCGAAGGGTTGGAGGGAGAAAGTGGCCGGGTGCGACCTGCAGATGTGAGAAAGCCTCCAAGACACTGGAAAACTAATTACGTTAGGCCCCGGGTGCGGATTATCAATATGCCGAATCTAGCGCCTTGGCATCAGATATGATGATGGAATAGGAGTGATCTGATCACCGAACGGGGACAAATAATGGCTGAAGATATTCGTCTGGAGAAGATCACAAACCTGCTTACTTGATAGCTGGATTAAAGTCTCGCCTGTGCGGATGTCCATACAATGACTGACCGTTCAATCACAACCCAGACTCATCAAAATGGAGACGGACTATTTCAAGGCAGCCATCCTTGATGCTATTATCCCGGAGAACACCACGGCAGAGCTTGCAGTACTGCTACAAGATGATCAAGATGTACATGATGATACTTCCAATCATCTTCTCCCTATCAAGGAGAGAGACTTTCTTCTGTTCGGTGAGATACAATTTCACTTCACCGAAGTTTGTCTCTTACTTATCTCTAGATCAGATGAAAAGTTAAGGACGCTGGCAGTATTACAGCTGCCCTACTGTGACGAAGACACTTTGAAAGAATACCTGTCTCGCTTGAATTTGAAATTGGATGTGTGGGCTTTCGATGATTCGCCAAGCACAGATCCAAATGCCCCATTATCATCACCTGCGAGAGAGCTTGTTACGTCGGTCGATGGGATTCAAAAGTCGGAACCTATTGTGCTTGCTAGCCAGTCACCAGACCTTGGCCAGATCTTGACCCTTGTATGGGCAGTAGAGATACTTCTCACTAGGCCAAGGGCTCGAGTGCCTCATCCTGTGGTGGTGCTCAATCCATCAGCCACCGTGAGCTCCGCTTCTCAGGAAGACGATGGCCAAAACCAAGACCTCTCGCCAGGCCAGCTCTTGGAGACCAATGTTCTCGAACCCATGCGATTTATTCCAGGCTTACAGAATAACCCTCCATACCTAGCGGCCTCGCGCCTTCAACGGGTATTACCAATGCCAACGTCACAACGAAACCGTATCCACATTGGCCATGTCCCCCCTCGGAGGCATAAGGCTGTTCCGGCGACAATAGCGCGCGTACGATACAACAAAACTCATACAAATTCCCCTTCGCCTATCAATGTCGGCCTGCTCGATATGGAGATCATTCCATTCGTGCATATTGATGCAACTGTGGAAGAAATCGACCTCTCTCTCAAGAATGGTGAAGTCGAATTCTTAATGCCCGGTTTCCTCCCAATGAAGTGTCAGTCCGGAGACTGTGTGACCTTCATGTACAAACTGCATCAGCCTTTGAACATTCTTCCCAATCCTGCGCCTGGGTCGATGAATCCAAATATTGATCTTCTCTCAATCAAGATTCTACTCCACATTCAGTTCTCCAGCAAATGCCGTCCTGTGGTCATGATGGAGTGGACTACTCATGTCGACTTCACACAGGCCTTAAACCCTTCCTATGGCCCCCCTTCACAACCGATCCAAAGAGCGAACCGACCAACCAGTCTACCAGTCAGCAACGGTAAGGGGCCACCAGCGCCTGTGGTTTCCATCGCTACCAGCCTGCAACCAGTACACGATCTAGTTGCGCGAAGTGGGCTTTCTATAACATTCAGCGCATTAAATGAGCCTGTTGAGATAGGAGCACCATTCACCTGGAAAGTTTTGGTCGTGAATCAGTCACTTAAAGTTGCTCGAATAGCCATCATTCCACTCCCTCGCATTCAAAGACAAACGAGTCAGGCACAAACTTTAGCCAAGCGGCATGCACCAAAATCATCCACAGCATCCTTCCACCCCAGTGAGCGCAGGCACACGAAGAATGGCGAAGATGTTGATGTGGGGCAGGCGATTGTTGATGAGAATGTATTGTATGCTATGCAGCATTCTGGAGCCGTGCCACCCGAGGCGGACATTCTAGCACTGACGGCAGAGCTGAGGATTGGACCTTTGGCACCTGAACAGTGCCATGAGAGTGAAATCCAGATGATTGCCTTTCAGGTGGGGACACTACAGGTGGATGTCATGCGAGTTGTTGATCTCGTCAAGGAAGCAGAAGACGGGGTCGGTGCACCGGGTGTGGTGGCCGACATCAGAGATCTTCCAGATATAGTTGTGGTGCAACCGACCAATAATAAAGGATAAAGGAGCGCATTGGATGTTCCATGTATAGAAGCCTCCACAATCTTCTAATGGCTGGTCATGTGGGTAGTTGGCTTTTACAGAAATAAAACTGACGCAGGGAAGCAAAGCTTCTGACCAGGCATCACAATTGAGCATTTCTGTATATGCCAAGCTAGGGAATCACTTTCCTTCTGAGAGATCGCTGGGAAGTAAGCCCGCAAACTAGGCGAAAGCAGCACAGGGCGATATGTGTGGTTTCGGCGCTCAAACGGCTGGTGGTTGTACAATATGCTCGTCCTGGAGAAACCACCTTCCATCCAAAAGCGGGAAGCTAATGAATCGCTATGCCAGACAAAGCGAAAGTTCATCACAATTCCCGTCCTGATCAGCAAACAATTGGCACCGATTTAAGCGAAAGTGATCGACAAAATTTGCCTCTGATCGTCCGATGGCTTCCAGCATTCTCCAAAAGCGGGCTGTGCTGTGGGGTTTTGGCAGCATGAGCTAAGCCATGGCCTCTGACCACCATGCCATCCCGAACGGGACATACCAAAGAGCTTCTCAGCCAGTTAAATGCTTGTTGCCTGAGTGCGCCTTGCCAAAACTTCCGCCAATCATGTTCCAGCCAAGGGGGCGATCCATCGTATCAGAATCGGTTGTCCTGTGGTTGCAGTCCGAATACGTGGCCAAGGATCAGTTAGAGTGGCGTTTCACGCCGCCATCCTTTAATAGAATTTGATGTTGAGGGATGTTGTATAAAAGGAAGTCGGAATGAAATGAAGTTCAGGAGATGAGATCGCATTCAAGATTAAAACATAACTACATACATAAACACCTATACAACACACAGTTTTGCACATAACGGGCGTATTGCGAGCATCAACCCCTCCCTCACAATGACCACCAAAGCATTCGAACACCAGCATAAAATCTCCGACAAGACATTTGAAGTCGAGGTAAGGTCATCATCAGAATCGGTCTTTTCAGAGGACTCGACCACCAGCACTCTGCTCGATGATGCATCCTTCCATCCAGACACAACATTCCACATTGCCGCACGGGGCATTGGTGTTTGGCGCTTACCACTGCCATCGTCGGAGGTCGAGATTCCAATCTATCGCAACGACGGCAGTCTTGCATACACATCCACGCGGGAGAAGAGATCTTCAGGCAACTGCGTCCTCAGCCATCCCAAAATTGGAGACCTTGTCAGCACAACATATTTCTTCGGGCCCAATCGTGAACCCGTCCTGAAATTGCTGCAAGCACCTGGGGAACCTGATGGTGAAGCCAACTCAATTAACATCAAGGGCAAATGGGTCTCGAGGTCCACAGCCTTCATCATGGGTGACGGAAGGGTTTTCGAGTGGAGCTATGCACATACCAAGGACAGTCAAGGCACGAGAGTAAAGCTCATTGTTCTACGGCAACAAGAGCAGTCTGAGGTGAAGATGAAGGGTGACAAGGGGGGTAGAATTCTCGCTCAATTGGTCCGTGGCAAGGAGACGCGTGCAGAAGGCTCAAAGCGCTGCACTGCTGGAAATGGAGGACAACTTATGCTAGATCAGGATGCTACAAGCCATCTTGATGAAGCAGTGATCATTGCGACATGCCTGATGATGTTGAAGAAGGAGATTGACAGGAGACGAACTATTCAGTTCATGATGCTAAGTGGTGCTGCCAGTGGGGGTAGTTAGATTCCGCCTGTAAAAGGATTTGCGTTGCACTAATACCTGATGTAGTAGCGAATATGATACTTCTGGTTTCATCTCTTCTTCAAATCAGCGCCTGCTTTAGAGATTTTGATATACTTCTGGTTCTGGGTCTAAACCCAACCGTTTTACCGAGGTTATTAGGACCTCCAAGCCTCTCAGTCCTACGGTTGAATCTCACTGCGAGGACTCACAGCATAGCTTATTTCACAATCAACTCCACCAAATATCATCCAAGGGAATTGAAAATGCTGGCAGGTAACGATGAAGCTAACAGGGACATCGGACTTACAAAAGTGATGGGGATAAAAGCCGAACTCCGCAAACGGCTCCGGCAACGGCGCCGTACAAAGATCCGACTTCATGTCCGAAGTTCGCAACACCATTGCTATTGCGAGAATGTGACCTTTCCATGGTGATACGTAGAGGGGTTGTTCGCATATTGCAGTGCTTGCATTAGCTACAAATCTCGATACGCTTCCAGTCTTCCACAGCGCACCAGGTGAACGGTTTTGTAAGCAGCCAGCTGATAACACGTCCATTATACCATCTGAATATCGATCTTCTTCGAAAATGGGTGCCCCGGACATCAAAGCAGATGCTAAGCGAGCCTTCGAAATACTGAAGACTGGAGGCATAGTCATAGTCCCTGCCAAGATGGGATATGCGATCGCAAGCTCCAGTACTTCAGCCATGGAGAAAGTCTTTACAACCAAACGGCGTGGAGCACATAAGCGGCACGCTATGGGGGGCAGCTATGCACTGCACAAAGAACTACACGTAATGGAACCTGAGCATGCGGAAATTGTTCGTTGCCTGGTCCAGGACTTTGACCTTCCACTGGCCGTCATTGCGAAATACAACCCTGATCATCCTATCATGAAGAATATCGATAAAAGTACCTTGGACGCACTCACTGTTGATGGGACGTTGGCCCTGTTGATCAATGCAGGAGCACTCCAAGATGAGCTGACAAGTCTCCTGATGGAGGCCGGTCTTCCTTTGATAGGCAGTTCTGCCAACCTCTCAGGCACAGGTATGGCTCTAAACCTTATCGTGCTTTTCCTATCTAGGAAGTGTACCAAAGGCTAATCTCTAATGGAAGGGACAAAATATGTTGCAGAAGACATTAATCAGGAAATCTTGGATATCGCCGATCTCGTAATCGACTATGGCCTCGTGAAATATGGCTTCCATGGAAGAAGCTCCACGATGATCGACTTTAGCGGCCCGAAGCCAGACATTGTGCGGATCGGTGTTTGTTATGACGTGATCAAGGATCATTTGCAGCGCTTTTGGGGAATCGAAGCTCCAGCAGATCCTGGAAGGTCGTCCTTGCCATCTGGTCATCTCAAAGTGCTTCCGCCGCTAGAGTCATTGGAGAGGCTGGTGGCGGCGCGTTAACTGCTGTTTGTACGTCATTAATCTCGATAGAAAGCCTAATATCAAATTGTTTCAAACAACTTCTTGATGAGTCTTCTAGCCTATTCGTCCACAATATTAGACTTGACCCCACCATAAGATATCATCTTCCGTTGAGTTGTAGGCAGCCTCGTTCAGCTCAAGGGGTAGACACTGGTGGTTTCAGTCTTTCAGGGGTGTTCAGCCTGACGAAACCAATCTTGGGCAAGCAGAAAGCTCAACGTTCAGTGTCAATTGGAAGGTGCAGGGAGTATTTCATGCTTCAATGAATCAAGAGGTCATAATCCGATCATTAGCATAGCTGGTGCGTATCTGATAGCCTCTGTGTTGCCAATGATGAGTCTGGCGACCCTGGGCTTGGTTCCCGCGAGCCTCGGTCTTCCACAGGCACATTACTTGATCCTTCGATAGCTGGCTTTGGATTGGTCATTGTGTCTGCATTTTCCCGCATTCTCCTTACCTGGGCCTGCCGTCTGCGCAACCACGCGCGGTCCGTAGACGGAGACGATCATAAACCAAGCGACCGGTTCTTGTAAAGTAACCGAGTTTCCAAATCCCAAGCCAGCACAGCGCATCGGCCTTCTCAAAGTGCAAAGCGACAAGACTGCGAGAGAAACCAATATGGACGATATGCGAGCAAATGCGTCCTTCAGAACAATTGATATAGCTAGATCCAGAGAGAAGAGGCGTTTCGGGACCGGAGCAAGTGCCTCTGAGCCCGACATCGATACCGCCGACTCCGGTCAAGCATCGTACGTGTACGTAGTGTAAGCAAGCAAAGGTCAGAGCTGACTAGATCATGATTTTGTGCCTTGAAGGCTATCCTCTATTTTGATTAGACTAAATTTGGCCCAGATACGTTGTGGAGCGGACAGCTTACCCTGCACACGATGCAGGGTGCTAGGCTCTGCTGTATAGTGGAGATGTCCTGCAAGAGAGTGAATAAAAGAAGGTAAGCTGGATCTCGTGAGATCCACCGTTGGCGGGCACCGTCGATAACGTTCACAGCAAAGTCGAGTCGCTTGAGCAGGAGCCACAGCAGCTCCGGTCCATAGTGGCTCAGAGTCAATTTCAACAAACATCTCCCCAAAGTTCGTCACCCAGGGAGCAAATCACAGAGCCAACGTTCATTGAAGAAAATGGTTCTTCCAGTCAACTGGAGGTTGAGAGGTTAGGCGATAGGATAGATGAAGTCGAGGCGCCTGCTTTGCGTAATTCGTTCCTACTGATTGATCCACACCCTAACACGACACAAGAAGAGAATGTTACATAGCCCCTGGTTCTCGACCAGCGGCCCCCAGCGCGAGAAGCCAGATCTCTGGAGCTATTCGTACTTCATAAGGAGCAAATGGCCTCCCTGTTTACCGAGTAAGGTCCATGATGATGAGGCGCCATGGTTTTGACTGAGCAGTAATGGCTAGATGCTTCCAATTCTACCATCAATTTCTGAACTTCTTGAATCCTACTATATCTCTGGACCAATTCTGCGAACGCTCTCCACTACTGTTCTGGGCGATCATAACTACCGCTGCCCGCGGATACCATGAAGAGCCGTCTTTGTTCGCCATGCTTTCGAGGGCCCTAGCGGATTGACGTGGTCAACGGTTTCTGTTCGTCCACACAGTCGCTTCACAATCGAAGCCATTCTTCTGTAAGTCGCTTGACCTGTACCTACGCCTACTATAGCAGCGGATAACACCTACATCCTTAGCGGTATTGCGCGCAAGCCTGCATACAATGCGGTCTACATCTACCAGGGAACCCTCAAGAGTTTTCCACTCTGACTCTGAGATTACAGCCGGAGGAGGTCAGGGAGAGTGCGAGAACTTGGGCAGCGTGCAAAGTTGTGACACAGAGGTTTGTCCGGACATCACCACTCGGTGTGCCTTGGGCTCTAATTTTGCTCTGACAGTACGGGCACCGGCACCGGCTACCCAACAGTCGCAAAATTTGGCTGAACAGCGGAGCACAGCTTTGATTATTTCAACGACTATGAAATTTCTCTCGACCCCTGTCAGCAGTTGACAATTACGAAATTCAGCTGTCGCATGGAGAGGGTCTTATTCGGAAATCCCATGAGGTATATCGGCTCTACAAAAGATATCGATCGTCAGGTGCTGATCACTCTCTTGGAGAAGGACCTGGATGAACTTGGAATGCAGATCAGATCGTCGCCCTTAAGTAGTAAGTCTAGCACGCGCAAACCACTTGACTGCACTGGTTTAATCGCCTGTGAGCTAAATACGCCTAAATTTATTAGTTTGCCACCTCTACGAACCACATCCAGCAACTAAACAGAAGGAAGGACTCTAAAAGCATATGCCCTGGCATCTGACCTCATCTCTCGAATCAATGCAGAAGACGAATCTTCAAAACCAGTTCTACAATCTCCCGTGAGTGTATTATACCTCCTCACGACCTGTGCATTCCTGCTCCTCAAGGCCCTCAAATCTCGCTACTCACAATACCTGGACTTCGAAGGGGGCAAGAAATCCTTCAACGCAAGTGTGCTTGCTCTGCCACGTTGGTCCGTGACAAACAACGACCTGTCTGGCCGGATAGCGGAGATCTTGCTCTTACTCTGGCGAGGACTTGATGCATCGAGTGCGAAGACCGAGGACGAACCCAGATTGAGGCTTCACAGCCGATAGGGCGTATATCTATTCTGGGATGGATTGTGGCGCTGGAAGGAGGAGTTCGGTGGTCACACGAACACCCACCCTTCGCCTTCTAATCCTCTTATGTATCGGATTATCTGGGACCAATCAGTCATGGATGCCAATTTTTCGAAGGGACGGTGTGGATTGGCGAGTATGATGCGTAAGCGGAATCATTGATGTGAAGAATGTGGAATCGTCATTTCTCGAATCAAAGATTCAAGCTGGCTGCAAACTGCACATTCAATACATGGTTACACACAGCAACCTCAAGAGCCTCTCACCATATCCATCTTTATGTGAATGGTCTTCATGTCCAAATACGCTTTTATACCTGCAAGTCCATTCTCACACCCGTACCCGCTCTGCTTCTTGCCTCCGATGGGAGTCAGCGGAGAGACGCTGTGGGTAGTGTTGATGGCGACCGTGCCTGCCTCAATCTGAGATGCTACTCGAAGCGCTCGAGTAAGGTCATTGGTGTAAACATTAGCTAGTGGGATTTGTCAGTTCTTCCGTCCGAGGTCAAGAGAAATACGTGTGCAGGGTATCTGAAAATTAGGTCATAGCTAAGTCCATTGGTGGTATCGTTAGCAAGCTTTATCGCCTCCTCCTCCGGTTTGAAAGTCCTGACCGAGAGGACCGGGCCGAATATTTCGTCACTGTAAAGTTTACTGTTGAGTTCGGAGTTGAGCAAGACGGTCGTCTCGAGCTTTGCGATCAGCTCAGCGTCTCTCTCAATCAATTCGGCCAGCTTCAACATGAGTTTTTTCCTCTTCTCGCCTGGCGTCGCCTCCCAGCCTGGAAATGCAGCTTTTGTTGCCGAGACGGGCCTGTCGACAAAGGCTTCTTAAGCAGAATGGACTTGATCGGAGACCAGTGTATCGTCGCTGGGATTGTATAGCATCAAGGTCTCTCCCGTCGAGGATGGGATACACTGTTGTACAGAAGTCAGCCTCGAGGGGAATGGTGAGTGGTGCAATTCGCCTCATTGTTAATGAGAAGTTCGATGTGGAAGCCCATGTTGGTGTTAGTAGTATCTTTTCGAAGGTAGGTGGCTACTACTCTATACAACTTGATGAAGAATCCGAGCAACAGTCACAGACTTGAGACGCGACGCCGCTATATACGATCACGACAGTGCACTTTAAATCCGCTAACCATAGCGATGCCTCTCTTGCATATTCGGCATCTTCTCGACGCATTCAGCCACGCACGCAACGTCCAGGCGGATGATCTATTGGGACTTCCTCACACCGTGCCTCAAGCAAGAGAAGGTATATTAGACAGTGTATTAGGCGAACAGCACGAATATTTATGCTTGGCAGGGAGAGCGTGGACGGCCTGCGGTCGCCGTTCGCGGAGCCTGACGCGGAGGCCGAGACCAGGGTGCGCGGAACCCTTGGGTGCACCGCACGTCCGATCAAGCAAATCATAGTTATAACCTCAACTGTTTTGATACCCAAATACGAGAACTCTGATGTCACGGGAAACGTGGGAAAATGAAACTATCCTCAGCTTCCCGAGTCTGTCAAGAGATTAGAGCCCCAAGGATCCTATCGTAGAGGCCAATGAAGCCGATCCCATATACATTGTTACGAACCAGGTCACTTGAAAGGTTGCCAAGGGAATCAAGGCACCGGCCCAAGGAAGGAAGATAGCCGATGGAGAACAAAGGCTATGTCACGTGACCAGGTGAGGATGGATCTCCTGGATCCCTTGGATCCCGTGGATCTCAAGAGATCCAGGGGGAGCCATAAGATCCAAGAGAGCCATCAGCATTATATATATACGCTCCTTCACCTAGATAGCACAGTTCGTAGTTAACTTCGTTAGCAATCCTAGACCTACGTTTTAGGATACAGTCCGACGATTGTATATTCCCTTTGTTATCTTGGTCAACACTCTGGTACCCACTCTATCAAGGAACCCTACCTTGGTCAGAACTGCTTGCAGCTCGGATCATAACATACATTTTGCAAATAGAGAGACAAGTCACCCACATGCAGTCTTCAAACGACGCATAATTCTCCTGCAATACCCTTATTTCATGTCAAGCCCACTCACTGTACCGTGCTTAGCTGCCAGCCTCTGGCAGTGTCAGCTATGCTATTACTAGCGTCGTATACCCGGCCCAAAGTAATCAAATTCACTTTATCTACTCAAGCTAACGAGTTTGCGAGAAGTCTCACTTCAAGAATTTAGCGGCATGTAGACACATTTTCTTTGCTATAGCACGATGCAATGAACTTTTACTTTCTCCCCCAAGTCCAAAACCGTCTCTCACCATTTCTCTACTTCGTAACGGGTGAATAGTAGGACAATCGACGCCAGGCTCATTAGGAGTTCCTGGTAATTATAATAGATTACTTTTCTCTCGCTCAGACAACGTGCGCCGCTTTTAAATGTTACACTACCCCCTTCTCCTTCCTCCCCCTTCCACCCTCACCCTCACGATTACCTCTACTCACCTTCTACATACCTCTTCGCTCAACACTAGAGAGAACAATAGAGACTTGTTTCTATCCATTTTCTACACTGCTAGTCGTGAGGCTAACCCGTCAGGATCCAACAGAAGTACGCATGAGGAGATGACCGGTCAATTTCAAGAACGTGGAGATTCTGTATATATATCTACGAGGCGATGAAAAGGTACCGAGAGTCAGAGACACCGCACCGTCGCTTTCGCAGTGCGGTAGTGCATTACGTCCCTTATTCTACAGTCGTGGGATGCAAAGTCGTGCTACCTTACGTGGCTGCTGCGGGCAGCTTCTAACATGAGGTCAAGCTTCGCGCTCTCTTTTTAACCTCTTTCAAGAAGTGATCAATGTATCACTCATATTCAGTCCTACAAGTTTTCAAAGAAGACCTTGCTTAATACGACAGGAGAGCACCATTCCCTGGTGTATCGATACAAATGGGGGTCCTCGACCAGCTCCGCGGGGCAATTTGGTCCTACATTGAATTTGGGGGGCTCATACATCAATGTGAAGTGTATCCCCCATCCACCATCAGCGCCGAGCCCGTGATGTAGGAGCTCCTCCCCCCCCGACAGAAAGACGACAGCGTCGGCTATCTCAGCTGCCGTGCCGAACCGGCGCATGGGCGTCCATACCTGAGTCTTTTCCTGCGCGACCTGTGCCGTCACCGCGCCCGGCTGGATCAAGGGCATATCAACGTACCCCGGGCAGACTGCATTGATTCGTAATCCCCGAGAGGCGTAGTCCACCGCGGCCGTCCGCAGTAGGCCGTTGACATAGGTACGCCAACGACGCCGCAGATGGAGGCCAGATTGACGATGGCTCCACGCTGCAGGAGGCGTCGGTCCGCCGACGACGAAAGCAGGTAGTCCTGCTTCAGCATGATCTACGCCGCCGCATGATAGACGTAAAATGTTCCGTTAAGGCTGGCGTCCAGGACTCGGTGCCAATCGGCCGAACCCCCCTCGTGCTTAAACGATATCCCCGCGCTGTTGACCACGTAGTCTAGCCGACCAAAGACGCCGGCGGCCGATTCAACCGCCGTCGTGACTGCGGTTTTGTCGGCGACATTGACCTGGTACACGAGCACCTGGCAGCCATGTCGCTCTTGTCCAGCCTCGCGTTCCAGCTCGGACTTGACTTGTTCCAGCGCGTCGGTGTTGTGGTCGAGCAACGCGACCCCGCTGCGCCTTCCTTGACAAATGCCAGGGCGCATGCCTTACCGATCCCACTAGCGGCTCCCTTTACCAGTGCAAATCCGGTAATGTCCATTTTTGATCCACCGGAAATGTTAGGTTGTTTATTGTTTATTGTTTGGGCCTTTTGGATATCAAGTGTCCTCGAGTTGAGGTCGTTGTAGTTAATGGATATTTCAACTTGGAATAGTGGGCACTACTGCGTTTACGGCTTCTTGCTTTTGCCATATGGCCGGACGGCGGCTGAAGAGTCTCCATCCCCGACCGAGGCTATTTCCGATCGATGTCGGGAAACATGTATTTTTGACCACCCGTGGCGCGAGAGTCCTGGGGGTTGGTGGGTATCTGCAAAATGCTGGCTTATGGTATTTAGAAGGCAGGATGGTGTGCTTGAATGAATCATGTCTGCGCAACTTGGTGTCGGAAGGGGGTATTTCCCAAGTTACAATTTTGCCCGAACCCTCTGAGGTCCTAGATAGAGCCTGGGGAGCCATGTAGCTTGAAACATCTCATGATGCGTTCCATCGAGCATGGTTTTTTATCCCTGGACTCTCCATATTCTTCCAGTGCAACCATGCGGTACGGCCGGCTTCTTAACAAGCCGAAGTACTCCGTACGGGGGCTTGGTGTAATCGATCAGGTAGAGCGGGGAAAATGCCGAAGAAGCCGGGTCCTCCCCACTCGGATTCAAGGGGGTGGTTGAAGATTGGAGAATACCTGTGTGATTTCCTAGGTGAAGTTAGTTAAGAATCTAACTAATTTCTACCCATAGAGAGACCTCTTCGGCCGCTTGATAGGCGGCTTTGAAGAGGCTGGCGGGCTTTGGCGATGATCACACTGTGTGTCCGTTCAGGGGGGAAGCCAACAGAGAGGAGAGCGTGGGTGTAGAGATTGGTGTGTGGCGTAGCAGTATGGTATCGATGTCGGAGACCAAGAGTGTAAGACAGCTCCTCTATCCAGCGAACTGCTGGACGCCTTGGCGCCAAGGCCCAGCAGCGGCTTCTTTGCCAAGAAAATGGCCCGTCAAGTTCGTGTACCCCACATATCAGCACAATAACCGGGGTTTCCCACTAGTGTCTTCACGCTTCCTCGCCATCATCGTTTCCGCACCGGCAAGGTGAGTTGTGAGCGATGCCCGATTTCACAGCGGATCGAGGATTTCTGAAAGCTTACATGAGGGAGACCGCCCAAGATCCCTGTACGAGAAAATCCATGCAATTATCTACCTTCGCCTCAGGGTCCTAGTCATCCTACTGTCTCCATGAAAACCCCAGCCATGGCTGGCAGCGATCAAGAAACCGCCGCCGCCATCGGTCCTGCTCGGCATCTTCAGCGAGACCGAGCCCGCGTCGCCTGTTGGCGCTGCCACAAGAAAAAGATCAGGTGCAACGCTTCTGGGACGTTGCCATGTTCTGGCTGCGTCCAGGCTGGCTTGGACTGCGTCCTCATCGACTCTCGGCGGGGCAGGTAAGGGAGAGCCCCGCCTGGAAGTCTGCCCAATGGTTTCCTAACTCGGAGTTGTGGATAGGTATGCCCGGAAACGTCAAGGAATCAACCACAACGAACGCCCCATGCCAAAGAGACGAAGTGTCGACGATGAGGCAGCAGACATCGATGGCAACACTGCCACGGGTGGGAGCTATGCATACTCACATCCCGGCTCTTACAATGTCGCTGGATCGAATCACGGTGCCTCAACTGCGCAACCCAACCCCCCGCGGAGGGTGGCTTCGTCCTCATCTCTGTTGCCGCCGAATTTCCTCCCTCCCAGGCCAGCGTGGTCGTCTCGAACCGCGCTCTCGTCGACGCATTCCAGTCCAAACATCGATGAGTCGCCTGAGATGTTCTACGCCCAGATCGCCGAAAGAAGCGTCCTGGCCAATGATGATCCAATCCACCCGACTGGTCAATCTGTCTTCCTTGGGGAGGCATTCAGCTTGACGTATGTGGTCCACGAGGTGCTTGCGCCACATTTGAGCGACTCTCTACATTACAAGAAGAGACTACACTTCCCTATTACCGATGCGGCCACTCGGCGACCTCGATCCTTTTATGTGAGGGATGACACGGTCGCCAATCAGGTCGAGCTGCTCAAAAGGCAAGGGTTATTCTACCGACCTCCGAGCGAGGCGCTTCAGAAGTTGCTTGATGCCTATTTTGAATACTTCCACCCCGCATACCCACTGATTGAGAGAGCCAGATTTGCCGACGCCCTGCAGGCGGAGCAACAGTCCCACTTGGCACTGAATGCGCTACTCATGATCGCTGTCACCTTGTGCGACGCCGAGACGTTGGAGGCAGTGGGATGTGGCGATCGCCACACGGCACGGTCGACCTTTTTTAAACAGGCCAGGATCCTATACGACTTGGACGCCGAGCGAGATAAGATGAACATCATCGTCGGCGTGTTCCTCATGAGCTTTTGGTGGGGCGGTCCGAACGACCAGAAAGACTCGTGGCACTGGCTGGGGATATCTTTGGGTCTTGCGCAGAGCCTGGGGCTTCACCGGACGTGGGTTCTATGATCACCGCGCCAAACTACCACCTAGACTTCTTTTACTGACTCTGGCGTGGGTAGCACCACAAACTCCAACATTGACTCGAGAACGGCGCGTCGCTGGAGATTGATCTGGTGGTCCATGCGTGTTAGTTACCATTCACTCTGTGCACTGCGCCAAAAGATTAGCACGATACTGACCGATCGATGCTAGATTCGTGACATTCTTGTCAGTGGCTCCATCGGTCGGCCGCAGCACGTTTATATCAACGACTGTGACGTCGAACTTCCGGAAGCGGAGGATGTGATCGAAAATCTGGGCCATCAAGGGCGTGACGAGGTGAATTATTTCAGCCAGGTCGCGAGGCTCTGCGCCATCAGTATGTTGATTGGACGATCCCAGCGGATTGAATTTGTCAGAACTGACCCTCTCCAGTTAGTCGCATTATTACCTCAAGGTATGCTTCACCGCGTGCAGACCGACTCACAGACGATCAAGAAAGCCTGGAGAATGCCCTGGCTCGATTCAATGAAGACGTCCCTGCTTCGTTGCGCTACCGAGGCATCGGTCCCGACTTTGAGGACGGACTATGGCCTTCAATGTTGACGATGGCATACAAGTGAGTGAATCATAACAAGGTCACTCCTTCTAGGAAACTCTTTGTCGCGTAGCACCCAATCCTTGCTTATATGTTGGTTCTCCAGCTACGCCATTCTTTTACTGTGTCGACCTGCGCAACCCCACGGAGAACACCAGAAATGGGGGAACAAGTTCAAGGCTCTGGCTGCGGCTAGCGTGGTGACCCGAACCATGGAAGACATTCTGGCAGTCTCGATGGTGAGACTATGTCAGGTCCACACGTAGGTCCCATCCATGCATAATTCCCAACTCTATTCCAGATAAACCCTTCTCTTCTCCCAAAAAGGAGAAAAGCCCTTGCCTCCGTACCACCGTTCGGGTTTCTAAAGTACTTCCTCAGGATCCCAGCGCTGTTCAACGCGCTTGCACTGCACGTGTACTCGATTTGCAATTCCAATGCCATCGGCCGCGAGCTCGCCGAGACACGGGCGAAGGTGTGCATGCTAGGCCTAAGTCTGATGGAGGAGTCATGGCCCGTGGGCGGCTGGGTGCTCAAGCTCTTTGTCAGCATCATGGAGAGGTTGAAGCAACAGACTCCGCAGCCGCCACTACCACCTGCTGGCCGGACGATGACGAGGAACAAAAGCAGGCATGACTCGTTCACCGAGACGGAGAAGGGGTTGACGACCGACCCGAGACTGCCAGAGTTTGCCGCGTCTGCTCACTCGGGTGCCCCCGCGGGGTCATCTAACAACCAATCCTTTTCTCCTTCTTCAACGGCAGCAACTAGAGAACACGATCTTGCAGCTGGCAGTCAATACGACGATTTCAATCTTCATCCTAAGCAGACATCCCCCGACCAGCTCTTTAGCGGCCAAAGGTACTCGACCACAAATCCTCCTCCTCTTCTCCCTTCTATTGGGACCGACGATTACCCGCACCACCATCACGACGATGACAACTTGATGCCTAACATATTCGCTTTTGACGACAGCCTCACGGGAGGGCTCTCGGATCAAGACAATTTCTTCCAGTCGCTGGAGCTAGCGCACCTCCAGGACTCTAGCCAGAATCTAAGGTCCTTCTAGAAGACTACTTTGCTGGACCGACTAGGGCCTGTCTTTTCGATAAGATTTGGCAAAGGTTCTTAAGCATTGTACAATGCTAATATATGTATACGTAGCTTAAAAGAACCAAAGATCTAACATGGGGTGTTTAAATTCGTCTTTATCAAAACCAAAAAAGAACCACAATCTTCGACACGGAATAAAGATAAGGGGGTGTCACATAGCTTCGTATGATCACTTCTGGTTAGTAGCCATTCTTCGTACGTCGTTGTTATTATACTTCTACTCCTTGATCTTCTCTCTCGGTATGTTCGAACAATGCAAGATTCCTCCCAGCTTGTAGATTTTGTATGAAATGTGAAGGTCGTTATATTCTCTTGCCATGGGCCAAGAAGGTGATGGGTATCTGCACGTGCTTGGCCCGCAGGTACTCGGCCAAGTTCTTGCCCAGCGCGTCGTAGTTCGAGCTGGCCGCGACGCCCCGGTCTAAATGGTCCTTGAGGAGAAAGTGGACGGCTGTGTGTGAGGGGGAAGGAAAAGTCAGTGCGCCACAATATACGTAGAGGGAAAGATTTGTTTACAAAAACGTACACTTGATATGCGGCAACTCGAACCGCTCGATGCGGTTGGTGCCGCTGTAGCTGTTTTGCAGCAAGGTCTTGAGGTGCTTTACAGATAATAGCGACCTCAGCCACTCGTACTCGTCGTCGTGGGCGCCACTCCGAACAAAGAAGCCGACGTTGGCGTCGGAGCCCTTGTCGCCGGACCGGGCGTGAACGATAGTACCAAGAGGTAAGGTGGCGGTGGGACCGAAACTCTCCAGGGGCCTCGCGTTCACCGACTCTTCAATCTCTTGTTCGGGCAGGTAGTCGACTGTGTCGGTCGGGGCGTTGATGACAATAGATTTTGTCGCGGCCACCTTGTCAGAATCCATGTCACTCTCATCCTTATCAGCAGCAGGGACGTGCGCGATGTGCCGGACGACGCTCTGCGGAACGACAGTGACAAAGTACTCAAAGTAGAGCTTGGCGAACCCGGCCCTCTGTTCCATGCCGAACGTGGCGCCCGGGTAAGCCTGCATTACCATGTTGAGACAAGGTTTCAGGAAGTTGCGGGGGGACAGGGCCTCCTCGCTGCGCGCCTGGGCAAAGATGCGGAAGTCCACCGTGGCGGCATCCTGGCTGGTCGGGTTGGCGGCGCAGCTGCCCGTGGTGGTGAAGACCAGGGTGTGGAGCTTTTTGGTATCTAAGGCGTACCTTAACTGCTCCTCGAGCATCTGGGCCTTTTCGGCGATGTCCAGTCCCGTCAGGTAGTAGTGCACCTCAGCCTGATATCCCCCTTTGGCAGTCAACCCGACTTTCGTCGTAGGGGGCGGTTTCTCGTGGCCGATGTTGTGGACATAGACGAGGTCGGGCGCCACCTGCTCCATCTTGATCTGGTCGACGAGGGCGACGACGTCCGAGTTGTAGTAGCGTTTTCCTTGTAATTCATAGAGCAGCTGGGCCCGGCACGTGTCAAGTGAGACCTCGCCTCCCCTGTCTGGTCGGTCCTCCATTCCAATGTGAAACGAACCGTCGTGCTGAATGGAGGCGATGGGTAGACTGAGAAGGGGGGTGGTCGACGACCGCCGCATCGATTTGAAGCCCGTAAAGTTGCCGCCCGTGACGTAAAAGGAGCATTCAATCATGTGGCCGGCAACCAGGGCATGAGCGAGCTCTGAGTAAGACTGTCGGGTCCAGCCGTGCCAGAAGGCCGCCGCTGCCATAGTCGGGGCCGCGTCGGCGACCCGGCCGCAGACGACAATGTCAGCGCCGTTGCAAAAGGCCTCGACAATGCCCCAGCATCCTAGGTAGCATTGGGCGTAGATGGGGTCGAATTCCCAGGAGTCCAGGAACTGGCCTGGAGGTCGAGTGTCAATCACCACATTTACACTACAGAAGAGGAATTAGACTCGAAAACTCACCAGTGGTGATGTTGCGGAACTTGTAGCCTTGGTCGCGGCATTTGATTAGGGCGTCGTAGACCTCGTCACCCTCAACCCAGCCGACTTTGAGGTCGAGCTTCTTCCGCGCGATGATTTGGACCAGGCTGTCATACATCTTCTCGGTATCGCTGGCTCCCGCGTTGACGGCGAGTTTGATCCTGTTGCGAGTGATGTCTTCCAGGGCCGGCTCGACCGATTCAAGGAAGTTGACCTCGAAGGCGGCGGCGGCTTGGGATTTGGCGTCGATATTGGGCGTCATGAGGCTGCTGGCCTTCAACGAACCCTGCGAGGCCATATTGTACTCGGACATCCAGTCGCCCACGATGAAGTCGACGTCGTCGCGACGGGCCAGAACCGAGATGTTCTCAGGCAGGTCGGTAACGGCGCCCATGGCGTTGCCGATGCGGGCGGGCCTCCGGGTGGCCACGGAACCCATTTTGGATGTTGTTAACCTCGATGTGACTGACAAAGAAACAATAGCAATGTTTTAAAAGCCAGTCAGAGGAAGACCGCGTGAGAGAAAGTCGAGTCCCGGTAGTAGTAAATGGAGTGCGTTGAAAAATTCGGCAAAGGCTTGAATACAAGGTACAAACTTCGATCAGGTTTCATTCTCCGAAACATGGAGAACTCAACCAAAGAGTCCAGTCCCTATCTTGTAAGAAGGGCCGAACTTGTCGAATACTTAAGACCTCTAAGACCTCGCGCGGCTGGCAGCACGAAATAGAGTCTCTATGGGTGAGAATCATCTGAGACTCGAGGAACTGATTGTAGCCATGCAGCGTCTTGAGGATAAATTTGCCGTGAGTTGGAAGCCGAAGTCGCCGCCCGGCCCGTGAACGACTACGGGACACTGAGACTAGTAGCATGTAGGGACATACCAATAGCACTGGATAGAGACCAGCAAGCACCAAGGTCCTCTGGAGTTGCGTGTCTGCTAGTTGGTTTGGGTCGAGTAATCCACAGGCTTGTCTAGAGTCTAGACTCTGTACTCGCCATTAATTTAGATGCCGGTCAGCCCCTGACTTGGCTCCGGTGATGCCGGTGTATCGAGGAGAGAGCCCGGATGTCTCCACACCCCGGCGACTACACTTGGGACAGAACCAATGGCATTGATCGATAATACGGACCCATGACTACTTCACACTGAGATCACTCCTCCATAATGTGTGCGCGTCTCGCTAATCGACTACCGAACAAATTTACCACAAAGATTGTATCCGCCAACCCCCATTCCCCGTTCACAGCCCCGGATTCCAAGATTAGGTACCCCAGCTTGAGGGTTGGAATAGTATAGCGCCACACTACGGTGTACGGTGCACGGTGCCCATACTCAGTTGCTACAGTGGACTGTCGATGTAGGGGTGAGAGATAAATAGCTCATCGTTTGCCGCCTCTTGGGTATGAAATGAAGCATTCCCCCTTCCACCCCTGACTGACTACTCTTTCATCCTTCGGCTTCTGGTTTTGGGTCTTTCTATCTGTCTTCCTTCACACCAGCGGCCAAGTACTTGGGTCTGTCTGTTGCCATACTGAGAACTGCTCATTGTGAGGACTCGATATTCCTCCTAGAAGCCATGAAGGGCCACGTCAGCACCTTCAACTTCATCCTTGTTTTTTTTGTGTCTCTCGGGTCTTTTATCTATGGCTTCAACTCTTCCATCATGGGAACGGTCTTTGGACTGCCATCGTTCTATTCGTACTTCAAACTTAACACTACTGGCCCCAATGCCACCTACGCGAACAACATTATTGGTGGTGAGCTCCGACGGTGGTCTCGACCTACCCCCTATCAATGGTATGCGAACTAACCATCGTTTCTCGTCTGGTAGCAACCAATGGCATCTACTCGGGCGGTGGTATCATTGGTTGCCTTTGTCTCCCTTGGCTCGCCGACCATATCGGCAGAAAGCGCACCATCCAGATCACCTGTCTAATCTGCATCGTCGCTGTGGTCCTGCAGTGTGGCGCCGTGCACGTTGGGATGCTATTGATAGGCAGGTTCCTGGGAGGGGCAAGGTAAGAGGCTGCCGCTACTTTGTTTTTTTTCAACCTTGCTGACCCAAAGTCCTGCAGCGCCGGCATGATGAATTGTATCGTCCCTCTGTACATGTCTGAGGTGGCCCCGCCCGCACGACGCGGGAAGCTCGTGGGACTACACGGCACCCTCTTGGTTCTTGGATACGGCCTCGCTGGCTGGACTGGGTTAGGGTGTTATTTCGAGCCCAACCCACAGATCCAGTGGCGTCTCTGCCTCGCCTTGCAACGTAAGTTCTCGACTCATTGGCATCCAATTAGCAGGTTCTTCCTGAGCCAAGCCCTACGCAAACAATCACTGACGACAAATCTAGTCGTCGCTCCTCTAGCGTTGATTCTCCCCAGCCCCAAGCTACCTGAGTCTCCTCGCTATCTGCTCCAGAAGGGTCGACACGTCGAGGCTCTCGCCCTGCTCTGCAGACTACACCACTCTCCCGAGGACCCACACGACATCATGGCCCGCGAAGAGTCGGTTCAGATCCAGCGGCAGCTGGAACTCGACAAAAGCATGCCCAAGGGCCTCGTAGCCATCGTGCGGACCCCGTCCTTGTTCAAACGCTATCTCCTCGGCGTTTTTGTCCAGTGCCTGGCCCAGTCCACTGGGGTACTGGTCGTCAATAACTACCAAGTCATCCTCCTTAACGGCCTGGGTTTGACTGGGTGGCTGCCACTCCTCCTTTACGCCATCTACGCGTCCTGGGCCGCCGTCCTGAATTTGGTCGCCGCTCTCATCGTGGACCGAGCCGGTCGTGTCCGCTTATTATGCATCGGCATTGTGAGTCTTGCTCCTTCAATCTTCCTCCTTGGTCTATTTGGTATCCATCGCTAATATCGATAAACCTCCAGACCGGATGTGCCCTGATGATGACCGTCTACACCGCGCTGGTCGCCAAGTACTCGGGCACCACCAACAAGACGGGCCAGGCCTTTGCCGTCCTGTTTTTGTACCTATTTGTGACCTTCTACGCCTTGTGCGTCGACGCCGTCAGCTATGTCTACTGCTCCGAGATCTTCCCCACCTCGTTGCGGGCCTCTGGTATGGCGGCCTCGGTCACTGGACTCTTTGCCACGACCTTGCGTAAGTCTACGTCCATCTCAATCATCTGGGTCCTTTGTAAGATATGGTATCGACTAACAGTATTATCTGCACAGTCTACACCCAACCGGCACCTCAAGCGTTTGCCGTGATTGGCTGGAAGTACTATCTCATTTTTATCATCGTGCCCATCTGTGGCGTCCCCTTCCTTTACCTGTTCGCGCCCGAGACGAAAGGTTTGAGACTGGAGGAGGTCGGCGCTCTGTTCGGCGAGCAGATCGCCATCGACTTTACGCACATGAACCCCGAGGAGCGGGCGCGCTTCGACCGCGAGCTGCTGCATTCAGACGACGGGCCGGCCGAAAAGGTCTTGGAGAGCCCGATCAAGTGAAAGAGAACAACCAGATCACCTGTCCAAAGGATTTACACTGTCTATGTTCCACGGGCATGGTCATATCATGGCAGGCGTTTCCCCTAAACTCTTATGGAGCCTATAAGATTGGATCTATCGCTCCTCATACGCGTTTTTACCTTCAGGTAGTACTGTACTCATAATCGAAAATTCGACACCGTGTATAAATACGTTATTGGCTGTATCGCGACCTCTCTCTCCCTTTAGTATAGGAAAGATCAAAGCCTCTCATGAATGGCCATCAATGAACAATAAGGAATGTCACATGTGAGTACGATACGTCTAACGACCACTAGTATCTCACACAGTCTTAATACTTATAGTCCGTCTAAAACGAGAAGGTACCCACCAAGCTATTCATTTGTCGAACAGAAGAGATGCAGATTATGTTCAAATTTTAGACACCTTTCACTCCAAAGTGCCTTATATCACAAACTTAAATGGCTCGGCCACCGTCCACCTCGAGGCTGACACCCGTAATGAAGGCCCCCTCGTCACTGGCCAAGTACAGGGCGGCGTAGGCCACGTCGTTGGGGTCGGTCAGACGGCCTAGCGGTACGTTGCCAATAAACTTCTGCCGATTTTCAGGCGTGTCGGGAACACCTACAAAAGTCTCAAACAGGCCCGTCCCCGAAAGCAGCGGGCACAGATTATTGAAGCGAATGTTATGTTGTCCGAATTCCGCTGCCAGTCCCTTGGTCGCCTGTGTACAAATAGTAATCAGTCAGAGGAGCTGTTTAGGCGCTATCTGATGAAACAGATAGGACAACAGAAAGCGAAAATGAAAAGCGCATGTTCTTTCTTACGTTGCTGACGGCCCCCTTGCTGGCGTTGTACCACACCAGACCAGGCCGGGGCCTTTCGCTGCCGATGCTCGACACGTTAATGACAGAGGCACCGGTCTTTTGTTCGATAAATTTGGGCACGAAGACATTGACGCTGTGATAGATGCTAGCAACATTGACATTGATACATCGGTCGAATTCCGACTGCGTTACCTCGAGCGTGGGCTTGTTGCGGTAGCTGGTCCCCGCGTTGTTGACCAGCACGTCGACGTGTCCCCATTTAGAGTTGACAAAGTCAAGGGCGGCCTTCCAGTCTTCCAGAGAGGTCACGTCCAGCTTCAAAAAATGCATCCGTGACGGCTCCGCCGATGCCACGGCCTCTCCGCCTTGGACGTTGATGTCGGCCACCACGACCTGCCCCCCCTGGGCAGCAAAGAGCTTGGCGATAGCCGCGCCGAAGCCGCTGCCGGCCCCTGTCACCACGGCAACCTTGCCTTCCAGGCGATTACCTTGGGATATATCGGCCATTTTGGAGTGTTTCGCAAGTCTGGGAGAAACTTGAGAGAATTGGTTGGGTATGGATTATTTGAAGGCTAGAATGGAGGATCCATTTGATTGAGTGGCTTTAATGTCAAGTCTGAGATGATCCACCCGACAAGGAAAAAACAATCAAGCAATCAAGTTCTAGAGGCTTTAAAAGCAAGTTACGTGGGTATACAATGACCCGGTTGTTAGTGTCGTCTCTTTTTGGGGAACCTTGAGTCGGCTCTACGGGCGGAGTTCTTGACGGGGAAAGACGCCGGGTCAAGTGATGAGGAAAAGAAACCTTTAGTCTCTTCTTCTTGCGGGTTCTGAGCAAGGACTGTCTGTGTTTCACTGTGCTCACAAAAGCGAAAAGGGAGTTTGACAAAATTTGGGGCCCCTGTGGAGGGTCGGAGGCTCGCTAGAGTGGAAGCCTTGGGCCAAAATGCCGGAGATCTGATGGAGCTCGGCGACTCGAGCACGTGCCGCTTTCTTCGGCAAGGCCTTGATAGCAGCCAACTTGAATTCCCAGCCTCGGCTGCCAGCTAGGGTGGCGGAATCTGGTAAATCTTCCGGGCACGGGCTGTCTGTCCGATCTGGTTGTGTTATCAGAACGTGGAGTTTCCCCCGTCTCTCCCGAGCTTCCCTTCAGGTACTCCAATAATCGCCCTGGAGTAGTTCTAGACGGGGCCCAAAGAGGCCTTGAAAGAAAATCAGGTCGGGTCTCAGACAGCTATCTAGCCTCAGGTGATTCTTTTTTGCCACATTCAAAAAGAAGTATTTGTCCTTTTTCAAAACCAGTTCTTGGCTATATTCCCCTTAGGTTTGTACATTGTTGTCAGTTCCCACCAAACACCAAGGGCATATCAAACATGGGAGATTCAGGAATGGAGGATGCAGGAAACGAGACCAACCACAAAGGCCATCTACCTTTAGATCCCAAACAAAAGCCCCCGGGGCACATTGGCAGCAACAAAGAGGGCATCTCGTACCATTCATCCACAAAGCGACCTGCATTTTCGTCGGAATGGGTCAACAAAGCACCCTCTGGATACACCATCTCCGAGAACATGCTTGGTGAACCACCCATCTCTGACGAGCCCTTTCGCATCTTGTGTCTAGGAGCCGGAGCGTCTGGGATTGACTTCCTGCATCACGCCGTTACCCTGGATGCGTTCAAAGGGCTTAACGTGGAGATCAGGTGCTACGAGAAGAACCGCGATATAGGCGGCACTTGGCTCGAAAATAGGTGAGTCAGCCTAGTGTCGGATGAGGCTATTTGATTATAAACGGACCTAAACCAATGTCCCCTGTCCAGGTATCCAGGATGTGCGTGTGACATCCCGAGCGTCAGTTATCAATTTCCGTGGAAGCCTAAAACCGACTGGACCAGTTTTTACTCCGGCAGCCGCGAGATCTGGCAGTACATGCGGGACATCGTGGACGAGGAAGACCTGGTCAAGTTCATTCAACTGGACACCGAAGTCACCAGCGCCGTGTGGAGCGAGGACAGATCGCGCTGGGTCATCAAATCGAGGCGGGGTGATGAGACTGCAGAAATGGAAGAAGACTTCCACTTCTTCGTCAACGCGAGTGGGTTTTTAAAGTAAGTCACAATATGTTCTCTCTGGTGGCATGCCAATTAGTGCTTCGTTTTTGCGGAGTGCTCATCGATCCGTCACAGCTCCTGGAAATGGCCCGACGTGCCGGGACTGCACGACTTCAAGGGGAAACTCTATCATACCGCCAGCTACGACGACACGGTCGACCTAAAAGGAAAGCGCGTGGCGGTGATTGGGTGCGGAAGCTCGGGGGTCCAGACCGTGGCGTCGATATACAAGGACGTGGACAAATTGTATCACTGGGTTCGAAGTCCTATCTGGGTCACAGCGGGCTACGGTTCCAAGTTTGCTAGCGAGAACGGGGAAAATTTCGATTGTAGGTTACTGATCATTTTGAGTTCATTTCATACCTCATATTTCTGTGCGAGCACAAAGCAAACCGACTGACCTTTGAACCTGGACAGATTCGGAGGAGCAAAAGGTTAGATGGGCCACGGACAAGGCTGAATATCTCAAGTATCGCAAGATGGTCGAGCGAGAGCTCAACGTCCGATTCAAGTTTATCCTTCGAAATACCAAAGAAGCACAAGAGGCACTCGAGGTGAGTCCTGCTCTTCTCGATCCCCGTCCATCATGATTAGTCTAGTTTTCAACTAATTCAACCTTTCCTCCTCCAGTTCTCGTACGCCGAGATGGCCAAGAGACTGTCCTATAACGACGAACTCATCTCGCGTATCATCCCCACGAACTTCAATGTCGGCTGCCGTCGACCGACGCCTGGGACGGGCTACCTCGAGGCCCTGGCGGGACCCGAGACTAAGGTTTTCTTTGAGACCCTCCACTCAGTCACGGCTCATGGGTTTAAGCAGAGCTCGATGGAACTTGAGATCGAGGTGGATGTCATCATCTGCGCCACGGGGTTCGACACGTCCTTTAGGCCCCGATTCCCCATTATTGGACTCGACGGGGCCGAGGTTGGCGAGCTGTGGCGGGACCACGCCTTGGGCTATGCGAGCACGGGCGTGCCGGGTATCCCCAACTACTTCACGTACTTCGGCCCCTACGGCCCTGTCGCTCAGGGCTCGCTGTTGCCGGTCGCCACGGCCCTTTCGCAAAATTTGATGAGCATCATCAAGAAGATGCGTGTAGAGCACATTCGCCGCCTCTCCCCCAAATCCGGCGTCGTCGCTGACTTTGGCGAGCACGCCATCACCTTCCACAAACGCACCGCCTGGACCGACCCCTGTCGGAGTTGGTTCAAGCAGGGCAGGGTTGACGCAAACCCGATCTTATGGCCGGGTACCCGTCTGCACTACCTAGAGGTCCTGTCGACGCCCCGGTTCGAGGACTACGAGATCGAGTACATCAGCGGGAATCGTTGGGGCTGGTTGGGCAACGGCTTTACCTTCATGGAGTTCAACGGCGGCGACGTCACCTACTATCTCGGCGAGGAAACCGAGGACGAGAAGCGAGAGAGGCTCCAAGAGGTAGACTCTTGAACGGCTTCCCAATTCTGGGTATTATGGAACTTTCTAGAGAAGAGCTTCATTACCACAGGGATTGGAATACTGACTGACATGCAAGGATTAGAATGGCATTTTTGAGGGGCCCTCACTTCGGTACAGCAGGTACATTTCAATGGAGCTTTCGGTAACCAGCCGTCGACTAATTTCGAGTTTATTCTAAGCATAAGCAAAAATGGAGCTCACACAACTCCGATGTCTGGGACATTTCGATTCAATTGGAAAGATAGTTTGGATTCTAAGGTACATTTGCTTTGAAATCACTAGCGAAGAAATTACTCCTTAGGTTCATTACAGTCGTTGAGATGATGCTCTCGCTCAGTGATATTAGAGGTATCGTCCCCTTCAACCGCCGTGAGGTCTGTGTGTCTTTTTCGGCTTCTTGTTTTTGACGATAGAGCCTAGAATTTGAGATTGAGATGCCGAAGAGAGTTTATTTTCGACTTGTCCAGAACTAGGGTGATGGAGGGCTGGCACTGCAAAGGCTCCATGTGTTACTCTGGTCATTCGGCTCCGATGCTTCGAGTCTTTAGGGCCAACAATCCTCTCCGTGGTCGGCGCACCCAGAATGCATGGGCCAAAACCTAAAAGTCTTAAGTGCTTACAATCTTTCAAAAGTGTTGTACCATACGCCAACTCATAGGCGGCAGTGGAAAGGCTGCGGAATCGGACCTTCGCCCCGAAAACAGTCCAGACGGGAATTGTTAGTTGCAGAATGGAATCCCTACTTTCAATTGGACAGACCCTGAGAGCCCTACTAGTGAGTGTCGGTTCTACTCAGGGTATAAAGCGCATTAGTACATAGAATCAATACTTCGCTTACACCGTTCAGAGTGCCCCGTCTCTTACCAGCGATGATGAGTCATTCGGCTAGTGTCTTTCCAGTTTCTTGTCAAACAACCCACAGAAGAGAGACGACAGTACCATCATAAAACGAACAACCTCGATATCCTCAACAATCATGTCGACCCGTAAGACCGCTGGGGGCCTTCTTCGAAGCCTCCTTGCCAACAAAAAAGGACATTATCATCGTTCCCGGTTTCTACGATGGTATGAGTGCGCGGGTTGCTCCCGAGGTCGGAGATTATCATCCCCGCCGTACAGATGCTCCGCAGACGCACGACTTTGACGAGGCTGTTGGCCGATTCAAGGACGCTTTTACCGCGGGTGTCGATGTCGCTTTCTTCGAAGGTATCACTTCCAAGAAACAAGCAGAGCAAATATGCCATCCGTGGCCCCGAAACCCGTGCTGTTGAATATGGTCGAGCACGGGGCAACGCCGTCGATTACCTTGGCGGAAGCGCAACAGTTGGGTTTCGACATCATCATCTTTCCCTTTGCCGCTATCTTTCCAGCCTACGAGGTGATCAATCAAGCATACCACTAGCTTAAAAAAGCCGGCACCACGGGCGTCGCTGCCGAATACACGCTCAAGAAGCGATTCACCATCGTCGGCCTCGAGGAGGCCACCGCGCTGGACACCAGGGCCGGAGAGAACATGTATAGTGCCGTTTGAGGGACGCTGAGTGGAAGTGATTGGTTATTATTATTTTATACCTCTGTATTTACTTATACTACATAGTGGTAGAATAAATGAAGAAGAGAGTAAAATATCACATATTTGCTGAAATATTTGTCAGATTCGTCAGGACCTAGGATCTGAGATTCTTAACCGTCTCAGAGGGATCTCGGGCCCTTCTCCACGAACCCACGCTTGAGTAGATCAATGGGCAGAGACCATGGTAAAAGAGCATCGTTTCGACTTGTACCTCTCCCAAATTTCATTCGGGATTTTGGCTCAAGCCCCGCTTTCGGTATCTTGAGAATGCCAGTTCCTAGCGCAGGAAGTGAAAAGGAAGATCTAAAAAGGGGAGAGGTTTTGGGATGGTCCCGGAATCAGATCTAGTAGGAAATACGCACAAACATGAATGATCCAATAGCTTGATAAGAACTTGGTATCGATTGATGTATGGAGGTAATCGATATTAGTATCGACAATCATATGGTTGTTCTCTTTATATACCTTTGCTTCTTAGCCTGACATGACCCAAACTAAATTAGTCTACTAGTACTTCGACGAGTGAATACACAAACGATTGCAAGGACTTATACTTCTTAAGTAGTCAAATCTCCAGGTCAGCAACAACCCAAGAATTCAAGAATATATCAGCTCTTTCCCTCTTGTGACTAGTTCAAACATGAAGATAAAGACGACGTCGATACTGCCGTTCAAGCTGGTGAACGACCTTTCCCACCACGACTCGTACGTGCATGGGAAGTGGGTGCAGGCCAGATCTGGGCGTCTTTTCGCCGTCGTCGACCCATTTTCCGGCAAGGAACGGGCCTCGTGTCCGGACAACACAGTCAAAGGCGTAGAAGCGGCGGTTGCGTTTAGCTATAACGCGTTCCAACAGTACTCGACAAGCATCACCCCGCGAACCCGCGCGCGGCTCCTCATGAAGTGGTACGACGTCTGCTTGTCCGCGCGCGAGGATTTGGCGACACTACTCACCTACGAGATCGGAAAACCTCTAGCCGAAGCAAAAGAGGGGATTGATTGTTCCCTTGGCTTTCTCTGGCGGTGTTTCGGCGAGGCTGAGCGCATCAAAGGGTCTATTGCCGTCCATTCAGTCCAAATCGTCACACACTGGTCGTTAAACAACCTATCGGTGTGGCTGTTGCACTTGTGCCCTGGAATTTCCCTATCGCCATGGTTCTTAGAAAGGCCGGCGCGGACTTGGCGGCGGGGTGTACAATGGCCGTTAAACCTAATCCGGAGACACCCATTACTTGACTGGCTCTGGCGCACCTAGCCACTACGTAAAGCTGGGTTCCCCCTCGGCATGTTAAACGTGCTTACCACGCGGCTCCAAAACACCCCGGCCTCATCGGAAGCTATGTGTCTCCACCCACTGGTGAAAAAGGTTACTTTTACCGGCAGTACGCGCGTGGGAGAGATAGTTGCTAGTCTATGTGCCCGCAATCTCAAGAAATGTACACTCAAATTGGGAGGGAACTGCCCGTTCATAATCTTTGACGAACGCCGACTTGGACCAGGCGATCGAGCAATTTATGGCGCTAAAGTGGAGGCAAGCCGGACAGGCGTGTATCACCGCGAACCGCCTATAGGTGCAAGCGGGCGTCCACGATCGATTCTTGGCCCTGCTCAAGGAGAAAAAGGCCAAACTGCTCATCGGCCATGGCGTGGCCAGGGAAACCACCATGGGACCTGTGACAATACCACGAGCCCTGGAAAGATTGCAATTACAGATGGGCGAGGCGCTATAGCGTGGGCCACGCTGGTACTCGGGACTGGCAAGGCCACCACCGGCCCTGAACTTAATAATGGCTATGTTATGAGCTCGACCATCCTCGCTAACATGAAGGCCGATATGGTAATGGCTCGGGAGGAGGCTTTTGCCCCCGTTTGTGGTTTGTTCAAGTTCGATATCGAGGAAGAGGTCGTAGCGCTGGCTAACGACACTAGTATGGGACTTGTGAGCTACGCCTTCACCAAAAACGCCGATCGTCTTTGGAGGATGTTAGATAGCCTAGACGCAGGAATGATAGGCCTGGTAAGTTGAAATAAACCCGTTTCGCAAGAGAGAGGGAGAGACTGTGTGTGCGTCCTCTGAAACATGAATAGTAACACATGTTTTCATCCAACAGAACACCGAAAACTCCAATGCGGCAGAGTCGCCCTTTGGCGGCATCAAAGCGGGTGGTTACTGCAAGGAGAGTGGTACGGACGTCGCTGTCAACGAGTATCTAATCTCCAAGACAGGGACCCTGACTCTGTCTGGCCACTACTAAGGGAAGGCCTTTGGGGCGGGCGGACTCACACTCTAGACAGGGCGAAAATTGATTTTGAGTGTTAACGGGAACGAAATTCACAAAGCTTGGGAGATCTTTATCCTGACTAGAGTATTTGCAAAAATACAAGAATCCTCTTTCGACATAAATTGTGTTTAATATGTACCAGGCTCGTATTCGGCACATTATGCGTCATCAGCAGAGGGTTAGTACTGGATGTAATTCTATAGACACACGAACCTAATGGCCTCCCTATAGAGCATTCGGGGCATGCTCAATCAGTGATGATCCTAACATTTGGCACAGAACCAGGGTTTCCGTCCGCAGTCAAATGTCGCATGATGTCCTTCACCGCATCGGCTTTGCGACTCGTCAAACTGGCCGGACCCTGTGGCCCCGGGTCGTTGAGGAGCGACACCTCTCGCCACTTGACGACGTCGCAGACCTCGAGGACCGTGCCGCTTTTATACTTGGCGTCGGTGAGGAGCGCCAACATCGCCTTAGCAACAACCTCGGGCGGGAGGAGAAAGTCCTTCTTCATGTCGAGGAATTTGGAAGCCTTAGGGTTTTCCGTGAATAGCGGGGTCTGCACTGTCCTGTAAGTAAAGGTCAGTTTACCGCTGCCCGACGAGAATACACCCTCGCCACATCCCCGAATACTTCGTCAGGGACAAGACCATTCCTAACAAATTCGATGCTTGCTTTTCTACTTACCCCGGTGCGACCCCCACGACACGAATGCCGGCCAGGGAATCCAAGCTGGCCATCCCTCTGATGAAGCTGTTTATGCCGTGCTTGCTTGCCTGATATAGCGGTGTGACCAGACTCGATCGTTGGCCCGCAATGCTAGACACGTGGATGATGGTCCCCTTTTTCCCCGCCTCGATCATGTGTCGAATGGCGAGCCGAGACATCTTGATAGGGTGCACGAGGTTGATATCGAGCACCTTGTACCGAGAGTCACTGTCATTATCCTCCCAAAACGAGTTCGCGGAGGGCTCGTACACACCGGCTCCTGGAACCACAATATCGGGCACGGTGCCAAACTTGTCATGGGCGACAGTAAAAGCCCACTCCAGCTGAGCCCAGTCGGTGACGTCGGTCTTGATAAATTCAACCTGAGGACTACTCGTCGTCGACAATGGCCCTATCTGCTGGATGGATGAGAGCCACTCCGTGGCCCTGGGATGGAGGGCAATGTCCGCGATAAGTACGTTGCACTTTGCCCCAAACAATAACTTGACAAATTCGAGGTTGATGCCGGAGCCACCTCCGGTCACGATGGCGACTTTTTCTTCCAGCTGATCCATTCTGGCCTTTTGTAAAGAGAATATTCCAGTTTGGTGGTTTTACAAGTTGGATCAAAATTTCGACAGGCTTTAAACGTGATTTTATTACCTGGTTGAACAAGATTGGGTATTCGACACAAGGAAAAGACAATCAGCCTCGGTAGTCACATGTCCTTCGTTACTTGACGAGGAGTAAATAGTGGAGATGCGGGGAAATCTACACCTGCAGAGACAAAAGTACCCATTCCGGCGTCTCCGGCGTCTCCGGCGTCTGTAGCTTTACCGGCATCTTGGAAGGATCCCGTAAAGCTGGCCGCCCACGTGACTCTGCTGCTTGGCGAAACCCTGCCAGCTAGCATGCGCTCATCAGATATGTGTTCCCATCGACAAATATCTCCTCCTTAATTCGACCAATCCCACAGGCTGAGCGCTAGGCGATTTGATGGTGAAGTTCTTTGGGAGATTTATGTCTAGAAGAGTGGCCATGATAACTTGTTAGTCTCCCAGTCCTCAAGAGTAAATAGCTTTGGGAAGGATTGATGTTGTTCCTGTCATCCTGGGCAGCGAAGTGCGATACTCTACAATTCGACAGATGCAAGAGGACGTCTTCCGTATATCGTCTTGGCTAGCACATAAAATTATCTGTAGACTGAATGTTCCAGCTACCCGCTCTTGAAATGTGAGGAGGGCTGGTGACCTCCTAAACAAAAGCTATAAAGCTCAAGCTCGCTTCGCGAAGACCAGGTTCAACGGTTTTGTATACACGACACCAAAACCATCAGATCTGTCAGCAAGGAACTGAGGTTCGTCGTTTGCCGTTGCGAAGGTAGAATCGTATTGGTCGACAATCCTCGCTGTGACGTCTCTTAATTCTGACAGGGCCAGCTGTTTGCCTGCGCAAGCATATCTTCCTGTAGTACGGACACATTGTTAATTTCCCAGTCACTCTGAGTGATAACCATACAGATCGAGGTTTTCTTACCACTTTGAAATGGAATGTAGACGGAACTGTCTTCGTGCGACATGCAGCATGTAAAACTCTGATAGACGACCCAAGAAAGGTCCAGGGAGTCGATTCAAGCGATAGAAAAATAAACGATAGGTGGTCACACTTCCAAAGTCTCCAAGAAGATGGACGATAGCTAGACCGAGTGCTTTCGCCCCAATTATAGCAAATAATAGAAACGCCAGGCTACTTTCTTGGACAGGGCCCACTAAACTTCTTAGGAATACTAGCAAGAGTAGGCCAAGGAAGGGATAACATAGACGCATGAGGGATATGTCCCATTCGCCGTGACGAAACAAGGCAAGAGGAGCACAAATTCCCAAAAGGAACGAGGCTATCTCTGGTCGTACAAGCATGGAAGACTGTACAGCCTGATGGATGGTTTGAGCCGTTATTGATTGCCACAGAAAAGGAGTCGAGTATTCATGCGATGAATAGCTTACTACTCAGGAGCACAGTATCTAGATTCTAGTATTCCTTGGATTGCGACGGGTGGACGCAATACACATCGAGTAACACCAAATTGAACGCCTTTAATGATTGTTATAGATCTTGACGGCTTGAAGCGCTCACGGCATTGCGCCGATTAGCCTTGAATGGCACTGCGTTGATCCCTCGACCGCTTACGGCGCTGCTCCGATTGGCTACGCGCCATTCTGTTCGCTCACGACGTGTGGTGATTGGATGCCAGCTCAGCGTTACATGAAAGAACGTTAAGCATACTCCAGAATTCAGTCATGGAATAGATCACCTCAGACTGCGCTTGTAAGCTCATGAGGTCAAAATACTAAATGGCCAATGACAATGTGAAGCTGGATTTGGATTGACACAGGTCAATTTCTTTATGACGGCTATGCTAAGCGGCCAGTGGCTCAAAGCAATAGTCTGAATATGCTAGTTACGCAGAAAGTGCGCACTGCATCATGTTCATAGGAGAGTCCTGACAAAATTGGCGCAAGATATCCATGACAATTCTTCACAGGCGGACTGGTCTCATGCAGGCAGCTCGTAGCAAGTGCTCTGATGTCCAGGTCTTTGCAATCCTCCATCTTGGACAGGTCCTTTGGGTGACCGAGGGGACCGGGGGAAGAGGTGATTGCCTCCAACTTCAGCGCTCTCAGGTCTAGGAGACCAGCCGTAGGCATATATTGGCGACCTCGTGGTGCTTTCATCCGCAGCCAGTTCAGACTTGTGACCTGACCAGGAAGTGCTTCTCAAGTCAGGATCAGGTAAGTGTGGTGTTACATCATCGGGAGGGAGTGGTGTTTGCTCGTCATCTCTTCTACGTTTCAAGCATTTCCGGCACAGCAACCCTAACAAGACCACAATTATCACCGCACCTAGTACCCCAAACACCACGCCTATTATCGCATCTTTCCCCAGACTGTGAGCCGATGATGACTCTTGAGAGATTGGTTGGCTCGCATTTGAGGTTGGGAAGATGGACGATGTCGAAAATGATGTCCTGCTCGTCGCTGACAAGACCGACTGTGATTCTTTGCGTGTGGAAGTCGGGATTGAGGTGCCATCGAGGCTACTGGTGGCCCCAGAGAGACTGTTTGGTATTGGGTCAGAGGAGTGTGCAGCGGAGGCCGCTGCGGCATTCTTCCACGTAACGGTCCCGCCATGCGAGGCCGGCAAGGACATGATATTATCGAGTGCGGTGGAGTCGGTGAAGGCGACGGTTCTAGAGGTTTTGGGGCAAGTACAGGCGGCAGGACTGCTGATAGTCATTCCTTCATCTTCACAGGCGATCCACTCGTTTCTATCGTCGTTGTACGTCGGTTGACAAAGGACTAAGCCTGCCCATTGCTGGTCTACGCAATGAATTAGCCCGGTGCAAGCGATCATGTGTATATTACTCGCACCTTGAAACGGGGTCTTGTCCGGACAAGTCGCATCTTGATAGTTGGGGTCGGTGCAGCCAGCCAGATAGGTGACACCATACTGACCATTATAGCACGCCCGCGAAGACAAGCACATGTCGAGGCTTTCGCAACATGTTTTGTGGCCCAGTGCACCGTTACCGCAAGGTATGTATCTCGATGACAGCCTGCTACCGTCTCTGTAGTAGCATGTACCATTAGAGATGTCCGGATCGAAGTCGTCCATTGCGTTGGATGCAACGAGGCGAAGGGCAAAGAAGTGTGATTGTGAAATGCACCATCCATACAAGCAGATGGGAGAACAAAAAGCTGAGAGCAGTGAGTATAACAATGTAGATGTGGATGGAAAGTGATAGTGAGTGACAATTGATTGATTGAAGACAGATGGTGTGTGGTAGTGAGAAGATGATGGTGGGTTGAGGGACTGAAGATCTGTTGAAATTCACTTTCTGCTGCTCGTGCTCGTGGCTGCCTCGTTTGTTTCTCGAGGTTAATTTGGCAGGAGCCGTGTCAAAGCTGCAGCTTCCCGAATCGACAGACAGTCGAGGGCTCGAGGTAACACAACCTCAAGTCATGACATCGTCCATGTGTCAGGTGTCAAGTCTGCATCGCAGGCAGGAGGGCGAGGCCGTGCGAGGTCACGAATGTGAACAACTGAAGTGATGGAGACCAGAAGAAATACCCACCATGTCATACCATGTCTCGAATTCATGTCAGAATCCTGCTCTCTTCCCATTTTCTCCTCGACCCCAGAAGGTCCCTTTGCCCGTAAATTTCCCCAACTACTGTGATGACCATGTCAAGAGCGGCGGCTATCAATCTGTCCCGTTCTGTTGCCTTCCCAAGCTCCTCTTCAACACTGCCAGCCTGTCTAGCCGAGAAAGTGCCCTTTTCATCCGCGGGCAGCGTTCTCTCGCTTCGGTGTTGCTCATCTTCGCTATCACCATCATCAATGTCATTTTCTAGCGAACCCAGATCGCTATTTGAGGTGTGCTGATTGGAGTCCATGTCGAATCGTGCCTGAATATCGATTGCTCTCTGGGCAAGCAACCGGAGTTCACCAATCTCCTCGCTCGATAACTCCCCACGATCACGACATTTGCCTAGAGTGGCCCAAAGCCATGCTCCTACTCGTGATACAGTACCCTCATCCCGCGAGCTGAAATATATATTCAGCTTCTTCCTCAAAAGAGTAACCAATTCCAGCACTGATTTGGGGTCCATGACAGCAATTTGGGCGGGATGGGGGTCAACGGTGCTGACAAGGGCCTCCCACTGGACTCTCGCTTGTCTAGAATCCCCTGGAAACGATATGAGTCTTGAAGACGCGAGACTTTCTAGGACCGCCAACGGGGGAGTGCATCTCATAGTCGCTTGTACGACTCTAAATTGCTTGAGAAGAGCGTCATAGTAGAATTCTTGCGCGTCTGGCGGTGTCTCGCCCTGCTCTGTAGAAGGGTCTGCAAGCGCAGTGTATGTGCCGTCATAGTAGACGCCTCCGCCATTCCCCTGCACCGAAACCGTATGTTTCTGGAACCCAACGCTTTGAGTCGACGGAACCGTCAAGATATGTGGAACACCCCTCGCTTCGGAACTGGTCGAATGTTAGCCCCAGTCCAAAGTGATGGCCTCTCTGAAAGAACCATTCTCAGCGAAGAGCTTCCAAAGGCCAGGGGAAGAAGATACTCACCGAACCATTCGCAAATAATCTATTCCATCCGATGCAGGCCCGTAGAAGAGGTCATCAGAGTCCTTTCCAAGCCCCGGAAAGGCGCCAGCTTGGCCAGTGTATTCATCAAGCTGGGGCTTCTCTTTCGACTCCTCCTCGTCTGCACTATCCCACTCAGGTGCTTCATAGTCCCTGTTATGCCGTTTGGAAGCAGGTGGTGAGTCGGCCTCGGGCGACGAAGTGTTGCGGCGTTTCCGAGACATCTTTGGCCACTAGTCGCGTTCAAGTCATCTCTAATGATGAGTTTATTGCTCTCCTTCCAGCATGAGAGAGTCCTAAAGTGCTTGCATTGCAAAAGGAGAAGATTTGGGCGCTACATGGGATGCACTGAATGACCGCAGGTTAATAAACATTTCGGGACGAAGTTGACGCTGCCTTCTCCTTGCAGCACGTGACTATGTCCGGCCGCGGGGTACAGCGACTTCTCCAATTCCAAGTTGCTCACAATATTTTTTATTGTTATTCCACCTTCATCCCCGCACACGGTTCCTCGGCCTTTCCCGACCAGTGCACTACCCGACGACAGACTCATTGAGTTCTTCTGCACGACCATGCATCACACACTCGTCGCTGTTTACGAACCTTGCCTGGGTTAATTCAAAGCATCAACCATAAAGCAATTCTAGAAGATCTCTGTGAAACACTCTAATTAGTCTATATTTATACCCACATCCGCACGGAGTACTCGTTCATCATAACGGCCCTGTGTTAGGATTCGTACGAACAATGGCATATAAAGGATCAACCCCCAGCAGCGCCTCCGTCAGCGTATCCTCACGCATCGTGGCTTTCTACGAGAACTTCTACGCCGTATCCGACAATCCCGACACCCACGAGGAATACGCACGCTCATTCACCTCCACCGCGGACATCATCATGGGCACGAAAGCCGCCAAAGGCTACGACGAGATCCTGGAACTGCGGAAGGCCATCTGGGCGGGACCCATTATCTCGCGGAAGCACATACTCGAGAAGATCTTCCCCTTCAGCGAGAACGAGGTCATGGTATACGGCAATGTCACGTATGGGCTGAGAAATGGCAAGGAAGTCACAGTTGACTGGGCCGGGAGGACAGTCTTTGAGGATGCCGACGGAGACGATGGCTTGAAGATGCGGTTTTACCAGGTTTATCTTGATTCCGCGCCGGTTGCGAATGCCGCGAAGGATTAATTTGGCCGGGATAGATGATGGGAAAGGGAAATGACGGGTCCAAATCGTTCGATATTTGTGTATGGCAGGCTACCAATATGCAGCAATGGGAAGAAGCCCAATCCACGCGTAAACATACACTAGGTTACCATTCTTGTTGTCAAGCAGATTGCAATTCGCTTTGGGAGCCCGACTTGGGGAACACGAACGAGGTTGAAAATTGCCACATGGGACAGCCTCCTCTGTTTCGTTTGCACATTCATCTAGTGTCTAAGGTATCTAATCGTACCATGTACCAGTCCAAACGAGGAACGCTTCACGCCTTTCGATGATTTTATTAGCCCCGCAACTCTCTCCCTCCGCCTCTAACTATATTGGATCTGGTTCTGGCGTCTTTTCCTAAGGCCGCAGTCTTTGGGGGTCGCGGGGGAACGGAGTCGCCTGCCTAACATTATCCAAGCCTAAGAAGAACTGAACAATTCTGTTCAATCCCAAACCACCTCCAGCATGGGGCTTGCAGCCTTGCCTGAACGCATCGACATAGTCAACGAAGCCTGGAGAAGCCGGATCGACGCCTTTGGCCCTCATCGACGCCTCTAATTCCGCTGCATCGTTAATCCGCTGGGCGCCAGACATTATCTCTTCTCCGCGCATGAAGAAATCATACGAATTGGAGAGATTGGGATCGGTAGGGTGGGGTTTGGTGTAGAATGGCCGGACAACCATGGGGAATTCGTCGAGAACGTAGAAATCGGTGTCATACTTTTCACGAATCAGCTGTCCCAGCTTCTTCTCCTGTGCAGTCGTCAGATCGGTCACGAAGTTGTCCTGCTCCGTAGTATCAACGCCAGCGTCGCGGAGAATCTTGATTCCATCAAAATATTTGAGACGGAGGGCCTTGTTGTCCTTGATACGAAAATCTCCAGCCCGTGGGAAGAACTTCTGAATAACGGTAATCTCGTCCTTATATCTGGCGTTGAGTTCGTTGACGATGAAGACGATCAGCTGCTCGGCAAATTCGAGCACTTCATGGTAGTGGCGCTTGAAGACCATTTCGAAATCAAGGCCAGTGAACTGCATCGCTATTAGTTAGGCAGCGAGAAGAGGGTTGCCGTTGAGATACTCACTTCTGTCATATGGCGATGGGTGTTGCTGTTCTCAGCTCGGAAAACAGGTCCAATCTCAAATACGCTCTTGCAGTCGCCTGCAATGAGCATTTGCTTATACAGCTGAGGGCTCTGCGCCAAGTATGCACTCTTTCCAAAGTAATTGCTGACTTCGAACACGCCTGAGCCGCCCTCAGTAGCAGCACCAAGGAGTTTAGGCGTGTTAAATTTCCTTGACCCGCTCTTCCACATGTACTCAGAGAATAGTTTTTCGACACCGTCTGAGATTGTGAAGATGGCTTGATTGCATTCTGTCTCTAGATCAATGACGCGGTTGTCAAGCCTGGTCTTCAGTGTGACAATTGGTGCTCCATCGGCATCGACCGTGCCCTCTTCTGCAGTAGCTGGTGGAGGACGCTCGGCGTCTTTCACCTGCATGGGGAGTACCTCAGAAGCGGATGAGATCAAGTATATCTTGGTGACATGCAGTTCGAGGCCACTGATGGTTGCAGATGCGATTGGAGTACCTGGCTTCTTGACAACCCCGGAGACTTCGACATAGGAATTGGCATTGATGCTCATCGCCCACTTGATCATTTGCTTTGAAACAGAGTCGTCGGTGGCAGCCATGACTGCCTGGATAGTTTTGCCTTGTTCTCTCAACATCAGGAAAGCGAGCTTCGCACTTTGACCTCTGCTGTTGTGTATCCTCACACTGACAGTGATTTCTTTGTCAACATAGTCATCGTTCAGGCTCTTCAACTCCGTGTATTCGACTGCCGGGGGTAATGTTGTTCCATAGTTGTCTTTTGCAGTATCTTCAGCCCCTTGGGACTGCTGAGCCGCTCTCTTCTCCTCATCAGCCTTCTTTGCTGCAGCCTTCTTCGCAGCCTTCTCGGCCTCCTTCTGTGCCTTTTTCAGGGCATTTTTGGAGGGTGCACCATCAGCCGCAACATTGGGATTCTCCTTCGCATGGGTTGGGAGGGAGGCTTCAGACATGGCGGAATGGGTGACCAGACTAGAAAAGTAGAAAGAGGTCCTAGAGCAGGATATGAGTGATATAAGAGGCAGTTCGAGAATGCGTCTGATAGTATTGACTCACTCAGAGTCAGGTGAGAGCCGCAGGTGAAAGTGGGCTGCAAAAAACGTGAGTGCGGGGTGGCTGTCGTCGCTTCCACTGGTTGCTGCCCCTCGTCACTGCGTGGACGCTTGGCTGGCTTGCGGCAGCCTTGCGGATACTGCCGTCTTGGTGGACTTTTAGGCCCGGGTCATCCTTTTTTCTAAGGCCGAGCGGCCCCAGGGACCCTAACTTGAGAATCTCAGAGGGAAAAGACGAGGCCGCACCTGTAGGGGCCACGCCTCAAGAACATTACTGTACTGGAATGATCAGTGGAGTCAAGTTTATAAGTCTCCACTCGCGATGCTTATGTGAAGGATAAGTAATCCTTATCAAATCGACTGGCCAGCAGAAACCATTTGAGAATAACAGAGTGATGACTCCGTGCCGAACCTCTCGCTTTTCTCCCTGATGTAACTCAAAACCTGCCTCATGCTGGTGCCTGCCTAATGGGTATATATCAGTCATTCACTGGTCATTGCTCATCATGTTACGATCTCATTGCGGTGCCTGCCGCAGCTCTGCCAGCAATAACCGTTTCGTCGCATCGTCGGCCACCCACCTTTCTATTCTTTCAGCAGTATCTCCCACCATTTTGACATAAGTCTCATTCGTCTTGAACATGGACGTATGTGCGACCACTTCATCCACTCCTTCCATGTACACTCTGATCCAAGTTGGATCCCTCTTTCCAGTGCTTGAGTCCTTGCCAGGAAGCGCACAGAATTTGCGATCTTTCTGCTTCCTGGGAATCTGTGAGCCGGACTGCTCCAGATCGGTCTGCTGCTTCAAGTATTTGTCATACTCTTCTGGGTTAAGAGTGGATGATCTTTTCAGTTGCTCCTTCTGGGTTCGGAGCTCATCTTGCTTGATTTGGTTGGCTTCCTTTTCTTCCCTCTTCGCGGCATCTCGTTGTCGTTTTTGAATGAACTTCTCCCGGTCTTTGACCGACTTAGCCCTATCCTTCATGGCCCTCTCGTACGCTTTTATCTCACGCTCGTGCTCCTTTCGAGCGAGTTTCATGGCATCCTCGTCATTATAAGGCGACGGATCGAAGCTAGGAGGGGGCACTGGCAACGGCGGTAACGGTGGCAGGCCATCCTCGTTCGATTGGCCTAATCGCTGTATTGACTCGGACGACGTTACAGATAGTGTTGACTGTGATGGCATTGGAATGAGGGTTGAGGTATCTACACTGTCACCGGGAAATGCGCTAGAGGTTGTAGATACTGTAGATACCGGTGTTACTTCGTGGGCTGGAGGATCCAGGTCGATGTTGAGCTCAGCAATTTCTTTGGTTATGACTTCGCCGTCTCGATGCTCTTCGAGGGAGAGTCGTGGACTGGGTGATGGTGGAACGGTAAGGCTACGATCTGTGCCGTCTTCAGAAGAGCGTCTGGTCATGGTTTCCATCTCGGTCGTACTACTGGGTGGTTCCAAGAGCGAGCCTGGCCGTGGTGGGGATGGTGACCGCTCTTTGATTCTTCCACTGCTTGCGGAGTAATAGTTGACAAACCTGACACGTCTCATCAAGCGACCATTAGGAGCTCTGGGTCGCAATAGCTCGTCCACATCTTCCAAGGCACGAATCTCGTTGTATCGTCTTCTCAGTCCAGGATAGTCAGCTAGAACTCCACCAAACTCAACGTGTGACGAAACATATTGGCCTGTGGCTTTCATCAACTCGCCGGCATGCTTATTCCAAAAGTACCAGGCTCGTTGAAGTTTCCCCTGTCGATTAGCCAGATGTACATCATTTGAATATGTCGGGTTGAAGTTAGGATCTAAAGGAGAGAATGGTCCTGCAAAGGGGGCCTCAGTCGGTCGTGGGCTTTCGGGAAGCTCAGGAGGGGCCCGGAATAAACTGGCAATACCCGTGCCAACGACACCTGGATGCATTCCAAGAAAGGGCACATCAAAAGCAATCAGGCCCAGGAAGCGGTGCTGGAAGAATTCATTGCTTCCGGGTCTGTGCGATGGGATCAGAACAACTTCAGCCGCAAGTATGCCACCGAGGCTGTGTCCAACTAAAATTACATCAGTCGTTTCGGATTCGTGTGGTGCGAGCCTGTTGGACTTTAGCCAGGCATCGCTTCTGTCAACAGGGATACATACCAGTTGCTGAAGTCGTCTTTGGCAAACGAGACATTCTTCCGAGATTTATATCGAGGATAGATCTTGGTGTAGACAACATGGGTCTCCGCCAAGGATGCGGTTATCAAAGAATGGACGTGAGCAGGAAAACTTTGAAAGCTGGTTTCGTCCCCAAGGAACCCATGGATATAGATGATAAGCAGCGTACGTCGGCCAGTGCTTGTAGCAGATTCAATTGGGCGGAGAGACTGTGTGGATGAGGCTCGAGGATCATGTAGGCCACCTGAATAAGGGCTGTTCTGTTTGTCTGCTGGGCGGATGCTAGGAGATGAGGGACCTGCTGGGGAAAGATATTGAGTGCTTTGCCCAACCGAGACTGCAGACTGTGGCTCGCCTGCAGAGGTGTTTGGCTGCCTTCTAGGGGGGAGAGGAGGCTTCTGCCCTACCATCATGGTGAGGATGGCGAGGAGGAAACGTCTAGCTCATTGCACCACTCGTAGAGGGGCTGAGCAAAGATTTTACCAATTTTCATCAGGTCGATCCTGGGCGGCTAATCAACAACGGCCAAGGTGTCAAACGTAATGCGACGAGTCAGTTCATGGAACTTCCACGCACTCTAACGGCCTGGCCAGGTTACAGTCGTCTCGTATTATTGTTCTGTTCTCAAGCTGCCTGAAGCTTGTTTACGCAGCCTGGAAGTGTGAAATATTACTCGTACGATTGGGGTGGATGCATTTCTCTACCCCTGTCTGACACTTCCTTATACCCGCTCTTGGCACTTGAATCCGCCTGAACGCGCTTTATCTTTCTGTCTGACATGGGCAGTGGACTGAGTCATAGTTGGTTCCTGGGACGAAAGACATACGTCACCGGCAGGCACGACCCGCGCCTGCGCCTTCAGAAACTCTCCTCAGAAACCTTCGTACTTTTCTCCAGATCCGTTACTCGTTGTCTCCCCACCTGTCGTGTCTACTATTGCAAGCTCGCTTACGGGTACATTTGCGCTTTGTTAGCTTTGTTGATTGGATCTCTCGAGTTTTCAACCATTCTCATGGCTCCTCCGGTTGAAATATCCATCCCAAACACCTCCGTCGGGGGTGGCTCAAAACCATACACGGTCTATAATATCACTCTTCGCCTGCCGCTACGCTCATTCACTGTACAGAAGCGATACTCAGATTTCCTTGCACTCCACTCCGGCTTAAGCAATCAGGTTGGGATTCCACCTCCCGCCACTCTTCCAGGCAAATCCTGGTTCTCCAAAACCGTGTCCAACCCCGACCTCACAGAAGAGCGGCGGCAGGCATTGGAACTATATTTACAGACGATCAACAATCATGATGATCCAAGATGGCGCACTACAAGTTCCTGGAGAGCCTTCCTAAATCTTCCCACTTCCTTTTCCAACACCACATCCAGTAAGGCCGGTGCCCTGCATTCGGTATTATCTGGACCCGGAGGAGGTGGTGCCCCTATCACCGATGCTGTTGTGTGGTTGGATTGCCATCGAGACCTGAAGAACCAGCTCCAAGATGCACGTCTGTGCCTGACCAACCGAGACCAAGCCTCGACACCACAGAAACAACACGAAGCAAGTGCTGCCGCCAAGAGCTCCCTTGTCAAATCCGGAGGCATGATCACCGCCCTGGAAGAGGGGCTTTCAAACATCCAGAAATCCGTTGGCAGCGGTTGGGATGGGCAAAAGCTTGGGGAAGGCGAGATAAGGAGACGGAAAGATCTCATTGCCTCGGCGAGAAAGGACAAGGAAGGACTAGAAAACCTTCTGAATGCCATGGTCACCAAGTCTAAATTAGATACCGCAGTCGCTTCGATCCAGGACAAGCAGAGTCTTGTTGGGAACAATCCTAAACCAAAAACTGGAGGGCGAGTTCTGGGCAAGGAGACTGCAGAGACGAGGGAGTTAGATAACGAAGGTGTTGTTCAACTACAAAAACAGAAAATGGCCGACCAGGATCTCGACGTCGAGGAATTGAGGAAGATCGTGCACAGGCAGAAAGAGCTAGGCATTGCCATTAACCAAGAATTGGAGGTTCAGAATGAAATGCTGAGGATGGTGGACAAAGATGTCGACCGTGTCCAGGGCAAGATTGATATAGCAAAACGAAGAATCGGCAAGATCTCCTGATCCCTGTCTGAATTCTGCTTGGGTCATCATACTTCATTACCGGGGTATCCTTTTATTCATACAAACTCTTCACCTCAATCCAACCCTGGAAAGACGGAAATATCCATCGACAAAGGAACAGGAACGCTCATGATTTGGATTTCATGAAAATGTCTGCCTCCTCCCGACTAACATTTGATGCGGCAGATACATCCGAGTTTATCAAGCCGAGTTTGGAAATGCGGATCTTGTACCACAACTCCGTCCTGTCCCCCCCGAGCTCTTTTGCCAAGATCTTCTTCTTGATCTGGCGTAAAGCATTGTTGTACAGTTCAGGTTCCTCCATCCCAACCATCTCGTCACGTACCGTACCCAGGATTTCGAGGACTCTGGCATAGTTCTTCTCTCCGAAACTGGTCTTAATCTGGTCCTCCATAATCGTCGACATCTGCGTTACACCGTCCTTGACGGCGTCAAGATCTGTGGTTGATGCCAACAACTGCTTGAATTCAGGGACGGCATTGTTTGAGGAAATACTAGAACGATTTTCTTTGCGGAAGAGGTCTTCGACGTTGAGTCCGGACAGAGGTTTCTCCACGTCGCGATATCTCCTGCGACCCTTGACCTTGGGCGGAACTTTCTTCACATCGGCCGCCTTGATCAATTCCGCAAGTGCTTTCTTGCTCCTCTCTTGCAAGTGTTCGGCTTGTTTCGAATATGCTGTGAATGCCACTGGTTTGGGCGGCAGGCCCTCATCTGGATGGACAGCTCGATACTTGATGGCCCCTTCGATGACATGTAAGACCGGCGAGAATGTGTCATCCATTGCCATTTCCTCGTCGCCATCATCATCCACCATGTTCAGACTGTCAACGAAGTCGCTCATACTGTTTAGGAGATCATCATTCGGGAGATTGCGATGTTCCGTCAATTCTTTGCCTGAGATTGTGAGGATTTTGTCGAGTGGTGGGAATCGATAAGAGCGCAGGTCTTCGGCGAATGGAAGGATGTTTTCCACCAGGCACTCTATCTCCGCGTTTGCTAGAGGTGAAAGTACTGTTAAAATTGGCTCAGCCATGTCCTTCTTGACAAGTCTCGCGATTGCCACCGAACCCAGTTCATGCAGCGCATGTATCAAAGATGATAACGCGAGTGCAGCCTTGTCATTGCCCTTTTGTCCAACAATCATGTTTGCACTGTCAAGCAACATATAGCGTTCCACATTTTCGGCAGGAAGAAATCCTAAAATTTCATAATTTGTCTGTGTCTCGAGTTTGGTGATGTTCTGCTCCGTTTCGGAAATCGCCACGGCTGTTCGTCCGTACTCGTAGCCTTTGGCGAGCTCTTCTCGCTCGACGTTCTTCGTCCCATCTGCGGAGTTCTCGTCTTTGACTTTGTAAACGTATCTGGTGTGAACGCTACCGAGGCCGTCCTCCTCCTCCTCATCCGGGTCACCCTCTCTCATGACAAATGCGGTGGCGGTGGGAGGCCGCCTCACGGCGGTTTTAAAGTATCTCTCCACATCGATCGATACAGCTGTGTCGTACCTTTCGGGGTCACCGAGGCAGAGCCGGCCTCTATACGTCGGAGTCGGTCGAACAGCCTTGATCTGCGGACGAGACAGGCTGTCAATAGCTTCCTGCATCGTGCCAAACTCGCCCTCACTAAGCTCCACCAGCTGTTTCAGGGTTTGCTCGTTCCTCGCTTTCTGTGGGGACTTGTTCTCCTCCTTGACGCCGTAGTCTGGGTCATCAAAGTCGATGCCCAACACGACCAGTTCGATCCCGTTGTTTTTGAACTGCTCCGCAGTGTCCTTGATACCATCATCGTCAATTTGGCCCGTCGCATTCGTCACCACGACCACTTTCTTCTTGTACTTCAAGTGCTTGCAATGCCTCATGATCATGTCCACGGCAATGATGATGCCCGAAAGGACGTCACGATCGTCGGTTCTGCTGGGTTTCAACAGCTTAGGCAATTCTTGCAGCTGTGGCATGAGAATCTGTGTGATGGGTTGTAGCTCGCTGATATGATCGTAGCCCTCGTCTCCTTGCATCCCGTTGGCTGTCTTGTCTGTCCCAAGGCCCACGACCCCAATCTGGAGAGTCTTGCGGCCAGTGAAGACCGTATTGCTGATTTTGTCCCAGACATACTGAAGAGCCCAATCTAGGTCGCTTTGTTTGCGGCCGCAGTGTGTCTTGCCCATAGATTGAGCGACATCAATCACGTAGACGGTTGCTTCCTTGTCCGTCATCTTTGCGGTTCTTAAAGGCACCCGTTGAAGTATGGGGTGGTGAGATAGCAAGACCAGAATAATAAGAGCAATTCAGAGGACTACTTAAGAGGGGGGATCATGGAGAGGCAGCAAGCAGTCCCAGATCGCAGGGCATCTTTACATCGTAGGTGGAGGCAGTACACAGGTACTCTTACTCCTGGTGGTTGTAAGGTTCCACAATGCCACCTTCGCAGGCATCAGCACGCGCTTTCAGGCGGGGCGGGTGACGCGAGGTCACATGACAGCCACATTCAGCTTCGGCAAATGATAAGATTAGATATTCGGAGTTGTCCTCTTGCAGATCGTCATTGACAAACACCTGTTCCATGTCGTGGGCATCATCGTTGTTTCATCCCAGCAAGCAAGCAACCTCCTTTTCCTTCCCACGCCACGGTAGCACAACAGGAGTTAGTAGGAACATTCCAGCTTCTCTACACAATGTCTGAAGGATCTATCTTCTATTCAGCTGCGCCTTATCACATTATCAGGTTCGGCAAAGCCGATGTTCATACAAAGGGTCATTAACTCCACTAACATACGCGACTAGCTATGGCGCTCTCCTGGGTTCAGAGATATTCCAATCTTTTATTGGAGGTGTCACAGCATTCAGGACCCTCCCAAGGCCGCAATTTGCCAGTCTTCAATCCGCACTGTTCCCTATCTATTTCGGCATGCAGACGGCCCTACCAGTCGTCCTAGCATTGACTTTCCCCTCAGAGCGGACGGCCATAGGAAGCAGCGCCTCTGGTTTCGCCGGAGTTCTAGAACCTGCGAACAGGCTACATGTTCTGGCGCCGATCTCGATCATGTTCGTATCGGGCCTGCTCAATGCCGCCTGGATTGGGCCCCTGACAACCAAGACGATGCGCGAACGGAAACACCAGGAAACAAAAGATGGAAAGAAGAGTTACGATGCAGGTTCGCAAACTCCAGAGATGCAAGCCTTAAACAAGAAGTTCGGCCAATTACATGGTGCTTCCACATTGATAAATCTATTTGGAATCATTGCAACTGTCTGGTATGGGTTTTACTTGGGAGACAGGTTGACATAGATTTCCATGCAGTTTCCACTCAATAGACGAGCAAGCCTACGATGGACATACCCTATAGCCCCTCACGGTTCAATCTCACTTACCTTACCAGTTTGCCGCCCAGCTCTTTCAGCACGATCACAACCATCTCATTCTCGTTTTACCACGGTTGTTGGCATTGAGTTAATTCCAACTGCGTCATGCGCTCTCGAGATGCTCGGTGCCAGCCATGTTGGTTGGAGAATCAGCGGCCTTTTCGTTCCCCATCTGTCGTGATTTAACACGCTCGACACCAATGTCCTTCAAACTATGACCTGCCTTTCGCTGTCTTTCCAACTCGTTTGCATGGTAAGCATACTCTGCTCTCTCCTCCTCACTCATTTCTGGGCCGAGGAAGAGGAACAACAATTGGTATGCCCACACAGCCCCCATGAAAATGCCGATAACTTTCCCATAATCAAATCGCTTGACGCCATCTTTGGGAGGAAGTGGGTATCGCTCTCCAATGACAGATTGGATTGTGGCAGAAGCTGAAGATGCCAGGTTACCTAGCTGATACGTAACTCCGACCTGGAAGCTGATGTCAGTAGGAACAGCTTTGGCAACAGACTGGGTCACCTTCAAGAGATGCGCCTGGGGACACTCACTACTGTCGTTCGCAAGGCTGGTGGAGCCAACTCTTGGAGATGAATTGGAATCGGCCTGTTCACGTTTTGTTAGCATTATTAATTCCCTCGAACTGTTCTCCAATTAATCCTTACCCCCAGACACCGCCTACAAAAAATTGTAGGAAGAATGCCGAGGCTACCAGTACCATACTTCGAGGGAGAATATATGCAGGGACAATTGCTCCACCACAGACGCAAGCAGTCATCATGATGAGCCTCCTGCCCGTGAAGGTACTAAGGTAGCCCAGCATGGTACCTCCTAGCAGTGCACCCAGCTGGCCGACAACTGAGATCACCGTCACATCCGTCGGACCGAGTTCAACCTCTAGGACAGGTCAGTATGAAATGCAATGCCCAATCGGGAAAGGACCATATTTGACGTACGATTTTTAAGGAATGTTGGAAAGAAGTCTTGCGATCCATGGCTGCAACTGTTGAAACCTGCGCATCATCAGAGTTCTTTTCCTCGAAAATCTTGAAAACATGCTACCTGTCATCAAGACAACCATATAACATAGCAGAACCCAATTCATCTTCAGCCCGACTCCGGCATCTTTGGCCCAAGCTCTCAAACCTGCGTCTTTGATGTGTCCACTTGAGCTGTCATCACCTGACTTTTCAGCAATGAGTTGAGCCTCTCGCTCGGCAGCCATGACTTGGAATGCGTTTGTTTCTGGAAGAGCCAATCTAAAAATGATAATGAATACGGGTGGAACCTGGTTGGTGTTATTTATCAATAATATCGCTTTTAATGGGTTCAACTAACAGAACCGAACCAGAACAGCGATCTCCACCCATGGGAGGTGGTCGGAACCAGCTGTATCTCTGGTCAGCCACGATCTCCTCTCTGAATTCAAGACTTACAGCCCGATAAAAGACGGAGGCGAGAAGATATCCTAGAGCGTACCCCTGTTGGAAAAGACCAGACAGAAACCCTCGAGCATCATATGGGAGATCTTCGAGCGCTGTTGCAGCGGCCGGGCCGAACAAACCTGATTCTCTCAGACCTGAGACCAAATATCCAGTTGGGGACTACCTACCTCCCATGGCAATACCGTACAGTGAGCGGACACCGAGAAATTGTGGCAACGTGTTGCAGAACCCAGAGGCCAATTCGAAAACAATGAAGAGGCCGAGGTTAATGATCATTGGCCATTTTCTTCCATATCGGTCAGAAACTGTCCCGAAGATCAAAGCACCAACAGAGCGCAGCATCAAGGTGACAGTCATGCCCTTGAACAGGATTAACCACATCTCATAACTTCACTCATGCAACGGAATATGAACTCACCCAGGAGACTTGAGAGTTTGCAACGCCAAAATCTTCGGCGATTTCGGTGACGCAGAGGCTGACTGTGAAGAAATCGAAAGCATCCCAAGTCCAACCTATGAAGCCTACCAGGAACATAAGCCACTGGTGTTTGTCAAGCTCTTTCAATATGTGGTATGGGTTGCGAAGTCGAGTTCTGGGAGGCTTGAGACTTGTCGGCCTCGTCAACAAGTAACGCCCGATCTGTTTTGGCGAGTAAAACCATCCTGCTGCCATGTAATTACGCATGTTGAAGGGGGGGTAATGAAGCGTGGTATGTTAGGCAGACTGATTGCTCGAGAAGGAGAGAGAGACTGGCGAACATAGCATGCTCTACAGACGGGGCATCGTCTTCTACTAGTACCACAAGACACTGCCATGGCCCATACCTTGACGATACACCCCCACGGCCCACATCCTTGTTCTGTTGGACAAGCACCTTCCATTGTGATATAGCCGACCATGCAGCCAAGGAGTGAGAGAACGATCTCTTGTCCAATATCAAGGCAAAGCGGCAGAGAGGCACGGGAAACAACGGTGTCAACACCGGAGTGCATGGTGGTAGTGACAGCATTGATAGTCTGTCGATCACAGCGTGGAGGAGAACAGGTCCATCAACGTGCTGTTGTCAGGGGTTTACCCAACCTAGCTCGTCCTTGTCTACTAAACTCCGCACTTCGCTCAATCGCCTGTGAAGTAACTGTATCCTCTTTCGCGGGGCACCAGGTTAGAACACGATCCCAGGCAAGCCGTCAACTCCAAATGCATGTCTCCATACCTTCGCTCGACTCTTCTTCTGCATAACCCCACTCCCTACATAGGTCACCCAAGGGCTTCTGCCCGATATGCGCCATCCCAAGTAAGTCGCGAAGTCTGAAAACCTCGGAATCAAATGCTTCCCCGCACCAGATATGTAGCAGAGATGGTGGGTATATAGAAAACTAGGATTCTCTCTTCTAGCGTCCACGCTTCTATGTCATCACAACCCCTGTAGAGGGCTTATCAACTCCTCCGAAAATTGGCTCCTTCCCAAGTGAAGTCTTGTTCTGACGATCCTTCCTTGGCACCTCAACGGCAAAGCAAATCAGCGTCGAGCGTACCTTGGCACTTGCCCTAATCACGTCGCTGGTAAGCCACCGCGCACTTCGCTCACCCAGAAATCATTGTCGCTCACCATCTACGCTACATTCCCTTCACGATGCGTCATGTAGTGAGAGTCTACGATACGTGTACTCAAAGCCTTATCGTAAAGATACTTCGCAACAATAATGCGAGTGAAGGCCACAAGATACCTCAAGATTCCTGGCCCCGCTTCAGTTGCCAGAGGCTCGAGGGGCCGCTTGACGCTGTTGCTCTTCGACGAACGAGCGCTATTCCGTAATGAAAGTGAGTGGCTGAGCGAGTGCTGATGGGATCAGGCTCAGCAAATGTCTATGTACGGAGTACTTCCATCGATGCTTACCGATCGGTAAAGCCCGTGCACAAGAGACGGAGAGCAATTACTGTATGTGCTAACAATGCCAACAACCATCAGAGTCATACTATGTTCTGGGATATTATTAGATTGATTGCTGCTTATAACTCTCCGGCGCTTAAACGTATATTTCTAGGCCAACAGTCGTCCAGGCCTCCCATTGTTTGAGAAACGTGCAATATGTCCGCAAACGGGAGGGTGAGTTCGGGACCGACTATGTACTGACTGTACCATGTTAAGGAGATTGAAAAAGATTTTATTGAGTGCCAGCTCAGAGTATCTGAGTTCCTGGCGTGCGCGAGCGTAGTTGATCCATCACTCAAATTCGCGTGGCTCCCAAAAACCACCAGATTGTCGTGGAACTTCCGTTGCTACAGGCTGCCTTTGATACCTCAGGTTGCGTGGCGCCCCGGGGCCATGATATTCGGCACGTCAGGATAAGGGATCCACGGGTTTGGTTGGTTTGCTCACCATTCCCAGGCACTGGACGAGGAGTTCTCGAGGACTGATTCGAAGCCTGGGCATAGCAACCTCATCCCGCACTTATCGAGAAGTTTCCAGGATCTGATTTGGACCTGGGTACCAAGAAACTCATTCCCAGGCGCTTCTTTTGCAAAACTCAGAATCACAATATCCAGTGACTAGATGGGGCCCGAGAACGTGCACAGACCACCTAAGAGCCATTATATCTGTTGGGTTATAAGACACCTGCCCCAGAACAGTATATCTATGTGTCAAGATACTAGATGAGTACAACCCGGAAGCTAAACTCGTGTCTAACGGTGTTGGGTTCGAACGAATGTTTAGAGATACATAGTAATTCCGACGATTCAAATGAGCGATCCGGTCACCTCATCCCTAGAAGCTTGTACAGGAAGTCAAATAATGGGACTGAAGAAGGTGCCCGGAATCCTGAGGCTAGGGACATTACTACGGAAAGAAACCCACACGAGAGAGACATGAACGAGTGGCAGAGTCCTGTAAACTTGCTGGAGATGTGATAAAAACAAGCACCAGTGGGTGTCCTCTCCTGCATCCCAATCTCCTGATAAGATAGGGAAATCACTCATCAAGATGTATGGCTCCAGCAAAGGATACCTCGGGGCCCTCCTCATTGACCGGGTCGGTTTTGACGCGGCGGGCCGCGTGTCCTGGAATCTTTCGACGACTCATGTGGGGATGATCATGAATCAACCAAGTATTTCCAACAGTGTCATCCTCAGTCACCGTTTTTGTCGTTTCCTTGTATTGCAGACGACGAGCATCTGGCCCGTCTTTGTTTTTGCCATCTTCAACGTTGTTCGCCATCAACCGCTCTTGCAGCGACAGTATGTCTCTGTCAGAGACACACATTTTAGACACAGTCGGTGAAGGTAAGTCTATACGAAGACTTGTCAATGCTGCCCGGATCAACTCTACGCGGTTTTCCCTCTGAGTGGTAATATGTGTAGCTTCGTGTTGCGGTATAGCAGCGTTCGCTCGGCATCCTCCCACAACGGAGTCTTGTGGTCCGTTGGGCAGAGGAGTCAGTGAGCACGATGAGCGCAAGTGATAAGCAGAAGACAAGCTTCCAGGGAAGGGGCAACCATCAGAAGAGCCAGAATAGCCAGGGTTGACTTCCATCCTGTTGAAGTATCAGTCTTCTGAGATAAAACCGGTTGTTTAACCTATCGAAATATATAGTTGGAATTTCTTTTTGCAGATATTTGGGGTTCTTTTCATGGGACCTGTACTGAATGGGGGAGCCAACGTACGACGTAGTTGAGACGCCGTCAAGATCGGCTTCCAAAACAAAGGGCGTAGTAGAGCTGAAGGATTGAGATGGCATGGTGAAGTATTCAATACAAAGACCACTTGCAAGGACGGAGCTATCTCTAAACCTGATCCTGCTTATCACAAGTAAAAGAATTTGAGCCCTGAAGCAGAGAGATTTCAGAGTACAGGAAGCGGTGGACTCTGGCCTCTTATACTACACTTCCTCCAGCACACCGCAGAATAGTCGGGCGTAGCTATCAGATATAAGGTGGCTTGCCCTACCCTCTTTAGCCTTCGAGGGCAATTGTGTTCTCCTGCCAGCAGTGGTTGATCTGATTCCGCTGTAGCGACGAAATGGTCAACTGGCGGAGGAGTTCAGACCCCACTCCACTACCTGAGTCCGCTCCGATTGGCACACGGTTGCACTTTTGAGCGGGGAAGGAAAAGTGCAGTGTTGCTGGGAGCTTATTCGTTGGATGACATCCATAAGGGGCAAGGTCAGGCAGTTGGAGTGCAAAATTCCGCCACCCCGTTTGGCTCCGCTCAACTTGCCCATTTCCTACACCACACACGACTTCGTTCAAGAAAGCACCCTTCAACCTTGCAGATGATCCTGCTCTTGATAAAGTGGCACCAATGGGTTCAGATAGTTCTTGTGTGCATATCTGCTGATGCTAATCAACCCTCTGTTTTCGAGCTTGAGGATTCACTCTCTTTAAGGCAGACATATCATCTTTGCGGCTTCAGCCTGATCCTGCGCTTTTCCTTTTCAGACCCAGGAGTATCACACAAATTCAAAGGTATATCATGATATTAGCCGAATTTGCAAGCCTCGACTCCGTATTTGGCTCAAGTGTTCCTGACGGCTTCTGCGTGTGTCCAGCTCCGGCCAGCCTCACCTGACAATGAGAGATCTTCTGCACCATACAAAGTGATCTTGCCCAAGTAAAATCTCGGTGTATAATTCCTGGCCGGGAAAAACAATTAATGCATACGCAAGATGAAAAGGGACTGGCAGAAAATCAAACCTGACGTCGAAAGACTTTACAAAAACGAGGACAAGACTCTAGCACAAGTCATGGCGCTGATCAAACAAATGCATGGATTTCAAGCTTCGTCAGTAGTCGTTCCCTTAACCGATACAGATTTCGCTGACGACAGTATAGTGAAAGGTCTTACAAAGAGCGGATTCTCAAGTGGGGTTTCAAGAAGAATAATACTGCTGGTGGCCGCGTTCGAGGCGGACAAACCGACATCACCACCCAACACACATCGGGCTTGAATGTCGCGCCAAATCTGTGGCCGATCTCAAATTCCAATACCTCAACCAATCTTCTATCTTACCCCTCCCAGGGCCATCTTGAGGGCTTGGCGTAAGTCACTAAACATCCTTGTTCTTGCTTGACTTTCGCTTCAATCTGACAAACTAGCCCTCGGCTCGGCAACCTACTACCGATTGATATACAATATCCCCCTTGGCCTTCCATGGAGGCTTCTGGGAATCATTCAATAGGCGCTGGTGGCCAAATCCATCCCCATGCGCTCACATTTACGGGGGACTCTCCCGCAACGATCGAAAATAATCACGGTACGAATCAGGTAGCTAGCGTGGGTCACATGCAGCTTAACCGCGCTATCCTAAACAGGTCGGAAAACGAGCTTAGAGGACTGCTCTCCCAGGGCGCTCCGGTCAACGTACGAGATCGTTCTGGGTACGAGCCACTTCATCACGCAGTTGCATATCAAGATGAGAAAGTGATACAACTCCTACTAGACTTTGGTGCAAATGTTGATGCCAAAGTTGGAATGGATCGTACCGCTTTACATCTGGCAGTACGGAAAAAGATTTCATTGAGGGTTCTCTTGCGAGCAGACTGTAATCTCAACGCACAAGACGCACAAGGCAATACTCCGCTACTTTGGCTCCTGTCCCAACCACTCCCTGATGATTCCCTCGACGAAAATATCCGCCTTCTCATCACCGCGGGGGCCGATGTCAATGTTACCAACAATAGTGGAAATAGTGCATTCCACCTCCTCCTGAATCAAGTGAACAACGACAATACGCATGTCTATAAGATGGTACAACATTTTCTCGAGGCTGGAGCCGACACCTTCCTTCCTAATAGAGTTGGCAGACTGCCATTTGATGTGTTTCTACAACGGTCTCGATTTCTACACCGAGGTGATCGTACATCCACCTCCGACGATAAGTCTCACCCCTGGAAACAGTGGATAGAGAGCGCGGAGGGTTGTTTCTTGGCCTTCCTTGAGAGCGGAGTGGATTTCAACGTACGAGATACTTCGGATGAGCTGGTAGCTCATCTTTATCTGCAGCGACGATATCACATGTCCTCCCCAATCACCAAACAGGTCACAAGCCTCTTGAGCCAAAAGGTGGATCTCAACAAAATAGGAAAGAATGGTAACCATTACATTCACGAGCTAGTGACCTTTGTCGCTGCACATAGATACTATCCAGGCGGGGAAAATGATTTGCGAACGGTGCTCAACAGGGGAGCGGATCCAAATCTCCAGAATATACAGGGAAGTTCGCCGATAATGGTACTCCTGACTTTTCAACAAGAGTATGGCCTTTCAATTTGGGGTCATAGTATGAATGACCTCTTGGAAATTCTCTTGAAGAGTGGCGCAAAACCTTGGATTCGCGACAATTCTGGGAATCTGCCCATATATGAAGCAGCACGAAATTTCCCAAGCAGTGCTCGTGAAATAACACAGATGCTATTGTTGATAAAAAGAGAAGAAGACACGTCGCAAGATCGAGAGACACTGGAGTGGTACGACAACACTAAGCACAAGAAAGATTCGTCATGGTGGGACGCATGGGACCGAGCTGTTGCAGATGACGATTGGGATCGGCACAAGGCCTGTTTGGATGTCGCAAGAAAGTCATTGCCTGTCGATATCCAGGAGACTTTCTACAAGATTATGATAGGCATACTAGCAGAAATCTATCTCGAGAAAGCCAAGGAGAGGTTCTCAGCGAAAGAGATCTCGTTGAACGAGCGCCGGAGTTTTATCTCTTCAATTACTAAAGACGCAAGGATGTTAAGGTTTCATCTGGATCGCACCTGGTTAGAATGGGCCGTAACTATCCTTGAAGAATGAGACGGAGTTGATTGCTCGAGAATGAAACAAAGAATCGCCATTTATGGTTAATTAGATAGATCCTTGAAGGTGGCCTGGGTGAGCTTGGGCGAGCACAGAGCGGCGCTACCCTATTAATCCCCAGAAGAGCCGAGCTGAGCTGGGCGTCGATTGAATTTCACAATATTGGACTGACGTGCTATTGCAATACGCAATAAAGCGTCGATATCACAGCCAAAGTCGCTTGCAAATAAGGGGCTGAACGGAGCAGGGCAATTCTAGGACAGAACAGAGAGTGACATTATTCATTTGCATCTGTACTCCATGTTCTCGGAATTTACGTTGTTGTGGTGGCTGGAAATATTGCTCGTCTCCATGGAGGGCTTCCTTGACTTCCGCCGGTCCTCCCTCGTGTCCTACTGTGTGCAGAATACAATTATAGGCACCGATAGCTGTAGATCAGACCACAGGCCCCGAATCATAGCTGGCTACCCCAACATAGGTCAAATCACAAGCCATTTTTCTTGTCAGTAGGGAATCGTCGTAGGTCCTTTCATCAAGTGCCTCGATGGCATCCGCTCAAACATCCCCGTCCGTCAGCTAACCAAAGTTCCCCTGCCCCCGGTCCGCGATAATAATCCTACCCCTCAGCAAGATGCATCATCTGCGCAGGATAGCGCTCGCCCTTGACGGGGTTTTTCTTCAGAAGCTCGGCGATCTCCTGATACTCGTCGTCGGTGAGATGTACGTCCGCACTCGCGGTATTCTCGACGACGCGGTCGGGCCTGGTGGCGCCGGGGATGGGGATGATGGTGCCGAGAGTAAGGGACTCGCCGTTGGCGAGCGCAATCGTACGGCCGCTCAAGCCGCTGACCCACGCGATCGCGACCTGCGCGACAGTGACGCCCTTCTTGTCGGCCAGCTTCTGCACCTCGTCGGTGATCCGGTTGTTGTGCTCGAGCACATCGTCCTGGAACTTGGGCAGGAACCTCCGGAAGTCGGACTCCGGGATGTCTGCGTTCTTGCGGATGCCGCCCAAGATTGCGCCCCGCACGAGTGGACTGTATGCGGCGATGGGAATCCCGAGCTTGCCGCATGTGGCGGCGACGCCGTTGCCGAGGATGTCGGTCGCCCACAGGGAGAGTTCGACCTCGACGGCGGCGATGGGGTGGATGGCGTGCGCGGCCTCGATGGTGCTGGCTTTGACCTCAGACAGGCCGATGCCGCCAATCTTGCCCTCCTGGACCAACTCCGCCAGCGCCTTGATCGTCACCTCGACGGGCGTGTTGGGATCGATGCGTGCGCACTCGAAGATGTCGATGCTCTTCTTCCCGTCCAGGATCTTCAAACAATCCTCGACGCTGCGCCTCACGTTGGCCCGCGAGCCGTCCGGGACCAGTTGGCCTGGGAGGGTGCCGCCTTTGATGCTTAGCACGATCTTGTCCGCGTGCGTGGGGTTGGAGGTGAAGTACTCGTTCAACAGGTGGCACGAGTGGCGTTCGACCGTGCCGTAGAGCTCGCCGCCGTTCCAGAAGTTGGCGCCCATTTCGAGTGCCGTTGACATGGCGGCGAAGCTTTCCTCGGCGCTTTGGGGTGATGGCCGCCATGTCAGGCCCATGAGCCCGTACCCAATCGGGCCAACTGGCTTTGAGAGGAGGGTTGGTGTCGACATGATGTGACAAGTGACAAGCGACAAGCGACAAGTGACAAGTTTGTTGCTTTCAGATCCGCCTATGAATGGCTATAGGTATGGGGATACGAAACTGGTCGTGTTCTGCACGTTGATCCCGGAGTGGTCTTCGGAATAAGAGCGAGGGCCCTCAGCTTCTCTTTAAATACAAGGCGCAATGTCGTCTAACAGTTTTTGGATAAGGTCCACTGATTGGACACGGCTAGTCTTGCGGAGGTGGAGGTGCCGAGTCCGTAGATGTCTACATATGTAGAGGTCACTACCAGCTGGTCCCCGCAGTATGAACGTCACTCGGCGTGGATATTGGATCTTGTCTCGCAGTTTGTGGCTGTTTAACTCGCAATTGTCAGGCATTGATATCTTCCAAGTATTGTTTATCGGTTGCCGAGAGCATCGACCCATTAGCTGTCATTACAAGGCTTCGTTCCTTTCATCACTTCGGCATAGCACATCGAAATCATATTGGCCAGGATTGCGACGGCAGCCAGAAAGAAAGGCCAGGCTTCGCTAGACTCTATCCAGTCCATTAGATTGTCATCAATGCAGACCCTCAATCAACAAACCCTAACAGCGGTCTTTATCTCCGCCATGCATCGAGTCTAAATCCCGACCCATTGAAGCAGACGGAGACAAGGTCCATCTCGGAGAGCGAGATATTTCTATCTCTGGATGAAATGATCAATGCGGTCTAAGTTACAAACGGAAATGGTTCCCTCGGTCTGGGCTTGTAAGGTTTCAGATTTGGTCCGTAATCCTATCGGATTCTGGTTATGTGCATGTTCACTGGAGAGCCTGTTCAATCATGCAATGTGAGGTGCTTCTGCTGTGTGCTTCTGCTGTCCTACCACGAATAAACCCGGGGTGGGAATCGACAATAGCTTGTCAGTGGAGCCCTGCAAGACTAGCCAGCGTCTAATATGCTAATGGTTGGGAGCCTTGTATAGTATCAGAGAAATGATGGTTAACCATTGGAGATTTGTTCTGACCAGCCGCCTTTTCATTTCGCGATAAGTCGTGCATGGGACGTCCAACTACCACTGATCAATGTCCTCAAACATGCCTTCAGCTCATCGGGTTCTCGTGTGTTCCCAAGGCTGAAGTAGGTAGAAGCCATTGGATAGCCTTTGAGATTCTTTTCATGCAGCTCGCGCGGCCGGGGAAAGAAGGGAATACCGAATGGTCTATGTGCTCTTGTCTTTCGTCCGAGAAAATAATGTTATGCGATACACGCAATCTGGCGCATGCCTATACTGTTGCAGCAAACTTCGAGTCGCCGACTTTGACCCCTCAAGAGGGAAAGAACTATATATGTTATCAATCGTTTCTGTGCGCGCGTCCCATGACCACGCTCTCAATCTTCCAGAAACACCCCAAAGTAAAATTCCAATGTTAACAAGATTGAGCTCCACTTCGATCCTTTTCTTGACCACCATATGGAAACCGAATCCACAACAAGCACCGCTTGTGCCCATAATAGGTCCACGGAGTTAGCAGTCCAGCCGAGTGGAACTGTAGCCAGCTGCCGAAGCTGCAAAAAGAATGCATAGGGACTTTTCCTCCTCTCAGGAACCCCTCGCTAAACCGAATCCTTCCATCACAGCTACACCTTCTCCCGCGTCATGATACATTTTCTGATGTCGAAAAAAACTCTCCATGTGGCCGCTCGTAGCTTGGACAAACCATAAAGTCGAAATCGGTGGTACATTCATGGCATCATTTGTCCAGTGCCCGAAGTGCTTGGGTATAATGTCTATGTTGGTAGAGGTGGGACGTCCAAGGCCGTCTTGTAAGGAGAATCATCAGGGCTGAATCCTCCTAATTTCAAGTACTCCAAATTTCCCTGCTTCCTGTAATAACCTCCTTGTCGTTAATCGCCAGTCGCAATGCTTGAAAAGAAATCGTCACTCTGAGGGAAGGCATCCGTTCATCCAGTATCCTAGTACAACAAAAGAGTATCAATTTTGGTGTCTGCGTCCCACCACGTCAGTCCCCGAATTGGTCATTCTGAGTGTCGCTAACGGTGTCGCTTAGGTTGATCAAAAGCTGCGCAAGGCATCGCTTGGTGGCAGCGTCGTCCCTCAGAACATTGGAAAAAGTTGCATCGCGGAGTGGCTCAGGGAGGCACTGTCTCAAGGCTTGCCGGGCCCGGTTATTATCACTAAGCCTATTTTACCCGTCAGTGTGTCGGCATCAGCACGGAAGAGAGAGGTTGTACCTCAAAAAGCAGCGAACAACGTGTTTCAAGAGCCGCACCGTCTGTGTCTCGACCAAGCCAATAACCATGTTGCTCAAGACAGTTCCAACGGCATAGAAGCGTTCGTATGTCGCGCATATGTAGCCGAGCCCAGTGTCATCTAGAAGAATCTTCTGGACAATGAAAATGGCCACAGTCTTTGAAAGCTCGCTGCCCGTCTCCATGATACGCAGGCAGAGGGGGATGATCTCAGTGGTCAGCAAGAAGGTAATGGTGGGCGAAGAATTGTTGTTGCTCCCGTGTGCACCAGGGGTGCCATTGGGATTCATTGCTACACTTGACGATGGCTCGTTCTTGACCAGGGCACCGATGACGCCCAAGGAGGTCAGTCTGAGGTATTCGAAGGGTCTGGATTTCGACGTTGTGTTGAGGAAGGGGTAGAGGAAGAGCGGGATGTGTGCTAGATTCAGGTTAGTGGCGTCGCCCGACTCGCTGGGGTGCACTCACCATTTAGAAAGAGACCGCGAGTCTCATTGTGACTAGCAACGCATTGCAGGAGGGCCAGGGCATTACAGACGCGGTTGCTGGCAGCGGCAGTGAGCTGGCTCGGATTCAACAGAGGATAGACCGAAATAATCTCCTGAAGCAGACTGGTCATGACTCCGAAGCTGTGCCAAAGAACCAGAGCAAGCTCCGGGACTTGCTCTCTCTTCTTGCTCAATTCCATCAAAGCTCCTTCTCTTCTGGCAGGATCCATTAATTCTGCAACCCATTGTAAGACCTTGCGGTTCTCCTCTGATAGCTGTTGCTCCATGCCCGGGGATCCTTGCTCGTTCATGGCGGTCAGCGAGGCACCTATTGTGGCCGAGGCGTTGTCGCCCGAGGATTGACGATTATTGTTTTGCGAGTGTGATTGGTTAATAGCGATCCGATTGTAATGCTGCTGTTGGGCTGCGGCGGCAGCAGCAGCAGCGGCCTGTGCTTGAGAATGTTGTTGACCATGACTCAAACCCTGCAGATTGGATTGTGGACCAGCATGCTGCCAGGAGGGTTGGTCATGCTGGTTATACTGCTGCTGATGCGAATAAAGATGCTGAGCCTGAAGCATTGTGTCGGTGTCGCAGACTCGATGCCGACACGCGGTGTAGATTCGGGACGGGGTCGTCGGCTAAACCTAGTCACAGCGCACTCATTCTCAGGTGAGAACAGTCGGAGAGAAGTGGACACTGTAGTGAGAGGTTTCGATGACAAGGGCGGACAAGCTATTTGGGGCGAGTGAGACCGCGATTGCTGGCTGAGGACTCGACAATGATGAGAATGGACGGATGGGGGATGGGATTGAAGAGAACAAAGAAGGGAGCAGCAGCACGGGTTACCGAGCCCAGAGAGAACTTGAATCAGGATAAAGCGGGGAGGTTGTCGCCCACGTGACCAGGTCGCCAATTCTCCTTCGCGGTCACGCTGGGCCTTGGGCCTTGGCATTTTTGATGTGAACACGTCGAGGATCAGCACCACACATTGAATATTCAACGGAGCACCTAATGCCTGGTACCAGATGTGGATTCACTTCACAGTACTCCGTAAAGAGGTCTTCCTAGTGGTGGCACATCAGGGACCAAGTAATAGTCAGTGGGGACTATCATTGTTTGCTCAATCTCCCAAACTGATGGGATTTTCAATTTCTGCACAGGGTGTGTACTCATCTACCTAGGTACATATCTCATAAATACAGCATCATTCCCCCGTGAAAAATGCAATCGCTATGCATGCAGCATCATTATGTCCAATTCTTGACAGTCGGCTTGAGAGCCATCCAGTCGCATGCAATCCATGTCCGCTAAAAAAACGAGATCCAATAAAGCCAATCAATCTGCCGTTCCAAATTACCTGCGTGATCTTGATCGACTGTGGTGACTACTCCTCCTCGTTCTCCGATCAGACGAACTCTCACTGCTGGAAACGGTGTAGTCAGAGTAGTACGAGCTTCCATAGCCCGAACTGCTCTTGTCGTCCTTTCGATTTCGTCTCTTCATTCCTAAGAACAACGCCAATCCTCCCAAGGTGGCTGCCACCCACCCAGCTCTTCCGATGCCACTCGACTTCTTTTCTTCAACGACATCTGTTCTGGCGGGGCGTGTGCCAAACCATGTCCTTCGGTTATTGTGGACTCCACTCCGACCGCTGCGATGCGAGTGCCTCTCGACGTAGACTTCCTCTTCTGTGCGCTTTCGTTTCTTTCCGAGTCCGAATATCGCGAGAATACCGTCGATCAAGCCCTTGAAGCAGAGGCATGCGCAGAGAAGGAGGAGAAGGATGACACCCGCAATGACTCCAATGACTATGCCGGCAATCGCCCCGCCGCTCAAGCCACCACTGCCGCTGGCAGTTGGACCATAGATGATTGCTCCGTTGGTACCGACTGGTGTCTCGAAAGGCTGGGTTGTCGTTCCTGGGGTCACGGTGACAAGGGTATTGCTGGTAGGCCGTGATGGGACACTGGCGGTATTTGTGACAACGGTAGTTACTGTGTACAGGCTGCTGTAATATCCCGAACTCCCGCCACCCACTGCGACACACTGTCCAGTGGCTTGACAGAATTGTCCCGATAAACAGCAGACATTGCCACAGGCGCTTTCACCTAGGGAGTAAGCGCAGCTCAATGTGCTTTGGGCAATGAATGAGCTGAATGTTGCAGTGACAGTTTTGAGGTCGGTCTGGACATAGGTTGTGGTATAGTATTCCCATGATCCGGCGGCCGCAGTCGTGGCTTGGGTGACTTGCCCGGGCCCGCATTGTGCCTGGTCGTTGGCGTCGGTGTAGCATGATTCACCCTCTTCACAGCAGAGTTGCCCATAATATCCGCAAGGGTTGTCGCATCGTTTCCGGACGTCCTGAAGGTCGTCGAAGCTACGCAGAAGGTCGGGGATGAACGCTGCGGTTATGGGTCGGGCGAGGAGGATAGTGGTCAAGGCGGGCAAGGACAAATGCATTTGGTGCAAAAGCATGGCGGCTTATGCAGCACAGCCAGATGGCGGTCAATGCGTCAAGCTATGTTCGCAGTCTTCGAATCAACTTTCCAGTGGGGAGATCTTTGTCCAAGCAGTGGCCCTGTAGGCCTACAGCAAGCTGGTGTAAGGATTCAAATGTTTGTTCAAAGACAGCGCAGACGGCAATGTTGACGTTGCTGATGATAGAGGATATGATAAGAAGGGAGAGAGACAGTGCAAATGGTCTCGGGTGCAATGGTAGAAAGAGGCGGGCTTTTGGTGCTGGCGGATGACCAGATCCCAGCCTCCCCATCGGTTGCCCTGCCACCGATATTTTTGAGACAAAAGGTGATGAGGTCAACTCGAGAAATTGCTCGATTGCTTTACAATGTGGCTGGGAGCTTCAGATTTGATTGAACAAAACATCCTCTTGACATTATCGTTATTAAACTGAATGAGCAGCTTGGAAAGGCGGTGGGTGAACGGAGTATCGGTCCTTGCCAGATTCTTAACGGTGAGTGCGGGACACTCGAGGCTGCCAGCACATGAGCTCCGCGACCTCGGCACACACACACATGATCGTATTTGAACCCAGTTACAATAATTACAAATAATGGTGATTGTGCTCGGTACTTGTCATATTCATTTCTTCTGTACAAACACCCTCCTGTCGCATGATTCGGGAGCCCGTCAGGAATTTCAACACTTACAGGTGCTATGTACTACTACTGGAGCCTCGGCTGCGTCGCCCCAGAGATCGTCAGGTCCGCTTCAAGATCGGCTCCGGCTCTACTTTGTTCCTATGCCAAGACGAGCTAGTGGTTAGGTCCAATTCTACCACTAAGATTGTATTCGAGTCCTGGACCAAGTTCTAGTTGACGACCCGTTACAAACAAACCAAGCTTCAGCCTCATCTCTGCGCCTTTCGAGGAACTTGTTCCTTTATCTATAGCAATCAGCGCTTGGATCTTATTGACTTTAAGTCTCAGCTGTTTCCCTTCGACATCATAAGCCGAAGTTAGGTATCTTATGGCTCTCGCAACAAACCGTGCATACGGGGTATGCCATCATGATCTTGATTATTTTACAACGGTAGGCACCCTCAGACAAACCTACGTCACCTCGATTGTAGCACCTGTCGTCAAAACATCAGGCGTGCAACTTGAAGTCTGCATGCCTTGCTGAGATATCGCTCTTCACCAATTACATCCATTCTGTTTTCCCTACCGATCGTGTCTCGCAGAGACCACTCGACATCACCTTCGACAGAAGTACTCCATACTTGGTCCCCACACCATTAAGACAGGTTCTGAAAAGGTGTGGCGTGACCCATCAGGCTGACGCGAACGTTCTAGCTTGTGGATACGACTGGCTTCTTCTTACTAACTGCAGACTACTCCAGAATTCGGCTCTCGACAGTCCACCTTGACCACGTGGTGCTCCCATCCTCGAATACGAAATATTGTAAAGCATCAAATAGCGACTTAGCTCTGTTCCGCTACTGAAGTGGTAGGCACGACCTCTTGTCACTCGCCGTGGTATGACGGTTCTTCATATTGCCTGGAACACTACCAATCAAGCTAAAAGAAAAAAACCAGTGGTTTGTCAGCCCAAGCGACCTCTAATTTGGGCCATTCATTTACAAACATGATAATGCGAGCCATTGACTCTGACATCGAAGTGTTGTTGCTGCTGTTACTGGTTACCCAGGATATGCTGCTTTTCGCCGGCCAATGAATGACTCAGCCGTGCTGTTGGGCAAGGGCTTGCTTATGTGACGGACATGTTGATAACGTCAGCCGCGACTTCGGTGTCGCGCGAGGGAAGCCATTTTAGCTTAAGGACCAATCGACCCTTGCCCACCGATTGATCTTCCTACGATGGACGGAGCACGGAGCACTATGGCATGAGCTTGGAGGTCTCATACTTTCGGTCGGTATTCGCGTCGGTACTTGGGCATCCTGCCACCATTGGTTGGACCTCAAAATCCAATCGCGCCTTGATTCCCACTATGGCTCTCCCTCATGGTCAGTTGACAAAACGATAAACCACTCATGACGGTCAAACTGCTACCAGCGCTCGACTCGTCTGCTGATGAACATCGAATGGAAACTGACTGCCTTGACATCACCACGATCACTTGATATGATATCGGTGCCGAAATCAGGTTTCCGATCGTGGGGAGGAGTCGAGGCACTCTAGATAATATGAATAATCTCCACACTTATAGTGGGAACAGCCACTTGCTAACCGTTCATAGTGCCGGACGACACTGCAAGAATGGCTAGCCCCTCGGAATCCCTCGCCGGTCGACACCAAGGGAATCCCTAATTACGCGGGAGTTCCGCCGCCTCTAGGTACGGTATCGTTTTCCTTGTATGTAGGTGCCATTCCTCTGCAGCGTCACACTCAGCTCGATTGTAACTGCAACCTTTGCTGTAGCAGAAAGGTGGTTATGACGACTTATCACATCAAGGATTTCGCGTTAGACTCACCGTCATTTCCACCCGGATAGTAGCGGATGTTTTCGATTTGCTCTCGTTTCACATTTTTCAGAGCTATCATCAAGCTTCCACGCGTCCGGCAAAGCCCACTGCAGTGAAGGATCGGCGCACGCCTATACTCGGTTGCATGTCGGACGAATGGCAAATCGCAAGGCTGCAGACTCAACACCTTCTGGAAGTCATTCCTCATTCCAAACGTTTCCCAAATCGGGTCTGATCTTCAGACTTACCTTTTCTCCCTGCACTCGGCAATCAAATAATTATCTGAAGCCCCGCGGCGGCCTACCAGTCGTGCATATCACAGCGGTACCTACTGCTGGGGATTCATTTCGCAGAGGGAAAAAATGAGGGGATGCACATTCCTTCAAAGTGAAACTCTCGGGGTCTACATCTCAAAGTTACTACCATTCTTGGTAGTGTGTTGACACCAGGCCCAAATTCCATGCGTTTCGGACGAAATTCTAGCGTGCTCTTACAAGGCAATTAAGGGACCATATTGAGACTTGGACAATCCCATGTGAGGCCGCAATAGGCCTGTGCAGACCTCCCTCCACGTCAAGCATGTAGGGGCCACACAATGTAGAGAATCACGAACCCGGGCTAGATGTTACAGTTCTGTGCAAAAAGGTCGGACGATCACGAGCAAGGTCCAAGGTCTATAATTCCAGTCGCAGAAAACTCTTCCATTATTGTGGAGATTGTACGTAGGTGAGCTGTTCAATCTTTAAGACCACTTGCATTGTTTATTCAGAATAGGGTGCGGGCCCCCGCCCAAAACAGAGCCTAATGGGATTGCGAGGTGCGAGGTACTTGCACTCCAGGGCAATTTTCTTCAGCTTTATGAAGTACCGGTGAGATCAGCCTAGATTATACCAACAAATGCATCTTTTTGGCAAAAAAGAAGCTCAATGGTAAAATGCTTGCAAGCACGATGACGACACTGGGGCGCACAGTCAGACCCTTCAGCAACCGGAGAGCCGTGCTTTCAGGCTTAGTTTCAAGCTCCTTAGATCCATGTACCTGGCCACTCGATGCTGGGTATTGATAGCTTCGCATGGATACCGAATACCGCATGCGAGCCTGTGCACTGTCGACTTTCCGCTAGTTTCGTTTAGAAGTGTCATGATATACAACAAAATCACTTCCTAGGACACTCTCTGGAAGGCGAGCACTAAATGCTAGGCGGCCCTGAAGTCGAGGAGAATGCCGATCAATTTGCCTAGCTAATAAGTCTGGGGGGCACCAGGCCAAGTTCCAAATGGCCCAAATTTCGCTTCATTCGAACGCAAGAATATTTCAGCCACTTTTGGCCATACTGGGAATAGAGTGCGCCCTGAGTAAGGACGCATGGGAGACTCTGGCTGACTGATGAAAGGTGCTCGGGTTGGTGGAGCTGCACTGCAGGTCGAGCAGGAAGACCACCAGGGCGAGGAGTCAGTCGACACACGGAACAGCAAGACGACAAGGGTGTGATGCTCAACTAGTGCGCCTGCTGGAAAAGGGATAGCTTGACTCGCATCACCGAAGCTTCCAACGGCGGGCCAATGCCGCTGATGCAAGACACCCTGGTTCCTCACTACCCCTGTGGAGCCATGCTTCGATCCGTCATGGCCAAACTCGCGAAGGTTGGGTCTATACCAACTTTGTTTGGTTGATACTGGGTAATTTATCTCGGTCCTAGATTGGATTCCAGCATGGCCCATACTTTACCCATGGCAGCCTTGCTCTCGCGGGGAGCAGTATAAAATCGTTGTGACCCCCCATCACCTTGACTGAGATGAGTATTCCTCTCTAAGATCCTCGAGAAAAAAATATCCTCCATCATACAAGACATCTTACCAGACCAGGCCAGTAACAAGGACAGCCCAGATTTAACAGTGACACCATCATCAATTCGGCACCCCGACAACTTAATCATGACCGATTTCCGCCACAACAGCTGGGGTAATCAGCAGGCAGCTTTTTCGCCCATGGACCCCTCTTTCCAGTGGGACTATCCTGCCGTGCAATCGCCAAAGAACATGGTCAATCACTATAACGACGCAAGTACCAGACTGGGTTATCGCAAGACTTTGATGCTAACAATTCCCAGCTCCTGCAGCGAGCAGCAGACTTCTACGCCAGTCTCGATAACTCGTTTGAGTCGATGTCGTCATCGGGCTCGGACAGATCCTATCGCGCGAGCCCCGACCGCCGGATATCCTCTACTGGCAGTGTTGTCGCTCAGGTCAAGAGCTCCATCCCAGACAAGATCGAGGTACGGACTTGATGTGGTTCTAAAGGGGCCATTCCATACTGACTCGGTCCACAGAGACGACGAGAACAGAACCGTTCATCGCAACGCGCTTATCGCGAGCGCAAAGAACGCCACCAGAAGGAACTGGAGGAGCAGATAACCCAGTGGCAACACAAGCACCAGTTACTGTCTCGCTCTTATTCGGAACAGTCCGATGAGGTTGCCAGGCTCAAGGCCCAGATTGAACAGCTCAACAGCGAAATTTCCAACTTGCATACCGGCCTGCCCAGCCTCTGTGGCTCCCTCTGCCAATCACCCCAGGAATTTGACCTGGTCCCCTTCTTCAACAACGATATCTCGAGCGCTCAGAGCACACCGCGCTTATCACACGCATACCCTCCTCGCCGATGATCCCGGATTTACAGCGTGTACCGTGGGCGGGCTCCTTGATAGCATCATTAAGGCGTTTTTGCATAGCATGAATGTATGTTCATGGCGTTTTGTGTGGTTGGGGAATCTTAGCGCCTATGGATGATTCCGGATCGAGGGATCAGGATCAGGAGGATGACATTTACGAGAAATTTGATTTCACATAGCCCAGGTGTCATGAGATCGGACCTGGTGAGCATGGGGTGTGACTGGACTGTAACGAACGAGTAATGGCCTCACAAAGAGGTCGCTCAAGCTTAATACATGATCAGAATGAGAGACTCTCCCGGGCGCAAGCCATCTTCACTTAGATGACAGCGTTATGTTCCATTGACATATAGAAATTCAACCAACCACCACATTCTTCCCTGCAAACCTTCTTGACCTAGCTAGACTTCGGGGGGAGAGATACCATTCCAGCTGAGGTGTAAAAATGCCCACGAAAAGCAACACACCAGGGAGATCTTCCCAAAAGAATGTCGCCTGCCTGGCTCTGTTACGCAATGTATCGTTCTTGAGAATCAAGCTCAGACAAAATTCCTTGTGGGGGGAGGGGCCGTACATAGTACCTGGTCTACGTCGTTAGCGAACCGAGATAAGATGACTGCGAGGGTGGGGGCACAATGGCCCTCTTTTCCTGACGAACAGCCACACCCGCACGATGCAGTTTGGGCGACGATGGCCGGCTCCTGAGTCAGGAGCCCAACGACAGTCAGGCTTGTCAATAGTGAGCGTTACCTAATCCAAGGATTGACCAGGGTTGATCGGATCCTGCCCTGCTCCTTGTCCACGTGCGAAGATACTCAAACATATCTCCAAAACGCGACCACGGCGAATGAGAGCACGCCAAAACCCACTTCCGTATTTGTAATGATCTCCGCGAGGCGAACCCCTGCTTCCCGTTCGGGGATGGAGGGTGATCAGGCGTTGGTTGACGGGGAGCGGTGGTACAACCGGAACGGCGGTCGCGAATCCCTTTCATCTTACGAACTACACAACGACAGAAGGAGACACAGGACACCGTTTCCCCCGCAACCAGAGACATACTGGGATGGAGGAGTTGTCACTGAGGCACAGCAAACGGAAAAGCGAAGAAAAGAAGAGATCCCAGCGAAAAGTGAATGGCCAGTAGGGATCCACCTTCCGATATCCCAAAATGGCAATTCCTTTATATAACTGGAACCTTTAGGTCATCAGAGGGGGAGTCGAAGGACTGGGCCGCCAGACACCCCGCCTCTGGGGGATTTTCAGTCGTGAATACGGGACCGTACCCAGCTAGAGGGGCAGCCGTTCAGTTTGATGCAAAAAGACCTGGATTGACATTGGGGATGAGGAACTCCCATACCGTATGCCGTTTATTGCCGAATCTGGGATGTGCCCAAGACGGTGTCCCAGGGTTTCACGCTCTCCACGTTAGCCGCTTTTACTCCCCGTGAATAACACGGCTAGACTGCAGACCAGCCTGGTCGTCGGTCAAAACGAAGCAACTGGTGAGGGTTTCTCGAAAGCCTTGTGTTCTGTATCAAGTCGCAGTTCGGCGCTGAAGCATCCTTCTCGGGGCGTCAGTTGTGCTGCACACGTCATTCCTGGCCCGGGCATGTAAATATTCTACGCTACCTTCCAAGCTATCACTTCAACTTTGTTGTCGGTGTGGACTTTGTTCTGTCGTTAGGTTCTGGCGGCTTCGATCAACAATACGCACCAGGGTCGGCATTGCTACTGCCACCCTATACCTGCGCACCGTCCATTCCACCGGGAAGGCGGCACACGAATCTGGTTCTGTCAAGAGGAGCACTGTATGGGCCGAGCAGTGTCTACCAGAACTCGTACAACGGCAGAATGCTTCCGAAATGGAATCACCAAGCTAAGCCCAATATGACATGTGCACTTATTCGCTTGGCGGCTACAAGGATGTGCGTGCATCTGGATTCAAACGAGGGACCATCTCTTCCTTCAACCGCCCTATCCTATCGCGTGAGCACAACTTCACGTTCCCGCTATGTATCCCGGACAAAACAGGCCCTAGGCCATGGGACAAGGTAACCGGCCATACAGCTTCCGCCTAGTCTCAGTCCACCCACTTGGACGCGTCCTCTATCGGTTGATGGGCAACACACCAGTTTCCAGGTGCTTAGCTGCCCGGTCGCCGGTTTCCATTCTGATGTGGTTGTTTACGCGGCCTTGTATGCTCGATACACAGGCATTCAGTAAGATTTCAACCAAGGGGGATTCATCCTAGCAGCCGACCATCGGCCGGTTTACCTAAGCGTGCAACTGCGCGGAATGGTTGTGGGTTTCTCAACCCTGCAAAAGCTAGACTGTCCTTCTATTTCTTGCTTATACTACCTCTCGGGCTTCATTTTTCTTCAGTGTAGCAAGTCGAGCCACAACGCTCACAGCTAAATCCATCTCTAACAGAAAGCATTCAGGACAACGTGGAACACTGATCGACCTTCGCTAACCCCGGAGCAGTAGCCGCCTGAGAGGGAGACGTGGCCATGTACAGGGTTCCTTAACGGTGATACGGGTTCTGCTCCGATTGTCAGGATGGCTGGACGCGCGGACTTCTAAAAAGAACATACAACTCGACTCAGACGCAGAAGGACCGTCCTTTGTTTCTCTGGCTATCATCCCGGAGAAACTGCGTTCGCTTAAGCGTTTAAGCGTCGCCCGTGACTTTACACCGTCCCCGAGACCAAGCCATCTCATTCTACGGGTGCAATTTGCAAGCCCGGCATTGAAATCCATGGCCCTGCACACGCTCTATATTCGACGGTGCTCGCTTTCGTTGGTATCAATGTCAAGAGACTATGGGTAGCTAACATCCATGCCAGGCAGCATGCGTCAGTCGCGAGGGAGTCTTGAGCAAGCCATCTCAACGACAAGGGGGCGCGAAGACGAGCACACTTCTAAACGAGCCCTCATGCTGGAGCACTTGACTGTGCTCCGTGCATCTTTAGTCGGGGGTTCCGTTGATCTGCACCAGTATATGCCTTACTTGTCAAGCAAATTGCCCGTCTGGGGCCGTTAGGATATTCGCCGTGGATGAAGCTACTGCCATGAAAATATATGCCGAATCGTCTTCCACGGATCTCGGTGTAGATCGGGCCTACCTGGCCAAGATCAATATTCGTTACTGGGTTTAGGCCTCCAGTTCTACCGTTTATGGCGGAGGTGAGCCTGACCGTACATATGTCCAACCTTCCCTTTGGCTACATATGCATTTCTGAGTAGCTTGAATCGCTGTGCAGCCTTAGATTAAACCTGCTGGCCCGGTCAGGGAGTAAGGGGCATAAAAGCCACTGTGTACGCAGTACCGGTGGTCAGTTGAATAGCCAGAGTTCCTGTGACATCGAGCGATTTCGCTGCAGCTTTGGCGGAATCAAAGCTAGTCGGGATCCCGTCTGCGAGTGCGGCTAAGGATCACGGTCTGCTGCGATGACAATCGCGTTTTGGCCAGGATTGATGTTCTTCCCCTTCGTACGCTCTCCGGAGTCAAGTCTTGTTAGTTTCTCTGAGGCGAAGAAAGGCTCTGCCATATCTCTCTCAGATAAGAATTCGTGCAAAGCCGGTTCTGAGAATCAAGCCATCAGCCCAGGACACGCAGTAACAAAAGAGAGAGCAAAGATAACCCCTTTTCTCTCTGCTCTCCACCACTGTAGGCGTTTTGGCGCGCAGACACACGAAAGGGTGGAGGAACGCAGCAAACCGCGGCCTTACCCAACCAGGTATCAGGCAGGGGTATGTCTTGCTTACCGCATCAGCTAGCCTGGCTGCTTGGCTCCTTAGTCATACAGTACATCTCCTTTTGGTTATGAGAGAGTCCACCAATAGGGCTTCTCTTGCGGCCTTTGAAAGGATATTTGCGCCAGACCAACTGAGTCGCTGGGAAATGTCGATTTCGAGAGCGTGAGCTCGATAAGGTCAAGTCAACGCAACGCGCACGGGACCGTTGAGACCAGAAAGAGCGGAATGCCTGGCTATATGATAGAATCTACAAGGTACCTCCCTGGTACAGTAGGTTCGAGCTTTGCAGATCGATGCATTCGAGAACAACGGTCATCCTGGCCATCGAGCCTGACGCAGGATGGATGCGGGGGCGCACCGCTGGCAGCCAAAGTTGTCGAAGAGTGTTTCCTTGTCCTTGCATGATGGTCGTTGTATCAAACGCTTCGTTTCCTGACACCCGAAGAGGCCATTCCTGGTTAGCACGCCTTCCTCTCTTGATACACATGGATTCTTTTTCAGCGCGGTCCAAGCTTAGACTGTGACTAGTAACTTTATTGTGGCTCCCGGCACGGCAGTTGAATGATTACAACAGAAAGGTCTTTGCCTTCCGGTTGGGTGCACTGCTTCACATGAGAATTGATGCATGCGAAGAACCACCTAGGTGACAACTTGCGAGTTCAAAGGGGAAGGCACTCCGTGCCCAGATGAATAGCACTGCTACGACATGGTAGGGATAGGGCCGCCCAAAAGCAACATGACTGCTCCTCTCCCATACCCCCTCGCTTAGGCGCAGTGTAGCAGAGCCAGCCGGCAAGTAAGTGGTAGCACAGAACCGAAAAAGTTAAAAAAAGATACTCCGTACAATCTGATTACCCGAAGTCTCCCCACCGTGCATCTCGCTACCAAGATCACTAGATACACACCTCGCTTGACCTGGATAAGGGATATCCTAGGCTCATCCTATGGGGATGTCTTCTCGGAGTTCTTCCTCGAAAGGGTAGCAAGTGAAGGCATTGGATTTATAGTAGGGGACACCATGAGGACGTTCTTCTTGAGAAAACCTGTTGTCATTGCATTGCGCCTGCGCCTGACGAAAACGCTAGTCTGCGTCGCTTCCGAGGTACAGATATCCAGATGCTGATTGCCTGTGGAATGTACCGAGACGCGGCAGTTGCTCTACTCTTGCTTGCTTGTCTGGCTTGAGCTTGAAGCGGCGTGTATACGAGGCTAGCCCGAGGTACCTGGCTCATTTCTACTCCTTTTTCACCCGGCTCGGAGGCACCTCTGCTGGGCTTCTGGCCCGCTAGCGCCACATCAGAGCTTATGTCATGCCGATACCTGCGGGGCGAGTTCGTTTAGTCATTCAGAGAGGTGTCTCTTGACGTGATGACTACTCAGAATCCTGCCCTCACACGTCCCGCAATGCTCCCTACATGGGACGAGACGAGGTTTGTACCTCGTTCTCAGCATGGATGGTGCACCGCGGTACTCTCGCGTGTCGGCGGCGGAGTTTTGGCCCCGGCAGCGTTGCCATTTGTACTGATCCAGTGCGGAGGAGAGGCCTCAATCACGATCCAGGCTGGCACAAGCCACAAGCCACGATGGGTGACGTGATGATTGACCGATGGCCACGTGGCTTTCGGTCACACAGATGTTCCTTGTACCACGGCGGCTGCAGATAGCCTTTAGACAGCAGCGAATTGGAATGGACGGGTCCTCTTCAGAGACCTAGCACTGAATCGCTGCAAACCGTGGCGTGATCAGAGGCGGCTGCGCCGTATCATGCTGGAAATATTACACTACATGCCTGGTCGAGGGGTTGGGGATCATTCAACGGGGCCGGAGCATGAACCGCGGGGCAGAATGTTGAAGTGGTACTCGTATATACGAGGTACGCTGGCTTGTAGCAATGCCTCTTTCTAGCCAGGTATTGGCGAGGCTACGGGGTACGTTCCACAGGGAGAGAGGGACCGAAATCGATCCGACTTGAGATGCAATTGGGAGGTTGTCTAACCAGCCGTGCCTGGATTCACTAACCAGGTTTCCCCACTGGCCAAAAGGACCAGTGACCTTGGTGTTCAAATGCTTGAGCGTTCTGTGCTTCGATCATCGACCGCTGGACCGTTTGCGCGTGCGTGTGCTATGGCACAAACAATCCCTTCCGTGGCCGCTTCGAGCACCATGGCATTGATGACGCCTGCACTGGTTCTGAAATAGCTTGCCATCTTCTAGTCAGGCCAGAGAGGTCAAAGGCACCAGAACACGCATCACTCAATTGAGTCCAACGTGGCAAGCTATGTCGTTTCAATTGTCCATATCCAAACTCCGATCGCGCCATGCATAACAAACTCATGAATGTGTCTTCACAACGCCTGGCAATAGGGAGGAAATGTTTGGGGAAAAACCACCCGATACCACACTGTCGTTATATTTCACGCGTAATCCGAGTCCCTGGAGGCGCGGCGGCCGCGATCTTTCTGCTGTGTCCGAGGCGGATACTCTTGACTGTAGCTCGGCGGCGGCTTGGACGGGTCCTCATAATTGAGAGGCGCTTGCCAGTTACTATTTTCATTTGACTTCGGAATGGGAACCCATGTCAGCTCCATGTTGTCGTCGATCTCGCGCTCCTTGGCGAGTTCAGCAGCTCTTTGTCGTCTTCGTTGGCGTCGAACGATGAAGAACATCACTGTGCCGGCAAGGAAGAGAAGGCTGTGGAGGGGAGGCATGAGCGGATCAGCTGTAGGCCAAGAATGGAAATTCGCAATATAGAGGATGGCAAGCCCACGTGGTGTATGTACCAGGGTCTATGGGAGTTGGGGGTACTTACGATAAGCCGATGATCAGAGGGATCCCCGTTTTGGTGAAGTCGCTGACATACGTTTCGCATGCGTCGAAGGCAGGGTCGTTGTTCTTGCATTCCGCTCGTTTGAGCAGGGCAGAGAAGTACGTCGACATATTCAATGTTGAGGACGGAATGAGATTTCTGAGAATAGGATTTTTGTAAGCCGGACCTTGAACGATGGGTGTCGCAGGTGAAAAAACACCACTAATCTATCTAATCCGCCGCTTGGAGTTACGCTGATTGGTGTCTCGTGTGGTGCATCGCCGGGTGTGCTTTTCAAAAAGAGTGAGGCAATGAGACAAGGAGTGGAGGACAATGGGATCCAATGAGAGTGTAAGTGGCGAATATCAAACGATGAGGAAATAAGTGAACAATGCTGCGCTGTACAGAGTATCTTCCGCGGACTCCCCTCAATTGCTGCAAAAAGTGGAAGAATGAATGTGAATGAATGTGAATGAATGCCATCAATGATAGGCAGGATATGGGCCAGATGAAATGAGGGCTTCATTGTAATTAAAGGGGTCTTACAGGGCACATGTAGCTTCGGGTGCCAGAGATCCAACGCTTCTCATGTTTCAGGTCGAAGCCGGGGTTAGTTTGGCCCTTTTTCGGGCGGCAGAGCTTGTTTGTTTAGTTATCATTTCCAGATTCGCAAGTCTGGGGGACAACGTCGCCCGCGTGGCGCGTGTCGAAGGCTGTCGAAGGCGTGTCAGGGGTTGGCCAAGCTTGCCAAGGTGCCGTGCCAAGGGCCTGGAGCCTTGGTCAAGGATTGTCGGTTTTCCCGGCCCCGGGTGGCTTCCAGCACGTCACGTGATTCACCTATTCAGACTACCTGCGTCACGTGGGCACGAATTTGTATCCGGGAAAGGTCGCCTGGGTCGTGCGGCCGAGTTCGCCGGGGAAGCTACCAGCCTCAGGTTTGGGTTGGCATCTTCTGCTGTGCCTGGCCCCGAACAGCGGCGGTAGAATAACCGAACTTCCCACGCATATCAAGTCCCAAGTCCCGGCTTTTCAACAACTCTAGTTCTTTGCACAGCATCTCAGAAGTTGATAGGCGCGATTTAGCCGCCTTCGCGGTGTGTTATTGGTCCTTGCTGGACATCCGACGTCTCTCCCACTGTCTCAGCTTCTTCCCTCACTCGCTAACGGGCGGGATATTCTCGCTTGCTGTTTCCTTTCCCCGTTGAATTCGTTTGTGGCTCTGGTCACCACCATCCAGCATGCTATGAATCATGCCGATAACAGGTTGCCAAATTTGAAAAGGCATGAATCCCAGAGTCTCGACAGAGCAGGAATCCGCGGCATCAAGTGCCCCTCTTGCAAAGCAGGCTGCCTGTCTAGAATGTCGGCGCAGCAAAGTCAAATGCACTCGTGACCCAAATGCTAGTGTCTGTCGGAAATGCCAGCAGGCTGGCCTCCAGTGTGTTACGCCTGAGTATCATGTTGGCAGGTACAAAGGCGTCAAGAAGTACGTCGCTCACTCCAGCTCCCCAGGTCATGATTAACTGTTTGTCCTTTTAGCAAACGCACCGGGCTTGAGAAGGCGATTTATCAAGTTGAGCAAGCCTTGAAAAGGTCCAAAGATGTCGGCCCTAGCCTCAATCAAGATGTTGAGGCAGATCTTCGACAGTTGATGGCCGCGCCCTCCGCGAATAGCCCACACCGGCGTCGAGAGTCTACCTCCACCACCCCTAATACTGCTAGCAATCAAATCACTTTTCCTCCCCACCGGGCGAGTCTTGTTCTAGGCGAAGCAAATGGCATGGCTGTCGACCAGGCCCACGAGGTATCACCTGCAGACGGCGCTGAGAAACCAGATGAGCTTGCCTTAAATCATGCGGATAACCCGCTTCAGTTATTGGCAATGGCATCTGGACTCCCAGGACAATCACCCTCCACGAACATGTCTACCTCACCCGCAGGCCCTGCATTTGCCTCTCATCAGGGTTCCGATGTTAATGCCACAGACGTTGACCTGACCCAATTCTTTGGCTCGCTCCAGCCAAGTCTAGACAATTCTGCAGATCTCGATCCTATCAACATGGGCCTGGTCACACCTGAGGAGGCTGAAATGCTCTTCAATTATTTTAACGACCGATTATCCCACACCCGGTGGGGCTTGGACCCTCTACTCCACAAGGCCGCTTTTGTTCGCTCTCGATCTGCCTTCTTATTCACCTCCGTCCTTGCTGCTTCCGCCTTGTTCCTACCAAAGACGGAAGCCCTGTCGAAACGGCTTGCGAACCATAGAAATCTACTCGTTCAGAAAGTCACGCAAAACAAGAACAGATCCGTTGAGATTGTCCTGGCATTTTTGGTCAATATTCCCTGGATGGTTCCAGCAAAGCACTGGGCAGATGATGAGACGTGTGCGTATTTGTCAATGGCACTGACAATTGCTTTAGATCTTCAACTTAACAAGATCGTGGTTCCATCACCAACAATTCGCCCTGCTGGTTTTTTGGACCGAGTTGCCAAAGCTGAATGCATCGATAGCGCGAAGGCTCTTCAGTTGGACGGGTTTCCACAAGTGGAGCCAACCTCATCATGGGGTCGTCGGTTATTGAGACTTCGAGAGCGTGTATGGCTCGCATTGTTTGTTCTGGATCGAGGGTATGTCTGCTCCTCTACAATTATCTAAACTACGTCACTAATCTGAACACTATAGCATCTGCCTCGCTCGTGGACGTCCTTACGCTGTTCCGATAGGTCCTCTCGTGGATAGTTGTGATACTTGGCATATATCTGATATTGCAGATAGGTGGGACGGTAGCATCATCTCTGCTGCAGTGTTGCGGCGTGACCTGGTGAGAACTTACCTCAACCATTTACTAGCATCTTTGACTTAGCTCCATCAGGTCCCTCTCATCAACAGCCTGCGTGAGATTTGTGATGGCAGCCAAGGTGTGAGTGGGGGCTCTGCTGCGGTACGGTTGTAAGTGACTTTTCTACTGCAATACTGTCTCACCAAAGATCCAATGACGAAGTCCCTTTATCTTCTGGATCTCGGTTGCACGGATCGTGAATATCTGAATCAAGTGCCTCGGTTCCCGGGCAAAACATGGTCACAACCCGATGCATTCATTCCCTTTGCCCGACTACGAATCTCTCTTAGTTGCCTTCTAACATCAGCAACAGCCTCAAAGACAAAATTGATCGATTTTTCGAGCAGTGGTATGCAGTGTGGTCACTTCAGATTACCCAAGGAGATGGTAAGTTGTGATTCCACAATCTCTCTACGGAGGCTGTCAGATTTGCTAAACCTAGATAAGGACAACTGCCACCCTACGTTGAGATCCTCGTTTCACACACGAAACTCTCCACCTACTGCAATGTGGTTAATCATCCAACTGCCTCGACAGATGTCAAACAGTTCTTCCGCGCCGCTGGACTTGCATCGGCGATGAACGTCATGCGGGCAGCGGTTCAAGGCGAGAATCGGCTAAAGTCGATGCCAAATAATACTGTCATCATGGTGTCATTCGCTGCATGCTTCGCGCTTGCTCTTGGAACAACCACACTTGGCAACAAGGCAATACTTGCTCCCAGTGCTCGTTCACTCATCGAAGACACCACCATGGTACTTGAACGAATCGGGAACACGCCAAAACATCGCAACGGCCTTTCCGTGCTATTCGCCAAACATATTCGCCGGATTATGCAAAATTCCCTTCTCCAACCAACAGAAGACCAGCATAGCTATCAATCCTCAGCTAATCCCAACTCGAATATGCTACAGCGCGACAGAAACGCGCAGTATACCTCGCCACATAGCACAGGCAATCCGACAGGGACCACCACTGAGCCCTATGTCTTTGACATGACCGATGATCAAATCCTGGAAGCTATCAATAATGCCAGTGCATCACAAGAGTTGTTCCAGCTTGATGAGACTATGTTCGTGGACTGGTTGGACTGGCCCAATGTCACCTGAAGTTACTGATCAGTCACAACGTTCTTAATGTCGAGATTCATCAAGATATTTTACCACCAGAGATAGTCCACGGGCATCCAAGTACCCCAACAGTTGACCCAGATGCCGCAAATGTCGCCCGCGAACCCAACTTCCTAACATGTTCTTCCCAGATATCAAAGTTTCGAAGCTGTTGGACTTGATGTTACTGGGCTCACAGTACTGATTTCTCTCGACATATTTACAAGTTTCTGCAATTGCTCAATAAAGATGAATGTAAGCACAGTGTTGGGCCTGAGTCATCGTCAGCAGCCATCACGGCAATTCTACCACGGCACTTACGCCAGTCTAAGCCACGCAGGAGTCCAGCCTCTCATGAGGAATTGAGGTCCCTCATTTCTGAAGGACTCGACTATGATCTTGGTAACGCTCTGAGTAGAGTGTCAGCAGATGTTCGAGAAATTTCGGCGCCACGCTGGCTTACAGGACGGACGCCATCAATTGTCACGGCATTTTGAACCCGACTTTTCAAAACATCTGCCGGTGCACATGCAGTAGTTGCAACAGTACCAGCCAGTAAAGAAGCAAGGAAATGTGTCGGCATTCCGTCTTGCAATCCAAGTGATTGGTTTGCTAGTAGTCCACGTTTCGCGGCCGAGTATCTGGAGTTATCGTCAGCTTGGCCGGACAAGGCGCAAGTACTGATGGCTTACGTTGCTATTTGAGATACGTCTGCGAGGAGTCAGTCAACAGCAAGGTGCAATCATTCTAGATACCCACTCATTATGACACTACGCACAACATTGGGTCCCAGCCCTCTTGTAAATGTGCGCACGCCTTCCTCACGCCCAATTCTTACCAGTGCATCAAAGGCGTGGTTGTATCCAAATCTTGAGGCTGGGGCTTTGGCTCCATCAGCACACATCCTTACCAAGGCCACCTTGAGGGAAATGTCAGCACGTTAAGCACCAGAACCGGATCTACAAACCTCAGTAGGATTCCCAATGAAGCCTGCCATGCCTCCAGCGAGTGCCGCACAGGCAATTTCCCACGAACTTGACAGCTTTTGTTGACCCGTTTTCTGTCGCGCTTCCCGTGCGAAATAATTGTACAAGCCGAAACGTGCGGTCGAGTAAGTCGATTGTCGAAGCATTGAAGCCGATATTCCCCACCACAAAGAAGGTATGCCTTGAATTTGATTAGGCCTGATCCAAGAAATGCGGTTGTTTCATACCGTCACGACTTGCGAATGATACCAGCGTTCTCAGCATATTTGGTGGTTTTTGCATGACCTGCATGCGGCTTTTGCTTCATTCAGTATGAGAACTGCCAAAAAAAGAGGTTCTGACCTACTATTTGGTCTGGTCGAGAGGGTGAGCTTAAGCGATTTGTGAGCGTTTCTTCGAAGTTTCAGCCCGATCCTCGCACTTACTAAAACAAGCAGCCATCGAGGCCGCCGCACCACTATTCGGAGTCAGGATAAGGCTCAGCGCACATCAAGATTCGTTCTTACCCAAGCCAAAATGGCTGTCCCTTCTTCTTGGATTTTGCCATGATTATTTATGAGCAATTGAGCAATCGAGTGGGATTCATTGATTGAGCGTAATGATCGAAACTGAACCAAAGGAAACGGACAGCCCTCCGTTGACGACCTTTGTTTCTCACACTCTTACGAGAACACGATATGGAAGACACGTTTCTTCAAAGAAGCAACAATACTTGAGAAGTAAGCCTTGATGTCTGGCCCTTTTCCCGCAACGTCAAAGTGACCCTCAAAAACACCTCCACTTTCGGCAGTATCTCAATCAATGACCCAGCGTGTTCATCCACCAGTAAGTCGGCTATAGAAAAACTGCCGCGTCGCCAAAGAAGTTTGGCCAGGTCTGACACGGGAGATCGGCAAGAACCCGGCGTTCCTGCCGCCGATAACCTCCGGCCTCCTTCACGTGTTGATGGCTCAACGATTAACATTTTCCCGACACCCACCGAAAAGTGGCTCCGATTTCGCGCCACGTCAATTATACTTTCACGAATTGTGATTCAACTATTTCCTTATTATCTGATGCTGATGATGAACGTGAAAGCTTTGATGCTTTTCCCTCTCTGTCGCAAGGTAGCCTGAAACCCTGAATCTTGGAGATAGTCACATTTTGACACGATGGCAGCTAGTCGTACCTTACTTCTCTGCGTCAAAGACGCTAAGTCTGGTGTCCTGTCGAACACCAACAAGTTTGTCGCCCTGAGAAAAAGTCCGCTACAGTCGACATCTAGAATAACTTCATCGAGACGACATGAAGCACGCTGGTTCTCTTGTTCACGAACGAGATGGACAGAACGTCTTGAGCAAGAAGACAGCAAAAGCCAGCCAGTCATTGATCGGCAACGCTCGAAGGTATTTCATGATGCAGATGAAGCCGTAGCAGATGTAAAGTCTGGGTCGGTGATCTTCAGTGCTGGGTTCGGTCTCTGCGGCACGGCGGAGACTATTATCACCGCTCTTCACAAACGGGGGGATTCTCTCACCGATCTGACAGCTGTGTCTAACAACGCTGGGGCGTCAGGTGCAGGTGGTCTTTCGCCTCTGACACGGTCGGGACAAGTTACCCGTTGCATTTTGTCCTACCTTGGCAACAACAAGACTTTGGAACAGAAATATCTTTCTGGGAATATCGCCATCGAATTATGCCCTCAGGGATCCTTGGCTGAGCGGATACGCGCTGGCGGCGCAGGAATTCCTGCCTTCTACACACCAACGGGAGTTTCGACTTTTATCCAAACAGGTGGAATTCCCACCCGCCTTGGTCCAATTGACCCCAAAACGAAAAAATCGGCCGTTTTAGAGTCCGGAACACCTCGCGAAACCAGAATATTCAGTGGCAAGACATACGTGATGGAAACAGCTCTCACAGGCGATGTTGCAATTTTGAGAGCCTGGAAGGTTGATGAGGCTGGTAATTGCCAGTTCAGGTACACGACTAAAGCTTTTGGTACTATCATGGCTAAAGCCGCACGCTTGACAATTGTGGAAGCGGAAAACATCGTACCTGTAGGTTCCATTGACGCCAACGACGTTCACCTTCCTGGTATTTACGTTGATCGAGTTGTTCCTGCTACGGTCGAAAAGAAACTTGAACTGAAGAAGACTCGTCCCACCAACAGTGGGTTCGAATCTGATTCATCCGCTACGTCCAATTCGACAACATCGTCCACGAAGTCTGAGGCTCTCGTTCGAAGGGATCGTATTGCTCGCCGTGCCGCTAAGGAGCTGAAACACGGCATGTATGTCAACCTTGGTGTTGGAATGCCTACCCTTGCGCCTTCCTTCCTTCCCACCGATGTCAAGGTTTGGATACAGTCTGAGAATGGTATTCTCGGAATGGGCCCGTATCCAACCGAGGACGAAGTCGACCCTGATATTGTCAATGCCGGTAAAGAGACTGTCACACTGGTGCCTGGCGCATCTACCTTTGACTCGGCTGAATCATTCGGCATGATCAGAGGGGGACATGTTGATGTTTCAATCCTGGGTGCCCTACAAGTATCTGCCGCTGGTGACCTTGCAAACTATATGATACCTGGAAAAGTGTTCAAGGGGATGGGTGGAGCGATGGACTTGGTCTCCAATCCGAACCAGACCAAGATTGTGGTCACAACAGATCACGTGGACAAGTACGGCAAGAGCAAGATTGTGGAAAAGTGCAGTCTACCATTGACAGGCGCGAATGTCGTGAGCACCATTATTACTGATCTCTGCGTATTTGAGGTTGATCGCGTCAATGGTGGCTTGACTTTGACCGAGCTGGCTCCCAGTGTTACCGTCGAGGATATCCGCGGCAAAACGGATGCAAACTTTGCAGTTGCGGAGAGCCTTGGCCAGATGGATGAATAGGTCATTGAATTTTGTTTTTGAGACACTAATAGGATCCAGACCCCGGCATTTGATCTGATTGTCGGATATATATAAGATCAAGGCATTGCACACTGGGTTGGTTGTATGATATGCATAGCACGGATTAGAGATTGGGGGCCGCTCTTGATTGTCAATATAGGGAGACAAGGTCTTTAGCAGCCATATCGATTTGTTCTGTCTAGAGTATTTTCTGAGACATCCTTGTTGTGAGAGACAGTTTGAGACTCTAATCTCTGCTGCCATAATGCCATAATGAAGAGGTGACATGTGAGGTCTCGGTGTTGCTTTTCTATATGTGCAGCGCTCGTTGCAGAAGTTATGACGTTCCTGATCATGTGCATCGATACTATGTATAATTGTCCTACATCGCTAAGAACCAAAAGGTCATAAGACATTGTCGTTGGTACCTCATAGCTAAGCAAAAGACTTCACCTGATCGATTCAAACTGGAAAGGCGAAGAGGATCATGGGAAATTTGATATTAAATGCCCTTGCATTCTCCCCTGCCCCCTGCAACCCACTGGGCCAATGTTTGAGCTCCGAATCTATATATCTAGATGCTTTTTGAGCAAATGAATTTGCCGATGAACTTTGTCCATGCTCTAATCGGGGATAGGTGCAAGCGCGCTACAACTTGGCCCTGGGCGTATCAGCCGCCTTGTAGCCGGGAGCGAAGGTGGTGCCGGCGCCCTCGCTCAAGGCTTGGACAATCTCGTCGACGGCGTTTAGGATCCACTGGTTGCCCTCGTCGGTGGCGAGCCACTCGCCGCCCTCGACGTCCTTCTCGGCGGAGCCATCCTCGAACGCCTTACGCAGCCCAAAGCAGTGGCTGACGACCTGTGGGCCGACGCCGGTCTGGGACCGTAAGCACGAAATGGCGACAAGGGAAGTCAAGACGCGCCCGACATTCACAGACGTCTCGGGGGTGGGCGGGTTTGCGAGCAGCGTGCCGTAGTGCGCGTTGAGGATGTGCACGGGCAGGTTCGGGTGCGAGGCTGCCAGCTTGTCGTACAGCTTGTGCTCGAACGGGTAGTACACCGACGCCCACAGGTTCCACCCGTTTTTCAGGCGGTCCTGCAGGTTTTGCGGCGTGAGCTGTCGCGACGGCGGCGGCTGGACCTGCTTGAACACGTCCTGGGGCAGGCCCTCGCGGAACGCGCCCAGGCAGTTGATCGAGCGCGGGATCCCGTTGAAGGATATGCATTTCAGCCCGACTTCGCGGATCAGTTCGATCGCCTGGGGCCCCGGTGGGGCGTTGGGGAGCGACTGGGTGTAGTGGTAGAGCTCGACGAGAGATGACGGGGAGTTCAGTGTCATCGTCGTCGCGGCTGAGATGGTGACCCATGCCGGTAGTCCGACGTTCTTGCGCGCCGCCGACTCGGCGATACGCGAGAACGTCTTGCGGATGTTGGGCGGTGCCCGTAGCATATCGGGCTTTGCGTGTGTCGCGTTGATCAGCGCTTTGAGTGTCGGTGAGAGTTTCGACATGTCGGCGGCGCTCTGCTTTTTGAACTTTGGTGCCCGTTGTTCGTGGAATTTGAGGTCGTGCAGGCTGCGGCCTGTGTTGTACTGTGAGCGAGGGATCCTCGGGAAGAGCGATGAGGAGTTGAAAGAATGATTGGAATGGGGAAAGGGGGCCACAGCCTTGGTTACAAGGGCTCTATGTGGGACAGTCTGTTTAGCATTGGACAAGACCCGTACCTTTTTGATATGCCGCTACTTTTTGCCCTGGACTCTTCTCCGATGGCCGGGCTTCCTCACGTGGCTTGACTGGGTCGTTGAATGTCATCAATGGGGATCGGCCTTGGTGGAGCGGAAGCTTGTGCTTGTCTGGAGTATCTTTGGGACTGGTGGGTAAGCCTACTGGCCGTAGCTTTACATGCTCCAGCGGTGATATCAATATGTCCTGAGATGTTGGTTAAGACATAAAGTTGAAGTGCGTGCAAACAAAGCTGCAAACACACGCTCAGGGCTGCCTCGGCAAAATCAAGAGCCGGCACATCACGCCGGTCTCCATTTCTACCGCAACTGGCGCCGACGGAGATTCTTCTATCCCCAGGGCCCTCCCCTGCTCAGAGGGTCTGGTGTGGTGGTATCTAACGTCATCTTGGTCATTGGCTCGTTCCCGTATCTCCAGATGATCTCCAGAGAGTTTCACTAAATCCGAGTCTGATTGGTATGATTGGCATTTCCCCTACCTCAGCCATGCTGGTCAATTAGGGGCGTACTCGGTAGCTGGCCGCTTAGCTCTCCAGACACCCTCATCCAGACGCCGATTTCCCTGGGGATTCTGGAGTCCCCTCAGTAATTCAACCGCCGATTGCAACCTTTTGAGGAGGTGATTATTATTAACCCAGCGACAGGACCCCGTAAAGAGGAAATCGGTCGACAATATGTTGAGCCGTGTATTCCGGGGTAGCCCAACTACGTGCGACAAAAATCCTACATATTTGGACCTCGAGTTCCCCTCCTTTTGGCAGACACTTTTGGTTTTTCCTCGGGCTTCTAAAGTACTTTGGGATCTAGAACTAGAGTCTCAGAATACTGGGGTACCAAGACTTTAAAGTCTTTTCTTGGACACGCGTGATATCCCGCGACTCGTTGGTCTTGGAAACCTGCAAGTGCCCGAAAGCCTACAGACATCGGTGCCCTTGGCAGTGCTCCAGTGTCACCCGTCGTCCATACAATCCGGTGTGCCCAGAGTTGCCACGCCTCGTCCCAAGCCATGGCAACCATTCCGACCAGGGACCCTGAGAACAAGGTCCATCTTGAGCCAGATGCCGAAAAGGCAGAGGAAACTCAAAATGAGTACGGGCATGGACCTGATAAGGCTGATTCCATCTCGCCTGCCGACGACGATGCTCGCATTAAAGCGCTGACGAGAAAGCTGTTGTTCAAGCTCGATACAAGGTATGTGCCATCTAAATAGCAAGCCTGGCTGTTGTCGAATAAGTCTTCATTCTCACACTGCGACTCCTGTGTAGGGTTCTTCCTGTTCTTGCAGTGCTTTTTCTTTGTTCCTTTCTCGACAGGACCAATGTTGGAAATGCCAAAATTCTCGGTCTCGAGAAGAACATTGGGGTGGACAATGCCCAATATGCCAACGGCCTGGCCATCTTCTTCGCTTTCTACATCGCCGCAGAGCTGCCTTCCAATCTGGTGTTAAAGAAGTTTCAGCCCAGGCTATGGCTCGCCGTGTTGACAGCAGCTTGGGGGATTGTCGGCATGTGTTTGGGATTCATTCGCAATTATGCTTCGTTTCTTACAGTAAGGGCCTTGCTTGGTCTGACAGAAGGGGGCTTATTGCCGGGTATGGTACTTTTCCTCAGCTCGATTTATACTCGGGGGGAGATGGCGCTTCGGATTGGCCTGTTCTACACAAGTGCATCCCTGGCAGGCGCATTTGGTGGGCTCCTTGCACGTGGTCTCTCATCCATTGGCCCTGTGGGCTCGATTGATGAAGGATGGAGATGGATCATGATAATCGAAGGGATTCTCACCTTCGTCGCTGGTGTCGCGGCGTACTTCCTCCTTCCAAACGACGTGGGAACTGCATGGTTTCTAACTGCCGAAGAAAGAGAATTTGCAAAGAAGAGACTCCGCAACGACACTTCGGCACACCTCCCAGACGGCCATGAGTCTGAAGGAGTGGAGAAGTTCCGCTGGTCAGAAGTCAAGCGTGGAGTGCTCAACGTGCAATTGTGGCTCAGCGCCACGGCGTATTTCGCGATTCTATCTGGGCTCTATTCATTTGGACTCATCTTGCCGACGATCATTAATGGCTTGGGATATACCGCCAATCAGGCGCAATTATGGTCGGTCATCCCGTACGCCGTAGCAGCGGTGGTCACGGTCGCGGTGGCATTCGCATCAGACAGACTGAAGCTTCGAGGAACTGTCATGCTTGCTGTTCTCCCGCTGGCCATTATCGGATATGCCGCGATTGCCAATGTCGACCAGCATGACAATCACACCAAATATGGGATGACCTTCTTGATGGCGACAGGCCTTTATGCGAGTGTGCCTCCTGTGCTTGTGTGGAATTCAAACAATTCCGCCGGTCACTACAAGCGTGCAACCACCTCAGGCTAAGTGTGCTTCAAGTATCTCAAATGCTGGGTTCTCGCAGTTCTAACAAGGATCACAGCCTTCAGCTGGCCATCGCAAATTGTGGAGGATTTGTTTCTGCGTTCATTTATCCCAAGTCTGAGGCACCACAATACCATAAGTCCCATACTATCGTTCTTGGGTTATTGGTATATGCATGGTTTGCGTAAGCTTCCCTCTGCTCTCCATATGGCTCGAATATTAGCTCACAGTTGTACTAGGGTACTGCTGAATGTCTTGTACTGCGCAAAGATCAACCGAGACAAGGCCAGTGGCAAGTATGACAAGTATATTGGGTATGGCGATGATAGGGATCCTGAATTCAAGATGGTCTTGTGAAAAGACTTTGAGAACAGCGCCAGTAGACCAACCTTGTTACAAGGTGGGGTCGAAGAGGGACAAATCTGGCTCAAATTGACGTCTCCATCAATACTTGAAGCTGGTGCGACATAGTATATACATGTAACAGGCCGGACATCAAAAGTATGGTAACTGAGCGTCATTATCCTGTAACGCCATTCAAAGCTTCCATGCGGAGATTGGTGGGGTAGGAGGGACTGAGAGAACATGGTAGCTCACATACCGAGGGGACACATCGGATCCGAGGATTTGGTTGTAACGTCGAACAGACCTCCATCTTCCCTGATCTAATATATACCTATTGATTCGGACTCGAAGGTTGTACGTGAGTACGAGGAAAGATTAACGATTCGGGTTGTGCTGGCTTTCGCGCTCGTACATCCTCGCACCGCGCTTCCTAGAGAGGATATATATTTAGCAGACCTGATCCCCTTCCATTACGAGCTTGCTTCTGCCTCGACCACTCTCAGCTTCAGGCTACGTCTAGAACATTATACATCCCCTTTCTACCTGAGATGTCTTCGCAATCCCGCCCACCGAATCCAGGGCAGCTTGCCACAAGCCTTCCAGGACTGACAGCACATCTTGTGGGACACGATAAGGAAGGCAAGGCAATAGTGCAGGAAAGCCGACCGGCCAAATGGTCGATCTACGATGGAGATCAGATGGCATTCAATGTTGTCTATACAACCTCGGAATTCCCAGCCAACCTCAATGAGGACAAGGATATCCAGGCGCACGACAATCTCATGGCCTCGGGTAAATTAGGCCTGGTCAACTCCAACGGCACAGTATGCCGCGTGGTGGACTTTGCACCAGGATATGAGTGCATGATGCACCGGACCCAGAGCATCGACTACGGGATTGTGCTGGAAGGCAGTATCGAGTTGGTCTTGGACAGTGGAGAGAAGAAGCTGATGCAGCGGGGAGATGTGGCGGTGCAAAGAGCCACGATGCATGCATGGAACAATCCCAGTCAGACCGAGTGGGCACGCATGATCTTTGTGCTTCAAGACTCGCAGAAGCTGGAGATTGGTGGACAGGTCCTTAAGGAAGATCTGGGCCGTGGCGTCGATGGCTTGCCGTCAAGTGGAAACGATGCTTAGTAAACTGCCTCGAATGATATATACTGTTGGAGATTTGGCCCCCGTAAATCTGGGGCTGCCTACGGTTATGGTAGACGGTGTCAGTGCGTGCCCACCCGGTGTCTGAAAGAGACGGCGAGGCTGGAGACACAGCAGATACTGTAGACACAATGCATTGACACTGTGTCAGACGCAGTCCGTGGGTTCGTCCAAAACGTCATTGTTACTCCCGACCAGGTGCGCGTGTGTCTGGAAGTGTAAGGCTTTTTAAGAGCCCCATGAGTGACTGGCAGTAACATACTGCCAACTGGTGAGAGATGGTCTGAATCAGATACCGAGTAACATCGTAATATGTACGTAGTATGTATCAAGCAGTGCGACAACGACCAGGCCAGCGCGAGGACACGACCCCTCGGCCCCTTTTCACTGGCCAGAGGAAACGGAAGCGGCGACCCGTGTTCGCGTCTGCCAAGCGCGCCGAGGCGTGGAAGGGACGAAGGAAGGAGGGAAGGATGGAAAGATGGACCTGCTGTCTCGATTTGCTGTTGCTGTTGTTGCTGTTGTTGCTGTTGCAGGCGGCACCTTCCTCGCTCTCGTCCCGAGTCTCCACCCGCATTTTGTTGATTCCAGGATTTGTGCTCCTGCGCCTCTAACCACAACCACTACAAGTACCTCACTTCGCCTAATAATTAGTTACCGGGGGGCGCTTTTGCACCACTCTTTGTTCCTTTTGGCACTTCTCGCCTTTCGATCTGCGCACATATTCGCATGTTCATATCCTGTACATATATTTTGTTTGATCCTGTATCCATATCTCGCCTGGAGACCACCGCACAGCAAGACTTGACCTCCCCCCCCCCCCCACCCCATCCCAGTGGTACAGCGAGGCTAATCCGTCGATCGATCCCTCTGCTCCAGTCCCAAAGAGAGTCTTGCGGATACCTGCCTCATTTCGCAATCTATCAAAAATCTCTCCTGCTACATCCACTTTACCAGTAGCAAATATAATCAGTCTGCGCTGTGGCGCCCGTGGTCGCATGGGTGAATCTGTATAAATAAGACGTGGAGGAACATCAATAATGTGCCCGGACTGCGTCCACCGGCTTATCAATAACAATGGTCTGGCAGCGGAGTTCATCCCTCGGACTTGATACAACCACTTCCACTTCTAGGATACGCAGTCGAGGAGAATCAGACGTCGAGAAGGAAGCACTTTTCCGCACCAACGACGATGACCATGCCATTGACGAAGACACTCCCTCCGCCGACTCTTCTCGCTCCCCCTCCGATATGTACAAACCTATCGTCGTAAACAACGCCTACACATCCAATCGATCCTCACCCCCTGCGATTCTTAGCCGCCTGCCTCGGTCCATCATGCGCTGGCTCTGTCTGGGAGTCGCCGCGACCTTGCTCATCTTCATATTCTCCCTCGTGCAGTTAAGTTGGAATGCAGACAAAGAAGTCCAAGTTGCAATTCAACAAGAGAAGGTTAAACCAAAACCGCCCCCGTGGGAGAGTTTCCCTTTCCTCGAGAGATATTATGGTGGAGTGCGATCTCTAGTATCTGCCGCCCTGAATGTCCCTGAATATCCCCGCAATGAAGACGAAATGCCAGCGGATAACTTCAACGTTTCCGAAGAACTACGCGAAAGTGAGGCCGCGAGAGAGCATCAGAAGCGCGCATTACAACCCAGCAAGTTGTTCGATCCTTATCCCAACTATACCTCCCCCGAGTACATATCCAAGTACGGTGAGAAGGTGGACTGCTATCTTGATGCTGGAAATACCATTTCCATTCCGCGGGTTCGGATTTACGAAGGTATTCCTCGAGGATTCCCGGACATGGCAATGGGTTCGGCTCAGTTGCTCGGTCTTCGGAATGACATCTGTTATGATCGGTTTGGTCGATTGGGGCCTTATGGGCTGGGCTACAGCTTGAACCGAGGTGGTAGCGGCGCCCAACTAGAAGGTGAGAGGGATGGAGCCGATCTGGTGTGGTCTGAAAGCCCTGAGGTTGATTGGAGGAGTGTCAAATGGCTCCAAGTCCAGAAGCGATGTCTGTTATCGAACCAACACCGGTTCAAGGAATTACCACCAGCCCAGCCGGACACCTTCCGGGCAATGCAACTCGGAATCATGCAGAAGAGAGATGAACATGAACCATCAGATTTTGCGGCAATGGCATCAAACGGCGCCGGCCAATCCAAGACCAAACCAAAGACTGGGTCCGAGAAACTAGGTCGAACTGCAGTTATAATCCGGACTTGGAAGGACTATAACTATACTCCCGAAGACAAAATCTATCTTCGATCACTCATTTCGGAATTGGCCATGCTGTCAGGGGGCGAATTTATGCTCCATTTCCTCATTCAAGTCAAGGACAACGAATTGCCAATCTTCTCAGATGACGAGACCTATGAAAGGGTTCTTCGAGAATCATTACCGGAAGAGTTCAGTGGCATGGGAACGTTGTGGAATGAACGTCAGATGCACTTGATGTACGGTGGTCTGGAAGAAACTTGGATGCGAGACCTCCCTGTTCACGGTGTATATCGAAGCACTTTCATGCCGATGCAATATTTCGCATATCGACACCCAGAATTTGATTTTTTCTGGAACTGGGAGATGGACATCCGTACCACACATCATTGGTACCATTTGTTCGACAGTGTCAGCAAGTGGGCTAAGGCTCAGCCTAGAAAGTTGCTGTGGGAGAGGAATAGCCGATTCTTTGTACCCTCGGAGCATGACACCTGGGAAGATTTCAGTCAAATGGTCCGTATTCAGACGGAACATGGCACCAATAGCGTGAACAACCTATGGAGCTCTCTCAATCGAGACAAGGACGATTCTGTAGCTGGCGCGGTGAGGCAACAGGGTGATCGACCTGTCTGGGGACCTGAGCGACCTCTTGATGACGATGTTGCCTTTGAGGGCGATCCTCAACCACCTACCTCCTTTGAAAAGGACAAGTACACCTGGGGCGTTGGCGAGGATGCCGACCTGATCACGTTCAACCCTCTTTTCGACCCTGACGGCACTACATGGCTTCTCACAGAAGATACCACGGGCTATAATAAGACACGAGGCCAACCACCACGGCGCACTGCGATTATTACTGCAAGCCGACTATCAAGAAAATTACTTACAACCATGCATCGCGAAACATCAATTAAGAAACACACCATGTTCTCGGAGATGTGGCCTGCATCTTGTGCCTTGCACCATGGACTGAAAGTCGTCTATGCGCCTCACCCAGAGTACATTGATCGGAAATGGCCGACCAAGTATCTGCAAGCCGTCCTGAATGCAGGACGGAACGGTGCGACAGGCGGAGCGCGGACGAGCGTGTTCGGCGACCGTGAACACAACTTCCGCGGGACGACATGGTATTATAACGCAGGGTTTCCCGAGGTGCTTTGGCATCGATGGCTGGGAATGAAGTTCCATAATGTAGGAGGTGAGCAGGAGGAAATGGCAGGCGAGGGCAGGATGTGCCTTCCTGGAATGCTGCTGCATCCTATCAAGAGGGTGGATTTGGTTCTTGAATCCAGGAGGGCAGACCAATCTGGTTGAAGTGATTTATGGATCAGGTGCATTGATTGCAACATGATCTGATGCTAAAGACCGCATCTACTAAATATAGTCGTCGCTATGGCATGTGTTGGATAACGCGAATTGTCTATCTAGGCTCACAACCTTTTCATCCAAGTCGCTGGTGTACGACTTACGGCGTTAAATGAGGTATTAATAGCACCATGAACTTCCGGCGGCTCGGGTCAAACTAATCGCTGCCGCCTGCCATTGCGGTTGGTCCTTGGACCAGAGGTACTGTGTATAGGATTTGAACGTGTCAGTCCACTTAGTAAAATAACTGTGAGATAGTAATGAATGATTGACTGACAGGATATTTCACGGATACCATGACGCTAGTTGTATTTAGAGGCTTGGCGTGGCGGTCGGCGCTCGAGGCTTAGCGCGGCCCACGTGAATTTGAACTAAAATTTGCTTAGTAGACTACTTTTAATATAGCTATCTTCATGCACCCTGTATGCAGTAGTATATATAGCTATACTTTAGGAGGGCCCATGTATTTAAGCTCCTAGCCATAACCAACAGATCGCTGTCATTTCAGCATAAATAACCGCCTTCTTAGACCCTAAATGAATGACAGACTTGTCACGTCCTGTCTGCCACACGAAATCCTAACTGTGAACCATGTCTAGTGTTTTGGTCTAGCCAAGCCCCTGACCTTCCACAACCAGATTTAGGCGGCCAGGCTACTATGTACCCAAGATCCTAACTACATGACTTGGTACCCAACGGGAGCCCGAGACCTCGTTTCTTGGCCCTTGAATTCCTTCACGTTGGGGGGCACCAGTCCCCTAGCAAGTGCTGCAATTCTCTTTAGAAGCACAGCCCAAACTTTTCACTCCCATGCACAAATTTATGTTCAATCTTCCGTATTGGAGTTGTTTGATGCCTTGTACATAAACTTTGTGGGCATCTGAGCCTGCTACTGTACTGTAAGTTCAAAGTTTACCTTCCCGCGGCCGAGTCCTTCAGCCCAATCACCAAGCTCCAAGTACAAAGTCTCCGCAAACAAGCGGCTCTCAAAGTGCGAACTGAGAAGAGGAATGTTGCCTTGGGGGGTTGAAAGAGGCAAGAGTCCAGGAACCTCATGTGGGACAAGTCCCCTCGACGTTACCATGATGTACTGTAGAATCCCGCCATAATGCAAAACTCATTCCATTCTCTTTGCTTTGCGGACCCGTTTGTAACTCCATTCCCCAGATCTTGGTTGCTGGTTCTCGTCTGGGCATCATCATAACCCTACTCTATCTCGCATTCCTATGCATACTGAAAGTCCACCGCGATCACAAGCGCGACCAAGGCTGAGATCTCGCCACTGCATGTCAATCAAGATCACGGAAAATGGATGGAACAAGACACCAGATGTGTCGTGCTGGTTGATCCATTTTTGCCATATCCACCCACTTCTGCTGCCTGCATATCTCTGAGCTTCGAAGCAAGTTCTATACCGGGAAGTCGGAGAATCCAGTGTACTTCGTACCATCTAGCCCGAATTTGCAAGTCGGGTCTTCGACTTGCATACTTAGCAATAACAGGAAGCGAAATAGACCACTCTAAAAGGTAATTAGCCCAATATAGCCCCTGTTTACGAGTGGGGTCTTGGTGATTGGAAAAGGGATTGAAAAGGGTTTGGTACACACAGCCACTTGTTTGGAAGTACATCGCCTCGTGGTGGGCTAAGAATAAACGAATAACCCCCGGGCCTTTAACTAATTGCTAATCTGGGCTCTAGCACGATAGAGGAGCAAGGCTCCCAGTAGTAGGTACTAAACCCGATGCTCCCCTTATTAGTCTTCAACATATTCTCAATCTGAACATTGATGTCGATGTGTGTACGTGTGTACCGTCATGTCTGCTGAAGCGCGTGCTCCAATTCCACCGTTCTCGGCTGGAGCTACAAGCGATAGATCCAGGTTGAAATTCGAGATTCTCGGTATTGTATTTGCATATCTGGCCTGGGTACTTGTTGTTGCTATCATTGCATTCTTGAGGAGGCGGAAGCCGCGCAGGAAATTATGGTCTTATTTCGACATCTTCTCTGGCCCAGAAAGCTCGGAGCCGAAACTAGGGGACTTCAAAAACGCATTGATGACTCTCAGATGGTCAACTTGGGTGTCCGAGAGGCTCGAGGCATTGGTGCTGAAGGTCAAATCAAAGATCTGGCGGTCACACCACCAACTGAAGGCGGCGAGAAATTTAACTGTGGATGAGGCTGTGCTTGAGAGAGACAGAGCACACAGTCTCGAGGACTTGACAATATTATATGCGGTTGCCGATGGGTATCGTCTGGGTTTACGGGAATCTCTGCACGGTCAGGATGCAGCGGTTTTGTCAGAACCATTATCTTACCCCGGTCACATCAACAAAGCTACTCTGCGGCAACCATCAGAAAGTTATCGCATTCACCGACAGCAACACAGAACCAGTTCATCGCATCCTCGGATTGAGAGACCTTACTCTGTAGGCCGTACAGGGGCCCAGAGATCTTCCGCATTGTCTGGAATGACCCTTGTGCACGACCTTCACGACGATGGCAACGGATTGCCGATCATCTCAGACCAAGCTCTCGAAACCCACCCGCTTGCTCAGCCCAGAGGCATTCAAGTCAAACCGCAACAGAGCGAACAAATCACGGGCCCGATCCCTTCATTTCGCGAGCGATCGTATCACTCATGTCAAAGACAGGTCCGATTCAGCCTCCCATCCCCAATGTCAATGTCACACGAAAACTCCCCACGACAGTCTTCGTCTGAGGAAGTTTTGCAACAGCCCAATTCTGCATTGCTACCTGGGTCGTGGCATTCTATCGCCTGTGAACATGTGGATGATAACGATGCAGAAATCTCACCCTTGCACTCAACCCATCACGACAACAAATGTTCTCCCTACAACCAAAGCGCCTACAGCAACCAATCGGAGTTCAAGTTCGTTGCCTTACAGCTTCCCTCGAGTCTTTACACATCTTCCACACCTATGAGCCCAGTATTTCCTTCACATTTCGGGTCAAAGGGTGCTTCAGAGCCTGAAGTCCTGGAAAATTATGGCATGGTAAATGATGATGACCAGATCTGGGGCGCCGTCAACTAGTGAAGAACTGGGTCGAGATGGACGCGGTGGGGCGCGTGTAGATCAATGATGCTTCAAATACACAGGAGGTACTCCGTACATATATATAGTAGTTGACTCGGTTTATAAAGCGAGGCCCCCATCAACCAGTCTAGTACTCTCTCTTCTAAAAATGTTCTTTCCAAAACTTAAATCTTACCCGGCTCTTCTTCGACAGCTCAGAGCATGTCGTTTCAACACTGGCGGCTAGCGCAGGGGGTCCACAGTAATAGCAGCCAATTGTGAGATTCTTAAGCGTCTTCCTTCTCTGCAGCTTCAAGTCAGCAATGGCATCGTCTCTGATGGTAGCAAGAATGCGCTTGAAGTCAGGACGGCCAAAACTGGTGCTGGTTCGCAGGCCTGTCAACGGATCGATTTCTTGCCCTTGCTCTATGGAATTCAGATAGATGTTGGTCGCACTTTCATGGTCTAGCTTCGCCGTGAGGTGGATGCGATATCGTAGGAACTCGGGCACCGAGCGATGGGAAGCGGCCGCGGCCGCGGCAGACTGTGCTTCGAGCGACGATAATAGGGTTTTGAACCACTCGAAAGCTGTAGTCTCTCTACACACCCAGACGAGTTCGACTCGCTTCAGTCGCCTCGGCGGCCGAGCAGAAGCACGCAGGTGCCAGATGTTCTTGAGCACTGAGGCCCAAGGTGAAATACCAATGCCCGTGCCTATCAGCACCGCGATGTCGTTCTGTAGGACGTCTTCTGCCGGAGCTCCATACGGCCCATCGATCCTGATTCGCGGAAGCGTCTGTCCAGCCGATAGAGCCACATAATATGTTGCCAGCGGGTCCAGATTCTCGAATTCTTTTCCTTGGGCTGGACCGCAGCCAAGTAGATTTGCGAGAGATTTGGTCCAATCACCCACCTGTCGTACGTGAATCGAAATATAGTCGTCGTGGGGACATGAAGTTATTGTAAAAGGATGCCACTGATATTTTGACACTTCTGGGACGTTGATGAAGAGCCACTGGCCGGGCTTATACTGCATCGATGGTTTCTTAAACTGTAGCTCGATGGTGTCGTACGGGTGTTTAATGAGTCTATAGAGCTTTGTTTCTCGCCTCGACCGGATTTCACGGTAGAGCCGTTCGACGAGGTAGAAAAAACCACCGAAAAGCTCCCACCTAAAGCCTTGATACCCAAGACAGTGGGCCCAGAAATCATCCCCCGCGAAGGGCGAGAAAGGTTCGACAGTGTCGCGCACGAAGCACCCGGTTGCATGAGTATAAAGGGCGAGGAAGAACGGTATAAATAAATGGTGCGTGTACCAGAACGTTTCATACGATTGCTGCCGAACACGATGATGAGCAGTTGTATACATGAAGTACATACAAACAAGCATAATATGACCGGTAATGCCACCAGCTTGAGTATAGTGAATCTGTACAGCTGCTTCTGGCCGGACTTGCAGCCGCTCAACGTTGAAGAAGTTGATGTAGTGGCAGCTAACGTGGATGATAGTGAAAGATAAGGTGGCGTACGCAATTTGCCTGTGTATCCATTGCGGGTCATCGAGGAAGGACCTCAGTCGCGGTCGAAGGAATGTCAAGATATTGCGACACATAGGCAGTGGAAGCAATAATGCATCCAGAGAGAGCACTAGGCCCGACCCTCGAGATATCCATATTGAATACTGCAGCTCGTTGAGAGGTGCAAGTCTTGCGTCATCCTGCTGCTTTTTCCTGGAAAGTTCTTGTCACTATGAGTATACGGATAGAGATAGTGATTGACGTACCATCCATAAGCGAACAGTCCCCAGTGTAAGCCCCAGAAGAGAATGTGGAAAGCTAGATTTCGAAATGTCAGTCGCTGCATCATCTTCATACCTGGCATGGCAGTAGTAGCAGCAGCTGCTGTTGCTCATACCACATGGGAAGGCTGGGAGTGATACTGTAATTTATGGTGATGCTGCCACTGATAAAAACTGGGGCGGTGCGGGTTTCAAGTGTCCAACGGCCTGCACTTTGTGCTCCATTGTATGCTCCTCTCAAGCGCCGACACAGCGGATAGCCCTCTACGGCAGGCAAGCAAAAGCACGTGCATAGCCTCTGCGACGACTTACGAGTACTCGTACGGGTAGGCTAAGTGTGAGATGCGCTATCTCAGGCGGGCCAATGCAGCATCACGGGCTATATCGATTTAGTCCCATACTCCGTATTCCTTCCGTGGCCAACGTGGGACCCTCTTTCTTGGCCTTTTCTGACACCCCCTCAAGGAAGGAGTTGTGTTCACCTGAGGAGCCGCGATTACGTTCAAACTCGGTGTATGCGTAGAAAATTAGCTAAAGAGTACACTTGCACAATTTTTATGCATGAACCCTGAAAGTTGGCGATATATCTGCAGGCTGCGGGAAAATACACAAAAGGCCAAGAAAAAAAGGGTTATCCATCGGCCACGGAAGGACCACAGGGAACGGGCCTTTTCAGGCACACAGCGCACGAAAAACTGATCCGCTTGGCTGCAGTAGTACACGCGCGAGGGTTTAGGGTTCTGCAATGGTTGTTCCCACGAGGACCGCTGTCCAGGCCCTACGTACCGCCCACTACGCTCACAGCCATAAGGCGCCCCAGTTACATGGTTGGTGTGGAAGACCAGGGAGTGTGGGACTAGCTTTGACGCCGGCCTTCTAGGTTTGGTTGGCCCCCAACACCTTGATCACCGCAAGACTTTGATTGGATATAAATATTAGTACGGAGGCGTGTATAGTTCTAACCTATCTTCGTCTCGAGTCTACGAATCATGCTACGGGATTACGCAGATAAGCTAGGTAGGAGGCACGCCTTACAATAGATAGCACTATAGACCAAGCTATGTGCGTCCAAGAGCTGTTCAGCTCTCGAGATTTGAAATCATGAAGTATCCGCACAGTCGGAGTCACTCTCCCCATCGTGACGAAAAAGGAAGCTCATAGAGTGTTGCACAGCGCCAGCGGTCAATGGTGACCATATATCGACAGCTTTCTAGCCTCTGATCAACCGCCGCAAAGACAGAGACCGCATTGCGGACTCTTCAAACTGACGGATATGGGTAAATTAGTGAAGAACCACTGGGCTCGCCTTCTCATACTCACAGCCTCTAGCTATCAACTCATAGCCAGCATCGAGTGCTGCATCTGGCCGCAAATCTTCTGGGACTTTACCACGAAAAACTTCGATGGAGCTGTCAAACCAGCCCCAATACTGCAGATTTTCAACATTCTTCTCGCCCTCCTAGGCCTGGCTTGGGAATGGCCGCTCGGAGTGATGGCCCATACAACTTGGCATAGCAGCATTGAAGCACGATTGTTGATATACCCGATAAGCTGCCTCGCTTGTGCGTTGATGTATCAGGGGACCAATGCAGCTTTTTTCTACCTGGTTGGAATGGTGGTCTGGCTATCGGCTTTCTACAACGAAGAAATTGTTTGTCCTCAGCCATGGACGACGGCGACGCAAGGGAACAGAACGCGGCAGCCGACAGGTGCTGTTTAGCACCGGTCACCATGAGTTGTCTCTTACGAGGAGGACCTTGTGGATGTTGGCCATCTCGTAGGGCGGGAGGACTCTGATTCAGCCTTGCTGCGTTAGTGTCTGCGGCGAGCTGCAAGGATGCAGAAGCGCTGGAAAAGATGTACAAGCTAGCTTCCACGATTGATTAAAAACTTGTACATATGCTCGTTGATTTCAGGTCAATTCACGCGTGTCCACTTCACTAGCAGCCTTTGACGACGTTGGCAGCCGCCGTTGAAGGTTGTATCCAACCCAATAGACTAGAAGGATGTAAGTATGCTGCATTATTAGTCCTTGGATGGGTCCAAAATCATGCTCGGGTACAATCCTTTCCGCGTTCTCATATGATTGAGTACCCCGTACCGTCCCTTGCAATGCAAATACTGGTCCATACAAGCACGCCACTTCGCACCACAGATCCAATTTTAAACCAATAAACTTCTAAACGCTAGCACCTGCGCGTTATGCCACCCCCTGATTAGCGTTGTATTCACTGTTTGGCGCGTTTGTTATCTAAGGCCCTCGGGGCTATTTGGGGCCATGAGGAAGACGAGTTACAGAGTTGTCAAGCGTGCACTACCACTAGTCGCTAGTCTAGCACCACAACACACTAGGCTGAGATCTAGAATAGACTCAGTAGCGGTAAATTGTGGTCGATCCTTGTCCTATCAGGAGTACACGAGGTTGAAGGGAGGAGAGTGGAGACCTTGCCAGAAAGTGAGTCAGGGCGAATAGTGACCATATCTGGGCCTCTCTGTGTACTATCCTAGGCCATGTCTCCGTACTCAAAGCTCAATTTTCCCTCGTATTTCTCGGGTTGATTATTATTTTTTGGTTCGTTGCAAACCCTAGCAGCTCTTCTAGACGTGGAACTTACAATCGATATGGCTCAACTCTCTTCGATTTCTTACGAACCTGATTATCTCCAAACGCCGCGTGAAGTGAAACCGCTTAAGTATGGGGCATATCGCATCCACAGGAAACCCGTAGGCTCCAGCGCCCGCCATGTTGTCGCTGATGGGCATCATTCTAAAGAAACTGGTTATATTGATTGTCAAGTTCAGACAAGCCACGAGGATGAGGCTATCATTCCCTCGAACAGAGATAATCCCCTCAACATAGTCGGCGAGAGACATTCGAGGAAAGGTTCTCTTGTGGATGCGACGGCAGGTGCCACCGACGAGGGAAACTTCGAAGAGATTGAGATTCATCTCAAACCCCCAACGAGATCATCCAGAAGTTCACCTCTATTTCAAAGTAATGACAGGAGGTATTCAGCTCGAAAAGATATCAACATAGAAAACTTATCACCTTATTATATCCCGGACGTCAATGGGACACTTTCATCACGCTCATCAACTTACTCATTAAGTAGTCGAGATGGCCACAAAGCCCATGAGCTTCCAAGTCAAAGCCACCAATCCGTGGAGCACGTCAGTCCATATTCAGGGAGTCTCAGCTCCGGCACATATAGTTTCGATGGCCACACCACCAAAGGCTCAAAGCCAATATCGGATGAACGCCTGGCAGCTGCAAAAACGGGGCCAGCTCGAGCGAGTAGGCGACTCGAGCCAACAGATGATGAAGTGGAAAGCCAGACTGTACCAGTCTCTTGCAGTGGATGTTGTCCAGTGCATTGCGTCAGAGATACTCCAAAGCGGACGACAGCGCGGAGCTGCAAAGCTCCTAGCACATCCGCATCCTCTCAGCATTACCGGGACCGCCCAGCTCCGCTTAGTCTGGCAGATTTATCGTTTGGAAGCACAGCTCAATCATCCACTCACCCCGATATTCATTTACTTGCGAGGAATATCGGGAGAGACTTAGCCCTCCGATCTTCAAACAGTAGTTTACGTGGGACACACAAAACTCATTTTCTAGCTCAAGAGAGCAGACCCAACAATCAGCCGCGCTCGAACGCGAGTGATCCGAGCTCTGCCTTTTCTCAAGATTTCTTAGCCAGATCACCGATATTTTCAGCACTGTCATTGCCTCTCCAACCTGTGCAGGTTCAAAAGGTGTCTCATTCACCGAGATTTACCAGGACATCAACTGCTTCTCTAAGCTCGTTGAGCAATAATACCTCCCCAAGAGACAACCCGGCTCGTCCTTTTGGAGGACGTGCCTCGCCATTACGGAACATGGTAAACGATGATCCTCACCTGAGAGACGCCATTGCTGTCAGACAGGGCACACCGCTAGAGGCCTTCCAGGGCGCAAGGGGAGACCTCAGCAGGCCACGATCCATAAGATCCACTCGCACTTTCAAGTCCCGGCGTTCCAGCGTTCACAGTGAAATCTCTCGATTTTCAGATGACTCAGTTCATGGTCTGCGTTGCAGAGTCAAATCCCTGCTGTTTCGTGTCGCTGAGAAGCTCTAGTGTATGTATACAAAAGGAGAGATGACTCAGATGAGAGGAACTCAAAAACCTAGCCTTACGCTTTATCACAGCGACAAAGCGCCCAAGTCTGAAAGTCATACTGACAAGGGAGAGCGATTTCATCAACTACATTCTTTACTGAAAAGTTTAGTTTTGTCACTTGTGCCGACTACAATTAAAGCCAACTTCCTATAATTCAATGTTAGGAAAGGCCAAGGAAGGCCTCCTAACGAGCATTCAGCTCATAGGTCCAAGATATCCTTATACATTCGTACGAGATTCTAGTCTCCTTGAGCAATCCTCAAGGGATTACGAATCTATTGCCTGGCAAGCCGCCCCGAAGTTATAGCTGATCCTTTAGCTTAAGGGGGAACTAGTTTAGTCCTAGTTGTACCTCTGAAAAGGAGGCCGAAAAGGAATCGTTACTCACTACGCCTATATGGCGCACACGCCCTTAGGTAGTGAAGTAATGAAATCATGAACCTTTCGTCTAATGTTCCAATTGAAAACCGAATGGTATCTATTCGCGAATAGCACTCAGTAATCGCCTTTCGCCCTGGCGATCCCTGTACGTCGTATATTCTGTCACGGAATAGGCCTCTCTGTATATTACATAAGCAATATGAGGATACAACAAAGCTTAGGCCGTAGCGCAGGTAAAAAAAGTTTAGTACGGGTATCTATTGGTGCTAATAGGTAAGTAGGTATTCTAGAACTAACTGTGCAACGCTTTTTTAGATAGTAACGAGGTTTCTTAAATTTATAAACGCCTCTCTTCTCCATATATAAAGGACTGACCGTACTATATATCGAAATTATAGCCTTCCCACCCTTTTTGGTACTAGAAAAGCATCCATCTCCTCGTGCTCCGGCCGAGATACTTCAATGCATTGCCATTGTGTGCGATTGATTGAGAGTTTGAGATGCTCCTCCGTTCCTGGGGCCGGAATCCTGAGAGCTGTCGGTTCGCAGGAGTAGACGAAGTCGGAAGATTCAATAAACCATCAAATAAAAGATGGGGCCCCAAGTTTCCAAGAGAATATCCACGAGATTTGATATTTCAGCATTCATTCATTCACTCACTCACATTTGTGAATAGCTTGGTGGGCATCATGTCACATGGCTCATAGCTGGGTGACTAAGTCCACCTTAGCACGACGTTCTTTTATCTTGGTTTCATGATTCATGTCTGGGCTCTTTTAGCACATTTCTTTATGTCATGGAGAAAAGCATTTCCTCAATCATAGCTGCCGCTCTGTACATGGCCGTGTCGTTCGTACTGAAACTTATGGGACACTGTCAACCCGGGGTTGTCTCCTGAATGTGCGATCCATCGCCGGCCAAGGCAACACAAAATGCTCCACGCCGATTGCATGCGGTGGGAAGGAGACCAAGGGCGTGAGTGTGCGCCCTTCGGGTCCAGTACTATGTATTTCTCCCGTTCATTTGGCGCTGGATGCAACTCTCAGATCAATATCGCCTTGCGCGGAAGCATTTGGCGCTTTGATGTGCAAATCAGATCATGCGGGTCACGAGTAAAGATTCGTCTCTAGCCAAAATGATTCTACCGAGCGATAAAGAAAACTAGGCAAATCAGGCTGTCAAGGAGGAACGAGAGGGCGCAGGATACGGAGTACATACTCTCCACCAAGGTACGGAATAGCCGGTATCCTTGCGATGACATGCTTTGGAAGGATTCTAGATACGACCGCGGTCGATAGAGCCGAGTCCCTGGAGCCTCGCGTCTTTAGACGGTACGGATATGTCGATCGTAATATTGATATTGCGCTTCTACTTTAGGATCTATATACACGTTCAGCTGCTGTCACCACCACCAACGACAATGCTTATCAGCACGCATGTCATCATCACCCGCACGCCCCAACTCACCCGCGAGAGAGAGACGTACATCTAGGTACAAGACAGGCAGTAACAAGCTCCACATCTATATGTCTTTCACTTCATGGCGCAATATCCGGCTGATTACCCGCTCGGCTGCTTGCTGTCGGTGTTCAGCCACTGAAATAAGTAGGCGTACGTCCCTGGGTGGCCCCACCCCGCACGTGGCATCAAATGGAATGGGAAGGCCCTGCATGAGGATTGAATACTCCGTACATACTGCCGAAATACGGAGGGTCAATGTCTAGCCATGGGTAAATAATATATGGGGCGAACAGAGACTTGAAATGCCAGTTGATTTTACATTTTCTTGTATTGTTTTTACTCTCATTTGCGAGATTTGGGAGTTGCGATACGACCTGACGCAACTGGGCTAATGATGGTTCTTCGTTTATTGGCTTGATTTCAGAACGATTCTTTCCAAGGCAGGGAAGACCATTGCACAAGTGCACCAGCTCATCTCCTTTGGAATGGCCCCATGTATGGACTTCTGCTACGGGCAGTTTCTCAATCCTCAGAAACCATCCAATATCCCGAGATGGCCAACCAAATTAGGTTCACAACCCACGGCTCATCATTCTCCCAAACCTCGGATCAAGCCATAACGCATGGCCAGTGCTAGTTTGTCAAAAGGTTAATTACATTCAGAGATCAAGGCCGGGTTCAATGCAGGGCAAAATAGAATCCAATCCAATCCAATCCAATCCATCCAGGGTATCATAGTCTGTATTCGAGGTGGGGAGGAGTAGTGTAGCGTGGTGGGTATTATCGATATGTGTTTTAAATCCCTAAATCAGAAAGAAAGGCCGTAAAATCGTCAAAGGCTCTCGTCCCATCGTCTACTGGGATATGTTTGGATTTTCCCTAGTTGGTGGAAGGTAAGAATATAAGCTGATAGTGCGTTGGAGGACAAGGTTGCCTGTCATTTCGCCAGATTAAGAGTGATGACAGGCGCTGCATGAAACCAAATTTCGTGTGCGGGCGTAAACACCTGTATTTATCGATTGCCGTGAACGCCATGCTATGAAAAAGGTCCAAGTAATCCGTTGAGGCGTTGTAGTCGAGGCGACGGAAGAAGTGAAAAGAGATGTGTGGTATGATCATAGATTCTGGGGAACAGCGTAATACGGATCAAAACTCTCGGCAACTTGGGCGAGAGTGTCCAGATCAGAAAAGCCTCTGACCAAGGATGGCATTTGTAGGCCACCATTCATGAGAAATTCCTCGGATTTATCCAAGCCTCGCTGTGGTAGGGGAAGCAGAGGGCCTTGTTGATTCAACAAATCCTCATTCAGAGGTGGATAGATGGTGTTGGGTGATAGTGTTTCGGGAATAGTTTGGATGGGCATAAGCAGCTGTGGGGCTTCTGGATAGAAGTTCGTTGCCAATGAACTCTCGGTGCTCATGGATGTCTCTGTGGTAGGCGGGGCCAAGGACGTAATCTCGGACAGAGGCGAATGGATCAGACTCGACCGTCGACTCCGATCTGGATGCATGGTATCGTCCTTTTGGGCTTGTCTGGCTCTTTGAGCGGCCTTGGTAACTGATGCTTTAGAGCGGCGGCTGGCGGAGTTTTGGCCGCTGGGCTCAGCATTGGAACCTTTGTGGGTGCGCTCGTGCTGCTTCATGTTGTCTTTGCGTGTGAAGGCTTTGTTGCAGATGGGGCAGTGAACACCTTTCTCGCCAGTGTGCTTCTTGCCGTGACGCGCTGCGTGACCCGATGTTGTGAAGGTGGCGGTGCAACTATGAGCCTGTGCGTATGGGCAAGGATATTTGTTTTTCTTGCCAGGTGTAGGTCCAGATGATGTGGTAGGAGATGTCTTGGATTGAATCTTCACAGGAGGGGTACAAGAAGCCGCGTCGGCAGGGCCTGCGGCTGGAGGTGGGACAGAGGAACTAGAAGAGGTGGGAGTGGGGATATGGTGAAAGCCCGGATTGATAGAAGCAGGAACGGTTGGATATTGAGCGGTATGCAGAGTGGGAGGGCAGTGTTTGGCCGAGAAATGATCTGGCATCATGGGAGTAGCGAGCATAAGCTGTTGATCAAGAAACGGTGTGATGGTGGTGGGAGAAGGTAGATAGCCGACCAAGTCTTGGCGCGTCAACGGGTCAAAGGAGGGGAGATTGTTGTCATTGTACATATACGTCGGAGTGATGGGGGATGGTGAGGAATCCATGCTCGAATTCGAAGAAAAGCGAAGCAATGGAGGAGACCCAGCGGATGAGAGGGACGAGGATCGAGAATAATGGTTCTGGCGGATCAGATCTGGACGTGCTTGTTTAGCAGGGCGCGGGCAAGGAGAGGTCGACTCTGAGGTCGGATTGAGGGCTGCAGATGAAGCCTTGTCAGGATCTGGAGGCGAGATTCTGGAACGAATGGCGAAAGAAGGCGAGTCGTTGTCGTTGAGGATTGAGAAGAAAGGTGCTTCTCTCAGTTGTCTTTGCACATCCATTGTGGGATGTGTCAACCTCACACCCAGCGAGCGAAGCCGCTGAGGTACAAAATGCCGGTCTGAGAGCGACTGGAAGCTGGTTAGATGATAGCCACTGAAGGTTGATAGAGCAGGTCGCACATACGCCTGGGAGAATGGGTCAAAACGAGAAAGTCTCAGAGATCGGTTGGTTGACCGAGGACGAAGAGAATGATAGTGGTAACGAAAGCGATATGGCACTGATGGAATTGGTGACTTGGTGACTTGGTGACTTGGTAGTGATAGTAGTCAGTCAGACCCTTGAGTTGTCACCTGGTTGAGGACGCGCTTGACGCCTCTGGGGGTGATGATCAACAGTGAAGGATCGTAGCGGAAGAGTGGTGAGGTGAGGTGATCAGCGTGCTTGGGATGCATGAACAGGGATAGATCACAACGTGGTGGGAGGATATGGATTCCGCGACCCTGAGGATCGTGATGCCAGTAAGATGTAGGAGCGTCGAGGATAAGGGAAAGGGAAGGGCAGAGAAAGGGTCTTTTGAGGAAAGAAGGGAAAAGAGGACGAGGGTATCTGCATCGACAATTCCAAGTTGGATGGTGGAATGACGCGTGGACGAGGGAGAAATGGATGGGAATTGCAATTTGTATGGGCATGGCCATGGGCATTGGGGTGGCAATGGTGGTCGTGTACCTCGTAGATATCGAGATGGAAGCGGGCATGGGAGATCGGTGATGGCTCTGGTGGGTGATGCGGCATGCCCATCGTTCGGCCTGTGGGGACAGAGCATGGAAATCTGCACAATTGCATTTCACCACGGTCCACTAACGGCAGGGCGACAGCCAGCGAGACAAGGATGGCTCTCCCAGGCTTGCCATGCTTCCCGGCTTTCGCTGCTGCCGCCCACCAACCTGAGTGCCTAGCAGGTGCCGCCATCCCAGCCAAAGTTAGGCTTCCCAGGGGTCTGCCTCGATTATCCGCCGTCTAGCAAATTGATGCTCCCGCTGATGGCTGGGCACACACCATCATCGCCGATTCAAAAGACCTACTGTAAATACTGCCAAAGAAAAAAGACAGACAGTCGAAAGATACCCGTGCTAGCCACTGCTGGGGTATGTATGGGCTTCCTCGTGGCTGAAACGCCACATCGACTCTGTAACCCTGTACCACGCACTGGAACTGTTAGAGGCCCTCGAAGGGACAGGTAGTGTTGAGGGTAGGTATGTGCCGCCACACCAGAGACGTACGTGCCGTAGGTAACGAGTCCCGGGAACTGCCCAGGTAGGTACCCGACTCCTACCCATACCACCAACAACACATTCGACCTCTCAGGTTCTCAGGTCCTCCAATTCTCAACGGTGCCACGCTTAGCTCCTGGCTAGAACTGACAACCGTCCCGAAATGTCTTCATTTAGGAAACAGCAATGCCTATCAGCCCACAAACAGGGCCACTGCTTACACCGACCGAAAAGTTTGACCTGGCCCACGGTCCTTAGCAACAGCTTGTGAGGCAACGACAGGGTATTCAGGATCACACGATACACGAGGAGATCTCGATGCGGGATCTCCAAATCATTTCGAGGGGCTGAAACGAACACCCGCAGGGCCCCCAGGCGGCCGTGGGCGGGCCTGCCAACCAGCAGGCGAGCGAAAGGGCCACCGCGTCACTGGAACACAGACTGGACGGTTTCTTGGTTCGCGTGCGGGGTCCTGACATCACAAGCTTTCCCTCCCTTTTACGATCCAGGCTTCGGGTCCCGATGCCCTGGGAGAATCGTGGCTTAGCGGCCTTCTAACTGGACGGACGGTGCTCCCGCATTTTTGGCAGACTTCCATAGTTGGCCCCAGTCGCAAAGCTACCTACGGAGTACTCGTACATACTGTGCGAGTAGGTTTTCATTTGCGTGCCGCGCTCTTGGTCCCGAACATGCTTGCTGCGCTGCCCCGTGCTCTCGGGCGCCGTCCTCGACCTGGATGAGGCACTCTCCCACTCTGAGTGTCAAAGCAGGTCTTCTTCGGAGCTTGTCAACAACGTGATGGTTCATGTCTGGCGTACGTCTCCCACGCCAGGTACCTGACTATTGGGTTTTCCTTGACATCATCGAGATTCATCTAAACTGAAAGGAGGCCCCTTGGATCTCCTGGTACGAGTACTCCGTACCTGTCGGCTACTGAGATCCAAGACAACCAGGGCAAAAGTCCCATAGCGATGGGATGGGTTGCTGGCCCTGGACGGTGATTTTCCTATCCTTAATCTTAAAAATATTGCTGCATCTATGTGCTCAGTTAGTGATCGGCAGCATTAGACACAACTCAACTAACAATAGCCACTGCTTTTTCCGAAGGACGGGTATCATACCGAGGAGAGCTGCTAGGTAGTGAGGAGCAGAGAGACCATCAGCAACAGAAAGGACCGATACATTCTCCTGCAGGGTCTCTGCTTTTCCCGCAGCCCTACTCCATACTCATACATTAGTAGCGGCAGCCTCACCGCGCTGAACAGAGGCCTGGGGCACTACCTACCCGTCTCCCCTTCCATCAGTTCACGTGCTTGATGCCTTGCCAAGAACGTCCTTGTCGGTCACGTGTATTGAATCATGCAGAAGTCACATGCAGCCTTACTCTCCGTACTCTCCCACCAAGAAGTCCCACGTCCTCCGCCCACAGTCCCGTGATCTATGACGTGGCAAGCTCTGACCGCTAAAGGATCATTGATGAGGGACTTGAAAGAGAACCTATCTATGTACGAGCAGCAGTAGTACTGCGTATCCAAGCCACGCTTAGAGTGTGTTTGCCCTGCAACATAGCCACAGTCTGGCTTCAGGCATCTTCGATATCCGTGTTCGTCAAAGGCAGCCACTCCTTCATTCACGCGCGCCCGAGAAAGTCGTCTCTTTCTCGCTGCCCAAATCACCGCTGTCTCCTGGTCCAACAGGCTTCTTCCTGGCACAACTTAATGCCTTGACACCCAACTGTTGCATGGTTGTGCCCAAAACCCCACGTCCACTGCAGGGCTCTTCCTCCTCTCCGTGGTCAAAACGATTCTCTGTTCGCGGTATTACGTCGCCCCCCAGGGTTGCAAACCCGCCTGGCATTGCCCCTCACAGTTGCCTTCTACCCCCCACTAACCCCCCTTCTTAACCGCCAAACCACCTCGTGCCCCTACCAGCCACCGTTCTTCAACACAAAGCCCTCTCTCACTTCCAACGCCGTAACTTAAAAAAACTCCTCACCTGTCTCCCCGGACCGCCATCACATCCACCTCAGTCCACTTGAAGCCTGAAGCCTTGCCTTCACAAACTCCGCCAAGTCGCTACAAGGCAGGAAATTGGCTCTTTCACAATTCCCTCAAAACAAGTCCATCTCGCTACTCATCCTTTCAACACCTCTTGACTTCTTTTTCATCTCACCTGCTTGGCCCGGCAAGTGCCACACCACGGCCTGAGCGATCTTGCGCAACCTCGAATCCGCTTCGACCCGTCCCTTAATCGTGGTTCCGGTTTTCCGCTGGGCTACATTGCACCTTGTCTTTTCTTCTTTACGCACGTCCCCTCCAACTAGCCTCACCTGCCCCGCTTCACCAAATGTCCCGCTACGACGACGACGGTCCCCGTCGACAGCGCAGCAACAAAGAGCGTTCGCGGAGAGATGACTACGAAGATACCGTCTATGACCAGAACTCCCGAGATACTCGCGTGGTCAGACGACGTGACGATTCGGTTTCCTCCGTTGAAGAAGTTGCCCGAGATTTTGCTCCAGGTGATCGTGGCGGTGCTTACTATCGCGAAACTACCGTGCGCAAAAGTGGTCATCGCCCCATTCGTACTAGATCTAGTGATGATTTCTATGACGACCGCTACGATGACCGTTCTTATGCCACTTCTCGGAGAAGGGACGATGACTATACGGTAGTCTCCAAGTACAAACGTCGCGACGACGACGACAGAAGCCAGAGGAGCCGTAAGTTCCATCCAGCCATCTTCTTTTCTATCTCCCTCCTAACAACTCCCAGGCCACCATAGACGCCGTGATTCTTACTCCGACTATTCCTCCCGCAGCCGCAGCCGCACGCCACCCAGAAAAGACAAAGAGCGTCGGAAGTCCACCACTGAGGAGCTTTTGGGTTCTCTCGGCTTAGGTGGATTGGCTGGTGCTGTCTTGGGCAAAAAGTCAGACAAAAACCGCTCCAGATCTCGCTCCAGTGAGCGCAGCAAACGGAGTCGAAGTCGTGGTGGCGGTCGACGTAGATCCTCTTCTGATGGTTCGCGATCCAAGAGCAAGAGCCGAGGCCCCAACAAAGCCCAGGTCTCTCAAGCCATCAAGGCCGCCGTCCTAGCTGGAGCTGGTGAAGCTTTCCGCGCCCGAGGAGAAAAAGGCGGCTGGGGTGGTGAGAAGGGCAAACGAATCTTGACTGCCGCTCTTGCTGCTGGAGGTGTCGATGGTTTGATTTCCAATAGTCGCGATCCAGATCACCATAAGAAACGAGACATTGTCGGCTCCGCTCTGGCTGGTATGGCTGCTAACCGCGTCATCAACGGCCCCCGATCCAAGTCCCGCGGTCGAGAAGGCAGCCCAGACTCTCGTGGTCGCAGCCAGTCTCGTGGTGGCATTCGTGATCTTGCTGCTGGCGGGGTTGTTGCTGCTACCGCAAAGAAGGTCTATGACTCGGTTCGCTCGCGGTCTCGAGGAGGGGAACGGGGACGCGCTCGCTCTCGCAGCTCTTCATATGACAGCCGTTATGATCGCAGCCCACCAAAGCGCTCCCGAAGCCAAAGTGTCGGAGCTTTTGCTGCCAAAGGCCTGGCAGCAATAGGTCTCAAGGATGCCGCCGACAAGATTGATCCCGAACGTCGTCGATCGAAGCAGCGGCACAGCTACGATGATGACTACTATGATGATCGGTCCAGTCGGAATGGAGGATATGGAAACAATGATTCTGGAAATGTAGGTACCATTCAACCCCATCATCACGATCAGCCCTATGGCGGTCCACGTGCTATGAGCTTGCCCCGAGCGCCGCCTCCTGGCTACGAGCTTGATTATGGACCCCGTCATACCGGTGATCCGGACACAGACTCCGATTCTGACCTAGGCTCCAGTACCGACGATGAAAAGCAACTGAAGAAGAGTCGCAAGAAGGTCCTGCTCACAGGCGGCCTTGCGACTGTGGCGACCATTCACGCGGCTCATAGTGTGTATGGCAGCATGGTGAAGAGAGAAGAGAGGCGGAAAGCGCTGAAAGAGGGTGACATTAGTAAGGAGCAAGCCAAGAAGGAGAAGAACAAGAATCGAATGCAAGATGTCGCTAGCATTGGCATTGCTGCCCTTGGTATCAAAGGCGCTTACAGTGAATGGTCTGAAACTCGTAACCAATCTAAAGAAGTGGATGAAACGAAGGAGAAGCGACAGAGACATGCGGAAAAGCGAGAAGCTCGACGAAGAAAGGCGAGCATGGTTGGTGCACACGATTACGGCGACACTGATTTTACGAACAGCATGCCCAACCTTACAACCTTGTCACCCGATCCTTACTATGGTCCGGTTTATGGACAGCCTTACAGCACAGGAGGCTCGTTTGTGTATTCGGACGACAATCCATATGGGGCTTTAACACAACCGCAGAATTATGCTCCCTCGCCGCCACCTACTCATCCCCCTGGCAGCTCTGCATATTACCCAGCTCCAGGTGTCCCTCGAGCAGAGACCCGTTGACAGTTATGAATTGCTCTGAGGTGCAACTTTGAAGACGACACGCCTTGACGACCGTTCCCGCCACTGGATAGTATTTGAGTCACTTGACATCTCGACACCATGACCGAATTTTCGCAACAACGACCTCACGACACTGCATTTTGCTTGGAAGGATTACAAAGATGGACGATTTCATGAACCCTTTACTATAAGAATATTCAGGGTTTAGGGAGTTTTGATATTATTCTAAGGGTACTCTAGCATACTCCTTTAGTAAGCTAGATATGACTGACGTGGCACGACCTGTGCTTTTTTGATTCCTGACAATAATACACTTTTGATTTTCCTTGTGGCCGAGTTCTCAACCCCTATTTATCTCGTGCTCGTCTTCAAAATGCCTGGCATCACTTTAACCAAACCTCGGAAATAACACATCACCCGGTGATCGAGTCTTGCCTTCGCTTCCGCCCGCTCATTAAATACAAATGACAGACAAAAGGTAGGATTGTCATTCCGGTGGAGCCTAGCACCTTGAACAATTATAAGTTCCTGTTTATGCAGCGCCCAGTCCTATGGGGAATATATACCTACGCATGCATTGGTATTCTGCACTCCTGCAGCCCAGCCCAGCCTCGTAGGTCTGGATCATAACAAGTCTGTGCTCAACGTGCGCAAAACTACTCGGAGTCGGAAACCTCGCCGAGGATTCTTCCGCGCGGATAACTGTGGTCAGTCCGGAACAAACGATCAAGCCCACGCCCGCCTCCTACCACAGGGCCATATCGATCACTCCCGCTTCCCCTACCCCTATCTCTCTCCCTCTCCTCCTCCCCTTCCCTCTCTCCACCACTTCTACCACCACTGCCACTCGTATACCTCCTCCCGGAAGCGCGATACACTGGGCAGCGATCCGCATCACCAAAAAACACGCCTCTCACGGAACCCGACGCAAACCCCGGTCTATCCCAGTCAGGACCGAACCGGCGGGCGCGGTCGCGGTCGCTATCCGGGCTCCTGTCGCGCGTGTACGTCGTGCGCCCGCTGGTCACGAAATCCTGCTCCCAGTAGTTGGCGCGGGTTCCGTCCGCGTGGCGCGCCGACCCGCCGCGCCGCCCGATGAAGATATCGTCGCCCATCTCGCGGAGCAGCGAGGAGTCGCGTTGGTGGTGGTGGTGGTGGTGGTGGTGGTGGTGGTAGTGCCGCGGTGACGAGCGCGACGAGTAGTGTCTGTCGCGGCTGCGGTTCCGGGATCGATCGCGTGAGCGGTCCCGTCGCGGTCCGCCGCGGCTGTGCCTGCTGCTACGGCTGTCTCGGTGGCGGCGTCTGCTTCGCTCGCAGCTTCGGCGATGAACTCCATCGCGCACCAGTTCGGAGCGGCCACTGAGTCCAGATATGACACTCCCCATCTTTACCCTTGACTCCTCAGCGCAAGAGGCTGTGGAACGGACGCTGAGGCCGAGGCCGAGGCTGAGTCCTCTGCTTTTGGTGTATATATGTGTATATAGAGACAGAGGTTCGTACGTGGAAAAGCGCCTCGAAGAAACGGACCTTTCAGCCAGCTTCTAGACCCTGTATATGGGTATTTGATTCTGGCTTCGAATCGACCTGGGCGTGTTGGACTTGTGCACCGCCGATATATCTGATTCATCCAAATAGCTATTCTCTTTCCGTGTGTATATCGAGCGACAACAATATCAAAAGAGAACCATTCCCGAGACGTGCTGAATTATTTATATAGGGATCTCTTTCACCGGGTGGGCATCATCCCCTGGGCTGGTAGAACCAGAGCGAACAATTTGTTTTGCGTGTTTGGCTGCGCATTGTGATGGCTAGTGATAACCAGAAGTCCGGTTCTCCTCTGTTTGTCTGAGTGAGTCGCGGGCGGCTTCTGGGGGGGTTGTGTGCCTGTGGCCTCGAATCAAACATCGTGATCGAACCTGTATTGGTGATGCCGTCGCCAGCATCGTTTGCGACTTCAATGTTGATAACAGGGGTTCGGGAGCAGTAATCCTGACTAGAAACCCGAACCCCGAATCTCGGGCTAACGAGATCGGCTGGTGATTTCTCAGGTGGTCTTGTGATGAAATCGTCGTCCATCGACCAAACAGGGGCTTCCAGACGATTAAAAATTGCACTCTGCAGGGGGTTACTACAGGTTAGTAACAGTCGCTCGTTGTCTAAGTGCCATGAGCCATCTAACTTTCTGTTCATCTTACTGGGTGGAGGTGAGCATATCTTTTGTCGACAAAAGGGCCATCCATGAAGGGATGCGGACGCGGGCGCGGACGCCTGTTGTCCGTTTCGAACCTCGAGGTTTGGAACTCATGCATTCGTGGCGAGCGCGGACCCATGTCATATTCATATGGGTAAGCTTCGACGTCGACTTCGACTTCCACCAAGTCTGAATGGCGCGGATAAACAAAAGATGTCTTGTGAGGCGGAGGCCGATCGTCATTGGCGCGGCCGTCGTGAGGCCGAGGCTGATACCTTTCATGCCGTTGACTGTCCACTTTAGTCAAACGCGGGGCGGGGCTTCGGTGAGCCTCCTGCTTAGTAGCGCTGGCACGCGGGGAGTCAGGATTCCTTATGCCTTGCAAACGGCGTGGGCTGATTCCAGAATAAAAGTCTCGGTCCCAGTTGGGCGGTATCGGTGCAGTGGGCATTCGCCCAGACCAGCTTACATGGGAAGTATAACTCGAACTATCGCTCGTGCCTGCACCGGAAGAGGTGGAGGTTGACAGTTCATCTAAGGGCGTGGAATACTTTGGCGATGCTGCTGGGGACTGCCGCATCTTTGGCGGAGGCAGTGGAGTGAAGGGTTCTTGTTGGTTCATCTGTGTCTCGCGGTATGTTGCCTGATTTCCTGAGGAGCGCGCTGTGCCGCTGGTTGAAGGACGTTCATTAGGTGGCTGTTCTTGACGCTCTGGGAACGGAAACTCGCTTGATGGATGCCTCGAGTGAGGCTGGCGTTGCTGCTTTACGTGAATGGATGATGACGAGTTTCCTCTAGAATGTACCCGTCGGGTCGTCTGCGACTTTGTAGGCGATGGTGGGCCGCTACTTGATTTCCCTTCACGGGAAGACGACTGGCGAGATGTGTGACGAGGCCTCGTTGGGTTATGGGAGACATTTGGCCTTGAAAACAGTTGTCCCATACTCTCGTGTGACAGGGCGGAAGTGGTTTGTCGAAGTCTGCCTGAGTCGAACTTCGCAGCTATGATGAGCAGCACTCTTTTATTGACCTTGGTCTTCCCCGTCGAGCAGGCATTTCACCCTCCCACGAACGGCCTTACTCGCACAAACAGGCCGTTCGATCAAGTAACGGTGGTTCCCCAGCTGTCTGATGTCCCTGTCTGGTACAGGCTGTTGTCCGAGGACCATTTATCTTTTGCCACACCTAGCTTGGCCTGCGAGAGTCCTTGCGGTTAGAGCTGTATGGTCAACAAAGCTGTAGACAATCCGTTGACATTTTATGACCCCCGTCGTTGTCTTGAGCACACAGATTTCAAGGTTGCTCCAACGAATGGGTATCTTAGATGATTGGGTGTAGTTGTGCACGCATCTCTGGGACGAAATCGAAGGGCGGGCGAAGCAGAGCAAGCGGGGTACGTTGCACATGAAGCTGATAACCTGTTTGCTGACTTCCGAGTCCCGGTAGCCGAATCCAGCCAAGCCACCATCCATCCCACCAACAGTCGTAGCCCCATCCGAATGCAAATCTGGCTGTACGAGAACGAGACCGTGAACATGGTTTGGCAGCTACGGGGACACATTCAGGGCAAACGAATCATGCGCTGATATCAGGAGGAGCTAATGCTTGTACAGCATGGCAACTGTGACGCCTGGGTGCCGCTCTGAACAGCCTAAGTCCGTCTGGCCAGCCCGAGCACCCCAAGGCTGATAGAGTGGAGCCCTTAAAATGAGGTTGGGGCGCGAAGTGTAAGCGCGAAGTAGTCATGGTATGCACACATCAAGTTACTTATAGGCAGAAAATATCATTGCTCTTTCGGAGATCTTTTTTCAGGGCCTTCTCTTCAGCTTTACTGAAAAAGTCATATATCCCAGAGAATCCGACGCAAATGGTCGCGCGAGCCAGATATTTTCATCGGGCTACGTGTGTTTGGTGGTGTAAGATGAAGTGATATTTGCTAGTGCAGGTTTACGATGAATCAACAGGACGTTAATCTCGAAAACACAAAATGCGGTTCGATTGAGATTTTACGAGATGCAGATCGGCATGTGTATCATATTTAGACATGTATTGAGCGCACCTAGCTAGTTTGAAGTATCCTCATAACGTGGCGGTTCAGATATCATGTGTAGGCAAACCATCTGAGGACTTTAATCATTCGCTTATGCTTTGCATCCTTTTCAAGATCCTGGTCGCTCATGGCATACCCCTGGCTAGTGACCCAAGGCTGAGAGGAGCCTGCATGCCGCTGATAAGAAGTCGGAGTGCTGAAAAGAATCGAGCCTTCACCCATCTGTCTACCTTCAGATCTCTTAGCCTCGGTGAACAGGTGTTCAGAGGTGAATTGCTCATTTGCTTTCCCTTTATTGGAGGTCGATTTGGGCTTTCCAAGATATAAACTTTTCTCCATGTTCTGAGCCGGAGGATCGACACCAAGAATGTGGCACTTACTCGGTGTGGTATATGTTACAGTCGAATTTGGAACGCTGATCTTAGACTTTGACACCTTGGAGTTGCGCTCGCGTGGCCGATCTCCGTCTTTCGATGGCGATTTGTCAGTCTTGAGGGGCAGATTACCTACCGTTGCTTTTGTAGCGGTATCAATTCGGCTCCTAGACTTTGACCCAGCTTGATCGAAGGGCTGCTTCGAACCATCATGTAGGCCCTGAGAGCCCCGTTTTCCTTTGAAGTCCAAGTCTAGCTCCATGTCGCCCGTTGCGCTTACCTTTGATGAACCTGTAGTCGAAAATTTAATGCAGAGGAGGATGATTTCTTGTGCTTGAACAATTTGCGGGGGCGTCAGTAATGTATGAGTTTTAGGAATTTGAAGGCGTTGACCTGCATTGTAGTAGGAATTGGGCTAGATATGTGATATCAAGCCATTCGATGGTCTTTGTAGACTTTTTGCGAATGCAAGCCTTTCTCTCCTTTGTTTGATTTCAAATGCCAACAGCGACATGCTCTTTCTCTAGGGGCCACCCTTTGTGCACTGTATTCTGGACTGTGAAACACTCACCTTACCACTCGGCTGGGACACAGAGTCGGGAGTTTTGGCGACGCGTCCGTCACCGAGCAACGAAGACGAGGAGCTTGACCCACAAAGACCCAGAAAGACCCGACCATTAGGTTGGATTGGATTGGTAGCATGAGTTGTTGTGTGCAGCCGGCTGCCCGAGTTGCTTGCCAGATCGTCACTTGATGGTCCAAACCACTATAGGATGAAAAAATCCGCAAGAGATGTGAATTCCAATTTATTTTATCGTGCGCCTGTTTCTGTCGCTGCGGACTCACAGAACAGTATTCGTGTTTTCTGAAATTGCTGCTGATATATCGTCTGTTTGCGGGCTAAGGATGAACATCCATGCCTTAAAAGGAGATCATGGCTGTATGAGAGTCCATCTTGCAACAATCAAGTTTCTGTTGACCGTGAAAATGCCTTTAGAGCCCTATTTTTGGAAACAAGACTATGTCTGAACAAGATACCTGGGTAGGAACTACGTTTGTTGATAATAGCATCGTATGGGGTCATGTTGTAAATTTGGACGAAGGGGAGGTGGGGAACAAATATATAGCTATCAGGCACCAAAGGCCAAACCACGTTCGCCTCGTGATACCATATTTCCCTATGGTGCTTGCAGGAGGCTAAGTGCTTACCAAATAGTTCCAAACAATCGTGCTGCTGCGTATGGATAGATCGAGAGCCATGATTTCTCGACTTATTTCTTGGGAAGCAGTCTCTTGATAACCCTTTCTTTGATCATGAACATGACCATTGCATCAGAACATGGGGAGAGTACGATGCTACCTTTGGGCTTCAATCATTCCCCGGTCTCGATGAAGGACAGGACCGTTCTGTGATTTCCCCTCTTTGAACAGGAAGGCATTCGTTCCCCAATCACACCGAATGGAGAACCTGGGAGCACTTTTCCATAGAGCAGTGCTGTCATGTTGTGCACCATGGTTTCGAGACTCGACCACAGCTCTTGAAAGTCGGTCGTTTAAAGGTGCAAGCTCGTCACTCTACCCATCATTGACCTAGATCGTAAAGCTAGTATAAATTCAAGGTGATATTTGTACAGCACGCACGAGCAAATAAATGTGGCCAAGCACCAGCAAATCACGCCCAGCTGGTTGAGCACCAACGCAGTCACTGCCTGGATTCGTGGAAAGCACACAGTGAAAGCAAATTTGTTTAGGCTTGGATAAGCGAACCGCAACAACCGCGTTAGAAAGGCAGAAAGCACGGCAAACAATTGCTTGCAATGCCGTAGGAAGGCTGATGCAAGTACTGCGAAACAGTACGCCACAAGTGGTCTAAGAATCACTAAAACCCGGCTTGGAATTGGAGTTTCATCCAACAATGGTACAGCCTCATTTCGATGTGGTTCGTAGGTTTTGCTGTGGCTTGTCCATATCAAGGCAACAAACAACCGGGATGGAAAATACTTTGACCGAGGCAAGATCCTAATTCTCTTATCCACCAACCACGAGTAGACGACTCTACTTAGAGACATGTAGAAGGACACTACCTATGAGTGCTTCAGTGCGAGTCTAAAATTCATCTCATCCATGCAGATTCGACCGGCACAATTGAATCAATCGGCCTTTGGTCAAATGGTATCTTCCGAACTTGAATTCGCTCAGCATTGATGCCTAACGGCGATCGAGGGAGGCGCTCATGCACTTCGCTTATTTAGTGCAGGCAGATTGAACTCAAGTTCGCATGAGCTCACCCAATTGCCGTTGGACACGGGTCGAGCTCACCCCGGAAGGACGAAGAAGCAATAATAAAACAGATTTTGAAGGAGTGTTCATCCCTTTGGTTGCCCCTATATCAATGTCTGATTGCTTTCAAAAAGATTTGAATTATTGAAAGTAGTGCATCAAATGATGCTGAGTCGATCGATGTCAATCCAAGTAGAACGTCCTTTAGTTTCATCTAGTAGCAGTTAGAATCCTTGGTAGCGATCTATTCGCAAATCAACTTTCGTAGCATGTTTGAAGGTCATGCCACGGATAGGTGCATATCACATCATAAATAATCGATCATAGTGGCGATTCGGCACAAATAGGATCCAAGCGGGTAGTTCTAATCGCGTTGTTAAAGATGTCTATCATTGGTAGCTTTGTTTTCCAGACGGAACCGCTGGCGCTCATGTTCATCAACGATTTTCTGCGGGATATGCGAGCTATAAACGTTGACATCCAGATCAATCTCTTCAGCGGCCAGCATACGACAGAGATCCATTTGTTGAGGGGTTATGTCAATGGCCCTTGGGCAGGCAAAGCTAGTCTAGCTTATCTTTAAGGCTCTCAGCCCCGGAACTCACAATCTTAGATCTGTTAACCCGCTCCGCTTGAACGCCTGGTGAACGCCAGAGTTGCGAGAGCTGGCTTTTGGAGATCTATGGCTGTCGTGAACGAGGTATGTGAGTTGCTACTCGAGTTCTGCAAACGATCGAACTTACCATGGAAACCAGCCCAACAATGACCAAAATGGAAAGGTCGATGTTCTGACCATAGAGGTGGCAGACGATGGTTTGCTCAACGGGCATGGTGGCGATCATGGTCACATAGCAGCAAATGGGATAGTCAGTGACGACAACATTGCTGACAAAATCGTGCTGAACGGCGATGTCGCATTCCAAAATTTGGGAGACGATGCAAAACTCTTTCGACAGGCAGCCAAATCGTTCTTGACAGTTCATCGGGAAGAAATTGCACATCGAGATACCCAGATACAGGAGCTTCGTGCTGAGTTGCTTCGTATCCAGAAGACATGTGTCCTGCAAGAAAACAGCGGCGAACGTGCAGATGTCCAAGACATTGACATCGAGGATGCTGTCAAAGAACCACCAGGATCAAATGTCGCGGAGAGTAAAATCCTACCTGAGATTGCTATGAATGGTGAAGATGCATCTCTGAAAAGTGTTAAAAGATCCCCTGAGAGTGTCTTTGGGTTGAATGATCTCATTCAGGACGATACTGACAAAGTGTAAGTCGAGGTTTCCGAGCCAACGGATGTGTATGATGATATTGAACGCATGTCTAGAGTCCATGAAATTGAGGGCATCTGGGATAGATGCATCACGGCGGTGCAACGTGTTTTGAACGACGATCTCCCCGAAGACGTGAGTGTTTAACCGAGCATTGGACAGTTTTGACGAACGCAGTACCTTTCGAAATGGAATTCGACACACTGGACAATTCTGAAGGAGAAACTGCCGAGAATAGGTGCAATCTCTCAGATAAGTTCAAATACTGGACCGGCAAAAAGGATGCGGGCAATGGTTGCCATGGCTGTAGTAGCACAATCACTGGAAGAGTACATACTCACCCCAAATTACCTTCTTGAGGAAGATGATGAACTGAGGTACATCCTGCGGTCCCTTGTGGACATTCCAAGAAAGAATACTCTCCGAAGTCTCCTTCTGTCGGTTTCTGAAGAAGCGAACAGAAAAGAAGAAGTTAAGAGAAGTCGAGTGTCTGCTTCGCTCGAGGATATCACACAAACCCTTGAGTTGCTACTTCCTGGAGAAGTTTTGGCAAAGCTCACCTCTGACCTGGACCAGGAATTGACAAACGTGATATCGCAATGGGAGCCGGTGCAGCGGTATCAGAGCCATTACGAAGTGAATGCTGCTGTAAGCCACACTCCTTGGGACTGGAAATCTGTCTCATTCACGGATGATGGCTTCTCCTTGCTTGACGTCAATTCAGCAGAATTTGCCGAAGACGAGGCAGTCCTGGTCGTGTTTCCCCGAGTTTGCACTCTTGATCGCTCGAGGAAACCGTCATATACAGCAGTGTTTCCTGGCATTGTGCTTCAGAAATCTCAAACTGCGTTGAAAGATTGTGATTTGCAACAAGCACCAGCCGATGTCACTACTGAAGCAATCGTGGAGGCAGATGCCACGGAGGCTGGAGATTCTACAATAGCAGCGGAGAATAATTCAACTGAACAAGGCGAGACAAGTCAGGTGACTGTGACTCAAGAGGGTGAACCAGAAGGAAATAAGTCTGAGTTAGCGATGGTTGAACAAAACGTGTCAGAAAGTTAAGCGAGGGAAGGAGGACTGAATTGACTTTGAAATTTGATACCTGCTGTCTTTTGAAATATTTCATCCTTCACCCGCGGATGGCTGTGTCATTTCAGATCAATTCGCGTATATCTCAAACTATCAGTATTGTTCCCGGAGATAATGGTTTATTACTGTACCAGTCAGACTTGGCGATGATTTCTTTGCAGCCAGGCTTAAGCACAAGGCTCTCGTTCGATGACATATCTGCCAGTACCAATACATAGGTGTGGTTGAAGATATAGCATACCGCAAATCAACCACGATCTTGTTAGTAAGACTTGGAAAAACATGTCTCCAAGCTCTGTCTTAAAGATCTTGCAGATACAACTTCCACTGTCCTGGAATGGCTGACCCTGAGCACAACCGGCAAAATTGCCAGACACGCGACACGAAAAATTTGAACTACGGCCATTTTGGGACCGCAACATACGAGGAATCGACTCACAAATGGCACTTCTTACGTCAACCTCAAGATTACCACCAAGACGATTATAGGAGACCAGGTTTACATTCCCTCCAACTAATTCATGAACCAATTCGACATCATGGCGTGCATAATCCAGAAGTCAACACTTCGAGTCACAATGCGCCAGCATGGTTCGCTGCAAGGAGAACCTTGCTGAAGCACACACCAGAACTATTTGGTGCTGCTCCACTTCTGCTAACTTCATCCGAAAATGACGTTCTGGGAACGCATTACCTGCAACAAACACCTAGAGAAGTTCTTGCATTTGGCCACGCTCGGGCTATTGGGGATCGTGGATCACATTCGCGTTTGGTGCCCATCGTCGCAGTTCCTGTGGGGGCGGGAGGAGAGACTGTTCGATTCCTTGGGACCGATACTGGCGCCTTTGTGCCACAGGACGAGTCTGCTCCACCATCTGATTTGCGAGTCCCACGCATTTCAGGTTCAAGAACTGGATACTGGTGGCAGTCAGCTGATCGTATTCTGCAAATCTCGTTCTGCGCCTCTCATAACCGAACCCAGCTGCTAGTTCAGAAGGCGGGAGGGACAAGTATTCTTCGACCGATAATCAGACCGCGTATGGCGAGTGTCACCGCCTTTCCAAAAGCAGGCCGTACAAACTCTGAGCGTACTGCCTCGACCATTGAGCCAAACCACATCTTGACCATTACATGCTCTCGAACAGGGGGTCACCATCATACGGATGCAATGTTCAACCCCCTTGATCCGAGTGTGCTGGCGATAGCTGACACCAGTGGGCAATGGAGTTTGTGGAAAATAAAAGGGAAGCAGAGTCAATCTACCCGCGTCACCTGGCGGGCGAAGCTTCTGCAGCAAGGTAACCTTTTCGACACCGATCCTCAACCCTTGAATCTCAATCGGAGCATTGATTTAGCTGGATGGTATCGGGTGTGCTGGTTAAGCAATTCCTCGGAGATTACTGAGAGGATTCTTGTCTGCAGTCGTTTTTCAGCTACTATCTTCACTACAGAAGGAGCTTTTGTGAACCATGTCGATATGCGACTGGGTCCCTCTTCCGATGGTGTCTGCATTCTCGACGTAAAGCAAAGCCAACGGAGCAGGCAATTGATATATGTGCTCTCAACTGCTCACTTGCAGATTTTCACCACTTCCCAACTTGATTTGGATTTAGGATCTCGAACGGAGCCTCTCAACCTATTGTGTGCCTGGAAGCACTTTCGGGATGAAGGCGATCTCGATTTGAGGATGACAATTCAGGAATTTTCACGCAGTAAGAGGACTGTAGTATTTTGTGGTGTAGTACGCTAATGGAAGCAGGTTCCTGGGTCTTTCTATATTCGCCTTCAAGTAATATCGCTACCGTGTATCAATTCTGTCTCAATCAGTCAGGCTCTCAAGTTGAATCCTCAGGGGAGCCTACCAGCCTTCAATGGCCGAAGAGGCTTTGTGGACGGGTGAAAACCATCACTAATCTGGTGACGGTCCCACTTACTTCTCGAGTCAATAATCATGAACCCGATGAGCTTAACCTGGGTGTCATTAACTTGGTGGCCTGGACTTCTCAGGGGACCATGGTTGAAGCCTTCTATCGACATGGACTTGAAGATATCTCTGGGAAAAAGAAAGAGGTCAAAGGAGAATTTCACTTTCCCCTCCTTGAACCCACCAGTCAGCCATACTTGAGCAGCAGATTTGTCGATGAAGACGATCTGGATAACTTTGTGGTCTCAGATGAGACTGAGACTGAGAATGAGTGGACGACATTTAAACCTCCAGAACCAGCCCTTCATAAAGACACCCGAGCTCTGTCTTATCGTGCAGAAATTCTTCAGTGGGACGACGTACTGGACGACATAGCTCTCCAGAGCGATGAAAGAAATCGGCCTACTGTCACTGAGTCTTTCGAGCGCCTCTACCAGCGTGGTACTCGCCTGTGTGATGGTTTGGGTCCGATTTCAACATTGTCATATCAACTCAGAGTTCCACGTATATTGGATCTCGAGGCTGCCTCTCAGAGGGTGGATGAATGGATAAATACTGTCCAAGCCACCAGCCATGTCTTCGTCCAACCGACCAACTCATATTCGAAATCGCTCCTCTACGCAATAGGCGAGACTAGCTTGCTTACGGTCTACAATGCTTATCTTTCCGCCTACATCACTCCACTCTCGTCACACGTAAGTGATCGAAATCGAGTCAATCGAGAAAAAATCGTTCGCCAGGCGACTGCCGATGCGTTCTTTAGCAGTATAATCTTGCGAACAGACATTCAAATCTCCGAAGCTGAAGACACCGCCGAAGCAGCGCCTGGGCAAGTAGATTCGTCTGATCTACCCCAGCATTCTTCTCAACCACTGGTGTCTACAACTCCATCCCTGTGCCCGGAATCAATCGTGAGTCGCCTCTGCAGCTATACGACCTTCAAGCGAGAAAGTTCTCAACTGCTATCCACGAGTGGCGTTGCAATATCAAAGCTCCTTGAACATTTGCCAACTACTATTGACAGTGATCCCACGTCCTACTCGTATGAGGCTACGAACAAGAAAATTCAAGACGCGCAAGACGAGGAGGCAGAGTTATCACTGGATGCACGTGAAAGACGTAAAATCAGGAGACAGTCCACGAAACGGCTCAAAGCTCTCGAAAAACAGACAAAGTACAGTCAGGAGGTACAGGCAGGGCGCGCAATGATCCCCAGTGTGACGAATCGACGTTTGGCACCCATATTGCCAGGAAGGGAAGTCCGGAGCAGCCAACCAGGTATTTTGGATTCAAGCCCGGGCCAGAGCCAAGCGGCTCCAGTGCTCAACATGTCGCAACCCGAGAGAGGCGCGTATGAAACAAGACCTTCGTTGAAGAAAAGGGCAAAAGAGAAGGTTGTGGTAAAGCGAAAGGCAGGGTTCTGAAGATTGATAAGATAAGATACCCCGGGTTTTGGATTCTCCATGGTCCGAAAGCGCTAAGGCGACAGGAGTGGATAAGTGCGGGGGAGAAACAGGTGATTGGAGCTGGGTTGTCGCGTGAGGCTCCAGTGGGTGCCTGGCACGGTGGGCTAAGCCTAACATAACGTGATAGATTGCGTGAACTGGGAATTGACGCATGCCGGCGAGGAAGGTCATTTGACTTGCACCGAGTAAGGAACAGGGTGCCTGCCTTGCTGCTCTGCCTACTCCGTACATACCTCATCGTACCTGCCTCCTGACAGACCTGTTGAGTTCTGAGTCCGTGACTCCTCACCCTTGCACCTTCCCTTCCCTCACCTTCCACGCACCTGCACCTGCTTTCCTGCTCGTTTACCCCTCAATCCCAATCTGTCAGCTTCCTCCCACTCATCTCTCAGCTTGTCCATCTCTCCTCTTCCTCTCTACCAGCCCACCACTTCCATCAGCATTCATCCCATTCCCGCTTCAATCGCCAACGCCATCCGCACAACAGCCATTGGTCCATAGTAAGTTTCAATCTACCACTCCAAAACACATATGCACCGTGCGGCGAGCACACACATACAAACCTGTCCCACATTCTACTTTGAACTCGCACACCCCTCTGCTCTCTATCCTCGTACTGATTCTGACTCACTTGCCAGTCCATCCACAACCTCCATCACTCAGTCCTCATGTCTGCAGACACATCAGACCTGACCAAGGTCGACTCGGCCATTGGTGGTGTTTCTGGTTCTCCTCCCAAAGAAGGCGCCAAAGAGACGAAACGAAGAACAACGTCTAGCGCTCCAGGTGTTTTCAACATCCTCGACCTCGGTATGGTGCCCTATCACAAGAGAGTACCTACATTCCGCTGATAATGACCTAGAGAAGGAAGGTACCAAGGTCTCCGTCGCTGCTGAAACACAGAAAACCGGCTGGTAAGGCCTATCCTCAAGCCCAGCCTGGCTTAGTGACTGAATCCGACCAGGAAGCTCAACACCTCAACAAGCACCGTAGAGGACCCTGCCATCTTGAAGAAGTTCCTGACCACCCCCCCTGTCAAGAAGATTGACCTCCATTTCCCACTTGGCCTCGAGGTCACCGCAAGAAACTTGAAGGGCGTTACAATCAAAGATGCACTAGATGCCATCCACAAGCAGTTCAAGAAGAAGGTTAGATTTGAACGGTTCATGAGCATGTACTGTTTTGCTGACAATATCTCCTAGGCTGACGACGAGATGGAAGAGCCCTACCTAAAGGGATTCGAATGGGACCCTGAAGAGTCATGGACGAGACTGAAGGTACATACCCAGAAAGTAGGCTTACCATCTGGAAAGAAGTCCAAGAAGAAGGGAGGTGACGAATAAACATCCATGGATGTCATTATTAAAGTCAACCCAAACATCACTCCTTGTTGAGTGTCAGACCAACTCAATACTGTTACACAATCCGATCCGAAAGAGATCCTAAATGCTACCCAAAATCAGCTTGGTATGCATGGAATGGTGCTTGTGGGCTTTCTTTCTCACTCGAGCGACCTTGAGCTCAAATCGTGCTGGTGGAGAAGCCAGGTGGCTTTGAACTTGTTAGCTTAGACCATTAAATGTCATAACCTCAACCTGATTCCGAGTGTCCCGGTTAACGGCATCTGACCTGTATGAGGCCAAGACCAATGATAAGGCTTGGTTGATTTGGGGGAAGGCCTTATATGACCCAAGACTTCGTACTCTAGAACCTGACCGGCGATGTTACAACACCCACCTAGGGACATGCCAAATTCGTAGGGCGATGGTATGTAACGGTACGGCTCCCAGGGTCACTGATTGGCGCGACAGATATCGAAGATCATCCATGCTTACATTTCTACTCTATCTTCTCTATGATTGCCTACCAAGTTTCAGATGCCCTTGCGTGAGCGCAATATTGCCATGATATGGTGTCTTGCTGACTCGATACTCCAAGGACGATGCTGCGACTTCTAGATTGAAGACAGAATTATTTACATTCATGATGGGTTCAATATCAGACTCAACAACTGAGCCTAACATTCCCATCATTGACCTAGCTGCTTTCCTAAATCCAGAAAGTACGGTCGAAGAGCGTCTCACAGTCGCGCAGGACCTGGTCTCTGCCTGTCGACATGTCGGCTTCGTATACATCAAAAACCACGGCGTGCCCCAGGAGCAACTCGAGCAAGTATTTTCAATCTCCAAGGAATTCTATGATCTTCCAACCGAACAGAAAAGGAAAGCCCCCCATCCTCCAGGCTGGAGCGTACATCGTGGCTATTCATGGCCTGGACTGGAGAAAGTTTCCAGTGCAATCAGTGCGACCGATGATGAGGAGGCTATCAAGGAGCTACGAGAAGTTCAGGACTACAAGGTTGGTGCCAACGCCTCGTTGAAGGCGACTGGATCCTTTGATGTTTACTGTAAGGTTAGGAAAGCTACGAAATTGGCTCTGAGGAAAACCCAAGTCAGCCAAACGTCTGGCCTCCAGATGATATACTGCCTGAGTGGCGACCATTTATGACCTCATTTTATTGGACTTGCTTTGAAGCAGGCAAGCGAATTCTGCGAGCTCTTGCACTGGGCATCGGACTGGACGAGCACCATCTCCTCAAGTATCATAATGGACATTACAATCAGCTACGGTTGCTGCACTATCCCCCCATTCCAGAGGCTGCAGTTAGAAGTGGGAAATTCGCGAGAATGCCTGCACATACAGACTGGAGTACCATGACATTCTTGTTTCAAGATGATTGTGGTGGACTGCAGGTTGAACATCCCAACAACGCGGGACAATTCATCGACGTTGCTCCTATCCCAAGCACGGCGGTGATGAATGTCGGCGACTTGTTGATGCGTTGGAGCAATGGTGAGTGATCTGTCGGAACCAATCTCAGGCCTAGCAGCTACATTCGCGAGTGCTCAGCTGTTTACCTCTTATCGCAGATTATCTCAAATCGACCATGCATCGCGTCCAATTGCCTCCGCTGCAAGATCGATTCTCAGGCGACAACAGGATGACCAGAGCACGTTACTCGATACCTTACTTTGTGACGACCGACCCGGATCTTCTGATCGAGTGCCTACGATTTGACGAAGAACATCCACCAAAATATGGGCCGATTACGCAAAGAGATTACGCGGCGATGCGAGCAAGAATGCAGTATTGATCTATGTCTTTGTACTTGTCTTTGCGATCTCCTTTTACATAGCGGGTTTGGGTTCCTTGTTCTAGGTTCTTAGTAATTGGTCAATAGGTCTGAGAAGATCTGAGAAGATCTAGGCCAGACGTAGGAGAATATGATCTTGTATACACGGCGAAACCTTCGGCACATTGACTGGGAGAGTGGCCATATTGTACGTACTCTCTACGCAATCGCAATTTAGCAAATAACTAGCCAACTCATATTCGATGATGTTAGGTCAAGCTCATCGTATCGGCTAGGTGCCCCTCTCCCGGCTGAAGATGGAGTGCCCGTAAGCCTCTCTGCCGCCGGTATAGCTCGTATCTCGTGCGGTATGTAAACCTCCGCCAGGAGGACCTTTTCAACTCATCGCTAATTAATAGTGCCCGTTAGATCCTCCATTGCTCCAGGAACGCGCCCACCAATTAGCAAAATAGGAACAGCTCTTTCCAAAGCCCTTCCTCGGGCAGATTCTCCAGACGTTTTAGAAATTCCCGGCATTCCACAATCAGGTATATTTCGTTCATCTCAACACCGCTCCCCCGCTCGCCACAACTTCGTGCATAACAAGGTATCACGGCTCGGCTGCGTCGCTTTAATTGTCGTTGAAATCTGTCTTGGGCTTTGCTCTCCGGCACCGCATTGCCCCAAGCATGCTTAAGCATTGCATTGGCTCCTCCGCTGCAACCCCAGATTCGGTATGCGCCAGATCCCCACAAGGTTTATCGAATATTCATGACGTACACGTCATGGTCTCCAAGGTCAAACGAGAAAAAAAGGCCCGTTAGGTGATGAGGCGGGGTTAATAGAGAGAGCTGTGTAGAGCACTCGGTGCTGAATCAATCGCAAGTGCAACTCCTGCTGAAGCTCTCTCTTTTTCAATTCAGCTGTGTGCTAGATTGACGAGTCACCATCTGTCGAACCGAACATATTATCAAGATGCTACGCTTCGCCTCTATGGCCATCTGGGGTCTCCTGGCCACAGCGTCACCAACCACAGAGCGACGACAAGTCAACACACTCTCCGAGTTTATCGCACAGGAGCGGCCCGTTGCCCTTGAAGGAGCACTTGCCAACATCGGCGGGTTGAACTCCAGCTGGGTTGATGGCGCCAGTCCTGGCGTAGTGGTCGCCTCGCCATCGACTGTCAACCCGAACTACTTCTTCACATGGACGCGAGACTCGGCTCTTACGTACATGATGCTGATCGACGAGCTGATCTTTGGAAACCGATCTCTACGAGGAACCATCGAGGACTACACAAAATCGCAAGCGACTCTTCAGACTATCACAAATCCCTCCGGTTCACTGTGGCCAGCGGGCGACGGACTGGGCGAAGCGAAGTTCTACACCAACCTGACGAGGTTCGATGGCACTTGGGGTCGCCCACAGCGCGACGGGCCGGCTCTGAGGGCAATCGCGTTCATGAATCTCGCGCCCGTCCTGATCGGCTTGAACGAGACCGACGAGTACAAGGAGATCTATTGGCCGTTGGTCCTCAACGATCTCAAGTACGTGGGCCAGTACTGGAATCAGGTGAGTAGCCTTTGCTTGATAATTCCTGAGGTATCATGGCGCAAACATAGGCTTTCTAACACTTCGAATTCTCGCGCACGTGAGCTCAACGCTGACTATTTCACTTCATGCATACAGACCGGCTACGACCTGTGGGAAGAAGTACACGGCTCGTCGTTCTTCACCATCTCGGCACTGCACCGCGCGCTGGTCCAGGGTGGGCTGTTGGCGAAAGAGCTCGACGAAGAGTGCGCCGCATGCGAGCAGGCATCTCAGGTCCTCTGCTTCTTGGAACACAACTTCTGGAACGAAAGCGGCGGCTACTTGACCGCAGATGTAAATGTGAACAACGTCAACCGGAGCGGCATCAATGCAGACCCGCTCCTGGCGGCCATCACGAACTTCGACGTCAACGCTACTTGCGACGCGAGCCGTATGTTGGTCCCTTCCAATAACCCACTTCCAACCCCTACAAAATGAGAAAACTGCTACCAATGCTTGAGCGCAAAAAAGCTAACATAGCCGTTCCCTCTTCTCCAGACACGCAACCATGCAACTCACGCATGCTCGCGACCCACAAAGTCGTGGTCGACAGCTTTCGCAACCTATGGCCGATCAACAACAACGCTTCCGCGCCCGACGCCGCCCTCATCGGCCGGTACCCTGAAGACACCTACTTCGGCGGCGGGGCCTGGCCGCTGTGCACGCTCGGCGCAGCGGAGCTGCTGTACGATGCCGTGGCACAGATCAACCGCACGGGAACCCTGAGCATCGACGATGAGAGCCTCGCGTTCTTCCAGGACATATTTCCCAGTGCAAATGCTAGCAATTACACCGGGGAAGTGATGGGAGAGATTCTTTCCGCGATGACTACGTATGCGGATGGATTTGTTGCTGCTGTTCAGGTACGTTTGTCCTCTGATCTTTTTGCTCTTCTCGCCTCCGTTTGCCATTCCCCAGAACCTGTCTCAGAAGACTGGTTCAAAAACACTCATCCCAGAACACTCACCCCAAAACACTCATCCCAAAACACTCATCCCAAAACACTCATCCCAAAACACTCATCCCAAAACACTCATCCCAAAACACTCATCCCAAAACACTCATCCCACAACCAACCCACTCTCTGTTTAGAAATACGTCCCCGCGAACGGCAGCATCAGCGAGCAATTCAACAACACGAACGGCGAATCCACGTCCGCGAGCAAACTGACCTGGTCATTCGCGTCCTTCGTCACGATGTCTCAACGCCGATCTGGCCAGTACCCACCACCATGGGGGGCGTCGACGCCCGCCGCCAACACAGGCCTCAACTCCACGCAATGCAACAGCACCTCGCACAACTCGACAGGCACCTACACCCCGGCCGTCGGCGCCGGCGCGCCCAACGTCTCAAGAGCATGCTCCAGCGAAGTCGTCTTCAGCGTGAATGCGACGACATCGTTCGGGCAGAACGTGTTTCTCGCAGGGAACACGACCAAGCTGGGGAACAACCCGGGGAACGACTCGGCGCGCGTGATTCTGCCGCTCAACCCCGGGAATTACTCGAGCCGCAATCCCCAGTGGTATGTGAATATCTGGCTTGCGGCCGGGGTCATCGCCGAGTACCAGTATGTCCTGCAACAGACAAATGGGAGTTACACATTCGAGGCTGGTCCCAGTAGGCACCTCACTGCGTCGGGCTGTGGCAGTGGTCATGTGGTGAGGGTTGACGATGTGGCGAGGTTTCCACCGAGCGAGTGAACAGTTGAATCAGTGTTGAGAACGTGAGAGTGGGCAGAAAGAGCTGAACACTTGCACCGCTCGCATCGCATGATGTGGTATGGCCCCAGCTATGGCAACCTGGCAGTTTGCCTGTGGAATAATGAATCCCTATTGAGAATATTAGACAATGATGGGTGTTCGCCGACTCGTATAAGTCAGCATGAAAACGCAGTAGCCCCTGCAGCTAGAGGATTGTGTTCAGTCCAGACGAGGGAAGAACAGCACAGATCATGCAGATTCGGCACTGGTGCAGCTCGGATGAAATGATTCGAGGGAGAATTGAACCTTGAAACCCGGGAACAGGCGTTTTCAGATGAAATGTACTAGAAGTTCGACACTGTTCTTGTAGCATTGAGAACCCCTATTTACATCTACATCGAAGACCGAAGGGAGACACGCGCCAGTTGCGGTCATCTTGGTCCTCAAGGATCCACATAATGCACCAACATTAAGTCATTATGACAAACGTTCTTAATCTAGCAGATCTAGACTATCAATACTCCTCTCTAAACCGTCTACACCATTTTCACCACGACTGCCACGGCTGAGGCTTGAGGCTGTGCTCGCCATCTTCCTCAACCTGCCCTTCGCGCCAGATTTCTTCTTAGCTCGTCCGGTGCCATCGGCTGAACTCGGTGGTTGAGCTTCCATGATCCACCTGACAATCAACTCAGCTCGCTCCGTGGTTATAGGATACTCCTTGCCGTCTTCCTGGGCCCAACGCTTGGGCTGCTGTTGCGGCGTTGGATCAGTAAGGCTACCATCGATGTGGTGACCGTTCCTGTTGATGGAGGAATTGGAGGAGGTGCGGCAGTACTCTTTTCGCTGCTCCTCTTCTTCCGCCCTCGCAGCTCTCAACTCTCTTGCTCTCACACTTGCCCGAAAGGTTGCTTCATCGACAACTCTCTCGTCCGACAAGGCTTCTCTGATTGCCTCGTGCTTGATACGCTCACGCTTCTCGTCTGCAGTCTCTTTACGGGGTTTAAGCCCTGGTTTGGCGTGGCCAGGCAGTGGCGCCGGCGCACACAGGTTTTCCCAGGAAGTTTCCAGACCAAGCCAATTCTTGCTGCGGCGGAGCACCTCAATCCAATCGGCACGGGATGGAGAGCGAGCGGCAAGGAAAATTGGGTAACCATCACAGACACGAGCAATTCGGGCAGCCATGTGAGCGTGGCGGAGGTGTTCCTTGGGCGAGGTCTGAATCAGACCATGGCAGAGAAGTAGTGAATGGAGGACATCGGTCAGTAATGGATGATAAGTCACCGCTTCAGAGAAATCTGGAAGCGAGAAAGGTGGGTGAGCGGTGATATTCTCTGAATCTGGATGAGTTGGAAGTGGCGGTAGGTCAGGTGGTGGCACTGAGGCGAACAAGGTGTTCAGCTTGTGGACTGTCGGTTTCGGAATTTGCGGGAATGATTGTGGATCGCTATTCTGCTTTTTTCTCTCATACTTGACTAGAGCTTCGGATAGTCCAGAGTGGGAGTGGGAGTCGATATCTAGGAGTCTCTCACTTCGAGAACGATGGCCTTGCTTGTTGCTTGCGGAGCTCATCCTGTCTAGAAAAGCTTCCGTATATTCGGCAGAGAGACCGGGTGTGTAGTCGAAGTGAGAAAGAAAGGACGTATAATCCCGGAGTGCTCGTTTGGCATAGGTCCTCACCAGTTTCCTAGCTTCAGCACGATCTCGGTTTGCCTGTCTGTCTACCTCGCTGAGAGGGGAGTGCTCTACATCTCCGTTGGTTGTAACATCTTGAGGCTTGGAGCCACCTCGGGGAGGCCCATACAATGATCGTTCAATTTGATCGCAAGCCAAGGTTAAGTATGCACCACCACGATGAAAGAGAAGTTGGGGTTCGAGACTGCTAGGTTGATCTTTTTCTTCGACACGTGGGTCGTGTCTTGAGTCTCGCGAGAGCCTTGCCGCATCCCGAGCGAGAACCAAATCCTGCTGCTGGTTTTGATGCTGTGGATGATAGAGCCTGAAGACAGCAAGCCCGTCGGTACAGTCTCTCGCTGCTCCCTCAAAATCTTCTTTGAAGACGCGAGTCACAGCTCTTGTCCGGTAAGGTGGGGCCTCCGTAGGCCGCTGTCGGATGATATCGTTCAATGGGTCAAGACTAGTACATTCAGCCATTGACCTGGAGGGGATCTTCTCGTGGAAGAAATGGACATATTGGGCATCGGGGTCCTGGTCATTCCGCTGCAATACATGCTTGGCCACATCTTCTAACGCCGAGGCGGCCTGCATTGTAGCGACACTGGTGGCAATCTCATCGAGATGGTATGCGGTGGACAGTTTCTGGGTAGCATGCTCCCTCATGCGATGTCTGCGCTCCCGACTTAATTTTGCATTTCCGGCACCTCTCGAAGAACCTATCCCGAGCATTTCAGCATCGGCACTGTTATATCTGCCATTGGTGGCACTCAATGAAGTATTCAAGGCTGCGGAGGTGGTGCCATTGGCTGCGCGCACAGCCAGACTAGTAGCATCGTCGATGAGACGTCGAATCTTGACCAGGTCGAAGAAAACGGCAGGGTCAACGGGTTGAGGGCGAGGAGAATAGTAGTTGCTGTATGCCAGACTCTCGAGGACTTCGGGCGGGAGGTTCAGCCATGGTCCGTGGTAGGAGGAGATGTATCGCCAATGCCTGCCGAGGGAATGTTAGCAACAGACAATCCTCCAACTTAGGACATCTCGCTCCAAGAGGAACATAAATTAGGGTCAGGTATTACTTGTTGCGACAGATAACCAGGGTAGGTGTTGTGGGTGCAGGTGGGCGAGGTGGTGTTGACGTCGGCCGCGGCTTCGTGACCGGAGTGGGCAAAGTACCAGCAGCGGCAGGATCTGTTTCTGGAGCCGATGGTGTGGAAGCCTTAGGCTTCTTCTTGGTCATGATCCAATACTATGATCGAACCGACGTGGCCTGGTCGAGCTTCGGCCAGGATGGGCAGGTCAATTCGGTCGACCTGAGGGATCTCGTCCCTTTTTTGGTTTGGGGGAAATCCGGGAATTGAGATTTCGGACTGCGACCCTGCGACTGCGACTGCGACTGCGATTTGCAACTCGACTTCGGGAAGGAGCGCGTCACTGCCGCCAATTGGAGAAACAACGATAGAGGCAGTCGCGCTCGTCCCACATGCCAATCTGGAAAGAACCACCTTCCAACATTCACTGTGAGTATCGCTGCTGGTGTTAGTATCACTTGTACCACTGGTATTGATACTCATGTAATACCATGTTAATAGTGCCTCTTACCCGCCATTACTCTTCATTCCCACTGCTCTCCAGTCGTGGCGCGCTAACAACATGCACGTGGTGGTCACGGTTTCTCTAGATCGCCATACGAAATGAAATGGCTTGACGGAAAACCAAAATGAATGTATTCTTTCGTCACCATTACCCTGCACTGCATCACATTGACCACATTGTTGGTCTACAATATCCCATCGCCATCACTTCCCGGGGGCACCACCTGCTGGGAAGATGATCTGATACCCAGTATCCAGAGCCCACGCAATGCTATTGAATTCCAGGTCCACTTGACTGATCTGCCCTTGATCTGTGATGGTGAACAGGTTAGAACCCTTGACTTCATACTGCGCAGTCGCAATGCCGTAAATATCCAGTACCAGAGGATCTTATTTTTTTTCCTGCTACAAGGATCTCGTTGGTCGTTATTCCCTCGACTGGTGGTGCGCTGAGGACTCCTGCAATGTATCCTTATTTCCCCTCGAACGTTACGCCGCCCAACTGTCTCAGGTGGCTAAGTAACGAGCATCTTTTGCCAATGGGTACGTACAGGTTGGCCTTCCAATGATAGAATCGAGTCACTAGTCTCTTGGTAACCGTCAGCGAGAAGTGCTTGGGCAGTTGCATTGGCCGTTGCAACGTCTCCGTGATCCGGAGTGGAGATGAATTTGGCAACTACATCTTCAGCAAATTCCTGACTCAGTCCACACGAATCGCAACCTCTTCTACGAAGGCCCGCTGCCGTCGCAGTCGCCGCACAGGTCAAGTAAGCGAGGAAAGATGTCAGCTTCATATTAATGGAACCTAACAAATGGAAAAGAGCTTCTAAAAATTCGGCCGAATGGATAGAAAACACCAACGCGATCTCTGAAGGGTGGGTGGTTGTGTCTTACCTGCAAGGCACGAGGAAGAACTGTGAACCTTCTGGCTATCCGTCGAGATATCCAATAAAACCGAGAGAGATAGCCAATAAGCATACACATGCTGAGGTGTCAGCCGGTGAGATATTATTCTCGGCAGAGCTTACAAGGAGCCAGTGCATTTAAACTACCCGAGTTCTGCAAGTCGATTTGCACAAAAGCGTAATGATCTGTCAACAGACAGAAGATGTGCGACAGTCATCATGTCATGACTTTTTGTCAACGACTAAGCTCCGAGCTGTGAGTGTGTCCAGACCACATCGACGGGAAGTTGCACCTTCGGTGGCGTCTTACAAGTCCAATGGCGATAACTGCTTGTCACGCGGAAGGTAACGAGAACATATTACATTCCACCGACCGGGGGACTGGTTAGTCCATATTAGCGATTCTGCACAAGGACGTTCGCAGCAATCCATCCGTGACTATCTTTTACCGCTACGGATATAGGATTTGTGTGATATGTCGATTGCGGAGTGCACGCAATATCAACATATGCCGACAAGATTCATCATCTTAGATGTTGCTAGGTACTGGGTGGGTACATGGAAGCCCGAGGAAGGCAATGCAGTGACAATTGACGTGGGATCAGCCTGGATCTGCAGAGGCATGATTTTGGCAATTACTTGACAAGGAGGAGCAATTCAACAGTCCCAAGAGCATAGGAAGGCGCGGACCCCTGGTAACAGCGTAAAGCGCAAGGAAGGGAAAACGGAATGCCCTCTAACTAGCATCATGATTGTGATGCAAACGGGCAAAGAGCAACAAGAATGGTGGCACCAAACAAGCATTTGGCCCACAGTACAAGAAAACTGGATGGACGACCTGGGCTCCCCGGTAAGCCGCTCGTGGCAGCGTAGCTGCCATCAAGCCTTTAACCAAGTGCCCCCCAGCAAAACATTCATCTCAGAACGACCTGGCCTCTCTGGGACGTTTCGTGGCTTGCCAGGATGTTGGGACATTTCAGCCAACCTGGTTTGTAGACTTGCACGGTATCTTCAAGACTGACTGCAAGCCGGCCTGAATAGTACCCATCTGCAAAGGAAGAGCACCCAATTCGAGAGCGGCCAGGCTGCCGTGCAGTGTGGTAGTCAGAAGAAACCGATCACATTCACCATCCACAATCATGACGTGGTACATTTGCAACATTAGCGTCTGCTCCCCTAGCGATTCTTGTATAGGAAATGCGGGGGAGGGGGAAGTGTGGACCAGGATCATAGGATGAGTTAAACAAAAGTGCTCATATTACTGATAATAATCTAGATTGGCTCCCAACACTGGAAGGCCATTACGGCGCCCAGCCCCTTTGCCAAAAACATACCACGCTAACCGAAACACGAAGACCACATAAACCGCATTTTTATACACAAAATAGAAGGCATGCACTGACTGGAGTAGCTCTTAGTCGTGCGCGAAGGTCTTGCTATCATATTTATAGACCCAAGATAGCCCAGCATCCTCACCCTTCCACAGGAAATAAGCCCACATCGCCCACTCTTTGAAGATCTGTTGCAAAGTGCTGGACGAGGCTTTCCTCGAATCCCCGGATCTGGACGTGAAAGCGAGGATCTGCCCAATGCGCTTCTGTCGGACGGTCTGCCAGGATTTCAGGAGACGTTGCAGGTCAGAGTCTTTGCCGTTGACACGCGTCAGCGTATCAGCGAGAGTGATGCCGTCTTCAAATGCCATGGCGGCTCCCTGACCACCTGTGGGCGGCATGGCGTGTGCTGCATCTCCGATCACCACGACGCGGCCTGACGAGCTGGTCCATGACTTCAGCTTGGGAACTCGGTAGTACGGCCATAACGAAAGAGTTTCCTTGTCGACGTGCTCGCTGGCGAGATGAACGATCTCAGGCCACTGCTCGTGTTCGTGGTGGGACCGCAGGTAGTCGTGGAGCGTGTCCTTGTCTGCTTGGAGACGATTCCACTCCTCTCGCGACCGATCTTTGCTCTCAATTGTGGCGAAGCACCCGACCCGACTTCCAGAGTAATCGCAAGGCATGAAAGCAAATGAGTTCAGCTTGCCCATGACCATGCACGGCATATGCATATCCTTGGCCTGGGGCCCCAGTTTGGTCTTCGGGAGAGATCCCCCAACGCCCATCTGGCCGCTGAACGTCGGAATGACCGATGCATCGATATAGTTGCGGACTCTCGAATGGATACCATCGGTGCCGATCAGGATATCGGCCTCTTCAGTATGGCCGTCAGCGAACGTGGCGATGACAGTGTCATGGTCGGTCTCCTCGATCTTGACGCATTTAGAGTCATACTGAATCTCGATCTTCTGCTCATTCAGCGCGTCTAGCAGCGTCTGGCGGACGGTGCCTCGAGCGATCCTGAGCGCCTTATAGCCATAGTTGTTCTGACTGCCGTTGAGCACGGTCCCAATGGGACTGAGGTTCCTCGACGACACGAACTGGAACTGTTCGTAGTTGTACCCTTGGCTGGACAAGCGGTCGTACATTCCAATGCGATCGAGGACGCGCAGAGCGTTGGGTGCGAGTGCGACGAAGCCTCCCTCGAATGCCGCCTTGTCGCGCAGCTCGAAGATTTTGCATGAGATGTTCCGTTGTTTGAGCGCGAGTGCGAGAGCGGGGCCCTGTCGGGATTGACTGTCAGCGAGAAAGGAAAAGACAGCCAACCATACAAAAGAGATCCAACTGTAGAACTTTGGGTCGGGTACTTACTGCAAGGCCGCTCCCGATGATGATGACCTTCATTCCTTATAGGCTAGAACTTGTATAGTCTATTGTTGTATCGCTGTATGAGTGACAGCTACTAATTGCTCGGTGTTCGTGATATCGCTTGGTTGTGGGAACCGGGGTTGGGGGGGGGGAATCCATCCCTTCGAACATGCCCATCCCACCCAGCTATATATCCGCGGTGAAGCCACGCCAATAGCCGAGACTTCAATATGTCTCGCGACTAAATGGAGGTCCAGCCACGACCATGGTCCCGATGGAGGGACCTGGCGGCCGTGGCTGCGACTGCGACTACGACTGCGACTGACACCCCAGGGCCGACCATTTGGGCTAGGCTTGCGTAGCCGTGAACTCTGTTTGGGCTCTTTTCTGTGCCCGTGTGAGATAGTGCGAGATTCGCGAGCCGTCTGTTCGAGCTGAAACAGAAACTTGTGTGCTCGAAGTGGAAGACCCTTCAGGCACAGGCCCTACGCGCTGGGCGCTGGGCGCGGCTGCTTGGCCGTCTCGATCAGGAAGGCAGAGCCCCGAGCGGCCGCACGGTCCAACGTTTCGATGCGAAGCGGAGGAGTTCTCCGTACGTCGTTGTTGGTATCGACCTGGGCAGGTAGGACGAGCGACGCAGTATGGAGTACGTAGCGCTGGCGAGGCGATGCGATGCGATGAGGTCAGTAATGGGCTGGAGGGGGCTGTGCGCACTTTCGCGTCGACTGAACCACTGCAGAGGCCGGATTTAGAGATGTTTCTCGTGTTCTGTACAACAATGTCCCACCCAGTACATACGAGTAGTGGTGGGTCGGGACTTGGAACGTACCAGGTGCTGCAAATATACCATGGCATTTGAGGAGGTATAACGGCAATGCGCACTGCATGGGATGAAACACATCTGCTGGGTATAAATTTCCTCAACCAGAAAAGAGATGGTTTTTATTAAAAGCCGCTTGTGTGTATGTTTGAACAAAATCAACCCTATACATATTGTGTCGCTCACTATCAACAAGTCGTGACGGTCGTGATACGTCCATTCCCACTTTAGATTATATGGTATATGATATCGCCCTGAGATCTGGCGCTGTCCGCTTCTCTGTAACTTGGGCTGGAGTACCCGAAGCTTCCATCCAAGCAGGTTGGTGAATGCAATGCAATGCAAATGACTATAACAACCCACCAACAGCTCCAACCATGGCGCCAGCACCTGCAGCATATAGTATACCAGGGCATGCGGTCTGGCGCGGACCATGGTTACCGACCTGGACAAAGCCAGTGGTAGTGCCGGATCCTGTTGGGTTTGAACCTGCACCGGTTCCAAATCCAGCACACTGTGATTCCTGCAGATTATAACAGCCTTCAGCGCTGAGAGAACTGCAGATGCTGCTTGCAGTGCTGAGGATCGTGCCCGAGGCTCCTTGCACGGTGATGCCGCCTCCGAAGCCGGACACCGTGACGCCATTCTGGCCAGCGAGAGCAACAAAGCACGATGTCGAGGCTGTCTGGCAGCTGGAAAAGGCACTCGTGCACAAGGCGGCATTCGCGTAGCTCGTGGGAATGTATATAAATGGAAAGAAGTTGTTCGGCACAGTTGAGCCACCTCCTGCCACACCGGTGGGTTGCGCGGTGGTGCCTTGAGAAGTGGTGGAAGTGGTTGTACCTCCAAGAACGAAGGCAGTTGTGCTTGAGGCTGCGTTGGTGCCCGATGCTGAGCCTGATGTAACAGAGTCTGTCCTTGTGCCTCTTATGGTTCCAGTGCAGACAGCACCTGAGGGACAGCAGGCGATATTCCCGGCCTGGTCCAGGGCACAATTCGACCCCTGTGAGCAGCAGACATCGCTGGCGCCTAAGTTTCCACAGTTGATATAGCCCGACTGGCAATTGTTCTGACGCTTGATAAGGAGGGCATCGTTCGAGAGGCCGAACAGCGAGTCGAGGAAGGGTGCGTAGCGGTCTGCTATGGCCGTGGCCGTGCTAAACAGTCCGGCTGTAGAGAGCAGCAGTAGCGCTGTTAGGCGCATCGCAGGCTGTCGTGGCTCGTTGGTTGGGGCAGAATCCGTCTTCTTTCACTATTTACGCATGAGGTGTGAATGAATGGTCGGTCTGGGCTTCGTTGGAGGAGTGGTCGTTGCAAGGAGAGGGCGGTTGTGAAGGAGTTGAATATTTTTCTCCAGGGTGGAATGCCGAAAGTGAATGCACTTTGCAAGAAAGACAATCAATCGTCAACTGCAGTTATGTATGTAGCTGTCGATGACGACGGGGTTTGAGGTGAAATGTAAAATGTGAAATGTAGCAGCAGGTCATTTGTGGATTTGCTGGTGGGCACAGCAACCACGCACGCTTACCTAATCTTAGCAAGACAAACGGAGTACCGAGGAGTGCCCGACTCTGGATTTGCGTCCCACGCAGCTTGAGCGTTGATTTTATTTCCCCTTGCGTTTGGAGCAACAATGAAAAGGTCGAGACGGGAAGCCAGAGCTCAGGAACGATGAAGATGTCAAATGATATGTGCACACACGGATTTGCAGGACTGAGACAGTGCACGAGGTAAGATCCCACCCAACACCCCTCTACGGCTCGTGCTCTTATGATGATCAAACGAGAATTCTGCAATGCTGAAAAGACCTGTCCACTGGATGCGTTTTGATGCGGAATTTCTTCACATATGCATTACTTTAACCTGATTGTATTGAGTCCCACCAATATGTTTGATGTCGTTGCTCTACGCTGCATTTCTCCTGCTGGTGAACCGGGGCTAATTATTTCAAATCCGTTGCAGATGTTGGTGGTGGGTGGTTGATTGTTGCTACAGGCCTGCAACACGTGGTACAGTGCTCATCAGCCCTTCATGCATGGTAAGGTGGCAGTGGCTATTCCAGGGTTCTTGCGCCCAATCCTCGGGACGGATCGGCTGCTTGTTAGGTATGCGGGACTCCGAGGTTCTGGGTTGAGGATTGACAGTGGCCACTACGAGTAGGTGTGTACGAGGCCCTGGGGGGTGGTTGCCTGGTTGGTCTATACCAGTCCAACGCAGTTCCTCGGGCGCCATGGAGCCTGGGCGAGACCCCTAATAATAATGCCATCCCCCATGAGGACCCCGGGAGTACCTTTTACCTGTTGTCTCACCTTAGGCCTACCTCAGCCATTCCAAGTCCTTATAGAAAGCCAGCGCCAAGTATCTCCGCAGTCCTCCGTCCCAAATACTCGGAGGCACTGCCACTGCAAAGCCTGTCCTCCCCTCACATTATCGCCGTACGTCCCCGGACTCGTGAGCGCTTGAAATCGTTGGTCCCAACTTCACTCCTTGGGCCCTAGCTTACGAGCAGCTACATTTCAATCAACTTTCTCATCCGTCATCAACTTATCACTGCCTGCGAACCCCAGACTGCTTTCAGAGCTTCATTGCCCTTTGCGATCAGTTTCTGGGTTCACCTCATCATATCTTCACAATATGCTGTAGACCTTTCTGCACCTCTACCCAAAACGCGTCAAGCCCGTCCCACCATGTCCCGACTCCCCCAGATAGCCCTGCGTGGCATCACACGGTCTCTTCGTCCCTCGACTCGATCCTATGCCACATCTACTGAAGCACCTACACTCCGAACTGCCCTATTCTTCCCTGGTCATGGCGTGCAAAGAAAAGGTATGACCAGGCCATGGGTCGAAGCCTTTCCACAGACCTGCAAGCCCTTTCTCGAGGAGATGGATGAAATACTAGGGTGCAAACTCTCCACAATGATTGACGAAGGTCCAATCTTACAACTAGACAAAAGCGAGAATGCCCAGCCAGCCATCATGGCCGTCTCCATCATGATCTTACGCGTGCTGGAGAAACACTTTGGTTTCAAGACCGACCATGTCATTGATGTCACATTAGGCCACAGCCTGGGAGAATACGCTGCCCTGGTGGCTGCTGGCAATCTCGAATATACTTTTGCCTTGGATTTGGTGCGAAGACGTGGAGACGTTATGGGCGAGTGCACGCGAAAAGCAAAGGAAGAATCAGGCGAGGATTTTGGCATGATTGCTCTGGTCTGTGAGCCCGAGCAGCTCGACTCTCTGATAGCGGCCGTCAAAGAATTCCTCGGTCATGGAACTGAAGGAACAAAAGATGACTCGAGTGGCGTGCCCGCAATCCAACAAGTGGCCATCGCCAATGCCAATTCTAAAAACCAGATTGTCCTTAGTGGAAGCTTCCAACGCATTCGAAATCTGCTGGTGCATATTCGGGAGTTTGGCGGTCACGACCCACGCGCTGTCGAGCTGAAGTCTCGGAGCGCCTTTCACAGCCCCATCATGATGCCGGCCTTTGAGTTCATGAAGAAAGCTCTCACCCCCGACAATGTCACCTTCCCAGGCCGCTTTCCATGTATCAGCAATGTCACAGCCCGGCCGTTCTCCTCCAAAGATGATCTCATCCAAAATTTCTCAAGGCAAGCAGTTGACACCATCCTCTGGTGGGACTCGATCAAGTACTTAGACCGCAATGCTGGGACTCTACGATGGTTGGGTGTTGGACCGGGTAAAGTTGGCCGCAATCTGGTTTCGAAAGAAGTCGGTCGCTCTTCGGCAAAAGGAGGTGGTGTCTGGTCAATCACAGAGCCCGATGAGATAGAAGACGCTCTACGCGGGTTAGAGGCGACGGTCAAGGAAGATAAACAGACGAAGTAAGCCGAGATGAGCTTTGTCAACAACGGCCAAAAAAGGCTCGATCAGGAATCAAACCAAGAGATGGGTAGGCATATCCTCCAAAGGGTGGACGTCGAACGGCTTGATGTTTCCTAAGCGAAGGAAGACTGACGAGCTGGAAGCATTCCGGCCAGCGACATGAACAGGCAGGAGAACAGTAATACAAGAATCGAAATCTCGGCAGTGCTCAGTCCCCAACAAAATAACCACAAGTCGCAATAGCAGACACCAGCTTGATACACCTCAAACGACAAAATTACAACCCACACCAGCTTTATGTGCTGCTGAGACAGCCTTTGAGCTAAGAAAAGACACTGCTTGAGAGAATGCAGTGGTGAACAAGAAGGGAGGGGAGCTCTGCGGCGAGAAGCATCAGCATGTGTAGCTTGTAAACATATTACACTATCATTCCAGCTACCACTATCTTCTCCGTGTGTCTTGAGGACGGTCTGTTGCTCCATCTGGGACGATGCCGTTGCAGTGGGTGATGCTACCATATGTAGCAGTCATTGGGCTACGAGCATGAGCCCTAAAATGGTCGGATCGCGTAACCCCTTGAGATCACGTGGCACCATCCGGATTAATTTCACATGTCAGGGTCGCAGTCCCGCGGTCGCAGTCACAGTCGCAGTCAGCGGCACTCAGCAGACTAAGCCAACTGCCCGGGCCTCGTCCACGTCTGGCCACTTGGGCCACTACCGAGCGCCTCTCTCGCCCACGACGTCAGTCTGTCTCCCGATACTCGTCCTTCCACTCCCTAACCATCCTTGCCTGCGCCCATCCCGTCTGCATCACATCTCCTCCTTCCCCAGACTTCCAGTCTTGTGGACCGTGTGTGAAAACCTTGGTCTTTAAAGCACCGTTCTTGCTGTCGTCTGCTTCCTCTCTCGACTGGTCTCTCCCCCTGTTCCTCACGCGACAGTCATCATTCCTCGCCCCCGTCTCCCTCGCCGTTCCCCTTCATTTGTCAGCCTAGAATGACCGTCTGCTCACGTCAATGAGTGAATATCTTCCTTCGTTCATCGTCGAACCTGTTCTGCGCCAAGCGAGGCGAATCTCCCGGCTTAGTACCGGTGAGGAATCGCCTGGCTTTCTCCCTGCCGTCCCTGATCTACAACGTTGGAATCCCACTCGCCTTTGGAACACCTCTCCTCCCCCGGAACTCCCAGCACCCCAGCCTGAACACAAGGAAACCACAGTGCAATCCATAGCAAGAAGTATCCAGATATGGGCCAGTCAGTTGAACAGTTTCGACCAAGTGCCCTCCCCTCCTTTGGAGCCCATGGACGACCAAGACATCCCGACACAACCGCTTGGCTCTGAAGCCTCAGCAGTCACCGAGTTTCCACCTCTTGAACCCGATGTCGTCGCTCCAGTGAGGCCGGCAGTACTTCGTGAGCATCGAACAATCAGCGAGACTTCACTGAACCCCGCACATGAATTACCCTACCGCTCGAGGGTTCATGCCGACAGTGGTCGGTCGCACTCATCTTCAGATCCGCGAAATGCTGGTCTTCCATCTGTCGTGCAAACCCTGGAATCCTCGCCAGCAGTGGACCAAGTTGGAGAACACACTCGCCAGAGAGATGGCTCCGGCGCTTTACCCGAGGATGATGGAATGGGTCCCCTCAGGCAAAGAATCAATCAAGTATGGGCAGGGTCCGGCACGCCCGCGGAGAAGTCCAGACTGATCCATTCTATGATGATGGAAAGATATCAGGACACTCGGCCTATTCGCTCTGGTCACGCGTCCTCGAGAGTATCAGGGGACATGGCAAATCGGGCTGGATCAACGAGTTCTATGCTTTCTGGGCCCACTCAACACATCGACTACCACGTCAGGCCGGAAGATCTCATTCCAACTTATGCTCCACTGGATTCAGAACCTGCTCAAGATGACCTTGAACACCCGGGCGAAGCGCCAAAACCCGAGCTAGGCTGTGTTCATTACAAACGGAATGTAAAAATGCAATGCAATACATGCCACCAATGGTACACTTGCAGACTGTGTCACGATGAGGTTGAGAACCACACCCTTCCACGACGAGAAACCAAGCATATGCTTTGCATGCTTTGCGGCACACCACAACAAGCGTCTCAATTATGCAAATCTTGTGAGGTGCAGGCTGCCTGTTATTATTGCTCTGTTTGCAAGCTATGGAACAATGATCCGGGCAAATCCATTTATCATTGCGATGATTGTGGGATTTGTCGTTTGGGAGAGGGCCTTGGAAAAGATTTTTTCCACTGCAAAACATGTGCAGCTTGTATGTCGATTCAAGCGGAAAGTACGCACAAATGCATTGAAAGGAGCACCAAGTGTGACTGCCCAATATGTGGAGAGTATATGTTTACCTCGAACAAGCCTGTGGCCTTCATGCGATGTGGTCATGGCATCCATGAGTCTTGTTTCGCAGAGTGGTGCAACACCAGTTACAAATGTCCGATTTGTTCAAAGAGCATTGCGAACATGGAGAGTCAATTCCGTAGACTTGACAGGCACATTGAAGAACAGCCAATGCCCGAGGAGTATCGCGACAATCGCGCCTTGATCTTTTGCAATGATTGCAATAGCCGAAGTGTCACCCGCTTTCATTGGCTTGGACTAAAGTGCGCTATCTGTGAATCATACAACACTACGCAATTAGAGCTTCTGGGGGCCGAACAAACACCGCAGCTTCAGCAGGAAGCCGAGAGAGCCCAGCAGGCGGGAGTGAGTGAAGCCGCTTTGACGGCTAGTCAAACTCATACACCTACTGGCGAACTGGTACAGTCGGTAGAAACCAGAATGACGCCGATGGAGGCGTCTCGACCGGTCCCGATCGACGCCCCAACCCTTGCCCACTCTCCTAACGCCAGATCGCCGTGGTTAATGCCCCATTCCCCCGCAGGTCGATCTGCCAGGTCCATGTCACCTGTGGTAGGGAGCTACTTCGGGACTGGATCGCGTTTACCAGAGCCTGTCCGACGGGCGACAGCGCCGTTGGAAGACGAAGACGACCTCGACTTCTGGGGTCGACCGCACTCACCCAGCCAAAACGTGGATATGGACGATGCGTCGGAATCGGAGGAGAGCAGCAGCGACGACGCGATGGAAGAAGACGGAGACGATGAGGACGAAGATGAAATGGATTTGATCGGCCACAGATAGATTTAAGATGGAAAAAAAGGCAATTGTGGGGACATGGAATGCAATGCATAGCGTTGAGGAGATAGAGGAGATCATCCTGACTTGACGACATGAAATACGACTCTTGGTTGGACAGGATAAGCGTTGCGATGGGTTTTGGGGACTCGGTCAACAACAAATGTATTTTTAGCAAATGCAGATGGATGTATATTACAACACTCTATCAGTAATTCGGGAGAAACCACCAAAATGGACATTTTGAGATCTGCAAGCATTTGTTCATTCGTCGTCTTAGGATTGCACAGCACTAGCATATCCTTCGACCTGTATAAAGATAGACATCGTCGCCCTCCTGCCTGCGATCAAGCTGCTCTGACAAGGTGTGCTCTATGACTGACATGGTCATCCGTCCGTACTTGCTTATCAACATCCAGTGTGTTGTCGAGCAATGAGACTGTCGGGGAGCTCGTGAAACCATCGTCCCGCAATGCCCTTGTAATGGATTTTATGTCGACTAAATCCGCTATAGCCGAGCCGAACCGTGAACCGAGTCATCCATCAACCTGTCCATCAGGCATCATCATCAGTGCCCCGGTTTCCCTCCCCAGTGTGAGTAGGGTTCCCTACTGTACCTTGGTATCAAACCTTGCAATTCGTGAACCTGCCCTTCTCCCCCACCGGAATTGTTCTTCTCCAATGGCAAGCCCTGCGATTCTTGTCCCAGGGCAGCGATCCATATTCCCTCACCGGCACTGTAGCCGCTCGTTGCCTTTCCTGATAGTACATCGTGCGGGGCAACCAGCATCATGGGAGGGAGAAGATACATCGCCGATGATGAGGCCACGATGCCTGTTCTGACTAATGCTCATCCCAGGTACAGAGCCACCCAGAGTACACCCTCTACGATAGGCTGGCTGGGTAGTTGATCGGCCGTTCCCCGGCTAATATATAACGATATAAAGACGTCAACGGTCGTCACTTTGGATGAATTTTGCTTTTCGATCGTGTTCTCCTTGACGCTAAGACTGGTAGACACGGAGAAAAGCACGTCTTCTCGAACTTGCCCTGTCGGTCTCGTATTTGTAATAAAAGAATTGAGTCAAAGCCCTTCCTTTCATACACAAGCATCTATCCCCCAATAGCCAGCTCAAAGTCCATCACCCAAAGCGGACTTGGTAGCTCTTATTCGTCACACCGCCTCTAACCAGTTCTCGGTATCGATCAACATGGGCGACGCAGGCCTTCCAGCATCCCTCCGCGCCAGCGTGGAGGCCACCAAGGTGTCTTACACGCAGCTGGGCAGCTCTGGGTTGAGAGTGTCGATTCCCATCCTTGGGGCTATGTCTTTTGGTGAGTGTCTTTGCTACCATTTTCTCAGGCATGCCTATGTCAGACGCTTTCTGACTGGCGACTCGCCCGGTGTTGATGCATATCTTTGTATCTCCAGTCCTAACCATTGTCCTCCTCTCCATTTTGGCGCTCAACAACTAACCCCGCCAATTGAACCGGCTAGGCCACAAAGATTGGCAGCCATGGGTGGTCGATGACGAAGAGGAGGTAGACAAGTTGCTCAAAGGCGCCTATGACCGTGGCCTCAACACATGGGACACTGCCAATGTCTATTCGAATGGTGTCTCCGAAGAACTCATTGGTAAGACGATCAAGAAACACAACCTGCCACGCCACAAACTCGTTCTCTTGTCCAAAGCATACGGCACTGTTGGCGAGGAACCCGGCGTTCTCCACATCAAGTGGGGTGAGGAAATGAAACAATCCAAGGACTATGTCAACCAGGGAGGTCTGAGTCGGACCGCGATTTTCAACGCAGTCGATAGGAGTCTAGAGAGATTGGGGACTACGTACCTTGACCTACTGCAGATTCACCGGTTTGACAAGACGGTTCCGGTTGAGGAGACCATGAAGGCGCTGCATGATCTTGTTACCTCAGGCAAGGTCAGATATATCGGTGAGCTGAGCCCGTGCCCGGTAGAATTCTGATGACTTGAAGGATCAGTTCATCACCCTCTGGCACCACCTTTCTCCAGCTAACCATCATGCTTTCTCAGGAGCATCAAGCATGTGGGCTTACCAGTTCGCCAAGATGCAACAAGTCGCGGAAAAGTACAACTGGACGAAATTTATATCGATGCAGAACCACTACTCGCTGGCGTACCGTGAGGAGGAGCGCGAGATGAACCCATATTGTATTGAGACTGGTGTTGGACTTATTCCCTGGGCTCCTTTGTACCGGGGCCTGCTGGCGCGGCCACTGGGAACCAAGGCCACCGCCCGCGAGGAGAGCTCGAAAGGCAACCCTATGTTCTCCGGTCTTACCGCCGAGGATCAGGAGATCATCAAGCGTGTCCAAGAGCTTGCGGACAAGAAGGGCTGGAAGATGTCTCATGTCGCACTGGTTTGGATCATCCAGAAGAAGACAATTCCCATCGTGGGTTTCAGCAATCTTAAGCGTTTGGATGAGGCCATCGGTGTGAGGGGAAAGACTCTGTCTGACGATGAGGTCAAGTATCTTGAGGAGCCTTACAAGCCAAAGGTCATTGTTGGCCACTCATGAGTTGAAGAGTTGCGGGGGTGGGGGGGTTAGGAAGAGCGGTGGTGAGTGTGTCTCAGGCCATATAGTCAGAGTCAGTCCACTGAAAACCCTGTAGACCTCTGATCTGATCTCACAATCCTGCTGAAGACGTTTGTGTGAACATCTCTAAGCCAACCAAACCTTCAGAGTCTCTACCACATTCATCAAATCATAATGCCCCTTGCTACCATTTCTTCTCTGTCTGGTCGTCTCTTTGCACACCCAGGGGCTACCGCCCCCTCTGTCACTAACATTGTTTCTAAACCAAACATAGATCACAAACAGAACAACCATCATTCCCGAATCCCGAAAGCCAAGGGATCATGAGGATCCACTAATACTGTTTGACAGTGGAATCCTGCATTATCATCGCTGGCGAAACTCAATTTTCCATCCCCGAGCAGCACCTATGAACGCTACGACCATCTCCGAGCCTCCAACCAGATCACGGCAACGACAACACGCGCAGACTGCTCAAACTCCTGTCTAGATTGTTTCCCTCCACGGGCCATAATCTTAGCGTGCAGTCAGGCTGGGGAAGATGTCTTCTCTGTGGTACTAATATATGAAGGTTCCGAAGCACATTCCTATCAGGCGCTAAGATTGCAGAGACTTTGTCAATTGTTCCTCTCCTTATCACTTCTAGACGTCACAATGGGTTCGGTTGGAAACAACTTCCCATATCGCATTGGTGTGGATGTCGGCGGCACCAACACGGATGCAGTCATCGTCGACACAACCGCCCAGGACAGAGCCAAATGCGTGGTATCCGCTCACAAAACTCCCACGACCTCACCCAATGTGACTGCTGGAATAGAAATTGCAGTCAGACATGTTCTCGAGGAGTCAAAGGTCCCTTTAGAACAGATCTCCTCTCTAGCGATCGGAACAACGCATTTCATCAACGCCATCATCGAGCACGACCACCGCCATCTCTCGCAAGTGGCGGTCATTCGCCTCTCAAAGTGTTTCACCAGAGAAATTCCTCCGTTTTCTGATTTTCCCACTTCGTTGAAGAACTTGATATACGGGTGGCATACATTCGTGGATGGGGGTCTTCATATCGATGGCAGCGAAGAAGCGGCAATTGTTGAACAGCAGATTATCGACGCTTGTTCAACTATCAAGGAAAGGGGAATTAACGCAGTTGTTGTCTGTGGTGTCTTCTCGCCTCTTGATGGAACATTCCATCAAGAAGATCGAGTACGCACCATCATCCAACAAACATTACCTGGCGTGAGTGTCGTATGCTCATCTGAGATTTCCAACTTGGGCTTTTTGGAAAGAGAAAATGCTTCAATTCTCAATGCTTCAATCCACAAATTTGCACAAAGAACAGTCGCGGAGTTTCGTATCGCTATGAAAAGGCTCGATCTGCGATGCGCACTGTACCTCACTCAAAATGACGGCACTTTGATCGACGCTGCATCAGCTGCTCGCCTTCCGATCCGTACCTTTTGCTCAGGACCGACAAACTCAATGAGAGGTGCAGCATACCTGAGTGGGCTATATAATGACGATACAATGAATGAGTCTTCTATCGTATGCGATATTGGCGGGACTACCGCAGATGTAGGTGTCCTGTTACCCTCTGGATATCCTCGCCAATCCCTAGCCAACATCTCCATTGCTGGCGTCAGGGTCAATTATGGCATGCCTCAAGTCGAATCTATCGGCATCGGTGGTGGGTCAATCGTTCGACAGGAAAGTGGGAAGATTACCCTTGGCCCTGACTCAGTCGGATATGCTATCAAAGAAAAGGCATTGATCTTTGGAGGGAACACTATTACCGCAACAGACATAGCGATGGCTTCTGGGGCTGCGATCGGTGGACATGATACCCTTTCTTTGAGCTCACTAAGTTCCCTGGATGCAAACACTATTCAGCAGGCACAAAGATCCATCCAGAAACAGTTAGAGCGAGTCATTGACCTGGTAAAGACGTCACCAAAGCCTCTGGACCTCATCATGGTCGGGGGTGGCTCGATCATTGCAACGGATAACCTGGAAGGAGTGAGGGCCACTATTCGGCCGCCTCATTATGATGTTGCAAATGCTGTTGGGGCGGCCATGTCGAGAGTCAGTGCCACTGTCGACATTATCCAGAACATTTCAGGGACCAGTGTCAAAGAGGCACTTGCCCATGCTGCTACTCTTGCCACGGAGAAAGCGATCATCAATGGGGCAGACCCTGCGACCATAATGATATCAGAACAGGAATCATTGCCCCTACAATACTTGGATAACCGCGTAAGGACTATCGTCAAGGTTGTTGGTGACTTCATTCCCATTCAGGCGCTCTTGTGTAACATGCCTGTGGAGGAAAAGGACCTGGAGTTCGAAAATGAGCCTGTGTTGGACGAAAAATGTTCCCGGCCCTCTGTAGAAGCTGAAGACTTCGACATTGACGCCTATATACCGCTCATACAGCCTAACGATAAGAACGGCAAGCTAGAATGGTTGGTCTCAACCATTGACCTGGATTGGTTGTGCGACGGATGTTACGTACTTGGCTGTGGTGGTGGCGGGACACCATATCCAGAGACTCTTAAACTCAAACGACTTCTCAATGAAGGATATAGATTTAGTATCGTGGACGTGGACGATTTGGAATCTGAATCCCGCATATACTGTAAGTCTAGCCCAATCACCCTTTGGTCGGAGCTAACAACGGCACAGGGGCAGGAAACATGGGTTCTCCAGCAGTTCCACAGGAGAGACTTTGTGCAAATGAGTCCGTCGAAGCAATCAAGGAGATGATGGACTACTACCGACAAGATTCTTTTGATGCCCTTATAGGTCTAGAGATCGGAGGCTCGAACGGGCTGTTACCCCTAAGCATGGGTTCCTCAAAGCATTTCGATCGACCAGTTGTGGATGCTGACTGGATGGGTATGTCGGATTGGCTTCCTTCTTGGACGATTCGCTTACATTGATTTAGGCCGTGCATATCCCAACCTGTGGCAAGTCACAGTCGCCGTGCACGAGAGCAACCAGATTGTGCCATGTGCGATTTCATCCGGTGATGGTAGGGCGCTGATAATGACCAAGTCCTCAGACGACGAAGCTATCGACCGAACTTTAAGAGCGCCTGCGATCGAGATGGGTTACTATGTAGGTCTCGCGGCGAAGCCCACAAACACTGAACTTGTACAAAAATGGAGCATCAGGAACACAATGTCCCAAGCGTGGAGAATAGGTCGCTGCATTGCCAGAGCAAAAAAGGCGAACACAATCAACACCGTTGCGGAACAAATCGTGCATGAAGTGGGAGGTCCATCCACTGCGAAAATTTTGTTCCGCGGTAAGATTATCGGAGTCGAAAGACGCCTATGCAAAGGCCACTCGCACGGTGAAGTTGTCATTCAAGCTGTCTCCTCAGAGGAAGGTGATCCGATTGATTCCAAGTCAATCTCTGCCGTGGTTGAAGGTGGAACGTTACGCATTCCATTTATGAATGAAAATCTACTGGCAGAGCATCACCATGGCGATAGTTCAATGGAAGTCATTGCATCAGTTCCCGATCTGATAACTGTTTTGGACGCTCAGACTGGAAAGGCTTTGGGCATTCCCGAGTACAAGTACGGGGTTGTCGTTACCGTCTTGGGAATTACGTGCTCACCTATCTGGGGCAAGACAGAGGCTGGGATAAGAAAAGGAGGACCTTCGGCCTTCGGGTTCGACAATGTCACTTATAAACCATTGGGTGTCTATCGAGAACCCCTGAGTGTTATTCGCGAGTCTAGAGCGACTCATTCGCGGCAGGATTCGTTCGGGAGTATGCAGTTAATAAGCGCGTGAGATGCACGCAACCATACATGGTCTTTTTAGTCGCAAGAACGCCAGAAACGAGCTACTGAGAGACTTGAACCGAAGTACAGTTTTAAGAACCTATTAAAGGTACACCTGTGTAGAGACAGTTGACAACCTTCCAGTTGTCAACCCTGACGGTTGGCAATACCAAGATTCTTCTGGGATTTGTCTGTCTGAATATCCCTTGGCGGGCCTTACCCTTCTCCGTTCGGACTTGTTTTCGAAAGTCTCGCGCTAGAAATCTCATTCAGCAACCTGATATATAAAACTACAAGCAGGACGCATCGCCATCGCCCAATTACCGGACAGGCATTATGCTCTAGAGTAGTATGTAATCAGGAATACCACCAACAACATTTTTAATGCTTCCAAATCCTTAGTCAAGCACAGACAGGGAGCAGCAAATACTGGAAATGGCTCTGGGCATCTCCGATCCCGACTTCTGGACTCGAGCGCTCCAGTTCACTCCAACAATCCACCGGGACATCTATCCAGCCATTGCGCCAGAATCTGACAGGGCACGAAGGGTCGCAACAGATAAGGTCGTAGTTGTGACTGGTGCAGGTAGCGGATTTGGCAAGGTACGTTCCTCAACGACATAGCCAGACTATTTCGAAGGTACAAACGCTGACCTCTGTGGCTCAGGGGGCTTGTCTGCAATGGGCAAGATCCAGTGCTAAGGCTATTGTCCTCGCTGGGCGGCGGCGGGCTCAGCTTGACGAGGTGGTGTCGGATATCGCTGCTTCGTCATCCACGACTCAGACAACGGCTGTGCAGTGCGACGTCTCAAATTATGATGAAGTGAAGACCTTGTTTGAAACTGCTGCCCAGAGTTACGGCAAGGTAGATGTCCTTGTGCACGCTGCTGGGGTTCTAGGCCCAGTCACCAATGTTGGCGATGCGCCGGTTGATGAGTGGTGGAGTGCCTTTGTGAGGAATACACACATCTGAGGCGTTCACCGCGCGGGAGCACGAAGTACTGATGGGAGACTCTCTCCATTTGAACAGGAGATCAATGCGAAAGGTGCATTCCTTGTTGCTCGCGAACTGGTAAGACAGAACGAAGCGGCCACCTTCATCAATACCGGCACAGCGGCCTCGTACTTTGCGAATCCGGGACAATCATCCTATACAATGTCTAAATTGGCGGTGAATATGCTGCTTGAACAGTTGAACGCTGGTATGTTGTTTTTCTCCTATCTTGATTTCTTTTTGTATAGGACAATCGAATTCCATGGCTTTGGCCCTGTCTCCAAATGGTCTAATATTCTCACTAGAATATTCCAATCTGAGAGTCTTCAACGTCCATCCGGGCATGGCGAAGAGTAGCGTCCTAAGGCCAGAGCTGGAGATCTACGCAAAGGACACTCGTAGGCAGTTCTACTCCCTGCTCCTCGCCCCAGCAATCCTTGGTACTAATCAGTCTGGTGATGCCATGCAGCCGAATTATTTGGATCAACTACGGTCTGGCTTGCGGGTGAGGAAGCCGAATTCTTACGCGGTCGCTTTGTGGCAGTGAACTGGGACGTCGACGAACTTGTACAGCATCAGAAGGAGATTGTCGAGGAGGGACTTCTGAAAAGTCAGCCTTTCAAAGGCAACATCGGATCCGGGGGCCATTTCCGGTCTTGACCATAGAGATGGAAAGAGTATACACGGAATTAGAGGCTAAGCTATCTTCTCTTCTGTGCATCATGATTTATTTTACTCGTAATGCTTGCCGCCAGTGGATTGCCCCTGAAAGTTCACAGTTCATTTTAGGTCGTTAGAAATATGCCGTACTGGTATCTTTACCCCGCCGTTTCGCTTATCAGCCTTTCTCCTCTGTCAAGCCTTCGGTTGTCTTCGGGCTATCTAGAACTGATAAGCCTTCGTAACCGACCAAATGAGCCACCAGCTCCCGGGAGATACTTTTGGCAGCTCCGAGAACTCCGAAGGACATACTTAATGTCCATCTCCGACCCCGTCAAAAAATGAGCTCCGGGTTTCTCACATCTTCGTCAGCTCTCAATGTCGACTCCACCTTCAACACCAGGAGTTGGGACTGTGCCAGCCCGGAAGTCGCGAAAGCCTCCTCGACGACAACCTCTGAGTTGTCTGCCGTGTAGGCAGCATAAGCTTCGGTGTGATAGGCAGATCCCATGCGGTACTTGCTCCCGCTACCGACGAGAAGATATTTGTCGACTTCATCCAGCGCCATCGAGGGGTAGGTCTCGACGGCAGACTACAAACCCGTCCGGAGCAGGCCCTATAGATCCTGATGAGCTAGATCCCCGTTCTCATCCAGCCGCGGCCAGTAAAATTGGCTTGTCTGAGGATCCTGGAACTCCTAGTGCCGCAAGTCAGACAACTGCACAACTGGTCGGCCACGTCCACATGGAGTCTGCTGCTGCTCGGGCGATGACATCTAAGCTAGCGGCGCAGATAGGCGGCCTTCCACCTGGCCTAGACTACAGCCCAGCCAGACCCTCGGACCCAACAATACTGTTTCCCCAGACTTTGCCTCTCCTTCAATTACCGGCTGCCACTCTGGACCCACTTATGCTCCTGAGTATAACGGATCAACCGAATCAAAAAGCCCATTGGAGGCGACTTCTCGTCAAGCTGCTTCCAACGCGGACACAATCCGACATCTTGTTCAGCTACTTTGTCGAGCACATCAACTGGATATTTCAGACCGTACACATCCCGTCCTTCCGAAAGGAGTATGCACGGCTGTGGGAAGCGCGAATTGAAGATGTAGACCTGATCTGGCTTTCCTTGCTCTTCACGATCATATCATTGAGCGCTTTGTATATCCCCATCAACGCGGTTGAATTTGTCGGTCTGCAAGGGGGTACCGTGCGGCAGCTGGCTCATCTCTGGCACCATGCTTCTCTGCAAGCATTACAGGCTGGCAATTATGAAGCAAAGCCCACTCTGACTCAGCTCCAGACCTTCTCGATCACTCAGTTGTATTGGTATGCAACGAACAATATTGAGATGCTGAACTCGTAGGTAATGCGACCCTGACCTGAAAACTCCTACTAAGTGCCCACTAGTCGTATGGCTCAGGCGATTCGGCACGCTCAAGTCCTAGGATTGGACAAAGACTCTGCGGCATCCAAGAACGTCAAGGATGAGATGAGACACCGGCTGTGGTGGGACCTGGTTGACTCAGATACGTAAGTTGATGAGGGGGGGGCAAACTGCTATCCTTTCGTTCTAAGCCTCCTCATATGCGACTTATCCATGATTTTGAAAAAGCGGGAAAGTGTTGCAGAGATCAATGGCCCACCTATATCCGTAAAAGGCTCTGAATTCCTCCTCCAACTCTTACTTTTCTAGGTTCCAATCAATATGCCTCGAACGACCCCCTTTGATTCAAGTCCGTTTCACCAATGTCCCTCTCCCTCTGAACTGCAACGACATCGACATTGGATCAGACTTCGTCCACGCGAAACCAGTAGACGAGCCGACCTCGATGAGCATGAACATCTACCGAGCGAAAATCTTTCAGATCATCAATAAAGCACTTGTCTCTGAACCAACACAATTCAAATCTCGCGACGCCGTGATCGAACTAGACCGTCAGCTCTTAGACATTATGGAGAAGCTTCCATGGTTCTTCAAGCTTGACGCTGACGGAAAGGCGAATCAGTTCCCCCCCTCATACGAGTTTCTCATCTGGCAACATCATATTCTACGAACTTGTGTGAGCACTCAGCGGATCCGCATGTACCGGCCGTTTCTGGCCGAGCACAACAACATTGCTTGGGGCAATTGCCTCGGCGCGATCGAAGACGCCATGGCCGTATATCGCACGCTGCGTGTAAATCAGTCTTCAGGGATGCAGCAGAAGTTCTTCGCACAAGCATATCAAATCTTTTCCGTGGCGGTAACCATGGTCACCATTCTGCTGGTTGAACGCTCCATGCCTCGTTTCTCACAGTTCAAACACGATATCGAGACCATGACGGCCGACTTGGCACTGGTTGATGCACAAGCATGTCCCGTCCCAGTTGCAGTCAACGGGCGAAAAGTTCTCCTGAACATGCTGGCACTTTTGGACCAAGGCTGCTCTCCTGAGGACGCCGAACGATTGGTTCCGGATATCTCAACCATCATAGGTGGGGAGAACACGACTCGTGCCTACCTGGGACGCCGTGGAGCGCAAGATACCAGTGATCTAGTTGCGTCACCAGCGGAAGCGACAGTATCGGGACAACAACGGCGTCATGATCCTCAGCAAGAACACATACGAGAAAACCAAAACCGCGAAACAAACACAAACTCCCTTCGCGCCCCTATCGCTAAACTGAGCGACACCATCCCTTCAACTTCAACTTTTGAATCAACAACAATGCAACAACACACCAGCGACGAAGCATCATTAACAATGGCCTTCCCAGAACCAACAGATTTCAGCTTCGACTTTGATGAATTCCAACTGAGCGATTCTTATGACCTGTTCGGCTGGGACATGACCGGCTTGTTGTCCGGTGCAGTAGCCTCAGGTTCCGCTAACAGGCTTCGGACAGAAGAAGACATGGGTTCGGTCCTGTTCTAATGAACTAAGAATTGCTTTGTCTTCCTTGTTTCTATTAGTGTAAAACAAAATCAGGATTTTGCGTGAAGGACCTCTAGCCATTCATCTCACTGGTTACCATCAAGTATTTTCTTGAGATGAGCGTTCATGCATTACGTTTCCGCTTACATTTGCGCTTGGTTTTCAGCCGTCAGGTTGTTTGTCAGCACTTCTCGACGGGTAATAGTGCATGTCGGTAAGTGCTGGGAGCGAAGGGCTGAGGTCTTCCCTGCACAAGGATCGAAGTTAATGGGCCTCTCTGTTGGTCAAAAACCTTTCCTCTGATTCACACACTGCTGAAATTCTTGGAGAACTATATGATACATTGAGTTGGTACCCTTCGAACTTCAGTCTCTCTGTGGAGATTGCCCGCCAATTAAGCAGGAAAGTGGGAACGCCGTCCTCCATACGGCGTGGATGATAGTCTTTCCATGCTTGACGGTCAGAGTCGAAATACCGTGCACTTTCCCTTCAGCAATCTGTTTCTTTACCGTGACTCATGAGATCTACAGAGGTCTAGTAGGCTGTGCCCTAGAAAGCCACCTGGTTGCCTTCGGTCATCACCATACTCCCGTCATATTTCGTCGTCAACCGCCTCAATCCAAATGAAGCTGGAGGAAAATTGTAGAACAAATAGTAGAGCGTCATTGACCAAGGAACCATGTCGCAGATGTCTCGAATTCCCACCCGGGCCGCCAGGTATTGTCCACGATTTGCGTAACGTCGCTGCAGAAGTCCAGTTCGGGACTGAGCTCGAGAGGAAAGCTGTCGCTGCCTGGTTGTGAGAGCGAATTTTGTAATTGTAGTATCTCCGTAGTGAGCTCGGAAACGTAGGTGTTGAGTTGGTCGACCTCTTCGCACTTCTTGGAGTATGACTGGCAGAGGTTCCGGTGGGAATTGTGTAACTCTCCCAGTTTATCTCGAAGACTTCGAATGTGGCTTTCCTTCCGCAGCCGGAAGGCCCGTTGCGATGATCGATTCTGCTCTTGCCGTCGCTACGGAGGGATAGTTTTAGATTCCTATCCAGGACAAGTTGCATCGGGGTAATCTACGTACCATGCGTTTGCTTTCTAGCAGGTCCTCATTGGGTTCAGAATTGGTCTTTGGTGGCGTCGAATCGCGCCGGCCTTTCTCCTGTGTTTTACTGCTTGGAGGGCAGGATCCACTCTCCATTCTGAAGATCACTCTTGGAGCCTTATCTGAATGGTCTCCATGTGACTTGGCTGCTGCTAGCCTTTGCTGGCCCGAATTGATGATCATAGATCTCGGAGATGTTTCCGAGATGATCTGCCATATAACATCGTATTAGTACTGTATGGAATATCCCAGTACTTGCGACAGGAAGGACCTACTGGCTCGTAGAACGACATTTTTAAGCTCGGCGTGTCGTCGTGGGACTGGGCATTCCAATATCCATCACCATGCCTCGGGTCCGTCGGAGGGAGGGCATGAAACATCGGTGCCATTTCTGTTTCCTCAATTGAGTATGCTAGATAAAGGCTCATGTAGAGTTATTGGGATTACTTGGTCCTGCTGCACGAGGTGCTTCGGCTGGTCGGCAGCTTCGCCACTGGGTTCGTTGTCTATATACATTTCCAAACATAAGGGATTTCAAACTACAACGAAAAAGAAAAAGATGTAACCTGGTGCAATTCGTCAGGAGAACGTTGGTAAATCCTGACGTAAGATGAGTCTGCAAGGCGCACAGTAGATTCGTCGTCGTTTTGTTGGTCTTCCTTGTATAGTACAAGAGCCATGAATTGCGATTAAGCCCTACTAAGCGCATCCAGGTCTAACGCTGTTCAGCATCTGTTCTAAGTCGCCCTGGGTGATCCTCAGAGCGGCTGGGACCGTACATTGTCGCTGCATGTCAGGCAAAACCTGAGGCCGATTGGGTTGAAATTGATGAAACCCCAACTTCACAGGGTGGGATACAATTGTCCTTCTCAGTTAGTCAGTGGTCAACAAGACACATCCTGGCTCGCCGCCGTCTCGAAAAGGACACCAGTCGACCTCATCGGATCCCAATCAAAGTCCCGTTGAGGCAACCGCAAGAGTCCTAGGTGCAGTTGTAAGCTATGCCCAGCTTGGAAACCCGTTAGAAAACAAGACAGACATGTTACACATTCCAAGATAGTCCTAGTAACATTTGTTCGCAAAGGCCGGTGCGATCTAGATTTTCTTGCCGACGGGCCTGTGTCATTGTGCGCAGACACTCGGCATTTGATCGTACAGTCGTCCGCACGCAAGTGACTCAGCAATGTCAGCGAAGGCAGTTGGATGGCAGTAGTAGTCGAATAGTTTGATTCGAATCACGCGCTCCCGGCTCTTACCTCTTGTAACATCATGGTTCAATTTGAGTCGACTTATTTTCTGGCATGACCCGAATACTGCCCTCGCTGCTCATTCATCTGATGAAGCAAATCGGGAGGCTGCTCTTTCCAGGAATCTGGGACGCCTATTCGGGCATCCTGCGGTGGGCTCATGGAGTCTGGGGCTAAGTTAGTAGTTCTTACCCCGTGCCTAAGGAGCCATACATACCAAAAGTGTTCAAGTTATGATTGAATTAGTTTAGGATAGAAGCTAGTCATGGGTCTGAGGTACTGCGCTTCCCCTTGCCCCTAGGTCATGTATTCTCTTAGCCACCTGAAATTCTGCAATCTGTTTCGCTCCCGTCTTGCTGTTGACGGGTTGCCACGAGGAGAGAGGAGGTCTCCGTTCTTATGAGCTTCTCGACTTGGAGTCAAGCAGGCTCTTACAATTATTCACCTGATCCTGTTTAGTACTCAATTTTCAGAACTGGAATAGTCATCAATAGCCCCGTTTTCATCATGGGAGTCAGTCTGTTCAGTTTCAATCCCGACGTCGTCAGGTTCCGCATAACTTTGTCTCTTCAATTCGTGGCCCTTAGAGCCTCTATGCTCGTTGGGCGGTCTTTTGATCGCCGGGGGGCTCAGAGAGGCTAGATGGTTCAATTGGCTCGACCTTCGCCGGGGCTGAGCTGCCTGAGAGGGGGTTCCGTTTGTGTTCTGTCGAGAAAAGGTGGACGAGCGCTGATGGTGCAGCAACTGGCTGGACGATAAACGGGCAGGTAGTTGAGGCCTTAAATTTGGACTGGGGGCACGAGCGTGACCTGTTCAACAGGTGGAACCAGGCTCATCGACGAGGCTCTTCTCAGGTCTTCATGTGGCGAGGAGAGGAATGAAGGGAATTGATTCCCATCTCCTCCAGGTGAGGCTAGAGGGATATTTTCTTCAGGCTCATAATCATCGGCTCTTTCCATTGCATGGAATGCACGATCTGCGTCAGCAAATCCGGTGGCTGTCTGCAGGTAGCCATCGAAAGCCCGAGTTCCTGTAGCATATGCCTTAAGATGTGTTGCCGACAATATAGAGCGAGGGTGATGGTCGTCGTCCACTGGGGTCAGCTGTTCTGTTTGAAGTTGTTCCTCCTTGCTGTACGCTTCCCAATTAGCCAGAGCCAATGCAACTTTGAAGGCATTCTGGATCCGCCGCCCGTTCCAGACTGCGTTTTCCGCCATGCTAATCTTGAAATGTTGCTTGGCGTATTTCATGATACCGTTCTTGTCAAGGTCAAGATTCTTGTTGCCTTTCTCCACACGCTTGATGTTAGTCCTCCAGATCTCTCTTGTTTGAGTCCAATTCAACGGCGGGTAGTACGAGATCCAGGTGATTCGCGATTTAATTGCTTCGTCTAGGGCTCTCACTCGATTCGTCGTGAGAAACAATACGCCAGTGTAGAATTCTAGGACTCTCAGGAAGACTAGACGATGTCAGCAACAAGAGCTTCTCATACCTCACGCGTTCGACTTACTGGAAACGAGGGCATTTCGTTTCACATCGGTCTTGCTCCGCTGTGTGAGGAATATGTCGCATTCGTCGAGGAGAAGAACACATTTCCAATGTTGTGCGTAATGAAAGGTCTCCTTGAGAGCTGCATCAACCTCATTCGGCTTCAATCCGAGATCACCTAAAAAGGGTCAACCTCATAACTTAGCCATCTCGAGGATGACTTACCACAGGTGATTTGAAGGAGTGGCTTTCCATTTGCTGCCGCCACGCTCTCTAGATAGTAAACCGTTAGCCACGTCGGTAGTGCCTACATGGATTACCCCCATCCTGGCGGTCAGAATCTCTATCCTAGGGTCGCGGAAAAGTACATGCCTGCCGTAAAGGTCTTCCCAAGTCCAGGCGCTCCGTGAAGCAGAATTACGAGGCCTCTCCCTGATTTTCGCTTAGTTGAACCCTCGCCGACAACACAATCCACGCGGCACTTACCTTTGCCTCGAACAATATCATACTCAAAATCTGGCAAATGCTGAGTTTGTCTTTGCATGAAGTGAGTTTTGACCAAAGCTTGTAATGTATCCGTGAATGTGTTGTCTTTAAGCTGGAGGTTATCGAGGCCTTCAGTTTTTGCTTTGATCGGTTGGAGGCCCCAGAGCCAAAGTGGAGCTTGAGACATTGATGAGCTTTTGGTGAAACAAGTATTGCTAGGGAAACCTTTTGACCAGTGGTAACTTACCGAAAGTACGCGTTCTCAAAACGAACGCAAAAACACGGCCGCGATATAACATGATGTCTTTCTCCGGAACCATACTCTCATTACTGAGCCAACCACTAGGGATAGGAGCAAATATCTGCTCATTGTTCTTGAATATGATTGCTCTCTCCCTATCGATGAAGTAGTCATTGTATACTTGATCATACTCGGTACTTTCGAGCTTTGTTCTCCTTTGGTCGGTCCAGTACTGCACCGGAAATGTTTCTTGCAACTCACGTCGCTCTATCACAGGATCTTTCCAGGGCTCTCGCTGCGGCTGCCACGAAGAATACTTGCGCAGAGCCATCTTAAATCAACGATGACCTCACTCTCAATATGCTCTTGAATGGTCGGGCCGTCTTGTAGCCGGCAACCACAAGGATGTACCATTAAAGTAGGCCCCGAGTAGAAAAAAAGGGGTGAATGAACGTGCCATTGAATCAAACACCACCTTACCTTTATCCAGCTGGGCTTTTAGTGTGTCCTTCTGCTGAGCAACTTCCATGTATCTTGCCGGGTAATAGTCTAGGGAGGTGATGTCACGTTCGCCTTTGAAAGGCATTATCTAGAACGTGTGAACGGTCGGCCGAAAGTACCTGTCATGGAAATCGATATAATAGCAATCAACTCTGAATGGGTTTGATCTAAGGCTGATATTGCGGCTTTGAGCAGTTGATAAGTTCGGACGCCCTCCACTAGTACCAGTTACTCTCCACAACTGATTATATCGGCTTTGAAAGGTCTCTGGTGTGGTTGCTATCGCGTCAACAGTAACAGAAGTATCTTGAACCCTCAATGGCATGTGTATGTCATCACCTGGGTTGAAGATGTACCAAAGGTCGAGAAATTGTATCTTGGTATTGGACTTGTCTTCCAAGCGACACAAGGTTGGCCTGATGTACCGATCCATGAAAATGATCAGACATCGCATGTGTTCAAGTGTCCCTTGGCGGACTTCCCTCTCCGCGGTTAGAAATGACTCGTCGTATCTCACAGGCCTTGACTCAAGGAAAGATCCGTTCTCAGAACCAACAGGAAGCATGTTCGTCTCTGGCGGCATCACCTGTTGTTCCAGAAGCCTGATCGATTCTTTGATTTGAAGATCGTAATAGACCAGGAATTTGAATGGCCGCATCATCACCATTGACGCGCTTGCGTCGATGTGTTCATCCAAACTCTTCAACGTCTTCAGAATTGGTATCGAATTTATTCGTATACGGCTTGGAATAGAGTGTTGTCCACTTGGTCGCTCGGAGTGTTTGGGTTCACTTTTGCCATTGGCTGCACTCACAGCACCTCGGCTCTTCCCATGTCTTCTATCTGGCTTTGTAGCGATTTTTCCTGGTTATAGTAGTCGGGTTCTGACGGTAGTATCTCAAGCGCGTATTCTTTGTTTTCGTTTGTATGCTTATTCATAAACTCGGGCCAGCTTCTCTCACATAATTCTGGGATTATTTGTTGCTGGTCAACACTATCTGTGATTCCGCTTTCAAAGATCACTCCAAGGTCGCTTCTAATGTCTGACCCTGTGGGTTTGCCAGAAATGCTTTAGCGTACTTGGTATCAAAATCTTCAAAATCCATTGTTGCAAGATGCTGCCGACATTCCCTTCCTCCACGTGGGAATAGGTACAATACTGGATTATTGAAGGGCAGAGTAAGGAGCCTTTGGTAGAGTTTCGGGGAGTCTGTCTGAGGCCGCGAAAATACTAACTTGCGACCTGCTGACGGTGGTTGGCAGCAGAGACCCCAGGAACCTCCGATTTTATACCCTGATATTGGGAACTTGGGCCAACATGGCCTAAAGCGCACATGTGAAAGGCGCTCAAGGTTCAAACTCAAGGTTCAAGGATCGAAGAAAATGAGGCATAAGTCGAGAATTGATACACTGATACTGCACAGGTCATTGGTTCATGGTTACGGCTAGAGAAGGCAGCACCAAGGCTGAGAACTGTTTGAAATGCGACCTAGGCACAAAAGGGTCAAGGTTCTTGCTCGGTTCGAGCCATGGGCGGCGAAATTGGCCGGAAACTGTGATCAAAAATGAAGCAAACTGTCAAGGGCAATCTTTCTGTGCTGGATTTGGTCTTGACTCTCGATTGAACGATGATCGGGATTCAAGATCCGCGAATAAATCAAAATAAGTCAGTGCGCCCCACCTCCTTTCTCTGAGAATAACAGAGCCGGATTTTCAAATGAGGTTAGAGCAGGCAACGTGGCCATGGTTGCGGCCCGACCAGTCTGCCTTCTCCTTGCATGTGGTCTCCTGGGCCGTCCGTCGTATTTTTCCTTGCCCCATGGTCTTCCTGGCACCTTTGAGTCCTAGATGATAGGTCATATGTGACATATCTTGGCCGAGTCAACTGGCGGACTGTCAACACGAAAGGTACTCCACGCCCTGCAGTGAGATTGCAAAGATGCAGCGCGGGGCTCGCGGGTCAGTTCGTCGCAGGCTACACGACATGGGCTATATGCGCCCCAAATTGCCCGAGTGTAGATGCGCCTGACAATAGCTATCAGCCTCCCAGGTCGTTCTTGTATCTGCTCCTTCCTTCCTGCCTCTCGGTCTATTTGGAAATGAGATGAGCACGATTCACGAACTCTATAGAGAAGTCAACCCTATACAACCCTTGCCCGCAACTGCCGGCAACCTACAATGGAACATACAGGTGTTTCTTGATCTGTCGACATGGATGATGACAGTCCGGTAGCTTTCAGTGATGAATCCGTCACATATGTGCAAGCTGGAGACAATTCTCTGGAGCAAATGCATACTCCAGAAAATAGACACTGGAAAGTCGCCTCCAAAATCGACGTAGAGGATGGCTACCTAAGACAATGGGCTTCAAAACAGCAGCATGTTTTCCAGTAAGGTGCCACAAAATTGGTCTGAACGAAAGCTTTCCGGCTCTCGGATCATTCATTAATATCATATCAAACCCCTACTGAGTTTATGAAGCCCTCTTACGCATTCACACGCCCAGCAATTCCTCGAAGTGCTGAAAGCATATCAAAACTCGATACAGGAGTCAAAAGCGGGGACCGTCGATCTCTGTGGAACCCATTCCTGGGATGAGGTTATGCGGTTAGTAAAAGACACCGAAGCCGAATATATCAAGGACGGGCAGAGTGGTTTGCGAAGAGTTGGCAGGTTCATAGGACGTCAATCAGAGTCGGTTTCGCCTTATCAGAGACTCATACCAAACGGGTTCTATACTTCAATAGTATGCGGAGACTTAACAGTTGTCTTTGAGCTAAGTCTCGCGCCATTCAGATGTATGCTAAGATTGCTAACATCCAGAACAGGCCGCGTCCCATATTAGTAAAGGGCGTGAGAACGTGGTTGCAACAATTCTAAGGATACCAGACATCATCCTGCAGGTCGAACATTTAGTCGAAAGCTTTTATCCAGATCCAGCTCTCCATGACAAAGCTGAGGCACTGTATCTAGCTATTCTGAAGGCCATTGAGGGAGTAATAGAACGGCTGAAACAACATCCATTTGGTAACTTGCTGTTTTGCTGGATGCTCATATTATACCACTAACGCAATTTTCAGGGAAACAAGCTCGTGCGTTGGCTCGCGGGCAACAATACAATAAGCATTTCAAAGTAAAATTACAACTTCTTGATGAGGCACTACTCGCGCTGCAAGATCGCGCGTCCGTTTTGCGGGACGATGCGATCGTCACCAACCGAAAAAGCACAAATAATGTAGAAGCCATTGTGCAAAAGGTGGCCATTTCTGGTGCAAATGTGGACTCGAGAACGAAGACCACCCTGCCTAAAATCGAAAGTTTACAGCAAGAGACAAAAGACCTGAGATTTTTTGCCGAGCATACGGACGTCCAATTGTCCTTTACTACCAAGGGGGTCAATGCATTCGCAGAAACGCAGAAAACGATGAATGTGAAGATAGATGATGTTCACGCCGCACAAAGAACAACACATGTAAAAATCAGTGATCTCCATGGTGTACAACAGGCAGTTCATCGCAGGGTTGAGACTTTGAGTGATGTACAACTAGCGAAGGAGCAAGCTGCAAAAGCGACGGAGATCTCGCTGGACACGGCTGAGTGTAAGAACCATGAATTAGGAGTCTCGGATCCTGAGCGCAGTGCTGATTATCACTACAGGGAGGAAGAAAGACGGTAGAGACATCTCTCGGTTGAAGAGACAGCTCAAAAGACTCTAAAGGATAACCAGTGGGCTAACACAAGCTGATTTACTAGACATACTCAGCGTCAGTGCCGAAATTCCGATTCAAGATCACAGGCGAATTCACCGAGGATGTCAGTCCTCGGAGCCATCAGACCATCAGATTGCTCGAGGCATTGTTGAAGGACCAAGATTTAGAGAATGGCTCTGCGCTGATGATTCTTCTGCTTTATTCATCGAAGGTGGTCCAGCCCTGGCTTTCCATGGGCAAGCTTCGCTACCACTGATGAGCTGCTTGGCTATCAAGTACTTGGAAGGCAAAGAACCTTCGACGTCAATACACCACTTCTGCAAGCGCCATGTTTCACCGAAAGACCCCATCTAAGGTCCGCAAGGAATGATGAGGAGCCTCATCGGCCAAGTTCTTCGATCTTTTCAAGTAGATCTGGGTTTCACATTCGGGGGTTCGATACCGAGAACAACTTGAGTCACATAATCTCCACATCCTTTGCGATTGCTTTGCACAAGTCGTCAAACAGCTGCCAGCAGAAACGGTATTGTTCTGCATAATTGACAGCATCGACCGCTTCGAGAGGCATGAGTAGGCCGATGATTGCCGATTCATGATTAGGGAACTTCAAGATATCTTACATGAGTATGAATGAGGTCCTGTCTTCAAACTTCTGGTTACCAGCCCGGCCCGGAGTCGATATATCGGAGGAACTTTCACCTCTAAGGACCGTCTATTGTTGTCAGTGAATGGCTTGGGTGGGCGAGATGATCCCACCGAAAGGGAAATGAGCATGGGCAATCGACGGCCAAAGGCAAGAGAAAGTGATGCTTTTCGGTCCTTGAGCAACATGTTCCCTGCGGGAATCAAGGACTCTTCAGATGGGCTATCAGACTCGAGTATTCTTGGGGTTTCGGTCCCGAGTAGTCTCTTTTCTCAGCTTGTTCTAGATTTTATAAATGGGTACCAATGTAATGACTTAAAACTTGCTTCTGTACTTGCTTGCAAGGACGTCTTTCCGACTATGTATTTTAAGGTGGTCTACGTCTATGGCTTTGGGTGTTGGTTCAATAAGAGACTAGGAGTATGTGCCACATAAGTGATTAATGACAAGATTCTACTCAGATCCTTTGTCAGTTCATTGAGGTAGCAGCCGTCCATGCATGTTGAAGGGGTTGGTGAAGGAACGAGTCTCTCCATACCTGCTGTCGTAAGGCTTCCCTAGTTTGCTCGAATGATGTTAGTCCCATCTCTCTGACCAGTTGCTGAAACTGAATTGCAAATAAGCTCTTCTCTGCATGCCCAAAGGCTCCGTTCCAAGATATGAAAAGCACCCACAGTAAAACATCTCGATGAGGCGCCCACCCCGTTCGCAAGTCTGATTTCTGTAAAGAGTCAATAAGGTGAGAGGTTGCCAAATCTATTAGACCCCTTCCTGGAGCCTCACGGATTACGGTGTTCAAATAGATGAACGCCGCATTCCGCCAGCAATTCTGCTGGTGATATATAACTGGGTTTTCCGTGTCATCTTGGCGGTATGGGAAGTCGACGAGGTCGTGCTGGGCAGCAGCAAATCTATCCTCGTAGCAATGGATATCATCCTGCGGGAGTGATTGACTGAATGCTCCGTCTTTAGTTCTATCATCGAGGATATCAGACATCGTTTGGAGGTCACACGCAACTCGAAAGAACGAGTCTGTGAGAAAACTCTGAAGGCAGGTAGACAGGCATTGTATCTTAGAGGACTGGTGGCCAAGTTGTACCGAGCTGCTATACATCGGCAGCCTCGGCCGTCGACCTTCAGTCCAAGCTGCATTAGAATCGATCCTATAATATACACTGTTATATTACCGTAAGCTATTGTAAAGATAGAAACAGCCTACCTTGATAAATGTAGTGCATCAATACGACGGAAAGTCTCAATGCCACCGCGCATCTCTATCAGCTTAATCAAGCCATCATGATGTGCTTTACACGCATCGGGTTCGCCAGAGAAAGAGGCGCATATAACGAGAGTAGCGACCGCCATAATCGTATTAGAGCTTATTATGTCTTTATTTTGCTCGAACCTGTAGTTAATCATACGCATTGCGCTATGCATATAATGAGATGCTTGTTCTTGTTGCAGGTGGATCACATGTTTCATCGTACTAGTCTTCGAGCTGGGTAAGGACATCATTTGGAAGGCTTTGTGATAACCAGCAATCGAACACCACCCATATAGAATCGGTTCATCGTGGAGGTCACTCGATAGTCTCCCCACTGCACTCCTCATCCACTCAAACCTCATCCACGAAAATTGGCCATAAATCATGGGCATGGTGGTGGCAAAGTAGGTACCCACAACTGGTCGCACCCACAACTATTAGCTGGACTGGTTCTCAATCACGCTCAGTTAATTTGGTATCCTTTCACTTACGGTAATGTAACAAGCTTCCAATGCTAGGGCTAAATTCGCGCTCCGACTTGTCCAAGAAGTTGAGAAAAGAAGATTGGAAGACCGAAGTTGGTACACTTGTGCAGAAGGTGGACGAGTTTGCGTGAGGCACGAATTTCACTCGACCACAATGACAGTAGTCAGATTCACTCAACCTATCACTAGAGGGTGCCAATGAAGGTGTGCTTCGGAGTTGAGCCATTTTCAACCTCGCCCCTGGTTTCACCGTCCCTTGATCTCCTGTTGATGGCGAACTCATACAGGGGCACATGCGAGTCTTCGCATCCTGACGCCAGCAGGGACAGGACACCATGGAAGGGGATGAACTACCGCCGGATACAGTGTGTAGCGACTGTTTAGATTTCCGGCGTTGCTGTTGGACACGTCTCATTGCATGGGACCTTATTTGCGATTCCGCTGCCCAGTCCCTTTTCCCAGTCGATGTCTTGACGTTAACAAACGTGTAGGTTTTTGGAACAGTATCCTTGCTTGGAATAGCGCATGTTCTTCCTTCTGAACACTGACCATGCTGTAATGGTGCGGATCTAGGATCCTGCGAATCAGGATTGACATGGCTTTTGAGGCGCGGGAGCGGCTCCTGGAATACATCGATCCCGTGTTCCAATTCTGCAAATTCAATGCCCGTTGATATTAACTGCTGCTCGTTATTATAGTGAGGCATATCCGCTCTGGCTATTGGCGGCAGACGGAATTCAACATCACTATGGAAGCTTTTCATCATATTAGTCAACTCCAAATTTACCCTGTCCATATCGAGAGCAATATCCCTAGTTTGGGATTGACGAAATCAGGTCTTGAAAATACAGGCAACATGCGTTGGGTGGGTGTTTCAAAATTCAAGAGTGATTGAGTGCCCTTACAATCCCAATGCAGAACGGAGGAGTATTGACATCGTTCCTCAACACTGCGGACGTCCTTTGGACTACCATCTCCTAACTACTGACTAGGCGGACAGCACTGCTCTGCAGCCGATTTCGAACTGCCCCAATTCGCTACGACCGGCATCCAGAAAATGAAGTGGGGCCAACCCGTAGCAGCGCTAACATGCAGCTTGTTGAGCTGATGATCTTCGTTGGCAGCAGAAGGCCTGCATTTCCCGCTCCGTCGAGAATGGCGCCTTGTGCTAGGTCGCTAAAGCGCTTTTGGTATTCCGTATAGCGGCCGGAAGTGGAATGGCTGATTCTCAAGTCTCCCATGCTAACCTTGAAACCCTAATGAAATAGTTCAGCGACCAGAATTGGAATGGTTGATTTCCATGCTCTCAGCCTCTAGTACAGTAGCCAGGAAGGGGATAGCTGACTCCCTCGCATAATCTCGTGTCGGAACTCTAGAACAGCGACCAGGAGTGGAATAGCTTATCGCAATGCTCTGTAGTACAGAGATCAGAACTGGATGAGCTGCCTCCTTTGCAGGGTTCTGCCTTTGGACTCTAGGACAACACTTGGAAGTGGGATAGCGGTGTGTATGAACTATTTCGTGTTGTGGATTGCGAGGGACATCTCCAAGAATTTAGAGTATGGCTTAGATGCACCATGGCCCATTCTTTACCTCATTTCTCACTTGCGACTATGACCGTCACCGAACTTCGCTTGCGATGCCGCCTTGTGGCTTAGCAGGAGCAGGAGCGTGGCCTGGCTTGATGTTCATCCAGCTTCGGTCGCGAAAACACGACAACTCCTGGAAAAGCCCTGTTCAACAGATTCACTTCTTTTTTGTCACATGTCTCCATGCGCCCTTTGCACTTCTACTAGTATCTATCAATTTGTTCTGATGATCGGACCTAAATGGATTCAGATGGCCCTGTTAAGTGCCCCGCACTCGCCACTTGCACCAAATTCTTATTTTGCTCGCCCACGTCCTTTGTCCTCGTCAGGTAGGCAACACAATACTTTGCTTTGACGATATTCCATTCATTCAGTGATACTGGCTGCTCTTTCTTTTATTGAGTTCCCCTGCTATTACATGTTGTGTTGTCGTTTACTTCGCCTCTTGATGTGGCCTCGCTTAGCAATACGCCGGTTCTGGTAAGCAATTAGTCACCATAAGTACGCTCGGGCTTGTGAGAGTCGAGTTTTGGATCTCTTACACCAAGTCATCTCTATCTAGGGAATAAAATGGACGACCGAGTTCTATTACGTCCTTTGTGATTATTCTGTTCTTCAATGACCCTGCATTCGATTTTAGACTGTGGTGCTATGTTCATACAAATTACCTGGATTAGCTATAGTGGTTCTCGTTCCTTCCTACATACACAGGATTACAGACCAATGGAAATAGACTCAATTTTGTCTATGCGTGAGATTGGCGAAGGAACTCCTATGCTTATAGTTCATGGCTGGGAGATGGACGGCAAAGTCGAAGAGATAGACTTTGAGCCTATATTTACCAAAGTTCCCGGATTTCGCAGGATTTATGTGGACCTCCCAGGTATGGGAACAACACCAGCAAATAATATCAAAGATCTGGACGACATATATCTCCGCCTGGTGCAATTCATCAAATCACGAATGGGAAAGTCAAAGTTCTTGCTTGTGGGTTCATCATGCGGTGGCTACCTCGCCCGAAACCTCGCCCAAGTGTATCATGGGCAAGTCGATGGCCTTTTATTGCGAGTACCCCTCATCGAACCAGAGGACAGCTTGCGAGATCTCGATACCGTTCAACCATTGGTTGTGAATGAGAAACTCATGTCGAGCATATCAAAGGAGGACAAGGCGCTTCTCGGAAATATTCTCATCCAAACCCCTCCTTATATTGAGTCTCTCAAGGCAAAATATGAAGTCGCTGTACTTCCAGCATTAAAAGCAGCAAAAAGGGACGTGTTGAACCGGATTCGGGCTGACACAAAGCGATATCAGTTATCAGTCGCTTCAAAACACAGAAACTCCAAGTTTCTGGCACCCACACTTATCATATGCGGTCGACAAGACGAGGTCGTAGGCTATCGAGACAGCCTGCGCCTGTTAGAGCTCTACCCGCGATCGACCTACGTCGTTCTAGATCGCGGTCGACATGATCTTCCTATTGATGAGAATGGGGTTTTCGAAGCTCTTGTCAGTGATTGGCTAACTCGAGTTGAGGAGTGGCGCGAACACCGTCCGTTATAAGCATTCAGGACCCAATTGTAGCAGATGGCGCCCAGTACTATCTAACTGCTTCGGTGTAATCCGCGACCTGAGATTTACCTTCGTGACTCATTCGCGTATTCACCTTGTAGAGGCAGTGTTTGATTGCTTCATACTTTTCAAACTGTGCAGTTCTAGGCCCTGGACGAATGACATGACTCGTCGAGCTAATACGTCACAAATTGTCTGGTGGCAGAACCTTTGCAGCCCTTGTATTTACATACAAAGACAGCTCATGCACTTAATCATGCACTTGATACGAGGGGAGGGTTTGCACGGCCGTTGCGGGCGTCATCCGAAGATCTAGCTCGCAACGTTAAAGGGACCTAGTTACAAGGATGAATAAAACGTCAATGTTCCTCCCTCGGTAAAACTCCCTATTGATGTGAGCGGCACATAGAAAGGTCGGGATCCAAACTCGGAGTATAAACAGCCAAGCAATGAGCTCTCATCCCTGCTAGCAACTTGCATGAACTTTGCAGCCAGCTAGCTAAGTAACTAGATATATTGCTAGTTAGTGGATATCCTCAAGGTCTCAAGTCCGACTACTAGGTAAAGTAAGCAACCTGGTGCTAGAGTCCTTTGAAACTTTTGTCAGCATCGTTCAGAAACATGAGTAAGCTGTCTCCCTCTTAAATCCTGTCCGGATATCTTTTTGGAAAAGAAAGTATCAAGCATCGCAATGTCATTTCTTCCATCCCATAGAATCTTCAAGATGATGAGCACCATTCCTCGCCCCTCATGGCTAAATTCGTATGTCCTCAATAATCTCTTCCTGTAGTTACACTTCTAACGGTTGTGCAGCACTTTCACGCAAACTGCTCTAATATCCCTTATCATGTTCTGCTGTTCAGGAATGAATGCAGCAGTCCTTGGACTGGGCGCAGGCGGGAGCCGTGCTGAGATGATTCCTCTCGTGGACCGCATTACAACCGTTGGGTTGGCATTGACAGCAGCGACAGCGATCTTTGGAGGTACATGCACAAACAAATTCGGCCCACGTTTTACAATGTTGCTCGCTACCTGTGGCTACCCGACGTTTGTCGCGGCACTCTGGTGAGTACGAAACTTTGCCGAAATTCCAATACGGGCTGATTGACTCCCATAGGTTACTTGACAAAGGTCAAGCCCAGTGGTTTGCTTGGGTCGCTACTATCTGGCATGGAATTAGTGCTGCAGTCTTTTATCCCGCCGCAGGTATGTATCTAGTCAAGCGACCAAGGCCTGCTAACAAATTCAGGTTTTGTTGTTTCTGCATACTCGTCTGAGAATCACCGAGGTCGGTACATAGCCTCTATGTGGTGTTCACAGAGCCTGGGTAGTATAGTGGGAGGAGGTTTGGCACTATTTCTATAAACCGTGGCTGTGTACTGAGCGACAGTAGGAGTTGTCCTCGGGATCACTTCAAGGACAAGTCGGAGAGCTGCTGGAGTCCCAACTACAGTGTATGCGACTGTCGTTTGCATTCAGACCCTTGGATTTATATTTGCTATGTTCCTCGGAAAACCCTCAGAGATTCGCCGCAAGAACGGACGACAAATCGCGCACTTCAAACTCTTAACGTGGAAAGAGGAGATTCTCGGCCTTCCTAAGACTCTCGGTAGGCCAGAGACACTCCTCTTAGTAGTCCCCCTTTTCGTCATGGGGATGCCGTTCTCATTCCTTGGGTCCTTGAATGGATCATTCTTTAGTGCACGGACGCGCGCCCTGGCAAACGTAAGTTTATCGCCTCCGAAAACTTCCAAGTAGCTGTTAACATCGTACTCCTCAGCTGTGTTACTCGTGTGCCTTCTTTTTGGGCACAGCAGTGACGGCTTACCTTTGTGATAATCAAAAGCTAGGTCGTCGACGACGGAGAGCCATTTTAATTAACTTCCTGATCCTGCTCACCAATGTAGCTGCGTGGTCAGGGATGTTCCACTTTTTGGTAACAAGGCGTATCAACAGAAAGCATCCGTCGCCAAAGGTTGATTGGACTGATGCTGAAGACTTCCTCAAACTGCTGTTTCTCTTTATCGCCATTGGCTTTTCCCAAGCAATGTATCAGTTCTACCATATCTGGCTTTGCTCAACCTTTTCCAACGACCCTCACAAACTTGGGCGATTCAACGGATACATCTCCGCTCTGAGGATGAGCGGTCTAGCCGCTGCTTTTGGCCTTGACTCGCACAAAGTGGACTTTCTGGTTGAGGCAGAAGTGTACTTCACGGTTCTGATGATTGGAGTTGTCTTGGCTCTCATCTCAGCTTATCGGTATACAACGGATACGAATTATGGGAGCGAGGATTCAGTCATTGATCCTGACGATTCAACCACGGCTATTGCTGGCAACGTTAGATCTAGCAGCGATATTGGGGAGGTGATTTACTCAGTGTATCCCCAGAAGGGGTGACCGGAAACTTACTGATCTGACATTGATAGCCAACGAAACGAGCTTAGTGAAATGGGAGAAGTGGTTCAAAACAAGGATGGAAATCTCGCTATAACGAACACTAGCTGCGGGCGCGTTAATAACCCTCCGGGCGCCTCGGTTAAGGTATTATTACTAAGAGCAGAGTAGGAGGAGCGTATAACTCGCACCTCCCACACCGACTTAACTTAGCCTCCTCTCGAGGCTCCGAGTCTCTATGTAGATATCTGATACCGATTGAGCAGGCTCTATTGTTGTGTTTCTATCGAATAGGCTTCCTTGCGAGGCCTCTTACAATGTGTCGTCGTTATTGTAGTTTACAGAACTTACTCCTACTTCTGTAGTTAACCTCGTTAACTTATGTGCTAAAGATTTTCGATAAATCTACTTATATACCTAGAGGCCGAATAGACGGTGAATCTATCACGTGACCCGACCTAGTAACCCCTGCTTATAAGTCTGGGCACCACGTAATGAGACGACCGTGTAATGAGACAGTAGTCTTTTTTGCCACCACAGTGATACAATCATGATTTGCCTATTCTATTGACTCATTGGCACTGAATCAATGTATGAATGGTGCTAGAGTGTCATCTAACTGTCTATTCCGCGTACGATTCCTAGTATTTAAGTGCATAGAAGACCTCGCTGTCGCCTCCAATGCCTCTATACTCTACCTAGCCTGCCTAATCATCTTAGTATTCACAAAGACGTCATTATAGTCAATTGCGACTCGCGGTTGTCTCCTAGCGACTAGCTCATCAAGTATGTAAGCTGAATAGTAAGTTATAACGATTTTAGAGTATTATCCTACTATAGTCGATCCAATACTTTGCCGGTTTTTTAGAGTAGTTGACGGACTGACCGAGAAACGGTCTCACGCCGTGAAATTAATCCGTTTCCTATTAGACTTAGCGTTAATTAAATAGCGTACGAATATCTATCGATTAATATTAGTTTTACCTACGTAACAGCGGCGTTATCAGTAGCATTTAATTAATTTAACTATCTAGTACGATTTAGTGAGATCGAGTGACTTTACGAGGATCTTAAGGATAAATACTAGCTATATTCTATCCTATACGAATACGATATAATAATAAGCCCTTATTACTTATCTTTTTATAACTTTTAAGGAATTTACTCTTCTGAGGATGAAGGTAGCTGGCAGACCTTTGTCGAGGCTGGAGCTACAGTGCTCCCACCTTCCCGTGGCCCATGTATCGGACTGGTAAGTAGTCACTGTTCGCCGTTTGGAATTTCGTGTGGAATGAATGCTAAGTATTAATACGTAGGAGACGGGCCTGCTAGAGGATGGCGAGACACGAGTCTCTCCATCAAATCGCAACTTCAAGGGCCGACTCGGATCAAGACGTGGGTTCTCTTACTCTTTTAATTGTGTTTGTAGCACTTCAGAGGACTAACAGCATAAAGTTGCTCATGCGTACCTTAGTAGCCCCGTGGTTGTGGCTGCGAGCGCCCTGAACGGCGTTCTTTCGGGTCCCGGTGTTTACAAGGTGCCGGACAATTATACTGGCGTAGAGTACGGGTACGGCACCGGAAAACCTGCAACTATCGAAAACGAGCTCGACAATGCCGTTGAACAGCTCGAAAAAGTCTCTCATCGACGGGATTGAGATGGCTGCTCCTATATGATACTGCCCAAGCAGTCACGAACATCCTCCCAGGCTTCCCAACTACGAGCCTAGATCTCCACTCACTGAGTTGCCGTATTTCGCTAAGGGGGCGAGACGAGACTTAGATCAAACACAACCCTCCCAATCACAGGATGCTAGCCAGCGTTCACCTTTGGGGGACCACGGTGGCCGTCGTATAGATATGAGAAGACTTGAACAAAACTGTTCGCATGGTCTTTTCTGGGGAGTCTTTCGCCCTGCCCGGAAAGAAGCTGTCCGTTTGACGCGCGATTTTAAACTTCAGATTGAAGTATGGAAGTCTTCTTGATGGTCGCTCCCATTCAGCGAGGAGTATACCCGATAGTCGGCGATTACTTACCGTGTGGCACTCGAAGCAATCTACCCATATGCCCGTGGAGAGCTTTCAACATTATTTTCACTTCTTTTTGCCAATCACGTTAAGGTCCGTTGCTACGTGGAAGAGTGTTCTCCATGTAGCCACTGTGTTCTGGAGCAGGTGGACTGCCGCGTCACCAAGACAAGAGAGTTGAAGTACGTTGGTACGCTGCTTCCCAACTGCTTCCTACTAACTAATCCATCCGTTAGCAAACGAGCGAAGCTGAACCCTACTATCGCTACTGTGGGACAGAAGACCTCGTTAAATATCACTGCATCTAAATCGGTCATACTAGGTGGCGGCGCTGGTATTGGAACGTCTGATTCTCAGTGACGCTGAGCATGAACTCGGAGCCACTCCTGGAGAACTAGATATACCCCATGAGTAAGATGACTTTTTGTCGTGACTCCAGTTATTCCGGAAGATGATAATCGGGTTAATGCAATTAAGGTTGCATTCGGACCCCATTACAGTGTTGTGATAGTAGACTTGTGGCTGTGACACTGTGAGGTGGCTCTTTTGTCTCCCCTTCATGAAGGAGGATACCAAAAGGCGCAAGTCCTCCATCCATTAAATCTCAATCATGGCATGCAGACAGCAGAGTATAGAGAAATCCCGAAGAATCCATCAAATCTCGACCATAGAACATCGAGCGCTAGTCTTGAAATACGCAGGTAGTCTTTCGATAACCGGGGGATCGCACTGCATGCAAATGAGGTCGTTATCATCCAACAGAATCAGCAACTCTGACCTCACTTGACGAGCTCCAGCGAGCAACGCAATCCATTCCATTTCCGTGCAATATTCAAATTCGATATATGGTCGACTAGACGACAAGCGTTATCAGCATAGCTCATATCGACCTCCTAGGCCCATCTCCAGCCAACTCGAGTCCCCACACCCGAGGCTGTGGAGACCGGAGATGGACAGACCTGGTCGGAAATGGGCTTTTCACTCCGGAGTTGGATCTAGGCTTCCCTTAGAGTTCTATACGCTTACCCTGGACTTCTACTCCGAGCTTTAAAATCCTCTTGCCGACAAATCCGAACCAAGATTGTAAATAATCGTTTCCATAATTGAGCTAAGCGCGACCGAGAACAACTATCAGCCCTCCACCACCATTCGCATTCAGCTTTGCCTTTGTCAGTGATTAGGGGATCGCATTCTATATAAATGTGACTTCGCCACTATGCAAACCCCGCCGTATTAAGAGATCTCCCCATCTCGAGCTTTCCGGTTTTCCATTGACCACATCCCTCCTTTTGCAAAATATTTGCGATGCCTGGTCTTGAGGATCAAAAGAGTCCCAGCATGGAGGCTACTGCACAAGACGAGATGCAGAAGATGCAATCGACCGCCCAAGGAACCGTCAGTGATATCCAACTGGATCCAGCACTCGAGAAGCAGACCCTGAGGAGATTCGACCTTTTCCTCCTGCCCCAGATTGCCATTTTGATCATTATCGGATATCTCGATCGGACAAATGTCGGTACGTTCTCTCTCGTCGACGACTAGCTAGAAGGCAGTCTTAAAAGAGATGTCCCTGATTAATCTCTCCTGTGCACAGGCAATGCTGTGATCTTCGGGTTCGCAAAGGACATCAACCTGAAGGGCAAAGAGTTCAACAATCTCGTCACGCTCTTTTACGTCACATACATAGTCTTCGACATCCCCTGGGTCGTCTGCATCAAACGGTACGGCGCAAACAGAGTCCTAGGCGTCGCGCTGCTAGGATGGAGCGCAGCGACTCTGGGGACTGGGTTTGTCCACAACTACCATCAAGCTCTGGCATGCCGGTTATTGCTGGGCTTCTTTGAAGCAGGGCTATTGCCCTGTATGGTCTTCATCATCTCTACCATTTGGAACAAGAAGCAGCAGGGAAAACGCATCGCCGTTATATACTGCGCGACTACCATCTCCGGTGCGTTTGGTGGATTGTTTGCGTATGGCGTTCAGCAGATGGGCCACAAGCATGGCTTGGAAGCCTGGAGATGGCTGTTCATCATCGAAGGCATCATATCGTTTGTGGTCGGGGGCTTGTGCTGGGTTACCATGCCGTACAGCGCTGAGAAGGCCTGGTTCTTGAACAAGGAGCAGGCTGGGTTGATGCTGTTGAAGAAGCAACGGGACCTGCTGTACAAAGGAGAGGATGAGTTCAAGCCAAAATACGCTTGGGCTGCAGCGACAGACCCACTGGTCTATCTTGTTGCATTTTCCTTGTTCTCCTCCTCACTACCGCTGCTGGGCTTCGGGACATTTTTGCCTACGATCATCCGTGGTCTTGGGTATGCGATCCTTCCACCAGACGTTCAAACTGAAATCTTCTAATGCATTCACAGATACACCTCGATCCAAGCCAACTACCTCACCATTCCGGTGTACGCGCTCGCAACAGGGACCGTTGCCCTGATGGCATGGTTGTCCGACCGACTCCACAAACGGGCCTTCTGCCTCTTGATAGTACCAATTCCCGTACTGATCGGCTATTCCATCGCCATCGGCAGCTCCAACATCGGAGCTGGCTATTTCGCCATGTTCCTCTGCGGCGCTGGCATCTATCCCTACAATTGCCTCATGCTCACCTGGATCTCCAGCAACCTGGCGCCAGACTACAAGCGCAGTGTGGGCATACCGCTTGCGGCTACTATTGCGAATGTCTCTGGCATCCTCTCTGGACAAATATACCCCGCCACAGATGCACCACGCTATGTCAGTGGTAACGCTGTAAGCTTGGGGTTAGAGTTTGTGGCCTTCTGTGGGATCATTGCGATATATTGCTTGTTGAAATGGCGGAACAATAAGAAAGAGATGATCCTGGCTAGTGGTGTCGAGAGCAATGGGAAAGAGGGAGACGCTAGTCTTGAGTTTAAACATATCTTGTAGGCGAGACTCAGTGCCCTCATGCTAGAACGGTCTGATATGGGTGAAGACGTGCGAGCGGCGATTGAGAAGAGCATTATCTATAGTTCTTCGGCTCTGGGACCATAAGCTACTCAATAAAATGCCAAAAAGGTCTACTCGGCCCAAACGATTATCTAGCATGTGCGAGCCATTTTGTGAGGTCTTCAAGACTATTAACTTGGGTGAGGAAAATTTGAACCAAAAGAAAAGTGGTGAGAGCCTTGCTGTTGCCAGTAGGTTCAGACCTTCAAGCGTAACAGAAAAGTTGACGGCAATCAATGCTATCATCTTGATTCAGAAGCCGCTAGCCACGTAATGCTTCCTGCCAGATGATGCACCCCTCCACGACTTCATATACTGTCAAAGATATTACTCGCACCAGTCCTTGCAGGCCACACAGTTGAAATTTCAACAACGCTCATCGATAAGCCAATGTCAAGAGCTAGCTGTTGAGAAAATTTGAAATCAAAACGCACTGAAAATCTTGCCCAAAAAATAACACGCGCCATTTCTTCTCGTGAAGAGTTCCCCAGACGCTAGGATTAAAGTATTGCTAAACGCTAAGAATAAAGGCTGGGATCAGGTTGCTAAATAAAATAGAGTAGCAGACAATCGGAAACGAAATGCGTCCCATCTCTAGAAAGTCCGTAAGTCCATCTCTTCGGAATCGGGTGAGGGTGGCTGTTGCAGACGGACATGCACCAACTCGCAGACATAGCAAATCCATAAATTCGTTCCAAAATACTCAGGCAGTGGGGAACCTGTCTGTAAACTGTAGGATGCGGCGTAATTGTGTTTCAATCTCAGCACATTCATCGAATCAGCATCTGCGATTGAGGTATGCTTGCCGAGTCACCGTTGCACTATGGCTAGAAAACCGCCGGTTGCCACCAGCTGCCACGATTGTCCTTAGGTTGCTGGGAATTTTCATCTGCCGACGTTGCGTCCTCTTCCACGTTGTGAGAAACCTTGTTCGCTGTGCTTAGTGTCTCAGAGTCGGCAGCCTTCGACATGATGTTCGGGATTGTTGGAGAGTCTACATCAATGATGCGCAGAAATAGCTTGAATCAGTCCGGAGCTGGAAATTTTCTCAATGGAACAATTCTTGTTCCAGGACAGATCATTGGATTATAAATTTAAAAATGACATACCAAGACCTTTCTCTTCTTGACCGTGCTGCCCGTTAATGCCAATGTTGGGCAGCTGGGGCGGATCTTCGCCTTTGGGTGTATCTTTTGCTGGTAGCGGCGGTGGAACGGGTGAAGCGTCATCGTTCTCTGGGGTCAAAACTTTCTCCTCGCTTGCATCTTGAAACATCACGTCGCCTTCCTGCGAAGTGTCGGGCTCCGGATCTAGGGGGGTGGCATTCGTCTCTGAACTGGGCGCGGCGGCGGCAGCAGCGGCAGCAGCATCGGCTCGTTTCTTCTCCAACTCTGCTGCACGAGCTGCCTGGCGTTCAAAATTCTCTTTCCTGGCTTGCTCATCTTTTAATTTGCGTCTTCGTTCGACCTCATCCATGCCTCCAGTTTTCTTGAGTTTCCCCTCTTCCACGAAGAGCTCGACCTCACGCTGAAACTCGCCTACTTTACGGGTTTCGAGCTCCCGTTGGCGGGCCTTTTCTGCTCGCTCAATTGCCTCAAGACGATTTTCATGGTTCGGTTGTAGCGCTCTCACTTCGTCCAACATTCCGGTCTTAGCCTCATGGGGATCGACAAGAGTATCAAAAGCAAGACTTCTGGACGGGTTACGTCCAACAGTCCCAGCAGCCTGGAGATTTTGCTGTTTGGTAGCCTCCTCAACCAACTTGAAAACACTTGTGATGTCTTCAAGATCACCGTCCAAGTCATTCATCAATTCATCCTGCTGGGTCAAGTCATCTCTTTCCATCATGACCACTTGCAATTCTTGTTCCCATATCTTAGTCCAAATTGGCTTCTCGCGCCTAACAAATTCCTTGACTTTAGCGAGCTGTTTAGCGGTGGCACTGATGTCCTTGCTTATATCCTCAAGCACACGTGGCAGAGGTCTGACCCCACGTGACACAACATCTTTGCGTAATTCTTCCACGACATCAGATAGGTCATCGACCCGATTGACCAGTGCCTCTGAATCAGTAGACAGAGTTTTCTTTCCGGTGTTGATGTGATCACGACCAGCATCACCTTTGAACGAAGCATTGGCAGCATCTGTAGCGGCTGCTTTGACCGAAGATGCTTTGGCTTTAATCTCATTCATCGATGCGGCGAAATCAGACGACATTGACGAGTATGTCTGGCGCAAGACGGCAATTTCTCGGCGAAGGCTTTGAATTTCTTGCAAAGAGGATTCTGATGTGGCGCTCGATTTGAAGCTACCAGAGGCAAGAGTGGGTGTTCGTGATGGCTGTTGACCGGGCACTGCAGACATTCGGGCCATCTCTTTGGAAGTCTCCAACTGCCGGTCCGAAAACCTTTGCATCAAGGTACTTTGCCCTTCCAATAACTGCTTTACCCCGTCCAAAGTTTTCGAGAGCCCCCCGAGTCCTTCATCGATATGTTTCTTAACCTCATCGAGATCTTCAACGTTCAGCACGAGAACACATCTGTCCTTAACGTCTGCTAAGTCCTCTAGCTCATGTCTGACCCCAGAAACAGGATCCTGGATGTAAATTTCCGGGAGGTCCACACTATTGTGTTGGTTATTCCATGCAAATTTCTCGATGAATGCCAATTGAAGTCTAGGGATTGTGAGCTCGTCGTAGCCATCCGCAAGCACAAACTTCTTGATCTTGGTCCGATATTGCAAAAATAGGGTCAACTCCTTGCCTTGTGGAGGAGATGAGTCCAATGTGAGGACTTGAGACTGCGGGGGGGTGATATTGTCCCTTGGCTTCCGTTGAACAGTTTCAGGAGTGCTTTCGTCCAAAGCCTCAGCAGAATCATTGTGATCAGGAGGTTGAGGAGGGGCAAGCTGAGCGTCAAGGGAAGGAGCTGTGGGCACTTCATCCGGTCCAGGACTGAGAGGTCCATTGACGGTTGCGCCGACCACGATTTGATCAGAACCGTCATTCTGATGATTCCGAGGTTGTAAATACTCGTCAGGTGTCTTGACAGTAGGGCTGTCGAGATTCGCCGATTCTTCCGGAGGTTGTATCCGCGGCGTTGCATCCAAAGATAAGACCGGGGTTTCCTCACGCTCCTCTGAGATTCTTTGGGGAGTCTTAATAGTCCCACTTCTACTTGGAGAGACATCTCCATGTCTCACGGATTTTGATCTCGATTGTTGGTAGGAGCTTCTGGATCGAACCGCGGTCAGAGACTCCCGGACTTCCTTTCCACGATTAGGGATAGGGGAGTTCTGAGTGGAGGGTATCATGGGTACACCATTAGGAGAAGTACCCAGATGTTTTTGTATTTGGTAGGCAGAGAATCTTCTTGAAGCTCTCCTCTCCAAGTCACCCCCGCGTTGCAACCTAGCGAGAGCATCTGTTTGTTTCGGCGGGGGCGGAGGTGGGTGAGGGAATGCAATTGCAGGCATAGTCGGTGCTGGAGAAGATTGGTCTTGGTCACGAAATGGTGGCAAGACAGGGATATTGTGCGCCGTGGTACTCGACAGGGTAGAAGAATCTTCAGACAGTGGAATTGGGGCGGCGGGATCGCGTCTTATCGAGTGCCGATTTATTGCTGGTCGACTAGCCTGTTGCGCGGCGGAAGGATTGGGGAGCTGGAAGGGTTGCTGTTCAACGGCTTGCTGTGTTTCCTGCGGCGTTTGGGCACGCATACTTGATGTGGCGCTCGGAATGTCTTCGAGCATATGGGTCAGGCCCGTCTCATTGCTTCCAGTGGTCGACACACTGGCTTGTCTAGGCTGAGTAGCCGACGGCTTTGCTTGGGGGGCCGTGATTGCATCCTTTGTCCCTCGCCCCCGTAATCTGCTCTGTTTTCTCTTGAGGCCATGTAGGAGATTGATGATTATATCACGAATCCGAGGTAGGTAGTTGTCAAGGGCCTGTGGCGAAGCTGCTTGACTGAGGGTATCCTCAAGAATGCTCCGCAGGAGGTCAGGAACAGGACCAAGGTCAGAGGTTTCGACACCGATGGAGTTGAAAGCACGGCAGGCGAGATTGAACTCGTAGCCCAGACGAACGTAGACATCTGACACCTCCTCTTCTTGTGCCTGACCGCGGGACCATTGTGTTAATGTCTCAAGTAATTGTTTTGTCGCGACCAGAAGATGGGTGACGCTCTTCTCGATCTGGGAGATCTGTTTGTCGGGCTAATGAGAGAAGTCAGGTTAGTGTCCATGTGCAACGAGACTTGAGAAGGGCGACCAACATTTGTGGTTCGGGAACGACCTGAGCCAGATGTATTTCTGACCTGGGGGCCCGAGACTGAACCAGATTGATTCTGAGATGTCATCTCGTCCAAGAGGTTCTGTTGTCTTCGCTGTGAGGGGGTTGGTCGTTGAGCTGAGGTCGACGGTAGCATCACGGAGAGCGGCGCGGACGAGTCCTTCAGCAAGTCATGATACAATTGAGCGGGAGCGATCACTGCTCTATGCAATGAGGCTACATAGACACCTGGGACTGGTCGCCTTCAGACGTAGGCTTGCTTGGTGAATAACGATCTGGAGCTTTGAGGAGGCTGCATGGGGGAAGACTTTTTTGGGGCAAGTGCCACTTTTGACTTGGGTTAGGCTTTCGTCCCGACTCTCGAGGAAAGTACGCCAAGAATAGGAGTAAGGGTTCCCGACAGAAGGGACGATCTCTATTTCTTAGTAGTATTCATTACTCGTGTACATACGGATACACGAGACAGCTTACTCAGACTCAGCCTTACTCTGTGACACGTATCTCATCTATATTCGTCCAGGTTTGTTCTAGAGAATTACTACAGTGACATCTAGTGCCAGTGTTGCGCCGATGGTCTTGGTGGTGTTGATGGTCCGATCCCATTTGGTTGTGGTCAGGCTGACCTCTTTTGGAACAATTCAATGCATCACTCGGAGACAGTGACGCCAAACGTGATCTCCTCACATCACATGCATGTTTTGCTCACGTGGAGTCGTTTGACAAGGGTCTAATTAGCAAAATGTCATGGCCAGATCGGAAGCTCAACACTGTGTATTTTCTTGATTGTCCTTGCCATCCAGGGCAGGTCATTATCGACGCGCTCGACAGCGTATACTAGTTCTGCTTCTTGGATGCAGCCTATAACGATGTCGCTCGTCAACTGCTGTTCTCCTGTCGACTGCCCACGCACGCCTTCCACGTGGACTTTCCACCTCTATAATCGTACAGCCGTGGCTTGGCGTCGCTATCCACTTGGAAGCAATGATTGCAGTTTCCCCCCAGCGCCGATGCTCTAAGTCATAACGCGTCCATAAATGATAACCCGGAAAGTTGGTCGGTTTCTGTCTCGATACCGTGAGACTGACATCTAGTTCGCAACACCGTTGGCGTGTTCGTACTCCTTCAGCTTTTGTCGCACCAAAGCCAGTGCGTTTCTCTGCACCTCTTCCTTGTCGTTTCTCACATCCACACGAAGAACATCCCACTCCTGGTCCTCTTCGGGTTCCTCGAGCGCAGCCATCTGGCTATGTACCATGCCTTCTTTCATGTAATGACCCACCCGTTCCTTGACGCGTTGTTGCAGGGTTTGCTCGTCGACCTTGAGATAGATGAAGTGTACCTGTACTGACGGGTGCTCGTAGTTCGCCACTCGAATGACGTCTCGGTATTTGTGCTTAAGCGCAGAGCATGTCACAATGACGGAGTTACTCGTTCGGAGCTGTTTGATGGCTTCCTCTCTGAGAGTGATCAACCAGTCCCACCGATCCGCATCTGTGAGAGGATGGCCCTCGGCCATTTTTTGCTTGTTGGCCACAGGGTGGAACTGTCCATGATCGTGAGTACAACTGGGATGGATGAGGGTGGACTCTCACTTACATCATCGCCTTCAACATAGGGTAGTCCCAGCGTTTCAGCCAAATGCTGAGCAACAGTGGTCTTTCCGCACCCTGCAGGGCCAGTGACGATCCAGATGTGCTCTACATGATCTGGGTCCGATTCCATGTTCCTTGAGATTGCCTGAGGAGATGGGGTGGCCACTCGGAAAGGATAGCGGAGGGCGTGAGATCGTGAGGTGCGTTCTGCGGATAGCATGGTTGGGAAGTTATTTGGGGGCAGATGATGTCACACTCCAGGACAGACGGATGCACGAGGCCACCAACAGCGGCCACACGAGCAGTCAAGATGACAGAAAGCAAACGCCGTGGTGCTCAATACAAGGGAGTAGGGAATGAGAAGGAGGAGGAGAACAAGAAGAGAGATGGACTTACGGGTCGCGTTTAAGTTGCGGAGGCTCAGCTTGTGTCTGATGCAACACAATTTGTTCTGACCTGAGGGGCAAAAACGGTCAACAGCCTGAGGGTCTTCTCTTCTTGTCTCGTGTTCGGCGTGACTGCTACCATCTGGGAAAGAAAACAGGCTGAATGCCGCATCCGCGGGATCAGAGCAAAGGACCGTAAGAGGCGATACCCCACACTAGTGAAAGCCAGTGACGGGGGAGACGGATGAAAAGGCTCATGGCATGGCAATTTTTGGCATGCAGGACAAGTCCAAGGAGACGGAGAACGAAAGGGGCATTGACGGTACACGGTACGGCTGGGTGCGGGTGGAATAGCGGTGGTAGCCCACCCTGGAAAGTCGAAATGCGGGCAGCGAGTCAACTTGATCCAAAATGAAGTTCACACGAGTTCCGAACAAGATTGCGGGGGGCTGCAGCACCAGTTTTCCCTGGCCATTGGTAGCCTAGAGGCTGGGGATGCCTAGGGCGGCCAAGCGCAGCCATGGAGTGCCCTTGCCAGATCGGCGCCATGGTGACGAGTTGGCGGGTGCTCCTGCAGTTTTTGCTCTCCCTCGGCATTTGCTGTGGCTGAAGCTGCTGACTCCTGAGGCCGGACGGATTATTATTTCTCCAGTAGCCGATGGGGGAGTTGCTGGAAACCTGACGCTATTTCTGCCCTGGTTGTCAGCCGGACAGTATTAGTAGTTGAGTTGGTGAATTGAGACCTGGCTTCGTGAGAAATATAGTTTGGTGACTTCTTGTGTTTGATGCTTCACTTGTCCTACCTGGTAGCAGATGGATAGGTGTGTTCAGTCCCGAGGAGGAGCGCGTGGGGGTCCGCTTCATGACAGCAAACATCTGGTTTGGGCCACCTTGGTTTCAAACTCAGTCGTCATCATGACTTCCCAATGCACTTACGGGATATCCTGCGTACGCGAGTGCCAGCCTCTTGCTGGACATGAGTGCTTGGGCGCCTGGGTACGTAGGATTGAGATAGGAATTTTATGGGAAGTCGTGCCAGTAGGAAGCCCTGCACGTGTCTTTTGGAGAAGGAGGCTGGACAACCCTTGGCATCAAATGGACGCAGCCTGCGGAGAGCTGCACTTGTGCCTTCCCCTACAATGCCATCTAGAAGATCCATCGTAATCGCGTATCTGACCTCATTGCACCCAGCACCCTATCCCCGATGAATCGATTCCTTGGAGTCGCATAGACAGTTTCCGAGTCTACGCATTTTATCCCTCTCCAAAATGTCCTCGTTCTTCTTCTCCACCCCAGTCGATATCGATATTGTCCTCGAGGATACCGACGGCCGCCAGACTGTTGATGTCAAGCTTGATAAGAACCGAAGGGAGAAGGCCCCTTTGTACCTCGACGGAGAATCAGTGAAAGGAGCTGTGACCATAAGACCCAAGGATGGAAGACGATTAGAGCACACCGGCATCAAAGTCCAATTCATTGGCTTAATCGGTACGCTTCCCTCGCTGCCTATGCATGCTCAATTTGCGGTCAGACCGCATCGACTTCTAGATTCTTACTCTCCTCTGCAGAAATGTTCTTCGATCGCGGCAACCATTATGAGTTTCTCTCTCTTGGCCAGGAACTCGCTGCCCCCGGCGAACTTCAGCACCCCCAGACATTCCCATTCAACTTCAAAAACGTCGAGAAGCAGTACGAATCATACAACGGTATCAATGTCAAACTCCGCTACTTTGTGAGAGTGACTGTGTCAAGGCGGATGGCAGATGTGATTCGAGAGAAGGACATATGGGTCTACTCATACCGGATACCACCAGAGACCAACAGTTCCATCAAGATGGACGTCGGCATCGAGGACTGTTTGCACATTGAGTTCGAATACTCCAAGAGCAAATATCACCTTAAAGATGTGATTGTTGGCCGCATATACTTCTTGCTGGTCAGATTGAAGATCAAACATATGGAATTGTCCATCATTCGACGAGAAACAACCGGTGTCGCACCAAACCAGTACAATGAAAGCGAGACGCTGGTGAGATTCGAGGTACGAGCGATGCTTGACTACCCACACGCCCATGCATGTGCTAACCCCTTCAGATCATGGATGGCTCACCCTCACGAGGTCCGTATTGTCCCCAAAGTGATAACTGTTATTGTAGTTCCAAGGGCCAGGCGCTCAAGCACTGTAACCGGGCGGCCGGAACACTATGCTGACAGTACGAGCAGGAGAGACCATTCCCATCCGCCTGTTCCTCGGAGGTTTCGACTTGACACCAACGTTCCGAGAAGTCAACAAGAAATACTCCACGAGATATTACTTGAGTTTAGTCCTGATTGACGAAGGTGAGCCCGGATATGGTTTCCATCCTGCCCGCGTTCAAGCCACACTGCCCTCTTGCCCTGAACCCCCATTGTGGCTTTGCGCTGACCCCCCGGACCACCCCCATCGGCAAAGCGACCATTTGCCCCCACGTTAGCCGGAGTCTAGTCGGTTGCACTTCGGAGCAATCCCTCCCGCACCCAAAATATCACTCAGTGGTCCCGACGGAAGATCCGTTACCTCAGCCCTGTACCTAAACGCACAAAACCTCAACATTTGGTAACTCACGCATTTACTAACGTTGAATTCTAGATGCTCGCCGTTACTTCAAACAGTCCGAGATCGTGCTGTACCGGCAGGCACCGGACACGGCACCGCAACTCGCCATTGACAACCCCAGTGTCGGTGGCAAGCATCCGATTCAGTCCATTCCCACACCTGCCTAGCTAGATCATGGGGAATGAATCGACTTGCTTTCTTTCTCAGTCAAACATACCTGTGATGACTCAATCAGGCAATCTCCGGCGGCTGTCAGCGGGGTTTCATTATCACCCAGCTTCCTGACTATTCGTCCAAAATGTGGAAGAGGTAGGGTTACCGCCATTGGCACTACCCAGCACTCCGAACAGGATCCGAACTTGGCGGTGAGATGGATGTCCACGTGGTTGTGGTTGAAGTTCGGACGGAAATATATGCGGCTCGGAAAAGGCCCAGTCAAGAGAAAGCCCTTGCTCTAGTTGCTATGTCACAATGTAGGAACCCACGGCCAAGTGGCTCCATAATATGGTCACTGGACACGTGCAGTCATGGCTAGGGTATGTCACCAGCCTCAGGCACCCTCAGCTCTAGGCGGACACTGGTTGCACGATTGGAGTGCTCGATGTCTCTGTTCATACCCATAGCCTCGACAGACATGTGTCGACTTTCTTTCATATTCCTGCGCTGCCACTCCTCACGGCAAACTCGCATCCAGCAAATAATGTCTAGAAAACAGAAGCAGAGAAAAGCCTGTCATTGTCTCCTGCCCAGAAGCCAACCGTGCGTTGCCACTTTCACTAACTAATAACTTGTCTATCTGAATGGATTTCAGTCGTACCACCGCTAACATCCCTCCCCTCGTAAACCGGCGTTTGAACCGTCTTCTCTCCCCAAGGCGTAGGTTCAAACACCCCAACCTTCACCCACAGCCTCACTCCACCTGCTGAGCGCATCGTCAATAGCCCGCCCCGCCTCGTCGGCCTGCCATGCACCCTCACCCTTCAACCGGGGAAGAGCGCGCCAGAACTGCGACACGCGCAGCAAGAACGAGTATAGGATGCGGAGGTGCTCTTTGCCATCGTCGTCGTTCTCGTCGTCGTAGTCGTCATAGTGATGGTCTTGACCGCCACTAACAAGTGCTGTACCGCCATCCGAATGCTGCGAAGCAGCAACTCCAGCAAAAGCACGACCGTCGCTCCTAAGCTCCACGAACCTGGTCAGCACAGTCTGCAGCTCGCCCTGCTGGAGAGGTGGCGGCGGCGTCAGCCCGCGCAGGCGCTGGTCCGAAAGCAGCGTCTTCAGCGGATGCACGACGCGGAGGAGCAGATATGGCGCCGCATTGCGAGCTAGACGATGCGAAAGCGAATGTGAGGGCGAAAATCTGGATCTAGCTCTAGGTTTACCACCATCATTCCCGTCTTGCTGGTTGGCTTGCTTAGCGACAAGGCCAAACAGCGCGTCGAGAGCGGCACAGCATATCCTCCTCCGCACCGCGAAGACGGGCTTATGCACGGTCCCGGCCCGGAGATCCGTCAGGCCCTTCAACGGATCGCGGTCGAGGTCGGCTGGCAGATCGTAGAACCAGGGCTTCGCGATCAGCGATGCATTGAAGATCACTATGGCATATTTGGTGCACGCAGAATTCTCGACGCATTCGTGCTGGAAAAGCGATACGACGCACTTGTGCAGACGTTGGAATTGAGAGATATCGAATGATTCGTCTTCGAGAAGTATTTCTGGCTTCTGCTTCGTTGGGGGGTTGGACAGGCCGCCGGGGCTGAGGATGTTGGATGTCAACGGGATGAGTGAGTCTGCCATGCCACTGACGAGCGCCTCGTCTGGCATTTTCCCTGCTTTTGAGTTCTCTTTCGTGATGGCCTCCAGCATGACCACTGCTGTGATGGTGGCGTTTCGCCAGAGTGGAGCGTCGTTATTGCTTGGTAGGTCGGTGTATTTTGTGCGTATCAGGGCGGATAAAATGTTGAACGATGCTTCGACCAGTTGGTGGTGAATGAATCCCCCTCCCTGCGTAAACTCTAAAACCATTGACCGGAGGATATCCAGGCATGCAGATGCGAATGCAATAAAGGTTGGTCGCTGCACAGATTTCATAATCGCCGACTTCTTGGTTGCATTTACTCTTCCGTTCGCAATCATCAGCATTGACCGCTCGAGATGCAGGAGATGTTGACAATAAATGTCCATGGCACCGGGCAGGAGCGTCCTCAGGATTGAGAGGCATTCAAGCACTTCTGTTTGTTCTATCGATGGAGTCTTGACATCACTGGTGTACGGAGGATGGCTGGAAAGGAGAATGGTACGTTCGATGGCTTTGCCGAGTATGGCCTCGACTTGCGCTCCGTTGTGCTCATACTTTTGGACCGCTGAAGGACATGTCTTGTATGCTTGAACGAATGTGCGAGCGTGGGCACTGAATGCAAATTGATTAGGGACTTGCTCTTTCGAGTCCTGGATGTCGGCTGGGTGATATGTGCTCCATATCCGTAGTACTGGTGTAAGTAAAGCATCGTCAAATTTCCCGAGTAGTGGAATTGTCGACAGTAGGCTGTTGATATTTGCAAAAGCTAGAGAAGCGGCGCTGAGGGATTTTGTGTTCAGTACGGCTTCAAAGACGTCCATCAGACAGTCCCATGTATTTGCAAAGGTCTGATGTTTCGCTATAACATTTAGGTTTTGCGTTATGATCAATACGATTCCTTCGGTCAACTGTGCCACGGACGACATCCAATCTCCTTGATCGTGGTCTTTGTTCTTGCCTTGATCGAGAGCGAAGCGAATGATACTAAACGGACCACTGACCAGCACTGTAGCCCATGCATTTGCAGTGAGACTCTCACTGGATGCCTCAAGAGTCTTCAAGAGTATCCTGGTGGCAGCATTGCGGATATCGCCTCGCTCGTCACCACAGAGTTTGAGAAGCTCTGCCACTGTAATGGACCATAGCAACTCCGTACCGGCTGCACCTTCTAATGACTCGATGTCTTCTAGCACGGTTGGACTTATAGGCAGCTGGGCTGATCCAATTGTTTCGAGCCTAGTCAAGGTTTGAGATGCAAGACTCCACAGCAGAGTAGTGCTTGTGAGTGCCACGTTCACATCAAAATTCTGGCTACCAAAATCGCGAAGTAGCTGAGCCAATTTTGCCAGGGACTCTACCGTGAGAACACTTAGGAAGTCAGACGTGATCAATTGAATTGACCTGAAACCCACACGGAGAATCTGAGCATTCTTTTCTTTCAGTTCAATCATATCGGTCGAGAGATTAGATAGACTCCCTGCGTCATTTGCCAATTTCGCGAAAGACAAAGACAAAATGTCCAGAGCGATCGGCCAGCTGTCACGTAAAGCGTCTCCACTATGACTGAGCATACTTTCAAGTGCGTCAAGTAGCCTCTTGTGGATCTCGTACTGAACATCATCTTGGTGATCCAGATCTGAAGAAGTCAATACCTGGAGTTGTTTCATCAGGGCTTCCAGGCACCAAATCCTGACGACATCCTGATCTTTCACGCTATGGTTTGCATCATCAAGTAACTTGACAGTTTCCATGGCTATCAGGTCAACCACGCTTGCAGATTGAATTCGATGACCATCAGACACAGAATGATTCTGGCATAGCTTGAGCAATCTAGAAGTAATCAGGTCCCATGAATAATCATGCTCCTGAGACAGCGTGAAACGGTAAAGATTAATGCGTGAAATTTCACTTATCTTGCTGAGCACAAAACTAATTTCCATATCCAACGTTTTCGATTTGGTCCATAGACCAGAGACACTTCGACTGGCATGATGTGTTGGTCGTGATGCCTCCAACTTGGTGGAAGACGTAGGTGAAGAAATGATTACTTGGCCAGCTTGTGCTCCGCCTTCTGGCTTGTCCTGGCCGAGCAGTCGGAAAAGTGCGTTGACGAGATTAGCGAATGGTGCGGCATTATAACCACGGGTACTTTCAAGCATACGCTTAGTCGCCGCCTGAACAGCAGCAATCTCGCTCGCCAATGTGGTCTGGCTTTCGTGGCCGGTTGTACCTATCTTAGGCGTCCCTCCTTGTGAGGCTGTGGACAGTGTCGTCGGAATGGCGATCAATGCTTCGACATGCTGCATGGTTTCTATCAAGATGAACCAAGCACCTTTTTCTAGGGTAGGGCCCAGCGCAATTCCCAAATTCAATAAAGCCCTCAGACAAAGAAGGTGCCGAACATTGAGTGGTGAGCTACTGGCTTGGTGCGTTGGTGTTGGAGGAGGCTCCCGGGGGGGGTGGAGACTTTCAGTCGGGTCGTCCAATTCCTCGATATCCGTGGATTTGGCTGTTTTAGAACCTTGATAGGCTGCTATGACACTACTAGCATTTGCAGGTATAGATGCTTTAGCCAGGGTTGTGAGCAAAGCATCTCGAGGTGTGGACAGTTCCAAAACCCCGGAGACCTGGGCAAGCTTTTGAACTGACCTGATCAATATGTGATAGAATTCGGAATCCAATGCGGAGTTCAAGAATGTCGAGCATATTGCAAGAGCCGCAGGCCAACAAGCCTCGACCATTGCAGCGCAGAGCTGAATTTGGGCAAGTGACGTATTTTTCGAAAGCTGGAGAGGATTCACAAGTCGTTGATACTTTTGAGACGAAGTGGAAGACCTTGATGGTTTGCGTGCTGGTCCATCATCTCTCGCATCGGTTGCTAAATTGTTGCCCCTACTATCCTCGCCTGAGTCACGACGAGAAGACCGGGTTGGTACGCTCAATGGCATGACAAATCTGGAAAGTCCGTCACAGAAGGAAGCAGTACATTCAAGGACCAGGGTGTACACGTATGTGCTGGGGATGGCAGGAGCGACGTGCTTTTCAGGTTGCTTCAGTAAGGGAGTGGTTACCACGCTCCATTCTGTGCTCAACCCGATAGTGGTCAAGTCTGCCGATGATACGGAGGTAATAGCACCCCCGAGACCCTGAGCCTCGATGGATGCGACTTCATCCCCTCTCAAATCATTTCCACGATAGACGGGAATAGTCGATTGGCGACCGAGGCCGATCAAAGAGGGGTCCTCAGCAGCAACCCTAACAAACGAACTCAACAAGAGGCCGATGACGCTTGATTTGCCAGTAGAATCGAATAACTCAAAAAGCTTTCTGAGTGTGCTGAAATCGGCAAAAATCTCGCGAAAGAACTCCAGATATAGCGCTCGTTTCCACAATATATTGCCATCTTTCTCAAGGGAGCTGATGAGGGAGGCTATGATAGGTTGTAGCTGTTCCTGGAGAATATCTGCGGATGCCTGGACTAGAAGGAGGAGAATCGCAATAGCACGCACTGACGTACCAAAGCCATCTTTCCGGGCTATCTGCCTGGAAAGACCCGGCAATAGATTTTCCCGGCAAGCTTGCACCAGCTCCAGCTGTGAAACGAGGAATGAGCTGTGGTTTGACAAGATGGTGTGGAGTGTTTCGAGGAGAAACTCGGGCGATACACCATCGAGTTTTACGAAATTTGGTACTTGATGATTAAGCAATAGGCATAAATCATCAAAGACGCGTATAGCGTCATCTGAGCCGTCACTTTCCTTGTCGGATGGATCTTCGCTGTTTGGGCTCTCACTGTCACTGGGAGCACGGGAGGAATGAGGTTGTGCCCCGCGTTCGAAGACGCTGTTGATTAGCTGCTGGAATGTAGCAGCAGCGGTGTTGCTGACTATTGCCGTCTTGCTGGCTTGGAGTGCGACACAAATTTGCAGTATCCTAGCAAGAAGGGGGCCATAGATGTCGGAGGCATAGAGTTGAAGCAGGGAGGGCAATGTTTGCAGAATTTTCAGCTGAGGCTCATATCCGGAATTGACGCCATCACCAAAAGCATCTAGAAGGTCCCGAAGCCGCGAGCGAGCAATGGCCTTACTGGCAGTCAGGCGCTGCAGACACACAGTGCCACTGCTGACCAGTTTGATGTTTTTGGTTTTGCAGGCTAGAATAAAAGGGTTGATGAAGTCGGCACGGCGTAGAAGATCAGCAGCCAATTGAGACTCAGAAGTCACCGATATAGCTCTGAGATCAGAAAGGGACTGCTCAGCGGCAGAACGGACATCACTGTATTTGCGTTTGGAGTCTGAGATCAGGCTCATCAGCTCTGACTGAAGGAATGCCTGTGTCATGGCCTGCTGAAGGATTTCATCATGAACCACCGACAGGCTACAGAGATGTCATTAGCGACCTGATAGAAGCACTGAGCTGCACCGTATTTGGAAAGTGGTCGCCATCAGCCAAAACAATGAGAAGGAGTAATAGTGTCCTCATTGATGGGAGTTGGTCGATGCCAAGGCTGCCTTGTCAGTAGAAGTGCCTCGTGACAAGGCTGAGGCCTGTGGCTGGAGCGGCGCGTGCCAGCGCCATTTGTGGCTATGCTCGCCTGCCCCTCCTGCCAGTAATCAGCACGAGTAATTTCTTGCCGGCTTCCACTTTCAGGTTTGCGACTCACTCCTCCCGTTCCCATAGCTTGCGGACGCCACTCCTACTATCGCCCTACGCATCCTTTCTGTTCGGGAAATTCTTCTGCAGTGCCAAATCTCACATCATGGGTGCCAAAATACCTCGCAACTTCCGACTCTTGGAAGAGTTAGAAAAGGGCGAGAAAGGTTTGGGTGCAGGTAGGTTGATGTCCTTCCTTGCAACTCAAGGTCTTGCAGCCTGATGCCTCTCTAGAAGCTTGTTCGTACGGCTTAGCCGATGGCGACGACTTGATGATGACCAACTGGAACGGCACTATCCTTGGACCTCCTCACGTATGCTCGTCACAGTCCAAGTACACCTGGCGGTAACAAAGGCTGACACTATTCCTCAGAGTGCACACGAGAATCGAATCTATAGCGTCAACATCCACTGCGGTGATAACTACCCCGATCTTCCACCTACTATCCAATTTGTCTCGAGAGTGAATCTACCCTGTGTCGATCAGAAGACCGGAAAGGTTGAAGTATGCTGCCCCAATGCAACACAGTATTCTGACGGTGACATCAGGTCGATCCTTCGAAGCTTCCCTGCCTTGCGAGCTGGAAGAGAGACTACACGATGGAGACTATCTTGATTGAGCTGAGAAGGTTGATTCAATATTACCAGCAAGGATTCCATCGCTAACTCCAAAGCACAGATACATGGCACTGCCCCAGCACAAGAAGCTACCACAGCCGCAAGAAGGCTCGAATTTCTAGTTCCAGAGTAATAGGCATTGAATACTACGGAGTCGGAGTTGGTGCGCTGCGGGACAATTATGATTCACGAGAAATCACGATGCATGCATGTCTGGGCGTTGGAATTGTCTGGGTTTGATGATGATTCTTGCAGATGGTCGAGCAGACAAGAATGGCAAACGAGCCAGGTATAGTGCTGAATCCGTTCATTGCAGCCTTGCTGTTGATGGGCTGTCTTGTGACTCGAGCATTTTAGGCCATGAAAGGAGATCACGTGAGTATTTCAATATCACGTGGCTTCCAGCTCGCAATACCTTCCGAATGCTATATCTACACCATCTTGACCTCGTAAATGAAATTGAACTTGCGACCGAAATACCTAGGTTTATGATCCCACTTGCAGCTTTACGCAGTCAATTGCGTTCTGTGTGAGGCAAACAATGAGCGGATGCCACGCCCTTTCGTCGCCCACAAATCGCATGCGCATCGGCTAGTGTGTACGTACCCCTAGGTATCATTTTTTTGGAGAGAACTAACAAGTTCCAAAGGCCTTTCTCTTTATAGAGCCCTCCTCAAGGAATGCACTAGATTTTCTGCTTCTGATGGCACAGGGAGCAGTATCAGTCATGGGACTGCCACCACTCTCCAATCATTAGTCCGATATCGATTCCGCAAGGACAGAAAACTTGCATCCCTCGCAGCCATTCAGAAAGGCTTAGACGCAGGCAATGAGCACCTTAGTCTTTTACGGGATTGTGTCGCCAGATCTAGCGATGCACTTGAGCGTCTAGGCGTGGTCCTCCGGTCAGTCATAGAGCAGGCTAAGGAGAAGGCAGCTATCCATGCAAGAAATGACTCATTTTGGCAACCACCGTCAAAAGCCAAGCGCAATTTCATGGCTCAACGAGAACGTGCTACAAGAAAGGACCTCCATCAGTCTTCGCCAGGAAATCCCGCCGTCTTCCAGCGTCCTAAGCCTCTATCTGAGATCACTTGGCCAAGGCGAAAGGTTCCTAACTACCTCATCACCTCGGGCATACCACTTCTCAAATACCCTGGTCCCCAGCCGATTCTGATGAATCGCGTGATTAGACAGAAATGGAAGCGGAATACCAAACGACAAGAAAATCTTGATCTATTGGAAGCAGACCGTCACCTTGCTGCTACCGAGGATGACTGGGATGGTCTGATGAAGGAGCACGGTGTTGATGAAGATGCGGACGAGCCGAACAGCACTCGAAGGCCCTTTACTAGGAAGCTCCATGCTGGCGCTAGCACTGCTATACCTGTCGCTTGGCAGGATGCCTTCTATTCTGCCATCTTCGAGATTCGAGCGGCCCACAAAGAGGAGGAGTTGCGGAACAAAGCTTTTGGTGAAAAGTTGTATAACGTTCTCAGGGAGGAAAGGGATCTAAGGGAAAGGGAACGGCGGGCAGCTAAACATGAACGAAGAATGGAGAGAAAGCGTGCTCAACTCGAAGGGAGTGTGACGCTCTCTGCAGGTATTGACGAGGGTGCTCCTCCTCCTGGCCGTGTTGATGAGACCATGTAGACTAGGTGGGGACTCGAAACTCAAAGGGCAGCCGATCCGGCGTTCTACTAGAAAGTGCCACCGGCGGACTGTTGTAGTGTACGCTTGTTGTAAATCACAGAACCCGATAGAAATCTCAACTTTGGAATTAGTACGAAGTAATTACCGCCACTCGCTTATGTTCGGGGAGATGGGGTCACGGGGAAGCCTTGCAGCTAAAACTGAGTGACATGCTTAATTATTCCTGTACCACCTCGGACGACTCGCTCCATGCACCTCCAAAATGGCATTGAAGCCACCACCATCATGCTTTTATGACGCCCCATGAACATCAAAGCGATTCCCTTTCCGGGCGATCAGAGGAAGAGGTGGAACTTGGAAACATGCCCCCATTACACGATGACAGCGCGGCAGATGCGCCCCTCATTACAGCACGCGAAGGCGAAGACGAAGACGACAGCCACTCCGCCTCAACAGCGACGTTCGAGTCCTCGGGCAACGCTTTCGTCTGGGCATTGACACTGTCCGCATGTGTTTCAGATCTTCTCTTTGGCTTTGACACCGGCGTTATCAGTGGAACCTTGGTTTCAATCGGAACAGACCTCTCCTCTCGCACTTTGACGACCCTAGACAAAGGACTTATCACATCCTGTACGAGCCTTTTTGCTTTGATTGCCAGCCCTGTCGCCGGTGTATTGGGAGATAAATGGGGCCGAAAGAACATCATACTCGGTGCAGATGCACTGTTCACTATTGGTGCTCTTTGGCAAGCATTTACAAGTTCAGTCTGGGGCATGATCTTGGGCCGCAGCATAGTCGGCCTGGCAATTGGTGGTGCAAGTCTTATTGTCCCCTTGTACATCTCGGAACTTGCACCTGGACATCTACGTGGTCGGCTGGTCACTGTGTCCTTGCTCTTCATTACCGGAGGCCAAGTCGTGGCGTACGTGATCGGCTGGGTCTTCTCAGCCCGAGTCTCTGGTTGGCGGTGGATGGTTGGCCTGGGTGCTGTTCCAGCGATCGCTCAGCTGTTCATGCTGTTGGTTATGCCTGAGACGCCTCGGTACCTTGCGAAAGCACAGCGTGAAACAGAGGCTAAGGCGGTGCTTGCAAAAGTTTATAGTGGCATGACGGTAGACACCACGAAGTTGGTCAATCAGACCATGCTCGCTATCAAGAAAGAAATCCTCGACGAGGAAGAAGCCCACATCAGTATTAAAAGCACCTCAGGCTCTCGCTTCTTTCCGCCGACCCTGCAATCACTGCTACTACATCCACCGCACACTCGCGCTCTGACCATTACATGCTGCTTACAGGCCCTGCAACAAGCCTGTGGGTTCAACACTTTGATGTATTTCTCCGCCACGATCTTTCAGTTGCTTCGGTTCACCTCGCCAACCCTTACATCACTCAGTGTTGCCGGAACCAACTTCATCTTCACCATTGTGGCATTCTACCTGATTGATCGGGTGGGACGGCGGAAGATCCTACTGATCACAATCCCATTCATGGTCGTAGCACTACTTGCGTGTGCTGCAAGTTTCACGTTTGTTCACCTACCCAGTAACGACGACGGGAGCGACGGTGATTCTCGCCTCCCCGCAATCAGCATCCTCTTTTCTATTCTGCTCTATGTGTCTACATATGCGACAGGGCTAGGGGTTGTGCCCTGGCAGCAGTCCGAGATGTTTCCCCTCAGTGTACGCTCAGTCGGGTCGAGTTTAGCAACAGCCACCAATTGGGGGTGCAATACCATCGTCGGCCTGACATTCTTGCCCATGATGGATCTCCTGACCCCGCAATGGACATTTGCATGCTATGCGGTTGTGTGCGCGGTTGGTTGGTGTGTGATATGGCGGATCTATCCTGAGACTATGGGACTGGCGCTGGAAGAGGTCGGGGATCTATTGAAGGACGGGTGGGGGGTGAAAGAAAGTATGGATAGGCTTAAGAGGAGAAAATGAGTGTCCTGATTACGTTTTCGCGGTCAATTGTGAGAGATAGACAGTATGCACAGCATACAATAAGAAATCAAGCGCATGTCTTCTATATGCCTTCCCGACACCAGACGTTGTCTCGGATTTGAATGGTCATCGCTCTGAGCTATGGGTATCAAATGCTTCCGGAGAGCAATACTACCCGAGCTAACGTCAGACACCCCGATATCGGACCAGACGCGCGCAGATAGTCGGAAAGCACTCAATGTCCAGAGACATGCTGCTTCTGAATCCCGAGGCATTTATCATGCATGAGAGCCTTGACAAGAGCTGTTAGCCATTACACGAATACACGGCGTCGCAAGACCCGACAAATAAACGAAATACGACAGCACGACAAGGCTCAGTCTGGGCCATGGTCCGATGCTAGTGATATTTCATTTAGATGTACTCTCAAGCAACAGAGATGCCGAGGCTCAACGATGAGCATCACCATGGCAAATTGGGCTGCAGGGGTTGGCGTGGGGCTGCATGCGCCCAATAAGGCACAGCCGCTAGTCCATCGGATAAGAGAAGCTGCTTTGTCCTGTTATGGAACTTGGGGGAGCGGGAAAAATCAAAAATGCGCGGCAGAAGAAGGATGGAGACGGCGAGGCCGACAATTGACCCCGTTGTTGATATTTGATGCTATGCTCTTCGCACGTATGAGGCACGATTTCGCACGCCAGGCCCTTTCCAGTCCCGATCGAGTAATTGCCGAGGCATTGCCTGCCTGGCAGGCTAGCACCTACTAATCTGCGCCTGCCGTGAAAAGTACACGACATCATCTCATCTCATCTCGTATTGTAGCTGCTTGACATCTGCACAGCGCAAAACCAATGTCGTTGATTACTTGCACCTGCACTCTCTGAGGATCCACTGCTTCGGTAGAAACACGGAGTTCGTTCTCTTCTATATCTGGTCTTCCATATCCTCCCCTTCCTTTTCTTTGTCCTCTCTCCCCATCCCCCTCCACACCTCTCCGCCAAACCCCACCCCACAGCCGTCGAGATGCCTTCCAATCCTGAATGGGTCAAAGCCCTCGAGCCCTCGGGGCCCCAGGGCTCAGAGCTCCTCGCACAAGAGAGAGCCAAGTCCGACCTTAATGTCGACCAGCTCGCCGAGTTCATGTTCACCAAGGAGATCCTACAGCGGAACGAGAGAATCCTCAATATCCTCCTCGCTGAGCCAGTCTTCGACAAGTCCCAAAACTACTTCCGAGGCCGAAATGCGAGGATAGAAGCTGCGTTAGCCAGAGGGAAGAGACTGCAACAGCTTCAGGTGCAACACAAATGGTCCAAGGATGAGTTTGAGACAGCAAACAGCCTGATCAGCGAGCCCACCCCATATGGCTTGCACGCCAGCATGTTCCTCGTCACTCTCCGCGAACAAGGCACTCCAGAACAACACAAGCTATTCCTTGAAAAGGCTGAGAAATACCAGATCATCGGCTGCTATGCCCAGACCGAGCTCGGACACGGTTCTAATGTCAGGGGTCTAGAGACCACTGCCACCTGGAATGCCGACGACAAGACCTTCACCATTCACTCTCCTACATTGACTGCTTCCAAGTGGTGGATTGGCTCCCTTGGAAAGACAGCCAACTACGCAGTAGTCATGGCGCAACTCTATATCGGCAACAAGAACTACGGCCCTCATCCTTTTGTTGTTCCCATCAGAGACATGAAGACCCACGAGCCTCTACCCAACGTTCATGTTGGCGATATTGGTCCAAAGTTTGGATACAACACCATGGATAACGGCTTTTTACTCTTCAAAAACGTCAAGATTCCCCACCAAAACATGCTTGCCCGCTTTTCCTCCATTGACCCCACCACCAACAAATATGTGCGGCCTTCGAATCCATCTCTCATTTACGGCACTCTTACCTATATTCGAAGCCATATTGTTCTCCAGTCCGGCTCGGTTCTCGCTCGAGGTGTCACCATTGCAACCCGCTACTGTGCAGTCCGACGCCAATTCCAAGACCGAGATGCCCCAGCTAGTGAACCCGGTGAGAATCAAGTCCTCAATTATACCATGGTTCAGATCCGATTGCTTCCTTTGCTTGCCGCCACCTATGCCCTGCACTTTACTGGTAGAGGTATGATCAATCTCTATCAAGAGAACCAAAAGCGAATGAATAGCACAGCTGCTCCCGAGTCAGAACGCGCTCCCGGCCCAGAAGAGCTGAACCCCGGCACCGATCTTCTTGCAGATCTCCATGCCACAAGCTGCGCTTTAAAGGCTCTTGCTTCAACGACAGCTGCGGAAGGTCTTGAGGTTTGTCGTCGCGCGTGCGGCGGTCACGGCTATTCCTCGTTCTCTGGCATCGGGAGCTGGTACGCCGATTATCTACCCACTGTCACCTGGGAAGGCGACAATTACATGCTCACCCAGCAAGTCAGCCGGTATCTGCTAAAATCTGCCCGTGCCGTCCTCAAGGGAAATGCTGGTGACAATGACACCACCCGCATCCTCTCGGAATTCGTTCGCCGCCGTGATATTGGAGCTGCGTTTGATGTGATCGGAAGTGATGATGATCTCGTCGCTGCTTTCGCCTGGCGCGTATCTTTCCTAACATTCGAGGCTCTTCGACACCGGGACGAAGATAAGCAGTCATGGAACAGCCTGCTGGTGGATTTCTGGCGACTCTCCACTGCGCATGCTCAATACATGGTCGTCAAGAATTTCCACGAAGCGCTAAATGACCCCAACACCACCAAGAGCATTGACAAGGGCACAGTGGCACTGCTGCACAAGCTCTTCCGACTTTATGCACTTCACACTCTTGAGAAGGAAGCCAGCGAGTTCTACTCATCTGCCGCCGTCACCGTCCGCCAGATCACACTTGCTCGCACCAAAGCGGTCATGACGCTCCTGGAAGAGATCCGACCGCACGCCGTGCGCCTTGTAGATGCATGGAAGTTTCCCGACTGGCAACTGGACAGCTCCCTAGGCCGCTACGATGGAAAGGTCTACGAGGACATGTTCTACCGCGCGAGCGAGCTGAACCCTCTGAACTCGGTTGTATTTGATCCCTACCCGGATTCAAAGGTCTTGTTCAAGAAGGACGAGAGACAGAATTTGAGGAGTAAATTGTAGATGTATATTCAGTGGGATTGTTGTTTGCACTGTGAGTTAGGGTTTCATGACGAGTGAACGCTTGGTGCAGTTCATTGCTTTCAGTCACATGATAATGGAACATCTTGGTGATATTGTGTCATTGTACAGTTTTCAGGGTCAAAAAGCCAGTCCTCAATTTGAAGCACCGCCTAGAAGATTTGATTACTACTCGTCTGAGTTAATCAGGCACCCGTATCTATTAAGCATATACCCATGTATGTATCTGTCTTAGCCAGGCCCTCCCCTCATGCATAACATTCGAACGACAAAATCATACGACTGATTAGTGCTGCTTGTCCCCCTGTCTGGCAGGACAGATGTTGGGTAGATGTTCGTGGCCTCGCGCGTCAAGAGATGATATGTATGTTGCAGACAACGGAGTGAGCAGGTATGCGAAGACCAGTCAAGGGTTGATACTGGAGATTGGGACTCGGGAGTCGACCCGGCCTGGGAACTGACTTGCCGGGTCGGTTAATCAGGCCTTACAATAATCACTCTTAGGCCTTGCTCTTTGAGCCTGGAGTGGCGCTGTCAGCAGCACAGTGCGAGTACCACACAATGCTGGCTGGAGCTACCCGCAGCGAGGTACAGAGCACGGAAGTACTCGGTACCGATTACACCGTCAAATTAAACTCTGCGCGAACGACGGGGAAGCCGTGCTAGCTTCGCTCCAGAAGCATCGTTTGAAGGTAAGGTTCCACCTATCTATTGACTAGTTGGTTGAGGCGGCCGGCATGCTGAGTTGCTAACTAACTACCCTGACTGTGGTAAGTAAGTACAAGACTGATCCACATGTAGGGACAGGCCTTTGAGGCCCATGCCTTGTTTGGGGCGTCTTTTTCACCCCTCAGCAAGAGGACAACTCGCGTTTCTCACGCTGTAGCCTGCAGGTGCTTGAGCGGAGATCTTGTCCGTCCACTTGGCCCGCTCCTGCTTGCGCCAAGTCTGAAAAGCCGCTCTCGGGACGACCAAGGAGCTGCTGTCCCGCTAGAGCCACCGTTAGTCCTGGAAGGCCGCACTTATCTGGGGAGATTCGAGTCTGGGACCTACCCGAAGGCGACATCGCGTTTGTAGAATTCTGTGCCAACGTAATTGACGTGTGCGCCGTCATCTATATCTCCGTGCTGCTCATAGTCAATGCGGGCGTTAGGCTCGGCTTCCTCCGCTCCTGACGACTGAGGATGGTCCCCCTGCAGCAAGCAAATTGGTCAGACATCGACGAGTATCCTTGCACCCGCCCATCGATTGTATCATGGGGTCATGTTGGGAAGGGGAGGGGAGTCATTTGGTCATACTTGGTGTTGGTCAATGTCGACTTTGGCGTCCATCCCACCAGGATCCAAATGCTCTGCTTGATTGCGAGCATCCCAGTCCGCGACACTTTCAACCATCCCTAGTTGCTAAATCAGAGATGGTTCGGTTGTCTGGGCGCCGGGCGGCAGATAAGGTGGAGGTTGACAGCGTTTTCTCACCAAAGCTGACCTTCCCTTCAAATGTTTGTGTGCCTGCAACATTCACATTGGCCCCGCTACCTATCCTGCCACGATGCCTAATTCTGATGCCAGGCTAGGCATCGTGAATGAGACCTTGTTAGATGAAAATAATTCGAGAGTCTGAGGGACACTAGCAGATGGCTGACTCCTTACAGAAGGACTGCTTACAGAAGGCAACGAAGCTTCTGAAATGCCTTGTCGTGTGTCGGTAAATGGAAGATATGGTGGCATATACTGCTGACGGTGAGGTAAACTTGCAGAGCTCATAGCGTTGGTCGGTATCATCGCCTGCCTGGTATTGGTCGGTGTCATTGTCTGCCTGTCGTTGTATGGAATCGCCAGGGTATCTGTGCCCATGTGGTAGATTGGTTGCTGTGGATCTGGTCTACGTTCGAAGAACTTGCGGACTGGGTTCTTGGAGGGACGGTCCTCTGAATGAGTCGGCATTCTTGTCCGCTGTCAGTCGAAGAGCTGGCTTCAAATTTCGGCTAGATTTTTGACTCTGGAGTGAAAATAGGTTCAGAAGAGCGGAGGGAGTGTCTTGAAAAGGGAGTATCTAGAGATCTAAAGTAGGAAGAACCAAACCGACGGTCAATTTCAACGTGCCGGCGCGATGGACGCCCGGCCTGCTTGAATGTGCAATGCTAGACTACTTTGAGCACTGTGACTGCGGTGTGCTGTCAGTTGCGCCTTCACATCCAGAATAGAAGGTACTGGCCAGTTAGGTATCTAGAACCTGTTCTCAAGAGCAAGGATATGATGGGAAATACGAGGACGGTCAAGACCATCCGATGCGGGAAATGATCGTCCCGTACGCAATACTCGTACTGGCCGCAATCCTTCCTCTCCCAGTCAGACACTAGATTCAAATCCAACCATTGTCCATTAGCGGACACCTCCAAAGTAAACTGTGCCGGAAAAGAATTGAGTGCCACCGTATACCACATTGGCCCCATTGTTATTGCTTCCGACTTGGCATATGGTAGTCCATGCCCTATCTGTGTTTCTAGGGGGTTGAAAACCTGCTTTTTTTACTGCACACTCTCAGAATTGGGCTGGACTAGAGGCAAGGAAATACTAGGTATCGCTTACCATCATCAGGTTCTTGATTGCTCTCCCGGCTGCTGCCTGGTCTTTTGTTGCTTTTAGTGAGGGTTTTAAAATCGACCTTCTCCTGCATTTCCAGATTTTCCGCTAAATCGGGGGCCAAATCGTGATTTATAGCCCCGTGTCGTTTGGTGTGCGTAGACGGCTCTAGGCTTGCTCCGGCAGATGGTTGGGGACGACTTTCATAAAGTGTGAAGGCTCTCGCATATTCCAACCTTGCAATATCTTCTCGAATATCCGATAAGCTACGGCCGTTTTGGAGACAAATCGACTGGGTTCCATTGCAAATATTCCTGCTCCGATATCAGCATTAGGCTGCCCAAAAATTAAAAGGTGAATACATACTGCGTTTCAGCATGTAGAGATACACTCAGCAATGATTTCTGCCTCTCAATCTTATCGAGAACCTTTTTGATTTCACCTTTGTGAAGGCTGAGAAGCCTCCAAGCGACAGCCTTACGCGTTCTATCTAGTCGATTAACTGGGATGAGGATCTTCTTGAGCCTCTCAAGTTGCAATAGGCATTCTTTCAAGGGCAAGTTCGGGTTTATAATCAATGTAGTTGTGGATAGCTCGTTGCTATCCTTGTCATGGAGCTTCAATATTTGATGCAGGACCATTTGGAGCGACTTCAGTTCGTCCAGCAGGTCTTTCAGCTCGGTTGGCGCTTCTTTTAGAGCTCCTATGAACTGAAAAATGGTTGAAATGGCTTGCAGAACGGCCAGAGTCCCAGCCGTAATGCTGAGCGGATCCATGGACGAGGAGAGCACAATGCTCATGCTCGGGTACAAATTCCTGATGTGTGGGTGCAGCCGTTAAGGGTCACATGCAGGTTCAACCCCTGTATCCAAGTATTCAGACAGGTCGCATTATTTCAGGACTCTTTCAGCTAGCAACGAGCAGTTCAAGTTCTTCTATACGGGTTGAGCAGGGCAGTGTAGGCTACAGACCTTAGAGTGGGATCGGGTGTGGCTGGAAATAACCGGTCTGTGCTCTGTCTCACCCTGACGGTGGAGAGATATTCTAAGGCGAGTGCCAACACATCACTTCGAGTTGTTGCGCATTATGCCTCGGGCGCTGGATCATTCTTTGGAGGACATCCTCGGGTACATTTCAAAAGTGTCGCTTTTGAGAATCCGCATCGGCTGATGGATTACGGTCATGAAATGGTACTACGTAACTGACAAGGTGTCCTGCAAAATCAAACCCTGCCTCAGTATGATTGTTGTTAGGTAGGTGGTACTCGTGATAGGCAGGGCATGGCAGTCCTTGGTGAAGTGGCTGGTTTGTGCAATGCTCCCGAAATTTCATCTGCGACACATCACACCTGACATGTCGCCCACATGTCCGTGCATAATACAGTTGGTGTTGAAGGAATCGAATAGTAAGTACATAGTATACATATATACTGAACCAAATGCTACGTACCTGCCTGCTTTGGATCCTCACCGAAATTAAACTTCCTCGTATAATTACTCCAGTATCACAGTCATGCCGTACAACAATAAGATCTTCTCTTCAGCCAGCCCATCCTGAATATTTTGTCCTGTTGGTGGCTAAGTATCGGCAGATTCAGGTCTGTGGATATCATCTGTTACTGGCCTGCCGTCCTCCATCACCACAAGGTGCTGTTGCTGGCCCTTAAATGCTGAATCGAAGGCGTAATAGCAACCACTGGCAAGGGCTTTCTTTTTCACTTGCTCACCATACTGGCAAATTGTGAGGATCTCCAAATTGGCCTTGAATGGCTCGGTCTTAGGTAAATGAAGGATTTTGGTCAAGGTGATCGCAACAGCTTTGTCTGGTATTTTTCAATCTCAGCGTTCAAGCCACTGGTAGGTAGGCTAGATATGCGAGGTGTTCTCTGATTCACTTACACTCACGGGCGGGTTGCTTCTCGTCGCTCAAAAATCCGATGAAGTGAGCATAGATGCTAGCACACGCTTGCCTGCGCATAGATGTATCTTCGGGGTGCGCTCGGTAAATGAAACGATGAACGTCCCCATCAAATCTCTTGAACAAATTCAGCAGTGTAGGGTCACATTCCGAAGAGGCATGCTGCAGCGTTTCTAGGGCAAGTCCATTGCTTCCTGGCGAGACCGGGCTCTGCGAAATTTTGATTGATGTGTTCTTGCGTCGCGATAAAAGTTTCAGGGGTAGGGTCGCTCTGGAACGGAATTCCACGTGGGAGTCTCCCATTTGAGAAGCTGGAACTGATCGTGCAGGAGGCAACAGGCTGCCATTGTGTGACGGGGCTGACTGCAGGCTCTGCGATTCGCAGAGCCGACTCCATAGACAGCCCATCTTCCCACGATGAGTCTGAGCCGTCAAGATAAGATTGGTGATACGACAAGACCGGTAATCATGTAGCAGTCTCCCTCAATGGTGGATGATCGAGAAACGGGTGTGCAAGGTTAAGGAAAGGAAGGCAATTGAGCTGCCAGATGGGAAAGGTTGTTGGGCTGGTTCACAGCCCACGTCCAGTCAATCAAGCCGACTTTTGTGCTTAATCGATGGGAGGGCAACACTCTTGGTAAAGAAATAGAGGAAAAAGGCAAATACTGAGTTGCCAAATCACTTACCACTTAGACCATCCACGCACTACCGGGTACGGAGTACAAATAGGGCGGCTTTTCTTCGATGGCCTGCTGCGGCTAGATCAGGTTGAGGACGGTGCAATCTCCCACAGACTGTGCCTCCGTTGAGTGCGTTCCAGAAAATTCTGTAGAACTTGGGCATCATGATATTGTGCCGTTCCTCTTGCTCTGCTCACACGACCTTGGAAAACTGGCAACGGTAGGATCTTTATACTTTGCAGTAATTTTAACCAGATACTTAACTGCTTAGCCGAACCAGCAGCTGAAGGGGTTAGCTACGCGCTTGGGTGGTACTCCAGTTGCGTGCCAGTCGGGTGCCAGTCGTCTTGCAGAAAACACGGCTATAGGGTTCAACATCTGCCAGCGGGGACTGCAAGGATTATCCCAATATCGCTCGCCCGCCTGCATGGGTTGCAAACCTTGTCTGCCTAGATGTCAGCTGGATGTGGCCATTCAGAGCTGCATCCCTTAACATCGCCAGTATCAATGGTTCCCAGTGCCATAAGACGCCAAACAGGGCAAAAGGCGGCCTTTCTCTGCATTCTCGCTTATTGTTCGTACTGGTAAGGTGGCTTAAGCTCATGCCGTTGTCGCAGGGTGCAAATGACAGCGAACAATGACCGGGGGAGACACACCTTTCAACGGGCGTCGAGAGGCGCCTCTCAGCCTGACGTCTCTGCGAGTCTTTTTGGAGTAACTTGAGCACGAGGGTTTCTCGAACGCAGACCTCATTTTCTATCATCGCCAGCTTGCCAGAAGAAGAGTTTTATTCAACGCGTCGCCATGCTTCCACTGCGAGGACTTGTGGCATTTTCACTGCACCCTCTGTCGATTTCAGCTTGTTTGATCATTTTTCCAGTAACATGTTGGGCCTGATGAAGGCCCAGTCTGGACGTGCTCGCAATCATGGACTCATCCTACTATCATCATGGGCCAATCTCCGGAGGCTTAGTTAGCAACGGCGGTACACAGAATTTCCATGATAGAGTATTCTTTGGTCCAGGTGAAGGTACGTTTTGCTGTCGGGAGTGTTCGGCCATGGCAAGAATCTAATACTTCTCCACGCAAGTTGTCGAGGACGAGTACACGATCTCGCGACTCTTTTGCAGAATCGATTACGACGCTTTCCAAGAGAAAGTGAAGGATCCCCATACTGGCACGTGTAAATGGTTCACGGAACGTAAGGCCTATGGCGCCGCCTCAACGACTGTGCCATCGTTGCTGTGCCTTATAGGCAGTCCTGGAGCAGGCAAGACAGTCCTGGCAAAACACCTCGTCACCACTTCCAATAGCAAAACAATATACTTCTTCTGCGATGGAAAGAATCGAGAGTATAACACGGCCATCTCTATACTCTTGAGTCTGATTCATCAATGCGTTATGATGGAGGCCCGGTGTGGAGAGCAAGTCAACGCAATGTATCGCAGATGGCATAGTGTGCTTTCTACGTCATATGGCCGCCTTGGAGATCTCTTCGGCATGATAATGTCCACATCTGATCCCGATAAAAATGAATCGACTTGGTCTTGCATCATCGATGGTCTGGACCATTGCGAGGCTCCGGAGCGAGAAAAGCTTCTGCACGTTTTTGCAAAAGGATTCGAAGTGGATAACTCTGCGTGGAACCTCCGACTTCTGATATTCAGTCGGCCTTGCGAAGAGATCAAGACAAAAATTCAAACCTGGGAAAATACAAGGATTCAGACGTTTACTGACGAAGCGGGAAGCATATCAAATCAATCTGACATTGCCAAATACATTGATGATAAGGTTTCAATGTTTCAGCATTACACCCTCGAAGAACAGACAAAAACGATTGAGAATCTGAAGAGCACAGTGAAGGGGAGTTTCGAATACTGTGTTCGCATTATTGAGGCCTTGAAGCACAGCTCACCGGACTATGCCTACAAGCTCTCAGACATCCCTCTGCCAAGCATGGACGAGATGCTAGAGGATGTTCTTGACCGTACAAATCCAAAACAGATTGCACTGCTCCAGATGTTAGCTATTTTGGAGAGAGCGCCTTCAGTTGAAGCCTTCAATGCTATCAGCCAGATTCGTGATGGCCCTTTCTCCGAATTCTTCGACTTTGGTGGAAAAGCTGATACCATAGACCATATCTTGTTGTGCGAAGCAGCACTCCGAGTCTCGAATGGTAATATGCATTTCGCACACCCAACAATGAAGGAATACATTCGCAAGCAGATGACCGAGTCCGAAGTTCAACAAATTCATGGCAAGGTCGCCCAGACTTGTCTCCTTTACTTGGCCACTGTTGGACTGGAAACACATTCAATAGCGGGGTCCTTGCTAGGGGAGTGTGCAGACGAGTACATGGCGCTCTTGAAAGCATCGCCGTTTCTAGATTATGCGGCTAACTTCTGGCACTATCACTTTGAAAATGCTGGGCAGGACCCAATGGGGCTATGGCATTCAATTCATCAAGCTTTCAGTATCCAAACTGTTAGGGACCTTGCTTTCCGAGTATATCGATTCCAAGAACAGGACGACTATATTGGTGGGCAATCGCTCCTGCACATTCTCGTTCATTACAGCTTAGTCTCACTCACAAAGAGGGTTCTATCTGCTAAAGAGATCTTTGAGATTACTCTGGATGACCGGGACAACAGAGGCAGAACAGCACTTTGGTGGGCTGTGGATGCCAAAAATGAGTCGTTCGTGAGACTGCTTCTGGAAACTGAAGGCGTGAGCCACGACGATCGAGATGAGGACAACATCTCCCCAGCCGTGCTTGCCATAACATTAGGCCACACCGAGATTCTACGTCTTTTTCTCGAGTCTGGCAGAATTGATTGGGCACAGAAAGATAAGACCGGCAGAACTTTTCTGGTATGGGCAGCAAAAACTGGGAACCCTCATGTGGTTGCAGAGCTGCTTGGTATTGATGCCTGCGTCAATACCATGGAAGAAAAATGCCCTGACCAGACTGCCCTGGTGCTAGCAGCGCGTCATGGTTTCAAGGATGTGGTCAAACTACTACTTGAGAAGAATGCAGACCCGAACTCTCTAGATACAGAGTCAGGACGAAGTGCATTATCCTGGGCTGCGGGCAGTGGCCATGAGGGTGTTGTGGCAGTATTACTTGAAAATCAGGTCGTGGAGCTTAGTCAACGTGACGCCAAATATGGGAACACCGCATTCCACTGGGCCGCAGATCGTCAACGCAGGGAGATAGCCCGTATGATTCTTGACACAACTTTGAATCGTGATCAGAGTCTTGCTTACGATAAGGCACGAAGCCTCTTGTTTGAGGCATCCAAAAAGGGGCAAGCCGTTGTCCTTGATATCCTGCTGGAGAATGAGAGCCTTCAGATCGATCCCGATTGCATGTTAGAAGGTAGAACTCCTTTATCTTTTGCAGCAGAGCATGGCCACCACCAAGTCGTCAGTCGGTTGATAAGTTCCGGGAAGGTCGACCTCAATTCATCAGATTCCGGAGGCATGACTCCTCTCATCCATGCATCTCGAGGAGATGCCAGCAAGGTTGTAAAGGCATTGCTGAAAGAGGATGTCAATCTTCAGGCTAAAGATTTCTCGGGCCTAACAGCGAAAGACTGGGCTGAAATCCTCTCACGGGCAAAAATACTCAAATTGATCAAGGACGCGGAAAAGCTGCAACGCAATTCCACGAACGCGACAACTTAGCACACATATCAGCTCCATCTTTCGATTACTGCCTCTCGAAGATGACTGCATTCTACCGACCTAGCCATCAACCTGACAACTGTTATGCTTTCCTGACTATCAGTCCCCTTCCTAGCAAAAACTTGGAAGGTAATAACCCAGTATTTCGAGAAGGCTGTTCGAATTTGTGATGATCTCAAAATCGCAAAGCCATTACAAATTCATGCGATAACCAAGAAGACACAAGGTCATCGATGATGAAGCTTGACTAACCACGGACAATTTATGCAGCCTTCGACCAACTCAATGGTATTCGTGTAGACCCCGGTGGCAGCCAAGGCGGGTTCGATGAAGGTGAGCTTCTCAATCCGAAAAGGTTTGATGACGCATGCTAGACACAAGGCATGACTGTTGTCTATTTTCTTGACTGTCTTGAATACTTGTTAGTAGATCCAATGGGTTCCTACATTGTTTAAGTACTAGCCTGGGTGTTTCTTATGAGAATTCATAACTTTCTTCCAGCTTGTATGGAGTTGTTCTCTTTGGACTGTATAGCATATGTCCCGAAGGAAATGCGCATATATCGTCCTTTACGCCAAATAAACTTCGTCCCAAGCTCTGGGCCTGCTCCATACATGGCAAAGTCGGCCGAGGCTTGCTGACAGCCGTTCGTATTCGTCGTGGCTGGGGGCTACGGGAGACTTCAGCCGCAGATCCGAACACGAGGTTCTCCCACTTTCGCCCTCCACCTCGTGTCTGAAGCTTGTGGAGCTCCCGAACCCAACCTGGATGGCTGTTTGTTGAATTCAGAGCTTGCTCCTTTACACTCAGGATGCTATCGACCCAGAACAATGGTATTTCGATAGATAAGACGGCGGTACATGCTCTTGAAGCTCTTGGTTCCATGAATGCAGACGTGCATCGTGCCTCTCCCGAATACTGTGGATAGAGCCGTCGTCAACTGAAAACTACTTAAATGGCAGGCCGCTCTTCCAACGACCGTGGCAGGAGACCGGACTGGCAAGGACAAGAACCCTATGTACCGATGAGAACCATTCTCAATCCGAACCCAAGTACAATTCCTCAGAGAAGTCGCGGCAGCATTCCAGATCATCGCCGCACGACCAGTGAACCCCCGCCTCTACAACAACAGCAATACCCCTATGGGAGGCCAAATTCACGACCGCAATCACGCCGGCATAGGTAAGTCGCACAGCCTCGCGGCCTTTGGTCTTCAGCCTTGTCTCCGTGGCCCAGCCAAATCCTCACTTTAGAAACGCCCACAGCTGAGAATATCACCAATGGAAGCAGCGGCTATCGCCAACGCATCGAGCTCCGACTCTTCGCGAGCCAGGAGGAAGATATCGGCATGCAGAGTGTCGAGTTCACGTACTTGCCAGAGAAGACTGACGACCGCCGACTATTTCTGCGGCTCCAGCGCGCGTACCGCACGCGTATGCTCAAGTGGTGGATGCGTTATCATTTGAGTTTCAAAACTCTCAAGGTCATTGTCCCTATCCCGGTGCGTTTCTCCTTCGTTGAGCGATCTTGTGCATTCTGAAGAGCGTTGCTCCTTTCGTTCATTCGAATTGATCTCATCATGTGTTCCTTACTGTAGCGCCAACCCTGCCCCAAGTTAACGATGGCGCCATGCTAGATATCTTGTTACCACTCCTCCGCTGACAATTGAACCCCTACTGGCCACAGTACCGCATGCTGGACGGTGCACCCGGCGACGAGCCACTATTCCGTCGGTATTTCTGCGCGGAGCTGACACGGTGCGTCAAGCACCCAGACACCATCACGGCCAGCGAGTTTGAGTGGGTGGCAAGATTCCGCGACCACAGCGAACGCCTCGCGATGGTCGACTGTGGCATTGGCCTCGAATTCCGCGACGGCTGGGCCACAGGCCGGATTCTCGTGCTTGGGGCGATCGTCATAATCGGAATGGTCGCACTCACGATCGTTTGGATCGTGCTGGGTGGCGACTATGGTCAAGTCTGTAATGTTATGAGTTTCGCGATGGGCACTTTTACGGGTACGTGGGCCACTTTCCGGCTGTCTCTACCCTGCTTCTCGCGAAATGTGAGCCTCAAACCTAGATGGGGCCTTGGAAAATATCGTATCACTACGAGGATCTGTTCAAGAGATCATCATGCTTCCAAACCTCCCCTGCGCCATGTGCTGACAAGTTCTGTTACGCGCAAAACAGCCTCCGTCGGCCTGGTGGCTGTGCATGATATTCTCGAACGCGGCGGACGAGGGCGATGGTGACGCCTCGATAATGATTGGCAACACCCGCTCCTTCTCCCGTATGGATTCGTCGTTGCATCTGGATCAGCCTCATAAGCGCCTCGAAATCCTTCCTCCGCTTGGAGCCAGTCTTGTGTGACGATATGCGGTTGTATTGGAGACTGGAGTCACGAACATTCCAAATTTTCGTTATGAATCTCTCGGCACCACAATTAGGGGGACCTTCAGGCTGCCCAAGCATCTAGGGACAGAGTCCGTCGAAGAAATTGCCCTTGAATCTCGCCGCATCCGGCTATGCATAGAGGTCCCTCGCTTTTTTAAAGGCCTTGGTCTTGAAACCGTCAAACTCCACTTTTGTCACCTCGCAATTCATTCAATGTAGAAAGCCGGGAATATGTCCTCGCGAGCTGCGCTTGCTAGCTCCAATAGCATTAACTCCGGTGTATCAGCGCGTTTAGAGTCTAGTAGAGCCAAACAGGCTACAAAGTACATTGTATCACAGGTCACAGAGTCGACCAAGCAGACGTAGACGATACGTGAGTGCTTTGGAGGCAAGGCGCAGAGCGTCCTCTTCACGGCCCCGAGCGAGGCGAACGTGCGAAAGAGCGACTATGTCGCCGGCGACGCGAGGATCGTCCTTTGACAGTAGAGCTCATCCGTTTAGATTGGCCAGAGACGGGCAACGGAAGAGGTACTCCTCGGCGGTGCAAAGATACGGGCCTTGACAGAGAGGCTGACGATATTGCTGAATGAATGTTGTGACCTATGGAAACGTGATCATTAGTTCCGCGGGTTTGGGAAAACGAGTTTGATGTTCTTCAAGCCCTCTGGACACCGCGAAAGCTCCGAGATTGTTAGAGCCCCAGGCGACAAGAGTGTGGTGAGCCCAAGCTTATGGTCACGTATAGTGAATGCCGGGCATACCTTCACTCCTGCCACGACTAGATCAGGCCAGGATGAGTCCGGCATCGCTCTCATATTCGGCCTCGGGCGATGTGCAGGATTTCGAAAGCAAGGGTTAATGTCTGGTGAACAGCTCATGGGTGGTCAGCATAGGCCGGTGACACGGTCTTCAGAGAATGATACTGAGAGTGGTTCCAAGTATCTGGGCATGCACGAGTAATTCCGAGATCCGGACGGCGACGGAGTGAACCTTTGCCAGCTGATGCGTCGTCGATTCTGGAGCCAACTCTCAGTTGTTCTTCGAAGCCAAGGCCTTCTTAAGCAGTACGGTTGATACAATTAAAAAGCGACCAAGCTTTGAATGGTGAAATACTTGTAACGAACTGCAGGCTAAAGTTGAATAGAATGAGTTATCTTCACGGCGTATGGCAACTTACCGAACTTCCTCGGTCATCCTTGACGAAGTGGTCAGAAGGGGATGCTTGGCATTGTAGCGAACGGATCCTACGTGCTTGAGCCTTGGGCCTCAAGCTGATGAGCTTTCCCCGGCCGCTGCGTTTTGGGTGGACTTGCACCCAACGTGTGACGGTGTGAGAGAGAATTGATTGCCTGACTGACTCTAGCCAAGACCAGCTCCGAATCCTTGCTCTGCGATGCACAGGATTGCGAGCTTACATACCTTTTTAGGTAGTTGGACACCCAAGGAACCAAGAAACAGTCAGATCCTTCTGTTTTGTATACGCGCCTGAATCCACCTCCGAAACGGTAGGCTGGGTGCCGAACAAGATCAAGGCATTATGCTGGCACAGAATTCCGGCCAACCACACAAGATCCAACATTGAATCCGCAGTACGCTTGAAAAGGAGCGGTGGCACGGTAAATCTTCCGATTATGGAACACCCAATTTTTATACATTCCATCCAGTCGATCACAATATCTGAAGTGAAATTTCAAGGCTCTTTCTGAAACACCGCGAGGCGAGGGGCGGCGCGCATCATATGATGTGCTATGGATACGGTGCTAGGCCTTGGGACGTCTTGAAAAGGTCTGAGGTACGAGGAACCTCCAGGCGTCAGATACATCACACCGCAACACTTGACTCCACCGTTAAAGACAGCCTATGCGGCCGTCTGGTGACACATGAACGGGCTATGGCTTGGTTGAGTGAAGTGAGGCCGGCGAGGGCATACGAGTAAAAGTGTTGTCGGAAAAGTTAATCCATGACGTCTGTGCGATGTGCAGGCGAGCGGGCACGCGACACGACATTGGATGCAGTGTGGCATCTTCCTGTCAACAATAGTACCTTCTTCTGTGTGACAATGATTATGCTGCGCAACATACCGCTGCATCGTGGTGTACAACCAATCCTCGGTGGATGAAACGATCAAGATTGGCACGAGGGATACTGTCGGCATTGAGCCTTTTCGGCACTCCGGTGCGTTTTCCATTCCATATGGCATACAGACTTCACTTCAAATTCGCCGAGTGCTAGTAGTTACCAGTTAGCTGCCTCATGATACGGAGAAGTGGTAAACGAATTATCACAAGTGCTAATTCAACAAGTCTGGGAGACCAAAAAAAGGATGATATTAAAAGTGTGTACATATTCGTGTCGTGACCAATATCGGAAGAGATTGACGCTAAGAGTTATCCACATCATGCAAGTGCGTGTGGTGGACGCCGATCCCTAACGCCGCTACATTACAAAGATATGGATAAAAATTGGTAGGGAGGACAGATTCTTTTAAGCCGGCTCTTCCTTGGAAAGAGGCGGATATAGGAGCAGGAGAGGACGGGTGAGGTTGACAAGTTTATTTCTCGTCATTCTCCTTGATGTCGCCCTCTGGGCTTTGGGTCTGGCGAGAACCTGGGGCGGCGTCCTGCTCGAGCCCGTTGACGACGTCACGGCTCAGCTCGACGTAGTCGTAGGCGAATTCGCCGATTTCGGTCTCGTCCATGCCCATAATCTCATCTTGCTCGGAGGCACGGAGTTGAAGGCCCGGAATGAAGTTCAGGACGAACAGGATAGCGCAGCTGACGACGAACGAGTAGGCCATGCCGCTGACTCCGTCTGCGAGCTGGTATGCAAGCTGGATCCAATGCTTGTTGAGCCATCCGCCACTGATCTCAGAGAAGCCGTCGAGATGGGCTATGTAGTCTGCCGCGAAGAGGCCAGTCAGGAGGTCACCGACGAGACCGCCAATGCCGTGAATGGCGAAGATATCGAGCGAGTCATCGATGTGGAGGAAGAACTTGAGCTTGGTGGCGTAATTGCAAGCAATTCCTCCGACCACACCGAAGATGACGGCAGACCAGGCGGGAACGAAACCTGACGCTGGGGTAATCGCGACCAATCCAGCAATAACACCACTGCAGAAACCAACGGTAGACCATTTCCGCTCAAGGCGGTAGTCGAGGAGACACCAGGTAAGACCGCCAACGCTGGCGGCAAGGTTGGTGACAACTGCGGCCATGACGGCGCGGAGATTTGCAGCTAGAGCACTACCAGCGTTGAATCCGAACCATCTATGCAAACGAATCAGCGACTCTTCCTTGACCAGATTTCCATGGATACTTACCCAACCCATAGGAAGACAGTGCCAATAACGATGTGGGTGACGTTATGTGGGCGGTAATTCAACTCGTGAGTGCCATGACCACGACGCTTTCCGAGCATCAACGAGTATGCGAGAGCTGCAGCACCAGAGGAAATATGCACAGGTGTACCGCCAGCAAAGTCGAGGCCGCCCATGTTGAAGGCCCACCCGGAGGCGTTCCATGTCCAGCAGGCAATCGGATCGTAGACCACGGTCGACCAAATGAATGCGAAGACCATGGCTGGGAGCATGCGACCTCTTTCGGCGGCAGCACCAATTGCGAGGGCTACGGTGATAGCAGCGAACATTCCCTGGTAAACGGCGAATAAGAGATCAGGGATTTTGCTGGACCCCACAGATGGAGCACCGAGAACATTGCGGAAGCCAATGTTTTCCATGTTACCGATGAATTTGCCAGCAGTGTGGGAAAAGGCGAGTGAATAACCCCAGAAGAACCATTGGAAGGAAATCAGGCCTGTTGCGGCAATTGACAGCCAAATGAGCGACAGTGCGGACTTGCGTCGAGCGAGACCGGAATAGAAGAAACTATGTTTGAGCGTTAGGGCAAAGTTCGAGGGCGGCTCTTTGGGGAACGGAGCGCGTACCCAACGCCGGGAATCATGAGCAGCACCAAGGCTGTGGAAGTGATCATCCATGCAATGTCACCGGCATTGTAGAAGAGGTTGAGATCTTCAGTCAAGGAGTCACCACCAGTCATAGAAGTTCCTGAAAAACCATCAGCTTGGCCAAGTAGAAACGGGCGCTGAGAGGCAGTAATACCGTCATAGACCTCCAAAGGGACATAAGGAAGGGTATCCGAAGTGTCGGACATTTTGGACTGTTGCTCCGCTAGTCAGTTTTGTAGAGATGAAGATGCAAGCGAGTTTAGATGGAGGTCGAGTGCGCAGACTGGCGCAGATTCGGAGCAACAACACAGACTGGGACTGTTGCACGAGCGAGGGAAGGGGGAAGTCGGTTGTCTTTATGAAGAAGTGGGAACGGAAAATAGGCGTGGAGGAACTTGACGGGAGGTGGTAGTCGGAAAAAAAGAAAAGAATACGGATACTATAATAGCCACGGGTAGAGAGGACGAGAATCGATGGTGTTTACTACTGAGGTCCCACCCTTGAGTTGACTGGTTCCAGGTTGAATCGAGTGTGCGCTTTGAAGCTCAAGCAAAGACACGGTCCTTGTCGACTGTGTCAAGGACCCAAGGCTAAAGGCCCCTGGCACGAACAGGAAGGCGCCGTGCCGTGTGTGTGGGAGCCTGAGCCTGGAGGAATTGACAAAAAGACTAGCGTGGGTGGATTTGGCGAAATGGCTGCGACTAGGGGGATGTGGTGAGAGTGAGCTTGCTTATCCTGGTCGAGGCGGAGATCAGGGAACAGGGCGAATTAGACGAATTGGGCCTGTTCAATGCAATACCCAGGGAATCCATAGTGTGTTGCACACGGAGGTGTGTCGCAGACTCGCAGGAGTATGCACCCCGTATGCATGATATGTTTGGCCTGTCTGTTATACGAACCCATAACGGGCACGGATCCCTGAGTAACTGTCCCAGTCATGGACTGATGGAGTCATGGCATGATGCTTGGGACATTCCTTTGTGCTGTCCATTCCTCAACTTGGTACATCACCTGCTGCTGACTGGCAGGCTCGGCGGTTTCACAGTGGTGATCAATCGGTGACTAGGTATGATCACCCTCCTACGAAGTCCCCGTCCAGAATGACTCGTATCGTATGCCAGGCTTGAGCCTTTGTCCGTTCTTCCGACCAGCCATAAGATTTGTGGTACCGGCGTGCATGGACTGGCGTTCTTGCGGGCTCAGCTTAGAGAGTCGTGCTATGACCCTGCAGGTCATGGGCGCAGGGACTTGTGGCAGGTACAAGCTTTCGGAACCCACTGTGATTAGACAAATCTTAGATGATGGGGGATATCTCATGGGAGCAGTCATGAGAGAAGTGATGAGGTCGTTAGCAGTTGAGCATAGGCAAGATAAGGCTGAGGCTTGCCATTGGGCAAAACCCGACGCCAAGTCTCGGGGCGTGTTTGAGGCGCGTCTCCCGCAGCCCAAAAGGCGACCACCTTCAGATCCACTGATAAGCAAACTCGAGCTGCCCCCAAATCCGCACCTTCCCAATAGTCAAACCCCCGATAAGGTTAGTCTTCTTCACTAGTGTCCATTTGAATTTTGACGTTTCGCTTGTTGGAGCCGAGCCTCGTGGCCATCTTGATATACCGAGCGGCCTGCGCAATCAACAAGGCAAGGGAGGGTGTGCTTCTCGAATAACGATTAACTGTTCTGGGTAGTCGCTTAGGATTGGGCCATCGTTTCCCCCTCCGATAATGACCATTTGCACTACAGGGGTTTGGGTTGGTATTACTGTACAATTTACAAATGTTGAAGACCGACAGGTATTTAGCACCGGATTGACCCTCAAATCTTTGCTGAGCACATCGTGCCCACGGAATCCAATGCTTAACCTCCCTTTGCCAGAGGCTTGGTATACTGTATATCACTGTCTTGGTATCGAGCTATGTACAGTTGCAGACACTATCAAGTAGTGCGCCTTGGGCTGCAGCGTCCTGCCTATTTTGAAATATTAGTCTGACGAGAGAATCACACGTTGCTCACGCCGCGCGAACGTCGCGCGTTTCTTTGATCTAGTCTTCACGCTTCTGTTCAACCAATGCCGAATATCCGGCACAAGGTCGACGCTGAGTTCTCTGTCTACTCGGTACTTCTTTGGTGAGTAATGAACGAATGTTGCGCTCCCCGTCGATGCTTCCGTAAAAGGAAACGGTGAGCGCATCCGAAGGGCGCAGATGCCGAGCACGTGTCAAAGCTTGGCCCACCCGCCCGCGTTGTTCCGAAAGTCAGCGACTTACTCGTCTTATCAACGTAAAGTGCCCCGTACCACTGGCAAGATTACTTGTCAGCTTGAGCAGTCACGACCACGACTACCCAACTATCCTCTTCAGTTCCTTCCAAGGGTGTACGCCCACAACACCGTCACTCGTTGAAGAGCCCCGCCAAACCTGAAAGCCTGGACGGGGTAACTGCCGAAACAGTTGACAGGCCCATGGCCCCAACGGCAGCGCCTTCCTGCCCGAGAAGGCCGAAAAGCCCTATAATCGATAATTAGCAGCACCAAGCAGTACCTGCCAACCTTAGGTAAGCCGTGCTGGGGCGGCTACTGCATATAGATGACGCAACAGTTGAGCAGCGTGCGAGGCTGGATCAGTCTGCAGTGTGCACGCCTTGGAGGACAGGCTGTTATGTCATACTAATGACGCATCAACTGATACTGGCTGGATCATCGACGCCTATGATACAGTCGAGATATATTCCTCTGTGTGTGTGTCTGTGTGTGTCTGTGTGTGTGTCTCTCTCTCTCTATCCCATAGCTGCGCTCCGTACCCCGTACCGAGCATCGGGCATCTTGTCCGTACGGCCACTTACTGCGTGCTACCCTCAGCAACTTTTCTCAGAAGGACACGTGTGTTCATTTATTGGTTACGTGAGCAATGTATCAGCCTTGTACTGCAGGTGATCAGCAAAGATCGAGATGAAACCCAATCGTAGATTCGTTGATGACTGTTAGCGTTGCCTGACCTCACCTGGGGCTCCATACGCCATGAAACAGAGAAGGCCATTTTCCAAGGTTGGCCGGCTTGCTTCCAAGTTTTGGAGGGTTTGACGGGCAGCCACCACCAGCTTTGGTTTGGCGTGGCCGTTGGAGGCGCCCAGGACTCGCCACGAGAGCCTTTGGGGGGGCTCTTGTCCTGATTTGGCTCGCCAACAGCCCAGGACTCCCCCAAGGCGAATGGCCGGGACGCTCATCCGACGAGCGAACACCGGTTTTATTGACATTAATTACCTTTGGAATCGACCCCCTTCTTAGCACAATGGAAGGGAAAAAAGCGATGATCCGAGGAGGGTGGATGAAACCAAGTTAACGCATCTTTCAGACCTCGTCGGCGAAAGTGTTGGTGTGCAATATCTGTATACCACCTTTGTAGATATCACCATGGTGCATTTATCGACGCCAGCGAGCGCGAGGACAAACATTTCTACCATGCCGCAGCCCATAGCGATGCCTAGAGGCCACGCCACAGTTGGAGCTCCTGGGCTGCACCACCCGCACCCGCACCCGCACCCGCACCAGCCACTATTGCCGCCAGCATCACCTCCAACTGCAGCTACCACTGGCACTGTGAATCCGATCCCAGAGGCTGCGGCGATGGCCATGCCAACAACGGCAGCCCCAGAATCGAAGTCGCTCCCAACCGTACCAACTCTATCTCAAACTCAACTCGTCGCACCCTCACCTGTCCAGCCCTCCAGTCTGTCTCAGCGTCAATTTGGCCCTCGGCCTCCCAAGACTGAAATCCAGCGTATCGAGGAAGGTCGACTGCCTCTCGTCATGGAGCACCAAGAAATGCCCATGCCAATGCATCACCCCAGTGGCGGATCTTCATCTGGCTCCGATGAAGACACTGTTACTTCCACTCCTTACACGTATACCTCCAGCGGACCTTATGACCCGTCCGATCCGGGTGTCACATATACTCCCACCTCCTCAATCTCCGCCTACACCCCATCCACCGGCTTTTCATCTGCTGTTAATACCTGGAATTCCTATGGGCCGGGCACTGGACCAAGACCAAGAGGTGGCAGTGGCGGCGCACCTCCCACAGCCATGGACAGATCCTTCTCGAATGATGCTCAAAATCCCCGCCCAGGAGGCCCTCTGCGGACACCGTCGAATACCTATGCCCCTGCGAGGAGACCTCCGCAGTTTCTGTCCCTGAATTCGAAACGCGTCCATTCATCTCAGACTATGCGGTCATCAAGAAGAGATCCAAACGCTCAATACAAGGCACAAGAGAAGGCCTATGTACAGAAAGTCCGCCAACAACCACAGGACTGGTTCGGGAATGACCCTCGCACTCCCAGTATTGGCTACAGCACAGATGATGAAACCGACGATGATTCTCCCTCGGGCGAACATCATTTCGATGACCCTTACGATGAAACCTTGATGTTTCTCGGAAATGAAGATAACCTGCAACCGTCAGAGGAGGAGGTCCAGGTTCCAGAGAATCGGGAACGGCTTGAATGGCATTCCATGCTGGCTTCGGTGCTCAAGGGCGATGTCGTCAAACAGGAGAAGCAGAGATTGATCGGCACATCGGAACAGAAAACCAGATCCGAATTGGGCTACGATATATGGCTCGGAGTCCGGGCTAAGTATTACGGTAGGCCTCTCCAGATGCAGAAAAGAATGATTGAGGAGGCTCGACAACATTTGGGCCCGATCGTCGAAAGCCTTATCAGTTTTGAAATCAAGGGTGAGACCGTCGTCGGCAAATCAACCATGGGACAAGTCCAGGAGGGTGTTGAGAATATTGAAAAGTGCGAATGGCTCTATCCTTCCAGGAGGGCTTTGGAGGTAGCCCACAGCCGAGCAGCGTCAGAGGCATTCCAGAACAGCTGCGACGCCATCTTTGCTTGGCACAATATCACTCAATTGATAAACACCGAGCTGGCCGTACTCCAAGCATGGGTTGGAAATGCAGAGCTGGATTTCACCAAGCAGAAACATCGCACGGGAAATGGAGGCGATCTAGCGGATGAATCCTCTTTCATCGACCGGATCTTGAAGGAAGATGGGTTGAAATCGTTGCATAGTGACAAGAGCATGCTCAAAGGAATAGGGGATGTCATCACGAAAGCGAAGAGCACTCTCATCGAAAATGCCGAAGCGTTCGCATCTCGCCATTTGCCTCCTTACATCGAAGAACTCTTGACGCTCGTCAATTTTCCCTCGCGACTGATTGTGGAGATTATCCGAATGCGTCTCTCTTACGCGAAGAAAATGAAGGAATCTGCTCAACAATCTGTTTTGATCATTGATCAGATGATTGCCCAATTTCAGATTCTTATGCGACTCGCTTGTGTGATAAAGAAGGAGTACGTCATGGTATCAGATCCTGAGCCAGGCTGGGATCTGCCTCCCTGTATAGACGAGGCGTTTGACTCCGTGATCGTTGATGCCCTCAAGTTTTATTTCAAAATGCTCAACTGGAAATTAAGTGCAAACAAGAATACCTTCCGGGAAGCTGAAATTCTTGAGCAAGAATGGGGCTTTTCGAATGAAATCGGACGTCAACTCGAAGGCGGGGATATCGAAGTCGCGGAGCAATTCAGCTCGTTGACGGCAAAGTCATTGCTTCGGTTGACGGGCTCTTTTGAGCGGGAGCTTCGGACCAAGGAAGATGAGAGCCCACAGGAGATGGAAAAGCGATACAAAGCTATTCTTGACTCCGTCCGTGTACGCCAACGAAAACTCTTCCGTTTCTCTCGAATTCTACGGCAACGCTTCGAAAATGCTACTGAGTTCAACTTGGGCATGAATGCAACGCAGCTCCAGGTCTTCACCGAATCCCTCATTCTCTCGGGCCATTTCGTTGCGGATATGGGACCGAATAGTCCAAAGGGAGTTTTGTTCGTGGCGTCGCCTTCTCTCTGGAATAGGCCGAAAGAGATCCAATCCATTCTGGGGACCTCCTTCCACGCAGATGATGCACCCGAAAACCCATCCAACCCATACATCCTGATCATTAGGCCGGAAGAAGACATGCAGTGGGAGGGACCAAGAATGGAAGTGGACGTATTAGAATTACCCAGTGACGTGAGAATCGGACGATTGAGGCTCGTGGCTGATGGGTCGTCTCCGCGCCTGCAAAATGCGAGAATTGAATTTGCCAACGCCATAGGCCGCGAACTTGATGTGGTTATTGAGCAGCGAGCCAATCTCTCACGGGTCAATCTGGAGCTCGGAAAGATCAAGAAGACGACATTCAAGCTGTCCAACACTATCATGGAGAGTGTGGAAGCCGTTCGTTCTCAAAACGGGGGCATTGCAAGCCCAGAACTCGTACAGTCCTGCTTTGCATTCGCCACCGAGTTCGGAAAGCGATCTCTTACGTACATGGATGCCAACCGACGCATGATGAACAATCTGAAGCTCACTCGGTTAGCCCTCGATTGGGTCAGCTTCATCTGTGATGATTGTGATGCCGCAGATAGACGGACCTTCAAGTGGGCAGTCATTGCTTTGGAGTTCGCCATGGTAATGACGCGCGGACGAAACATCCTTGATATCAGTGAGGAGGACTACAGACAGATTCGACTCAAGGTTGCTGGTTGTATGTCTGTATTAATCTCCCACTTTGACATCATGGGCGCAAGATCGACGTTGGCGGCACAGCAGGAGAAATCGCGAGCTGAGGCAAATTCTGGTCTCAACAAACGACTCGACTACACCAAGCTAAAACATGACGATGATTGTGCCACGCAGATGTGCGAACAACGAATGTGGCAGTTGGAGGAGATTGATCGGGCCCGAGAAGAGCGTGGAACATCCAAGACCAACCTGGGTCGAGTGCTTGAGGGCTCGAACGAAGCTGATCGATCACTGACCTTCCTCTCCTCCTCTGCCACCAATGTCACGATGAGATGGCAGCAGGGTCAATTCGTAGGAGGTGGTACCTTCGGCTCGGTCTATGCCGCCCTCAATCTCGACACGGGCACGCTGATGGCGGTCAAGGAAATCCGTCTCCAGGACCCTCAGCTGATTCCAACCATTGTCAAGCAGATCAGCGATGAGATGGGCGTCCTGGCTGTCCTGGACCACCCCAATATTGTCTCCTACCATGGCATTGAGGTTCATCGAGACAAAGTCTACATCTTCATGGAGTACTGCTCTGGTGGCTCTGTCGCAGGGCTTCTCGAGCACGGCCGTATCGAAGATGAGACGGTCATCATGGTCTACGTCTTGCAGATGCTCGAAGGCTTGGCCTACCTGCATCAAGCACACATAGTGCATAGGGACATCAAACCAGAAAACGTCCTCCTCGATCATAATGGCGTGATCAAGTATGTCGACTTCGGAGCGGCCAAAGTGATTGCACGTCAAGGACAGACAATGATGGCAGGGCCGGAGCCTGCTCAGCGTCGCGATGGAGAGGGGGGACACGCGGCAGGAGCTCCTAGGTTGCCACAGAAGACTATGACAGGCACACCCATGTACATGTCGCCCGAAGTGATACGAGGTGATGGACCAGCAACATCACGATTTTCAGGAGCAGCAGATATCTGGTCATTGGGCTGTGTGGTTCTCGAAATGGCAACCGGCCGGCGACCGTGGTCGACGTTGGACAACGAATGGGCGATCATGTACAACATTGCCCAGGGCAATCCGCCACAACTGCCAGCAGAAGACCAGCTAAGTGAGATGGGCATTGACTTTTTGAAGAAGTGTTTCGAGCGAGATCCGGCCAAAAGAAGCACCGCAGCCGAGTTGTTGCAGCATCCTTGGATCGTCGAGATCCGACGGTTGGTGGTGGACGAGCCCGAAGTTCAGACTCCAAGAAGTGACACAAGCAGCTCTAGCGGAGGTCTTTCACTACCAAGTCGACAGCATTCTTCGGCTTTCTAGATGAAGATGGCCCCTCGAGTCTGGAGCAGTTGGTTTCTCCAAAGGTGTACTGTATATTGAAGAATGAATTCGCTTGCACCTTTGCTAGTAATTTCTCTCGGCCAACCTTTTTGAGCCGATGAATGAATGTTAATACCTTGAGGAGTGCGATCAATTACCTTAACATCTTTCCTTTGGTTGGAACAGTCGTTCCCCTATCCATCGTAATGAACTACCGACATGGCCTTCATACCAGTTACTCAGATCCCTCGTGAACGAAAGACTACCATTTACGGGTTGATTCTACACGGTGAGCAAAGGCCATCCTCATTTTTTGCTCGTACTCTAGGAGCCAAATCCTTTAGCCTTTAATTCCTGCAGAAGGCATCCTTGGCTTGCCATGGACTCGGACCTCGGTTTATAAAGGACTGAGCCGATCTGATGGCAATACCTGCCCATTCTTGTGGCCATGGAGCTAGGACCAAAACATATATTGCCCCATTCGCAAAAGCGGCCCGTCTCGAATGATAATAATCATTCCTTATTCGTCCATTTTCGGGCGATCTCAAACTCAAAGGGACAACTCCTTTTACTGAAGGTTTGCTAATCAATGATACAAGTGGGGAATGCTACTCATTACTGATCGTACTCTTTGCGAAGTGCGGGGCTTAACTTCTGGGTGCTGTAAACGCTGTAAAAGCGAGTGTCCTACCATGCCACTGCTTGTACCGTACCGAGACACACGCCATATCCTTGCCAGGAGCGAGTTTGAGGTCTAGACTATTCGAGAGAATTGGAAACCCCACCGGATACCCACCCTAGTACCTTTGCACTGGAATTATACTCTCGTCACGGGGGAGGCCGTGCCAGAAGACATTCGCTTTTCCCTCCACTACACATTGACGAGGGCGACAAGCAAAATCTGAGATATCGATGTATACCACTTTCGCAGCTTCCGGCCATGTAGCCGACGCCACAGCTCGTGATCGTGCATGCGACTCTTGTCGTCACCTCAAGATAAAGGCAGGTCGCAACGCTGTTGTCTTCGATGAGGACTAACTCGAGTCTTGTGTTCTCCACAGTGCCACCAGGTCAATCCCAGATCAAGCTCTCCAAACACAGAAAACAAATGCGACCAATGCCGTCGGGTAGGTATCCGGTGTACGTTCAAGCAACAGCCCGCCAGACGTGGTCGACGACGAAGACGGTAAGCAGGTGGCCGCTCTCCAGATTCTCTTTCAAGCCATGACTGTGGATTTCAGGGACTGGCAAGCTACACCTTTGCCCTATGCTCGCAACGGTGTGGTGGTTTCCACTCCCGCAAACCTCGAAAAGCCGGGGACTTCTCAGGCACGAGACGAGGGGTTGCACAAAGACGTCAACTATGATCCCTTTTCTTTCTTTAAGCAACCGTCAAACTCGCCTAACTCCGGATCTGTTTCTGAGAGCTGTTACACAAACAACGCTCCTCTCGAGCCGGAGACTTTTGACCTCAGCGCCGAACATAATGCGCCTTTTCACCCCCCATATGATTTACCACCAGACCTTCAGCTTTCTCTTGATGGAGACTGGGCAGCCGACAGCCATTGGGATGTTGTCGCCGACCATCTGCCTTGGGATGCTTATCTGACTATTGACAACGACATATGGAGGGATTTGGAGAGATTCTTCGATAGGGCGTACATCATCTTCCCAGTGATATCTTACCACGATCTGACCGCACGCCTTCTCCTCGAACCTGACTGGCGTGATGATCCCCCCTTGAAAACCTTACTTCTTTCAATTCGCCTTATCAACATGGCTGGCGACTACCGTATGACTTCTAGCGATCGTGCGCAGCTTCTCCAATTGGTCAGCCAGGTCGAAACCTCCCGTCTGAGCCATGATTTTGCCGATCCTGCAACGCTGGACGCTGTCGTGGCTTCACTGTTCTTGTTCACAGCTTACAATGTTCTTGAGAAATATACTCGGTCAATGCTTTATCTCGACGAAGCGTTTTCACTTCTAGATGCCGCGGATGTTGGGTCCAATGAAGTGCGCAGAGAACAGCAGTTGCGAATGGTCCTCTTCAACACGGAGGTCGCCACTCTGCGCATTTACACGCACAGAAAAAAGATTCGGTGGTCTCATAGAGCCTCGATTGTCGAGAATCTGGAAAACGATTGTTGTTTGAGTGTTGAAACGATAGTTCAGCCTGAACCTGTCGCGATGCATTTGCTCAGGAGGCTCACGCAGGTCAATCTCGCCCAGAGTGCAGAAGCATTAGAACAACTTAATGTCGAGTCGGAGAATGATATGGCTACCTTGTTCGGGACAGTTTTCCAGCAACACCGTATTTCTAGAGTTCAAGCCGCGGATGTCGCTATCACTCGACAATGGAACCTCTCATCCATGCTTGTCTCCGGCGCTAGAACAGCGCCGGCAGCGCTCGAGGCATTTGGCGTCTCAGCAGAGCAAATGGGCACCACTGCCCTTTCTTGGATATGCCTACTTGGTGAAGGGGAACTGAGGATCGTGGGCCTCGGAAAGGTAGCTGCCTTGGCGCGAAAACTACGCTTCTTAGCAGGGCCATCCCGATGCAACACCGTGCTTGGAGGCCTGCTTGGCGCCATCATACGGGAAGACCATGAGAAAACATATGCACCCCAGCTTGCAGATGTGGTGATGCCGATGGCTTCATCTTTGCCGTACACAATAACGCCCCGTCATTTAGACAGCTCTTTGGCGATGCTTCGGTGTAGCAAGCACGCTCCAACACACAGAGATGGAACAGTCTTCGAGGACGAGAGCTGATCGAGTCCTCTAAATAAGAAGCAATCTTCCTCGGTCTTGTATCTGTGCCTGTTTATGATTGATTGAAATTTGAATGTTCGAATAGTTTCTACGCATACTGTATACATCGATAGACACTGTATCTATATACCTAATCGAGTCACTGAAACGCTTCCATGAAAAGATCTCTTTGACTCTCGAACCATCCCCTGGTTACCTCTGCATTTGTTGGGAATGTAAATCCATGTGGCACACCTTGCAAGACTTCTTCTGTTGCCTGCACCCCAGCTGACCGGAGCAACTGACCATAAGCCAGAGCTTGATCTCGTAGGACATCACAAGCGGAGACGGTAATGTGAGTGCGAGGGTGTTTCAACAGTTCTTCAGGTTTCGACATCAGAGGAGACACGAAAGGGTCAAAAACATCTTCATTGTCACCCAGATACATTCCTGTGACCGAAATATCAGCGAAGTGCAGCAAGCTGGAATTCAATGCAAGAACACATACGGAGCAACTTCTCAAACTCTTCAACTACTGCTTCGGAGGGCGAAGGCTCATTTGCGAATGCAAGTTCGTTGTCACTCTTCAGAACGCGGCGCTCCTGCTCGAACAGCCTTTGTGCCTTTGGATGAGCGGTGACTGGAACGACGAGGCTGACCATTCTCAACTGCGGCTTTGCTGCCACTGCAGGTGCCTGCGAGTATCGAAGTGCGAGCGCAGCGGCCAGCTGTCCACCGGCTGAACCTCCTAACAAACCGATGCGGGTTGGGTCCACGGTATATTCTGCTGCGCTTCGGATCACCTATCGCCAAGTTCAGCCTTCAGTTGCAATCAGAAACACCGAAGCAGAGTCCGACATACCCAATCCAATGCATCGCTGCAGTCGTCCAGTGGCAAAGGGAAAGGATGCTCCGGCGCAAGCCGATAGTCAACACCAAAGACTACAGCGTCCAGTTCTGAAGCGAGGAACTCCAATAAAACTGTGCACCGCTCAGTTTGAATCATCGCAGAAGTGCAGGGAACAGGAGTTCACCTTCATCACAACGTGAATTCCCGTGAATCCAACCTCCGCCATGAAGGAACAGTATAGCAGGCCTCGATTGGCCTTTTATGTCTTCCTCGGTTCTTTCAGACACCCAGACACGAACATTAAAGCTTGCTTGTCCAGCTCCTGTGCACTTCACAGAGACGTCGGTCGCATTGACCTTCGCTATGGGACGTCGGCGCTTGATGTCACATCTGGCTCTATATTCCGCAAGCGGTCCCTTCGTCAAAGTGTTCTCGATCCAATCCCGCCATCCTTGCACATCTGTCCCAGCCGGCTGTGCAGCCCAATTGACGGGAAGATTTGCCAACTCCTACAAACATTCAGCCTCCGCAGCTGCACTTGAGTGAGTGGGGTCACGATCACGCACCTGGAGGAAGTTCTTATCCGGGATCATGAGTGCATGAGATGTGCTTGTGTCAAGCCCGAATGCTTTGGCCAACATTTGTAAGTCCGGAGCCAGCTCGTCTCCATGAGAGTCGACAATCTGGGGAACAGAGAGTGGAGCGGTGTCCAGAGCGGATGCAACAGTTGCCATTGTGTAAAGATTGTCGATGTCAGCCAGAATTCGCCATTTTTGCTTATCGAAGTGGACAAGACGTTGGCTTTTATCTTCGGCCATTGCTTCCGAGGCGGAAACTCAGTCACCATGGCGAGGCCACGTTCCTATTCTGGCGATTACCCCATCCTGTCTAGCACGCACCATATTTCTTGTTGTTTGGTGGTGGCTCGGCCAATGAAACACGGGGTGTGTAAAGACGATGCCTTGGGTGGCAGGCCCAGATGAACACCACATCTCTACTTCAGAACATCGTTGCTTCAGATCCCTACCAGGGATATTCCCCAGAAGGAAATGCACCGGGCTGGCTGTCTTCTTCATTCCCATGGCTCAAGGTGATGAACACCATACAAGTAACGAGTCGCACCTCAGCCCTTACAGACAGTCCTCCACAGTCTCAACCGCTCAGTACCGAACACGCTTTTTCAAGATGACTACAGCCGAGATGGACTCCAGCGCAATGAAAGAGCAGACGAACACGCACGAAGAACATGTGTACAAGAACAAACCTCAGTCTCTCGACGCAGTATCCCACAACATCCACTATCCAAAAGCGTGGATGAATTGGCGGTTCGTCATGTACTGTGAGTCGTCCTTTGAATATGCCACTGCTTCAGCAAATCCAAAGATTAGCTGCGAATATACAGGCTAACAAATTCTGGTTGACCAGTGACTATTGTTGGCCTTTCGCTTGGTCTTTTCGGATATGACAATACCTTCACGGGCCCGCTGCTAGCTCTGCCCATATTTATTGTCAAGTATCAAGGCAATGGCCCTGCTTTCACGGTGAGAAGTGCTAGCTGATCTCTGGGCGGAAACTAATCTTCAATCCAGGCAACTAACCTCAATCTCCTTGTACCAGTACCGCTGGTCGGGGCTGCCCTGGGCACCTTCTGTGCGACACCTTTCACGAAGCGCTTTGGGCGCAAAAAGACGTTTCTGGCGGCTTACTCCTTGCTCTGTACACCTGGGTCATTTCTACAACTCTTTGCGCCCAACTTGACCGCACTAATCATTGGTCGATTCTGGAATAGTGAGAACTCCGAAGCATACCTTCTCGTTGATCCCGCACTGACCGTTTTGCAGCTGTGGGTGTCAGTGTTCTCACTACGGTTGCGCCACTGTATCTATCCGAGCTCGCGCCTGCTCATGTACGAGGTAGAGCTATCGGATTCTGCATTGCAGGATCATCGGCAGCGGCAATCGTCGCAACCACAGTTGTGTGGGCATCGTCGAAGGACCAGTCTGAGTGGCAGTACAAGACCCCACTAGCCATTCAAGCCGCGCTTCCAGTCGTCCTTGGGCTTCTCACGCTACTGGTTCCAGAGTCCCCAATCTGGGCAATGCAAAGGGACCAGTCAGAGTTTGCAAGAGAGGTCTTTATGACATTGCGGAACAACAAAGTCGACATCGTCGCTGCTGAAATGTCCCAATATCAGGTCTCACTAATGGCCGAAGCACAACGTCGCGAGAAGTCTCGCTTCTGGGACATCCTGAACCGGACCAATTTGAAACGCACACTCTCTGCGGGTGCTTGTCTCAGCGCTAGTCAAGTGGGAGGCCAGATCCTCGTCCTAACCTATTCAACAGTAATTCTGGTCCAGAGTGGTGTTGGAAACCCGTTCGAAGTGACCATGGTGATATCCTGCCTGATATTCCTGGGCACGCTTGTCGGACCAGTCCTGGTTGACTGGGTCGGTCGCCGACCTGTCGCTCTCTTTGGTTTCTCAATCCTATTCATCCTTAATCTAGCCGCAGGGAGCCTTGCTGCTGCTGGCCTTGCCACTGAAAGTCAGAGACTGGGGCTGGCCACAGTCTTTATCCTTTTCGGATTTTTCAACTCCGTCTCGTTCCAATCAGTCTCAGTCTTACTCGCAGCCGAAATCCCCACGACAGCTCTTCGAGAAGCGACAATGTCATGGACGATTTTCTGGTCCTACGTAACTGCCATCGTCACCACTTTTGCCGTGCCCCAGATTACTTCGCCAGATGCAGGCAACTTGGGGGCAAAAACAGCCTTTATCTTCGCAGGTTGTGTTTTGGTGACCACGATTTGGGCGTACTTTTACATTCCGGAGGCCAAAGGTCGAACGCCGGCAGAGATCGATGAGATGTATGCGATCGAATTGCCAATGAGGAAGTGGAGGGGCCACCAATGTGTTGCCGTGAATAGGACGGCTGAAATGGTCAACCGAGACGTTCGTGTGAGCGATGCTGGCAATAAGCATTCGGCGTAGGCCATACATTTGTTCGATCGGGAAGTGGCATTGAGGGCTCTTCATCGTCAGTAGTGGTGCACAGTCGACAGATTTGGCGTGAGACGAGATACGGTCTCAGCCTGCTCAGCACTCCACACCGTCTATGACAGATTTGTACGACTTGCAGCGAGGCTGAATCATGCAATTCAGGGGCCGGGAAGATTGTGTAGGGATCTTGGTAGCTGGTGATAGGTGATAATGACGCTTCAAGGATTTACATAGGTACATAATCTCCGTTTTTGTACGTACCTCAACAGGGAAACTGGGACTGAGGACGACCCGAAGCTGATATATCCTCATTAGCTAAGACTCTGATCTTATAAGGAAATGTAAATCAAACATGCTATTATAATTCACTGTTTAGTCCATGCCCAGCCCGAGGGACTCGCAGAACTTGTTCGCAGCCGTGGTTGGTCTACTCGCAAGATCTACCAAGCCGATGAGCTTCGGCCGATGCTATCTTAAGAGCAAGAGAACGTTGAGACCTTCTGCCCTGTTGGCGCCAGAGACAATGAGAGCGCACCCCGTCTACGAGGCGTCCACTCAATATCCACAACGCGCAGCTTTCAACCCATCAGCGAATTGCAGTCCCAAAAACGAGGTTCTCTGAAAGCAAGTGCAATTTCACCTAAGTCGGGGTAGCCCAACAGGAGATCAATCGATAGTAGCCACAATGCCACCCTCGATGAACCCCTCTTCCATATCTGCGAGGCTAACAAGGGAACCACGCTGGGTATTCATGACGATCAATTACCTTAAGCCCAGGAAGTGGTAGGTGAGCCGAGGGTGAGTAAGCCAGCACGTGGTCCTAGTAGTAAGTCTCGTGACCTTCCTCGGCACGGATAAATGATCCAGGCGCAGTCACATGGGGTTGGGGCATGGGTACCCACCTTTCCCAATCAGGCGTGGTCACTACCCGGGTCTCCTATTAGTTGGCGCCTTCCTAAAGTTTGAGTTCAGGTTCTGGTCGGTGCCTGACCTGTTTGGGGCGCTGACACTGTACGGGTACATTACAGTGAGTGCCAGGCCTCTCTCTCATTCTCTGAACTCCATCCTCGGTATCCGTCCATATACAACGGAATGTAACCACTCACTTCCATTCCGAGTACTTCGTTCGTTCGCAGCCCAAGATCATCAGGCCCCCTCACTGTCTCGATCCGTCCTTGCCTCCATAGATCGAAATTGCTACGTCGGTTTCATCATGCGTTTCTGCTAGGCGATCAACATGACGCACCACAGCCCGAATGGATCCGATCCGTTTGCAGACAATGCTGCCGTATACGATGAACGGGAAACCATCGTCGAATCCACCCTCGCTGTTGGTCGCAATGCTACCCTGACACTGGGGACCGACTCTGTTATACTCCTAGGTTGGTCGCTGTGCTACCTGCTCTTCAATAGATCCCCTGCTGACCGGTCACCGATTGTAGACGAGGGCATTAATGAAGGTACGGGGTTTTCGTGCTTTGGGCTGCTGCCACAAAGTATGTCAGCCATCTCCTCGCCTGGCCTTTGAATGCTACCACTAAGTCTTCAAATGCAGGGACCACAAATACCCGGTCCATTCCCTATTTTAATGTACTTTGGGCCGAAGTGGTCAAGAACGACTTAACGATTCGATACGCGAAACCTACCTCGAAATCCCCGCGTGGCCCCGTTGTTGTCGCGTATGTAAATTACACCCTGGAAAATTTTACATCTACCGAAGAGAAGGCGTCAAGATGGGTGACACGACTGCTTGCCCGTGCCTACGGACTTTCCCAGCGAAATAAAAGAATCAAACTTTTGATAAACCCATTTGGCGGGGTGGGCAAGGCGGAGAAATTGTATCCAAAAGAGATTGAGCCCATCTTTGCCGCCGCCCGTTGTGAAGTTGACGTCGAAAGAACTACTCATTCCGGTCATGCCATCGAGATTGCCGAGAACCTGGATATCAATGCTTATGACGTCCTAGTCAGCGCTTCTGGGGATGGGCTCCCCCATGAATGCTTCAACGGTCTGGCAAGGAAACCCAATGCAGCTGAAGCACTACGGAAGGTGGCTATTGCCCAATTGCCATGTGGTAGTGGCAATGCCATGTGTTGGAATCTTAATGGCACCGGGGAATGCAGCACAGCGGCGCTGTGTATCGTCAAGGGTATTCGCACACCTATGGACCTTGTCAGTGTCACGCAAGGCGACAAGAGAACGTTGTCTTTCCTCTCCCAGTCCCTTGGCATAGTGGCGGAGAGTGACCTAGGTACCGATAATGTCCGGTGGATGGGCGAGTCGAGATTTGTATTTGGATTTCTGGTTCGTTTGATCGGAAAGAGCATTTATCCCTGCGACATTGCAGTCAAGACAGAAATTGAGGACAAGCAAGATATAAAGCGACATTACGCACGGGAACGAGCCAAGGCTCAAATACCCAATCCAATCTCTCGCGGTGACCTTGACGGTCCCCTTGATACCTCTACCAACCTTGGTCTCCCGCCGCTAGAATATGGCACGGTCAACGATCCCTTACCAACTGGAGACGGTTGGTCACCCTTGATCCACTACCACAACCTGGGGAATTTTTATTGCGGAAACATGAATATCATGTCCGCCGATGCCCCCTTCTTCCCAGCATCGCTTCCCTCCGACGGCCTCTGCGATCTCGTCACCATCGACGGAGATGTTTCGCGCCTTACATCTCTCGACCTGCTTTTATCCGTTGAAAAGAACAATTTCTTCGATAAAGAGGTTGTGCGCGTACGCAAAGTAAAAGCTGTCCGTGTCATTCCTAAATTCGGTCGACATGTCCAGCAAACCAAAAACCGAAATCGCCAAGGGCGGCTAGGACAGATGATGGACCGCCTCGGTGTTAGTGGTGAGGGCCGTAATGCAAATCGAGACGGGGGCTATTTCAGTGTCGATGGTGAAAAGCTACCGTTTGAACCGTTTCAGTTAGAGTGTCACAGAGCCCTGGGTACTGTGCTGAGTAGACACGGTGGCATCTACGAGGCTGACGGACCCAAGGGCTGGGACGCAATTGATACTAGTGGCGATGATCACGGCAATTCGATGCCAAGGTAATATTGTGATCTCGTTTTCTTATCATACCGGCCGCCCTCGTCGATTGAAATATCAAGCTATGGGCATCGCCCAAAACCCAGAAATGGAGCAGACATGAGACAACAGCAATCCGGAAATGCGTCCTAAATCTTCGCATTCTGTAGCATTGTCACCTTACCTGTGACTGGAATAGGTCTACACATCTAGATTTTCCAGCGATTTGGTCAACATATCTCTGAAGAACAGCAGCGAACGCAAACATACACCATCCCATTCCTTGGATCTTTCTGGTTCCTTGCGAGTCCTTGCGCTGAGGCGCCATTTGGAGCGAGAGAACAAAATGACGTGATACCCCTACAACAACGAAGCGAGGTTTCAAGCTTCCTTGTTCTGAAATAGCAGTCTCTGGTCGTTCATATAAACATATACCATGGTTTCGGTTTAGTTTAGAGTTTGTGTTTTCGGCCCGATGTCGACGCAGATTTTATACCCAAAGGTGGATGCCTCTGTTTTTGATTTTGTTATTCATCCCGTCATTGTCTGAGGACCACATGCTGCCATCCGACCAAGGGTTGGAGAATCAAGCCCTTTGGAAGGACATCGAAGCATTGCAATATACTCAAATATCTCTTTCATTTGGTCCTATTCGAGTGATCGATAACAATGTCCAGGCACAGATTGCGAATGTCACGTAAATATGATCTTGTGAGTTGCACTGGCGTTTTGATTAGTTCTGGCCAGGTTATCAAAGAATATTTACCCGCGGCATGCAAGCTATCCTTGCTCCAAGTTCCCTATCTAATTAACATACCATTACCTCCACACCTCAAGTGTGAAGAGGGTCTGTCGCCGCCGCCCGCCGCCGACATCAGTCAGCTTTATCAACCATGGAACGACCATCCCGCTACGCTAGTCCATTCCCGACCAAGAACTGCGAGATATGCTGGTAAGTGATATCTTTTGAGTACTCGAAGTTGAGACCGTGGCCAGCGCCAGGGACGATAAATGTCTCAAAGCGACGCGAGGCTGGGAAAGCATTCTGCACAGCAGCAGGAATGCTAGCGAGCGAGGGATTGCCGCCGGTAGCCAGGCAGTCTCCGCCGCAGAAGGGCACATCACGCTCACCGGTGATGACGAGGACGGGGCCGGGGAATTTGTTGACGCCTCCAGCTGCTCCGGCGATCGTGAACAATTCGCCCACTGTGACGGGCTGGCCGGTCTTGTATGCGAAGTCCAGCGAGGCGGGGTCGAATGCTCCAGGAGCGAAGAAGTTGGTCTGCAGGGCAGACGGGTTCCCCGCAGCGAGATATCCGGCAACATACTGCGAGGCAGCAGCTGGGACGGAGGTGACGGAGACAAAGTTGCCGCCGAGCTGGAAGAATGGCAGGAAGGTGCCGTTGGCAGAGAAACCTGTGAGGATCAAACCATCTGAGAGTGCTGGCTCGTCGCGTGCCAGGGCATAGCTCTGGATGGAGCCAAAAGAGTGACCGACATGGACGATCTTGTCGAAGTGACGACCTTGAGCCTCACCGGGCAGTTTCTGTGTGCGCGCGAGTCTCGTCACAGCCTTCAGGGCTGCGATCTCAAGAAATGATTGGATCTCATCTACCGGCTCGCCATGCTCCGACATGGCAATCCCCAGACGGTCCCAGGACAGAGTTGCGCACCCATACTGATCCACTGCGGTCTCGACGTACGAGTAGTTGTAGTTGTTGAATGGAATGTCCCAATACCCTCTGTCGAAGCCGACGCCGTGCGTGAGGATCTGCAGCGTCTTGCCGGGTCCCTTGTCAGGTGTGCAGAATGTCGCGGCCAGCTCGTAATCGCCTGACACGGTCGCGTAGCCTGTCAGCACCTCCGCGGTGTAGTTGCTTTCCTGCTTTGCCATCTTGAGCATCAAGTTGGTCACGTCGATGTTGTTCTGTGGCGTCGCCACATTGAAAACGCCGTTGCGCGCGGATATAGAAACGGGGATGGTGATGTTTTGGCATTTTCTGGCGGATGCCATGCTGGCGCAGGCGGCGAGGGCGAGACCTGATAGAAGGGTCGAGAATGCACCCATGGTGGTTGTCAACGAATGGATGTATTTAGTACAGAAGAGGACACAGGTCTGTAATGCCAGCCGATGGACAGTCGGATGAGACAAGCTGGAGGTTAGGACTACGTATACCCAGCGCGGAAGTAATTGCTAGGTGAAAGTGACTTTATATACACATCTGAGATACATTGGCAGACTGCCTCATACCATGTGCTTTCTAAACGGCCCTTAACATGTTCCAATGACGACGGCTGCCACTTGACGGTGCGTCGGTGAGGACATGTTCACGCTTCGCTTCGTAACGGCCAGTATCCGGTAGGACTACTGCCATGCCATGCCATGTCGTTCTGTTGTGAATGTTATTACCGGTGGTAAGCGTGCGTCAAGTGAGGTCCACAACAGCTCCAGCAAACCCCGACTGAAATCCTGTCTTGAGGAGTGCACAAATTCGCAGAGTGGGTCCAAAGGACCAATGAAGCATGCAACATGACATTTCAGGCTAAACCGATTGCAGATTATCATGCACAAGGCAGTGACCCTGGTAGTCTGGTCGCTGGGGAATATACATGCTCCGTACATGGTACCGATTTGACGTCCCGACGTCCGAGAGAGGTAATACCTTGATCAAGTCCGAATGGGGCGGGGAATGAGGTCAGCCTCGTCGGCAGGATTCATGATGTAGCGTCACGCCAAGGGTTCATGTAGTAAGGTTCCATCGATGAAGTAAAGTGCTCGAAAGATGCCCGTTGTGAAAAAGGATGTTCAAGCATCATGACTGCTCCGTAGGTAGGCAGCTAGGTAGGGCTACAAGCTTTGGATTTGTCACATTTGCTTGACTCAGATATCCCGGTATTGGTGGGGAGGAGGGGATCGACAAGACTTCCCAATGACAAGGTTGGTTAAAGGCGTGTCAGATTTAGAGCCACCTAATTAAAGATTTGCGGAGATCGTCACTCATAGAGCGGCGAGAAGGATCCATTGGAGATTTGGAATATCACCACATTTGGCTCGCTAGGATTCGCATCTCATCTTATTAGCATTATTCAGCTTTTTTCTGCCCGTAAGGTCTGGGTGCCAAATGTTTTTCCCCGCCGGTTGCGTCTCTCCGATTGCGGGCCGGGTACACATGGCTTTGCAGATCTTGACGAGGCTCCCCGATATCCACTACCACCACCACATACATTCCGACCCCAACCCTGGCTTTTGAGGCGACCGATCTTGAAGATTATTTTTTGGGTTCTGCTGCGGTCGCTAGCACTGGCGCAGGTACTGGGACTGGGAATGGTACTGTAAAATTTGCTCAAAGTGATATTTTAGACAGACAGCAGTTGAGTTGGAGTCTCGCCAGGCCACCAGTACGCGACGCCCTAACGTCCAATGTCACAGCTTGGCCAAGGGGTGCTACAAGCTCACATCATCTGGTTTGTCCGCTTGCATTCGTGACAGCTGGCGTTGACTGGTCGGTTTTCCAAGATGTGTCGTTGTCGGTTCCACAGTGACATTTCAATGTCGGGACTTCTTTGGTCGTTGCCTTTTGCTGCGCCAGAATGTAAGTGGTCATGCTCTGTTTTCCTCGGGGATCAGTATTCTTTGTAGACGCCGATACTGGACATTCGAACATTCTGGGGTTGGAGTTCAACTGCAAAGTTACTCAGATGCTTTCTTGGAACGACTTCACCGCATCTTTTGCTCTCATCTTGACGCCTTTGCTCAATGCCTCCTTGCTAATTTTCTCGACTGGCGCCATGATGAGCTTTGCAGCACCTGTCAGAGCGTTTTTCACGCCATTCTCACCGCTTTCTGATGAAGATTCCTGTCCTCCTTGCACTGCTGCCGCTGCTGTTGCTGCTTCGAGTTGCGCAAGCAGTTCATCAGACCAGACGTCAAGCACGTGAAGTCGCAGTCCATCGGGTACCTTTCGCTCACGGGGGCTCAATGGCCAGCTCTCCAGTACGTGTACTTGTCTGGTGACGATCTCATGGGACTTAGCGCTTGATTTTGGCTCATCGACCGCAACGGCGTCAAAGAGGAGACGGAGGTTCTCGCGGAGGAAAAATCTCACCAGCAGCAACACTTTGTTCATGCGCCACTGATCGATAGACACCCACTCCCGACTGATGGTCTCCCAGAATGCTGTCGTCCAGGTATCGAGCCACACGCCATCCTGACCGCCAGATGTACTGATAGCTTTGTCCTTGGCGGCGATGACACTCAACAGTCCGGCAACTTCGGTAATGAGGTTCTGCACTGATATGGCGTTCTTGCTGTCATGCATGTACACCGCAACATAGAGTCCTCGCCAGAGTTGCAGTGATTGGGTTGGTGTCAAGGGTGATGTGGCCTCCCGTTCGTTCAGATGTGACACAATTGCCCTCAATGCCGATCTCCGTATGGAGGATTCTATATCAAGGATCAGTCAGATGAAGTCTGTGTAAACCATTTCCGTAAAGAACAGAGTGAGTTTCATTGCGTTCAACTAAACTCAAGGGAGGACCCGGTTTGGTCGTGAGACATTTGTGACCAGGAGCAGGATAAATGATGCAAACTGCAAATTGGTAGAATTGTTACAGTGGGCATGTTCATATCAGTGAACAGCGCTCTCTGCTTAACCCCGTTCTCCTTCGTCTCGCAGCGCAGCGCAAACAGCAGGCATCGTTCAGCCTAGACAAAAGCAACAAGAACGCTGGTCTTGGGGTGAAAGAAAGACATAATACGCACCACTGCTTGCAAGATCCTTGACAGAAGGTATTGGTTCGCTTTCTGTGATGGCAGCCATTTTGACTACTTCTCGAATATTCTCGGCTTGAGATATACCAATTCAACTCATTGAGGCGCACAGGCAAAAATTTGTGCCATTACAGGAATGAAACAGTTCTTGCTGAACACCATTTTGAGGAGGAAAAAGTTGAGTTCTACGCGAGTCAGGTCCTGAGGTGGCGCTGGGTCTTGGCAGTATTTGAATGACTCGCAGGACAAGGCTGCCTCACCCCGTGCGGCTGCAGTAACTCCAAGACTAGGTACATACTAAACTGCCTACTTCAATGCTGATGTTGCTGATTCGCTCTCGACATCCTCGTCCTCTTAGTCCGTCGTAGGGTGGTGCATACCCGCTCAGGCAACCTGCGAAAGCCAGTGTCCTCGTGAGAGGCTACGTAGGAGATATGATTGAGAGTCAGACTCACTCAGTATCACTTACCTAGAAACAGCGCACATATAGACATTCAATAGAGACGAGATACATCGAATTCATAGATGAATACAATGGAGGTTCCCTCTCTGAACCTCCCTTCTCTACTTCCTCCCTCTAATTACGCCCAATTCAAATTTACTCACTGCTTCACTGCTTCACTGCTTCACTGCTCTTGGCTGGATGTAGCCCTCTTCCTTAAAGAACGAACAAGACCGTACTCTCTTCGTCCCCAACAGTGTCGTCACATCCATTTCTAGGCACCCACGGTCTGAATGGATTCTGAAACGGATGGCGGTCAGCAACCATATGTTTAACGCAAACACCAAACGCCCAGACGTCTAATGCTGCTGAGTCAATGGGTCTGGTTCCTTCAGGCACCCTCAGCAGTTCAGGAGCCGCGTGTTCCCGACTTCCCCCCAAAATATTTGTCCAAGATCCGTCAGACTATCTATCAGATGAACGCTTGAAAATAGCCAACACATGGTTAACATGTTCATTCTATGGAACTCGCTCCGAGTCGACGGACATGTGCTGTGCATCCGGGTACACGCTGGCGATATCCTCGTCCAGAGCTTCCACGCCTTCTTCTTCTTTCCCTAGCAGACGCTGGGTAGCTTCTCATACATGAGATTCCTCTGGAGCGTTCAACTCACGTAGCCTTATGACACTGTTGCCATCAAGGATGCGCAGGCAGAACCAGCAGTGATTGGCATGGAAGTCTGATTGAGATACATACGAAGTATCCAGCACCGAGTGCTAATGCTAGAGTTTCATTGCAGTAATGTGTAATAGGAGCAACTGTGCTCGATATATAAGCCTCGCTAGCTGCTCCCGACATGGTAGCCAACCGATGCTCCAGGAAATTCAAAAACGATTGTTGTGCCCTCAATAGAATAGATCTTCCTCTCCTTTTACACAGCCGTCGCACTTTCTCTTCCATCTATCTAATCAACGCTGTAGGGAGAACCAAGGCATTCACGATCGGGAAAATCATCTACATCGTCCGCAGCCCAGTGTTTCCCATCCTCATCCACATGGTACATTGAATTGACGAGGACAGAGCCAGAAAGCACACGGTTATACTCCGACGACGACCTGGCAGTGCCTGGATGCCGGAGATAGTCCATGTAGTGCTTGCCGTTTGGTTTCCCGGAGGGCGAGTCGACGCCACTGCTTTTGTGTTGGGGTGGCGTAGGTGGTGACTTCTCGTTAGGTAAGTCGAGACGATCCGCGCGTCGCGGGGTTGCTTCACCATCATCTGAAAAGCCATTGAACATATTCAAGGTGGCCGGCGACAGTGGTGGCGACCCAAAGCGGTGCATCGCCGTGCCAGTGCCGGTCCTGCTACCGGGTAAGGACCTGACGAGTGCGTTGTCGAGGTCTGCTGTCGACAACGCCCTAGGTTCCGCGTCGCTATCGGCGCGAATATGGATGCGCTCAGACTTCTGCGATATCTTGGGGTTCAGCTTAGGACGAACAAACTGGTCTTCGGACGGCTTGCGGTTTGCTTCCGAGATTGGAAACGAAAGCTCTTTTCGAGCGGTGTTTTCCTTTTCATTTGCTGGCGGTGGCGATCGACATGGCGTTACATCGGTAGGGGGAACGCTTTCGTCCTTCACGTCCTTCACTCCGACCTTCGCACCAATTCCTCCATTCTGATCATCCGTCTCCTTTTCCTCTTTCTCCTTCGTACCTATAGATAGCTTGTCGTCGTCTGTTCCAGCTCGCAAAGTTGACTCAGCACTATTAAGAGACTCGGTAACTTCCTCAAGGCGCTTAGGCTTAATTGGAACATCACCGGCCAAGAGCTCCAATTTGGACCCCTGTGCTGCATGTGACTGTCGTAGACGCTGCGATGACCTACGAACAGGAATGTCAATCTTGGTAGGTCGATCCTTGCGTGAAGGCACAAGCGGCTCATCCGCAAATGGTTTGACCTCCTTCTGGACTGCTGTAGTGGTAGACACCTTGCTTTTGTCAACAAAGACGATCATCCATACGCCAATGTTGTCGTCACTCCCCAACAGAGGAGTAGCCGAAATCCAGCATGCACGAGCGTTGTCGGGCCTTGAACCTTGCCTTATTTCTGTCCCATCTCGCTTTTCTCCGTGATTGAGCATGAAGTTGACTTTCGCCGAGACAGCAACACCAGTCCCGAAGCTTTCCCTCAATCCGGCTAATGTGTTTGACGGCGCCGCAATGTGGGACAAGAATGGATGCTGCACCACATCGCCGAACTTGTGCCTCAATTTAGGCGAGACAAAAACAATGCGTAGCGATGATGTTGCCCTGATTAACATGTAACTGTCATAGACACCAGGCAGAGTTCCAGATAAACCCGATTGTCCCGATTGTCCTAGTTGCCAGGTCTTGTCTTCATTCTTTTCTTCGCTTTTACCGCCATTCTCTGGAGTTGAGTCAGACTCACCCAGTATGACTCGGCGACTGCTACCAATGCTCCGCTCTCCATCATCTGGGGTCAAAGAGGAAGATCGGCTGTGAGACCGTACCACTGCAGACTCTTCGAGGTCAAACATCTGACTCAAGTCACGCAATTTTGCAAGGGTTTTCGCTTTCCGCCCACGTTGCTGATTAACCTGAATGGAAGAGCCATTAATCTCTTTATCACGCCTGTCAATCTCCTTCATGACAAGGTATCGGTCGAATGCGTCGAGACCTTTGCCTTTCTCCACGAGGCCTGTGACATCGACTTGAGCCCCTATGTGATATTTGACATTGCCCTTGTCGTCATGTAGAGGTGCAATCATCAAAAGATTGATAAAGGGTCTTCCGTCTCTCCGGTAGTTCAGAAACGTCTCACAAGCTTGTTTTCCATTTTTGATGTTCTCTCGAAGCCGTGTCACGGACCCTCGCTGAGTGTTTGCGCCTTGGAGAAATCGGCAATTCCGTCCAATAACATCATCACGACCGTAGCCTGTGAGCCTATAAAACTCCTCACTAGCATAGATGATGGGATTATCATACTGATTTGGATCGGTAAGACAAAAGACCTCTGACAGTCCACCTACAAGGTCCACCATCGATGGGGATTGCCGACCAGCAATTTCGTTGACCAAACATTCAGTGGCCATCTTCACGAGCTTGTAGGTAATATACATGGGCAGAGCTGATTCTAGCAATATCTGGAATGAGGAGAAATGCACTTGTGTGAATGATTGCTCCAGGGTTGCCGCACTAGACGGCCTGCCTGCTGGTTCTTCGCCATGATCATCACCTGCAGAATAGTCGAGACTTTCAGCAATTGCATTGGCATACTCCACAGCTTTGATTGCTTTCTGCGTTTCAAGGTAGCGAAGAATAGCAGTGTGGTAAAAGGGGCAGAATTTGCCCACAAAGGTAGTGAATTGTGCCAGATACAGGGGATGACGGAGAAGAGCACTGAGATGTCCATGTGAAAACAGAGCTTCCGACAAAGATTCAACAGATGGAGGCTTGGGTCGCGGTGGAGGAGGCCGCAAATCAAAGTCCAGGGCATCTGAAGCATCGGAATTCGAGGCTGCGCCAACATCGGCTTCTGACAGGGCTCTGTGCAAGGGTTGAGGTCTGTGCTGGGCGGCTTCTACCGGGGATGGTTGTTTCCGGGGCCGTTCTATTCCCGAACGGCCAAAGCGAGACAATCGCTTGTTTGGTGAAGAGTTCGAGTATGACCCTGTTGCAGCGTGAGGTAGATTTGGACGAGGCTTTTCCACGGGTCCTGAGCCACCAGCCACGTGTGAAAATTGTGGAAGGGCTGTTTGATCATCCCAATTGCGGAGGGATGGTTCATCCTTGGCGGGCTCGTAGTTATGCTGCGTTTGTGGCCTCTCGGGCAGTTGGACGGCAGTAGTGGGAATACTCCTATCGTATGTCGTGTGGAAGTGAGTGTTCGAGTCAAGCTGCAATGGAACTGGTTTGCGGATCTTCTTGCTCTTTGAGCGTCCAGAACGTAGTCGAAAGTTCTGCTTGATGCGTTCCAAGTCCATGACGTCGTGCAGCGTGCGACAGCCCCGACCTCCACGGCTCACTCAAACCACTATCAAGACCTGCTAAGAGGCCTCGGAGTTGAAGGCCAAAGACACCAAAAGAAGGAATAGACATTAAAAGAGAAATCGAATCTTTCCAATCCACCCAGCCCGGTTGCAGCCGAACGAAGAGGTGATCCGGTCGGACTGGAGTGTTGGTGGTCTGATGCGAAAAATAGAGAAGTAGAACCAAGTTACGCAGCAAGCGGGGAGGGAGCTTATGGAGATCAAAACAAAGTACATCATGGCCAAACCTCCCATAACTTACGGATTGGATAGATTGCACAGGGGAACTCTATCAAACTCCTGCAGGGTCTTTCTTCATCTGCATGACACCTATCAGTTTCTGAATATGCTTCATTCTAGTGCCAAAAGTGCCAGGGCGTGCAGGCGAAGGAGAAAATCTGGGCAGAGGGAGAGTCCTTCCGTCATCGATCTACCCAGGACGGATGGACCCAGGGATTGACAGCGGGAAAAGTATGGGATGATAGACTGTCAAGATTGGCTTCTTGGCTAAACGGGGGATAGGGATCAAGGAAGGGGCTTTAACGAACTGTTGGAACCAGGATGATGCGGCGGCTATTGAGCCTTTTAAGGAGGTACCCGCCCGTCAAGGCGGGTGGCTGGGGCTCTTTCAGGCAGCCCTATGACACTGCCGGCTACGAGGTACGTGTCCGAGCCATTGCACACCCAGCAGTCCGGATACAGAGAGTAGATCTATATCCTATACGAAATAGCACACTGACGTGGCTTGGGGGGGGGGGGGGGGCTAGCATTCTGTCTTATTTCTCTGTCCTTGCGAACGACTGGTTATGATTGACTGGACAGGAAAGGTAGGACGGGGGTCGTGCTGGCTTGGGCGAAGGGCTCTGCGTCTTGTGCCGAGCCCCATGTGGCGAACTTCCTCAAATACGACAGCGATTGCTGTCATCCTGGGCATCCGTTCATATGGTGCCAGCAAACAATCACCACCACATCCATCACGAAAACTATCAGGGGGGGCCCACGAGACCTCAAGGGAGTGCCTATCGCAGGTCATATCTTTGCCGTGCTTTGGCCGCATCTTTCCCGTTTGGCATAGTGCCATTAACGTGGTGTGAAGTAGTCTCTGGAAAACTGGCGGTCGCTCCAGGAATTGGCAAGAACTTTCCCACGCTGCGTTGATATAGCTTGTAGTCAGGGTATTTCCTCGAAGACAACAGCTCTGTCAACCAGGTACTGGATTGGAAAAGGAAGAGGTAAGATAAGGCACCGACACCAGTCCAGTTATACCAAGTCTCCGTGGCCAAACAGGACCAAATGTAAAGCGTGACCCATACACTTTGTTCGGCAGCAAAGTTGGGGTGTCTGGAATACGCCCACAGGCCACTAGTCAGAAAGCCGCGATCAAGGTCGCCACGTTTGTAGCCTTTGGGGACTTTTGCTGTCGTTTTGTACTCCGACTTGGCGAGATGGAAATCCCACTGCTGCTGGTCTGCGACGTAGGAAATAGAGATTGCAAGGACCATCAGTCCCGCTGCAGCCGTGTCTTGAATTGTCCAGCTTGGGGTAGCTGAATTGTTGATAGCTAGTCGTCCAGTCAAAAGGAGAACATATGTCGGCGTGGTAACAAATAGTAGTAAAAGGCACTGCGCGAGGCAGATGAAGACAATATTGAAAACGAAGAAAGCCGCCGGGCCAGCGTATTCCTTGACGAATTCCCAGCGATAATCTTCGCTCCCTATGGAATATCCACCCTTGCGATAATAATTGTAGGTCAAGCGAGCCTGAAATGATTTGTTAGTTGCGGTCGTGAGCTTGCATGGTAAAGATCTTACACTCCACAGAGCACTGATAGCGGCCGCAGCGTCAACCCTGGCGGTGTCAACGCCAGCCAGATGGCCATACACCGCATAATGAACATTCCAAACCGTCGGAAGCAAAGACCAAAATCGGTCGACTTGAGAATAGTTCCGGTTGATCTCAGAAGCTATCAGGAAGATCGGGGATATGGCCAGGGCAAATGCTATGGATGTAAGGAGAGGATTGGTATCGAGATAGAGCTGTTTGAGGGCGGCAGGGTTTGCGACAGAGTCCAAGAAGACCTGAGGAACTGCCCTCAGCTGGTCGAGGTAGGGCGCGACTGTACTGAAATAGTCAGCGCATTCTGTCAAGGTGCGAACGACAGGAAGCGCCATTTTTGAAGGGATGAAGCTATGGTAGTTCAAACCCCCAAGGAATTGGAAGACACGATGGATGAATATATAACCCCCCAGCGGTGTCAAAGGCAGAGAGTGTGCTTTCTTCAGCTTTTCAGCAGGGAACCATCACCAGTACCGAGTGGACGCACCACCAAAATGTGCCTGTAATGATGACGCAGTGCCAGCCCCCGGACCAGTTTAGGGTTAGAGTTGTGCCGACGCGACGCGAGCGCTCGACACGCCCCCCCGCGCTGCAAGATCTAATTAGATGGGCACGGGCCCTTGTTTTTGATCGCCGCTTCCTTCCCAGGAACCATCTTGACCTGCCTCGTCCCTGCCTATCGTAAGAAAACATCGACCTTGCTGCTCCTTCCGTCTCTTGCAGTTCCTGCCCCTCATATTCCGATTCCCTCCCCAATTCATCATCAATCTCGTCACTGCCAAGCAAAACTATCTTTCGCCGCACCGTCAGCCTGTTCTATGCATAGCAGGCTATGCTTCATTATTGGCCGTCAAGTGCCTGGGCTGGCCATTGTGATCATTCGCCAGGACATCTAGATGAGCAGCGACGCCGTTATCGTTTAGCAATCTGTAATTGATTTTGTCCTTGAACGAAAGTATCCTGGTCGAGCCAGAAGAGGGAGCAAAGTTAGATGTAACACCGCTTTTCAAGTGGCAACACATACGTCGGCCCGCTGGGCTGAGCCAGAGTACCTGTCAGCTCTTCTGCACAGTGCGTCCGATTCTCAATCCTCGTTATTGCTTCTTCCCAGAAGGGCCGACCTCGTAGAAGGTCAGGTCATGCCCCGAGACTGAACATCAGACACTCCTGCTCTTGGCATCGTTCGATCTGTGATTGGTGTAAGCTCTGTGTATAGTTAACCGAATGACAAACCATGGAGCCCGCATGCAAACCACCGCAAACTGCAACCTACGAATATTTACAGAAGCCTTAGTGTTATACTATGTCCATCCGGTCAGGGCTTCGTGCCGATAGTCCTCAAACCAGTATTAGCCAGGGCATTTCAGCCAATAGGACATCTTGCCGCGATTCTCATGTGACCAATAGGTCTTGATGCCGATGTCTACCTCGAGCACTCGGTACAGGCGGCCACAATACATCTTGGACAAGAAAAGGCGAATGGCATGACTGATCACAGATATGTAAGAATGGCTGATAGTATCACTTGAGAAAGCAGTCCTTACTTCCTCTCACGAACAAAACTTTGCCATTTCAACATTAGTGGTCGCAAACCCGAAATACTCTCTCAATGGCAGTAGGAAGTGCATCTTCCCTCAACATAAAATTGAGCAATCCTTTGCAATCAGTTCAAAACCACATGGAGACTGTACAGAGTTTACCAGGTGAGTCATTCCGATCTGAGCCTTCTAGACCGCAGTGGCTGACCCTCAGATAAATCCGCATATATCTCAGTACACGGCCGCAAATACTCGCTCCCCACACGTCCAACCGTCGCCGTCTGCATCGATGGGTTCGACCCTGAGTACTTATCCCAAGGCATTGCAGACGGAATCATTCCTCACCTAGGCCGCTTTGTAGCATCAGGATTCGCGGTGACAGCGAAAGGCGCGATGCCATCGTTCACGAATCCCAACAACCTCTCGATCATCACCGGTGCACCGACCTCCGCTCACGGCGTTGCGGGGAACTTCTTTCTCGACAAGGAGTCGAAGAAGGAGTTCATGCTGCTCGACGACTCGATGCTCCGAGGCACGACCATTCTCAAGGAGATGGCCAGTCGCGGCGTACGAGTCGCGGCCGTGACAGCCAAGGATAAACTCAGGAGAATCATCGCACATGGTCTCAAGCCCGAGAATGGAGCGATATCCTTCTCGTCGGAGAAAGTCAGGGACTGTACCATGGCGGAGAACGGGGTGTGCGACGTCGAAGAATGGATCGGGCGGCCTGCACCGTCGCAGTACTCCGGCGACCTCTCGCTGTTCGTCTTGGACGCCGGGGTCAAGATCCTCGAAGAGGACAGGGCGGATTTACTTTACCTCACCCTCTCGGATTTCATCCAACACCATCATGCCCCTGGATCTCAGGAATCGAACGAGTTCATGAAAGCATTGGACGCCCGTCTCGGCCAGCTCACCAGCCTTGGAGCCCTCGTCGCAGTGACTGGGGATCACGGCATGAGCGACAAGGCAGATGAGGACGGAAAGCCGAATGTGCTCTTCCTCCAGGACGTTCTGGAAGACAAATGGGGCCGGGGCGTCGCTCGCATAATCTGTCCCATCACAGACCCCTTTGTCAAGCACCACGGCGCTCTCGGCTCATTCGTCCGGGTCCATCTAGCAGATAACACAAAGGTCGGAGAGCTGCTGGAATTCTGCAAAGGCCTGCCACACGTCGAGCTTGCTCTCGACGGGAAATCCGCCGCCGAGACCTTCGAGATGCCGCTCGATCGCGAGGCAGACATTGTTGTGATCGCGAAGGACAACGCCGTGATCGGGAGCCGTGCTGCCGAGCATGACTTGTCCAGCATATCAGGACACCGCTTGCGCTCTCATGGCGGACTGTCCGAGCAGGAGATACCGCTTCTTCTGTCGGGTCCCGTGAAAGACCAGACTGCATCGAAACGAACGGCATGGCGGAACTTTGATATCTTTCATCTGCTTCTCAATGAGGCGGCGTAGGGCTTGGTACATAGCCGCAGCTTTGATCTTGGTGATTAGTTCGCAACTCAGCTCAATACAGTTAGTTCTTCTCTCCCATAGCCATCTACACAGTGTAGTCAGAGATCCTAATACGCACCTCCCGAAACGAGCGTGGCGCCATCCATCAAGAACCCACAGAGTCCTCCTCAGAGCCACTTCGAGGCCGGATTACGTTGAAGCAATTCCTGCTTGATCCTTTCAGGCTGCATTGCTACGCAGTCACTGCGAGCAATGATAGATAAAAAATCCTGTCAGCTATCCCTCTCTCTCCTGAAACTTGGGGTTTGGAACTGAAATATGGCGAGGCAGACGCTCGGACTTCAACCGTTCCCTTTTCCTCTTGCAATCCCATTTAACGCTGCATGCACATGGCTGGAAGTCAATTTCGTACTATTCATGGACTAGCGACATCTTCGAGTTGCTCTGCCATTGAGGAAGAGGCCTGCACGACCAGGCGTATCGGCCGAGGAGAAAAGCGGGTAGGTAAGCATATCGTCTTAGAAAAGAAACTGAAAACAGGACAAAATGCACATTATTTCAATCTGGGTCTCGCCTACACTCGATGATGCAGCGTGCATCATTTTGGATTGTGAACAACCTCGCACAGAAAACAGAGCGAGTGGTGCTCGTTACGGGAGTCTGAAACCTTTGTCGCTGTCTGATGCTTTCAATTCATCTTTAATATTCGCCCGCTTCGCTTTGGAAAAAAAGAGGGGTGGCGCCAGTGGCCAAAACAAAACCAATCAATGGTCAGCAGGGACGCACCACAGGCCACTAGCGACTATTCAGTGTACAACGATCGCACTTTGTGATGGTCGCACCATGATTTACTGCTCCTCCTCCAATGGAACTTCCTCTTCACCGTATTCCTCTTCACCCTCGGAGATACTAGCATCCTGGTATTGTTGATATTCAGAGACAAGATCGTTCATGTTGGACTCAGCCTCAGTGAACTCCATCTCGTCCATACCCTCACCAGTGTACCAATGCAAGAAAGCTTTTCGTCGGAACATAGCTGTGAACTGATCACCAATACGCTTGAAAAGCTCTTGAATAGAGGTCGAGTTACCGACGAAAGTCGATGACATCTTCAAGCCACGTGGTGGGATGGAGCAAAGAGCAGTTTGCACGTTGTTGGGGATCCATTCGACGAAGTAGCTGTTGTTCTTGCTCTGAACATTGCGCATCTGGTCCTCGACCTCCTTCATGCTAACCTTGCCGCGGAAGATAGCGGAGCAGGTCAAATAGCGACCATTCCGGAAATCAGAAGCAGCCATCATGTTCTTGGGGTCGAACATTTGTTGAGTAAGCTCGGGGACTGTGACGGCACGGAAAGAGTATGCACCACGGCTAGTGAGAGGTGCAAAGCCAACCATGAAGAAGTGAAGACGAGGGAAGGGAACCATGTTGACGGCAAGTTTCCGAAGGTCAGAGTTCAGTTGACCAGGGAAACGCAAGCATGTGGTAACACCAGACATGACTGCTGAGACGAGATGGTTCAAATCACCATATGAGGGGTTGGACAGCTTCAGGGTACGCATGCAAATGTCGTACAGAGCCTAGGAACCGTTAGACGGGACGGAAGTGAGCGGGTGTTGGGGATACATACCTCGTTATCGATACAGAAGGTCTCATCGGAGTTCTCGACCAATTGATGGACGGAAAGAGTAGCGTTGTATGGCTCGACAACGGTGTCGGACACCTTGGGGGATGGAACAACGGAGAAGGTGGCCATCATTCGATCGGGGAACTCTTCTCGAATCTTGGAAATCAACAACGTTCCCATACCAGCACCGGTACCACCACCAAGGGAGTGGGTGATCTGGAAGCCTTGGAGGCAATCGCAGCTCTCAGCCTCACGGCGGACGACATCGAGAACTTGGTCAACAAGCTCAGCACCCTCAGTGTAATGACCCTTGGCCCAGTTGTTGCCTACACTTCCACGTTACTATAACTGCTTCGAGGTTTAAGTTGTTGAAAGGTATCATACCAGCACCGCTCTGTCCAAAGACGAAGTTGTCGGGACGGAAGAGTTGGCCAAATGGACCAGCGCGGACAGCATCCATGGTACCGGGTTCGAGATCGACAAGAACGGCGCGGGGGACATATTTGTTGCCAGAGGCCTGGTACCGTTAAATTTGGTGCTGTTTACACTTCGTTACGACACATACCTCATTGAAGTAGACGTTCATACGCTCAAGTTGAAGGTCCGAGGTGCCATTGTAGCTATAATTGTCAATTGAAAGGATGTGGTAAAAGCTTGTGACTTTCTTACACTCCGGAGCCGTCGAGGCCATGCTCGCCCGAGATTTGTTGCCTGTGATCGAGTTAGAGCTGGTTCGAGGGGAAATATAGCGCGGAGGTTCGAGGGACTCTGTACCAGAAGGCAGCACCAATTTGGTTACCCTAAAAATCCATCAGTCAAATGTATCAAGACGGAGCCGTGAGGATACGTACGCATTGGCCGGTCTGCAAGTGCACCTGTTTTGAGAAAAGCAATGTTAGCTCCTGGTCCTGTCAAGATGATAGTGGTGATGATTGTGGTGGGGGTCCCAGGGGGTCAACACGCAAAAGACGCGTTGGGTCTCAGGCTGGCCTCAACTTACGATCTCACGCATGATGATAGACGGATATGTAGTTGTGGGTGGTGTATGGATGAGAAGGGCAGAGATGTAGAAAGCTACAATGAACCAGGAGTGAGAGGGTGCTGTGGACAGGTTGCTGCAGTCGGTGCAGTTGTGTTAGTTGTGGGCAGACTTGAAAGGAGAATTGGCCTCAATCAACAAACCTGGGCGGTTGCCAAGCCTTTGGGAGCGCGATAGGCGGTGAGGAAGGAGCTAGGGACGAAGCACTAACGCCTGCCTGCCTGTTGGGTTCGCCGTTCCTGCTCCGATAAAAAACATCCATCCCAAAGCAGCGGGGTGTTTTAACACTTGACCCTTTACGGACTGGCGACGCGTGAAACACGTGAGGCTCTATTTACTAACAATAAAAACGTGACGTCACAAGTTTTGTATCTCTCACTGGCAGTCGCAAAGTTCACATTATGAATGCTGAGTTCAAAAATAAAAGCACCTCTCTGCTTAATTATGATATCAATATCGATTGACCACGTGCTCCCTTTATGCCTTTTTGTTGAGATCCGTGACAATGCCCTGTCGTTAATCATGCAATACAGCTGAACATCATCCACATCGCAGCCTGACAATTTATTCCTAGGTAACGCTATTTTACACGTCGTTTGAAGGGTATTGGACCCGTAGTGTGGAGAGGGTTTCCTCCTTCAACGATCTCATGCTCACGAAACGCGACAAGATAGCCGCTGATCCAGCCTTGTCGTTTGTTCCGGATGCTCTGGCACCGCCAAATGGTTGTTGCCCAACGACAGCTCCTACAAGTCACAATTAGTCGAGCTGTGAGAATGGACAATGAAAAAGACTCTAATTACTCACCGGTGCTCTTGCAGTTGATGTAATAATTTCCAGCTGCGTTCCTGAGTGCCTCCTCCGCATATCGAATCGCGGCACGATCTTTGGCGAATACCGCGCCAGTCAGGGCGTAGTCGGATGAGGCATCGACAAGCTTGCAAACTTTCTCAAACCCATCAGCAGCCGAGTCGTCATAGACGTAGATCGTCAGAATTGGCCCAAAGAATTCAGTGCTCATGTTTGGATGCTCCGGGTTCTTGGTCTCATAAATTGTCGGGTGCACGAAATAGCCTTTGGAGCTGTCGTATTTGCCTCCGACAAGGAGTTCAAGCTCCTTGTCATCCTGTGCAGCATCAATTACTCCGGACAACTTCTTGAAGCTGGCCTCATGAATGACAGGGCCAATAAAGTTCCCAAAATCCTCGGGAGGGCCAACTTTCAGCTTCTCCGTCTCTGCGACAAGCTTCGACTTGAACGCTGGCCAGATCGAGGCAGGGATGTATGCTCGAGAGGTGGCGCTGCATTTTTGGCCTTGATACTCGAAAGCTCCGCGGATGGTTTGCACCGCAGCGTTGTCGATATCGGCGCTGCTGTGAACAAGATGGAAGTTCTTGCCACCAGTCTCTCCGACGATTCTGGGGTAGCCCTTGTATCGGCCCTCACCGATACCTTGGCCGATTTGAGCGTACAGTTTCCTGAAGACAGCTGTTGACCCAGTGTAGTGTAGGGCAGCGAACTGCCTGTGACTGAGGACAGCCTTGGTCACTTGCTCAGCATCACCCGGCACAAATTGAATGACACCCGCTGGTAAGCCGGCCTCGAGGAGGATCTGATGGACCAAATAGTTGGAGGCGATGGCTGACGGACTGGGCTTCCAGATGACAACATTGCCCATCAGAGCGGGCGCCCCTGGCAGATTGCCACCGATAGCAGTAAAGTTAAACGGGGAGATAGCGTAGACAAAGCCTTCGAGCGGCCTGTACTCGACTCTGTTCCACACACCAGGGGAGTTGTAAGGCGGTTGTTGAGCATACAGTTCCTCGGCATATCTGACATTGAATTTCAAGAAATCGATCAACTCCGCAGCGGCATCGATTTCGGCCTGCCAGGCATTCTTTCCTTGTCCCAGCATCGTGGCCGCCATGATCTCATATCTATATTTTGTGCTGATCAGGTCCGCTGCTTTGAGGAAGACTGCGGCGCGGTCTGCAAAGGGTAGAGATTCCCAAGCAGGCTTTGCAGCCAGTGCTCCCTCTATGGCATTGTTGACGTCCTCAGTAGAGGCATTGCAGTATTTTGCAATGGTGGTTGCGTGTGAGGAGGGGTTGTTTTGTGTGAGGATAGACGAGGTCGTGATGGATTTCCCGGACACGACCAGAGGGATCTCGAGAGGGGCTCGTCCTTGCAGGGCTTCTACAGCCGCCGCCAGGCCTTCTCGATCCGGAGAGCCTTTCGCATAGTGCTTGTTTGGCTCGTTGGTGATAGTTGGGATTCTGAAGGCGGCGAGGGTCGACATTGCGAAGGGAGTGGAGGAGAAGCTGCGAGCCGTCTGTGAAGATGGGATTGATCGTGGAGAAGTACGAGGAAGAGAGAGCAAACGCCTACAAGAACCAGACATCTTCAACAGAAAAGTTAAGAATAGCTGAGCAACCCGGCCGCCAGCAACTCGCTTTATTGGAAGAGGTCATGCTCCCCGTCCCCTGCACGACGACCCCACGTTGGTCTTTTGCACTCGGAAAGCCATGACCAAATTCTTTGCTGATGCGGCGGCTAACTACGGCTCTATTCGGCTTCAAGGGTCCTTCAGTGGAGATGCCCGCTAATCGTGGACAACGATAGGTGGCGAGGGCGGCGATGGTGCTTGATACTTGATGCTATCGGCGTGTGCCATGCGACACTCTTCCATCCTTGCTATCAAAAATAACAAGTGCGGCCCGAACTTTCCGATTTTTCCATCCAGCCTTACGGTGCATCGGTTATCCAGAGTAAAAAAAATTGACTCACGTCATAAGTCAATCGCTAACAACTTCCACTCAAGTACATTGTAAACTCTGCGACTGATAATAGTCGACACCGTGAACACCAGGTTCAAGCTTAGCGAACTGCGAACGGGCATCCGATCGTCAGTTTCTTCTTTAGCTGCTGGGCATCAGCATCCGCCTCCTGCTGGCCTTTGCCCTTGAATGCTAGAGGTCCAGTTTCCCTCACAACGAACCCCTCTGGGTATGTACCCTCATCTCCAGGCACAGCTATTCCCAGAGCCGACGAAATCAATGCCCCTGGCCCCCATCGATTCCACAAGGTTGGCTTGACATAAACTGGTTTGGTATCCCACCTCACCACGTAACGCCGTCCAGCTTTGTCAGGATCCTTGGTGTGTAAACTGTATTTCATGAACCATGGCCTCGGGAGAGCGAGGTACCTGAGATAGAATTTCCTGACAGTCATGAATCTCTCAAACCAAGCCGCATAAGACGCTGGTGCCGGTTCGAACATGATGGCCTCTCTCAGGCGGTCATCGAGTGGAACGCTGACCAACTTCATCATGACCGGGTGGATGAATTTTGGGAGCGTGCCCAAAAGGAGGGCGCGCGTTTGCACAGCTGTGTCGTAGCTGTTCTTGTTCGGCACCATAACCTTCTTCTCATATTCTTTGGCCCAGGTGTCCATCTCGCGGTAGAAATGGAGGCCATCCTTCCATCCAGTCTTATAACTCGGCAGAGGTTCGAAACTGATGTGCATGCTGTCGCCCATGTATTTGTGAAAGACACCCATGGCACAGAGCTCAAGGTCCGTAAGCTGCCTCCACTCATATCTGTTGATCCACTCTGGTGGCTGATTTAAGAAAAGGGTTAATGTGTATAGCATGTCGTCGTTCGAGATCTTCCCCTGTCTGATATAGTGGCCGTGAAGGTAATTCAGCCTTGAGGTAGCCTTCAAGGCTTTGTCGCTTGCTGGGTCGGACGCATACATATCGCCCAAGAGGACACCGGTGTCTGCATATCGCTTGTCGACATTTTTAGCTGTTGAGAGCTGTGTAGTCTTGACCAGTAACTCAGCTATGGTAGGGATACCATACGTGCGAAACAGTGCAAATTGGAGACCTTTCTCGAACAACGCAGGAAACTCGTAATCGCTCATGGCCGAAATGATATCATGTGCTTCTTTGACCGTCATACCTTCGTACGATGGTCGCTCAGGAGTACCATATTTAAATCTAGCTTGGAGTGCCTTGAGTCGTCGAAATCGTAAGGCTGAGCAGAGGAAAGGATAAGCAACAATGGCTGGGAGAAGATAATACGACCAGATCCATGGTAATCCTGATAGTTGTCTTGATGATGAGGACGCGAACTTAGAGAGTGCGCCCGTGGATAAGTTTGAGCTCAGCTTCTCCATGAAATCCGCCATGCTGGCAGTCGTCGCAATGGCAGCGGCACAAGGTGAAGTGGGAAAGGTGTTTTCAAACCGAGTAAGACCGCTCTTGATATACAGCAAAGCTTAAGATGGCTACACGACGATAGGCAGTAATTGCAAGTGGAAGCGCAGCGGCCTGGCCGTATGAGACGAAGCAAGTTGTCAGGCCTTGATCTGGGTCAACGGCGCAATTAGTAGTATGGTTAGATAGAGGGAGGCTTACATATGGACTGGTTCGGCATACAACCTGCGACGCAGGGGCCAAAGGAGCCTTGGCTTTACCCGTTGGGTGCCTGTCTCGTTGGCTACTTATAAGTTGCTCGTATCTTGCCTACCCCGAACTGAAAACATGGGTTAGGCGTGCCCACTGGGTAGCGCCCATGTTCGTTGTACATACTCCGTACTTGGAGGAGAGCTCCAGAAAAGCTCCACAGACTGCTTAACGCCGCTACTCCACGACGCTTGTGGAGATGTTTGCAAATATCTGGAATGAACAAGGGGAATGGCAGCCTGACTGATGCAGAGGGATGCCTAGGGATGCCTAGGAATGCCTAGGAATGCCTAGGGACGCCGACGGGGTCCCTGATTGATTAAGCAACGAATTTCCTGTTCGCCGTGCGTGGCTAGCAGTCCTCGGGCTTACAGTCCTCGGGCTTACAGGTTCCCTCGCTTCTGGGGAGTGAGAAACCAATCGAGTAACTACTCTATTAGTGAGCACATCTGTGCATTACCTATGGCTATGGGTGCCTATCCCGGATCTGGCCGCCTCGCTGTTACAGTACGAAGCACATGGACAGTCCCGGCAGATGCAGATTCCTTCCCGAGAGTCAACCAGATGGAGTCAGCTCCCAATCCAGGTGGGACGATAGGCCGCAAGAGCCGCATCCATCGATCAACGACTGTCGAGTCAGGCTTATGAGTCGGCGAATAGGGAGATCACGCATAAACGAAAGCACTGCTCCAGCCAGAATTATGCCCAGAAAACCGACCCTACACCATTACTCCCAGGGACAAAAGCACTCGCTACATGGGTACACAAGCGGGACGAGGTGTACTACACCCTTACTGAGTTGGCAGTGTGCCCGTATTGAAGTCGGCACGAAATGCGCAAATGGGGAGCATACCTGCGTACAAGTATGGACTACTCGATGAATGTCGACTCCTCGGTCCCCGAGATACCAGGTCGGCTTAGAGCCTTGGAACCCTTGAGGCTGTTTCTTTGCTTCAATCAAAGTGTCATATGACATCTCCTGGAGTTGTTATAGCTTGCAAGTCGTCCATCCGCGCTTGGTCGCCTGAGAGATCCAAAGGCTCGGGATGAATAAATGTAATATTGCCATTTGCTGCATCACATGCATACGTTCTCTCTCGCACTTTTATACAGCAGCTGCGCCCGCCAACGGCGTTTCTAACTAGTTAACATGAAAAGTCACTATATGGCAAAGGCATGTCCCATGTAGTCAGTTATGCGGCCAACCTCTTCGTAACGCTGCGTATGCGCGCATAGCAATAAATCCTGTCGTAACGCAATGGTCCTCAACAAAATATCTTCACGGGCGCCGAAATCCCCTTACTTAGGCCAGGCCTACTTTTCCATCGTTGCAGTGCCTTTGGCCAAAGCGATTGCCCTCGCTGCCGCCTCTTCGAAGGAATCTGTCAAGGTGTCAGCGTGAAATCACCTCAGAGAACGGGCTCTCATCCTCTCTTACCAAAAGCGTCAAGCTTCAAACCGCTTTCTTGAATGAGCTTCTGACCCTCCACTTCACGGGTACCTCTGATTCGGACGACTACCGGCACCTTGAGATCTAAGTCCTTAAATGCCATTAGAATGCCGTTTGCGATCATGTCACCCAGGGTCAATCCACCAAAGATGTTGACGAATATCACTTTGACGCGGGGGTCGGAAGACACGATCTTGAATCCAGCCTTGATGGTCTCCGAGGTCGCTTTACCTCCAGTGTCCATGAAGTTCGCAGGGTGACCGCCTCGGGCGAACAGAGCATCGACAGTATTCATGGCCAGGCCGGCTCCATTGACAATTGTTCCAATACTGCCCTCGCCCTCGAGCTTGACGTAGATCATTCCGTCCTTTTCAGCTTCCACGTCTTCTCTGACTTCACTCTTGATATCTCTCAAGGCGTGAACTTCGGCTTGTCGCCCAGAACTCCGGAACGCGGCATCATCAAATCCAAACTTTGCCCCTTGTACCTGCAACCCACCATCGTCATCAAGAGCGAATTTAGTTTGAACAACAAATGCTTCCTTGGACATGAAGATGTCAACTAACTCGGTTACCAGTCTTTGTAATGACGGTTTCCCCTTGTCTGAAACTCCCAAGTGAGTCGAGACGTCGGCTAATAAGTCTTCCGATTTGGCATCATCTGAACCATAAGCAAATGGAAATTTCTTCGATTTTTGAAACGCATATTCAGGGTCTGTTGATGGTGAAGCTATGATGCATGGCTGGCGAGATTCTCGGTCAATTGAGATGGCAACGAAATTTTCGTCTTTTATTGTCGGACGCTCGACCGTGGGAATTCCTCTCTCATTGAGCATATCGTACGCTTGTTTTTGTTTGATATAAAGTGTCCGACGCTGTTCGAATTTGCGAGAGTTGGCGGCGACGAGTCGTGGTCGTGGTCGTGGTCGTGGTCGCATTGTGTGATATCCCCTTCGTTGAGATGGCGGCAATCTTGAGCCAGAGTTTCGATTTCCAGATCGTTCTGCGAGCAACTTCTTCATCTGTTCTCCAAGCTTTTCTGGATGATCGACGATGGCAACACCAGCATCTTGAAGCACCTGGATTTTCTTTTCAGCACTTGCTTCCCCGGGTGCTGCCCACGCGCCAGCGTGACCCATGATTCGACCAGCAGGTGCCCTAACACCACCAATAACTGACATAAAAGGTTTTGGGTTCGGTGTGCTTCGGTTGTAATCTTTAATCCACTCAGCAGCTCGGAGCTCAGCGCTACCTCCAATCTCCCCGATCATGATGATGCCTTCGGTATGCTCGTCTTCCACCAGAATCTGGAAGGCCTCGACAAAGTTCGTGCCTGCAAGCACATCACCTCCCATGCTGATGCCATAGGTCTGTCCCAGGCCTGCTCGGGTCGTCGAAGCAACTGCTTCGTAGCTTAAAGTGCCTGATTTGGCAACAATTCCAATTTTGCCCTCTTTGTAAAATGGGAGAGGCTGAAACCCTAAGCGACATCTGCCGTGGGTGCTAATGATACCGGGACAGTTTGCGCCGACTAATCTGGTCTTGGATTGAGTTCGAAGCATCTGATGTATCCGTAGAATGTCGTGAATAGGAATGTGTTCGGCAACTGCAACAATAAGAGGGATCTCGTTCTCGATTGCTTCTTCCATTGCTTGGACAGTTCCATTTCCGGGTACGTAGATTGCGCTGGCATCTGGCTTCAGCTTCTCGACGGCAGCTCTGACACTCGGCAAAACCGGTAGTCCTAGATGCTCGCCTTCTACTCCAGGCTTTACTCCGCCGACGACGTTGGTACCATAGTCTATGGATTCTTTTGCATTCATCGTCGCTTGGCGGCCGGTAAATCCCTGGTAAAGGACTCGGGTGTGCTTTCCTATCTTGAGATTTTTGATTGTGTCGGAGTAACTCATCTGACGTGAGCTACTTGAAAAGGGTGCAACATTCCCATATGTTCCATATCTGAGCAGCGCTCCATAGGGCAATCCTGTCGACTTTCCCCAAGGGCCCCGAGGTATTACAATTCGCGTCATTGTAACTAGGGCTCACACGAGATAGCGGCAATCTTGCCTCTCTACCACCACCACAGCTTAGAGACGGCAGTATTTGCTCTGGCACTGCGGCGCATATGTGCATCAAGCTTGACAGCGGCGATCAAGTAGTAGCATGACCTACGTAAGGATGAGGGGAATATATACGGAGCCCAAGGTCCCAAGGGGCCATGATGCAGAGCTAATCGAATAGCCCGACCTCGGGTAAACGAGTATCAAGACAATGGATCCACTTACGAGACGCGGGCCATCAATTGCTTGTCCGCCACCTGCAATTTCGAGACACTAAGAGAGTTCCGAGATAAAAGCAGGTGTGGTGTGCGAGACCGGAGATGAGCTATCGGAATATGTCGCTGGTTTGGACTCGGGGGGCATGTGAGAGACCACCAAGCCACTCGATCGGCGGTTGACTCCATCAAGCGGAAGGCCTCCTGTGTGAGATATGCTTGTGCATAGACTCTCCGTCTCCACGTAGCATATGAGACGACGATCCCTGTACTTCCACAACGTGTCACTGGGAGAATTTGATTGTGGGAAGTCACCACCTAAAACGACAGGTTCGTGCGCCGCTTTTGGCCTTCGTTGCACCACGTGATCCAGTTTTTTCCCTCTTTGCTTGTCGACCTCATCTTTCAGCTAACGCTCATAGCTATGAAAATGGTTTTATCGAAAGGACCTGAATATCTCGACTGGCGCACATGGCACAATAATAGTAGTCCTTTTATACCACCATGCTTGCCCTGGAGCCTGAGGCCGTTCCGATTCGGTATTCCGCCGACATTCGATGCGACTGCGGGGTACATAGAATCGTGAGAAGGGTCATTACTCCGTACTTGTACTTGTAAGGCACGGTTTGATCCAAGGCCACTTAAAGAGCAGGGCACGCAATGCACCAAACTCAAAGGAGTCGCCCCCCCCAGAAAGCCCGCCCTAGCTGATGCACCCCCTTCACCCCTCAATCCATCTATCCATATCCAGAGCTCGATCGGACGATCGGGGCTGTCGCGTGTGGAAACCCATCTGGCTCTGACAGCGTAACCACAGTCAATCTTGGGGAATTATGACATCGGTCCCTGTCGTGGATCCAACTTGACATTCTCCATCCAGTTCCTCCTGCAGTAGGCGATAAGTTCAATTGCCGAGCCATTTCTCCAGCGAGCACCTCTCTTTGGCGAGATCCCAAGTTTGCCTCGTCTCCCGGGTCGAGCACCCCACCGACAATTCGTAGACGCTCAGAATCGACGAGCACGATACAGTCCAGCTCGACTGCGTGTAAGATGGAGTCGAAGCTGTCGAACCTGCACATTGACATGCCACCGAGGGCGAAAATAGAGACGCCGACATCGAAGAAGAAGCCCCAAGCAGTGGTGGATTCATGGGAGGATGAAGACACAAACTCACCTCAGGACGAAGGTTCCAATGCGCAGACTCCCACTGACACATCGGACTCATCATTTAATCCCGCCAAGCGGGTCAACTCTGCTCTAGCACCGCCACCACCTACTCCAATCTCTCCCGAGCACAATGGCCAGTCCATCGATTGGTCGACGGCGAGGGTGCTAGGAGGCGGACGTCCCACCCCATACTCGGCGTCCAACCCGTCATCAACACCCTCGGACTCTGACCGCGAGCGAAGACGGCCTGAGAAGTCGACCGCCACGGCGAGCAGGCTCATCGCGGCGGGGCTAGGCATGAAGGCGCCCAAGAAAACCGAGGAGACCAGGCAATATGAACGTGCAGTGAGGGAGCAGGAAATCAAGCGGAAGAATCGGGAGAAGGAGGCCCAGGAGCGGGAGAAGGAGGCCGATGAGAAGCTGAAGGCTGCGGTCTGGGATAGCTGACCGAGGGCACCTGTGTTGGACTCTTGGTTGCTGTAATGATACCTGGAGGCCCTAGGGCCGAACAGTTCTTGTACCCTAAAACATGGGCAATTTGGAAGTCCTGAGATGGAGGAAGTGTTGGGAGCTCGGGGTACTGGCTGCCACAACTCGGCCAACACGGTGTGACATCTCGATTGTGTAAATAGTGAAATCTCCAAGGCAGTTGGAATGTACCTATCTATTGGAAAACGCATGAGTATGGAAGGAATTTTAGAATTCATTGAGCTCGATCATAAGGAGGCACTAGTCAATTGGAGCGTGTCTGATTCCAAGGCCTTATCTTCTTTAGATAAATCCCAGTGACCATTTCCCCGGCCCCCTCTAAGACCACACCTTGCAGCAACGCCATTCTTGAGTGCCATCAACCAGACTTCTCGAGCCAGAGAATCTGCCTGTCATCTTTGATAACGGGTCTGTTCGAAAACGGCGCGACAAATCCAATTTTCATTCATGTCGAGTGATGTCGTAAATGCCCTTGTGCATGGGAACTGGTCAAGCACAGCCTCCAATCTGCTCTTGGTGAACTTCGATGGAGTCGCCATCCTGCATTTCAAGCTACACAAGTTGTCAGTCTCACACTGGGAAGAGTAAAGGGCGGCGGTATAGAATCGGCAGATACGCGATTGGAGGCTTACCTGATCTGGGGTATCGGTTGCCTGTACTTTCTGGCCTTCGAAGAGAAATCGGGCAGCACGGGGATCCTTTCCTTGCCTCTCGCAAAAGGCCTTCATGAGTTTCTCTAATTTGGTGCTGCGCTTGATTTTGAAAAAGACCTCATTGTTTCCGTCGGTGACCTTGATGTTCAAATGCTCGCCAGCCCCCGCGGCAGGAGCCTCAGAATTTGCACCGTTGGGCGATTGCTGGCCGTTGTCAGACATTTCGATGTTTGATTTGTAAGGGAAAGCGGTGGTAGATTATGGTGGTGGGTGGCGCAAACTGTTGAAGGCGCGTCGGTGTTAGCAAAAAGAAATGCGGAGGCGAGAAGAGGAGGGGAGAAGACAGGTACCGTTTGTCTGTGGGAAGACCGGGATCCAATCTCTAGTTGAACAGGACACGCGCTGTGGGCACTGGTTAGAGAAGGGAGGAAGAGAGGGCGCGATGAGGGCGAGAAGCAGAAGGAGTAGAAGTTTGAAGTTGAACAGCCTCGCGGAAATAATTCTAAGTCCTCAGGCACTCAGACCGTCACGTCGGGTGCCCGCCGCCGCGGCGCAGGCAGGTGCAGGTGCAGATTGCAGAATCGGCAGGAACAAGGGATACATACCGGGATACACACCAGGCAGCAAAAGGACATGCGATCGCTGCAAGTCAAGTGACGTCTTGGAACCTTCGCGATTAAACGAGAAGAGGGTTCGGAGTACGGGGTGTTGAGTTGTTCACTGCCAGGGCGGGAGTTGAGTTGCAAAGGTCAAGTTTGGTGATGGGCTCGTTCTTAAAGAAGCAGAAGGGACCGGCGGGCTGATGAGCTCATTCTACAAACACTTGACATTCACTTTATTTGTTGGTTGCTCCCAGGTCCGGAGTACGTTTCACCCTTTCATCGTGAACCTTCTCATCTGCATGCAACATCTGAGATAGTTCTTTATGATCAGGTGACCATCACCGCACGCTTCACTTTACATAGCCATCAGTTTGCTCCAATTTCACCTGCTTTATCATCGTCCCTAGAGATTTCTCAAGACCAAGCGATCGCTCGAACAATGGTTAGTGTTGACAAATCCTATGTTGTTCCGACCACCTGGCAGATACTAATCAGCACAGGGAGCTCTTGAGAAGGACGTTAAAGCCGATCCTCCTTGTCACCCACGTGCCGTAGGTTGCATGAAACTTCTCTTCCTCCATTATTGACTGACCCGGTTCTTGGGCTTAGTGCGCCATTCAAGGTAAGTGCGCCATGGGTACCTCATACGGAGCTCCATTTTACCATTATTGACTGGCGTTGATCGTCCAGATTGTTTGCAAAAGAACAACTACCAGGAGGAGAAATGCCAGTCGGCTATTGACGCATTGTATGAATGTTGCAATGCCTTTTATCAGGATAAAGGGGATGATGCAACGACCACATCGTGTCCCACAGCCAAACTGCTCAGGCTAAAACTAGAGCAGCGAGGACAAAAGTAGAAACGTACAGGCTACAGTCAAGGGCTCGTGTACAGTGGGAAATGTAGCAACTCGATTTTTTCTACCTGAGCCATCTTCCCTGTTGTAGGTCTGGCCAGCTGAACAGCGAATGCAAAGATGCTCTGAGACAATCGTGAGCACGCAAGAGACCCCGTAGGGTCTGAACAAACATTGAAGCAGGTCTGTTCCGAGACTCTAATGAATGCCTGTAGACATTGAAGAGAGAAAAGAAAAGAAAAAGAACAAGCGTGAAAGCAAGATCTTCTGTGGAATGCATTTTGTTGGAGTCACGAGTCAAAATGTAGCCTAACCCTTTTGGGCCTGCGACTGCAGCGGCAGGAGCAAACGCCAGCGCGCCTCTTTACTTGTACGACTGACTGCCGTCAAACGCGTGCCAGAAAAAGTACGAGGGCGCCGCACACAACCAGATCTCAACCCTGCCCATGACCCAATTTCGCTCCTACAGTAGCACTCTGTTGGAAACCTCTTCTTGTTCGCATCATACCCACAGCGAGGAGCAGGATAGAGACCTCCTTCTCTCTCAATCCTTCTCACCGAATCCATGGCTCCCATTACTAGATCTTCGGTCCATGGAAGACCATTGGATCTATCCCAAGTGAGCCTCATCGCTTGCAGATTCCCCGCAAGCTCGCTGACCTTAAGACCTGGCAGGCGCGGGAATCGCTTACCCATACCCAACACGGCGGTTCTGAGCCTGAAGACGAAGCAATGCCCGATGATTACGCGGAGGACGAGGGTCACGGATATGCTCTTGAAGGTGCGCATTCTCATGGCCACGTGGAACAAGGCGTTGACCGTTTTGTAGATTCTAGGTCCCCATATCGATCCTCGGCGCAGGAGATCCTTAGACCTCTTCAATCTACAGCAGACCGTGTGACTAAACAAGTGGAGGAATTTGCAAAAGCCATGGACAAGTTTGTCACAACTCGAGAACCCGATGACGATGCACTTTGGGAAGATGCTCTATCACTCCTGGAAGCGTATAGCAGCATAGGTGCCAGTCGCAGAGATCTAACATCCAAGAGTGATCCAGATGCACAGATCCAGAAGATTCAACTCGAAGCAGACTTGTGGTTGCTTGTCAGAAATATCCTCTCCATCAGCTCCCCCGAGGCAAGAAACCGTGAAAAAACCGCACAGGAATCTCGGATGGGTGAACTCAACCGGTACTCACCAGGTGCCCTACTATGGGAAGCCTTCCTCGATTCAGACGCGATTGCTCAGGACTATGAATGTATTCTGGATTGGCTGCAGGAGAGGGAAATTACCACAGGAACACCCATGGACGACATCGTGCGCATCTTGAATTCTAAATCCAATCGTGGAGATGGAATATGGAGTGCTGGACCCATATACACTCAATCCGAAGTCAAAAAACAAAAGCGAGCCAGAGTCCTATCGTCCCCACTTAATCCTTCGCTCCCTGGTCTTAGAGGCAACCATACACGTTCTTCTGATGGCAAGCCACTAGTCGCCCAGCTCGACCCCGATGCGCAGACTCGAGAAAACGCCGTGCTTCAAGAAGAGGACGAGTTCCATGAGCAGGCTGCCTGGCGGACCTACTGGGAAATGCTCCGACGTGGCCAAACTCCTCGTCAAATCCAAGCCTGGTGGGCTGAACGCAAAGAAAACTGGCGTTATGCCGAACTTTGTGGGAGTGCCTCATCCAAGGCGCCAGACTCTCCATGGCTACGAATTATCAATACTGCTTCGAATCCCGGCTGGGCGCAGCGCTGTGAAGCTCTCTCACGGGACATGTCTCTCGACGAATATCAACGAGCGGTCTACGGCATGATTGCAGGCAATGTAAATTCTTCTGAACCGATCAATCAGACAATCGACGATCATCTGTTCGCCATCTTCAATGCTCTTCTCATCGAAAGATACCGAGCCTACGTGCAGGCGTGGCAAACCAGATTAACCCAGTCTGGATCAACGACATACCATCCACAGGCTGCCTCAAAAACTCAGTTGCAGCGATTCTTCACAGAAGCCTTGTCAAGCGATGAATCACGCCAGCCACATAAGTTCTTGGAGCTTGCAATTGTTTCAAAGAACTTTTCTGGCTTTCTGCTGGAGATGGGACGGGCATCTGCTCAGATCGCGCATCGACACGGCCTTAGCTCACACCTGATACAGAATGACACAACGCCAGTCAATGAACTTGCCTTGATCAATGCACAGGACCCAGATACTGTCCGATTTGTGGCCCATTTCCAACTAGTTCTACAATCACTGGGCTTGTTGGAGTCTAATTTCGCTGAGGATGAGTACGCCATGGAAAATAACATCGCTAGCTACATAGGTTGGTTGGAAAAGGAGGGTAAGTTCTCCTTGATACCAATTTACGTCGCAAAACTCTCAAGGCCAAGAGGCGAGCATGTACTTGCTTCTGTTCTGGTCAACATCACAAATGAGCAAGAGCGAGAAACGCAGGTGAAGCTCATCAAACAATACAATCTCGACATGTCTGCCATTGCCTATGGTGTATTTACCCTAGCCAACTATGATGCGATTCAAAGATTGAGGGCAGCAGATGGTCCACCCACCACTTCAAGGATTACGGAACCCAGAGCCGCGGGCAACCCTGGACAGCTCAGGATGAAACGCCACCTAATGAGTGGTGAGATTTCCGAAGATGAAGAGAAGGCCATACGAAGCGTGGAATGGTATCGTTTCGTTGACGCTAAGCGATGGGGAAGTGCAGCGTGGTCTGTTTCCCTTCTTTACAAGATCTTCCTCTACGAAGGCAGATTTGCAGCTCTCCGTCAACTCTTCTCACGAGTTCGTCTGAGTGATGTGTCCTTATCTGCTGTCGGGATGAATCTCCTCTTCGCAGATCAAGAGCCACCAACAGAGGAAGTGGAATCACAAAATGGAGATACCGACGAAGAACGCGTGATCTCCGCCAGTCCTGTCCGGAAGAGAAAGAGTTCATCTCAAGACCACATTTTGATACGAACGGGTAGTGACCGAGCAACACTTGCGTTGAAATCTCGAATCTGGAAAGAACTGGAGGACCTCGTATCCATCATTGACGGCCTGGAAGGATTCCAAGAAATCGTGGATGATCTAGAAGAGTGAGCTTGTCAAACAGAATGAAAGAAGAGAGCTGACATTAAGCAGGAACCGCAGCAATCCTACCTACGTCCGAGCCATGAAACGTGAATTAAGAGCAGCACTCGAATTGGTCATCGAGCGAATACAACCCATTTTCGACCACGATTGGTTATGCCAACCTCAGGATGAAATGGAGGGAGTTCTCCTGCACGATCTTCGTAACCACTACATCCCAGACTGTATTCTAGCGTACAACAGCACTCTCTTCTTTGCAGGCCACGCTTTATCACGAGCATATCTCGTTGAGTGCATGGATCTCGCACAGCAGGTGGCCACAAATCCGATGCTGACTGCAGCTTTTGTGGAAAGTGGACGAATGAGGGAACTGGTGCAAGCTTTCGCGCTTGATAGCCAGGCTCTATTACGTGCCAACGAGCAAGGCGGAATGAAACCAAAGAGAAAGGCCGAGCAGGGCAACAGTGATATCTGGAATGTGACATGGAAAGATCAAGGGAACAACAACATGGACCTTGAAGCTTTGGATTGAGCGGAGGCCCACCTCTGGGAAGTTGAGGAAGGGTCAACGATTGTGGGTCTCCAACGATGCTGATACAAACGAAGCCCCATGCATGTGCAATTAGACGTGTCATCGAGCTGAGATATTGGATGTTCGGGCTAGACTGGAGAGAGTGAGGAGAGACTCGAGAAAGGTGGGACGAACAATACAAGCATAGTTACTGCCTTGTCAGGATGCCAGATGTCCTCCTCGCCTTCATGATAAGACTGCACGAGGTTGACTCCCCGTGAGCAATCCACCTCTAATTGCTACGAGCGTAAATGACCCAAAACGTACTCGTACTGCCATCTACGTATATCATCTACACCGAGCAGAAGTGTCTACAGTGTCTATGCCACAGCAGAACACAGGCTATGTAAAACGGAAAACAAACCCTCTCGAGTGCGGCATGGTACAGCGTTTTATCTTGTCCCCCTACTACATATCGAGATCCTCGCAAGGCATGCCACACTAGCATGCCACACTCATCCACTACAGACAGGCAAGACTTCTTTGCACGAACTACTCGTCCTTAGGTGCTCCGTATCCGGGTGGCTAGCCGATAGAGAGAGCAAAAAAGGGAATCTGAGAGGCCGTGTGGCTGAATCCACGACAGGTCAGGTCAGGCTAGGTCTACACTATCTGGCAAATGCGCCCGCGAGGCCGCCTGACCCGCAGCCAAGTAGCTTAGTGCGAGATGTACTCGTAGATGTAGACCTAGAGGCGAGAGGAGCAGATGGAAAGCCCACATCGATCGTGATACCCTCGCAGGAAATACCAGTTCCGTCCTGGATCGCAAGCGCAAGGCATACCTCGTACTCGGGATTAGATGCGGAGTAGTGGTTCATTCTCCTCTACAAGGGCAAAGAAGGGGTGTTGGTGCAACGAACGGAAGGATGTTTTTCTGGTCCGCTTTTGGGCCTCCACCCCCAAGGATGGAGGTAACTGATAATGATAAAGCAAACCTCACGCTTGGCGGCCGTTGTTCCCTGTTTTGGGAATGCGAAACGCGCACGAGGATCGGAACACGCTGTGAGAGTGTAAATATTGTACTCGGTAATTGACAGGCTCACCGAGGCTGGCGATGCGTACGGAGTACCGATTCCCGCTGCCCGCTGACATGTGTAGGGCGGGATGGGGACGAGGCCGAGGCGTACGAGTATGTACGTACATAAGGGGTGCACGTTCCTTAGTCAGGGCTGAGGAGACTCAGCCTTGAGGTTGACACGCACGGCATGGTTGTAGACTGGGCCATTGGCTCAAAGTACTCCCACATGAGTGCTTACTACCTAGTGCGACGGGACTTGAGTCGAAAGGCGGGAAAAAGGTGTGTATTATTACTATTGTGATTACTACTGTCGAGTCCTTTTCGGTGCTTGTCGAGGGCAAGGCGCCGTGATGTAATCTTGACGTGTAGGGTTATATCATGACGGCGATTATTATTCTTGTTGTTATTCTTTGTAATCGCGGGGGAAACGGCGCGCCACGACGACAGGTTTGTCGAATATATCATACTGGTCTTCGCACAATCTATTGTGTTGACGGACATGTAGTATTTTAGTGATATCTGTATATTCAGTTAATGCTCCTCCTAAGCCTGACAGTTGGTCCACACTGCGCGTGATTATCCTCCTACCATTGGTGCTGTATCGGCCTCTCCAAGGCTACGTACTCTTCGAGGCTGTGGTTATACGTTAAATCCGCGGATCCGAGGTCTGTTTCTGGTTGCTCAGTAACCCCCTCAACGGACAGAGGCTTGCGTTGTGTGGTACGTAGTACAAGGCGCAATCTGCTGGGTACCCAAGCATCGGCTACTAGTTACTACTGATCCACCCGAATGGTCATGTCGGACGACGCGACCAAGCTGTATGGTTTCACGGCGATTCCCGCAGATGGATCGGTGCAGAAACCTTCAACGCCGAATCCGCAATCAGTACCGGTTAGCGCACTGAAGCCTCCTTCGACGGCTCTTGCGAAGCGTGTTGCCGCGTATGCCAGGTCCAAACTTGATACAGACACGTATCGGCATAGTCTGCGCGTGTACAGCTACGGCTGCGCCATCGCCCGCCAGTGCTTCCCGGAGTTTGGATTGACGCCGGGCTCCAAGCTTGAGGAAACTTGGTTTCTCACAGCCATATTGCACGACATCGGAACGTCTGTGGACTTTCTGACCAGCACGAGGCTGAGCTTTGAATTTTGGGGCGGGTATCACGCAATGACATTGCTGCAGGACCCGACGATAACTGGGGACAAAGGAGGTGACGGTGTGGCACCGCGTGAGCAAGCTGAGAGTGTTGCCGAAGCGATCATCAGGCATCAGGACATTCAGGATAAGGGGAAGATTACCTTGGTCACAAGGCTGATTCACCTGGGGACGCTGCTCGACAATATCGGAGCAGGTCGTGAATTGGTGCACCGCGACACCATTGAGAACGTGGTCAGGGAATATCCCAGGCCTGGCTGGAGTGGCTGTTTCAAGAAGACGGTGGAGAAGGAGAAGAGTGTGAAGCCGTACGCTATGGTTAGTAGAATTGAAGGGTTTGAAGAGGAGATCATCAAGAACGGCAGCGATGGTGGCCTCATGGCGAAGTATGAGCACGAATGAGACTTGATCAGGGTCTGGTCACATATCCTGTTGTTGTAGTGTGATGCGTTGTTGGCCAGAGACGTGGTTCCTTTTTCGAAACTTGAAGCAAAAAAGCAGGATTGAGATCGCCAGCCAGCCACCAGTTATGGTAGTTTGTTTGTTCCCTTTCATACCCGACTGTTGCATGATTTGGCAAGCCAAGCTTTGGCCAGAGCGGTTGACATTTGGTTGTAGCTGCATCAGTGTTTACACCACTCTCACTGGCAACAGTTCACTTCAAGAAGTGGTAGTGTTCAGGTACATACGGATAGTTGTCTGCGATGTGGAACCATGAAGGCGAGGATTGACAAAGATGACATACACTTATAGGCCATAAGTTTCCGTATGACCCTAGATGCTTGGCAACCCCGCGATACCACCCACCTCATATAAATTACTACTGTTCGCCGAGTACTTGACGGAATCAAGTCATAAATAGCTCATTCTGTAGATAAAAAGCAGACCTTTCTCCTGACCCTACTGTAGCACCTCTATCGGCGTCCCTAAAAGCGTGTATGCCAACCCTCTGCCGTAATTACCGTATTAATCCTAGTAGTCATAGACCTTATTAAACTATCGATTTTCTCCTGATCCAGGAGTCGCCAGCACTCGCGAATAGCCTCCTTGAATGCCTCGACGGCTACAGCACTTTGGCCCTGGCGTAGAAGGTCTGGATACCGCTCGTTTATAAGGCGTTTCAGCATCGCCCAGACGTGCTCGATTGGGTTGAGATCCGGTGAGTTTGGCGGCCATTCAAGTAGCTGTCGAGAGCGCTCCTGGAACCAGGAGACAATACGGTCTGCTCTGTAGATAGGAGCATTATCCTGCATGAATATTAACTCCTGAAACCAGTCATCCGATAGTGCTTGATTAAGGCATTGCTCATATGAGATCGCAGAATAGCCATTTCGCGCTGACGTTGGATCACGCTCCATTATCACAATATCTGAGCGCCCACCGATCCAAATTGCGCCCCAAATCATGATAGAAAGGCCTTTGCCTTTAGGGATAGGTATAATCATGTCCTTATCGTACTTCTGCTCTGGCGTACGAAAGACCCATTTATCGCCTACGCCAGCGCCTCGTTGGATAGAGCATTCATCGCTAAAAATAATGCGTTGCCAGTCAATTTCATCCCAATCCTTATATTCTATGGCAAAGGCAAGTCTTTTAGCTGCATTACCGCTTGTCAAGAGAGGCCTTTTAGTGCCTCGCCACTTTGTAATCCCTTCTTTTTCAAGGATTCGCTGAATAGTCCTCTTTGAGAAAGGAGTACTTATTACTCGTAAAACTTTACGGTATGTCCATGAAGGATTTGCTCGTACTAGACGGAGTAGTTGACGGCGATCCCTGTTAGTCCAGGTAATAGGGCGTCCGGAGCGTGGTTGGGAGGTATTCTCGATCCGCGTAGGAGCATTCTCAATAGTATATTGAATAGTTGACTTGCTTAAATTATAGGCCTTGGCGATTTGGCCTAGGGAGACCCCATTTTCATAGGCACCGCTGATTTTAGCACGTAATTGAGTACTTAACTCATTACTGTACCCTCGATTCGCGTCGATTTCGCCTAGTATACGTCGTGGAGTGGCCATTGGAGGTTTGAAGAAAAAAGATACCTGGGACGCGTGCGCGGTAACACGTAAAAACGCGCTAAGCGTACGGAAACTTATGGCGTGTGACTGTAAAGTGGCTTGATTTCCAAACAACGCTGAGCTTGATAGCGAGTCTTGGAAGTTCCGAGCCAAGGCTCAATTTCTGATCAATTGGCTGATCCTTTTCGGCGAGCGAGGTACAATTTGGGTCTAGACAGGAAACTCAGCTTGAAAGTTGGATCCCGCCATGGCGGTTGTAACCTTATGCTGAGTCTTGTTTGTCCATGCCTGCTGCTTGTCATGAATGCTTGATCTCAGGTACTTGGGACCTTCGCCAGGAGCGGAAAACACCAATTCTAGCCTGGGTGCTGATGGCGATGGTCTCTGGTCTCTCCTATTGAGGATTGCCACATTTGGTCGTCATCGTGATACGCGTGCTCCGTGCATAGGGAGGCTGTACGGTGGTCGAGACTGCATTTCTCCGTATTCACTCTACTCGCTCTTCGGCGCTTTTATCTTGTGAGTCAACCCTATGGGCCGCCTATCCGCTCACTGGGGGCTCTGTGACCACTGAGCAGTGACCAACACACCGCTGGTGTAGACGATTCCGTGATTATCAAGGCAGCCAGGAGGGTTAAGAATATTTGGATTTGACAGGGTTTGGATGTACGGGGCGGCGGACCTGGATGATTTAGAGCGTGGCAGTGCAAAGACGCCCTGCCCACGCATGGCGCTTCAATTGGACCGCTAGCGGGACATGGTGCAGGGAAGGGATGTAAACGAGAGAGCGGGGACTGTTGTTTGAGGGCTTTTCTGTCAATTTGTGTCAGCTTTTGTAAAGTAGGCGCCGCAGCGAGAATCGGCAATCAAGCATGTTTGAGGGTTGTTTGTTGATGGGGTGAAAGAAGTATTCGTGAATCAATAACGATACGCGGTGGACGTAAGCCAGAGGATGCTTAGTACTGGGTGGTAGCAGGGCCCTGTACAGAACGGAGTGTGCGTATCTCCCACGAGATTCCATTTACTAGGGGCGGCTGGTCCTGCGCCCGGTTGCGATTAGTTTAGGGGCTGGCTTCCAGGCACCTGGTGGCCTGTAATTGCTATGATTATTATGTCCGGAGCACTCTCTCTCCTTAGTAGTGCCCTGTATATACAGATATCCTTGTGCTAGTACCCATTTATTTTGCAGGGCGTTCCTGCCTCGCATCTCGCCTCTGAATCTCACATCTCATTTTTCAAGGAATGCGCCTGCCAACCTTGTGAGTGCGAGTAAGCACACCGGCAAGTGAACCAAGGTCAAAGCTTGGCAGTACGCTAAGACTCATACTAGCAGTTCGCAGTGGTTACTGGTGCTTATGGGGCCTCCGTGGCCTATCAATCCGACAATTAAGGGGCTAAGGGATCTAACGCGTGTTCGGCTAAGGAGCCTAAACTTTGTTTGTGCTCAGTGCTCCCCGTCCGAGAGTAGCAGTCTGTTGCTCCGTCCACCGCAGGCAGTAAGGCGGGTATTCGGTGGTACCAGTAGTAAAAGCACTGACTGGCAACACTACGGCCCGCCTCACCATCATCATACTCGTACGTGCCCACTGCCCACGGCCATGAGGCCAACGACTAGGGAATATCCACTACGATCCTCCACAATCCTAGACACTAATACTCCGTACATACCACTACGATTCCCTCTACCACTGTGCCATGTTTCCAAGTCCATTTCATACTCTTGCATCTTTTCATGGCCTCCTGCTTTACCGCCGCTTCTTGTCGTTTGTATATTGTACTTAGTCCTTCGATTTTCTCTTCTTTAATTTGTCCTTTGGGTTGAGGCTGCTCTTGGGCATTCCTCGCTTCACCCTTGGCCTTTGTTTCTTGTCGATTGACCTGTTTGCCTCTCGATGCGTTTGCTACACGTCTGGCTGTCTGTATAGAGCCCTTGCGTTGGCCACCCCACAGGTTGAGATCTTGCTGTGAGTTTATGACTACCGCGTCTGAGTCTGCACCATTTGCCAGGTCAGGCGAGTTGTTTTGCTTGACCCTGGCTTACCATTTGCCGACCCTTTTCCTTTTGTACGCTGTCATTCTCCGTTTGTTGTTCCAGAACCCTTTCTAACATTTCTGATTATAGTCGTTCGGATGTAAATCGCCCAGAGTCCATACGTTATACCTGGCCTGAATGTCGGTCGATCTGCTCTCTCGAAATCTTGCCACTCCTCCCAGAGGTCTGGCTGTAACTGATCTCTGACAACAAACCAACCTGAAGAGCGACAAGTCCAAATACAACATTTTCCTCCCCATACCAGACAATCGCCCCTGCAATGGCATCCGCAGCCGAAGGGCAAGACCCTCCTTCCTCCCCTGCACCTGCTCCAAGCCGACAGCGAGCTCCAACAATCAGTATAGATGACTCTGCTGTCCACCCTCATATCCAGGAACCCCCAAGTACCTCGTCTGATAGACCAGCCCCACTCCCTCGCATTCAGACTGCCGGGCTGGATTCGCCTCGATCGCTGTCCTCTCCCCTGTCCCTCTCCCCAACAGATGTCCGAGTTTCGACTGATACCCGAGAGTCGCGTCCCACATCTCCACACAATGTCTCTTCGCCTCGAAATCAATTCCTAGATGGCACCGCTGCACATAATTTTCTTTCCGTTCCAGGCTCAAGAGCAAGGGCAACATCTGTTGAATCAGATCTTTCACCGACCTCAGAATTTGGGGGGGATACTCAAATCGCCTCGACAGGTAATGAGTCTCTCCGGAAGGCTTCTTTCAGCAACAACGATGATGTGATGAATGATGAGGAGGCATTGCAGCCAGACCCAGGGACAGACGAGGATTTCAAGGTCGAGAATAACAAATTCGCTTTCAGCCCCGGTCAGCTGAACAAAATGATCAACCCCAAGAATCTGTCAGCATTTCATGCTCTTGGTGGCTTAGGCGGTCTGGAAAAGGGCCTACGAACAAATCGTCATAGCGGTCTCAGTGTTGATGAAGTGGGTCTGGAGGGTGAGGTCAGCTTTCAGGAAGCCGTGCAAGCTGGAGCCGAAATGAACGAGAAATTCGGCACTGTCAAGAGATCCCACACCTCCGGCTCAATGGCGGAGGCTCCGAAAATATCTGATGATTCATTTTCCGACCGAAAACGTATCTTCAAGGACAATCGACTTCCGGAAAAGAAAGCAAAAACATTCTGGCAGCTCGCCTGGATTGCGTACAATGACAAAGTGCTGATCTTGCTCTCTGTCGCTGCTGTGGTCTCTTTGGCATTAGGGATTTACCAGACCGTCAGGCCCGCTCCATCTGAGGAGCACGAGGCCCGGGTTGAATGGGTCGAAGGTGTCGCCATCATGGTTGCTATTTTCGTCGTTACATTTGTCGGTGCCCTGAACGATTATCAGAAGGAACGCCAGTTCATTAAGTTGAACAAGAAAAAAGAAGAACGAAACGTCAAGGTCATTCGCTCTGGCAAGTCGCAACAAATCTCAGTGTACGATATCTTGGTTGGCGATGTCATGCATTTAGAGCCGGGTGACCTCATTCCAGTGGACGGTGTCTTCATCGAGGGCCATAACGTCAAATGTGATGAATCATCCGCCACTGGTGAGTCCGACATTATTCGCAAGACTGCCGCCGATGAGGTTTTCCATGCAATTGAAAATCATCAGAATCTCAAGAAGATGGACCCCTTTATTCTTTCAGGGGGTAAGGTCTCCGAAGGAGTGGGCACCTTCCTAGTCACTTCCGTTGGTGTCAATTCGAGCTACGGGAAGACTTTGATGTCGCTCCAAGATGAGGGCCAAACCACTCCCCTGCAATCAAAATTGAACATTTTGGCCGAGTATATTGCGAAGCTTGGTTTGGCCGCAGGCTTACTCTTGTTTGTCGTTCTCTTCATCAAATTTCTTGTAGAGCTTAAGGATATTGAGGGGGGATCTCAGGGCAAAGGACAACGCTTCCTTCAGATTTTCATCGTCGCAGTTACAATCATCGTCGTCGCGGTTCCGGAAGGTCTGCCATTGGCAGTAACTCTTGCTCTGGCCTTCGCTACCACCAGAATGCTCAAGGACAACAATCTTGTGCGCCTACTCCGAGCTTGTGAGACAATGGGCAATGCCACTACGGTCTGCTCGGATAAGACGGGGACCTTGACTCAGAACAAGATGACTGTTGTTGCTGGTACTCTCTCGACCGCCTCTAGATTTGGTGACAAGGAAGAGGCTGTTAACTCGACTCCCACTAGCAAACACGAAGAGAAAACTCCTGGGACCGACACCAACGATGTGTCCTCCGCTGAATTCTACACCACCCTTTCAGCAGACACCAAAACCCTACTGAAAGACTCGATCATTCTCAACTCGACTGCTTTCGAGGGCGAGGAGAATGGTGCAAGGGTGTTCATCGGTTCCAAGACTGAGACTGCTCTACTGCAATTTGTTGTTGACCATCTTCCCGTTGAATCGATCTCGGAAGAACGAGCAAACTCGGAAATTGTGCAGATGGTTCCCTTCGATTCTGGTCGCAAATGTATGGCAGTAGTAGTAAGACTACCGGATGGTAAGTATCGCATGTTGGTAAAAGGAGCGTCTGAGATCTTGATATCCAAATGTACTCGGATCATCACAGATCCTACTCTAGGAACTGTCGACACTCCTATCACCGCGGATCAAGTCGAGGCCCTCAATGGCATTGTCAGCAACTATGCATCACGATCTTTGAGAACCATTGGCCTCCTCTATCGAGACTTTTCAGAATGGCCCCCGCGTGGAGCTGTGTCGGCCGATGATAACAAGCAAGCAGATTTTGACAAAGTCTTCAAGGACATGATCTTCTTTGGCGTTGTTGGTATTCAGGATCCGCTCCGGCCTGGCGTCACGAAAGCTGTTCACGACTGTCAGGTTGCAGGTGTCTTCGTACGAATGGTCACAGGAGACAACATTATGACTGCAAAGGCCATTGCGACTGAGTGCGGCATCTTTACTTCGGGAGGCATTGCAATGGAGGGCCCGGTCTTCAGGAAACTGAGCAAGAAGCAGTTGACGCAGGTTATCCCTCGACTTCAGGTGCTAGCCAGGTCGAGCCCAGACGATAAAAAGCTACTGGTGGGACACCTAAAGAAGCTTGGAGAGACCGTTGCTGTGACTGGTGATGGTACCAATGATGCACCTGCTCTTAAGACCGCTGATGTTGGTTTCTCCATGGGTATTGCTGGTACAGAAGTGGCCAAGGAAGCATCGGCTATCATTCTTATGGACGACAACTTCGCCTCGATTGTGAAAGCTATTTCTTGGGGTAGAACTGTCAATGATGCCGTGAAGAAATTTCTACAGGTATTTTGGCATGCTCATCTTACAGGCATAAACTAACAGGAGCCAGTTTCAAATTACAGTCAACATCACTGCAGTGTTCCTAACATTCATCTCTGCAGTTGCTAACGATGACGAGGCCTCTGTCCTTACTGCAGTTCAACTTCTATGGGTCAATCTCATTATGGACACTTTTGCAGCTCTAGCGTTGGCGACCGACCCTCCAACGGCATCAATATTGAAACGCCGTCCCGAGCCCAAGTCAGCGCCGTTGATTACGCTGAACATGTGGAAAATGATCATCGGCCAGTCGATCTATCAGCTAGTTGTGACCCTGATACTCTACTTTGCCGGTGCAAGCATTCTTTCGTACGAGACGGACGGTGAGCATAAGAGACTACAGAGCACGATTTTCAACACTTTCGTGTGGATGCAAATCTTCAATCAGTACAAGTACGCCTCCCACTGAACACGCCCTTGAGTGATGCTGATTATAACTAGTTCTCGCCGATTGGACAACAACTTCAATATCTTTGAAGGCATTCTGAAGAACTGGTGGTTCATTGGAATTCAATTCGTCATCGTGGGAGGACAATGCTTGATCATGTTTGTGGGTGGTGAAGCATTCTCTATCAATCGCATCAACGGCGCACAATGGGGCTATTCGATCGTGCTTGGAGCGCTTTCAATGCCTGTCGCTGTCATTATCAGACTGATACCAGACGAACTATTCGCGAAGCTCATACCGACTGTGCCTCGACGAAAAAAGGCAGGCCCATCGTTCTTCCTCGAAGACGATGAAGACCGAGTGCAACAGTGGAATCCAGCGATCGAGGAGATACGAGAAGAGCTCACGTTTCTCAAGAAGATTCGCGGTGGCCGCATGGCCGAGCTCGCGTATAAGTTACAGCACCCTCGTGATACTTTTATTCCGCGTTCACGCAGTCCATCACGTTCGCGATCGGATACACAACTTCCGCAAACTCCTGAAGGCGACCAAGTCGTATCAGACACTCCCACAGCATCGCCGTCCAGTCCGGAAAAGGCGCGACGAAGAAACCGATCTGCGTCCAATTCGGTATTTGGACCGGCAGCTGCGATGGCAGGTATTGTGGCCGGCAGCATAGGTGGTGGATGGTCACCAGTAGAAAGACGGCCTGAAGAGCAGGAAACGGTCCGGTTTACACGGTCTCGGTCCCACTCTGGGGTGGAAGGAACAGCCGGTATGGAAATCCATCCTGCCACTCCAGCCGCAGATCCGGTGTTTGCCCAAAGCGTGCCCAAAGCTGGAGTGCCACCCAGCCAAGATCCCACGCTAGCACCGCACTTTGAGCATGCGCCTCCTCACAGTCCATCAGTCAGATCAAAAGGATCACACTCGCGCCAGCCATCCTCGGCCGCTTGATCGACCAACAGAATCTCAGATAGCGTTCGATGAATCAAAGAGATGGTCCACAGCTCAGCGATTTGCATGCAGTCCAGCACGTGAACGAATCAATAGCACGTTTTGCCAGACGGTCACCGAGCCGACAGCCTTCCTCCATTTAGTTTGTCGACGCTTGGGGAGCAAAGAAACGTGGAAATCGGGTCGAGGCCAAAATGTGAAAGGCAGAACACAATGACGGCGGGTGCAAGGCTGAAAGACCACGGGCAAGATCCCCTAGGCTCTGATTCAAGATGCAAAAGGGGCTGGAAGAAGGTTGGTCACTCGGAGTTGGTCTGCACACATCTTGAATGGTGTGTGTTATGATCATGCAGCACGAAAGTATTTATGGCTGCAGACTGGTCAACATTGAAGCATTGGACGAGGTACAGCGTACACAGCCTGGACAAGACAAGAATAAGTTAAGCGGGAAGTCTCTTTCTATCTGTCTCTTTGAGGGTCCAAATATCCCGTATTGTAATTTTACGCTAGATCAGCACTGGTCAGCGTACTGAATGAAAAGAAGAAGAAAAACACTCTGAAAAGCAACTGTGTCTTCCGGTGAACAGCGAACAGGCAGCCACCAGAGCCTCGTGGGAGTGAAGAGGATAACCCATGTCTACAAGTAGGCCATAATGTCAGGTTTGCAATCAGACTCGACTCTCCCGAGTACCTGATGTCACTGGTACGTCCGAGAGGAGGCCGTAGGGAGCCGCCTGTGAGGCTGAGCCGAGGTTGTTTTCCAACTTCTGGCCCTGGGTGCCTCCTGCACGTCGTATTCCGTATTCAACGCGCACAAGTTTCCTGTTCGGCTCTAGCGACGATCCGCAGTTTCTTTTTGCCTCAGGCTTATCGCCTCAGCGCCAGACCGATCAGTTGTCACTTGCGGGTTGCGGGTCGCGGGTATCGACCAATTTTACCCTGCGGCTTGGGGCTACATCATACCTCCCAACAGCACAGCTCGCTCCGATGCGGCCAGAGGGACTCTGTACCAGTCTGTGCCAGTCATAAAGAACCATGGCCTCAGGGCGGTCAACAATAAATCTTCTTCGACTCCTACCTCGCACGACTCCTTCTTCCTTGGCCTCACCTTTGACTGCTCCTGCTGCCTCCTGCCCTCCTTTGCTTCGTCCTACACTCCTTCAGCGACAGTCATATTCTTCGTTCGCTCGGCACTCCGGCCTCACATCTTCCCGAAGGCAACGTTTGAACTCAAGACCACGGTCGCCTCAGAGCCTCTACTCCACGGGTAAGCCCTCAATCGTACCGTCATGCTCGTTGGTGGTAGCGGCTGACTGGTTTATGTATAGTCATTGTCCATAATCAAGGCCAGGCCCGGGGTCGACGCGTTATCAGCTTTTTGATCATCAGTACCGTTTCGTTTGGCATCGGGAGTTATTTCGCGCTTTCCTACGTTCCTCCGATCCTCACGCCCTTAATCATGGGGTCGATGCCCAGCGATGTGGAGACTCTCTCCCTGTACGAGGCGCCGGATGACCTTTCTCGCGAAATTGATGAGCACATCAGAGACAGCGCCCTGGCCCAGTCTTTACGAGCACACCCCGACTTCGTAGAGTCCAGACCACACCTCAAAATCCCTGCCGAAGTGCGGCAGCACAATCTGACGGCGGGGACGTTGGCGGGGCCTGGAATGATCGCTGTCCCGCCCTATTACTTCAATGAGAAGGACGGTAAATCCATGGTTCAGATCTTCTACGTTGGAGCTGACTGCTCTGGACATCCTGGCATCGTCCATGGAGGATTTCTCGCCACGATGCTAGACGAGGGTTTGGCCAGATGCGCCTTCCCAGCCATGCCCAACAAAGTGGGAGTCACCGCCAATCTACAGATTAATTACCTCAGGCCTACCATGGCCGGGCAATATCTGGTCCTTAGAGCCAAGACAACCAAAGTGGACGGGCGCAAAGCTTGGTCTGAAGGATGGATCGAGAGTCTAGAAGTGGCCGAGGGAGAAGAGCCTCAGAAACTCGTAGAGGCAACTGCCCTCTTTGTTGAGCCAAAGCATGCTAAGGTAAGTTTGAATTTTGCAAGGCTGGCAGTGCAGGGGTACTGATGACTACTCTTCGCAGGTGCTCAATTCTCTCTACAGAGTCTCAACATAATGGGGTAGCGCTATTCGTTTGGTACTTTAGCTTTTGCATTATTACCGGTGTTTTCGTTTTACACAACATTACAGGAGGCTGCTACGACTGACTTGCAGACCTCTGCTAGAAAGGTATAGACCTAGCGGGTAGGAAAACGTCATGTATTGGTTGAGGGATTGAGAAGCCTTGTATATTGGATAGTCTTGAGCTCGTTCTCGGGTACCCGATGGATTGGGATTCAGAATATACAATGGACGTGTGCAATGAACAGTTTGCCATCAGCTCCGACCCTGAAACACAGCCTCGTCTGGTCTGTTGGCCCATTCATCCGCATCCTTGGCACCCCGAAATCTCGAGGATTCGACTGGTGTTATTGTACTCAAGAGTATGATGATTTGAAGAAGGCATCGCCCAAATGAATAACACACCTGTAGTACAGTTGATGGCTGGCCTCGCAAAATTGTAAAGCCTCGCATGCCTGGTCGTTGCCCACTGCAAGCGCCGCGTGGTGTGGGAAAGGGCGCCCGCTAATCGTGTGAATAAAATATTCCTTGTAATCCTTGGTATTTATTCTGCTCATGCGGCACTGGACCAAACTGCCATACAACCGACTCCGGGGAGGTCCAGATTCTCTCTGATCTATTTTCTACATGGAACACGCCCCAAGTCATGATCGTCCCGCCCATCGAGGGCAGCAGAAGATGCGGGATCAGGTCCGACATGCATGTGATGGCTGTCGTATTAGAAAAGTCCGCTGCCACCTCCAACCAAGACCAACCGAGCTCTGCCTGCAACCAGGAGCAGCACAAGTTCAAGCGTATGAAGACCTTGCTCAAAGCCAGAGTAAGACCGAGCCACCTTCAAAATGCTTGAGATGTACAAAACTTGGCCTCGACTGCTCTTTCGATCTCCCCGTACATCGACGAGGCCCAAAAGCTGCAGGAAGAAAGTATGTTGAGACCTTACTCGACCCCAGTATTCGTTACCAAATTTGACGTACAGCAGACATGTTGAAAGCCTGGATCTGCAGTTGCACACCTCGCTGTCCAGGAACTCTCCGTCACCAACATCTCCACAGGTCTTGGAGTTCCCTCAGACGACCCCTCCTAATATCGTTTCCAACAAAGCTGCATCCGACGTCTTAAGAAGCCCCTCTACATTGGCATTCAACGACCATGTACACGCCGATTTTGTGTGGGGACCTCCTCAGACTCAAAATCCAGCTGGTGGTGGCCACACCTCTTCCATGAGGACTCCCTCAACCCCTGGCTATGCCTCGCAACTTAGCTTCGCAATATCCGAACAAAATCAATATCTTGACGGGGATTTGTTCCCCGCCGAGCTAATCCCCAGGATGATCGATGACTTCTTCGCTTACGTTTATCCTATTGTTCAAATGGTGCATCGTCCGACCTTTCTCAAGAACCTCCGGGACAACAGACACGCCCGCGACCCTGATTTCTTTGCCCTCATCATGGCACTTTGTGCAAGCATAGTTGCTCACCGGCCAGAGAAGCTTACTGAATACCAAACTTCCCCAACACCACTCAAAATTCAAACGCCATTGGGGGTGGTGGACTACTGCCACGCACGATCGGTTCAGTTTCGAAGTGCACGATATTTCGATGAGGTCAGCCATACCAAATGGGCTACTGCCTTTATGTTCTACACCTCTTTCTCCCAGGCTGGAGACGTTAATAAAGCCCGAATGATGGAAGTGGAAGCAATCCTCTTTGCGCGACTTCTGGAGCTGCATCGTATCTCAGCCTATGCAGGCTTGAGTTGCATTGAAGTTCAATTACGTAAAAAGGCCTTCGGCTTCATGATGCATGCTTATGTCCACTATGAACTGCAAAATATCAGAAAGGAGAGGATTTCTTTCATTGATTGCAGCACGCTGCACGAGATCGACCTCGAAGAGCTGTTACCTGCACCGCAGGATGATGAAGATATCACTGAAAATAACTATGGCCCATATGATATAACACAACCGAGTCTTGCAGCAGCATTGAGGCTTCGAATCGAGCTGTTTCTGATGGCGATAACGCGAATTACCTCCAAGAACCGTCGTGGGACCACGGACGTACACTGTCGTTGCACTCGTCTTGTTGACCCTTCCTCCTACATGAAGCACCTGCGCTCAAGACTGCACGAGTTGAAGTACAAGCTCGATAGTGCACCGTGGTATCTGCGTCAATGGGCACCGATGAAGCTCGGCGGGAAAGTGAGTCGTGACAAAGAATTTCAGATTGGTCTGCTGCGTGCTGACATTCATACGACGCATCTTTGGCTTCAGACTTGTATCTTGGATCATTTGGAATACCTCACTCCTGCGGTTGGTGCTCCAAATTCACCCATTTCCAGGTCTCCGCAAGAGGTTCTTCTTTTTGCTGTCAGTTCCCAGTGGGAGCAAAGGGAAGAAGTCTGCCGCCAGATGCTCCAAGTCTTGAGTTTAACACCACATTTGTACCTTGAGATCCTCGGCATATATCTGATCCACAAGATTAGAGACGTAGCCAGCCCTCTTTTATCGTGCTTGGACAATAACGGAGAAAGCCCAACATCTCCTGGTTCCCATGACCGTGCCAAACAATACCTCCAGGAGTACAGCGAAAAGCTAAGGCACTTGGATAGGTCAGGAAAGCCAAACTTCGAGAGCCTACAGACTTGGATCGACACCGACCGCATTGGAAAGCAGACGCTGCTAAACTATTCTTGAAACAATCATGCCGGCCCTCATAGTCCTGCCCACCACTGAGTCTCGGATATCTCGATTTCTGCCTCCAGGAAGGGTCCTTGAGAGTTCTGGCCGACCAAGACCTTATACCTGCCCTTCTCTGAACACCACTTTTGCCGCGATTCATCCCAAAAGCTTGTCGCACGTATCGCATCGATTGGAATAGCAACCTCGCGGGTTTGATGAGCTTCAAGACGAACCTTCTTGAAGCCTTTCAGCTCTTTCGAAGCCCGATGAATCTGACTGCTGGTCTCGAATGCTGATGGGGAGCCGATATACACCTGCACGACCTCAGCTCCTGCCCGTGGGCCATCATTCATAACCTGCACCTTGCAGGTCTTTTCTCTACCAAGGTCCTCAACCCGCAGGCCATCAAGCTTGAAGTTCGTATAGCTTAGACCATGACCAAAGGGGAATAGTGGTTCGATACCGACTTTGTCGTACCATCGATATCCAACGTATATATCTTCCCCATACAAGGTCCGACCAGCCTCAGAACGAAAGTTCAAAAATGCAGGGTTGTCATTGACCCGTTTTGGAACTGTCAAAGGCAGTTTTGCAGAAGGGTTCACATTGCCATAAATCACGTCGGCAATCCCATGGCCCGCCTCGTTGCCTCCAAACCAAGCATGGAGGACAGATTTGGCTTTACTGATCCAAGGCATCGCCACAGGTGTACCGCTTTGGATGACAATAACAGTGTTTGGGTTGACATCAAGGACACGAGATATCAGCTCATCTGTTCCCGGCGGTAGATCCATGTTTGGACGATCATAGCCCTCGGATTCCCATTCTCCGGTTAAGCCCGCGAAAATGACAACTTGCTCAACATGTTTTGCGAGCGTGAGAGTATCGTTAATGGCTTGCTCCTGAGACATGTTCAGCGCACCGCCAATGCGCACTCCACCTTGGCCGAAATCAACAAGTCCACCGATCTTCAATTTTGAGGTCTCGGCACAGCCCCATTGAACAAGTAATTTGTACTGACGGTCCTTCTCGAGATGTATAGCACCTTTTTCTTCGACAGTGCCGGTTCCAAGGAAAGCAGAGCCTGGCGTCTGGTTCTCTACATTCGACACCACCAATTGCTCGTCGATGTAAAGTTTTCCGGTACCATGGACAGCCAGGCCAAAGTCATATACGCCGGACACTTCTGGAGTGAAGATTCCCTCCACATCTGCATACCATGTCTTGTTCAGTTTTGGATTCGAGTAGTCGATGAACCACATATTAGTATCGGTGAGATGTCGCTCATCCACCAGCGTCCGGTTTTTCGAAGTGTGTGGCTCGTTGAAAACCTTGAGTGAGAAACCAACTCGGCCGTCGTCTGTTCGTAGGCTTGTCCCAATTTCTGGCAAAAGCTTGTGCGCATATGTTCCTTGTGCGAAAGAAACACCAGAGGCAGACTGGGATACAATCCCGTCGAAAGGCGTAATCGCTGCATATGGCCTTAGAGAGGCACTTCCACCGCCACAATATGCGGGAATTTTAGCGTTTGGTCCGACTACGAGAATTGGCTTCTCTTTGTTGAAGGGTAAGACGTTTTCCTCGTTCTTCAGTAGAACGATGGACTCGGCTGCCGCCTGACGCATCAATGCGCGATCTGCTGGACGGTTGAGCTCCATTTCAGGTGCGTTTTCTGGGATTCCTGCTACCCGAGTCTTGTTAATTAAGTTTAGCACATTCCGAACGCGGTCGTCTAGCTCGTACTCTTGAATTTTGTTTGATAAGACAGCATGGGATAAGGCTTGGCCTCGGAACCGAGTAGCTCCAGGCATTTCTAGGTCGAGCCCAGCTTTGATCGCTTCGGACGTACTGTAAGTACCGAACCAATCACTCATAACCAAACCATCCCAACCCCATTCTTTCCTTAGGACGTCTTGCAGAAGTCTCTTATTCTCCGAGGCGTGGGTGCCGTTGACTTTGTTGTAGGCCGTCATAAGTGCACCGGGTTGTGCTATTCGGATAGCGGTTTGAAAAGGCGATAGATAAATCTCACGCAATGCGCGTTCTGTGACGATGGCATTGACTGCCATTCTCTCGTGCTCTTGATCATTGCAAACAAAATGCTTCAAGGTTGGGATAATGTCCCTGTCTTGCACACCTAAGCAATAGTTGCCTGCTGTCACTCCTGAAAGAAACGGATCTTCTGAGTAGGACTCGAACCCTCGTCCTCCGAGTGGTGATCTCTGGATGTTGATAGTAGGACCCAATAGAACGTGGGCCCCTTTAGCTCTAGCTTCATCACCAAGCAGTCGACCTAGCTGACGTACGAGAGACTCATCGAAGGTCGCTCCAATTGCCGTGCCGCAAGGGAGACATGCCGCCGGTATTCCGTCAAAGAAGCGCGTTCCTCTAACACCATTTGGACCGTCCGAGAGCCGTATTGATGGGATCGACAACCTTGGTATGGGAGTTGTATGCCAAAAATCTTTGCCTGCTGTCAGGGCAACTTTTTCGGAAAGCGTCAGCTGCTCGAGTAAAGATTCCACGTTCAGCTTCTCTCCTGAGGGCTCAGCCTCGTGGTAATGTCCAGCGTCGCCCATTGCGAGCGACTTCCTTCAAATATACAAGAACGCGGATATATGATCTGTCCTGCTGCGCGGATTGATAAACTAAAGGCGCGGTCTAAAGACTTTGGAATTGATGGGATCCTCCTGAGGTTGGATCTTCGGCACGCTATTATACGCCCATCTTCACCGCTGAAAATTCATGGTTTGCCCGAGGTTGTGGCGGATACGTCAGGTATTGGAGATTGGGGTGTTCGGGATAGTGATAGTGTCACTACTCGTACGTGACTTGATGATCCGTGTGCCTCACACGGCTTCCGTGGACACATCCGACGTCGTTCAACAAGGTTCGTTGCTCCCCAGCTCTTCCGGAGAAACCCCAGAATGGGCCTGGCTTGTCCGCTCTGAAAGCCCCGGAGGACGGGGATACCCAAGATCAGTGGGACTTTTTCTCCGCACTGCACCTATCAACTGACATCCTGCCAACACTTGCCTCATCTACGAGAATTAATTCTCCGCTATAGAATTCCCCGCGATGTAATTCTCCGCGCTGTGGTTGACGTCTCCGCCTCTCCGCCTCTCCGCCCAGCGACTTAGTTGGTCTGGGGTTTCGGGCCATGCCCGTTTCACCCCATCCTCCGGGTTCAGGCCCACAGAACATCCGTTTTCGCTTCTCGAAGCATTCCGCCCTAGCATGGTATGAAGCATCCGATGTCGAGCTCTTTCGCAATCAACTCGTTATTCTATCGACCGTAACGGGTGTCGTGGCATTACCGACCAAGGCTTTCTATCGGGAGAGGATAGCTTGAACGTCGCGTTTCGATCTATCCTTTCCATCTCAATTGCCGAACAATAATTTTTACAGGGTGTGAGCTTCACTTACATATTTTATAAAAGGATGACGATCTCTCCGTCGACCAATGTATGTATCTTCACTTCAACAAGTAAATACACCTTACACAAGAATATTTGCAACTTTCTCCAGTCCAGTTCTGATCATGGGCGTCACTGTAACTTCTTCCAATAACGCTGTCGGCCAGGAGCTGGCCTCGGTTCTGCCTCAGGATAACAAAAGGTGGTACCAGCGCAGTCACCTCATCAAGCTCAGCCTCATAACACTGTCCTTGTGCCAATTCTCCTCCTGCAACGGATACGATGGCTCCATCATGAACGGCCTGCAATCACTGCCAACATGGCATACATTCATGGATGCCCCAGCCGGAGCATGGCTCGGCTTTATCAACGCTATCTATTGGTTGGGCATGATGGTCTGCTCTCCACTTGCATCCCTGGTCAGCAACAGATACGGTCGCAAACCTAATGTTTGGATTGGATACGCCTTCCTCGTCATTGGTGTCACTCTGCAGACTGCTTCCCCGAACGACAAAACCTTCATAGTGGCGAGGTTATTTCTGGGAGGGTGTTCAGCTTTCTATTCGAACTCCGTCCCTCTCTTAATCAATGAAATTGCTTATCCCACCCACCGTGGCGTTGTCAGTGCTGTCTTCAATACCGGCTGGTATGTCGGCTCGATCATCGCCGCATGTGTCACTTTCGGGACTCGCAACTATAGCAGCTCTTGGGGATGGAGGCTTCCCTCACTCCTCCAGATACTTCTCCCAATCGTTGCACTCCCAGGCTTCTGGTGTTGCCCTGAATCGCCCAGGTTTTTGATCGACCAGGGACGCATTGAAGAGGCCCGCAAGATTATCTCGACCTACCATGCAGGCGGTGACAACAACGCTCCCTTAGTCAATTATGAAATGCTGGAAATTGAGACTGCCATCGCTGCTGAGAAGACTGCAAAGTATTCGTCCAGCTATGCCGACATGAGCAGAACTAAGGGCAACCGCTGGAGGCTGGCCATCTCGGTTTCCCTCGCCATTTTCTCTCAATGGAGCGGCAATGGGGTCGTCTCGTACTATCTTGCATTGGTCCTGACCACTGTCGGCATCACCAGTGCTACAGACCAGCTGCTCATTAACCTTGGTACGTAATGCAAGGACCTTTCCACACATGTGAAATCATTCACTAACCTACCCATCATACAGGTCTACAAATTTGGAATCTCATCTTCGCCGTCACAGCAGCATTCAGCGTGGATAAACTCGGCCGTCGTGCCCTCTTCCTCGCGTCGGCAGGCACCATGTTGACCAGCTATATCATCGTGACCGGCCTCTCTGGATCTTTTGCTCAGACCGGTCATGCCGCCACGGGTATCGCCGTCGTGCCGTTCCTCTTCTTCTTCTTTGCTGGCTACGATATCGCTCTTACGCCTCTCCTGGTTGCGTATCCCTGCGAAATCTGGCCCTACACGCTGAGAACCAAAGGCATTACGGTGACATGGGTGACCGCCATTTCCGCCATCTTCTTCAACACGTTTGTCAACCCCATTGCCCTCGAAGCTATTGGATGGAAATACTACATTGTCTTCGTTGTGGTATTGATTATTTTCTGTATCACTGCGTACTTCTTCTACCCCGAGACTCGAGGCCATAGCTTGGAGCAGATGGCTCTTATCTTCGATGGTGAAGATGCGGCGGTCATGGAGCCTGAGAAAACTAAAGAGCGTGCTGTGAGTGTCTCGCACGATGAAGGAGCGCGAGGCGGAGCGAAGAATGAGACGGTGTACTATACGGAAAAGGTGTGAGCGAGTCCGTGAAGCAACTACATCTCTGGGGGTTATCAAAATGAGAGACATTTGTTTCCACGTGCTCAAGGAGCAATGATGAGGCGCAGTTCGGAGATGAAGATAGGCGAGGAGGCATCCCGCGCTGAGTATCCGTGCAGTGATATGGATATGGCTATACTGGAGAGAAGCATGGCAACCTTGATAAACCAAACACTTCGACTATGCAGTGAAACAGAACGCCATTAACTAGCTCCTCTTATGCTCTTCCTAGTACTGAAAAGTTCTGTGAATTCCGCTCAAAAACATTCTAAAGCAAGTATCCATCAGACCTCGAGCAGGTGATCCCAAGGCTGGCGGCCCCTGGGTGTAACCACGACGGGTGATCTTTCACCCGGAGGGGCTGTAGGGCGGCATTGGAATCCTCCTAAAATGGAAAAAGATGCTTGGCATACGCAGCTTCCCTTGAGTCGCTTCCCGTGACAGGGCAGCGAGTTGGGGGACAAATGCTCCCAATAATTGAGATACCTAGCTTCTCCATACATCCACTCAGGTACAATTGTCTGCGAACATCGCAGGCTGCTATAGCCCTCTTTGATCTTGTCGGGGCTATGAGCTGTATCTGAACCCGTTGACCTTTGTTCTCCAGACCCTCAGGTCCGCTCGCAATGTCGACTAAGTACCTAGCAGTCTCCGTCCCCTCATCCATCACTCCCTCCGGCCACAAAGACGATGCCATAGCCGCCCTGCAGAAAGCCGTCAATCCCTCCAACGGGGATGTCCTGAAATTCAACCTCCCCGAGTTCAAGATTGGTACACTCGATGCTCTACTGCAGCAGTCAGACGAGCTGGCCAAGCTCGAAGGCCTCTGCAATGCCGTCGTTGGTAAAGTTGGAGATACACTGAAGAACATCCTCGACGGGGACGAGGAGAAGATCGCTTTGCACAAGAATGTCAATGATAGTATGTATGAATCCTGCTATTTGAAACATACATTGCTTCCGTCAAGAGCATCGGGCTAATCTCTGTCCGCCTGCGGTGATGTAGAACCTTTAGACCAATACCTGCGAACATTTTCTTGGAATAAAGTCAAGTATCGGGCAGATAGGCCGATTTCAGAGCTCCTTGACCTCTTACAAAAGGTTGGGTTCCAATGATAAACTATCTCTCCCATGTCGAATGAGATCTAATTGTCTGCATCCAGGAAGTAAATTCAATCGACAACGATGTTCGCTCTAAGTACAATCAATACAACTCGCTACGTACCAACCTCCAGGCTCTGCAACGGAAACAGACGGGAAATCTGTCTACCAAGTCCCTCACCTCCGTCGTCTCCCCTAAAGTCTTGGTCTCAGACTCGGAGCATCTTGAAACCCACCTGATCGCTGTTCCCAACAACAGTGTAAAAGACTTTATGCGCAGCTACGAAACCCTAGCACCCTTTGTGGTCCCCCGGTCGGCGATCTTTGTCGTCAGCGACGATGAGTTCTCCCTGTACGCTGCCACGACATTCAAGAAACACAGTGCCGAATTCGTCCACAAAGCCCGTGAGAAGAAGTGGGTGCCCCGTGACTATAAGTTCAAAGAGGGCGGGAGGGAGGAAGAGGCACAGGAGATTAAGAAGACTGAAGCTGAGGAGAAGCGTGTGTGGGGTGAGACGCTTCGACTTGGTCGGACTGGCTGGAGTGAGGGAGTCATGTGTCTCGTTCACGTTCTGGTCCTGAGGGTCTTCGTGGAAACAGTCCTGAGGTACGGTTTGCCTTTGGACTATGTCAGTGTTTTGGTCAAGGTAAGTCACGTCTGTTAGTTAAGCACTTTGCTTTCTCCCTTCTTCCATTTCAATACACCAACCGACCTATCCAGTACTTCTACAAACATTGAAAGCACCATTGATGGACTTGACTAATAGATCTGCCTCCACAAACAGACAGATACGAAACGTGAGAAGAAAGCCCTGCAGGGCCTCGACAGCGAGTTCTCATACCTTGCGGGTAACGCATTTGGTCGAGACAAGAAAGGTCGGCCGAAGAAGGACGAAGGAATGAACTCGGCCGATGCAGTAGCAGCAGGCGGCGAACAGGGCGATTATTCTGCCTATGTGCTCTACCAGATTGCCGTGGATTGATGTGCCGCTCACTAGAGGACCAACCAGCGTACGCAAGACGAGAGGGATCCACGGAGGATGCCGTCTACAGTACGGATAGAATTCATTTGTCTTTCACGCCTTCCCCGCTCTTATAGTGAGAGTCAGTGCCAGAAAGGCATGGGTTGGTTGCGGCAGGGCGAGGCGAGGCAAGACAAGACAAGCCAAGAAGTTACGATACAACAACAACTACAATACAATGTTCTTCCAGTCTAGCTTTCGTACAGACTTTGGAAATGCGACTTGAGATTGCTGACCATTTTCGGCTTTCACTTTCGGCAGATAGCAAACGATCATCAAACTAGCGAGGCTGAAAGTGAACTACTGACCCTTCTTAAGTAGCAGTCTATCATAGCTGGCATGATCGTATTATGTAGGCCCGCTCCCGCTCCCGGTCGCAGACTCGTTGGGCTTGGCGCTCAGTAGCTGTATTCCTTCTCCATCGGCGAATCAATCCGCTGACCTACACCGGCGTACTGTATATACGTCGGTCCTTTAGGGAGATGCCCAGTTATCTCTTATTACCCAGCCGAGGAGTGGGAGCCGACTAGAATAGACCATGGCTGGCGGCTGGTGACAGGGGCCGTACCGTAACGGCCTGTTTGGAGCACGGGCGTGTTGCTGGATGCCCGAGAAGAGAGGCCTCGTGGATGTGGGATGGTTTGGAAAACAGACTGGGATACGAGCTGGGTTCTGGAGGGTGGACTCGCAGGATTGGACATTCAACTGCTGCCGAGACTAATCCGAGGCCACTGGAGCACCAGCCCTCGACGGTAGGAATCTATGAGTGCAGGCCGTCGGATCGACTGGTTTTAGCCCGCTGACACCTCCATGCATAGGGCTGGGGCCGGTCAGTGAGCCCTTCTTGCTGTTTTGGTTGGGACCAGGGGTCCGAGTCGTGGCGGCGGCGGCGGCGGCGGATGGGGGGTTTGTATTTTTACTTCGCGGGTAATATCGTGCACCAGGATAGCGATGGAGATGGAGGCTGTGATGGCGCCCGCCGCAGTGAAGGAGTAAGGAGAAGAACCGTCTTTCATTGTACGGCCTACCTTCCAACCGGTATGGCTGAGGGCCTGGCTCGTGTCTGATGGGGCGATACTTTGTCGAGTGGAAATAGGAGCCCAGCCAAAGTTTTCCGCAACATTCACCTAATCTGGCTGTTGCTGATACCGTTTTCGAGGCTCTGTGGACTGGTCTCCGATAGGTTACCCAATTGTAGTGAGGAGTCTCTGATACTTGATGTACTTCAGGGCAGAGGTTGAGCTTGAGGTTTGGCCTTTTGCTGGCCGTCGTAGAGACCAGAATAATAGCCGGCCCAGTAATAAGCCATCTTCAAGTTTTCGAGCGTCTGGTCTTGAGACGGTGCCATTTTTGCTGCTGGCGTACGCAGTGCGGGGTTAGCGTACATGCATACAATACCGTGATAGGGGAGGAAAACCAGTAGGGAACTGGGGAGCGAAGGCACCTAGCTCACCTGTAGTGTTGCTACTGCTTGTAGGATGGGGAAGCTGTGGTCCAATGATGGGTGTCGCCGTTGGCTGTGGCAGTTGAGAGAAACCGTGAGGGTGATTTGTGTCGGCCTCGTTGTGGACTTGCGCTGATTCATCCACTTCGCCGTCTTCGATCTCATTATTGTCGTCGGCGGAATTGGCGTCTGTTTGGTGACTCTTTCGAGCAGCAGAATGACCCTCTTCCTCTGCAGTTCCATTTACGTCTTTCCATTCACCGGCATCCACGGCGACATCTGGCTCACCGAGTTCGCCCTGTTCTGCCCTCCGGAGGACCTCTTCCACGTCTTCACCCCTGGCATGGATGCTGTGATAGTACTATGAGAGGAGAACATGTTAACTTGCGGAGAAACAAAACGGGGGACATAGGGATCTCTGGACCACACGGGCTGAAGTAGATGCTCCAGACGCCGTTAATTGTATCTTAGAACAACAAATCCGGTTCCGGCAAACGAGAAACAAGGGAAGGAGAAACCCGTGCCAACGAGCAGCAATAAACCTCTTCTGATTCTCATCGATTCGACGTACCTCATATTCCTGAAGTGCATCATTCCACGACCTGATCAGGGCCGAGTCATCCCATATTTCCGCTTGGCTCACTGCAAAGCCGCCATTGGCCTCGTGACGTCCTTGGCGGTGCTGCGAAGGTTTGTGCTTGTTGCCTTTTCCCATCGCTGCTTCCAGGCGTTAGAATCCGAATGATGTGTGAATTGAAAGGCGAATTGGCAGGCCGAACTTGAGCGGTTCGATCCAAGGCAGAAGTGATCTCCTGCGTCGGAAAACGCGAAAATTTAGCTTGGTCTTGGCTACATCAGATACCAAGATGACTTTTTCAAAGCATGGAGGGATTCGAGAAGTACTAGAATGATAGAATGTTTGTTGATTGTGGTATTGTGTGGCGAGTGGTAAGACTACTCGAGAGCTGGAGGTGGTAGCTTGTAAGTCGCACGAATCACATGTACTCCGTAGAGCGGTTGCCAAGCCTCGTACTAGGCCCCCAGGAGGAGCCGGTTCAGCCTTGCATGATAATTACATGTCCACGATACGGTTGTTCGACTGGTGACTCGTAAACTGTGCTGAGAGGTGCAGAACCAGTCGGCTGAAGTCAAAATCGAACGGGCCGTAAAACGTGAAGCATGTAATTAAGTAGTCTCATCTTAAAATAAATCCTAATATTTCCGTGTGCCCTCTAGGAACCCAGGTTTACAATGGTACTTACATAGGATATGAAGCAGCATCGAAACAGACAATTTCGTCAAGGTCTTTTACGAAATTTGAGCTATGTGTACAATGGAAGATTTGTTATTGATACAGATCCTGTCAAGTTTAACTGTACCCTCTCCTTCGTTTGCCTTGATTTCTTGGACGTTGAGTAACGACCAGAGGATTGACTTTGTTCTTTGGTCTAGTTTTGAAGCCGGATTTCGCCTGGAGAGGTCAGTAACAAAACCCAAGACTGGAACTCGTTCCCTGAAACTTACTGGAATACCCCAAGGACTAGAAGGAATTCGGTTGTTCTTGGACTTTCCTCGACCACCACCGTGCGGATGATCCATGGCGTTCATGGCCACACCTCGCACTGTCGGTCGAATACCTAGCCACCTCTTTCGTCCCGCTTTACCCAGCGATGTATATTTGAAGTTGATATTGCTTGCGACTCCAATGGTTGCCACCGCTTCTTTATCAATCAAGCGAACTTCGCCGCTTGAAAGTCGAACTGTCACATAGTTGGCAGCGGTCTCGAACTTCTTGAGGATTTCTGGTGCGAGGGCTTCCCAGTCAAGTGTGCCACTATCCTGGAGCACTTTGGCCATCTCTTTTTGTACAGTGTCTTCACCTTTTCCAATGATGATACCATGCGTGCCAGCACCCCGACACATCTTGCCACCATCCTCTTTCGTAGGCGCAATGTTGAAGATGGGTGTGCCCACCGGAATCATGCTGAGTTTGAGGCAATTGCCCCTGTTGGCTGTTTTGGAAGCCAGCAAACCTAGATCAAGATGTCCTCCCATTTCGTCGATTAGGGACTGTGGAAGTCCACTTCTGAAGCTCTCCACCATGTCGCCAGCTCTCAAGCCCTCAGCAGCAAGGATATAGGTTTGCTTGCCTGTCTCCATACTTTTCACTAGTGCGATATGTGCGCTCCGGCCAGGGTCGTGTTCGATGCGTTCGACGAAGTGTTTACCTCCTTCATTTCTGTGGAAGTCGACGGTTCGAATGCGCCTCTTATGACCACCCCCTCTATGTCTCATCACAACGTGGCCTGTGTGGTTCCTGCCACCTTTGGCATGGCCCTTTTTCGGAAAGGTGAGTTTGTGGACAGGGCGGCCTCTCCATAGGTGATCGTTCATGGGTCGGACGAGATGACGGATACCAGGAGTGCGGGGAACATAGCGACGCAGTTGAACCTGGGCTTTGGAAGGATTCAGAAGGTCTTGGGGTAGAGGGACAGAAAGATCGGGTTGTGCAGAGTTTGAATCAATTATTTGGGCGTAGCTTCTCCGCAGAATGGGAGTCGGCAGCTTGCATTGCCTGCACAAGGTGCGTACAGGCAACCTTGGTTGCAACATCTTGCTGTAAAGCAAGATGAAAGTACACTGAGCAAAAATCACCTCGCGCAGTCGAAGTCCATGGTTTTGATGGACGTGATGAAGCTCTCAAATTTGTGGTGTGGTGCATGCAGTCTGCCTCCAATTCTATGGAATTGGGAAACAACAGAGCCAATCGGGGTACCTTCTACTTACAGACACAGCCTTGCTGACAAAGAAGGTTGCTACGTGACGTGAACCCGACGCGTGAGACATATCTACCACTTTCATACTCCAACGGAGCCTTCCAAACCTGATGTTATGATGCAAACCAATCATGTATAGCAAGGAAGGAAAATCTACAATGAGTTGCCAGAATCAGCAGCACATTGGAGCCATGAACTTGTGACGCTGTCGTGACTTGATTTCTTCACAGGTTGCTCCTGCAAGTACCCAGCAAATCCATGAGATCTCATAATCATGTCTGTCAGCCAGGGAAGGTATAGCTTTGGCTCATATTCCAGCTGAAGTGCTGGATGTTCACCCTTTTGTGTTGGTCTCCAGTTTCACATGCTCAACGCCTCATGGAATTCTTGTTTCTACCGGGTCGCCTTCCTCATATGCAAGATCACTTCCTTCTCCTGCATTAGACTGACCCCACTTAGAACTGCTGCTTGGCCGACCATGTTGACAGCCAGATTGAAAAGAATTCAAGGCTGGTCGAATTGTTGTCGAAGTTCAACGTCGCTTATTCACTTTGATCAGATCGAATGCAGGAGGTTGATGAAGCAACTGCGACTCAAATACAACTGCTGCGGGAGGATGACTACTGCAACGCTCAGCAGCAGCCCTGTGTAATAGAGGAGCTCAACCTGGATGTGCAGCAGACTGGAATCCCCGACGCGCGAAAGTCGAATCGATACTCGTGGCCGCCATCAGCATCTACGATATGTGGCGACGGCAGTACTGGACCTCCTGCACGGAGATCACCGAGGTTATTATCAGATCTAACAACCCAAGAGACTTCGGGTGCAGCACAGACACAAGATCCGAGGCCGATGAAGCAAGCCGAGCAGCGGATGGACAATTTGCTGCAGGCATCGGGTGGTACAAATGGTGGTGTCGGTATGTATAGATGTCCCTCGTCGCTGAGCTGTCTCAATTAGACATAGGCCCAGAACCTGAGGACGCGATAGCCCACCTAGACAACAAAGAGTTGGAACTACCTGCCACAGAGATGTTGGTGACTGACCAAAACAGAAGGAGCATCGCGCCCAAGACAACTCTTTGTCTACATTATACCTCAACTGGTATAGGCGGATGGTAGCTTTGCCCTGTGCCTAGATGTTGCTGATATTTGTCTAGGCTGGTGTAAGCATGGTGCTTGGTGTTTCTATGTTCACGACCGCAACAAGATTGCTCTCTGTCCATCTGTGACACTTGGTATTGACTGCACTGCAGGTGGCCCATGTCTTCTCGGCCACGTCCCATCGGCAGAAACACTGCCAAGCTGCGTGTTTTTCTTCGAAGGCAGATGCAAATGTTCCCAGTGTGCTTTTGCCCATACCGTGATTGCTCCGAGGGCCGCCGCCTGTGCGGATTTTGCAATTGTGGGATACTGTGAAAAGGGAGGGCAATGTGAGCATCAGCATCTACATGAATGTCCCGGATCCGTGTGCAAGGGCGTCTGTGACAATCCCCGTTGCCGCTTTTCACATGACAATCCGGGCTACGAGAGGGTTCTATCGTTGCAGTTTAACACGGGGCCTCAATCTGGTACGGATGGAATGACATTGAATAATGATGATCAAGTTGGTGATGGACACAGCCTGGTATTGGAGCCCCACGATGAAGCTAACGGTGTGATTATGCAGAAGGAGTTCATCCAGCAGGAAGACTTCATCAGACTGTAGGTGTGAATGGAATGGGTCGAATGGAGAGGATATGGGAGCTATGCATTGGCGGTCATACTAAATGGCCGAATGGAGACTGTGGCAGAACTAGAGGATGGGTATGAGCGTAAGCGGGACAAGTTTAGGAGAATTGACTGAGGAAAGGACATCTATTCGTTGAGTTTATGAGTAGTGCGGGCACATGGTCGGCTCGCTTAGATGGAAACAGCATTCCCAAGTTCCGTCGCCTGTGACTATTGACAAGTGCTCGCCGTTGCAGTCAGTAGCTTCGCAAAGAGATTGGGATTGAGGCCTGGGGTCAGGACTGGAGTGACAGGCCGCCCCAAAAGGATCACCTGGGTGTTTGACAAAGTAGGCGGCGAAGGAAAAGGCCAGAGTCAGAAGGGCGAGGGTGACTGTCATCAGTCGAGGCTCCTTTAGCCTCATTTTGGGCAGCAAGGAGGTGTTTCGTTTCAACGCAACTTCTTCAAGCCACACGTGATTGGACTCACTCGTGGGATGGAAGAGGGGACTTGATGCGAAACCAGCCACCGACCGCTTCCACGGCCAGCTACTAACTGCAATTACGCCAGGCCAGGACATACCATCACCATACGGAGGACTCGATACGTACGGGATACGGAAAGTTGAATTTTCGGGACTTTTGGTTTCAATGTGGACTGTAACATCCAGGATTCCTTTGGGGTCTAGTTGGGCGTACGTTGTAAGATTTGGGAGGAGGTGGGGGGGCAGTGCCCCAAGAATACGAATGACCATTCGGGCTTTCAGGCTTTGCTCCAAACAAACCACGGTCATCAGGCAGTGCTATCACCCGGCCTGCCTGTCAATCGCCTATGTAGTCGTCATCTGGGAGGGAGAGCGTGAGCCGTTGCTATGACAGTGTTGAGTAAGTCAACCACTGAGGATATCTCTAGAAGGAGGGAGTTGATAGACGTATTGCGCGTATCAATAGACGAAACGATTACATAGTGCCCAACTGAGGTACGGAGTGCTGTTTAGCTAAGACTTGGGACTTGATTAGGCGAGAACAAGGGACTCCGTAGCTTCCTAGGTGCGGGTAAACTGCCTGGACACTACTGTCTTCGTGCTACATAATACGGAGTACATACTGCCCTCGGTAGGCGTTGAACTGCGAGGAGGCTAAAGTTAGTGGTGATCGGTGCAAAGGGCCGTTCCGCTCGGGACGCGCTTTGCTTGTGAACTGCCCAGGGGCCAGGGCCCAGGGCCCAGCAGTGCGTAGTGGGCACTGGGCAGTACATAGTGGGCAGCGAGCAGGGAGCCGTGAGCTCCCGTGGGCTGTAGCTTGCTTGTGGGTGACCCGCACGCCCTGCACCTACGAGTACAACCGTGGTCGGCGGTCGCTGATCGCTGATCGCTGATCGGCTTTGGCACCCCTGCACACCCATGCCCAGCCAGAACCGACAGCGGGGCCCAGGACCAGGACTCGGACTCCAACCACTCCATACTCGGTACTCCTTACTACTGCGTACTATGGCTGCCCCTCACCTACGATCCCTCGTCCGTTTGCTTACCAGCAACGTCGCGTCCAGCGTGCGACCCTCAAGATGCCATCAATAAAATAAGAATACAGTCGGTAAGGCTCCACGGTACTTTCAGCTTGGCCGTGAGAATGGCCGCCTTAAATCCAGTCCGACAGATGCCCAACTTCTCCATCAACAAAAGCGGAACAAGGACAATAAGGCAACACAGCCCACGCGTCATGGGAAGGAATCCAGGTGTCAGTTCGAACGCAATGAACTTGACCTTAGCTCGTCCGAGACATCTACGAGCAAAATAGTGACCGCTGTTTCTGCGGAATCAGCAGCCCGGAAGATTATTTGCGATGGAGACAGCTAGAGAGGTGGCCGCATCTCGGTGACCCGGTGGGCGGGCCAGTGCCATCAGAGAAACAGGTGTCCAAGGTGCACGCCTGCATCGACCTAACAGCCATCACCCACTGACAGAGGGCTGAGCAAATGCAGGCCTGCCCGAAGACTCGTTGCGACGAAGCTGCTATTCTCTGTGACTCTCTGCGACTCGAGGGCATCCAATTATACACGCGTCGTTCCTGTTGCTGCCAACCACGGCCACCAGCGCCGAGGAAGTTGCTGCTTTTGGCTCCGTCACGCCTTCCCATTGCACTTCCCATGCCACATCCCGTGCTTCTCTCGTGCCCTCAGTCCCGGGTCCTGACTCCCCTCCCTCTCCTCCTGCTGCTCTCTTGCTCCACACCACACGAGAAGCAGAAGAAGAGCACAAAGGGCACGAAGAGGAAAGCCTGACGGAGACTGGGCCTTGGAACTACGCCTATGATTCTCTCTCCACTCCTCGTCTCTCACCACTACGAACTGCCGCCTCTCTCCCTTGGCCAGCCCATCCATCCCATCTCGACTGGCCGCAAACCGGGACTCTCTCCCTCACGCTCTGCTTTCTGTTTTGGATTTCCGTCCTCTGACCTCCTCTGTTCTGGTACCGTATTGTATCGAGACCAGCTCCTCCTTCCGCCATTCTGCAATGCATACTAAACCACCGACATCTCCTCCACATCCCTCGAGCCAGACCCTCGACTTTTTGTCTTCACGTCTTGAACCCTCTCGACTTACTGTCTCATATATTTTGCCCTCCCTCAGGTACATTATGTTGTTTCCCCTCATCCGAGTGTAAAGACACGGCAAGCCGGCCTTGGAAACTCGACTGCTACCAACCTTCCCCACCTTCGCTCACCGCCACTTATCCCGTTCCCGGCACAAACACAAACACACACACACACACACACACTTAGTCAACGCACATCAACTCCTCACAAACAACAAACTTGTTGCCAACTTCGATATTGCCCCTGCAGCCATGGCACTGCGTTACCCACAACAGAACTATTACCTATATGGGCAGCCTCAGTGGCCAGAGGATCTCAAACCCGCCCTGACCGAGGACGATGCTTCCTCCATCCTCGACGACAAGGTTCTTGAGGCTCCCACGCCAGCTGATATGACACCCGCCGATGCTTCTGACACCCGACGTCCTCCAATGCCAAAAATGGAGGACGATTACGCCTGGCACGATCGTCCCCAGCCCGTCGTGCCTCAGCGTCATTATTCTCAACCCTCTATCCCATTATCTAGCCCTCATCCTCAGTACTTTTCTCAAGTCAATCCCGTCAATTGCCAGCCAAGCTACGTGCAACAACAGTCCTGGCCTCTTGCCGCCCGCTCCGAGGCAAATACCCCCACCCCTTTCTTCACCCCCGTCCAGGAGCCCTTCGATTCTCATGTTCAATATCACGGCGGGCCTGTCAACTTCACTGCTTTTCCCCAGACAGAACCCGTCTCTGCGGTTTCCATGTCGCCGCAGTCCAGCCAAGGAGGCTGGGCATCCACCACTTCCTCCGATGTCGCCGACACCAATCGACCTGTCAGGCATCGATTCAGAGGCTCCTCGCCCATGCTGGTCGTCAGATCCGATGGCATCAGGAAGAAGAATGCAAAGTTCGAGATTCCCAAGGAGCGAAATCTGCAGAACATTGACAATCTCATCTCGTTGACCACAGACGAAGAGGAGAAGAAGGAGTTGAAGCAGCAGAAGAGGCTGCTACGGAATCGTCAGGCAGCGTAAGTTTCCTGCCCCCATCCTGCGGCAACGAAGCCAATCCACTAACCATCCCACCCAGGTTGGACTCCCGTCAACGTAAAAAGAACCATACCGAAAAGCTTGAGCAGGACAAGAAGGCGTGGGATAATCAAAAACATGACCTCGAGGAATCCGTGGCTCATCTCGAGCATACATTGAACCAGGAAAGGGAACAATGGTTGCAACAGCGACAACAGTACGAGCACTTCATTCAGTCCTTACAGTATGAGCGGGATGAAGCCATTCGCACAAAGACCCTCGAGACTGCTGAACTCCGACGCATGAACAACATCTTGAAGGACTCTGTTAGAGATCTTGAACGCCAACAAGCCACCCGAACCTTTGCCTCGAACCCATCCAATGCCTTTGCAAATGATTTCAGCGACTTCCGGGCCCTTGATCTCGAGGACACCTGGGAAGATGAATTTAGTCTCATCAACAGTGAAGATCTGAAGATGGAAGAGTCTGACGCCTTGCAGAGGCAAGCCACGCCCCGACCACCCACATCATCCGCTCAAACTGCCGCGCCTCTCAGCCTCACCAAGCCGCTCGATGTCAAGGTAGATGCTGGCTTCAGTTGGAATACGTTTTACATGTGCTTGTTGTCCGGAGCCTTCATTGTCTCGCAAGCCGGTTCCAAGGCCACCAATGCTCCCACGTCCGTCGACATGGTTGCTCCCAACATGCCTATTCTGTCTGACGACTATCGTGCCGAGGCTGGTCAGGTTCTCAGTGCTGTACTGGCTTCAGGTCCTGAGGTTGCTCATGAGATATTACCGCCTCGGCCCGCCCTTCCCGCCCAAGATGAGTTCGGCGTCGTCATGCCTGGCCCCACCACCTCGGTCCTTGACAATCTTCATGCAAATCTGGTGACGCCATCACGTCAACAACAAGCCCAAGCTGCCTTTTCAATGTCTGCCGCCTCCTACAACCATATCACAAATCCCGAGGGCATGTTCGATGATGATGACGACGATGCTGCCGAGCTCAAGCCTACCCGTCTGCAGCAACTGTTTGCTCACATGCAAGCCGAGAAAGACGATATCGACAAGATGACCGGGCTCAGTGGCAAGGCAAGCCAAAGAAGTGTGCTCCTCGATCGTGTCCCGGAGAAGGTCCTTCGCGACTTCAGAGAGATGATCGCACGTGTCGAGTAACTCTTCCAGTTGCTGCCGGTCATCTCAACTTTCTTCACGCTGCATAGCCGATGGCTTGTTGACATTCTCTTGAATTTATCTATTTTGTATGGAGCATTTTTGTTTCCGTGTTTTGCACAAATCATGTTTGGGAAGGCAGCAGCCTTGACCAAAATCACAACGCCAAAAGATCACAAGCTTCAGAGCACGATTTCTTATCTTGTCCCCGCGATTTTGAACTTCTGGGATGATGTCATGACACTATTAACGGCCAAAATTATGTTTACTTTCCTTAGCATACGGGAATTCAAAGTTGGTAGATGAGCGCTGGTTTGTTCAGAGAAGCGATGAGGGACCATATGCTTTTTTTTGGGTGACGGACATAGCGACGGAGATGAGAACAAGGGGGTCAATTTGAATGGAACTGGGTGAATTATGCACCCAAGATGACATGATGCATGATTGCATGAAAACCTTTTTGACGTACAGTTTTGAATGAAAGTACAGAAAGATACAGAAAGCGCAAACCACATTGCCAAATATGAAATGATTCGAACTCAGCCTGCGTTACGCACGATTTTGCAGATTCTCACGACCCAACCAAAAGAGACGACTGGATGACTATTCTACTATTACAACTTCCCCGACTCTTTCTAGCGATCGATAGTTTTTGTTACGAAGGGAATATGATATGACTAGGGATGGAACTGCAACTGCAACTGGAACTGGAAATGGAAATGGAAGTGCAGCGAGTGAACGAACGAAGGGAACATGAGAATATGGTCTGATAGGAGATCCACGACCGGAGTGGGCATTGATCATGGACTAAGAACCGTAAAGTGGGTAGATGTTGGATGTGGCATTAGGATACGAGTATCCGGTCGGTAAAAAGGGGGCAGTGCCGTACAGTAATTGGCGGCTCGAATCAAATATCCCCCAATGGATCTGGTATCAGATCCAACTGGTGGCTCAACGGGTCCAGAGGTGATCGAAAGAGAGAGCCGAGAGGGGTCACCATATCGCTAGGATCCAACCTTACCTCATCCCTGTTTTATTCACAAGTCTTCCTGGTCGCTGTGATGAGACGCGCGGGTTTTACCACATGTATACACGAGGGTTCCACAGAAGACCGAGCTCGCATCAATGGTAACCAGGAAGAAGGCCATACATGGGTGTTTGATTTTAGGGTTATCTTAATATGATATGTCTCCCTTGGACATTTTTGCACCAGCATGCTCAACCATTTCTGATCCGATCAGGTCAGGTCATGGGGCCCCCCCCGGTTGCCTGTCGTCATGGAAGCGGAACTGCGCACTGAGGCTCAGCGTCCCCCCTGCCTCATGCAGGTCCCAACCGCCCAGTTCTCGCCGGCCGTCTGCGACCCAGGGGAGGGGAGGAAGGGAGCGAAGGGAGGGACCGCGGTAACCAGCCAGCAGGCGGCCATGGTCCCATGGTCGCGTCGTCACATCGTCACATCGTCACCCGCGGGCCGTGTTGCTGCTGGGAGAGGGAACGTACTCGTACCCGTACACCTCCCGGGTGGCGATTGGCCTTACTGGCGGTGACGATGATGGTGAAGGGCGGTGGTCGCGTTCGGTCGCGTCGCAATTGCAATTGACTCCAGAATTAATGATAGTAATACTGAACCAATAATGACACGGAAATCGTGGACTCCCCACTCTGGAGTTTGGACAGAGATGCCTTGCATGTCTTCTGCCGGCCCACCCTATCAGGGTAGATGGGGCCTCCTCTCTTCCCGTTCCTCACCGACTATTTTCCTTAGGCTGCAGATTTCTTGGTGCGGATCTCTAAAATAGGCCCTACGACAAGGAAGAAACCGGATTTTCAAACACTAAGGACGAACAAAAACTTGTTGATTCATGAATCAGAAGCTTCCGAAACGCGGTCAAGATTTCTCTTTATTTGTTCATCCTCACTGAGGGGCGGAAAGCAGGGAACAGTAAATAGAAGAGAAGAAACAATAGTATTTATGGCGTCAGTTGTGATTTGTTTCAGAATGTCGGCGGAGTTCTCGGAGATAGTTTCGCCCTCCAAGGAGGGGAGTGTCCTGGTCGTCTGCTGGTGTTGAATGGGTCGTTTCATAGGGAGGAGTGATGTGTAGGTCTGGGGATTCGGAAGTTTGGTCGATGGTTGCAGTGGCTGGTACTTAGGTACTCCCGTGTCATAATCATTTCATGTTATAGCATATTCTGGATTTCAAGGTTTTTTCCTTTGCGCAACGCTACTCGAGTCTTGCCCTCAAATTGCTACCTGTGAATGTAGGCGGGGAGAAACTCGGGTACAGGTCCTAGCCTACGACCCGGTCGGTTTGATGACTCTTGACCGAAATCTGGTCGCTCCCCTTCATTCACTTCGGTGGGTCATATTTTTCCTTCCAGATCCTGTTTTTGACACAGAAGACAAAGGCATAATCGTCAGCGCTATTCTGGAACAAACTCAAACAGAACCCGTTTAGATAAGTGTAATCGGGGATTAGAGCGACCTTTGGATGAAACATTGGAACAAGGCCTGAAGAGAGAAAATGCTACATCCAATTCGAATCGAGTTCACCTTGCGCCTGTCTCGGAAGGAATAATGCTCTCAAGGTAAATTTTGGAAGACGAGTAGGCGGGTTTCTTCCCAGCCACCACGATTTTGGTAATCGGTCACAACAATAGCAGAGCCGTAAGCAGCTAGGACAACCTTTGTCCTGTGGCGAGGTCATGGGCATGGTCATCAGGTGGTCTGGGTGGTAGTGGAAGAGGGCGGTGGAGCGTGGTCGCATGAGCGGTCGTCGCTGACCCTAGGGCCCCAAGACCCAATCAGGCAGTCCTTGGCATTGAGATTCCAGGACACCGTCCTTATTTTCGACCCGATTGAGTGGAAAACATGCCCGGGAATAACGAGACAATGGTGAAAAAGACCCAAGTCCAAATAGATTCCAAGACTGGACGCCGCATGTTTTGGAATTGACGCCCCACGCAAACGGTCGATCTCGATCTCCAGGGATCCAAAGGTTATGCAGAAGAAGTGGACTCGGAAGCTCGTGTAGGGCAAAATGGGTGTGGGATTAATTTTGGAACAACTTACCAGGTATTCCCCAAGGTCTTCGCACCATTCTTTTCCGCCAATCTGAGGAGCTGTGCCGCTTTAAACTATAATTAAAGTGAGCGATAATGTCAGTGACAGATTCATATTTCTCCGAGTTGGGCCAAAAAACAATGAAATTGATTCGTGGAATGGTGGGGTGAGACTCTTGGGGACTAATGCAAGGTACAATGAACGCGAGCCTGAATCGCAGCCGTTGACTGGCGGATGGCCTTGAGGGATTGCTGCATGCATTGCTGCCCAAAGTGATGCGGCGACAGAGAGGTAACTGTATTGGGCGTATTGATTGTATTTGGGGGCCGTGTTTGGCCGAACTGGTCGGATTATCCCATATTGTCACCGTCAGGTCTGCGGCTTGGAAAGCATGTATGCGGTCGCCTTTGCTTGACCTGATCCAATTGACGAGCTCGTAAATGGGGATGATGAGGCTCAACACAATACCACGACGCGCTGCAAAGATGAATCACGTGTTGGCTTGGGGCGGATGGAACCGGGCGTCGGTGATCGAGGAGCGTGATATATGACACCAAAGCACATGTCGCGTCGTTTCCCGGATTGAATGGAAGTGAAGATCGCTGATGAACGGTAGAGCAAAGAGAAGCGAGAAATCGAGACTTACCTTGTCCTTCTTACCCCCAAACCCTTCTAGGTAGCACCAAGCTGCTTCATTCATGGCATCCGTGTCTCCTAGATTCGCGGCGGTTTCGTAGTATTGCCGAGCTGCGACTTTGTCGACAGGCACTCCCCAACCATTTCTAAAGCAATTTGCCAATTCGAAGATGGCGAGGACCAGCTCCCCTTTGGCAGCACCGCCCTTTTTCATTCCAGCCTTCAAAGCATCAGACTCGATGGTGGCAGAGTTTGATGCTGCGGCAGAGAGATAAGTGACTGCCTCCTTGTGGTCAGGCTGACAACCCCAGCCATGCCGCAGAGACAGGCCATACAGGACCTGGGAGAGGACGTTCCCTTGTAGTGCTAGGACGCGAAACATTCTGGTGGCGCTCTCCAATTCGCCTGTCTCGTGTAAACGGATGGCTTCTTGGATATCGACATCACCTTCAGGATCATTGACGCTGCGAGGCCGAGGCGATGGAGGTGCTCCAATACTCAGACTTTCCATGTCACTGGTGGGTGGTAATGCACCAATGATGGGGCTCTTGCTCGCAAGGATGGTCGCACGTTGTTCCCATCTGGCCTCCTTGTCCTGACGGTCGCCCGACTCGTGATAGGCATCGTCAATGGATGGCAAATCTGAGGGCAGATTGACCGAGCTGGTGCTCTCAGAACGATCCTTATTTAAATGCAGCCTGTGTGAGAGCCTTCTGCGTCCTTCTTTTCTCTCATTTTCAGGTGACGAAGAGTCGGATGCGACGGGGCTCACACTCTTGCGAAAGGGACTGAACGACTTCCTCGACCCAGAAGGGCTTCTTGGTCCCTCCCTTGAAGATTGATGGTCCTCGCCAAAGGCAGGGGGTTTGATGTACTCTTCGGTATGGGTGTCCGTCCGGACAAAGGTAAAGTCGTTGGCATGTACCATATGCGGCGGCTGAGGACCGGTGCTATCGATCTTGTCCTTCTTCTTGAGCAACTCCTTTAGACTCGGCATGGTTGCAGGTTGAAGCTTAGGGCAAGTGGATGAAGTTGCAGTTAGAATTGGTGGACAGATGGAGGGGGGACTTAGAAGGGGATTGGACGAATAGCGCAGTGCAGTAAGCAGAGGAGTTCACGACCTGCTTCGATACTGTCGGCATCTTCTTATATATGAATCACAATCGCCGTGTAAATGAGGCATTGCTATTTTGGTCAACGACGACGATGAGGACACCGTGAGGCTGTGCTGGCGGTTAATTGGTGGTGGAGGTGGTGGGCGGCGCAAGCAAGGCAAAGGCCAAGAAGGAAGGAGCGAGCCAGACTCTGCTCCTCCCTGACTTGCCTAGTTGGCTGCTAAATTAGAAGGCGGTGGTGCGGTGCCAGTTGTGTGGTGTGCCACTGGCAGTCGCGGTCGCACCAAAGGGTCGTCGCTGCTCGGTACTCGGTACTTCATTCCTCTCAAATGGGGGGCTGGAAGGGGAATCTCACCCGCTTACTTAAATCCGCTCCCTGGAAGCTCAGGCAGCCATGCCCGCTATTAGCGGTTGTTCGGCGTCAGGCCTTGATTTATTATGCCCAGTGGAATTCCTACCCTTCCAGCCATATTAGACGGAGAACCACAGTTAATGCTGACAACGTTCCTCGTAGTCGTAGGTAGATAAAGTCAGAACGTTGCTCCTGAATCCTAATATTTGTATTGTACACGGTCCTCTTTTCCAGTCTTGTTCCGCTTGGTGGCAGCAATGCTCCCTCTAGAACAGCAGGCCAAGCGCTCCCCGCAACCACGCCGTCAATGGCGGCGGGCGCTTAACCAGACAGGCCTGAAGCTGGCATGCTCCAAGCTGCCGAGGTCCTGGCTTCTAAGCTCTGCCAGCCTTGGATCGCACTCGAAGGGCAGTAGAGCCCACTCGGCCCCCGTTAGGTGGCTTGCCCACGGCCACTTCCTTGCTCGTATTGTACACCACTCTTCGCGTGAAGATCGGGCACTAAACGCTCTGTGAAGGGACATAGGCGAGCCGTGGACAATCCTGCAACAACGTCCCTCCTTTCTATTCCAAAATTGTACGGGTACATGACACTCATCAAAATGCCTAAGTACCTACACCTACCTTAACTAGCAATTGAGTTCCTTTTCCACCATCAACTTCTCCATCATTCAAATATCACGCTTTATCAATCGCTTCCAATCACCCACAATGACGCTCTCTGCTGTATCAAATATGTCGATTCTGGAACTGCCTCAGGAGATTCTCAGTCACATCTTGGCGTGCCTCGATGCCCGCTCTGTCGTTCGTTTTGGACGGACATGCAAGGAAGCTGCTGACTTCGCCAGTCCGCGAAATCAGCTTCTATGGAAAGCCGTATTCTTGCACTTGTTTGACGATCCCTCTGATGCTTGGGCCTTACCCCGAGACCAGGATTCATCGGTGGCTGAGCAAGAATGGGATTGGTATCGGCATTTAAAGTCGAGGCTCGTAGCTCTGCGCACACTTCAAACCCTCCAGAATGGAAATGATGGCGTAGAGGACGAAATTGAGGCTATGCTCAGCATCATTGATACCGCGAAGTTCTCTCCATCCCCAAGTGACGTCAAACGGGGCATATTACCCTCCATTGATGACCGAGATTCATCTCTCAATTTGAAGATTCTCGCTGACGTGGACTACTCTTTTCGGCCTGGTATCGAAGTTCTTATTCACGAGTCCAGGGTGAATGGAAAGATAAAACCATGCAGCGACGAGAGGATGCGGGTTACACGCTCGATGGCTGCTACAGCACAATATGAGAATTGTCGTCCAGAAACCGCCGCTCGGCTTCACGTTCTTTATGGCATTACGATCCGAGAGCGCATCGCACACGAAGCCCGAGGATTCGCCCGACGGAAGGTCTACAACTGGCATCTCACCGGCCCAGACAACGAATATGGACCCTTCAAACGTGACGGTTCCGGTCACATCGACTGGTTTTTGCTCGAAGCCATCTGCTCGGTCATCGGGCGGAATTTCGAATTCTGCGTCGATGGCCATTTGAACCTGCCCCAAGGATTCTGCTATTCAATCCCCCATCGCACTCTGGTAGATCCTACAACACCCGAAGATTGGGCACGTATCACAGGTCCTTGGCTGGGCACATACTCCTTCCTGGACTATGCCGACCTCTTCGCTTTCAACGCGCTGGAATTCCCCGACGGCGAACGCCCAACACTGGACCACGAAGACGAAGCTTGCGGCGACCTAATGAGACTCGAACTCAAGTATGACCAGTCGATCTCGTCCGATCAGCGCCTCCGCACGGACCTCCCAATGTCCACGCACCTGCCACAGCTGTTCTTCTCAGGTCGTTCTAGAGCCAGCACTGGTCTCAACCGCCCCATGATTGGGGTCCGCGGCAGCGTCTGCCTTGTCCCCAGTGGCCGGGAGGCCAGATGGCGCTTCATCATCAGCTATGCCGGCCAAGACCAGTGGCAGCTGGAAGGCATCCAGCCCGGCGGTGTCCGATCTGGAGGTGTGTATGGTTTGTGGTCGCAGTGCGATCACGAAGAGCATGGTCCAGTCGGCCCGTTCTGCTATTTTCCAACCGAACTCTGTAAGCCGACCAGTATCGTGCTCAAGTCTTGAAAGGAGAGGGGGACTAGGAGAACGGGAAATGTTGGGTAGAGGCAGATTCAGCCCTCCTCAGCATCCCCACAAGCGGTACTGTTGACTTCGCGCTCGGTAGTTTCAGACTTTGCCAACTATACGCGCGGCTGGGGACGAGGTGAGATGGAAGTACACAGAACCACCATTGTTTTGCTATCCTAAAAGGCAGACTGACCATATCTAAATACTCCGGCCGCAAAGAATCAAATAAGTTTCCCTGTTCGGTTTCGCCGTGGCGCACGATGATGGCACGAATATTATTGATCAACTAGCTCTTCCGTGTTGACTGTGCTGGTTGATGTTGACCTCGGCCACGGCCAGTTGCCGAGTTCTCATATCATCAACAAGAGGTGTCTAGCTACAGCTGACTGCTGCCATGCACAGGGTAGCTGCGAGCCTCCTTCTCGTTCTCAATTATCGGGGTTTGCCTTCTGGGTTTCCCTCACTTCTTCAAACCCTGAGCCTTTCTGATCTTGTCCTGCTCGATTTGCCTTGCTTGGAGAGCCTCGACGTCAACTATGCTTCCCTTTCTTCCCTGGTACGTACTTTCAGGCAGGGCGTTGAGCTCGTCTTCAGCCTTGTCCAACTCACGGAACGTGAACCAGAAGGCGACCATGCCCACAAAACTAATGCACGCAATCGACGTGTACAACCAGGTGAACAAGGGGTCCTTGGAGAGAGGCACAAACGCTTGGCCGATGGCGCTGGAGAATGCGTTGGTGAACCAGTACAGGCCGGTGACGAACGAGCGCATGTTCTTGGGCGCCTTGGTGAAGGCGTATTCCAGACTGGTGATGTTGGCGAAAATCTCGGACAGTGCGATGATCACATAGGCCGGTGTCTGGATCCAAACCGAGAGATCTGGTGGGCCGAGTTCAGCAATGCAGTCGCCGTCAGTGGCGTGGTTGCCACAGGGTGATTTGACATAGATGAAATGCTGGATAATGGCGGAAATGACCATGGAGACGCATCCGAATGCAAATCCTGCAGTGATCCTCTTGATGGGTGTGAAGCGCCAACCGCGTTTGGCCATGGCTGGATAGACGAGCTTGTCGAGGATAGGAATGAATATCAAGAGGGCAAACGGATCAAGGTTGTTCACCACATCATTTGGTACTCCGTCTAGTTTCATCGTGCCGGCTTGGGTGACCAGATTGTTCGTCATCTGATTGTACACAAGCCAGTACATAGGCAGGAAGACAAAGACACCACATGCCGAGAGACCTCTGCGGACCTCATCGACCCAAGCGTCATCGAAGGTCATGAATTTTGGTTTATTGGCCACACGAGATGGCTTGGCTCTCTCCCACAGCTCATCGCTTTTAAGTCGAGCGACCAAGGCCTTGAGGTTGAAAGTCCAGTGGCCCCTCATGGCAAAACCGATCAAGCGGACTGCCTTGTATAAGACATCACCAGTTGGTGGTCGCCTGACGTACTTGTTCCGGCACCAGATCATGACAATCGGTGTGAATAAGAACAACACGGTCGGCAAGAGGAAGGACAGCCAGAAGCCTACATACTTCTCAGCATACACCATGGATATTTGGCCTGCCAGAGCGCCGACATTGATGAAGAAGTAGTACCGCATGTAGATCCGGGAGATGGTCAAACCAGGGTCGTGGATCACTCTCTCCCCCGACTTCTCGACAAAGATCGTTGCCCGTGGATACATGGATTCATATTGCTCGGCAATGAGGGGAGAGATGTTGCATTTGAAGAAACCCACGCCGATGCCGAAAAAGATCAATCCCAGACAGAAGACTCCTAAGGCGGTATTGGACTTTTCAATGACTCCTGGAACGGCAGAAATGACAATGATGATATGACCGAGAGTGGCAATGATGATGGCGAAATTGATGGTCTTGTAACGGCCCCAGTATGTATCGGCGACATATCCTCCCAGCATTGGCATGATATAAGACCAGAAAGAGTTGAATAAAATCAATGCAGTTGCAGCCTGTGTGCCTTTACCAAGCGCACCAGCTTGTCCGTCCGTACCTGCTTCACCGGTTTTGGAGCCTGGAGGCAAAGGCCAGTTGATATAGTTGTTGACTGCCAGGGATCAGGACGCACGCTTTCTCCGGATAGCAGGTACTCAGCAGACTCACAGACTTGGGTAGTTCCATAATAGGCAAACCTTTCGCAGAGTTCAACAAACGCGATGCTGTAGAGGATCATGGGAACATGTCCATGAGTCCGTCTCAGAGTCTGCAGCTCTTCCTTGGTCGGATACTGCTCTCCATTGGGCCCGACGAGGATATCGTCGGCTGGCTCATCCGAATCAGAGGCTTGGGCGGATGCTTTCAGATCAAGGCCTTGCTTCTCGCCGATAACATCTTTCTCTGCAGGAAGGACATAAGCTTTGGGAGCCTCTGCTGCCTCGACGGGCGCAACACCAGAAGACATTTCGTTGAACTATGAGTGCACCCCTTGGCTTCGGCTCTACTGAGAGGAGAGGTGGTCCCACGGGAATATATCCTTCCTAACGGAAAGCTCAGCATGCTATCGATCGGCAGGTAGCGTTGCATCGAAGGGATTATGTGCCACTTTACCATAAAGCACATCATGTCCGAGCAGGTTGGAATCCTGGGCAGGGTGTTGTGCAGGATCAACCAGTGAAGGCGCCTGTATTCCTCTACCAGGGTCGTTTTGAGTCCTTTTGGGTCGTTTGGTGCTGTCTTTCACGCCACTAGATCTCTTGGCTTTCACGCCCAGTTCCAGATAAGGCAATGCCAAGCCACACTAATCGCGGGTGCGTCGGCTTAGTCGAAAATCGCGGGCTCACCATTGGATGGTGGGAAAGCAACGTTACTTCTTGATAGTGTGATAAGCACCTTCCAGTCGAGCTTCTTTCACCCTTTCTGCACCTCGTTCGTGCAGGATTATGCCATTCAAGATCCTCTGCCAACATATTGAGTGTATTGCCTACGATAAAAGTCCCTCGGCCAAACGATAAGCTATGCATGGTGTCCATCACATGGACCTTCTAGAACTTGTCATCGTGGATAGCCGTCGTGCTAGCACGTATACCGACCACTAGAACGCAGGGTCTCGGACCGGGATCCAGGTTAGAGAGCCACCGGAGCAATGAGGTGAGGTTCTAAAGCTGCCTAGAAGGAACAACACTACCTACAGAAAGAACTCGTCCAGGAGGGATGCTGCACGCCTTTCGGCCTATCTTGATGGAGAAGGTAGGTATACTCCTCGGAGGTGCCCGGTCGCCGTCTAAATCCGACGCCTAGAGGAAGAAGGTGGTGATTCTCATGACAGAAGAATTGCTCATTCCAATAACCACGGAGAATTAGGGGACCCTTGGAAATACAACCCCGTGAATTGCCTCTGAATGCTCCTTGACATGACAGTTGCAGAAGCCTATTGCACGCACTCGTACTTGCGTGTTGAGAAGGTCACTCTGAGAGGAATAGAAGGCTATCTTCAGCGAACTTATCAATAGTTGCTTCGTCAAGGATATCCAGTACATACGGATTCACATTTACCACTTCTTTCCGTTCTTAGCCGTCGGCTCCAAGCTGGTGTGGATTTACATGTTCTCACTCTCGTTTGACGGGGAGAGGATGGTTGTGGAGTAAGGCAAGGCTATCCACTTGTGATGATAATGATGCATTTGTTTCTCGACTGTTGGGACTTGCAGGGTTAGACGTACATTGTTCACTTGCCGTCACTTCTCTGGGACGATCGGACGCATGCGGTGATATCCTCTCAAGTTTTGACAAAGTCCATGCAAGCGCGACCCAGTTACGGATGGATGGCCGAAACCAATTATCCGAGACGTTGGATTTCATGCATATTGATAGCGGGAGAACATTTCATTCTTTCCCATTCCTTCCGATCATGCATGCCACCTAACCAACTGCATAGGTCAACGAGATATGCATCGGGGCGACGTTGCACAAAAATCTACGTGCAGCGATCTCGATCACGGTGTACGGATTGACATCGGAACTTCATGCGCAGGTTTGCTAAGATTGTGATGCTAATAATACCCCCCGAGCCAGTATTCGGGCGTTGTTTGATGTGCTTTACACAATTCCACAGAACGAATGTTGATTAACCATACAATTAGACTTCGTGGTGGAGTAGACCGCAGTGGACTCACGCGCCGCTGGCATCGTGGAGGAGCCCCTCGACCCTCGGCCCGCTACACCACGACGACGGATGCCATAAAACTAGGGGACATACAGGGTACATACAGGGTACATACAGGGTACATACAGGGTACATACAGGGTACATACAGGGTACATACAGTATGAGGCAATGCAGCCCTCGATGGTTGAAATTGGAAGTTGCGTCGGACAAAAGTCCAAGTGCTGTTCTTACACTAGCACTTCCGTCGACGTCAGAACGCTACAACCATACGAGCGGCTCCAAGATCTTACACGAGAAGAGCTCCTAGAAAGGTTTGACCCTCTTGCCGTTTTGAACTTTGCGAATGAAGACGCCGGATCTTCTCAGCTTCTCCTGAGCTCTGAAGCTGCAGCTGATGCCTGGCAGGCCCCAGCCATATCCGTTCGATGCAAGATCAATGAGGCCTCAGGTCGCCGACAGCTCGTATCGCCCTCATTTCTAGATGGGACAATAGTTCACTGGCTTCCCAAGCGTGGTCAATCGGGAGGGGGCTCGGTTCTGCGAGTATGGAAATCCAGGCGAGTTGTGGCATGCATCGGATCGAAATTAGTCTTCACGAGTAGAATTCAAAAACCTTGAAGCTCTTTTACGTTTTGGAGAGCAATGAGTGTGGGAGAAGAGGAAGGATCCCATCTCTTAGCTTCCGAATCGTTCAGAGCAAGCAATGGCGGGCTTTGCTATTAAAGATGGTGTTTTCTCCCATTCCAACTTGTTGCTCTACTAAAAGTAACGTCCTCCCTCACAGGATCGAGGAATCCACGAGAGAAGTCGCCAGTCCAGAAGTACGCCACAGAAACCAAGACGACGCAGCGACCCCGGATGCGTGGGCTCAACGTAATCCTCCTGGATGTATTATTGTGTGCAAGGCCGTCTGCAGGCCTTGCTTTGGTTGTAAATTCTATCGAGTGTTTATACCATCGATACTCATCTGCGTCGTGTGCTCATAATATTGTCATGGCCAGTGCGATCGAGTTCTGTCTGTAAGTTTCTGTTGAACCAGGCACGAGCAGCGATGCACTGTATACCGAAGTCTTTTCGAGAAAGAGGGTCGAAATCGGCAGACATGCTGGTCGCGTCTGGGTGTGTTACGTATGCGTGTGGTTCCAATATGGGCCCACGGCCGGCGGCCCCCAATCCAATCAGGGCACATCGCCCGGGGAAGACGTCATCCACCAGCTCAGCCCATTGCGCGGCGTCCCAACAACGAAACCTCGAGGACTTCCACCATGATGGGCGTGGGATGATGGCGGCTGGCTTGAAGGTGTGCTGCGTGTCTGAGAATTGCTTCACCGCTCCGGTCGAACCTGAATGTGTCGGTGGGCTGTGGCCAGCCCGTGCATGATGCATTATTTCTCGGTGGCGGAATGCAGCAGTGAAAAATCGAGTACGGCGGGTGACGGCCAACTCAAGCGCTGGTAGCCGCATAGTGGACTGTTACACCCGGCATGCCTTGCGCAATGACTTGGTAGGTGGTCTTGGTGCTGGTGGAGACTGCACTCTCGGGACTGTTATCCTTGTCCGCTCCCACCGCCCCCGTCGACGCTGCAGCAGCTTTACTGGCAGTCAGCTGAACCCTTAGTGTTGATGGCTCATTGAAGAAGCCATCGTCGACGGGCTCATTGGTGGACGATAGTCCCGTACTGAGGAGGAGATGGATCAGTTTCTTGTACATGGTTGATGGAGGTTTGTGGTTGTCCGTGCGTAGCAGTGTGAATGAGGTGGCGAGTCGTGGGAGAAATAGGACAAGAAGTGGTGGTATAGAAATAGGGAAAAACTTACAAGACAAAGCCGAGGAGGTACGCTGCCATGTTGTAGTATTTGACCGATTTCTCCTCACCAGCCTTTTGATAGACGGCGCGACAGGGCACTGCCGGTGTACTGTAGTAACAGGAACCGATAACAGGTACTGGGTACTAGGTACTAGGCGACTCGGTATCGCGGGTCTGCGGATCGGTGGCAACAGAGGTCGCTGATAGGCTATGGATGACGAAATGGTGCTTTGCCGCGTAGCTAAGCTTAGCACAGTTCTAACTTTTGCTGTCTCGGTTACGAAGCAGCTGTCGTGGCCTGGGTCAATGGTGGCAGGGTGAGTCAGGGACTCAGGACACACGTCAATGGGTTCTTATTTGCAAAAGTCAGGTTCAGAACTCAAGCACAGAGCGGCTGTAAGCACAGAGCAGCTGTCAGGATGTGGCCATGAATATGTAGTCTGGTAAGCGTATGTGCGAATATGGACGCGGTATCCCGTCACGACTCCTCCTGACCCTGATTTGGCACTGTCAGTCTCCCCTGTCCGCGTCCGAGTCGGCGGAGCCAGGCTCAAGGCGATGGCCTGATATTGCAATTGAAAGGATTCCGATTCCTAGCCTGCGGTGCCAGTGGCAGAATGTGCCCCGGTTTGCTCGGTTGAGAGAGTGTGTGCGTGTGTGCGTCTGTGTACTGTATGCACTGATGACACTGTGGATTCATTCTGATCCTCTTTGCCTCGAGGAACACCGAGTGCGCCGGCCGGGGCCTACATTCAGGCCATCACCACCATTTTGGTCGCGAGCCTAAACGGGAATACGAGAATCTTGTTCAACCTTAAACAACGTCCCAATTGCTGGTCACTTGAAAGTTTAACCTTGTCGTCGCGACTCTGTATGCCCAATACAGGACATGGTAGCGAGACAGTAGCGTCTCGCATGATCTGAGAAGTTGCGAGTAGGGCGGTAGCCAACAATCCATGTCTCAGATCGCTTCCTTGTTCATCGAAGCACGATGGATCATGGGGTGATCCGCATTTAGCTACGGAGTATAGCCTATAGGACAAGCAGCAGCACTCGTGCAGAGTAGCTAATCAAGCTTTGGGCCTGTCCTTAGGTTGGGCTTGGGACCTTGCGACCTTGGCGCCCTGGTTCCCGAAGTCCTTGGACCTTGACTCGCTTGCGCCGCCATATTGAGCATGACCCAAATAGGCCGCACCAGACCTGACTGGATATAATGGATGGAGGCCTCGCCGCACAGTAGCCGAGGCGCCCTCAGCAGTTGGTTCTAGGCGCAAGTCACTCGGGGAGCATAGGGCAATAGGTGGTCAAGGCGTGGGGCACTGATGGAACGAACAATCGAACGCCAAGGGGCACCCTGCCCTGTCACTAGGTTTCGTGTGACAGACAGGACGTGACATGCTTGTCATTTGTTTAGGCGCCAAGAAGTCCGTTCTTTGTCCTGAGATAACAGCCTTTAGTCCACATATAGGCCCTGCTTAAGCCTGGTCATGTGATGCACTACTCGAAAGACATCGATATTAGAGGACTTTACTAGTAATATTTGGTGTGAATTAATCTATGTAGCGCTAAGCCTCTGATCTCTAGCGCTACACCAAGCCTCTAAAGCCTGCTAGTGTCATGACGTCCGTCAAACACCCTTCTTCTGTCATTCATTACCATTTGATTGTCATTTTACTAAAGTGACTGACGCACTCGAATCCTACCCGGCACCCACCCTCAGCACCCACCGCACAATGGGTCAAGTTCAAGTCCCGTGGACTCACGTGCCTGCCACTTACACAAAGACCTCCACCACGTAGGAGATTTCTGTATGGGGTTGGGGAGATTGTTTCCAGCTGTCAGCGACATTGATTGTCACCCAGAACCATGAGTCTCAGGGGAAACGCCGCTATTGGCCTAGAATTGATTTCTCGTATCTCGAAGTCGAGACTCGTCTCCAACAGAGACATCAATCCTGCATCATAGGCACTGACCGAATAGCACTCGTCAGACCACCAACCCTATCCTCGCTTGCATCATCTCGTCGCTGCACATCGCCTTCTCGCGATCAGGGTTCAGGGAATCTCCTCACCCCCCCCCCCCCCCCCCCGGGACCGACTTCGCTCAGTCTGACTCAGACCAACTCTGAGGGAAAGCCACTTCACTAATTACATGAATCCAATGACGATCCCAGTTGACTCCTACACAAGGCTGTGCTTCCCGTAATAAGCAGCGCAGGAATCACTCCGAGGTCCGCCGGACAGCCGCTCCCGACGAGTCGGCAGGGAGCCTGTGTCCGCATCAGGCATCCACACAATGGTGCCGTGATAATTTAATATGTTCGCTACATTGTCGCTGAACGGAATTCTCTCTTGATACCTCACCACGACGACTGTCCCGGAACTTCTCCACTCGCAACTCATCACATTTTTGGGAATGGGTCGAAACGCCTAAGCTACCTCTTCTGAATCTCCTCGGGGCCACGGGAGGCTGTATCCGCATCAGGCATCCACACAATGGTGCCGTAATAATTTAATATGTTCGCTACATTATCGCTAAACGGATTTCTCTCTTGATACCTCACCACGACGACTGTCCCGGAACTTCTCCACTCGCAACTCATCACATTTTTGGGAATGGGTCGAAACGCCCAAGCTACCTCTTCTGAATCTCCTCGGGGCCACGGGAGGCTTTTGAATCCGTGACCCGGCTGAGACGGAAGTCGTAAACGCCGATCTTTTGGGAAACTCGCTACACGTGTGTGTACAACTGGGCCGGACAGACTTCTCATTCGAGTTCTAACATGTCCCACTCAATCGTTATGCTTCTATATACAGTCGCGAAAATGCGGTCAGATGCCTATACCACTTTCCAGACAAACATGTTCCTCAGCATGTTCCCTGGGTTCCAAATCTGGTAGGGCTGCGAATCATTACCTTCATGCTCACCCTCGTCCGCGAGATTACTCTGTCCAGCCATGGAACTCCGGTCTGCAAGCATGATACTCTCTTGACGTCTTCGCCCCTCCCTCATCTTCCGAGTATTCACCTCGATCTCGCCTACTTTCCAACCCCGCGCCACCCAGAGACACAGCCCGCCGGCGATGTACATGAAGGCGGTGAAAAGTTGAGGCGGTAGGTAAATCCAGCTATTGACATTCCTACGACGCAGCTCAAGGGCAATCGCCTCGGCAGTCGTTGTCGGTGGAACCATCAGCACCCAAGTCCAGCTCAGTCCAGCTGGTAAATCGCGGATTCCAATGAGTTCCACTCCAACCGGTGCGATTGTCGTCCAGAACGTTCCAGCCACAGCACCGCCCACAACAGCGAAGAAACATAGTAAGCCCATCGGAGCCGAGATCGTTTCTGCCGGTATCCAGAATGCCAGGCAGAAAATCCCACACAGAAATGTAAGGGAGGTCGCCAGATTCAGTCGTCCCCATCGGTCCGAGCTCAACCCGATGAGCGGACGGCCAAGCATTTGTCCAGCGTTGAGAACTGCTCCTAGCACACTGCCTTGGTCGGCACTAAGGCCAATTGCCCGGCCGTAAGCGGGAAGAGAGAACAGGAGGATAACATATCCAAACATGCTGAAACATGACCAGCCCTGGATGAGTAGAAACTCAGGGCGCCGCAGCAGCTTCCAATCGAACGCTCTGTGGCGTGCTCCTGTCTGCTTGTTGCGATCACGCACAAGATTTGAAGCTGTCAGGTTGACGGCGAAGGTACAGATAGCCAGGATTCGAAATGCCCACGGAAGGCCCAAGTTGTTGATCATGGCTTGAGTAGCTAGTGAATACAACAACCCACCTGCGCCGGAACCAGCTGCAGAGATTGAATTCGCGAGACTCCGCTTCTTGGTGAACCATTGAGGGATGATGCTGACAGAGCCCACAAATAAAAAACCCATGCCCCAGCCGAAACACAACCCTTGACTTAGAATAATTTGATACTTTTCTTTGGCGAAACTCGCCCCTACGAGAGACAGGGTTTCAAAGAAGACGCCCACATGAAGACAGACTCGGGTGCCATAGAGATGAATGACATGAGTTGCTAGTGGAGCGACCAACATCGCCTGGGAAATTGACAGTCCACCAACAAAAGCGTAGGCGAGAGGAGATGTATCGGGAAAGTAATTGTGGTTTAGATAGTAGGCCAGGAACACGCCATACGAAGAGTTGACACCCCACGTGTGAGCTGATGTAAAGCATCCAGTCAGTTGATATTTCAACATTGGCACCAATCGGTAGAGGTGTGCTATTTTGCGGATCTCAGATCTCTCCAGATCTATCATTCGGGATCGCAGAGGCTTCGATCGAAGTTATGGAAAACATAATCACAAAATTCATGACTCACCATTGATGAAAGCATTGCAGGCAACACAAACCCAACCGTAGCCACCATCTGGAGGAGTATCTTCTATCTTTGGGAATGAGTCCGATGACGGTCGACGCTCGAGGTCGACTTCATCACTCTTTTCGGAAGAGGCATCTTGCTGATTGGGACGAGCGCGTGAAGTCACTGGGCTAATGGGGATATTGTCGGTCATCTGGCATGCGTGTCTCAATGCTTCCAAAACGAATGTGAACGGATGGACGACGAAGACGACGGTGAGTGATGTCTTCTCTGAAAGCTATGTCAAAGAGGGAGAATGATGACTCGCCCTTTTTTCTTCCTAATCCTACATAACCAAAGGGCAGAAAGCCGAGGGAACTCCATGTGCGTGGTGATCGTACATACCAAGGGCGGCTGCGGAGGTACGAGGTAGCACTGAATTGGTCATTGAGTCATGGAGATGACGATGCCGTTGGGTGGAATCTGTGGAGAAGATCCTAGCGAACGCTGTCCCTGTACGCTGCCCGATGGTCTTCAGGTACAAAAACGAGTATTGACCAGCGGCGGACATGTCCTTTGGAAGCCCGAGTTGCCGTGTTGCCGAAGAGGGGCGCAGTAGCTGTTGGCGGATGGCATTCGCCCGCGGTTTGAAGGACGTCCTTGACCAAACTAATCTGCGAATGACTCGTTCCAGATCTTTTGGCTCGCAAGGACAGCATCACAAGGATGTGGCTCTCTAGGGAGTTGAGTCAGTCATACGGTCCCTGAGAATCTCAGACGTTATTGTTTCAGAAATATCGATTAGCGATGAACATCGTGATGGCGTCACCGAGTCCAAGTGGAGGAAGATGCGCAATTGGGGTCGCTCTTGCTAACTCTGACGTAAGCAGTGTGGTTGCCCCGCAACCACAACCACCAAAACAAAAAAGTTCCCTGATTGTATCTGCCTGCGCTTCTCCATTAGGAGTACACACGAGTAGCACACGATCAGCACAGCCAGCACACTGAGCATCGATCATACAGGACTGCTAACAAGAGCGAGATTTCCTATCCTAGATCTCTACCCATGATCTGATCCCAGACTTTTCCAACACATTCTTGGAATATCGACCGAACGCACCTCACCGGGGTGCATATGCAGTGAACACCCGTTTCGATTGCAACTGCAACATCTCCCAACATGTTCCACAAGAGATCAAGCTTGGGAGGGAGAAAGGTCTCTCCTCCTCAACCTACATTCATGACCGATGAACAGAAATGTAAGTTGTCGTTAAGCACGCAAGAATGCCACCGCGAAGCCCTCCCTTCGGGTCAAAGTACTCACACGTCTTTTCAGCCTCTTATCTTGAGAGACTCCGCAACAGTCGTCCTGCTAGACCTACTGGCTCACGTCCCCCACCCTTTGCCTCTCGACATCATGCATCCTTGTCCTCTCAATTTAATCTGACCCGATCTGACTCGGCTCCAACGGTTTCCAGCCGTAGCGAAGATTCTGAAGATCAACCATTCGCCCCTGGACAAGCCCCACCACCAATGCCAAAATCTGTCTCCTTCACCTCGACCACGACCAAAGGCCGGCCACTTGCTCAACCCTCATCAACTGGGGAGCGGCCCGTTGTCCTCGGCAGGAAAGTATCCCCAACCGCAATTGTGCAACTACCCCATACATCTTTGGATGAAGACTATCTCGAATCTACAGCCCGCCAACTAGAGAAGGAGGAAGCTCAAAGTCTTAGGCAGGCATTGGAAACTATCGATCAAAAGGATGAGGAACAGAGGATCTACTCTGCTGCTCAGGACGAGGCTGCAGATTTGGTCTGGAAACATCGCAACCCAAAGGCCGCTGAAGAGGAGAAGACTGCGCCCTACGTCAACCCAGACTTGAAGAAGGGAAGGAGACGGAGTAGCGGTCAGCGCCAGGCTAGTGGTTCAAGAAAGGTCTCCTTCCCTTCTGCACAGGACCAGATCTATGAAGAACCCCTCCAGAAAGAGCCCGTCATCGAAGCTCCAGTCAAGACGCCTCAGGCAGATTTGCCCCTGAGGCTCAAATCCACAAATACGCTACCCTGGCTGAGAAAAAAGGCACCAGAGAAAACCGAGCCTGCGCTTATCCAAGATCCCAGGAAGTATGACATGTTTGAGATGCACAGAAACCCAAGAATTCGGTCAAACAATGCCGAGTATACTTTCAACACGCCTCCACCCACGGCATCCGCCGAACCCATCCATGAAGTGGACACTCCTAAATCCACGACTTCATTAGAGATCAGGAGCGAAGATATTCGAGCAGCTACTAGTATGAAGCGAAAGGACAGAAGTCCCAATTTGCCAACCCCTACTGCTGTCAGTGATCGACCCGGCCGTCCTATCGTAAGCTTCGACAAAACGTGGAAACCTCCCACCGATTCTCCACGAACTAGTCAAGACCTGGATCGCGCAGTCATCAAAATGACGGAGTCTCCTTCTATAGCTTCTTCCGGTGACAGACCACTACCAAGACCACTACCTAAGATGCCTGAAGTCACTGTGTCGGCTCCCACGGTGCCAACTATCAATCTTCCTAAGCCAGAATCAACGTCACAGTCAGGAGTACCGGTCCCAATGGTGACTGTGTCCGGCTCAGCTGTGCCGACGATCAGCATCTCAGAAGGCGGTCCCGGCATTCCAACGATCAACGTCGAAGCAGATAGAGGTACACCTCCAACACCACTTCCCAGCATCAACTTACCAGGCGAAATCAACCACTCTCCCAGACCATTGCCTAGACATTCAGCAACTGTACCGGTTCCTTCGCAACCCCACAAAACACCGTCAACTCGTATCCCGTGGTTGAATCGAGGCGCAATGCCCACAGTATCCTGCTCAAGTTGCACTCTTCCGATATCAGGACGCATTGTCACCGCATCAGGTTCTGCCAGTTCAAGCCCCAAGGCTAGATTCCACCCGGAATGTTTCAGCTGCTACCACTGCTCAACGCCCTTGGAATGTGTGTCTTTCTATCCGGAGCCGGATAACAAGCGAGTGGAACGACTTCAGAACGAGGGTATTGATCCTGACTCAGTTGAAGGATGCAACGACGCCCTAAGGTTCTATTGCCACCTGGATTACCATGAGTTTTTCTCTCCACGGTGCCGTTCCTGCAAGACGCCCATTGAAGGGGAAGTGATTGTCGCGGCCGGGGCGGAGTGGCACGTCGGTCATTTCTTCTGTGCCGAGTGCGGTGACCCGTTCGATTCGAACACACCCTTCGTTGAGCGTGACAACTACGCGTACTGTGTGCGCTGCCACACCAGGCGCACCTCCGCACGCTGTCGACGGTGCAGAAACCAGATCCTTGATGAGTTGACCGTCGAGGCCCTAGGCGGCAAGTACCACGAGCAATGCTTCAACTGCTTCGAATGTGGAGGCGGCTTCGGCGAAGAAGGGCGCTTCTTCGTCCGCAATATCCAGATCGAGCCCACGGACAAGGAGAAGCGGAAGGGCATCACTCGGAAGATGGAGGAGAAGCCTGTCTGTGGCTCCTGTGAGGAGAGAAGGTTGAAGGCTTGATTCTTGAGGCGGTTGTTTTGACTCCATATGTACCTGGGGTAGCTAGCCAGCATCCTTGGTGCCACCCTAGGATTGGTGTTTGCATCCGGCGTTAGCATTGGCGTCTGACTCATGTGTCGAATTGCATCGTTGGATTCCAACTAAAGAATATTCCGGACATTCAGGCGCTGGAAGGAAGAGGTCGCTGACTACTGAACTACATAGCGTGGATGGTGAGCGATCACATACAAACACATACGCTGTAAGCCTCCAAAGATGGATGCACTGAGCTTCGAGCCAAACCAGATGTTTTACGGAGCTCGTAGTAATTACCTTAGCTACCCAGGTAGTAGCACGATATGTATGTACTGCACTACGAGCATCTTCAGCCCAGGAAGCTGAGCTCTGTGCCGCGTCTGCCGTTCCAATACTCAGGCAGTGAGCACTCAAGATACATGCATCGCGCTTGGTTGAACGAATTAACAGTCCTACTACTTTTGCCTTTTTGCTCTCACTCTGTCTCTCCTGCTCAACAATGCTGTCCTTTTTCCCCGTTAGTATCGACATATCAATCAATCAACGCAGCCGAGCTACCCGCCTGTTCTCGAGTGCATGATTTGCTCGGCTACGATCTTCTCAACGGTAGAAAGCTCCAACGCGATCCAAGCCAATTCTCATCTCCGAACTCCAACTTCCATGAACTTCCTTCCACTGTTCAGCTGCTCATACCTCAGGGTGCCCACAAATCAGCCCATCTCCACCGCCATAATAATGCTGTTGAAGAACAATATATGAAAAAAAGACGTTGAACCCGATTGCGAAGTTCCCTGAACCTGCCGTGACTCCATTCGCTTAAGTGGCTCATCATACCGCCTGGGGAAGAAAGACACCCAAGCTTTTTGTTTCCAACCCGACCGTTCCAGAGTCTGACCTGGCTAGACTCCGATATCGCTCGTATTATCCCCCAAGCCCTCCAGGTACCCCAGTACGCCATTGCCGGTTGGAGGAATCCGGTCTGAAGTGGCCCAGACACTGAGCAGGAGTGCCAAACAAAGGAAGCAGGGTTCCCTTCCCAGCTCCAAGTGCCCAATGTTGTGATTCATCTCCCATTTTCTCCTTTGAAATGCATAATGGTCGCTAAATGTTCATATGTAGTCGTTGTTGCGGTGGTCTTCAGCCAGCTAGGCTTACAGACCATGTCGAATGCAAGGATAATATCTTCTTTTTGTGGCGAAGAATATGCCTGTGTATCATCTCTAAATGTAAAACAGTAATGAATGAATAATCGCCACGCACATACACCTAAAACGTGAAATTTTCTTTTGCAAGCTGGCACTGATTGGCGTCGTACAGCTGTTGGTGAGCTACCTCCCAGATCTAATGAGGAGGAGAGGTGCGATAAGATCCATTGGCTCGGCCATCAACATTGCTGGAGTCGTCGTTTGGTGAGCCTTCGCCCGCGAGTTTCTTGTCCGAAGCCACAATTTTGCCATGAATATTCTGAAGCTCAGATCCTCTGATGCCTTTGTTGGGCCAGTATGTCGCCGCGTAGTCCCTGTTTTTTCATGTTAGCTCCAGATGGAGAAGGAAACTTCTCGTCACTTACCAGAAACGCTTTTCAACCGATTCGTGATTGTCATCAAGATCCGCAACTTGATCAGTGATAAAGTTACCGATTTGTTTGAGTAGAGCTCGCAACTCATTTGCTCGTAGCTGTCCATCCGGAATGACACTTTTGGTTGTAGCCTTGATCTTCTTCAAGCTTTCCCTGACAGGTTTGAAAAGCATCACCATCAATGGATCAACTTCAACGGCATTGCCGTTCGTGGCACCCTCACTCCGGCGGATATCGCTGCCATGTCGGTGATGGGATCCATCATGATCACGATGCTTGCGATCTCTGTGATCCCTGACCTCACTTTCCCGCTCCTTGTGAGTGTGGCGCACTTCTGATTTGGGCGTCCCGTATCTTTCGGAACTATCCCTGTGTGGTTGACTGACAGGCCGTCTGTGTTTATCAGATTCGCGGTGTGCTTTACGCGCGGATCCTGACGCTGGTGAGTCAGTGTGACGAGCCTTGTCCAACTTCTTGTTGTTCCGATGGTGATTCTCAACCGCTCTTTTTGCGACAGGGTCATCACCAGACGTACTCTTCAAAACCGAGAGAAGGTAATCCGCCCGTCGAACAAGGTGAACCGCTCCTGGCGATTTGGCATTTTTGGCATCCTGCTTTTCGCGTTCTGCCTTTTTGTCCACTCGGTGCTCTTCCAAGAAGAATTTGTCCATAAGCCCAAGATCGGGGTCATCTCGAATCTTCTCCCACGCACCATAACCATGGCGTGTGATACCAACACAGAGCATACCATCCTCTCTAGCACCCCAAGGACAACTGTATCCAGCATTTTTGGTTGCCTCCGGAATACGAAATGATTTGAAGTCGGGGTCCTTTGAGGTTACCTCTCTTAGCAAACGCATCTCCCCTGGGCGCTCAAGGATGGTTTCGGCATTGATACGCTTCACACCATGAAGCTCAAACAACACAGCCTTCTTGTCTTTCTTCGTGATAGGCCGGTTCAAATTGCGCTCGAGATCTGCCATTCGGGCTTGCTCTTCCTTGAACAATTCCTCTGACTTGTCCCAGACCTCTTGCATGGCAGCCTTGACAATGTTCAGGTCTCTTCCTTTGAGCCGAGCTTCAGTCAGAAACTCTTCTTGACGATCTTCAATTGAGCCATAACGAAGATGGCCCTTGATCAGGTATCGATATTCTCTCTCACTCAAGGGGCGTGATGGATCAGATTTGGGGCCTTCGTCGGACTCGCTCTCAGAATCGACCTCCTTCTGGCGTTGTTCCTGTCGTCTGGCTTTCCGAGCTTCGCGATCTTCGGTGTGTTGATTGCGTACTCGTGGTTTGTTCTGCTCGATGACTTCTGCCAAGTATTTCTCTTCGGCTTTGCGTTGTTCCTCTGCTTTGATACCATCCAGTTGTTCTTTAGGTATGATATCATCCCAGGAGAGTTCATCGACTTTGACGTCAACGAAGTCGAAGCTTTTCAGGAATTCTTCACCTCCGTCTGCGTCAGTATTGTCGGGCTGTTCAACCTTGTAGTCCTCGGCATTGTTCAACATTGCATCAAGGTCAAGTTCTTCAAGCTTCTTCTGGTTGTCGGTTTGCTCAAACATCTTTTGACCACGCTTTTTCAGGATTCTTTGGATCTCGCTCGATGAGCCTGGCTCCCCAACGAATGCATTTCGTCGAGCTTGGGTCTCCTTGTCAGTAACTCCACGTTGAATGGTGAGAAACTCCAACATCAGTTTGTTTCTTGCACGTTCCAGAATCTCTTCCTCGACAGTCTCCTTGGACACCAATCGATAGACACTCACGGGTTTGACCTGCCCGATTCTGTGTGCACGTGCCATAGCCTGAAGATCGGCCTGCGGGTTCCAATCAGAGTCGAAGATGATAACAGTGTCAGCTGTCATGAGGTTGATACCAAGACCACCAGCACGCGTCGAGAGTAGAAAGCAGAAATCAGAGCTATCTGGAGCGTTGAAGTGATCGATGGCAATGCGACGTGGGGCAGCAGCAATTGTACCATCCAACCTCTGGTAGGCATGACCACGATAATCCATGTAGTCTCCAAGAATGTCTAGCATTCTGACCATCTGACTGAAAATGAGTACACGATGGCCATCACGCTTGAGCTTGGTTAAAAGTTGATCAAGCAACATCATCTTGCCACTGCTTGTGACTAAGGCACGCAAGACTTCCTCACGTCGAGCTCCATCGGGGACAAGACGCTCTTCAGCACTTGGGAACATGAAAGGGTGATTGCTTGCTTTCTTGAGTTCCATCATAATGTTGAGAAGAGATTGCTTCTGACCCTTTGCACCCTGGTTTAAAGCCGCGTAGTTCTTGGTCAGAATATTCTTGTAATACTCCAACTGGATATCTGACAGCTCGACGCGGATGATCTTCTCAGTCTTTGGTGGTAAGTCCTTCTCAACTTTCTGTTTGGTCCGACGCAGCATGTAGGGTTTGATGTCTTCAGTGAGCTGAGCAATTTTCGCACTGGCAGCTTCAGTGGTCAAGTCCATGTTCTCATCGATATTGACGACACCGGGCTTCAAGAAGTCAAACAGGGCAGAGAGTTCACCTAAGTTATTCTGAACAGGAGTACCAGTGATCAAAAGGCGAGCAGGAGCCTTGAATTCTCGAAGCTTGTCATAGAGTTGAGAATCCCGGTTCTTGAGGCGATGAGCCTCGTCGACAGCCATGAATTGCCACTTGATCTGGCTCAAGAATGCAGCATCATGAAGCACGTATTCATAGGTGGTAAGGAGGACGTGAAAGCGAGGGTGACGCAGGCTACCATCCGGTAATAGCTCGTAATCCTTGATGATATTGCGAGCGGTCTGGTTGCCATTGTAGACGACATAATTGATGTCGGGGGCCCAAAAGTCGAAAGTATCAGCCCACGCTGGCATGGTTGAAAGAGGGACGGTAACAAGGAAGGGACCTTCTTGGCCACGGTTGTGCTTGAGCCAAGTTAGAAAAGCGACTGTCTGAACGGTCTTGCCGAGACCCATCTCATCGGCAAGGACGACGTTCTTTCCTTTGACCCAATTGTAGGCGAGGAAGTTCAATCCAGTCATTTGGAAGTCGCGAAGAGTACCATTCTGGATGTAGGATGGCTGCTCACGGACAGGTTGGAATGATGAACGAGAATTAAAACTGCTTTCGGTGGCATTGGATTTGAACTCCTCTCTCTGGCGATTGATGTAGCGATCGATTTCATTTTGGGCGATCTGAGACACAAGACTCGAAGGTTCCCAGGTGGCTTGGTCATAGAACAGACCTTTCCACTTGACATAATACTCGGTGCCTTCCTCACCCGGGCGGTCGCCGATGACCCGTTCAACCTTTTTGTAGTCGTCAAGAGTGTCGACATATTGCTCACGGTCAAGAATCCACTTTTCTCTGTCCTCGGGCGCAATGGCAGGATTGTTCAGGATGCGGATGTCTTCCATCAAGGTCTTCCGGATGTAGTTCTCTAGGCGGCGTACACTTTTGACGCCAGCGAGGGAGTCGATGGTCTCCCATGTAGCATGATAGTATGCCTTCTGCTGCCATTTGATCAGGAACTCATAGTCGTCTTTGACATGTGATGGGGTGGTGATATGCGCCTTCAGCCGGTGGTTGAGAACGATGTCGATCGCGGGTGAATTATCTTCGATTCCATTCACCCAGTAGTTAGGGGTCAATACGTCAGGGTCATCCTCTGCGAACTCGTCTTCGTCTTCATCCTCATTATATGTGGACACTTTGGCAGCCCTACGAGTAGAAAAACGGATTTCAGCATGTGCAGGTGTCAAGCTTTCGGCAGACTGAAGTAAGCGCCGACGCTGCTTTTTAGAGATCTTTGCACGCCGACCACCATAGGTGTCTGAATCGGCATCGGAGTCGGTAGGGGATTCGACCATGGGAGTAGGCTGGTTGGAGGAACGTTGGGAGGGACCAGCCCTGAGACGTTTGCGCGGGCGAGGGCCGATGTCTGAATCGGAATCTTGTTCTGCAGAAGATTCTGCAAGGTTTGTAACAGGTCGCGCGCGACCACTTCGTCTCAAACCGTACATCTCGGGGTCTTTTCGAATGTAATCGTCTTCATCAACAGGATGAGTCTTTCTCTTGACGGGCCTGATGGATTCGTCGGAGGATGATTCGTGCTCCTCATTCTCGGACTTGGCTTCGGGGAGCTGGGTGGACATGTCCATTTCAAAATCGGCATCACCTTCAGCATCTTGTTCGGAAGAGCTGGAACCGTGATCGTGATCATGATTTCGGTGATGGTCATCGTCGAGTTCGATGCCAGGCGGCGAGGCTGCAGCAGCGACAGGCTCGGCAGGGTCCGAGAGCTCGCTCTCACTATCGGAGTATTTGTTACCATTCGCGTGGGGAGACATTGCGTCGTTGGAGGGCTCGACAGGGCTCTCAAAAGACGAAGCAGGCTCAACCATGGATGATGGTGAGGGTTCGGCAACCATGGCAGAGGCTAAGAGACAATCGTCAGCATGGTGTGGCAGCAGGACTGGAGCAGAGGGGAGACATGGCAAAACTGAGAGAAAGAGAGAATTTGCGACTCGGTAACAAGTAGCCAGAGGCGCCGAATAGACCGCTGAGATAGAAAAGAATGAATATCAGATGGAATAGATGAATTGGGATGGCGACGAGATGGGATGATGTGAGAGGCTGGATCCAGGACTCTGGTTCCGGCAGGGTAGTCGAACGGCCCAAGCAGAATTTTCAAGGCATCACCGGCGCCTATACATGCATGCCCAACTCGCGTTGAGCGTGAGCAGCATCAAGAATCGCGATCTTGAGTGAGTCTGGTCGAGCTTGCGATGCCAGGCCGAGGCGCGGAAAGTGAGAAGCGGAAGCAGGAAGCAGCAGACAACGAGCAAAGTCCGGGGAGCGAGAAGAATACTCACAGTCCATCAGCGGCTTTGGAGCCCTCTGACCCAAGGCAGAGGAAGGCGTGTAGCAAGAGGCAAGGGGATTCGAGGTGGAAGATTGTGTCTCGAAGCAAAGGGTGTGATGGTGGGTATTTTGGTATGGGTATGGGTAGGGTATGGAGCAGTATGGGCAATATTCTGGGAGGGAGAGAATGGCGAGGCAAGGCAAGGCTTGGAGAAGGAAAGGCTAAACCGGACAGTCCCGTGACTTTCGGGCGCAGGCAAATGCCAAGCCTTGAGGGACATTGTGCCCTTAGGGCAGTCACCCAGCGGGCCAGGGCCCAGCACGAGCAGTAGTGGCTCTAGACGCCACAGGCCATACCTGCCCTATTCGCACCCTTCACAGGGACACCCGGGACGTTCTCAATAGGCAACTGAAGCGCAGCACCCCCCCGACCGCTGGCGCCCGTCCCGCCAATCAGACGCCCATCAATTGGCTGTATTCGCTGTCATAACGAATTATTCTTGTTCATTCAGAGTCATCCTTCTATTGACACCCACATCCACCACTCACACCCACATCCATCCACACACATCACACATCATACACCCCTCCTCATTCACCGCATTCTCCCTCCAATTCATTATTTTCTTTCCTCTTCAATTTGTTCTTATTGTCTTCACAGTGACTGTGTGAGCCTCGCAATTACGTTGGTGTGTCTAACTACCCACACATTGAGAGTCTCTACGCACCACCGACCAGACTCTTCGTCAAATCGAGTCTTCCCCGCTCCCATTTTTTCTGATTTTCCGCAGCCTCATCCACGCGCCGCACGCGGAAAATTAATCCTTTCTGCCACCACCACCCACCACAACCACCGCCACCATGTCGGACAAATTAACCAGGTAACTTGCTCTACTTCTGGTGTCATTGTGTTCGTCCATCTAACCAGCCTGTACCTTAGAATTGCCATCGTCAACAGTGACAAGGTTTGTTCTTCTCACCCGGATCCTCACTGTTTATGACTCCGCCATTAACTATTTAATTTCTACCCAACAGTGCAAGCCAAAGGTATCATGATGTTCCCCTCCCGAGACAAGCCATTGTTGTTGACAATACCCAGAAATGTCGGCAAGAATGCAAAAAGTCCTGCCCTGTCGTTCGCACCGGTAAGCTTTGCATCGAAGTCACCCCCGAGTCTAAAATCGCATATATCTCGGAACGTCTTTGTATCGGTTGCGGTATCTGCCCTAAGAAATGCCCGTTTGGTGCCATTCACATCATCAACCTCCCAACGAACCTCGAGACACAGGTCACTCATCGATACTCGGCAAACAGCTTCAAGTTGCACAGACTGCCCATGCCACGACCAGGCCAAGTTTTGGGGTTGGTAGGAACAAACGGAATTGGCAAGAGTACAGCCTTGAAGATTCTCAGTGGTAAATTAAAACCCAATTTGGGACGATATGATAATCCCCCTGATTGGGAGGAAATCCTGCGCTACTTCCGTGGCTCAGAGTTGCAGAGTATGTCCTCCCCTATCAAGTAAAGTAGCATCAGACTAACCCAGATAGACTACTTTACCAAAGTGCTTGAAGATGACCTCAAGGCTATCGTCAAGCCGCAGTATGTTGATCAACTTCCTCGAGCCATCAAGGGCCCTGTGAAGACTGTCAAGCCTCTCATAGAAGCAAAGTCTGAACTGGGCAACATGGAACATATCATGGATGTGCTTGGTAAGTGCTACCGCTCCAGCTATGGCTAGTGTGACTGAAATTCTGATCCCGATCAGAACTCAAAAATGTTGCCGACCGCGAGATCGCTCTGCTGTCTGGTGGTGAATTGCAGAGGTTCGCCATTGCCTTGGTTGCCGTCCAAAACGCCGATGTCTACATGTTTGACGAGCCTTCTTCCTATCTCGATGTCAAGCAGCGTCTGAGTGCCGCCAAAACCATCCGAGAGCTTCTTCGTCCAGATGATTATGTTATTGTTGTCGAACATGACTTGTCAGTCCTCGATTATCTCTCAGATTTTATTTGTGTGCTGTACGGTCGACCTGCAGTCTACGGCGTTGTCACACTTCCCGCGTCGGTCCGTGAAGGTATCAATATCTTCCTCGATGGCAACATTCCAACCGAGAACTTGCGATTCCGCGAAGAAAGCTTGACCTTCCGCATTGCTGAAGCTAGCGAAGACTATATGGTTGATAGGGCACGTGGCTTTGAATATCCGCCCATGAAAAAGACTCTCGGCGACTTTCACCTGAGCATCGAGTCAGGGTCCTTCACTGACTCTGAAATCATTGTCATGATGGGTGAGAATGGAACTGGCAAGACCACTTTCTGCAAATTGCTCGCTGGACAAGAGAAACCGGATGGCACCTCCAAGGTCCCAGCAATGAACATCTCCATGAAGCCGCAAAAGATCACACCCAAGTTCCAAGGCACCGTCCGTCAGCTATTCTTCAAGAGAATCAAGGCCGCCTTCTTGAGTCCTCAATTCCAGACCGATGTATACAAGCCCCTCAAGATCGACGACTTCATTGACCAAGAGGTTCAGAACTTGTCTGGTGGTGAATTGCAGCGTGTTGCTATTGTGCTGGCACTTGGCCTGCCCGCGGACATCTACCTCATTGATGAACCTTCTGCTTACCTCGACTCCGAGCAACGTATCATTGCTGCTCGCGTGATCAAACGCTTCATCATGCATAGCAAGAAGACCGCTTTCATCGTCGAGCACGATTTCATCATGGCCACATACCTTGCTGACCGTGTCATTGTCTTCGATGGCCAGCCATCAGTCAATGCCCGGGCCAACACTCCCGAATCCCTGCTCACAGGCTGCAACAAGTTCCTGAAGAACCTCGATGTTACTTTCCGCCGTGACCCCAATTCTTATCGTCCACGAATCAATAAGTACCAGTCTCAAATGGACCAGGAGCAGAAGCTTGCCGGCAACTTCTTCTTCCTGGAGGAAGAGAGTTAAAACCACCCCTTTTCTGTTCTTCGCCAAGGGCATCCATCGAAAGAATACACAACCTCATCATCGACGAAATGATGGTGACAGGGACGACCAGCACCGACACAACAATGACGGGACGAGCCACGACCACGATCAAACTCATGCGATCACAAGCGTCGCAAATGTCAACGGACTGAAAAGCACCGGCAAAGGTGCGAAGAAGCGCCGTGGTGGGGTATTGATTGATGACGAAGAAGCCGAGTCCGAGGAAAGTGAGGATGAGGACGACCTTGTGGCCGACGATGATCGACCTCCTGCGCCATTTGCTTTGCGAATTTTGTGCTATTCTCACAGAATGGCCAAGTGCACTACGCTTACAAGATTCGACAAGAGTTTTGAAGGTGCGGGCCAAGTTAGGTGATCATTGTCTTGTCTTCTGCGTGTCTGCCTGCATGTTCCTGCAGAAGACCCTCGTGTTCCATCATCTCGGAACACACCAGGGAACACAATCGACACCATTCGATAGAGAACGAAGTCTGGAAAGCAAAACTGTGAATCGAGGGAAATGGGCCATAGCCGATTCGGAATCTATACTCCACAATCCCTCCACGATTCAGAAACATCAAGAATGGAAAAGGGCCGATGCAGAGCCAGGGGAAACTGCTCAATTGCTATTAAATAGCCACAAGCACATAGAGTACCGACCACAATTCAGTCATTCTCTCGATTGCTTACTGGGGTGTAGAGTTTCTCGGTGCCGCTAGAACCAGAGCGCTAACCTCGGGAACATGAGGCATCGTCATAGGTGAGTGGTTAGTCTTGAATATGTATGTACCATCTGGCGAGTTTTGGTGGCCCGCACGAGAGCAACTCGATCGCATCTTGTTGTGCGGGAGCGTCGGCAAGGTGCTCTGCTTGACCTTCGTGATGATCCCAGTATCGCGATGCATAATCATAGCCCCAATAACGTCTGCCAAGACATGTCAAGACATGCTCAAGGATGATATTTTCATCTCGCAAAGGCGACATCTTCCAGATCAAATAGCTCAGCACTGATGAATGTGTTTTAGTTAGCGTCCTTCTTTGACGATCGGACTGAGATTAGCAGAACGTCTCGTTCACCAGCCGAGTCGGGCTCGTCTGCTTCTTGCCAAAGGCTCCTCTCTAGGGGTCTTGTGAAGTGGGTGGGTCGGCTTCTAATTGAAGAGCTAACAAGTATCCCTTTACTGTAGAGTATGTTAGACAGTTGAACTTTCCCACCAGGGGTCTTGAGAGATACCCCCAGAGCGCAGCGCAGGCTATTCAGCACCAACGCCCCGTCGACGGGAAAGTCGCCCTTTTTGAATTGCTGATCATGGACCACCGTAAAGATATCGACTTCAGGTAGTGTTACTAGTCTTGTACAGACCACTCGTAGTTATAGGTAGCACCTCAGTCGCTGATGAGTGGTGACCTGCTTACTATGAGCATGACTGTCTTTTGCCGCATCCCGCCAGTCATTCTCGGACGGTAAGTGTGCCTGCTCAACGCTATATGCTTGGTCCTGGGACAACAGTCAGCATTCCGCGAAGTAGTGGTTGTAACAACGCTGGGTGCTATATCAAGGGGATACTGTTGCCTTGTGCATCTTCACTTGGGGAGTGCTTCTTCTCCAGTTGCTTGATGAACTTCTCTCATTGCGTTACAAATTCCATCGGAAGCTCGCAGCGAACAGTACAATGACGATACGACATCAATTGTGCTACCGTAGCCCAGGAGTAAGCTCTCCAATACTAGGCAAGAGATACTACGAGGACAATCACAACAGATGATAAGTTGAGAGCCACTCCGCGTGGACTTGGCTGAAACATAGTCGACGACCGAGTGGCAACTATATCAACTATACCTAGGGCCTTTTGGCACCCGGAATACAGAGTACGGAGTAGTGTCTCTGGCAGCAGATGTGAGCCACCCGTTCATGTCTCTCACGTCCAACACGGGTGTAGATTATGCGCGACTAGCAACAGCTCAGAGGGTACCTTCAGAACACGTACGTGCAAGGTTGAAGCAGCAACTGGCCAGGTCTAAGGAGGGAAATGGAATTAACCCTTGTTGAGATTTCGGTGTCGACCTCCCTGTTTCTGTGATCGGAAGGTTCTTCTCCTACTTTGGCTTGTCACTCAGGTACAGTTTCCACAAGTCCTGTTCCTAGAGCCCATTTCATCCGTCCGTCCATTGTTTTTTTTTTGCCAGTGCTATGCAATGTTGATGCAAAGCAGCCGCCATGCTCGCTGATAACTGACTACCTGGGTAACTAGTAGATTTCTTTGGATCTCATCGTCACCACTCTTGAAAAACATGACAAGGAACTTTACCCCGGTGAACGCACCGTGGCGTTATTTCCGTCAAGAGGAAAGAATGAACACATATTCTGCTCAGATTTCACGCTCTACTTTGGACACAAATATCCTCTGATCAGGAAAGCAGATGGCTTGCCTCGCTTCTCACGATCTCCAATACCTTTTCCGGGGTGTCCTTCTCGCCCAGAGCTTGCTTGAGCTGGCTCTTGTAGTCCGGCAGTTGGTCGAAGCTGGCGTCTAGCTTCTCAAGCGCCAACAGCGCCTTGGTCGCAAGCAGGAACTTCTTTCGTCGGATATAGAGCTCAAATGCGACGGCTTGCGCCTCGGCGAGTTGCGGGCTGGATTCAAGAAGCGGCGTAAGGAACTTGAGCGCATCCTTCAAGGGCTCTTTGGTCTCCACCAACGCTTTTCCGAATGGGTCCGAATCTTCCTTCTTGTTGTCGACATCTTCACTCTTAGGGGTCGGCTTGGCAGCTTTTAAAGCCGCCTTCTTCTCGGCCTCGGCCTTTTCCATCTTCTCTTGCTCCCGTTTGGCCTTCTTCAGCGCTTTCTTGCGATCTGCCGCACTAACTTCACCGGTCTTGCCTGTCCCATTGACAGTGCCCATGATGGGTCCGTGCACGAGATCTGGGTTGTCGGACAGGAGGATGTAGGTTTTGACAGCCGCAATTGCCGCGGATGAATATAACGGATGGTCGCGGAGGTGGTCTTCCCATCGGAGCATATCGATGTAGGCTCGGATCATGCCCTTCCTGAGGGAGAAGTTATGGAAGTCGAATTGATCCTCCTGCCAGACGTCGAAGATGGCCAGGACCTGGTGGAAGCGCTTCAATGCTAAACCGAGTTTTCGCTGACGAAGATATGATTTCCCATCTTCTGTCAAATACCACACACATTGCATATCAACGAGGTCTCCAAGAGGCCCACCAGTCTTATTCTGGGTGAACTTGCTGGCGGTATCAAGTGCTTTCTCATTCTGGTCTGCCCGGATTTGATATTTGGCACACTTGGTGTTGATGGCCCGATCCTTTTCATCGAGAGCACGAGCTTGATCCATCACCTCTGCAGCCTTTTCCAAATCACCCTTGTGCTTGTACGACCTTGCCTTCACCGCGTAAGAGTCGACGGATTTGGGATCAAGTTGGAGGAGTTTGTCGGCATATTCTAAAGCCTTGTCCAAATCTCGACTCAGTTTGTAGTTGTAGTGTTGAGCCAGGAAGTAGAGCGCGGAGGACTCGAATCGCGATTCGTCTTTGCCATCACCATTTTCTGTAGCGCCGTTGCTCTGCGAGCTCACTTTGCCAGCGGCGTATCCCTCCACTAATTCCTGGACAGCATCTCGTTTTGACTTATCAGTGTAAAGGTGCTTGATATTTGCAAATGTAGAGGGAACTCCCTTTCGGAGGAACTTCTGCAGATAAGAGTCGGCCGCTTGCTTGAATTCCTCTCCGGACAGAATGTCTAGCGTTCTCCGTCGTGGAAGATCTGCCTTTGGGTATTTCTCTGCCAGCTCATCATATGCTTTCTTGAGATCCTGGACCGATCCATCCGTCAGCCCTTTCGCATCAACATATCCGTCGTAGTAAGCAGAGGTGTCGGGGTTTCGCTCCAAAAGAGCAGCATAAGCAGCTTCCGCCTCTGCCTTGCGATCCAAGCGAGCGAGATAGTCGGCTCTCATTTCCATGACCCCAAGAACGTCAGGGCTCTTCTTGCCTACGACTTCCAAATGCTCGAGTGCCTTTTCTAGTTCACCGGACTCGGCAATGATGTAGTTTTTGTACAGAACTGCTTCCCAGTGCTCAATGTCGGACCTGGTAGGTTTTGTTTTGAGAGTCTCTTCGTATGTGGTAAGGACTTTCTCGGCATCATCGTAATTTCCGGCCAGATGGTGAGCGATGGCCAAAGCTGTCCAATTCTGACGGAAACCAGGCTTTTGTTGTAGCATGTTTCGTCGACTCTGGATGTAGCCTTCAAAGTCTCGCATTTGTATCTGTAGGTGCGCGAGATCTCGTTGGATGGGTGCAGACTCTGGTTCTAACCGCAGGGCAAACTTGTATGCTTTTATTGCTTCCTCGAAATTCTTTTCCGCGCGATACAGGAGACCGTAGACGTGCCAGCACACGTGGGATTTCATATTGTTGTTCAGAGCAATTTTGGCCAGAGCAAAGGCCTCTTCCGTGTGACCCTGTTGGCCAATAATGAGGGCTTTCATAGCTTGAGTGTCGGCATGGTTGGGATTTTTGCGTAGAATTTGCTCCGCTGCTTTCAAGCCTGCAAACGGTGGTCAGCATCGGGCGAGTTTTGGTTTACACAGTCGACAAACCTTTCTTGTACTGTTTGTTCTCAAAGTGGCGCACGACTTGCCTGAACAAGGCGCTGTCCTTGTTGCTTAGCTGCGGTTGCGGTTGCGCCATATTGGGAGGGTAGATGGCAATAATCGGGCTGGTCGTGGTCGTGCTGAAGACGTGGTAAATTGCGCGGACGCTTTATAGCAGTGGTGGTGGAACTGGATGGAGGAATGAAGCTAGAGGCTAAGACATGTCCATGGGAAATAGAATATACTACAGATAACAAGGTGTCGACGAGATGCCGGTCCGCAGGAAGAAGTATCGTGTAGAAGGGAATAAGAGATAGAGAGACAAGCGTAGGCCCATTCACGATGTCGGTTCTGACCTGCAAGCCGCAGGCAATTGGGATTTAATTTGGAGAGCGGGAGCCTCGTCATTCTTGGCGCCCTCGTGTGACTTCCACTTGCACAAGTTGACCAATAGCACTTCACAAGTCCAGGCAAGGCTGTGTCAGCCTTGTCCTTCCATGCCACCCGTGCCTCTCTCACCACAAGTCAGGCAGGATGCGATCGGATCGCTGGAACAAACAAACAACTTATCTGGCTCAAGTATTTATGGCAAATTCAGAGTAGTTCATTTCTACCGGATTCCAATGATTGGACTATCTCCGGTTTATTCAGCAAGGTCCTCCACGGTCTTCTAGACTTTCATGGCGTTTCATCATCGCTATCACTGTTCATGGAGAGGCTTGAGATCCGCGGACCAAAGCTTCCGAAGCTATCTGTTGCCCTCTTCCTCATCCACTGTCTCCGCTTCCAGTACTCATAAAACATAAATTCCAAAATTGTCGAGGGGATTGTAAGCACCACCCATATCCAGACCTGTTTAGCATCATTCATCCATCTATATTGACTGAAGAAAGGGGTTTCAAGGATTGCCTGCGCGTGAGGGATTTGCGGTCACCAAAGAGATTCTTTGTCAGGCCTGCAAGTGTCCGGAACGATGTCTTCTTTTCTGCCACGGGTCGCGGAGACCCATCTCTTTTCATATCACCTAGGATTGTCAACTGTGACATCAATAGATGGGTGATTATTGGACCTTCAGTGGCAAGGTGGTTATGGAACTGCTCTGTGATGTGGAACAAGAATCTTTGAAAAACAGTCTTCTTGATAGTCAATCGAACTTGAGGCTTCGTCTGTTGGAGGCCATCCATAATCCTTGTCATGACGACAAATCCCTCGATTGGGTATTGATAGTAACAGCCAGTATCCGATCGCAAAGCGTCCTTTGAGGCTTGCATTAAGCTGTCACATAGTTTGCTTCGGACCTCTACGCAACCATCAGTCGCCAAAGCTGGACTTAAAGTAGTCACGCAAGTGACTGACTGTGCTAAATCTCGCCGTGCCCATTTCAAGGCGCCAAGTAGTTGTTGTCCATTCGGATTGTTGCTGATGCTCTTTCTGGAGGCGGTCGTAAACAAAACTGCCACGAAAACAAGGGCAGTGTCATTGCTTTCAAACCTATTTTGAAAGGCTTTGTCCAGCTGAGCAATATAAGCATCCTTGTTTTTTGAATAGGATACTAGTGGTAAAGCACAGATGATAGTATCGCCAGTAGGGGCAACCGTCCCAAACTCGACTATAGTGAATGAGCAGGCATTACAACAAGGAAGGGACCAGATAATATCCGTTTCTAGGAAATTTCCCATTCCAAATAGGAATGCCAGTTTTGACACGCTGTTGATTGCGGGAAACCGAGGGGTAGTGTGTGTTGAAGGCGGTACTCTTAACAACAGTGCCAGAACTATATCCTTCTCCCGCAAAGAGAACATCTCCCTCTGAACTCACCCGAGGGAGTTGTTGACCGCTGAAAACGTCGAGTGAAAAGTGCCTTTGATAGTGCTGATGTAGGGTATAGCGGGATGGAGTCGTCCGGAAAGGGACAGCTCGACGTGCTTATGGATCGACTATGTATGATGGATGAGTGAGATCTCTAGACCACCTCTTTAATACTTGACTTGCGACTGTGATAAGAAGAGCTTGATCTTTCTTGGCTGATTCAAAAGCCTCGGAATTCCTCGAGTTTGCAGCTCGCAATTTAGCAAATGCCTCCCCACTCAGGCCAGGTGAAGCCTGCATGGTATTGAAGATGGTCGTTATTGACTGCCTAGCCCGATCCCCAACAGCTGGTCTCTCGATCAGTGAGAAATCCTCAGGATCGAGTTCTTGTCTGATGGCCCAGTTTCGAAGAATCTCTCCCTGGTCGCGACTTCGTGCGGTTAACGAATTAGTTCGGACTTGCTCTCTGCTCTGCAGAATTCGGTCGATAATGGAGCGGCCCTTTAATCGATCTGAAAATAAGTCGTCTAGATTCACTACAAGATCTGCCTCCAGCATGATCTCATCTCTTTTCAGCTTTTGTGATGGGATAAAAGACACGCAGATTAGATCTCTCCAGGTCATCTGCGGGAGGTCTTCCCAGCTGGCTTTGTCATCGAGCACTGGCTGTTGGAGCCGGGCTCTTTCTAAGATTTCTATAAACCGACCCTTGCACTGAAGGATATGGAGTTTGCCCGAATTGACGTCCTAGTAGACAAAAAGGCAGTCCGGAATAACAGCAAAAACCGAAACTCCAACAGATACGTTACAATACGACGGTAGGCCTTGTCTCGTACCGACAACGACGACGACACAAGCGGTGCCATGGAGCTCGTGGTAAGAAACTTCGTCGGCGAAGATTTCTAGGCGTTCATTGGGAATCTCGCCGTCAGTGAACAAAAACCACAGGTCTGAGTTTTTCAGTTCAATAAGACCGGGCTTATGGTCTAATAAGACCGAAGGATCGGTCCCCCCATAAGAATGGAGAGAGTTGATATGAGAAACAGAGATGACCGGATCTGCGAAGGATTCCAGGGTAGGACGCGGGCATCGGATTGAGCAGCGCCACTGAGGAGCGACCAAATCTCTTGGACCCCCTCGCGTTCGCTTCGAAGGACCTCCCCAAGAGTGCTCCCAGATGTGTCCATTGCGAATGAAATTTTGCAGTCGCGAAGTGGTATCTGTTTTCTTTCCACGGGCATCTGTGGGGTTTCTTGTTCTTTATCAATTGAGGTGATTGGACTTCCTGCCGATGCTGAGTCGTTTAGTGTTTGTGTTAATTGCTTTGAAGGAAGGATGGAATCATCTGAGGATTGTGAGGTAGTTGCAATCTGAAGGGGCTTAACATTCTCGGCCATCGCGTCTTGAAGCTGTTGCGTAGTATGTTATCCTCACAAAGGCGTGCTTTTGCCTATCCTTTGTTATCATCCACTTTCGTTTTGCGGGTTTCTAGTATTCAAATGCGCGAAGTCGGACAGTTTCGCTCTTGATCTTGCAGAAGAGCTAAACTCGTTATTGTCGTCGGTTGTCAGTGGGATCTTGGTAGATGTAGAAACTTTAAACGCCATCGCTTCATCTAGATTTTCGTGAGACCGTGTCTGCCTTGGGAGGCGATGTACCTTAGGCTGGGATTATCAGCGCGTGTTGACCTTTGATTCATGGTTCGAAGTTTGCCATCCTGGGGTCCACATTGAAAAATCGGCCTACCAGGTGTGGAGGCGGCCCTCCAGAATGGTGCTAATAGAAGTCGAAACGAGTGCCTAAAGTCTACGGGACGATCACCATGCGAGGCTCTCAAAGGTTAAGCGCGATACAAACTCGGACATTCTAGGTCTAACAAGTCGGCATAGATCTTTGGACTGCACCGTTACCCGATGGATGGTTGACAAGTTGATGAGCGTGTGGCAGCCACACACATTCTCCTGAAATCGCAGCCTTGTTCTGAAAGTATGGCCTGCTGCCGGGTGTCATGTTCACCACCCCTTACTGACCCACATTCATTCTAACTTTTCTTTTGTGGATTGTTTTTATATTTCAGGTGTGATTTTAGATGGATCCATTCCAAATGCTGCCATGGCCTCTTTTTTTGCGACCTCCGGATTAATCTCCTTGATCTTGTCCTTTAAGCTATTTTGAGTCTGCAAAAGATTATTGCCCACATCCGCCCAGCTTAGCGTTGCAGCATCCACCCCAGCGAATTTGCCGTCCTCCGTTGAAACCTGTACGGGAAGAATTTTCCCATCTATTTTTCTCAAGATGCCGTCCACAAACGTCATAACAATGTCTCCTGGCGTGGAATGCATGACTATCGCAGTGATGGGATCAAGCTGTGCGCCACAAATCATGGAAGGGCTTACTGCGTCGAAAACGATAATATCAGCCTTCTTTCCAACCTCTAAGCTTCCAATGTCTTTCTCCATTCCAACAGCTCTGGCTCCATGGATGGTACCGAGAGCATAAGCTTCCTGCACGGTGTGATTGAGTTTAGCTGCCATCTTGCCGACGGCTTGGAATTTTCCATTGTAGACGGCTCGGCTGTTTACCAGCGCAGCTCTCATCTCGCCAACAATACTGGCAAGAACAACGTTGTGGCAGTCAACTCCAAGAGCCGAGCAGGACTGTACGTCGCGATCAGCGTCAAAACACACGGGCACTCCCATACCCATTTGTAATTCCACGGAAGGAGTCGAGGAGAGATACGCTCCGTTTTCTTTCACGAACTTGACATCATTCTCGGAAAGGAAATTAGCATGTGAAAGTATGACACTTGACTTTGGAGATAGAACACCACAGGCATGCATAGTTTCAATGCTGGTTGGCCGCCCTGGAAATGCTCGTCAGCGTCTGCTATTGCTCTGAATACTAAACCTCCCTAATCAAGGATTGTTGCTGCACTGACCGGGAGGTGAGGCACCATTATGAGTTGTAATGTGCCTAATACCAAGACCTCTGATATCGTCGAACAACGACTTAAGCATGTCGTGCGGTAAAAACCACCCATCAAAGGCAACACCTAAGGTCACCCTGCCATTGCCAAATGGAGCCGAAGCTGCTAGGTCTTTGAGCGCATCAAGTGCAAAAGGTGCGATGAAGCTTTGATTTAAGGCAAATGGTGACCATGAATCAACCCGAACAGTGAAGCAGTATCCGTAAACTGAACGAAGACCGGATGCGACTGTAGCCGCAATAGCTGCCTTTGCTGACAAGGCATTTCCACATTAGTCCACAAGCATATCAAGCGAGCGACGGGGAAGACCGTACGATGATCTTCTCCATAGTTCAGATGCGAATGATCAACCACTGTTGTCGTCCCGGAATTAATGCACTCTAACGAACTTGCTAGTTGCCCCCAGAATATGTCTCGTGGCTTAAATGTACCACCTTGCAAGATACCTTGTGTCCATCGGATGAAGTTAGAGGGGTTTCAAATGTGCAACGCGATAGAACTCACCCTTCACGAGGTAGTCATGGAGGAGATCATTTCCGTGCATTCCTCTCAGGGCAGTGTTGTACATATGCCGGTGTGTATCAATGAACCCAGGTGCGATGATTTTGTCACTGCAGTCGATCACGTCTGCACCTGTAGATGGTGTGATGTCTGGAGCTATTTGGGCGATCCTGTCACCATCAATGAGGACGTCGGACTTGACGCCTCTGGCATTGTCATCAGCATCGTGAACAATAACAACGCCATTCTTGAGCAGTGTTTTCATAGACATTGTCCGTTGCTTGTGGAGAGCGTTTTTGTCAATCCCAAGGCGGTGCTTTCTAGTTATCCCAGGCAAGGAGTTCTTTGACCTTGGCCTGGACGAGGTGACGAGGTAGCTTTTCACTATCTGCGATTCCCTCCTTGCTTTGACATATGATTGCCTAGGGACAAGATTCCCCTGTTTGCTATGTCTTGTGAATTTATGATTTGCGGGGTTAACGACTTTTGCAATAATGTATCTCCATGCAGATCTTACACTTCGCATTAGTTTGTGCGAGGCCTCGACTCAGTATTGCGGAGATCAGGAAGGATGGAGCAGTGGGGAGTAGGACTGTTGCCCTGATGGGCTTGACTTCAAAGTGAAACTTAGGCACGGGGTAGCCAATGTCGTTTAGGCGGCCTCAGCCCTCAGCCCAATCGGGAATATTTGAGGTTGTCCGTGCACGTGAGCGCAAGAAGGAAATGCAGGAAAGTGTTCCGCTCTACATCCCGTCCTTCTTCCAGCTCTGAGTGGAGGAGGGTGCAGAGCACATGAACGGGCTGGAGCGTGGAGATCTGATTGAAGTTGTTCTCTCGCTTCCGAAATCGACTTGGATACGGAGTACTCCCAAGAAAGCTATGACATTATAAGTCGCCAGGTCTACTGCCTCGGTTGTTGCGGCAAGTTGAACGCTCGGAAAATCCAATTCCTACGACAAACGGAGGATTTTCCGATGCACACCTAATATGTGCTTGGCACCGAGTGTTCATCAAGATAAAGGTTGAATTCTTGAAGTCCTACCTGGATTATCGATGTATGGAGCCTCAGGCCGATCCTCGCGCCCAGATACGGGATTCCCGGATTCGGGAAAGCTAGGCATATTCCAGGCCGTGGAGGACTTACTTGTAGGTGTCCAACTGATTAACCGCCTCCTTGATGCCCTCTTATCTGTCGTAGGTAGTTGTCCGTTACATTTAAGTTGTGGGCCAGCTCATAAGTTGGCAGATGGCGAGATTAAACAGCGATAGGATGTGTATGCATGTTGTCACTGGTGGAGAAGAGGAAATAAATTGACTTGAGAACGATACCATATCGTTTCGCACCCTGTCTAACGGGCATGTAACAATGTACTTGTAGGTTATCTTGTATAATCAACACGCTCGACACTGAGAGAACAAGTGCTTAGTATGTTCAGCTGACACTTCATCCTTAGGCATTAATACCACCTCCTCATATCATCACTTTCCGTTCACCTCAGAGGGGAATAGCGATGACAGTTTTGACCACCCTCCAACCACCCCTAAGCCTGTCGGGTAGCGCATATTCTTCGCCCACGTATAATCCTTGAGGGTTTCGATGCAGTGCTCACGCCCGTACCCGCTAGCTTTTGTGCCACCGAACGGTGTCCCTAGCGCCATTCGGTTATAATTGTTCAGAAACAGCATACCTGCGTCGATGTGGCGTGCGACCCGCATGGCCTCGGTCAAATTTCTCGAGAAGACTGCACAGACTAGCCCGTACTCGACTTCGTTGGCAATTTCGATGGCCTCTGTAGTCGTCTCGAATTTGATGACCGTTACAACAGGACCGAAGATTTCCTCTTTGGCGATGCGCATGTCTCTCGTGACCTGTGTGAGGATAGTTGGTTGGATATAGAACCCGTTCGTTAGCCTTGGATTAGTAGGAAGTGGTGCTTGTGCCTCTATCTTTGCTCCCTCAGCGAGACCAATTCGAATGTATTCCTCGACCCTTTGCTGATGGGCTTTAGTGACCACAGGGCCGACGTGAGTCTGCTCGTCGGCACCGTCACCAACTTTCAAGCGCCTCACTGCGGCTGCTAGCTTACTCACAAATGAGTCATGCAGTGAGCTGTGGACTAACAATCGGGAAGAAGCAGTGCAAGCCTCGCCCTGGTTAAAAAAAGCGCCGTCGACTGCATTTCGTACCGCTAGATCGAGGTCTGCGTCTTCCAGGACTAAAAGGGCGTTTTTACCACCAAGTTCGAGCGTCAGAGGAGTGATTCCGTCAGCTGCAAGCTTACTGACCGCAGCGCCTGCTCCTGTTGATCCAGTAAAACTGATCTTTTTAACCTTTGGGTGTGTTACCAGTGCCTGCGGTACGTGTACACCCGTTGCGGGCACCGCCTGGATGACGCCAGGAGGGAGAACTTCCGATACAATTTCGACCATCCGCATTACAGTCAATGGCGCTTGGTCTCCCGGTTTAATTACAATCGTATTTCCCGTTGCTAGTGCCGGCGCGCTCTTACCACCGAAATGAATCGGTGGCCAGTTGAATGGGAGTATAGCACCGACTACACCGTAAGGCTCGCGTAGAACAGTCGCATATATAGCACCTTGATCGTATACCTCATTGGGTAACTTGTCGATAAGAGAGGCGAAATACCGATAAATGCCGATCACAAAAAGCACATCACCTTCTCGTGCTTGAGAAACTGGCTTTCCGTTTTCCAGCGATAGGAGACAGGCGAGCTCGTCGAAGTGTGCCTCAAGCCTGTCTGCGGCTTTCAAAAGAAGTCGTGCCCGTTCGAATGGAGATCTCCATCTCCAATCATTATGGAAAGCATGGTCTGCTGCTTCAATTGCTTGCTCGATTTCAGCAATCCCGCCTCCTTGGATAGTCGTGATAACCTCGCCATTCGCAGGATTGTGGACGTCAAAGCAGTCCTTTGGACTGTCAGAAGAGTATTTAAATCTGGTCAGTGCCTTGTACTTTGGGACCCCCATCTTGGAAATTCTGATTCTGCCACTACCCTTTGCTAAATGGCAAGAAATAGCAGATGGCTAGGATTTCTTCCCGCGGGCAGCATTTTCCAGATATCCAGTGTAACTTAAGTAGTGGTACCACAAGCTGGCAATGCTGACTGAAGTTAGAAGTAAAGATATGCTTTTACCTGCATGCATAACACTGCATAGCGACGTAGTTCAAGGAGAGCACGTGGACGGATTGAATGCTTCACGTGTTTTCCGTGGGCTTAGCTCCATACCGGCCGTTTTCCTGTGGAGTCTCCGCTTTCTATTAGCCTTTCTTGGTGTGGAAAGGAGGGGAGGATAGAGAGGAATGGGGAGATTTAATTATCCAGTCAGGCTCACCTATGTCAGTATATAAGCCCGCCATATCAGGAAGGGATATCTACGCATGCCATTCGGCGTAGAATTTCCTGTAAAGTCCCAAGCAGCATCTAGACGACCACAATGCGAGGCAAAATTATACTTGAAGAGCATGTTGGCATGCCGGAGGACAATCCGGTCGAGAGACTACGGCTTGCATCGCGAAATTCGGAAGATCTCGCCAAGGCACTTCTTGAGATTCATGGGGCTCGACTAGACGAGATGAACGCTAACGGCGTGGAGATGGCAATAATGTCCCAAAATCCTCCTGGTCCCCAAGGCATCAGAAATCCAAAAGCTGCTGAAGAATATGCTGTGCGGTCAAACAACTATATCGCAAACCTCGTCGACAAAGCGCCAGAGAGATTTTCAGCCTTTGCTGGTGTCTCGATGCATGATCCAGCTAACGCTGCCGCTGAGCTGACGAGGTGTGTAAAGGAGTTAGGTATGGTCGGCGTCATGCTACACGACGCTCAAGAGTATCTTGATGCCGATGGAGCAGTTAAGGAACAGTTTTATGATGATCCTAAGTATGACACCTTTTGGGCGACCGTTGAATCGCTGGATGTCCCAGTTTACCTCCACCCTAAACCACCAATACCACAAGAGTTTCTACGGCTGTATAAGACCAGGCCGTGGCTTGTGGGACCCACCTTCAGCTTCACAGTTGACTCGAGTTTTCATGCGTTGGCCATGTGTTCCAGTGGATTGTTCGACCGATTTCCGAAACTTCAAATGATTTTGGGCCATATGGGTATTCTACCACCTCTTCTTTCCGGATCAGTATGTTACCAGAATACTAACCAGGCCAGGCGAACTTCTCCTAGGCCAACTCGGCCGGATTGACCACTGGCTCGAAAAAAGAGATCGAGGACGAGGCCTCCCTGCGAAGAAGACGCTTCGTGAATATCTAGAGAGTAATGTCTCGATCACCACCGCTGGATATTTCTGCACACCGCCACTCCTAAACGCAATCACCGAAATTGGTGTTGACCGTGTCCTATTCTCCGTAGACACGCCTTATGAAAATATTACGGAGGGATCAACGTGGTTCGATACGCTCCCCGTTAATCAGGCCAGCATCGTCAAAATGGGCAGAAACAATACTTTGAAGTTATTTCCACGACTTGAAGGTCGTTTGCGCTCTTCGGAGGTTGAGAAGCTTCAAAAGGATAGGAGCCGCGTGCTGTTCACCACGAATCCTGGGTTCGAAATACCAGTCGAGACCTGTCCACGGACTGGCGGAGCAAGCATATAACAGGGTGTGCGACACTTTGGTCTCGGCCCATGATGACACCAAATGTGAATTTAAAACATTCGGAACTGAGACTCTGCGGACGCGAACATTTTTGGCAACCCTAGATACTGAGCAAGACCAACCGAAGGCCACACCCACCTGGTATACCGCGTTGTGGATACGTCAGCATCCCTCCGGAACAGGATTTCCGCTGCATTGGCTTCTCACGCCTGAACTAACCTTATCAGTGGTGCCAATAGGTTGAAGATTGCAGTTTGAACATATCGCCTTTCAGAATTCTCATCAACACGGCCGTCTAACTCTACTCGCGCTACTAGCGAGATGCTCCTGATGGCTAGAACTCTATGCATTAGCGTAATTCGCATCTTAGTACCGCGTGTTTGAAAAGGAGAAGAATTGACTCGAGATTTTCTCTTTTCACTGTATCTCGTAGAGTTGTGCTCAATTTACTCGAAGTGTCCTTGGCAATGCCACACGAGTCATGAGAATGTATCACGTGATCAAACTGCCTGTCATGGTGACGTTGCACGTACATACTCGTACAGTATCTATCTCCCTTGTGTGCCACCGCATTCTGACGTAGGCCGGCCTCGTGTGTTTACGCGTACCGAACCACTTAGGCACTTCATGCACTTACACAGCACATTACCTGAACTTTCCTACCATTAGAACTATCAAATTAACCCTTGCGCTTGCCGTTGCCCTCGGAGCAGCCCGTCTTAAGATGTTAGATCCCTGTTAATCTCACTTCAACACCTCGCACGTGTCGAACACAAATCGCAGGCAATGCAGGGCCTACCTCAACCTTCCATGGCTCAAGCCGGGCTGCTACCAGCCGATGAGGTTGGCAGGCTGATCGACCTTGTGCCTGTTGCCCTGAAGGAAGCCGCGGTCGATTCCCCTTCGGCACGCGCCACCGTCTTCCATTATGGAGAGCAGGTCGACCTGCTCGAGAAGTGGCTCGATGAATATGTGAAGGCCACAAGTCGACTCATCACCGAATCCTTGACTCTGGAGAACGTCCTCAATAACTTCGTCTCCCACTCTATCCTCCCCACCGCTCTCTCGGAATCTATGATGGACCACGATTATAGCGTTCTCGCGATGAAAAGGTGCGCAGATGGGGCCAAAGATTACTGGATGAGCATGATTGCGATGGTCAAGAGACTCAACTTTATGGTGATCGATCCCATCAGAAACTTTCTGCAATATGATCTTAGAGTGCTCAAGGAATCACGCCGGGCTGTTGACTCGACGCAGAAGACATTCGAACATCTCCAAGCAAAATATGCCGGGCTTGGGAAATCAAAAGAAGCATCTTCACTACGAGAGGAAGCTTTCCAACTACACGAAGCCAGGAAGCTATATCTGAAAGCAATGATGGACTTTATGAGCATGGCTCCGCAGTTTCGCTTCGCGGTGGACAAACTTCTGGTCAAACTATTCTTTGATCAGTGGCGAGAGATGCGTTTGTCACGGGATAATGCCTCTGCAACATTTCAGAGGGGTGCAGAAGAAATGCAAAGAGTCAAAGGTTGGCTGAATGAAATGGAATTAAGCGAAAGAACGTTTCGAAAGGAATTAATGACTGCGAAAAGGCAGTTGGAGGATGCTGCTGAACTACACACAAGGCCATCGAGGGACTTGGAAGACTATAGCCTCTCGACGGTTCCTCAATTTGGTGGGCATTCCCAAACAGCCAGTGTCTCTACTTTACCGCGGTCTCCTAAGAAGACGTCCTCCCAAAGCGGTGAAAAACAGGGCTGGCTCTTTCTCAGAACATACAGTGGAAAGCCGACAAGAACAGTTTGGGTCAAACGATGGGCATTTATTCGGAACGGTGTATTTGGATGGCTACTTCATGGTGGAAGGGCAGGAGGGGTGGAAGAAAGTGAGCGGATCGGTGTTCTGCTATGCAACGTACGACCTGCTCCTGCCGAAGAACGTCGATTCTGCTTCGAACTTAAGACAAACAAAAACACCATTCTCCTGCAAGCTGAAACACAGTCCGAGCTTGTCGATTGGATCGGAGCGTTCGAAACAGCCAAGTCGAGGGCCTTGGACGACCCAGAAGCGTCTAAATCGCTCCATGGGGGAGGAAATATACAAGCCAATGCCGCTTTCGCCATATCACCCCCTCCAGTCCCCGAATTTGGAACCTTCATTCTGAGTTCAACGGAGCCTGGTGCCGCAGGAGATGATATTGTTGCTCTAGAGAAGACACACACCCTTCCCGTCCCGGGGAATGAGCACTTGCGAGACGGAAGTGTGGACATTGTGCGCCGATCGACGGCGCTCGACGAAGGAAACCAAGGTGGCCACCGGGAGACTGCCTCTCGAATCATATCAAAGCTTGATCTGCACAGGAGAGGAACAGCAGGCCCTCAGATATCCCCAAGCTCATCAACACCAAATCTCCCTGCTGGTGGCATTGCCAGCTTGATCGCCGCCAGCCATGGATCAATGCCTGTTGGCCCAAGCCTACCAACGGTACATGGCACTGATTCCGAGGCACCCAAACCGAGAAACAACTTCACGCTTGCCTTGCGCGATATGCCACCAAGCACTCTCTCTCCGTCCACGTTAGCACCGTCCCCCCTTCAGACCAACCTCAGCAAATCGGCCGTAATAGTAACTGGCGAACGAGGACTAAGTCCAGCACCAGGCAAGACTGGCATTCCAACTAGCTTGCTTGCTAATATCTGGGGAACCTCCAAAAGTGCCATAATCAACAAACTGGATCGGGGAGATCCCAAGATTCTGCCAGAGCTAAAACTAGGCTTGCAACCGAGCCCTTCACTAAAGCCATCCTCCTTCCCACCTAAAACCACACCATCACCGCCCCGTGGTGCTATTTCTCATCAGAATGCAATATCCCAACTCGATCTTACAATCCCGGCGTCGTCGACTCGTAGTCGCACTCCCTCTCCCAGTAAGAGACACCGAAAAACCATCAGTGTTGATCGTGAAGGACTCAGGGAGATGCGCGCGGAGCTACTCGTTCCCGACTTTCCCGATTATTATCCGCTCCAGCTGAAGTCCCAAGATGCTCAGTTTCGCCTTCTCTTCCCAAACGTTTGCTATGACGAGCGGCTTGTGATGGTATTCAGAGCAACCTGGAACCCCAGCGAGCAACAGGACTTTCCTGGGCGTATCTATGTAACCTCGAGAGATGTGTACTTTTATAGTAACCATCTCGGTTTGGTTCTGACCTCGAGTGTTCCTCTCAGTTCCATTGAAGAAGCTACGGCAGCACCGGGCAAAGATTGTGATTTTATTTTCCTCCACTTGCGAGATGGCGGAGGTGATGGAAGCCCCCGAAGAATCACGGTCAAGACGTTTCTGGAGCCGCTGCGACTCTTACAGAGACGTCTCAACTTTTTGGTTAGAAACAGTACCAATAGTGAACCGCTTGGTCTCGAAGGGCTCATAAAGACTCTACTCAGGATGGAGACGGACGCTCCAGATCGTAGTCCGAGTCTAGAAAGCTGGGAAGATGTCTCTCCAAACACACCGGTTGATACTGGGGGCCCGCGCTATCGAGGTAGAGCTTCGACGCTTGGAACAGAAATGAAAACCCAGATAAGAGTTGACAGAGCTTTGCAGCAAGGGCCTCTCGGACGACGAGAATCCAAGTTTAAGCTCCCCGCACAACCTGTCAAGTATGTACCTGCAGGGAATCTTCGTCTGACCGTTGAGAGAGAATACGACATTAGCGCGAAAGCACTGTTCCATGTTGTTTTTGGTGACAAGAGCGCACTCTGGCAGTTGTTGCAACATGAACGTCGAGCTAGAAACTTGACGCAAGGTCCGTGGCTCAATCTCAGTGAAGGCCGCTTGCGAAGAGAATTCGCCTTCGATATCCCGACAAAAGCCCTTCTCGGTGGCGAAAACCTGATACAGGTTCGGGACTACCAAGTCGTGGATGTGAGTAACGATCACCTGTGTTATGTTGTTACAGATAAAAGAACTCCATGGCATCTTCCATACAAGAACAGCCAGCGACTCGTTAGCAAGATTGTTATTACGCATGCAGCAAAGGGCAAGTGCAAGCTCGCCATCTTCGTGAAGGTAGAGTGGCTACGAGCAGCTTGGATGTTAGGAGGTGTGATAGAAAGACAAGCAATGTATGATCTCGAACTGGACTCACAAGATCTGGCAGATCTTGTCTCGGATCAAGTCAGGAAACTTGGTGCACACAGCAGGACGAAAAAAGCCGTCCAAATCTTTGGCCAGGTTGGCCATTCAACAGAATCGACTCAACTACAAATCGATGCTTCTGCTGTCAATATTGAGCTCAGGCGACAGCCCGTATCAAGAACAATGACAGGCCTCATGATCCATACCGCCCTTTCAGCGGGAGAAAGTGCAGCCGGTACAATCTTACAAACGCTTCTGGATATCCTCAAGTGGCTCAGCAAGATTCTATCAGCCAACAAATTCATCTTGCTGGCCTTGATGTTTAGCGTTCTTTACAACAGTTGGCATACTTATCGAGACACATTGGGCTGGTGGCATGAACGCAGAGCGGGAAACTTCATGGCGCGACTTGGCATTTCCCCAGATGTTGTCATGAGTCGAGCCGTGTATTATGACGATCTGGACGAGATCCTTCATCAGAGCGGGAACATGCCGCCTCGCGACGCAAGCACATGCTATGCTGTCTTCTATGATGAACATGATCCGGAGCTGATGCCCAGCCGACCTGGGACTGAGGGTGCACGGATTCAGCAGACACGCCAAAGACTAGGGAAATATCGACATGACCTGTTCGTGGCAGTCCGGGTGGTTAACCGCGTTGAAAGGGAACTTGTGCAATCTGCCTGGCAGCAATGGCTGGTCGATGAGAATCGAAGATGCCAGGTGGTAGAAGGTTTAGTCTTGCACGATGCTGAACAAAACTCCACGGGGCATACTGCAGAAGTGCATAATTGGTATGATGAATACTGTACAAGCTGCCGCGATGAGTACCTCAAGCTCCGTGCATGAGTGGTTGTTGGGTCGCGGCACAGCGACCAAATTTTGGGGTACTTCAGCGGAACTCGGAGGATAAAAACGGCACGAGCGAATATACCCATACCCCTTTGATTATCAAATTTATCTTATGATCCACAGCTACTGCGATACTCTCTGTTCTTTGCTGCCTCCAACTCAAGCATGAACTAGGTGAATGATGCCATTCTGATATCGAAGTAAATTGTCGACTCGGTCTAGCTCAGCATCTTTTAACGTCTGCATTAGTTCCACTGAATCCCGTCTTGTAAGCCTCTCAACTAGTATTTAGTCATGGTTGACCAACTTTGCATTCATACCGACAACTGCTCTTGCAAGATCCCAATCACCCCCTAAACCAACCCAATCAGTCACCACAATACCAGTGCTCCAGTTACCATCCTTAACCCGGCCCCCGTCGCCCAGCTGATGGTTCCTGCACAAGTGCTCGGTGATCGCCGGATTGACCTCGGCCGCGATCTTCTGGGGCCAAGTATCGACCTTCCAGAAATTACTAGCGCTGAGGAAATTAACATGGAGCGGCACCTTCTTGCCCTCGGTCTTCTGGCGGTCGTTGGGGAAGAACGGACAGCAGCCGCTTCTCTCGAGATGATCACGTGCATAGGTGATCTTCTTGTCGATGGAAGGCCGCTCCAAGACTTCATAGAAGTCCTGCACGACGACGTCTCCGGAGGGGCAGGTCGCGTTGGGCGTGTTATCGGCCCAGTTCTGCGCGTCGATGCCGAGCCCACGTCCGTTCCACTCTTTTCTGAGTTCCTCCTCGAGGCCGAACCGTCTGAACAGGACGATTTTACCTCTCGCTTCGCCCAAGGTCGGCACGCGCGGCTCGGTGAACCATTCTCGGTCCTTGAGATAGTGGTTCTTCAGGATGCGAGACAATTGCTCGTCCGTGCCTTTCCCTGTGCCTTCTCGTTTCAATGAGAGGACCAGCGTCTCGGTTGGGTTGTCTTTGAGAAACCGGAGGATGTCGTTGTACAAGTCCCGGAAGTGTTTGTGGCCGGTCAGTGAGATGGGGAAGGCTGAATGGACGAGATTGAGATGGTCCGAACCTGCGTTGAAGGGCTCGGGCACTTGCACTCGGATGTCGAAGAAGCGGAATCCGTTCTTCAGCTGCTCCTTTGGCGACACGGCCTGGCATCGGACTGATGGAGGGGCTGGGTAGCACGTGGGAGAATTGTGGGAGCCGGGGATTGATAGCGCGCCTAGAGGGGTGAAATCTGGAATGTTTCTCATCCATGATTCTAGATTTGAGGTGTTGAACAATGTGACATAGGAGTGTTGCGTCAAGTAGATGCCCGTGAAGCGGTATTTGGGATTATCTGCCAGGGCGACTAATGAGGCTGTCTGCTGAGTCGGGACCGGACAGTAAAGCTGATGCTTGCCCCCGAGTTCGGTCCGGAAGGTCAAGCGCAACCTCTCATCTGGCTTGTTGATCGTGGCTCGAATATCGGTGTTCACGATCGAGAACGGCGGGAGTTTGATGTCGAGGTTTCGACTCTCGAACGGTTTGGCATCGGCATCGATTTCTGGGACGTCCTTACGGGTCCTAGTGTTGGTCAGGCCGAGAGTGTTGGTGACGTTTCCCAGCGCCATGGTGACATTGCTCATCAGCAAGTCACCTTTCTCTTCCCTGTGAGGCTCGAAATGTTCAACCTGCACGAGCGTCAATGGATTATTGCTGATGTTTCGGATCGTGACGTTGGGAGCCATGGTGAGATTATTGCCTGTTTTTGGCTGATTGGTGATAAGACCAAGGAGTGAAGAGAAAGGTGATGGCACCGGCATGATTGAAAGACGAGCTCTAGGATATGTACCCACTACTTTTGGAGCTGAGGGAAGCTAATGCTCCAGGTCCCAGCTGAGTTTGAGCCCTAGCTGAGTTTGATCTCGAACTCTCTGGGGCTGAAGCATCAGCTTGTCAGGCTCTGCAATGGAGGGGGTTCGCGGGGGCAGGGCAGTTTTGGCCATGGCCAATCGAGTCGACGTTCGCGTAGTTTCAAACCAGCGGGTTGTCTCAAGCGGGATTCGGATGTCCGCCTTTGTTCACACCACTATTAAAGTGCTTATCGTTCATCCTACCGCTTACAAAGTTCAAAGTAGACATTGTAGCCGGAGCCCCTCGCTTCCAGGCAGGCTCAATGCCACGTGGAAAGGCTACTTCGCGCAGTCCGCGGGGGGTTCATAACAAGGCTTTGGGCTTAAGACGTAGGACTTGCGAAGCCACGCTTCCGTGATCCGAAGTTCTCACCACACTGGAATTCATACGGAGCTCACTTACGTGTCAATGATAGAATGGCGTCTAGAATAGACCTGAAGCTTTTACTAGCCCTCTGGTCGCCGAATACTGACTGCCAAGCTCGCTGACGTGGATGAAGAGTCGGTGAACTTCATGTGGTCGATTCATGACTGCAGGAGACTGAAGCCAACGTGGTTCGTTGATGTTGCTTAAACAAAGGCAACGCTAGGGTTCTACGGAATGATCCGAGCAAGGCGCATTCTATCAAACGCAATGGTGTATGCCTTGACTGTGTCGATGGTCTCATCAAACCCCACCGCACGTGCAGCACTCACATCGTACTGACGATCAAAGAATGCCTTATCCATCATAACGTCGAGGAAAGGCCAGAAGAATGCTTCAATGCGACTTGGCTTCAGCCCCTCTCTTTTGACCAGCTCATCCCAACCCCCGATATGCCTTCGAACGAAATCTGCTGGGGGTTCAAAAGCTCCCTGAGGGCCAATGCCGTTGAGCCCAAAGTAGGCCGTGATGGGCGTCCATTTATCCGCCCATGTGATCACATCTCCGTTGACGATGTTGAATGTGCGACCGGAGCCGCATTTCTCTGGGTTCAAGGCAGCGAATATCTCCGCGCGAGCTGCGATGTCCTGGAAAGTGTCGGTGTGCTTGTGTCGATAGCCATGTTCAGCCCCGGGATAGGCGACCGTCGCTCCCTTTCCATGGACTTCACGATAGAGGGTCAAGTAGAATGCAAGGCCTTGGGCTATGTTCATTGCATTTGTCCCTGGGACAAAACCTATCATTGCATCAGGTCGGATCTCGGTGAAGGTCCATGAAGCGCCCTTGGATAGTGCTTCAAGCACATCATACTGATGGTAGTAGAAGATGTCGTCAGCAATCGGTTTTGGCACTCTCGGGTACGACTCTTTGAGTGGAGGTATAATCGTGACGAGATCGGGTCGTTCTGACTAGATAAGCGGGTGCATCGATCTCGCTCTGTTGTTGCTTACCAAGGCCATACGATTTTCCACCAGTTTGAAGGATGAAGCTCTTGATCACCAGAGACACTTGTTGCATGGCCTCAACGGCGGCTCTGACTAGATCGGTGTTGACTTTAGCCAATGTTTTCTTGTCTTTCCCTGGATCGAGATACAGGAACAGGAAGACATGAGAGACCGTCTCGATGCTTGGAATGTCATTCAGCAACGAGACGATGTTGGCTACTGGGCTGGTCAAATCAACCCCACTGACCAACTGAAGCCGTTTGTCTTCTGGCCAGTGACTATCCGATAAGGAAAGAGGTCGATTTGTGAGTGCAGTGACTCTGGAAATTGCCGCAGCATTCGGATAGCTTAGAGCCTCCTTCACGAGGGCCCATCCTGATATGCCCGAGGCACCGAACACAAGTGCGTGGTTTGACATGGTCGAGGATTTGATGATCGACGAAACGCAGTCTTACCTTTTCTTTCGTCCTTTTATAAACAAACTCACGGACGAAGTGGTCCGTGATAGCCAACAGGCATGCGAGTCTGTCCGTGGCATCTTCGAAAGGAATACTCAGGACTCCCGTTCGATTGTCGAGACTGCCAAATGCGGAAGGTGGAGAATTTTGAGAAAGCATTGCTAGATGGATGCGCAATCACCAAGTGGTGGAATGTTGCCGGCACCTGTTGGGAGGGAGTATGGTTTTGCGCTGTTTGCCCCGGCCGAAGGACATTCCTTACCTTGCAAAGCGTGATCATCGTACAAGTGGCTGTAATATGAACCCAAACGACAACGTCCGCCCTGTTTAGTAAACGGCTTGGGTCGCAGACCAGGGACATGGAGGCTTGCCACATTCAACGGTGGAGCCATAAGTATGGCAGGTTTTGCATAACGAAGTAAGTCTGGGATGAGTGAGACTATTACAGCCAAGAAACAAGGAACTCATATGAGCAATAAAGATTTGTGAACAATGATATGATGAGGCATGCATGGCAAAGAAGATGGAAGTTTGCCGTAACAGATCGATGTTGAAGTCAGTGCCCAAACACGCCGAGCCCGCGAAGCTGTTAGAGCTGGGTAGCCCCGCGCCAAGACCAACTTCCGCAATATATATATTTTTATCGCTCATTTTTGATCACAAATCAGTGACAAAAAGCCACGTGGCGCAGTGGAAGCGCGCCGGGCTCATAACCCGGAGGACATTGGATCGAAACCAATCGTTGCTACTATTTGACTATTTTTGCGCTCTATCGAAAATCTCTTAGTTGAAAGGCGCACACTGACTTTTCTGGGATCTGCTGTTTTTTTGGTGTGAGCAACGTGTTCGAATCAGGTACTGTGTGGTTGAGGCCTTCCAAGGTTGACTTGGGCGACTCTTGGCATCTCCAGTACGGAGCACTCCGTATGTTGCCTGCGGTGGTTGTCGCTGCTTCAATATGGATTTCATTATCTGATGGGATGCCTTATCATGATACTCAAGTGTACGTAGAATAGGCACTGGAGCTGAGGTCCTTGGATGAAGAGCTATGAACTTATATTCCCTGGAAAACACATTCTTCGTATGTCTCATTGCGAGTACAGCAGGTGATACGAATGCTATGGTTTCCATTGACTTCTCCTGCACGAGCAGCAGTGCAGCAGTGCACGGGTAGCAGGACTGAGTGTCCTCTAGAAGATCCAAGAGTTTCAAGTTTGAGATGGGAATCTCAATTTGAATCTCCGGCTTAGTCATGACCAAAGGCAATGGTCAGTTTGGCAGGCACGACCTCGGCCTCCACGTCATTCGTCATTCGGAGATGGAGTGGGACAGCATCGAAGTGCGCGGTCGGTTAGACACGGCTGTTTTCATTCCTCCTCCTCGTCAATCTCACAGACAAAGCTTGCCTCAAATACTTCGAAGGGGGAGGCATTTGCAGAGAAATCTCTGTAATTGTGAGACCGTCTCCTCCATATTGTCAACATGAAGTACATACCTTCACCTCAAGCCCTACGGCTGATGCAACGCATGGTCCGAGGTCCTGTCATTCGTCCTCGAGCGTGTAGCCCTTTCCTGCCCCTCGCTCGACACTTCCATGCTTCTGCTCGATGGGAAAAAACAGAGAAACACGTACTCTCGGATATTGGAGAGGGCGTCAAGGAAGTTCAGATCATTCAATGGTTCGTGGAAGAAGGTGCTCCTATTGAAGAATGGAGTCCGCTCTGCGAAGTCCAGAGCGACAAGGCCTCCGTTGAGATTACCTCAAAGTACAGTGGAGTTATCAAGAAGATCTATTTCGGTCAAGACGATGTTGTACAAACTGGTGATACACTCCTCGAAATCGAGGTCGAGGGAGACGCCGAGTCGGAGCAACCTTCAGAACTAGAGGCAGGACCCTCCGAAGCAGTTGCATCAAGTGATGCTGTCGAAGCGAAAGCAGCCGTCCCAGAACCAGAGCCAGAAATACAACAACCTGGAAAGCATGCTTCGTTGGCTACACCAGCTGTGCGCGGTCTCCTTAAAGAGCATGATCTGGCGATCGAGGATATCACCGGCACCGGTAAAGATGGCCGTGTCTTGAAGGAAGACGTGTTCAAGCATCTCGAGGGAGGCTCGCAACAGTCCAAGGTCTCGTCTACTTCTATCTCAAAACCAGCAATTGAAGCTAAGCAGACCGAGACTGCACAGAAGCTCACGCCCGTCCAATCGGCAATGTTCAAGAGCATGACAGGGTCATTATCTATTCCCCACTTCCTCTTTTCCGACTCTGTCGACCTCACCACGTTGTCCTCAATGCGGTCACAGCTGAACAGTCTTCGAAATCCAGGCACTACGCCGAAATATTCATACATGCCATTCATGATCAAAGCTGTCTCGCTAGCCCTCAATCAGTATCCTCTCCTCAACGCGAGACTAGACCTAACAGCTGACCCAAAGAAACCTCAACTGATCCTTCGCTCCGTCCACAATATTGGCGTGGCAATGGATACACCTAACGGACTAATCGTACCGGTCGTCAAAGCAGTCAACGCTCGATCAATCACTTCGATTGCTGAAGAGCTCCAGAGACTCGCGCAGTTAGGTCAAGCGGGTAAACTCAGCAATAACGACCTCACCGGAGGCACTATCACGGTCAGCAATATCGGCAATATTGGTGGCGAAGTCGTCGCTCCTGTTATTGTCGAGGGTCAACTTGCCATCATGGGAGTGGGAAAAATCAAGACCGTCCCCGTATTCGCCAATGATGGAGTCACCGTGAAGCCTGCATTACAGGCAAACATTAGCTGGAGCGCCGATCATCGCGTTGTTGATGGGGCTACGATGGCGCGTATGGCTACAAAGGTGCAGAAGTATCTCGAAGAACCTGGCACAATGATTGCAGATATGAGTTAAAGTGGGTTCCCCCTAAGATCCTACATTTGCACTCTAGGCCGGCCCAGCCTCTGGTGTCATAGTCATTGAAACATGACCCAAAAGCGCCGACTCTGGTTGATAAAGAACTATGCCAGTGAATGGTCCCGAATCTGGTCAACGAGTCTGTGCAATATCCAGTCGCAAGCTACAGATGCGGCCAATGGATGAGACCGACAACCTAGGTGACCCGACGTCGCGCACCGAGAAATGCTACCTTTGGTGAGCTATTGGGACGACAGTCTAACGAGACGAGTCATGTTGCGGTACACCGCGTCACCGTCATATCAAATTGGCACACGCCATTGCTACCATGCGGTCGACCTAATCCCTCCGGAGTTGCAGTTCAAAAGCGCGGAGGGGCTCAGCCACGGTAACATAGGACAGAAGGACTACAAAACACCTGATGGATGGTATAGGATAGCCAGGCCAGACATGATTTGGAGTAAAATTAGGGTTGATCATATTGGTGTGTTGTTACAGCGAGCAGTAGATCTAGACAAAATGGTATTATAGGAGGCTCGCAGAGTTTCGCGAAGAGTAATGGCGCACTGGCTGTTCAACTACCCAGCATAGAGAGAGAATGACGGGATCAACGGTAATTGACCCATTCTCTCTTCCCTTGTGCCTTTTGATAGCCCTCTCGAAACATTCACACCCTGCTCGGTGCTTTAGGCAGCACCTCCCTCAGTCAGGACCCGCGTCCAATCGAACTTGTGCCACTGCTTCCTAAACCCATCGACCCTGTTATCCAAGCCTCGATGCCACCGTCCCTGCCTTTTGATTACATCGGGCTCCGACCCTAACATGCCACCGATGATCTCACGTGCGAAGAGGTCCCCTCTAGGCCACCGATCACTCTCCTCCACGATATGTCCCGCCCCGCCATCCAACTCAAACCAAACGTGGAAATATGGCATCTCCTTGACCAGGCTCCGGCGGAACGCGGCCTTGCCCAGCCCTTCTTTCTTCGCCTTGGCCAGCGTGTCAACAATCTTCTTATGCTGGCTCCACTCGCTCTCGGCGTTGAGGAATGCCTCGCGGAAGAACGCCGGCGCCGTCTCCCCCAGACTATATGGCAGTGGCACGGCCGCCATCGCCGCGTGCGGTTTGCGGTGAGGGAACGCGGCATTCTCGTAGAAAATTACGTCGCGCCCGCTCGCGTGGTAGAAGCGCGTGAGTGATTTCATGAAGTTCCGGATCTCCTCCCACTCATCGTCGTCGCATTCTAGGAGGTTCGTGTGGTGCTGTGTTGGGATGATCATCGTGCTCAATGGAGCAAGCTCCGGTTCGGTGGGTAAGGTGAGATAGGTGCGAGTTCCCAGAGACACGACGGGCGCGATGGGTGGATTGTCTGTGTCTTCGTGGTGGCAGAGCGGGCAGTTCTCAAGGATCCGGTTGAGTTTTTGATACTCGGCGATGGCGACGTTGCGCAGGTTGGCATCGGATTTGTGGACGCGTTTCGCTAGCTTCGCCGCGTTCTCATCTAGGTATTCTAGGTCGTTGTCGAACTTGCCGTCCTTGGCGATCCGTTCCGCCAGACGTGCGCCGTCACCACCGGCTTGTCCTCGTGTGCGCCGCTCTTCGCGGACCATGTCTTCAATGGTCATGTCTTCGTTCTCTTCGACCTGGCCGCGTTCCTCTCCGCGTCGGGTTTGGACGGCTTTGACTTCGTTGCGCGGTGCCGATGATAGCATGCGGTTGTCCATTGCCGAGAGGTTTATGATGGTAGGGTCTTGTTGAGAGTAGCTGTTCAATGCGTCGTTGTATTCTCTTTCCAGTTGGGAGGTCTTGGGGTCCTTCCTCAAATGTGCTTTCATAAGTTGAGCTTTCATTTTGTTGAGAGCTGTTTGGTCAATCTTGGGTCCTGAAGGTGCTGATGCAACCGGGATCTGCTCGGCCAGATTGTCTGGGCTTACATATGCGTCTCGGGCGTGGAGTTCGTGCCGTCCAGCATCGAGCTTTCGCTCTTGGTAGAGCTCTCCACTGGGTTTGTCTTTGCCGACATAATCTTTTCCATAGGACTTACGCCTGTCAAGTTCAATCTCCTCCTCTCGAGCCTCGTCGAATTGGCGAAGAGTATCATAGCGTTCAAGTGCGACATGATCGATTTTCCGACCGGACTCGTTAGCCTGTCTATAGACAGCCTTGAGTTTTGTCATGCGCCACTGTGATCCTGCATCGCCAAACGTGTAGTCCACTTGGTCAACTGGCGTCTCATCTTCGAGATCATCCATATTTCTGCCTGCCTGCAGATCTCGCAGATGATGGTTTAGTTCCTTCTCGTGAATCTTCAGTTCAAAGTCTGCGCCTAAAGAAGAGGTTTTCGGGGGTGAGGGCTCTGGCTTCTTTCTCTGGACATAGTCGACATCGAGCGCTGATGGGGCCTCCATCCAGGAATCGCGCTTTAACTCTGTGGTATCTGGTTTCGACACTGGCTGTTTGTCTGTGGTATTGTCCTTGTCGTTGTCATTGTCAGCGCCGTTTTCTTCCCCTCTGCTCCGGCGGTGGTGTCTATGCCTATGACTATGTCTGCTTTCCGACGCATCATCATCTTTTGAATACCTCTGTCGCTTGGAGCGATGGCTGTCTTCATCGTCGCGCGTGTAGCTGTGTCGAGAACTTCGATGGTGATGTCGGTGGTGTTTGTGGCCTGACCGATCAGAGTCTTTCTGTCGCTCTCGTCGCCTTTCTGTTTCCTTTTGCTCAGCGAGCTCGCGCTCAAAATCTTCGAGAGCCATGGATATAGAGTGAGGTGTAATTCCAGGGAGTTCTTGTAGTGATGTGAACGTAGCTACCGAGAAGTGCGCCAGCAATTGAAGTAGTGATGGAGGCGGAATTAATCTGGAGGGAAGTGCGTCATTGCCGCTGTCGCGCCTGCCTCTTTTATGTCTACCCAAAGTACGGAGTATTTCCACCCCTCCTCTTTTTGCATGCTGCAAAGAAGAGAACTTATCCATCAACACAATACTACTTCTGACTGGGCTTTGACATGATGTCGACCTCTCCAGTTGCCGTGGTTTGCATTGGGATGGCCGGTAAATATATACATTTGTGGTTCACATGCCTGGGATCGACTGACAAGTGCTCAGGATCCGGGAAGACGACCTTCATGCAAAGAATCAACAACTACCTACACGTCAACAAGACCAAACCCTATGTGCTGAACCTTGACCCCGCTGTCACTCATGTCCCTTTCCAACCAAATATCGACATTCGAGATAGTATAAATTACAAGGAAGTGATGAAACAATACAATCTCGGTCCAAACGGCGGCATCCTGACCTCCCTCAATCTCTTCGCAACCAAGATCGATCAAATTATGGGCTTATTAGAAAAGCGTGCCAGTCCACCTCCTGACAGCAACATCACACCTCCAAAACACTTCTTGATTGATACACCGGGTCAGATCGAAGTTTTCGTCTGGTCAGCCTCTGGCAGCATTCTACTTGAGTCACTCGCTTCTTCATTTCCCACTGTCATTGCTTACATTATCGACACACCACGCACATCCTCTACGTCTACATTCATGTCTAATATGCTTTATGCTTGCTCTATACTTTACAAAACTAAGCTTCCCATGGTCCTTGTGTTCAACAAGACGGACATCCAAGATGCCGAGTTTGCGAGAGAGTGGATGACGGACTTTGAAAAGTTCCAGGACGCACTTCAGGAAGAGCAGACGAAAGGTGTATTTGGTGGCGAGGGATACGGTGGGAGTGGATACATGGGAAGCTTGGTTAACAGCATGAGTGTGATGTTGGAGGAGTTCTACTCACATCTAAACATGGTAGCGGTATCAAGTATGACGGGTGAGGGTATTGATGAGTTCTTCGAGGCGGTGGAAGAGAAGAGAAAAGAATTTGAAAAAGACTACCAGCCAGAACTAGAGAAGAGACGAAAGGAACGACAAGATGAAAGCGCAAGCCAACGAGCGAATGACCTGACCAAAGTAATGAGAGACATGAACATGGATAGCAAGTCGAAGGCAACACAAAGATCACCTGCCGAAGAGTCTTCTGAAGAGGAAGACGACGACGCAAATGATCCAGACAATTATCCTGATGCTGAGCGGGAGGGGGATGATGAGGAAGGTTTAAAGAGGAGATATCAGAATGCTTTACGAGAGCAGGGAATTCAAGTTGACGATGATGATCCAACTGTGGCTCAGATGCTAGCACAGGCTAAGAGGACCATTTAGAGAGAACTCTGTATCTGTCTGTACTCCGTACAGAGCACCAGCAGAGGACCCATACTGTGGGAGGAAAGACTACTATTTTGCATAAGATACCCGGGACAGCGTGGAGTTTGGGAATCCAAGACTTTGGAATTGAAACAACCAAGAAATAATTGTATTCTGTTAAAGAACGGCGAATCGAACGTGATCTGAATTGATGATAGTCCGGGGGAGTTGTTGGATTGATGATTTGGAGATTTCCAGCCCAGCCTTGTGGGAGTCCGCTTGGCAAGGCTGATGCTCGCCGCCAAGCCTCGTGATTTCACACAAACCCTACTTTCTTGGCATCGCTGCGACCTTGGGAGAATAATCCTATCGAACTTTTGTAGAGACAGCTTTTCGAGCCCGTTCAACCCACCACTCACCCTCCCAACACCACTGCTCAAGATGAAGTACATCTTTTCCGAGGAGCAGCTGGTTATCCCAGACGATGTCAAAATCCACATCCGCTCAAGAATCGTGACCGTTGAGGGACCTCGAGGTACGAAAGATCCGACTGCGTCGCTGTATTTATAGCGCAGCACCATTGAGCAATGCGAAATCCAGTGACTAACGGAGTTCCGTCTACAGGAAAACTGACAAAGGATCTGTCTCACATCGCCGTCACCTTCTCCCTGCCCAAGAGCAGTAAGGGCCAACAACTCGTCCGCATTGAGATCCACCACGGGTCTCGAAAGAATGTCGCAACTCTCCGAACCGTCAAGTCCATCATCCAGAACCTAGTCACCGGCGTCACCAAGGGCTATAAGTACAAAATGCGATACGTCTATGCCCATTTCCCCATCAACGTGAACATCGAGAAGAACAATGAGGGTCTCTTCCACCTGGAGATCAGGTATGAAACATTGAACCATGCGGGACAGTATAAGTATTTGGCTGACTCGGTGCGTTTTCATTCAGAAACTTTTTGGGCGAAAAGATCGTTCGACACGTCGACATCCCCGAGGGAGTCACCATCGAGACATCCAAAGGTGTCAAGGATCAACTCGAACTCACCGGTAACAGCCTGGAAGCCGTCTCACAATCCGCCGCCGATATCCAACAGATCTGCAGAGTACGAAACAAGGATATTCGGAAGTTCTTGGACGGCTTGTACGTGAGCGAGAAGGGCAACATCCTTGAGAATTAGACGTGGGGATAGTGTTGGCTTGTGGTGATGGTGATACATGGAGTTTTTCCCTTGCCATCTTACGTGGATGGACAGGGTCGTCGCGGCCCATCCAAGAGATATGCAAGCCCCGAAATCCAGCGATGATTGAGCATGAAATGTACCCTGTTCTCTTGATGCAGGTGAGGGTCGGAACAAATAAGGTCAAAGACGACCCAAAAAAGAACAGAGTTTTCCAAGGTTCACGAATTCCCTTCTCCATGAAGTGCGTGCTCACTATTTTTTTCCCGGCTGGCCGACCATAGCAGAAGGCCGGATCTGATCTATTCGCATCCGCTGAACCTGCGTCGTCAATGTCGAAGCCAACAATGCGAGCGAAGCTGCTGTAGCTGACATACAGAACGGTTTCTGTTGAAGTTGCCTCTTATTCCTGTGTGAATGTATCACTTACATACACCACATTACTTGTCCAGCGATTGAGATGATACAGTCGTCCCTGTGCGAGATGACAACCTTGCCCTCCTGATCATTGCTCTGCTTATCATTCAGTACCTTTCGCGTCTAGGTAATGAACTCTCTCCTGTATGAACGTGGCAGGCGGCGTTTCGGGTAATCCTCTCTTTACCTAATAGCAACCACCGATCCCATCGTGAATGTTGTTGCCTCAAACACGGGGCACGGGATTACCACACTAGATTCTCGTCTGCTTCGATGCCGTCGGCATTATCATCATTTCATGATTGTCATCATCTCCTACGTCCGCTCCAGCATCGCGAAGATGCGCACTACATCCTCATGACCACATTCAATTACAACCTGTATGGAGCTCATTTGAGATTTTCATCCCTGGACATTGATGTTCGCACCCGCATCGAGTAGTACTTGCATCACTTTCTGGCGGCCAGAGCTAGATGCAAAAGCAAGCGCAGTCCCTTTTGTCCCTGATGCTTGGATATCTGCACCAGCATCGAGCAGAATCTTCACTATTTATCCTAACCATACCTTGATACTGAGCATAACGCAGGAACTTCCTCTGTGTTGACATCCGCACCGCCATTGAGTAGCAGCTGTACCACTTTCTCATGTCCACAGGTAGCTGCAGCATAGAATGCGGTCATATGAGACTTGTTCTGTGCGTTCACACCCACGGCGAGTAGTGTTGTCCCCAATTTCTCATAGCCCCAGCCATTGGCACCGTATAGTGCTCTCTTGCTCTATTATCTCGTCCACATTGGGCATTGATGTCTTCCCTCTGGTCAAGCAGGACTTGTACTATTTTCGCATGGCCGCGACGGTATGCAGCCTGTAATGCATTGCCATATTTTTCACCATGGAAAATGGAAATAAAAACGGTAAGAGCAGGCGAAAGGTATGCTGGAAAGCGGTAGAGCACAGGACTGGCTTTCCGCAACCTGCAAAGCCATAGAGCTAGAGGAATGAATTATCCCGCCCAAGCCACTCACGGAATGCCGTCCTGCTGACGAGCCATTCCCGCGTTCGGTCATATCGCTGATCATGTGCGATGTTGTAGTCGATCATCGCATCAGGAGGTTTCAGGCAGTCCCGCTCACAGTTGGCAACGCTATATGCTTGTGCAACCTTGACAATGCTCTTGACCTCTTCGGTATTCGTGTCAAATATGCTAGAGTCCTTCACTTGCAGAATCTGGAGAGTCACAGAAAGATTCTGCTTGAAGTCGTCCACATCTGTGGTTATCTTGTTGAGAATGCCCTTGCAAAATGGATAAGCAGCAATTCATGATGAAAATTTTATTTTATTACCGAGATCCCCCTTAGAATGTTTCTCAAACTTTTGCTATCATTCTTGCAGCTCCTCAATGATGTCCTCTCATCTGGGGACGGACGACTTGATCGCTTTGATTATGTTCTCCTCGTCCGCGCGCCATTGGCGATTCTTGATCACTTCGCTGAGGACTAGAAGGCTCTGCAGAAGGGCCTCCGGCTTTTCGATACTCCGTGAAAGATCGGCGTGACGATGTCGGTAGTAGTTCACTAGATACTGTGGCTTGGAGGCCCAGCGATACCAGTCCCGCAACGGCGGTAGCGAAAGAAAGAGGATTAGTCATCCGGGGTCGAATACTTGTGGTCTACGGCGACTCGACCCGGGCGTTGCAATTTATTGAAAACTGCGCGTAAACGAGCGCATAAAGGGGGATAGGACGAGTCGAGAGATCAGGCTGATGGCTTGCTGGATTGGCTGATTAACTAAGGTTAGTATAACCTTAATTAACTAGCAACCCAGCAGGCACCCTATAATAGCTCTATATCCCACTATATCTGATATAGATTAGCTTTAGACGTGGGACTTGGCGGTCGCCCTTGCCCTCTGAGGACACGACTGCTCGATCTCGAATCTGAACTTTTTGTCAGAGCCCATGGGCACGTGTTCGAAATATCATACCGCTTGCAGCTCGGAGTTCTCTGAGATGTCGTTCTTCTCTGAGATCTGCCGGTATTGATTCTTGGAGACTGATTTCTCAAAACCTTCTCAACTTGCTGTTAAACTGTCCAGTAAGGTCAGAAAACCTTGCTAACTGCAGACATTGCTGTTGAAGTGGCCACTTAGAGGTAAGATAGCTACTCCGAAGTGGCCATCGATGGCGTTCCGCGTACTATTTCTGAATGAGCTCTGTGAATAAACAATTCTCAACTTTCAAAGCAAACTAGAAGCAATTGTCCTTCACACGCAGTGCGCTGTAAAAACTATATTACAGGGGAATTGGGACCTTCGATCCCTTCCCCGCCCATAGTAACACGCCATATCGTGGCAAAGGTCCTATATTTGTGCACATGCATGATTGCCCTGTGTTCATGAGCGACACCATCCCGGATAAGCAGCTGCAGAGACTACTATTATTGAGGGCATATGATGAGAAACACATGATGGTGGACTCGGAGGTGGTTGAGGGAAACCAGCTCGAAGGCTTCAGTAAAGCCATGTTGGCGGATGAGAAGGTCAGGTATATCAACGTCCATAACGCAGAACCTGGTTGTTTTGCGTTCAAGATTGAGCGCGCCTGAACAGCAAGAATACCCGGCCGATCCAGACAGGCTGGCTAAGGCTAATAGATATCAGTGTGAAGTATTGGTGAGCTTTCTCATAATTAGAAACTGTGTTGAATTCCATCACTTAAACCGATATATCGTAAGCCCACACGTGGGTCAAGGCTTTTGAGAATCGCATCATGATGTTGCCATCTGTTGCTTGTAGTTTCACTTAAATCTCGGAAAACCTTGAGATATATGGGATCCTCTCCTTATTTTCTTAATTGAAGTACCGTCTGCCAGTTCATCTGTGAAGCATCAACCTACTGGATCTTCATCGCGCATATCCTCCTCATCTATTGGTGGTTCCACGACGCCTGGGTCATTCTAGGAGATAATTGTGACACACCTCCTGACCTAAAGGAAGTCAAGGCTCCTAGCTATGGTATAAACATCGGATGCTCTCCTCCTTACTCTTAGCGCTCTGATTAGCAACTCCATCTCAACAGATGCCTCTGAGGTTGATTACTCACACCACTCACTGCACGGGTCACGGTCTATCCGAATACCTCTTAGGCGTACCAAATCCGGTGATGGGCCTCAAGATTGGCCAGCCTTGTAATGCTTGGTACGCCTAGCATGGCGGGAGGTTGATCTGTGCTTGGATAGGGGGACGCACTTCGACACCCTTTCGGTTTCAGATCCTCACGATAAAACATCCCTCAAACTCTTGGGTGCTCAGATCACCAGCCAAAATAGCCAGCATGACCTGAGATCTGTCGGGTTTGTAGTATCGCGATCTGAAAAGGGCCATTGGTCGTGGTTTCATTATGGATCATTCATGTCAGAGAACCCCAGATCGGGTTTCGAAAGTCGATGCTCCTGAGCAATTACTGTGGTCACTTGATAAAAACGGATCCTGTCCCATCTTACCATTTCACGCTTCTTTCTTCCAGCCTGGTTGCTCTTTTTCTTCAGCGTCCTCTCTCTCGCTTCACTACTGAACAAGTACATTCTTTATCGCATGGCTGGCCACTGCACATCAACTCAAGCTCAAGAGACCATTTCTATCAACGCCGAGATTTAAACCAGCATATTTTCACTAAACGAAGATCAAGATGTCGACAAAACAATTCTCCCGCATCACATCATTCCTCCTTTTACTCGCATTCTTTGCCACGGTTACAACAGCCCTGTATTCTCCAATTAACCTACTGAGCCTTAGTCGGCGGCAACAGACTGATGGGTCGGCCTGTGACAACTATTCCAGAATTGCCAACCTGACGGTGGTTGCTAGCAACGCGACCTACCGATCCGCCTACTTGGCAGCTTCACCAGAGGGCAGTGATCCAGCCCGTGCACCGCTTGACGCGGCCATCCCCCAATTGGCCGCCCTCCAGTTCGACGAGGCACTCAACGAACAGTGTGGAAATCTGACGACAATCGCATACGAGGGAGCGGAGGCCAACTTCACCAATGGGATAGTCCTGCAGTTTAGCATCAACGGTGCCTCGATGCGGATAGGGGCCAGTGCGATGGGGATGGCGCTGATTGTAGCGATGGTTGCGGCCATGGTTATAGAAGTGGTGTGAAGTGGCTGTGATGATGTTTCTCGGATTTGGACTGTCAGGGCGGTTTGTAGCCAGGAAAGGCAAGGCAGATCCCAATCTGTTCGAAGACGGTTCATTCCTGGGCTCAGAAAACAAGTACTCAATGCTCGGTCCTAGATACCGGGGTTAGGCAGTTCAATGCGCACGAAACAGAAGTGGCAACGAGTAGCATTTTGGGCGCAGGCTGTGGAGAATGAATGCACAATGTCAGCCCTGATCACAATGGTGTCAGTCATGTCATGCAGAGTGGGGGGGGGCCTCCGTTAACGTGAGTTGCAGCGTGTAGCTGTTTGGTTGAATCGCGGCTCTATGTCTGGTCGGATATAGCACTGCAACTGGTTTAGATGCTTATGGTTGGGTTCGAGTGATTGCGGGCTCGGGATTCCTACGTTGGGGTTCAATGAGAGAACGTGAGGTAAGATCCCACGGAAGAACAAGAATGCCCATCAGACAGACTGCTACCTCATTTGTACTATACTCAGCCAGTTTTGTACTATACTCAGCCAGTCAAAATCTGATTACGTCCCTGTGCATTGCTAGTGAGAAGCATTTGTATGGGCTACTCATATAAATGCCGAGTACGGAGAACCGAGTAGAGGAATAAAAAGATACCGCCACGAGATGAACGCTGATGTCAACAAAAACACCATGTAAGTTCCAAAGATGCCATGCATGTGTCTCTCCACATTTGCTGCCAAACTTCATCTGCAGGGTGGTCGGGCAGGCATCTCTCCGCAGTTCAACTGACTGAACGGGCCCAGGCTCGACTCCTGTGAGTCCGAGCCCTAAAGAAACAGGAAGATGATGATTATGAAGAGGCGGACAATCCTGACGATCCCTGAATCCATTGAGGTACAGCCACGCCACACCACGCCACGAGATGATCAACCGTCAATGGTTTGGTGGATACCGAGTGCACAGGGAGGGCCAACCCCTCCCTCATAGGCGTTGGCTGTAGGCGTTGGGCGTTGGGCGTTGGGGATTGGGCGTTGGGCGGGACCCTACCGGTTTGCGGGTGGTGGTGCTCGGCCGCGGCGGGATGCCTGGGTGTCTGAGACTACTCCGGACTTCTAGCGCCCTAAGCTCGGGCCCTGCACTGCAGCCTGTGAGTGCAGACGCGGATGGAGTTGGGGGAAGCGGAAGGCCGGAGGGACAGTAATTCTAATTCACGGCCTTTAACCAAACTCAACTTTAGCCCCATGCCTAGATATCTAGTTACAGCGAGCACGCCCGTCATGCCAGTCAAAGCCTGTCAAGCCGGCAACGCCAGCACACAATTTCGTTGGATCGATCAGCCACCTCGACACTGTTGAACCTTGACAATTGTTTCCTGCCTGCGAGGGTGGCGCGAGGCCGTCCTTGGGCTTGGACATCCTGACAATAGTACGAGTCCTCGGTACCACCACCGCCGTCACTACTGGCACCTCCGCCTCCGCCTCCTCCTCCACCTCTACCTCTACCGTCACCATCTCGCTACCACCACTCTGCACATCGTTTGCTTTATACCGAATACCCATCCATATCTGACTTGCCGACAAAGTAACTTCAATTCCTCAACCCTCTCCTCTTCCTCCTACCTCATGCTACTGGTGCCCGCTGTTTGCCTCGATTATCTTCTTCAGTTTATTCTTCTACTAGCAGATCCGATTCCGCTCTGCGACACTCGTTTGTTTACTTTTCTCAACTGCTAGCTGCTTAGCGCATCAGTACTCCATCGACCCTCGTAACCAAGCCACTTCCACCACCTCCACTCCACCGCGACAGATCAACTCGTCCATCTGGTCGCAACATAAACTCCCGAAAGACCAACCTTCTACCTCCATCACACCTATCTGTACCTCTATCTATACCATCATATAAATACACCAACATGCCACTCTGCGGCGGCAAGAAAGTGGTGCAGCGCAAGCTCGTCCTACTCGGCGACGGCGCATGTGGGAAAACGAGTTTGTTGAATGTCTTTACCCGCGGATTCTTCCCAGTACGTTCTGTCCTTGACATCTCATTCCATCCGAATCAAATCCTTTCCGGTTCCAATGGCGCAGAACCCTCAGCCAACATTAATGCTCATACATGATATAGACTGTCTACGAGCCCACGGTGTTCGAGAATTACGTACACGATATCTTCGTGGACAACATCCACATGGAACTATCCCTCTGGGACACGGCAGGACAAGAAGAGTTCGACCGGTTGCGGTCACTGAGCTATGATGATACCCAGGCCATCATGCTGTGTTTTAGCGTATGTGATCCTCCAGTCTACCTTCCATATCATTCACCCGGCACCGGATTCCTGAATGCGCCGACTAATGCTCTTCTACAGGTCGACAACCGCGGCTCACTCGAGAACGTGGGGACGAAATGGATCCAGGAAATCAACGAGCACTGTCCCGGGGTCAAGATCGTGCTGTGCGCATTGAAGTGTGATCTGCGCGAAGAACAGGAGAAGGAGGACGACGACGACGACGCCGCCGCCGCGAATAATGCCGCCAGTGTCGATGCCGCGACATCCGTGAGAAATATGATTCAGTACAGTGAGGGTCTGGAGGTCGCCAGGCGCATTGGTGCGCTAAGATATCTTGGTATGTTTCGAAAGCGTTGCCATGTACTTTGTTTTGCCAACTGCTGGAAGATGAGTTGCTGACTTATCCCGGGAACAGAATGCTCAGCGATGCGGAATCGAGGCGTCAATGAAGCGTTCACGGAAGCCGCGCGAGTGGCCCTGCAGGTCAAGACAAGCGCTTCGAAGGACGATTCCAAGTGCTCCGTTATGTGAGAGATTCAAGCTGCACATCAAACACACAGCCTGGAAACTCTACATGAACTCCCCCAAACAACAAACCTGGGGGGACTTGTTGGGAACCAAACTACCAACATGTCTGCTGTGGGGAGGACGATGTTCGCCAGATCACTGATTGTCACATGTTTTTCCCCTTCGTTCTCGAGACCGAAAACATACATACATCACACACCAGCACGAAGGACGAGCGACTCCGTGTACTGACTCGCCAAAACTTATCATTACATTTTCACTCCTCGGCGAAAACAATTTCATCATCAAAGGCCCGAATAACCCCACGATCCTCGATACACTTTTGGTTTCGATCCGTGGCCTTCCCACTTCTAAGACTACAGGTCTCCTGATGTACATACCTTGTGCACACGCATCCACGCATCCACGCATCCACGCAATGCCTTGGCTACCGCACTACCACACATCGACATACTACCTACTCCCTCGGATACCTCAACGTGGTCCTGGCGTCGGTTTCCCTGGACAGTCAAAACAATCTAGACCATTTATTTTGCTGGTTGTTGGATTTTTTGGATTTTTTTGGATTTAGCGTTTCTCCCTTTTTAGTTGGGTGTTTTCCGGCCTGGTTCATACGGCAGCACTGGTTTTTCCCCTCTTTCGCTTGTTTTGGGAAGCAGCGGTGCTCAGAACATAGGATAGCGTGAGCAGCAGGTGATTCATGACGAGCGGCGTTTGCTCTTTCTTCCCATGGAAGGCATGGAGGGGCGTGAAGGGGGCATTTAGAGGAAAGTTTTCTGGTAGGGTGGCCGTTGGTGGTGGTTGGGAATTGGTACTGTGAACCTTAGGCATGGCAGTAAAGATCGGGCATTCTCTCTGATGCGGAAGGGAGACACTGGACAGACTACCTCGTAGTCGTACTCTTGAACAGGCTTCGGAATATTGAGTTAATTGATGATGCCATTGACAAGTGGTGGCTGGCCGTTATTCCTCCCACGAGCTTCACCCTCGTTCTGCCGTTGTTCACTCGCTTCGTCTTCACTCACCACCACCCAGTCCTTGACACCACCTTTCCAATCCGCAATCCGACCCGCTCTCACAGGAACCAGCACCACACGCACATCGTCACCGGCGATGTAGCAGCTGCTGTTCCCATCCGCATTGGGCACTTCCCCGAAAAGCCCCGCCTCCTCGTTGGGCTGGTCCCCAAAAGTGTTGTTCTCCAGATGCGTCTCCTTGCACCACTTCTCCTCGTCCGAGCCCTGCTCCAGGAACCGGGCGGACCCGGCAATCGTGGTGCTGATGCTCGACAGCGCTGACGTGTTCAGGTTCAGCAGCAAGCTCGCCAGACTGCTTCGGGTGGCGGCAGCAGGCGGAGACCCGGATCGGGCGCCCGTGAGGGTATTCGTCGTCGAGGTCGGTGGCCGGTGGCTCACCCAGTCGTGGACCAACAGGCTGACTTTGGGGTTAGACAGGAGGTTGCGCGTCTTGATGCTCTGCGCGTTGGTCGTCATGATGATCACGGGACCGTGGTTGGCGTTGTTGTACGAGTACGAGGGCAGGAAGGTGTAGTTCATCAGCGAGACGTGGGGGGTGGGTGTTTCGTCAATCGAGTCTGTCGACGAGCCAGAGGAGATGGTCGCCAGGTGTAGAAAGCGGGTGTTCTTGAGACATTGGGCGACTTCTTGTGGGAGGGTGGTCGAGGTCTGGCGGTGCGTCGCCGTGGCGCTGGCTTCGTAGTTGAGCGGGGGATTGTGTGCTTCAGACATGGTTGAAGGAAGATACAGTGATATGGACGCTGGGATGGGATCAAGAGGATGGATTGGGACAGCAGGAGTCGGTTCTCTACTGAGGTGTCCCCTACAGGTAGGTAATAATTACTGGTATGTACGGAGGACTGAAAACCACATGGAGTAAGTCCCTTGGCTATGGTGGGATGTCGATTTTTGGGTGTCCCCTGCCCAGGTGGTTCGCGGCATGGTGGGGTTGGACACTCCCAGGTCCTAGCTGTTGTACTGTAGCTACTTGTTAGGCTGTGGAGGTCCTGGTTAGGTCCGTTCCCCCTCCTCCCCCCTCCACAGGGGATGCTGGTTGGAGCCTACTAGACTAATATTTAGCTAGCAGCTGCCTGAGACTATGTAGTAATTAGTGTCCTTCCGCCAGCTGGTCTTGGTACCTCTTAACCGCCTTGTTATGCAGTGTAAGTCCCACTACACGGGGTGCTAACTAGATGGTACCCGTAGCCTGTGCCTACCAGCTCTTCCCTGGTGCTCGGCAGCTTAGCACTGACGTCGACGATTCTCACTTACCACCACCTCCTCCACCATCTCCCTGTTCCTTCAGCTGCTCCATACATTTACTGATCGGGGACAAACTCACCTTGTACCTCCCTCTCCACATTCTCTCCACCAATTAATCCCATTCCCCATACTCAAACGCCTGCTGCTCTCCTGCATCTCAACTTACACCTGCTACTGGTACTGGTACTGGTGCTGGCCCTCTCCCTCTGCTTGACAACAATAAACATCTTTGCTCATTCTTGCCAGCTCCAGCTGCAGTTTCGACTCTTCGCGTTCTCTCACCTCAACCCATCCTGCCTCTTCCCTACCTTCATCCGCCATCATGCTCGCCCGACGACTTCCCCGCTCTACACACCAAGCCTCTTCTCTTCTTCGATCCTTCACCACCTCCACCATCTGCCGAGATAGTGGTGCCCGTGCCCCCGGTATGGGCGATTTGCCTCCCGACACTGCTGAAGCCTTTAATAAGAAACAAAAAGAGTTTCGCGATGGCCTTGAGGCAGCCAAAAAGAGAAAGGAACTCGCCGACAGTCAGTCCTTGCCAACCATTACTTCTTCGTCTGCCAGTGCTTCATCCTCAAGTTCTTCTCCCTCCTTTTCTAGTTCCGATTCTGTTTCTGATTTCGTGCAACCTCTTGGCTTGGGCTCACTCTCCATCGCTCCTTCTGCAGAAGAAGCAAGACAGGCCGAAACCGACACCTCGACTAAACGTGGTTCAGGTGGGAAGCTCTCCAGCTTCATCTATGGCACTCCCGAAGGCCAACAACTCGACAAGGATATGGAACGTTCTTTCTCCCAGGTCCTAGCAAGAGGCAAATATGTTCATTCTATCGTCTTTCACGAAGTCAAGCCCGACAAGGTCAACGAGTACACCGAATTAGTTGGCCATTGGTACCCCAAGATGGCCAATATGCCCGAGAATAAGGTCCATCTGGTTGGTAGCTGGAGAACAGAAGTTGGCGAATGCGAGACCTTTGGTAGAGTTCATTTTCTTGTCCCGAGAACATATGCTAATTTCTTGTGCTTCTACAGTCCATATCTGGGAATACCAGCGATATATGGGTTACCACGCCTCCTTACACAACATCTCTCATCATCCTGAATTTCCCGCCTTCGAAGAAAAGCTCAAGACACTGATCTACTCCAAGAAGATTTCACTCATGCAGGAATTCTCCTTCTGGCCAACCACCCCTCCACGAAAACTTGGTGGCATTTTCGAGCTGCGATCATATACCCTGCACCCAGGAAATCTATTGGAATGGGAAACACATTGGCGGAAAGGACTGAATGCACGAAGAGAAGTCATGGAAGGCGTAGGGGCTTGGTTCGTGCAAATTGGTGATCTGAACACCGTTCACCATCTTTGGCAATTTGCAGATCTCGAAGAACGAAAAGTCAGACGAGAGCAATCCTGGGGTGTCGAAGGCTGGGCAGACACCGTCCACAAGACGGTTCCTCTGATTCAATCCATGAAGAGCAAGATTCTTGTACCTCTTCCATGGAGCCCTGTTGGATAACATGCATGCTGGAACTTGGACTATTGAAAAGTTTTCCTTCCACTCAACATATTAGGAATACCAAACCGAGGAATAGGTGCTGAGTATTCCACCCTTTCGGAAAAGGAAGTCAGGCTGGGTCAGAGTCGAGAGCCATGGAGAGCATTGAGTGCTGTGCAGTGTCATCCGACGTACCGTCAAGAGCATAATTCGGAGAGGACTACTTCTTCAGTTGGCGAAAAATCTCAAGAAGTCACTTTTCAATTTCTTAGATCTTCAGTGCCAATCATTTTAAAAATGAAGTAATCAATAGAACAAATCACGTGGTCGATAACCCCAGCCTCGTCGCGAAACGGTTCTGCAAGGCTGAGCGCCGCCAAGGTAATCAGTTTTTTTGAAATGCACATGTCGAGATTGGTCAATCTATTCATCTTTGCCGCAATCAGGCCTTCTCACAGCAAACGGTATGCTTTCTCGGTTCACGACTGCTCGTCTATGCCATGGCTGCCGATCGGATCTACAAGTCCTGTTTGAACGGGGATTCTGTACTACCAGACCCGTCCTAAAGTCACATCTGCTTCGTCCTCAGTGGCGCAACCGAAGGATCAACCTTCCGCAACCCTCCCGGCCTTACTATGCGACCGCCACTAGATTGCAGCAGGATCCCAACGCTGAAAGCGCACCTTGTAATCCGACAGTGGCAGATGCTGAGCCATCCAAAAATGCCTACACTCGATTAGAAAAGCTTGCGGGGCTGGAAAGAAAACTCGACGAGCTACACAGGAGACTCTATGATTCAGTTCAAGAAGCAGTGGATGAAATACAACCACCTGATGTCGCGGATGTCAAACAGCCCATCAACCCCCGAAATGTCCGCGATTTATTAGTCGTGCGAGCACAACACCTGGTGGCAAGTCTGCGCAATTCAGGAGCGCCGCACGAACAGATCGCGCGAGAGGCGAGACAGATCTTCGGTGAGACATTGCCTGAAGACATTTTGAGTGACAACGAATACAAAATATATACCAGACTCTACGGAGAGCCGATACCCGAAGAAGAATTCTTTGATGGAGAGGGAGAGGAACTTCTGGAGCCTGGTACCACGACCCTTCTTGATCAGGACGGCGAACTTGTCGAGTACGTTGGCAGAGAAGACGAGGTCGTCGATTCCGAAGATGTCGAGAATGACATTGAGGAAATCGAAGAAGACAACGGCACGAATAACAACATTGTTCTCTCTTCGGATGGGCCTCTGCCTCCCACGCTGTTAGTTTCGAACTCGCAAAGACTGGAGGTGATTGCACAAACAGTAAATGGCCAAATTGTGGAGGAACAGGAATTGCTGGAGGAGGTAGAAGACGACGAAGATGCTTCTTCCAGAACCCACCCTTTCACTACTGTAGGAAAGTTCGCCAATGATCCTGGCAACGTCCAACTCCCAATGGATCGATTTGTTCGGCCTGTGGAAAGTATCATGAGTGGTTTCTCCAACAAGCACCTCAAGGAGATCAGTGAGAAAACCTTCGGTGGTCCAGGTCTTCCAGACTCGGCACTGACCCCTAGAAGTGGCCGCACGCGAGAACAAGTTCCCATTCCTCTCTCAGCGGCTGATCATAACATGGGCGAGATGGAGGCAAACTCTTTCATTGCCACTCTAATGCCTCCTACATATGCCGCCATCACCTCCGTCTTGGTGGAGACGCGCAAGCGTCTTGGCATAACCTGGCTGAACAATCTTTTGGCAAAAGAAGGTGGCCCTCGCGTCCTTGACGCCGGTTCTGGGGGGGCAGGTATTCTTGCATGGAGAGAAATTGTCCAGGCCCATTGGAATGCCCTTCACACCTCTGATCTGACCCCACCCGCGCCTCCTCGGACGAAATCAGTTGTCCTTACAGGATCACATACTTTGAGGCACCGGTCTGCCGAGCTACTAGAAAACACCACATTCATCCCCAGACTTCCCGATTACGTCCACATCCGTGACGCCCCAACGCTTGAGGATGACCGCCCTGCTTCTCAGAGAAAGCAGTTTGATATCGTCATTGCTTCGCACTCTCTATTTGGACTCTCCCAGGAATTCGAACGAAAGGAACATGTTCAAAATTTGTGGTCAATGTTGAGCTCTGATGGTGGCATCTTGATCATCATCGAAAAGGGTATCCCCCGCGGCTTTGAGGCGGTTGCTGCTGCTCGTGAACTACTGTTGGAAGAATGCATTGCAGTTCCTGAAGGTATGAATACACATTATAGCAATCCAACAGATGGAAACAATCTTGCAAGTCGAAAGACTGCTATGATTGTTGCCCCTTGCACAAATCACGAGCAATGCCCGATGTATCTGATCCCCGGCAAATCCCAAGGCCGTAAGGACTATTGCAGTTTTCAGCAGAGATACACCAGGCCAAATTACCTCCAACGGGTTATTGGTGCGACGGATCGAAATCATGATGATGTCGATTTCTCCTATATCTCTGTCATGAAAGGAAAAGATCTCCGTCAAAAGATGGTAACTTCTTGGCAGCATATTCAGGATCCTCTTTCTTCTCCTGCTCAGTCTGATGTACCCGGCAACTCCAGGGATTATAAATCCTTGATGGAGAGTGTGCACATCGGATTTGATAATGTTGCACCAGGGACGACATTAGAAAGCCCCAGTGGTCAAGGTCAAGGTACTCAGCAGGTTTCCACTCTCCCAGGTCCTTGGAACCTACCAAGACTGGTCCTACCAGCCTTGAAGCGCAAACAGCATGTCATCATGGATGTTTGCACGCCGCAAGGGAAAATTGAACGGTGGACAGTTCCAAAGTCATTTGGCAGACAGGCCTATCATGACGCTCGGAAATCCCAATGGGGTGATCTCTGGGCACTGGGCGCAAAAACAAGAATTCTTCGAAATCTCCGAGTGGGAGAATCCGACAGTAAGGAAGAGAAGAAAAGGAGACGCCGGTCAAGAGCAAAGGAAAAGGCTGAGGCGCTGCGCGAAGAGGAGGAAGATAGGAGGACCGATGATCTTTCCCAAGCATGGGACTTTGTGCCCCGTGCTGAACGTCAAGGCCGCGAGAGCCAGGCTAACGCATCAGCAAAGAGCCAACCTTCGAGGCCTGCCCCGAAACCAGCTGATGATGTGCAAACTTTCACCTTCGATCATTCCGCTGCGAGAGCAATCGACCCTACCGTACAGCCGCAACCTGCACCGGTAAAGCCATCACCTCATACGAGATTCGAAAAATTGACTTTGAGAAAGACAGCGTCGTCAAATATTGGGGAGCGTCCATCTAGGCGCCAAATCTCCCACGCAGAAGCTGAGGACCAACTTACAGCTGAAGAAGAAGCAGCACTTGCACAATGGGCTGAAGAGTTTAACTCCGACATCTTGCCGCGCGGCATGAAGACCAAAGACAGAACACCACGAGGAAAGTCGAATAGATTTGATGGTCGCAGACCTAAGAGAGAGAGCTTCCTCGGTCGTCCATGATCAAGGTAGTTTGACAGGGAACAACCGGTGGTTTCATCGCAATCGGAGAGGGAGACTATAACGAGGTCGTCAATCAATGCGACACGCATTTGCGGGACACGCACACCCACTCTACCTTCCAACCTCAGCCGGCAGCATGTTCGGGGTGACATTCTGCTCCATGTAAAAACAAATGTACGAGTATTGCATACCCTCGGGCTGGTATGAGATGGAGATCTCAAGACTGTACTCGAAGCAGACAATGTAATGTACCATCACTCTTTACTATCATTAATTTCCTTCTCGAGGTGCAGTCCATGAAGCGGAAGTTCTGAAACAACTTGAGTCATGGCTTGGATTCTTTGCAGCAAGTCCATTCACACTCGCCACATCACTCCGCGGCAAAGGGCCTCACTCCGTTTCTTGAGTCTAGGGAATCGGCATCTCACAACTGTATATTCAACTGCACCTGTGGAATGCGTGACTTCGATCATCGACGTATTGTGCATCGATCCAGCCATCCAAGACCTGTGGCCGCTACGAACTTCCCTTCTTCTTCTCCCTTCCCTTCTTCTTCTCCCTTCCCTTCTTCTTCTCCCTTCCCTTCTTCTTCTCCCTTCCCTTCTTCTTCTCCCTTCCCTTCCTCTCTCCTTCCATCGTTATTTCTAGCCCGTGCAGTCTCAAGACACAAGTCAACGCGCGATGATGAAGCAATCACAAACTCCCCGTCTCATTTCCCTGCGTCATGTACATGTCTCATTTCATCCACACGCGATCATAGGGTAGTCTAGGTAAATCAAGTCACCCAAGCACAGTGGTCGCCACTACGGGATTCCATCCCATTCTCCTTTCCTCATGCTTCTCTCCTTTCCCTGCCTAAGTATTTTCTCCATCCGTGCTTCCCCATCACCTCGTGCGTGCTGTCTTAGGAAACAAATTTGAAGACACAACTCACAGCATGACGTTGATGTGACGAGCAACGATGAGTCTTGACTCGCACTACGGTGTGGGCCATAGGTCTCGTTTCATCCATGTGCAACAGTCGACCAAACATCAAGTCTAGCACGTACCTGCATTGCAGCACTTGATGACTCTGTTCAATTCTAAACGGGTGAGTCATCGCAGTGCACAAGATGTGTGGAAGGTCAAGTAAATCGAACAATCTGATGGGCTGGAGAAGGGTATAACTACCCATCTTTCCCTCTGCTCTTGCGTTAGAAGTTGGATTGTTCACGCTCATGTTCAGTTTCTTTGGATTCGTCTCGGTTTACATTGTACTTTTCTTTTGCATTCGAGTTTAGTTCTTCGCCTTGACCCTTTCGTGGTCAGCTGGAACCTCGTCGTTTATGGTCTACTTCTTTGGATACTTCGAGGTATAGCACATACATCCATTTTCACCAGCAACTTGATCTCGGCTTTGCTGGTTCATCGCGCTTCAGATCATGGACTCAACGCTTGTTCCACGATATCTCCATAACTCCCTGTTCTTCATCGGTTGGCCACTGGACCGTTCCATCAAACTCCGAGAAGCTCGATGATCTTCCAAGCATAGGAAACACCAGCACACTGCTCTTTACTCAGAACTAGATCTCCACCGAATTCATGATAAATACCTATACACCTACCAGGTCCCGCCGAATGTCGACCGGCTGCACAGGCGTAAGGCCGCTCTCTTCACTTCAGCATGGATCATACACCGAATATATCCCACCCAACCCAACGGCCCAATCCGGTTGGCTGATTGCTGCACCTCGAGATGAAGTTGGAGATAAAGAATACGCAGCCACTCTTCCGAATGTCGATGATGCAGGTCGCATTAAGAGACATCCTTCTGACTTCATGTCGGGAGGATGGAGGACGTATTCTTCTTTGGGGAACCAGGAACTGGAAGTAAGGTGTACATTAACGATCCTGCACAGAAGGACATGATTCACAGCCGACTTATGAGGCAAAAGGACTACGCTAACGCGATGCTCTACGAGCAGGGTTTGGGAAAGATCACCAGTGTCAAGATCCAATACACGATGAAGTGTGTAGAAGGGAACTACACAGTGGACGAAGGTCCTCCGCTTGGTGCAAGAGTCGATGATCATATATCTAATGATCGACATGGAAGCTAAGTCAACTTTCCGGCCCGTTCTGGCCCTCCTAGGAGGGGGCTTCCTCGTACGTTGCCGCCGCCATATGCTGCACGGGCCATAGATCAAACTGAAACAGACGACTTTCCTCTCATGTGCTCCCAAAAAGCACCTACGGCAGCTCATGTGGACAGAGAAGCCGTAGTCACCGTGGTTGAGCTAGTCCGAGGAAGAAAGACATGGCCTGTAAGCGGACTAACCATTCAAAAGCCGCTGGGTTCCTGGCGAAATTTTATTTTCTGTAGGTTGGATTCCCGTGCAAGCTGCCTGGAAAGGCGACTCGTGTTTGAAATTTGATCGTTCTAGCTTATATTAGTATTACTGCCTCCAACCTCTATGGACCATTTCAAATCATGCCTCTCTTTCCACGGATCGAATTGAATCGAACTTAGTTAGCCGACGGATAAGTTCTCACCTAAACAAAGGTATGGTGCCGGATCCCGCCCCTCGATCTCAAAATCGAATCGTGTCAATTCGTCATTGAAAGGCCACATGTAGTTGCTCGTAACGCTATAGATGAATCAGTCGTAGCGTCCGCGAATAACATGACAGGATAAGAATCCTGGTGATGTTCTGGGCTCGCTTGACATGTTCCCAAAGGCTGGCGGTCTTTGTGATAGCTCAGGTGACAGAAATGAAATCCCTTGCTCTGCGTAGCAGGCATTGTTATAGATGGACCGCCCACCACGAGGTTTTGATCAATGACACATGGAAGATACTTGAGCTTCCTTGGTTCTCTCAAAAAGGCGGAGGCGATCTCTTCGGGTGTGTCTGCACGAAATTTGAAAAGAACTGTCAATGAGTATTACGCGTGTGTGTTCTTTGTAGACAATCAGGAATGTGGCTCACCAATGTGCACGACAACCATCTTGAAGGGGCCATAGCTTTCTTGGACGAAATCTATCGCTGGAGTCGATCCTGTGACTTCCTGGAACGACAACAGCTTCACAACATAAGTAGAAGACACCTTTTGCTAGGACTAGCGAGAACTCTGCTAATTTGTTTCAAGCGGTTCATAGCCTTCAAAAATGGTGCTCTCTCGGACCTTCTCTGTACTTCACTTTATGGTTTAGAAGTGTATCAATTCCATGTAATTGGGACTGTATTGCCTCACTTCAGTCCCTCTTTCTCATATGGTTTATGTTTTGTGAGTTGCTCCGAGTCCTATCCCAACCCTTTATGTAGCAGTCTTGGATTCATGGAGACAGAGTCAAAACCCACGCTATCCCTCACCAGGGATGACAGCAAGACGACCAATTCAGAGACTAAACAGCTTATTAGTAGGGTTCATATAGAAGTACTCTGCCAATCTCGAAAATTGCTTTGCATCTAGCAGCAGAGGTGTGCACGCAATTGATTTCTATTGAGTTTGGAGAGCCGGCCAGCCTCTGTACATACCATAGACCGATATATCCGTCGCTGGGCTTTCCGTGTCGACGCGGTGATCCCTCCATCGACAACAATATTCTCTGCTATGATATATCGTGTCTTATCCCAGACAAGAAACAGGAAAACTTGGGCAACATCCCACGCATCACCCATTCTATTCCTGGGTACTTGTTCTTCCCTCTTTCGCATACATGATGCTATTTGCTCTTCGCTCTCAGCGCCATATCTCTTTGCCAGCTGCTCTATATATGGCATGTACATTAATCCAGGTACCACCGTATTCAGCTTTACGTTATCTTGAGCATAGAGAACTGCAGGTACTCTTCAACAGATGGATAATCGCTGCTTTCGTGGCGTTGTACGCGACTTGTGGTTTTCCAATGTAAGGAAGACCCGCAATACTCGATACACTGACTATCCTCCCATCCTTCTGTTCTCGCATGATGGACAGAACAAAATGGCAAGCGAGATAGACACTCTTCAAGTTCAAATGGAGCTGTGAATCCCCATAATTCCTCGGATAGAGAGGCGGGGTCTCCCGGCGCAGATCGTCCAACGTTATTGGCTCGATCTCGACTCGACCGTGGTTTTCCATACACGCCTCGACGAGAGACTGCACCGACGCCAATGATGTTGCATCCGCCTGTAATAGGTCACAGCTGCCCTCCAAATTCTTCTATCCGTTGTCTTTTAATTTCCGCGGATTGGATAGATCTATTGCCGCCCACGATATTCGCTCCTTGACGCGCCAGCAGTACCGCTATCGCCCGATCCAATTCCCCCCCGGGGGCACTCTGCCCCAGACCGATGATAAGTGCTGTTTTTCCACTGAGGTCATGCATTGCTCTAGCCTGAGCTATTTAATTCTTTTGCATGCATTACGAGCTTAATGATCTCTCCAGCATTTCTGTTGTGCGACGCCTTACCATCACTATTCTTGCAACATCTATCTCCATATATGCATTGAGTTCGTACTTGGTCTGTTGGATGCCACGTGTAGAAAATAATTAGAGCTGCGATTCCATTGAGCCCTGATTGACGGGGCCCACAAGTTGCGAGTGCTAGCCTTGCAGAGAAACTTGCGAGTCCATTGGCTTGGGGAGGCCAATAGGGGATATGGTCCTCAACGTATTAAAAACCCGTCTAATTCATCGTATCTGGTTTATGACCTAAGAGGTTCCCCTGAGCCAAGCATAGAGCTAGGAGTGCTCAATATCATTGGGACTCCAACTTGGAATTATCATGTCTTTCATGAGAGGAAGCGGATGCCATTTAAGCGAATACGGACTGCCCAGAATTCTACGTAACGACCGACGAGTTCAACCCATCCATGGTTCTGGGGGCGTAGAATAGGAAAGAGGCTGTCTCGCCTCGATAGGGGTCTACAAAGACAGTATCAGCCCTCGGTTTCATACTTTAGAAGGACGAGAACAATGAATTGTTAGTGAGAAGGTTCGAATGGGTCAATCGATTCTTGTTGGCACAATGAAATTCTTTGTCTTTCGTTTTCTTGTCTCAACCAGTTGAGAAGAGTCTGATACATGAGCCTCATCATTGATACCCGTCACATGACACCTATACCGCAGAAATTACCAAGTGATTTGGTATGTTTTCTGCAGTAGCCCAAGCTTGAGGCCCATTGAGGGCTCTGAGGATTGTATTGATATATGGTATGCGTTCAGAATCCTGGAGAGACATCAGTACCACCTGCAGGACCAGGTCAGGTATTAATCTGTGAGGCCACTCAAGAACATATTGGGCTAATAAATGGTCTCAATTCTGGTGTTGAAGGTGGAATCTTAAATTTTGATGAACCAAATTTGGTATTTACAAGGATTTCGCCAACAGGAATAACGCCCGGCAATGCTCGGCATGCTGAAGCTCGATATAAGAACGGCAGACAGCGTCTCGAGCCTATTCTCTTCTTCCATGTTCTAATCCGTCGACTGAAGCGAAACACTTCCTCTGAACATCGACAATCGGAAGCGGCTATTGCTTTCATCTGAACTCTTTATGATCAAAGAATCGTAGCGCCCAGGCCTCTTATACCCAGGAACGCCAATATCGAGGGGATATCAAAGAAAATCGTCAGGTTGGGTTATGCTCAGACAACTAGGCTAGCCCCACCCGATGACACAGCATCGATCTCTTCATCGCTCCACTGGGTCCGCCAGAATCGCTTTGGCAAGTCACTTCTGTCAAAGAACTCCCCTTTCTTCGGTTGAACAGAGCCTAGTGACTTGCCAGCCGACCCACCAATGGCACCGTATGTTGCGTAGCCAGAAGTCGAAGCTTGGAAGGGAGATGCATTGCTACGGTTGCCGCCCAGAGGACCGTGCTGTTGAGCTTTGGAGCGGTAGGTTGCGAAGCTGTCGGGGAGTGAGTGTGTAGGTGAGGCAGGGTGTGGGTGAGGAGTATGATCTACAGATTCTGCACTGGTCGTTAGCTTAAAATGCCTTATGAAGCAGGGCAGAAGACGTACTTGGAGGGGATCTCTTTCCAAGGAATTTGATGGAAGGAGTTCGGTGCTGAGCAGCTCGCAGGATCACAGAGGCCCGCATCTTGGAGAAGTACGATATTGTCTTTTCTGAGCAGGGAGGAGGAACTGTTAAGGCGATGTGCGGGAGAATGTTTGAGTCGAGCACAAGGGTCCAATGCTCTATCCAGTGCAGGAGCGGGTCTCTGGCGTTTCTGCTGGGCAGGCCTAGAGGTTGAGGGATTGACAGTGCCGGTCGCTCGGAGGGGTGGGAGTCGTCAGGTATGAAAGTTAAGTATTATGGATATGGAGCTCGTCTAGTGGAAGTTTGAGGGGGGCTTCGTACATAGGTGTGGGAGAGATACAGCTTGCGTGATCCTGCTGGGTGGGGGAATGAATGGGAATTTCTCGATTGCTGAAACTGTCTCAAGGTTGTATGATATGGTTTTCTGCTGAAAAAGAAATAATCGGGAGGACTAAATCCGGTAGGTGAGGGCGAGGGCGAGGGTTCGGAGCTGGGGAAGAATGAACATGCTAGCATAAGAAGCAACGATAAAAAGATAGAAGATAGCTTGTGTCATGCTTTGGGCTGCCACTGGCGCAGGCCATCGGAGGTCGGCGCAACGGCAAGGCAGCTCTAGCTTTTCCCTTATCGAGCATGGTCGAGACACCGTCCGCCAATGGTGACGCGCCAGGACCCACATGAAAACTCGCTTCTTTCCAGCCTCCATTGACGCGACTTCTCGTACCGTAAAGTAATTAATTACCCCATACTCCATACTGAAATCTGCACTCACCGGCAGTGGTATGATACGCTAGGCCTGAAAATACCGGAATCTCAAACACTCCCGGTACATTCGTTCTTCTCATCTGAAACTATCCACCTTGGTCAATACCGGTACTCCGTATGCACAGTTAATAACTTAATATTCGTCTTTGCACACCCGATTTACCTCCTCTTGAATTTTCGTTGCGTGCCTCGGCTGACGGTTTGCGTTTTCGTCTCGGGTCACAGCGCTCCTGCTCAGACAGATTTTCACATGATCAGGTCTCCTGACTAATCCATCGATCACGACATCGCATGAACCGGTGGCGACCCATCGCATCACTGTTCGCCCTGGACAGTCCTGCGAACCAATCACCGAGAATTCAGTAGAGGCTCACATTCTCTGACAAAAACCATGCATGAATTCGCGCTCTACGGCCAAGTGCCTAAGGAAATTCACCATCGCACACTGCAGCAACTTGCCGGGTACACGCGTATGCAGCCGATTGATGCTTCAGAGATCCACTTGGTCTTCCAGGCACGCCAACCGTCTGGTCTAGACAAGATCCCCTCTGCGGGAGGTAGTCAAGGAGTCCTGCAGCCAGATGTCCAGCGCTGGAAGAACATGCTTAATGCAAGCTTGTACTATGTTCAACTTGTTGGAGAGGTCGCCACTCCCATCTCTTCATCACCCGAATCCAAACCTACTGACGGAACTGGTGACGTGACAATGACCAACGGTGGTGGACCTGATCTAAACTCACTTATCAACTGGACTCTCGAATTCAGGGACACTCCCGACCCTGGCAAGCAAGCCGTTAGTACAAGGCTGATATCCCGCACCCCTCTAGATGAAGGCAGCCTCATGACATTCATGGACCATTTTGGCTACGAGTACGTTTCTCGCTACATGCTTACTGGGTTCAAATTCTACGACAATGACACAACACTCTACCTTCATAAAGTCCTCACTCTGCCACAGGGCTCGGTAGAGTCTGCCATGACCGACTTTTCTTTCTTATCAAACATCTCGGAGCTCGGAGACCTGGATGGCTCTGGTGGCGCGTTGTTGCAGGCATCGATCGATGTCGTTGACGGAAACAACCCAGAACTGAAGGACAGAGCCACCCGGCAATTGTTGGCGCTTAAAGAGGGATTCAAGCAAGGGGTTGACCTGACTCCGGGCGACCGACTTGCTCTTGATACTCGCCTGCCGGCCGTAAACCGCAGGATCTGAGCATGTTGTCTTCTGTTGCAATTCTGCATGAGGACCACCTGAGTGTTGACCGCACTGAGACATCTATGTCTGAGTAAGGGTTCCTCTTGCCGACTGTACTTAACAAGCTCTGCCTTTGGCGTATTGCTTCACTTCGACTCGAATACCAACATTCTAGGCTGCACATTGAAGCCGGACGCTCATACCAAGGCCCAACAAACAAGGCGTGCTGATTTCAACCGTCCACTCCACTTGAGCGACGAGGATGTGTAACGATCTCTCAGAGATGTCTCTTGGAGGGCAGATCCGGCTACCAAGCCCGAAGGTGATCTTTAACAGCTAGAAATCGATTGACCTCCTTCTGCATTTCTTCTGGTCCCAGATATCATGGCACAGAGCAAGCGAATTAGTAGTCTGCATCGAGTGGCTCACGCTTGCCATCAATCAATCCATGAGTGATGAGCTGAGGTCTCTGAAGGATTGTTAATTTCTTGGCTTTATGACGGGTAGGTGGTATTGCCGTCTAGCCCTTGATGAGGGAAATTTCAAAGCCTTACGTTCGCAACCTGCAAATGACGGAGACTCGGACATGCAGGGCAACACATGTCTGTTGGTTCAGGGGTTGTCTTTCGCAATTGAGGGATCCGGTTCTGCTTCCGAGGCATTCGCTGCTCCAACACAGACCCGAAGGCGACACCCTGCATGCGTACAGCTCACATAATAGCGCAAGCAAATTTCACCAGTTCTACATTCCTAAACTAGGGAAAATGCCACACTTGGCTACCCACCAAGGCACAAATGCCATAGTGAGCCACCACTCCTATTTATCAATTCTACTTATCATTCAACCCATAACCTATACCAGTACAAGGCATGCTGGTCCTCGCTCTTTCACGACTGCAGCCCTATACTCCTCTTTCAGGCTGGAGACGTCGTGCCAGCTTACAATTCTTTCTAGGATGAACTCCATTGACTTGACGATCATTTCAAGCACGGTGGTAAAGCATCTTCTCGAACTCCCTGCCCTAACAATTTAATCTCCCAATAAGAAGACACCATGACGGGTAGACCCCTAATTGACTTCATCCGATAAAGTTTCAAGCTTATCTTCGCTGGGGTCCGGTAGGCCGCAGCGCTCACGCCGCGCACTGCGTAGTGAGTGCGGAGGACGGAGCGGAGAGTGCAAGGCCGCATACTCATCCTAGGGAAGCCTCGTCACGGTGGACGTTGCTGTCCACTATTGCATTCATCCCATCACCCTCCAATGGCGCTACAAGGTAGATTTTCATGATCTGTAGCATCCTTGACGGTATTTATACTATGGCGGCCGTTTCGCTATTCAGCCACGGAAGACCTAGCTAGCATCTTAGAATCCGAAATACCCACTCTCCAAAACATGTCTCCCATGATCTTGGAACATGGTGTTTCTGCCATCAATGGCTTCATGCAAGACTCAACCAAGAGGGACGTTGATGCCTATGATGTAGTTGTCGTCGGCGGGGGAATCGCAGGAATTGGAGCGGCAATTGGTGCCAGACAAGCATCCCCAGGTTCATCGGTCTTAATCATTGAGTGTGAAGGATGCTTAGGGGGAGCCGCAACCCATCGTGGCGTCTTGTCATTTGCCGGATTGTACAGTGTTGAAAGTGAGCCACGGCGAGCCGTTGGTTCGATATGGTCAGAGCTACATGAAAGATTAGTTGAGGAACATGCTGCAGCTGTAACTCCTGACCGAATCGTGGCATACGTCCAGGTAGGTGTCGAATGATTTGCACTATTTATGGCTCAAGATCTAACCAACAATCTAGAACTTCGACCCCGAAGGATTAAAGCGAGTCTTGGACGACTTGACAAGATCCTATGGTATCGACGTCCTTCTGCATTGCACCGTGGTCGGCGGTGAGCGCTGCGATCACCAATTGGCCGCAGTTGAGATTCAGGAACGAAGAGGCCGACGGAAGATCACCGCAAAGGCATTCGTTGACTGCTCTGGCGACGGTGATCTGGCTTATCATGGCGGTGCATCTACGCGATACGGCAATCATGGCCATGTGAATATGGGCTCCTTGGCTACGAGGTTTGGCGGATTAGCTGACGCAAACCCCACATCCGCTGCGTGGCGCGATGCAATCATTGCTGCGAAAGAACAAGACCCAAGCTTGAAGAAGAGCATTCCTCGGAATGTTGGTGTGCTCATCAAATTACCCGGATCTGGCGATATCAGTACATACATGGCCTCGGCGCAGTATGATGCAAGGAACAGTGCTAGCATAGCTGCAGCTGAACGAGAGGGTAGGAGACAGGCAAGAGTGTACCTCGACATACTGCGGAAGCTGCCTGGTCACGAAAAGATGTATCTTGTCTCATCAGGACCGAATTTTGGTACTCGGGAATCACGGCACATCAACTCCCGCTATCAATTGACCGAAAGCGATATCCTGGAAAGTCGAGACTTTGTAGATACGGTGGCAATAGGTGCATGGTACATGGAATGGCATGATGGTACGAAAGAAGACTGGCCCATAATCTTTAAAGCTCCACCAAACGGCACATTCGACATCCCCCTTCGATCCTTGTGGAGTGAAGATACTTCTAACCTCTTCTGTGCTGGCCGTTGCATCGACGGGGATCAATCCGCCAGCAGTGCTTTCAGGGTCCTAGGAACAGCCTTGGCCACAGGTCAAGCTGCCGGAACCGCTGCTAGTTTGAAAGCCCTCAGAGGCGTCGATCCAAGCCATCAAGATGTGCAGAGTGTCCTAATGAAGCATGGAGCCCTCCTCGATAGGAATGTCTTGGTGAAGGCTTCATATGTGGAGGAGCCGGAGGGTCGAAACCTCTCACATCATGAGGCGCTCCATACTTAGAAACTAGGGGTCATTGGCATCGCAAAATATTAGAGCCATGGGGCACCCCAATCTTCATCCACGCTCACTTCCCAGCTTGCTGCAGCATACATTGGGTACGGAGTATTGTCGAAGCCCCAGTCATCAAAGCAGCCCTGAGTAGCCGAATTTGAGATGATTGAGGGATAATAAGTCATATTGAGTCTTGCTGCTTGCTGATTGTTATCGGCTTGTGAAAACTGACTTGGGGGTAAGGCAAGGCTCTGATGTAGCGGCCACCCTTGTAGTGGACCAGCAGCTTCTGAAAATACCTGACTCGGAATTTGAATCATTGCATTGGTCTGTTGAATTGCATTCGCGGGAATTTCCTTGCTTGTTCCCAATGAAATCGGAATTTGCTTGTTGGGTTGGACATCACGTTCGGGGGTAGCTCCTTGTTTTGCCCTCGCCTTTGCTTGAAGTGCAAGAAGCCGTCGCCATCTCCTCTCCCGTTGACCATGGGGTACATGGCTCTTCCAGTCCTCCAAGAAGCCATCTATTGCTTTCCATGCCCTAGTCGCGAAGGATGGCAAGGGTGAGACTGTCAAGCTGGACAGTAAGAATGCGACTGCATCCCATTCGACATATTGCTGAAACAGCCATATCCAACGTGAATACTTCGGATCCGTTCTGAGCTGGTGAGCATACTCAATGATGTCAATGCTACTCGCCACAAGAGCTATGAATTGTTCGTGAGACAAGCTAGAGGACTGTGTACGCGCCGGATGGTAGATGGTCAACTTCATTTTCGCAAGCACTAATCTCGACGCGGTAACGGCGAGAAAGCAGATGGGAATTTCCAAATCGCAGTCTTTGAGATATTTCTCCTGCAAATCATTCACGACATTGTCGATGAGGTCTGTTTTCTCAGCAAGATTCATAGAAGGGTAGCCGTTGTCCGAGCTGAACTTTTCAGAGAAGACCAGCTTCCTGGCTGCATAGCTTATCTCGAATCTGGTCAAGCAGAACAACATCTCTGTTCGGCCGTTGGTAGCCTCGCGGGGTTCGGTCATGTTCATATCCAAGTCACCATCATTGGCGTTGCTGGGATATTGCGTATCGAAATTATGCTCGCAGATCAACGGATCCATATCGTTGTCTTCTGCAATCCGTACGTCCAGTATGCAGATTTGCCACCACAACCGCCTTCTCATCTCAGCCATGAACGGTGGAAGGCCTAACGAAACTGGATCTCGATGCAAGCCAAGCTTTGTCGCCAATCGATAAAGTAGACCGACCATTGACCAGATGTAAGCTTTGTCGACGGTCTGCCTGGCACATATCAGGTAGAGTGTCAAAGCCTGCAAGGTCGCCACATCTGGAGTGGTCATAAAATTTGCATTGGCGAGAGACTGTTCAATACCCGCCCTATAGCGATTCAATAAATCTGGTCGTTCTTGCTGAAGAAGACCTCGGGTGGCATCGGAGCTCTGTAAGCTCGTCACCGCGGCAAAATAGATGGCGAACATGAGTGCTTCCACGGGAGGCGGTATCTTGTCCAAATGGGTGCTGGCCCTCAAAAGCTGACGCTGGACAGTTGGGGCATGGAGAAGCTTCAACAGAGGATCGACGTTCTCAAGATATATTTGCCATAAGGTGAATATGCGTGCTTCGGGTGGATGAAGATGTTGGAGGCCACTTGCTTCGGGCGTTGTAGTCATGCCAAAAATGAACCGCTGGTAGGAGGGCAAGCCAGTGAGTGTCGTAGGATCTGAGGGTGAGGCGCTTGTTACGTCTGCTGCAGCCCCAGTATTGGGTGCAAGATCGTGATATTCGCCTTCGCCCTCGTCCTCCAACTCGGCCCAAAAACTGCCACTCACGTATCGCGTGTCGCCTTCCTCGACAACCAGCCGGCCACTTCCCCCAGGCGTCGATTGGGTATTGTTGACCTCTTGGTTGGGGGTCTCTTTGGTGGCGGCATCTTGACTCTCCTCTCGCGGACGAGGCGAACTTTCACTCAAGAAGCTCGCCTCTAGTCTTGCCAATGACTTCTCGATGCGCTTCAATCGAGCAGAGACATCGTCATCTGCCGGTCGCTTGGATTCCTTTTCAGACGCCGGATACACGCATTGGACTCTGATTTTGACGCAATAAGCACAAGGCTGCTCTCTGTCGCATTTGATTTTCCGTCTGCGACATGCGATGCATGATCGTCCGGGTGCCACTCTAGGCGGCCGGAGGTGCATGGGACCAACAAGGTTCTGGCTCTCGCTAGACATGTTTAACCCGACCAGTTGTCAACAGGCGCTCCTAAATCATGCAATTTGATGAATCCGCCTTCAGGCGAGGAGGTACTCTGTATAGTGGAAGAGTTCAACAATGGTAAGTTCGGTCCTGGGTTTTGATTGCCTGTGGGTGCCTGTCAATTGTCAACCAGATAGAGGGGCCTGATCCACGGGGTTCACCGATTGGACGTCGGCTGAATTGATAAAGACTTCGCTCATATCGGCACCCAAGCATCACCACCACACCTTGACCGTCTGAAAAACCACAATGACCTATGTACGAGTATAACTTGGAGTGCTCATGTTCCTACGTTTCCTGGCAGAGGAATGGGAGCTACGTCGCTGGATCAGAGATTTACAGCCCATGGACAATCATCGAGTTTGCTCCTTGCCTTAACTCGTCGACTAGTATGGCTGGGCGTGTTGACTCTCTTTCTCTGACCCCTGCATTTTCGGGCTCTTGGATGAATGATCAAACCCCTGATTGGATTCAAATTTGCACGGCTTTATAGCTGATATTCACAAATTTTATGGATTCTGTAACTTGGGAAAATCGGGCTACTGTCTGCTAGTTGCTTTCAGCGGCATTGACTACCCTCTTTACAGTCTCATCCAACTCACCTTGACGCACACCCAACATTGAATTTGCAAGGGACTCATCGACGGAGAAGTTCTGTCGCAATCCCGAACCATTTCCCCAGACCGACGCTTGCACAAGCAGGAAATTGCCAGTAAAGTCGCCTGATGCAACAAGCTGCTTTCCCAAACCCACTAACTCTTCAGTTTTGACACGCTCAACCTCCCAGTCCTGACCGGTTGCGGCCTCTAAAGACTTGAGAATGTCTATTTGAGATACCGCGGCGGTTTGGACGTAGAGGTATTTGTTTGCAGTCTCGACTGGATGCTGCAGGATCGAAATCACAGCAGTCGCAATTTCGTCTTGGTTTGTTGCTGAGAACACAATGTCACCATTATCCCAAATCTTTGCCTTCTTGGAAGCTATCTCAAAGCCCAGAAACCCCGATTGAAGCCCCTATTGCACGTCAGTCGGGACCCAGATGATGTCAGTGTTCTCCGTGATTCACTTACCCAGTCAAGCAGAGGACCAGTTGCCAGACCTGTCCAAGAGAATTTTGTTGACTCTTTCTCGTGCAATAAGGTCAAGATCTCTTGTTTGGCCTCGAAAAGAGGAACAAGACTTCGGACTGCATCGCTGCGGGTGTTTGTTGAGTATTCCGAAGGCACAAACCGCTTAACTCCTGCCTTGATTGCTGCGATGACAAAACCCTTTTGTTGTGTGAATCCTGCTCCTCCCACTGCGCTGACAATAGCATCTTGTCCTTTGAAGGCCCTCACTAGGTCATCCTCAGAGTCGTAGTCTGCTGTGATGACTGAAACTGATGCAGGGAATGAAGCCTTTGAAGAAATTCTTGAAAGAATGCTAACCTCGAAGGTAGATAAAGCCAGGAGGGATTGGAGAATGACTGAACCGAGCGTTCCTGCACCCTGTGGAAATCACATATTAATTTATGTATCAAGACACTCTGTATCAAAGAGTCTACATACCCCAATGAGAATGACCTTCTTGACGTCCATGTTAGCTGCCATTTCGACTTTGTTTTAAAACAGAAGTAAGGGAGTATTCAGCAGTCAGATATGCATGTTTTATTCTATCCATGTTTCTGTCGATCATTACAACTGTTGTTAGGAAGCAATCCCTGGGACATCCTTACGAAACATTTTCACGGATTCTCACGGATTCGTGATCTGCGGGCGATTACTTGGAAATCAAATTCTGAATGAGGTCTCAGGAGAAAAAAAGGCGCGGAATCTAGTGACTAGGTACCAGGCATGTCCATCGAGCTAGGGACAAAGTGTCATTCACCGAGGACAGCTCTATCTTACCACACGCACTGGGTGAGGATCCTTTACTAAGCTGAAGGGATTGAATGCGTCGTGCGGAGGGCGGAGGCGCGGAGGCGCGGAGGCGTCCTCCGCGCTTCTATCTCGAGCGCAATGGTGGCGTCACTTGGACAACGTTCTATCAAACGAATACTTGTGATCTGCAAAATCAATCAGCTTCTCAATAGGGCTTTTAAGGCGCGTTGGTCCATGTTGATTAGCTGCCACACGTTTCTGGGTCTGAACTCTAATCAACTCAAAGCATGGCTTGCATGGTTGTGAGGGCCTAGAAAGCGCCATCTTGCTTCTCAACTCTGCACTGCTGGATAAATCACCAGGTTCTCTTCCGTTCATCGGGTGTGAGCAGGCGAGAGCTCACCCCGTGGGGAAGAGGCCGCTCAGAAGCGAAGACGACAGACTATGTTGGTCTTGGAAGCAAAGGATAAAGATCGAGAGCATCCTGCAACGATTCAACGATTCAACGATCAGTCAAGACTTCATTGAATTCTTTTGCATCTGACAGACAACAATGGCTGGCAACGCAAGTGTGACTAAAATCAACGACGAGTATGTCGAGTCGCTTTACCATGATGAAAAGGCTCAGTCGTCCCCACCACCGAGTGACCTAGACGCCGGACTCAGCGACGAGCAACGGAAAAGAAGAGTATGTCACCATCCTGACATAGGCCCTCTCTTCCTGATATAAGAACAAACAGGACCGCGAGTTGCTGTGGAAGCTTGACCTCAACCTCATCCCGTGGCTGTGCCTTCTGTACCTGATTTCGTTCTTGGATCGAACGAACATTGGCAATGCAAAGGTCGCAGGCCTACAAAAAGACCTCAAGATGACCAATGGGCAATGGAATGCTTCACTCGCCATCTTCTTTGTCTCCTATTCGGTCTTCGAGCCCGCGAGTAACGTGCTTCTCAAATGGTTTCGCCCCAGCAGATACATCCCAGTGATGTCAGTTAGTTCCTGACCAATAAACACTGTGAAATATTGCTAATAACCATACAGAATGGTCCTTTGGGGGGTAGCTTGCGTTTGCTGTGGCTTGGTCCATGATTTCGCCGGGCTGGCGACGGCTCGCTGGTTCCTTGGCCTGTTCGAAGCTGGCCTCTTCCCTGGTATGAAGCTCGCGATGACACTACGGAGCAGTTACTGACTTAAAACCCATTCCAGGATGCAATTTCTACCTATCATGCTGGTACAAGCGCTCGGAATTCGGTGTCCGCTCAGCCATATTCTTCAGCGCTGCTGCCATCGCCGGCTCATTCGGTGGCTTCCTGGCAGCTGCAATGAGCCAGATGGACGGCGTAGGGGGCAAAGCCGGCTGGGCTTGGATTTTCATTCTGGAAGGTCTCATTACTATTGTTGTCGGTCTGTTGTCTGTCTGGATGGTCCACGATTTCCCTGATGAAGCCACTTTTTTGTCCGCAGACGATCGTGTCAGAGTCTACCAGCGACTGAAAGCAGATCAACAATCAAGTGCAGACCATGAATCATTCAAGTGGGCGTATGTCATGGAAAGTCTCCGAGATTGGAAGACGTACACGAGCGCCTTGATTTACATGGGAGCTGGCGGTGGGCTGTACGGCTTCAGCATCTTCCTCCCAACCAGTATGCAAGCATCCTCTTTCCTCTTTACGTTATTGGGGTCACAATTACTCACCAAATGATGATACAGTCTTGGCCGAGCTCGGGTACAAAGCAACAACCGCCCAGCTGATGTCCGTCCCACCATACATTGCCGCCGCGCTGCTCACCATCGCCGTTGGGTTCCTGGCTGACCGAATCCGCCAACGAGGACTATGTGCAATTGCAGTCTCCTCACTCAGCGTCATAGGGTTCGGCATCCTAGTCAGCGACCTCCCCGCGGGTGCGAAATATGCAGGAACTTTTCTGGCGGCGATGGGCATATATCCCTGCATACCCAACACCGTCACATGGCTGTCGAACAACACAGAAGGGGTCTACAAGCGCGGCATATCCCTTGGACTCGCGATGGGCTGGGCAAACTTGCAAGGTGTTGTGATCAGCAATGTCTACCGAGGCAAAGACGCTCCTCGTTTCATCACTGGCCACGCTGTCGTCATCGGATACCTGGGGCTAGCTCTCTTTGGTGGTTCGATCCTTCACTATTTCTTGCTACGCCGAGAGAATGGATTAAGAAGGTCCGGTGCACGCGATCATCTCCTTGAAGGCAAGTCTGAGGCAGAGCTCAGAATGATGGGGGATCTGAGGTGACTTTTGACATTTGCCTTGCTAAATGGTGCCACGATACTAAGTCAGGCACCCATTAAATGACCCACCCCATTAATGACCTACGTAATGCACTTTGCCACCAGTCCATATAATCGTATTTATCTACTCTACAACGTCATTAATACTAAATTGATGTATGTACGGGGTGAGTGTAGTGTTTGACTGTTCATCCTGCGTAGTATTCCTGGTAGGCAAGCGAGATGTTGACCGCGTCGTTGCCTGTAAAGCCTCCATGGCTTGCCTCGCCTGTGTTATCGTCTCGATACTCGCAAAGACCTCATTACAGTCGATTGCTACTCGTCGTTGTCTTGTAGCATGAAGTTTATTTAGCTATGTACGTTGGATAGTTAACTATTATAATTTAAGCGTAATATTAAACTATAATCGATCGAGAAATTTGCTAGTCTTATTAAGCAATAAACGTATTAATCGAGAGACGGTCTTACGCTGTAAAATTAACTACGTTTCCTACCTTATTTCACGCTAATTTAGAGGCGTACGAATAGTACTCCGTACGTATTAAATTAGCCTCCGTAATGGCGGCGTTACCGGCGATATTTAACTATTTTAACTATCCTATAGGACTTAGTGAGATCGTATAACTTTACGAGGATTCTATGGATAAATACTAGCTATATTCTACCTAGTAGTAATACGTAATGCTAAGAGACCTTTACTACTTACTTTTTCGTATAATTTAAGGAACTTACTCTTCTTTACGGCCGAGGCATCGTCGAACCTAGCTAAGTTAGCGATTTCGTCCCGATATCGATATTTTAAGAGTAAAAAGTAAGTAAGATTAAGTAGCTATAAAATATAACTCGTATAGAGTATTAAATAGATTAAGGCGATTCGATTTATATAGTATTCCTATATAAACTCGTACGTAGTATAACTTTTATGTCCGTCGACTAGGAGGAGTCGATAGTTATTCGATGCTATCTAAGGGATGAAAATCTAACGTAGCTAGGCTAATTCGATATTATTTAAGGTCTAGCCGTTTAGTGAGATCGTATATAAGTACTTAGGAAGGTCTAGATCGCTAAACTAAGTGGATTAAAGTGTATTTCCTTTAAATATAACGAGGCATTAAAGTCGACGACTAATCGCTAATATTATCTCGATAATTAATACCTATTTATAGTTTTCTAGTATTACTTTATATAACTAAGTAGTATCGATCCTACTAACTACTCGTTAGTTGGCGTATACGCCTAAAGCGATGCCTATCTTATCTATATTAAAGATATTGTGCTATAGAACTTAATATCGCTCTTATACGGCCTTAAAATACTTAAACTAGCGAGTTAAGGACTTAGGAGTAGTACTCTATAAGCGTAATCTATAGATCTTTTTACCTACCTTTAAGTAGATCTCTAGATAACGCCGTATAAATCGTGATAGCTAGTTATAACCGATAGCTATTAGTATTACCGTATCGCCTTATATAATACCGATAAGTTCTCGTACTTAAGTAAAGCTAGGAGGGTGTCCTTAGGCCTTAAGGTTAAGTATCTATTATACGAGGAGTAGCTCTTGTTAGTTTGTTAATAGCTGCCTTAGTTCGTGAGCAATAGCTCGTGAAAGACCTCCTTATAGTCTACGGCCGAGAGTTTTGCGATCCACTGTTACGAACTAGGTCACTGGAAGGGTCGCCAAGGACAAGCCGCCTGCACTCGAGGGAAACGAGGAAGTTAGCCGATGGAGAACGAGGCTACGCCACGTGACCGAGGAATGGACTGTGGAGGACTATGGACTACAAACATAGTCCAAGTAAGTCCACAGTCCAGGCTAGCACTATATATACATACTCATTCACCTAGATAGTATAGTTCGTAGTTAACTTCGTTAGCAATCCTATACCTACATTTTAGGATATAGTCCGACGAATAAGTATTCCCTTAGTCTATCCTAGTTACTACTCTAGTACCCACTCTATCAAGGAACCCTACCTTAGTTAGAACTACTTACAGCTCGGATTATAATACTTTAACTACTACTTAATTAGTATTAGATGTCTGACGTAGGATTATCTCGACTTAGATCCCCACTACCTAGCGTACGTCTACTTATAGCCTTGAACAATTCTTTAAAGACCAATATCGTTTAAGACAGCAGCTCCGACGAAGATTCCGACGTAGATATAGTTGACGCACTAGGACTTACTGATATATCTCGGGATAGTGTTAAGGTGGAACTATTCTATAGGAATAGGGAGAAGCTAGGATATTTCCTTATATAACTTAAGACTACCTTTAAGCTTAACCTAGCTAAGTATGCTAAAGTAGAGGACAAGGTTATGTTTATAGTAATACACCTTAAGGGGGCGGCGTTCTATTAGTTTAAACTAGTATGGGACGACTACCTCGAGTCCTCTAACTCCGACGACGAAACCAAGGTATACTTTAGGAACTTTACGTAGTTCGAAATAATAATTAAATAGATCTATGGCACGATTAATGAAGCTACGGTAGCTTCTCGTACCATCTACACCCTTAAACAAATAGGATCTATAGCTAATTATTATTCGGAATTTAAGAAACTAGCGAAGGAACTAGAGTATACGGACGATAATGTCTTTAAGGATACGTTCTACAATAGATTAAAGAAGGAAGTTAGGAAGGAAATAATAGAGCGCCTAGAAACCTATAAAGATATAGTAGACAAGGCTATTAAACTTAATAATCGACTATACGAGCTACGTATAGAAGATAATTAAGGAAGAAGCTTAGGAAAGCGAGGGTACCGGGGGTATCGGTATTCTCCTCGAGCTAATACGGGACGCCCACGAGACTACGGGGACCCTATAGACCTAGACGCTATGGAACGTTATAATGCCCGACGAATAGGCATAGGTAGAGGCCGAAACATAGGGCGGAAGGCTATGGGAGGACGAGATCGAGAGAAAGAGAGACAAAGGAAGGAAAACCTATGCTACGAATGTAGTAAGCCCGAACACTATGTACGCGATTACCTAGAAAAGAAAAGCGCTCGAGGACTATATATAATGAATATATAGAGCGGTAGTGTAAACGGCTTAATAGCGAAAAAGGCCGATACTATTAAAGAGACCTAAAGACCTACCGAGGGTAGGAGTAGACTAGTATAGAGGGACTACTAGGAATCGGATAACCCCCGAGGGTTAGGTAAGTTAGACACTAAGTAATTAAAAGAAGAATTCTAGTTAAGACATTAGACTAAGAAACCTAAGGGACCTAAGTGTAAGACTTAGAAGAAAGAAAAGTTCGACGAACTCCTAAAGGGAGAATAATAGAGCGAAGTAATATATAATACGAGGAGAAATGCCGTAAGATACGCTTAAGAATTATAGTATTTCTATTATAAGGACGACTACTAACTCTATTTAGCTTTAAAGACCGAAAAACAATAGTTTCCATATAAAGATAGAGGAAGCATAAAACCTCGAGAATAGGAATAGAGGGTCTAGGAAACCCTAGCCATAATAATGGCCGATTTCGAAAAAGAGACGGTACTTATAAATATAGATAACTACACGACAATTAGAATAAGATTCTAGAAAATAGTCAACGAAGTTACGGTATTAGATAGAAGAGTAACGTAGAAAACGTTTAGAACGGCGTTAATCTATAAGTACCGAGCCCGAGGATATTAACAATATAGATATACCTATACGTATACGGAAGATGGGGAACTATATTAACTAAGAATCTAGCGAGAAGAAGACGAATAGGTACCGATAGACGAGATATTACGATAATATAGGAACTCTATAGAATTCTATATATATTTCTAGGATAGAAGGGAAGGAGAAACCCTATACCGATACAACCTAGGCGCTACTTCTAGGAGAGAATAAAAGTATATATAGATCTAGAAGTATAACGACTAGGAATACTCCCTACGAGCCGAATATATACACGATACGTATAATGGGGAAGCTTACTTTACAACCTTTAAAGGACTAGGTGAAGGAGTAACCTATACGGAAGGATAGTTAGTTTAGCTTAAGCACGGACTATTTAGTTTAAGGACGGTAACGCTACCACCGCCTTACTACAATATATCTATAATAGAAAAAGGATCCGCGGATGAGATTTTACTAAATAAGCCCGACCTAGTAATTATCCGAACCTACTACTAGGTAGTAGGACTAGCGGAAAACCCCGGGATATAGTATAATCCCCTAGGATAACCGAAGAAAGAAAGAATCTATATAATAATCTATAAATGTACCTAGGATAAATACGAGGATAAAGAAAATAGCTATACGCACGACTACGTGGGCTACGCATTCCCTTTCCTATTTAGAGAAGGAGAGAATAATAACTAATTAGAGGAATCACGATGGTGGTTGAATGAATACGAGAAAACAAGACTATAGAGAGTAACGTATACCTACCTCGATGACGTTGTACTAATGGAAAAGGAAAGTAAGGTAGTAGTGTTAGAATGTTATCTTATGGTATTTATTACTAACTACTACTAGGTAAGTATTGAAGACGGTATTAAGAAATTAATATTCTACCCTAGCGGACTAAGACAATTAACCCGAAGGCCGGTTAGTCTAAACGGATACTACGACTTAGAATATCCAGTAGTAGCTTCTTACTATTTACACGATATAGTGGGGAGTAAAGTAGTACGCTATAACCTACTAGTATAAACGATTAGAGGAATATAGGTACGATTAGTATCCCTCGATAATAAAGAAGAGGAATGGGAGGAAGTAAACGCGGAAGAATCGGACGGAGATTCCGACGTATCGTCAGAAGAAGAAGAAAAATATTACGTAGCCAAGGTTACGAGAAATTAGATTAAGATTATAATAAAGTACTAGAAATATAGCGAATATACGGGATATACTAGCGAGACCGGAAGATACCTCTATATCCATTATAATCCTAGGATGAAACTATAAGAATAATAGAACGAAATTAATATATTATTCTACTAGGATTATAGATATAATTAAGCGCTAGCTATATACGTATACGTATAGG